TCACTGACGTTAAGCTGTCAGGAAGGTCAAGCGTGGTAGTAATGCCACCAACTACCGACGTGACGTCTCCAGGCAAGTCAATCGTCGTGGTTATGCCGCCAATCACTGACGTTAAGCTGTCAGGAAGGTCAAGCGTGGTAGTAATGCCACCAACTACCGACGTGACGTCTCCAGGCAAGTCAATCGTCGTGGTTATGCCGCCAATCACTGACGTTAAGCTGTCAGGAAGGTCAAGCGTGGTAGTAATGCCACCAACTACCGACGTGACGTCTCCAGGCAAGTCAATCGTCGTGGTTATGCCGCCAATCACTGACGTTAAGCTGTCAGGCAGGTCAAGTGTGGTAGTGATGCCACCGATGACCGATGTGACGTCTCCTGGAAGGTCAATTGTTGTAGTAATGCCTCCAATCACCGATGTCAGGCTTTCAGGAAGGTCAATTGTCGTGGTGAGGCCACCGATCACGGACGTGACGTCGCCGGGAAGGTCGTTAATAATAGAAGATACGGTGCCAGGAAGGTCGTTGAGAATTGAAGATACGCCAGTAGGAACGTTCGCTGACGAAGCGATGCCACCAATGATGGATGTGACGCTGCCAATTGCTGACGTGACGTCGCCGGGAAGGTCAATAGTTGAAGTGACACCACCAACTATAGATGTGACATCGCCGGGAAGCTCGTTAATGATAGAGGATATAGTGCCGGGAAGGTCGATGGGTATGGAAGATATCCCCCCAGGAAGGTTCACTGACGAAGTGACGCCACCAACGATTGACGTGACGCTCCCCGGAAGGCCAGCAATTGCGGATGACGCACCACCGGGAACACCGATAGTTGTGGTAGCTATACCAGAAAGGCCGATTCCAACCGACAAAGAGACTCCGCCAGGAGCGCCGATCGTGGAACTGGCGCCACCAATGATTGAGGTGACAGTACCAGGAAGTCCATCAATCACGGAAGTAGCGATACCAGGAATGCTCACTGTCGCGGTGGTTACTCCAGGTATGCCAATTGTCGAGGTCGCTACGCCGGGAACGCCCAATATTGAAGAAACGAGGCTAGTCAGGCCGCTGACTACTGAGCTTGCGCCGAGAGAAATGCCGACAGAAATAGGTGTTGTCGTAGTAGGGAGGCCAGGGAGGCCAATTGTCGAGGTCGTTACACCAGGAACGGCAATTGACGCAGAGTTGATGACAGGAACGCCAATCGTGGTAGAGGCGATGACAGGAGCGCCAATTGTCGAGGTGGCAGCACCAGGAACTCCCAGTATTGAAGAAACGAGACTAGTCACGCCACTGACTACTGGGCTTATGCCGAGAGAAATGCCGAGAGAAATGGGCCTTGTCGTAGTAGGGAGACCAGGGAGACCTATCTGACGGACGCCAAGGCGACGGACTGTTGAGGATGTTGGATGGCTATCACAGTCCAAGCCTGCGGCTGTTATTGTGCCGGCTAGGTTCAACACGGCATCCTGTGCGACTTGTAACACCTCGCTCACCGGGCCACGAACGACTGGAGCCCGAGCTACGAGAGATTCCACGGCTGATACGAGCTGGTCCAGAGAGTAGTTGACCTGAATAGTTATGAGGCAGACGGCGTCTTTGTCGTCGACGGAGAGATCAAGCAGACTACCGATGTCCGGAACGGGCACAGTAGCGACGGCAGTCGTGATGCCATTAACGCTTGCCCTAATCTTCTGTTTTCCGTGAAAAGGGAGGGTTCCGTATTAGCAAAGTAGCCCAACTAATTTACACCGATTAATTGGGAGAGGTTTTTAGACATACTGGGATGGTCTTGGGTAGATTTCGAGGATTGCTACCAATACTATTGACGATGTCGAAAGCATTGGTGATGGTACTGTCGACTCTCTTTTGGCCTGCGACCAAATCTGGAACACTAGCACAGCCACCGTTTGCTAGCACGTCACTTGCTGCTACAGTTATAAGCAGAAGAGGGTTGAGGAGCCTCATCCTGCCGAGTGGTTTGGTAGGTGGTGTTGAAGTATGGTAACATAGAAGGCTGTCAATAAGCCTGAACCTCAGCGATAACTGACTTAGGGAGGAGAGAATATGCTTATATTCTGTCGTGCTTGGTTGATGAGGGTCGACGGGCCTCTTCTCCCGTCATGCTGCCCCAAGCACCAGGAGCAGTCCATGGCACCGGCCTCAGATAACGATCATAACAATGATGTTACCTAGCTGAGGTCCTTGCGTTTCGGCCACCCTGTAAGGCCGCATGCTCCCGATACGTAAAGTTTGGAGCAATGAAAATCTCGTAGGTTGCTTTAGGAAGGGGAGGTGGGGGACATGCCGCAGTCGACTAGCACTGATCCGGCCGGCCAAGGTTATTGTGGCGACCGCTTTTGCCGTTGTGCTCTGTGGCACAAAGAAGTGCGCACTGCCTTTTGAGGAGTAGTATGGGACATGTTGACGCGTTCGGGTCGTGGGATGACAGTGCAAGCTAGACGCGGTGATGGTGAAGGGGGGACGACAAGCTTCGTGATGTCAAGATGTTGGCGTTGTGGCACGGGGCATAAATCACCAAGGTCTGGGGCCAACCTTAAAAATTCCAGTCACGCGTGTCTTTGCCGTGCCGCAAGAAATACTCCGCGCTCGAGTACGGTTTTGTGGCATCTGAGACATGTGGTGGCCAGACCAAGCCAATGTCACACCACTAAGCCACCACTGCATTGGCAGGGTGTACCCAAGACACCGACCAGTCTAGAACCCGGGGCCCGCTCCGCAGTGCTGATGTGGTCGCACACGTTGACAGGCTCTTGTGCGTGAGCCCTTTTCGAGCAGAACCGATAGGCGTCTTCACTGGCTCATCTTGGATGGAGCTGCTCAATATGGGCTAGATACCACCCAAGTCGCTGACGAGGTTGGCATCGCAGACAGGGTTGCAGTGCTCAGAGCATGGGCAGTATTGGTCTGATCAACGCGGCTCTAGCTTGGCATCCTCGCTTCAGCGGTCCACGTCCCAGTGTTTCGGTTTTGGTTTGGCCAAGACTTGGCTTGCCTTGCCCTGGGATGACAATCGCCCCACCCGGAACCTGCCGGACCTGGACCACACAAGCTATACCGGTTGAGGCACCAGCAGTTTTGCCATGGCCGCGTCACGCCCGACTCTGGATAGCTCCGCGTGGACCATGGGAATCACACATCACCACCCACCGCCAGCGGTAAGTTCCAGCGTGGTGGGTGGCAGGGCTGTCACCATTACATTCAGAGTTGGCCCTCCCAGTGACTGAACTCTATCTGACAATGGACAGCTCGCTAGAGCCACTCCTGGCGCGGCCATCGGGTGAACATGGCCCTCCTCGTCAATCCACTTCTAATGGGTGTCATCGACTCTCGTGCGGTGTGCCCCCCAAGTGGCGCCACCTCACTGTTCTTGGGACCAGAGGACTTTAATGAGCAATACGGCACCCATGAAAGTAGTCCTGCGCGGAGGGCGCCCGCATCCCGTACCACAGGGCGAGAACAGAGGAGTCAAACAGAGCAAGACGTAAACCCTCCGGATTCGATCGTCTCACACAAGCCATCTCTGGCTACTAGACCCGCCTTCACGATCTGTGGCGAAGCTAAATGCAAAGACGCGGTCGGACTTGCTTGGACACCCACATCTGCTGTTGCCATGGGCATCGTTGGATGCTGGGAGCCAGCAATGTAGCCCACCGCTTCGGGCGTCCTATGCGTTCCGTGTCTCGCTGGCACGACTTGCGCTACAGGAATGACACGTCATCACATGCTTCTGATGAATCATGCCGAGCTCTGCTATGATTCACAGTTTCATGTAGCAATCAAGCATAGTTTCCCTATACCACCGGGGATGGATGACGGTGATGTCCAGCATACTTGTCTTGAACCTCGCCCATCCCAGTGACCTCGTGCTTTGTGAGTAGCGAATACTTTGTATTTCGGGGCCCTAGGTGGCGTTGGGCTGCCGCTCTAGTATATGGCCAATGCACCATGAAACCGACTTGACATAGGAGAAGAGAGGAAGCACGTCTGCTTATATGCTAGCATATCTCCCAGGCTGCGCTTAAATGGCTGGAAAGTCGCGAAGAAAAGTATTCAAGGTGTCATTTAGCTATGATGAAAGAATGATTTGGAGTAGGTAGTGCGACAGAATGGCGGAGGGAAGTCGCACGGGCTGGGTCGCTAAGCGCTAAGGGGCTCCTGGAATGTGCTCGTAAATGATAGCGTCAAGGCGTCTCCAATAGCGGCCATTGGACACCTTCTGTAGCGTCTTATCCTCATGAATCCGGTGAGATGCGCGGCACCGTTCCTCGCTTTGCTTATTTTGGCTTGTGATAAGGCCACAACTGCAACCTAATCTTAGTTGTTATCGGCAATGGTCCCTTCATAATGTAACAGGAGACATTTGGCTGCCACGATCCGGCTTCCAGGGATCAATCCGTATAAACGGGACGTTTGGGGGTTTTTCTTTCTGATTGGTAGGTGAAGCCTAAGCAATACTTCGCTTTCATGAGTTGCACTAGGTGACATGCTCGATTGTAAGGTTTTCAGCCAAACCACCACCTATTAGCATAACACATAACCTAATGAGTTTGAGGTAGATCATCTGAGGTGCAGCGTCTTTGCTCAACATAGTCTTGTATCTCATAAAACTGACCGCCCTTACGACTTTGCGGGATGCAAAGCAATATTTACTTCCAACCACGATTGGGAACACTCATTCCGTTGGTGCCTTAAATGTACAGCATCATGCTTCGCAGCAATCCTGAGGTTGTCCACGGCGTCTCCGTCATCAATTTTGTGGTTCAGCTAAAGAGTTCAGGATTTCTGGCGCTTCATTAGTCAGAAGTCATACCAGAGCAGAGCCAGGCTTTCAACAAAAGACGGCCCAATTTTACAAAGTGGCGAAGCGAGGCTGCGCCATGCGGCGGGAATGGTACCCGGATCCAACAGGCCCCCCATTTTGTCTCCCGAGCGGGCGGTCCGCCATGTGACTTTGCACTTTCAGACTACTACGATCGGGCTAAACCTTCCCCAACCTCGGCACCATGGATCCTCTCAGTCTGTCCGTCAACATTATCACGCTGATCGACACGGGGCAGAAGATCATCACCTTTCTTCAAGAGCTCAAGGATGCGCCGGCTGCCCGTCAGGACTTCCTGCTGGACGGGCAATCTTCATACTTGGTTCTCTGGCGCCTCAAGGACCAGCTCGGACGTCTGCAAGATGCCGCATCCGAGAATGACCTAGTTTGGTTGACGAACTTCAGTTGCGCCGTTCAATCGGACAGTGTGCTGGGACAGTTGAAGGCCTGTCTAGAGGAGATTCAGGCCAAGCTTAGTCCAAGGGATCAGGGGAAACACTTCCAAAAGCTCCAGCAGGCGGCAAAGTGGAAATTCACCAAGGCAGATCTGGAGAGCTCGTTTCAGAGACTGGGGCGGATCACGGGCATGATAGAGTTATGTATCTCTAGCGAATCATTGTGAGTTTCCCAAGTCCAACCTCCAGAAGTAGTTGGCTGACCAAACGGACAGGGCGTGGACGACCTCCCTTGGAAAGGCAGTGCAGGATATAAAGCTCGATACTAAAACGATAATCAAGAGACAGCTCACAGAGCACGAAAAGCAGGAGCGCAAGAACATTCTAGACTGGGTAGAGAAGCGTGCCAACCATTATGAGGTAGTGCAAGCTGGCTACTATAGCCGAGCACCAGGGACATGGAAATGGTTCATCGAATCAGATTCCTTTCAGCAATGGGTTGCTGGAGAGACTCCCTTGCTTTACTGCCCAGGAATCCCCGGTGCTGGTAAGACGATCATGGCGTCCATGGTGATCAACTTTCTTCAGTCTCGCCTGCCCCAGCCCGAAGGCTACTTGGCCGTTGCATATTTCAACTACAAGTATCAAAGAGAGCAGGGGCTTCTTTGAGTTCTATTCTCAACCCTTTGGCAATTTACTTACCAAAAGGCTGTCCTCGACAAGAGGCTCATCACGTCTCACGAAAAGCACGAAGGGCTGGACCGCAACGTCGATGCCATACTAGACCTTCTCTCAGGGACGATTCAGGATTCAGGCGTCGTCTTCATTGCACTTGACGCATTGGACGAAGTTTCGAACAAGGACGAGCCAAATGGTCGCAAGAGTTTACTGAACAGCGTGTGGAAGCTACAACAAGCTGGAAACGAAAACCAAGTGCGAATACTGGCGACAGCACGACCGAATACGGAACTACCTGCTACCTTTGTCACAGAAATATACTCTGCAGAGCATGGCCCTGGGATTTATCTCAAGACACGTGTGGCAGACCTGGACTGCCTCCCGGAGGTTGGCGATGAAGTCGAGGTTTCAGAGATATTTCAGCAAAAGATTATCAAGCGCATGATCGATGCTGCAGATGGAATGTACATTCCTCACTTCTGCCATGAACTTGCTAGGCGGCAATTCACTGACTTCGGTAACCGGGGTAGGTTTCTACTTGCTGCTTTCCACGCCGAGTGACTCGTTGACGCGTTCGCTGTCGATGAAGTCGAAACAATCCTCGGGGAAATATCCACTGGCGAGGACGCTATCAATCGCACATATGAAGCCACGATTCAGCGCATCGAGGCACAGAGGCCAAGACACAGAGAGCTTGCTCGCTCCATTATTGCCTGGATTGTCTGCAGTCGGCGGCCCCTCTCTGTGGTCGAGCTTCAGAACGCAGTTGCAATCAGACCCAGCGTTTTTTAAAGACCCTAGAAGAAACATCCCAAATCTCAAGATCATGCTCATCGTCTGTCTAGGACTTGCCACTATAGACGCCGAAACCAACATCATCCGACTTGCCCACTATGCAGCACAAGAATATCTCTCGCAGCGACTTGGAAACTGGATCCCCGACTGCGAGCGCGTAATCACGAATGCATGTTTGACTTACCCATTGATCCCCGAGCTCCACAACGACGTCATATTGTTGCACGAAACATGGCTTGAGCGTTTGAAAGTCGGCACCACAGATAAAAACAGTGCTCTCAAGGTCAAAGAACTTCTGGACGAGCTTGTCCAATGGGCCTTTCTTCTGTACGCTAAAGAGCACTGGGCGGTTCACTTGAAATCACTACGGTTAACCACAGAACATTTCGCAATGCATTTCCTCAATAACGACCGAGCTGTGTCCATTTACTGGGACCAGGACGAAGCTTGGGCAGCAGAGACTGAAATCAGCCGTTACTTTTACGTTGAGGAAGCTTCAGCTGCGCAACCCTGGGCTGCGCAACCCTGGGCCTGTCACGGTTGCAGCTCGTTGGGGTCTCGAGGCATATGTGGCTGGTCTCATTGAAGACGGCCATGAAGTTGGTGGAGAAGTGTCGTGCAACTCCCTACTGGTCCTTCATTTCTTCCCTTGGTTCCACCACCACCCTCTGGTGTTTGTAGTACGTTGCAACCATTTTACAATGGTCAATGTCTTGCTGGAGAGACATACCCCTAACGGCAGCATTATCAACCACGCCATGATGGCAGCAGTGGAGTGGACCAATGTCGAAATGGTGGAGCTGCTTGTCGGTCAGTTACCGAGCGTGCGGCTAGACATCTTCCGCCTGCTCCAAGACAACATCCGTGGTCTACTGGACGACCCCAATATCAGAGAGAAACTGGTCTCGAAGTACGACCTGGACTTTGGCGATATGGCGGATACCCTAGAAAAGAGTCCTTGGCCCAAATTTTCTCCTTTCTGAACAGAACGTATTCTTCAAGATGTTTCGGAATGCAGCAACGAATCTTTATTGGGGAGGATTCGCATGATTATCTTGAACCCCTCGAGCTGCTTCTGGACCAAGTGAGGTCTGAAAACATCGCATGCGAGGGTCATCAGGTCGCACTACAGGGAAGCATCGGTAAAGGCAGCATTTCGACTGTGCAGTTCTTGATAGCGCAAGTGATCGAGGAGTCCTGGGAGCCTGCAATGGCCCATCAGATCATCCACGAGGCGTTCTATCACACCATCGGCATTCAGCAGCATCCGGATGCAGTCGCGAAACTCCAGGCTTTCCTGGATTTGGACTTCTTGGACATCAACTTCAGGTTTCGTGAAGGTCGCACATGGCTCTCGTGCGCCATGGCCGGAGGCGTCACAGTAGAGTGCCTCAAATTTGTGCTGAATCATCCTCAGATTGAGGTGGACTGCGTTTGTGATGCGGGGCAGACCCCTTTGTCATATCTTGTCAGCAATGAGATGGACGACTTTCGCATACACGGTACTACTACTCTGCTTGGATCCGGGCATGGACTAGACACCAATCTCGCAGATTATAGTGGCAGGACGCCTCTGTCTTGGGCCTGTGACGTGGCACGCAACCTTTTTGTCATCGAAGCGTTGTTTTTGACGGCGAAGGCTGATCCAAACATCATTGACAGGTATGGCCGTAGTGCACTGTCCTACAGCGCTCCGCCTGGGTGGGAGGGCGCCTTTGAGTTGCTTCTCGAGCATATAGACGCGAGTCTTGTTGACAGACCGGACAATGAAGGACGCACACCATTGTTCTATGCAACCAAGCATGCAGATCCACAAAACCGAATACCATTGATTCTTTCCCATCCAGAAGTTGATATCAACCGCGTCGATATCCACGGCCTCACGCCACTAATGTTTGCGATCGAATTAGGAATTTCGGCCTGGGCTGGCCCGGAAGCCATTCTCGGGAGCCCAGGCCTGGATCTCTCTCTTGCCGTGCAGACTCCATTGAAGGTCATGCTGGCTCTTGGGCAGCGCTAGGCAGGACGATCGGGGTTGTATCAGTTCACGCCCCTCGTGCACACTCTCCACGCATTACGCGCAGCGGCGGCGCCCAGCGTGATCGACATCAACGCAAGACAGAGCACGAACGCAGTGCCGCGATCAACGCGGCAATCGAGGACGGCGACGAGTTCCTGGCCGCCCTGCTGGAAGTATAGGTTGATGCAGTAGATCTGCACCTGCGAGACGGCCAAGGATACTCAGCTATCGACTATGCCGTTCGGAATAATGGTGAATACCTCTTTAATGGCGAATACCTGCGTAAGTGCTTGTTTAAATGGCCAGAAGTCATAGACATAGATCAAGTGACGGACCAGGAATTCAGGCAACAGATTCTGGACGCGCAAGCACGACGAAAGGGAAATGAGGGTAGTCGGTTTCGCAAGTTCACATTGATTGGAGCACGTTGAGCTGCATGCTCAGTTCTACAGAAAAATAAAAGAAGCTACTGTTAGTAACGGCTGTTGTATCAAACATTCACAAAAGCTTAGGTCATAAGCCAAGTCCAGGACGCGCGTATGATATGCACTATGATTACATGGACCAGCCGTTCCGGGTACATTATTCTTTGTCACTCATTCTGGCCGAGGCGCCACGACTCACGCCTCGACGGTCCTAATTTGGTGAATGTCGATTAGGTTGTAGACTGGGTCCGATGCGGCGGGGCCAAATCTCGCTGCTCAGTGTGCTGGGTGGGTTTCCTCATCTCCACGACCGCTAGCGTCTCAATAGTGTCAAACCTGGAGCCCGAATCCCCGGATCCGCCCGCGTGGGTCAGATACCCGAGATCTGAAGCAAACCCTGTCCTACGTGGAGCATCACTGCACACCCAATCCACCCAGAGAAACCAAAAAACTAACCAGGAAGAGGATGGATCAGGAGCTTCTTGTCCGGAATGGCGCGTCCATCGGGGATCCCGGCTCGATGGTGTAGCCAGGATGAATAAATATGCCCGAGACGTCCCCCTGAACTGAGAGACTGCCGCCGACGACATTTCACATCACACTCATTTGGTCCTCTGACGTAACCTTCAACATGCGCTCTGCCCGGTACGTTGTCCTCCTTGGAGGCGCCGCCTGCGTCACGGCCGACATTGTCAGCACCGAGGTCCACTGTGTCACGGCGATTGGGCCAAGCCCAGTCTCCGCCGTGGCGACTGTCTCGTCGACGACGACGCTGACGCTCGGTGACGCCACGACAACAACGGCGGTGACGGACACCATCACGACGGCGCCGACCACCGAGACTGTGACAGAGACGGAGCAGGTCACCGTGACCCAGACCGAGGACACGGTCACCAGCACCTACACCTCGACGAGCACCGAGACGGGTATGACTGCTCGACATATGCATACATGGATGTATTGCCACGTGCGTGGTGCTAACAGGAGCCCGTAACCTACAGAGACGAGCACCGAGACTGTCGTGCAGACCGAGACTCTGACAGAATCTGTCACCGAGACGACGACGACGACATCGACCAGCACAGTGCCTGCGCCAACCAGCTTCCTGCCCATCGCCGATACCCTGGCGGGCTACCCTGCGCAGAAGAGGCGCCACGTCGGCCACCCGCGCTGCAAGCCCAAAGTGTCCACCACCAGCAGCACGGCTGCGCCATATCAGACGACCAGCACGTCGTCCGAGGACTGTGGTGTCCAGCCAGTCCCCTCCCAGTACCCCCAGAGCGTGCAGTGCACCGAGACCGTGACGGAGCAGCAGACCCTCACCGAGACCACGACGAGCAGCACCACTGTCACGCCCGCTCCCGTCACCGCCACGTCCACAGAGACCATCACCAGCACCTCGACTGAGGTGCCCCAGGCTGAGGTCACCGAGACCCTCACTGAGACGACCACCAGCACCGTCACCACCACCTCGACCCAGTCCACCACAGTCACCGAGACCCAAACCGAGACGGCTACCGCCTCAGCCGTCGCCTACGCTGCCTGCGCCGCCAACAACCTCCTCTCCAGCTATCAGGGAATGTCCATCGTCAACGCCTACAACAACAACAACGGTAACGTCGGCGGCGGCAGCATCTACGACAACGCCCAAGCCGCCTCCGCCTATGACTGCTGCGTCCTGTGCCTGAACACGTCCGGCTGCACCGGCACTGCCTTTCTCGCTCCCAGCCGCTGTGTGCTGCTGCGTAACTCCGCCCGCACCTGCAACGGCCAGAGCAGCAACCCGGCCGTCTTCATCACCGGCAACGGTGCTGGTTACACCCTGTCCAACAGTGCTTGTGGTTACTTCAAGGCCCCTCCGGCATAAATCTGGCACCCAGGTTATTCCAACACACTCTGCTAGCGCCGCCAGCATCCACGGGGCGGTCTGATGCGCGGTTTCACACAGGATAAACTGCCTGCGTGGCTATATTTCCGACGTGCTCCGTCAAAACATCAGGAGGCAAGCGGGTTCAGCCCCAGTAGGACCCGGATAGTGCGCGTGGGCAAAAAGAGGCTTGGATTAAATGAGTATCATCATTATTCTTAGTGTTTGTTGGCCCGCGGATTCTGCCATGTCCTGTCATGGAATAATAGCCCAGAGCAGTCGCACGTGCGAGTATGTACTTTAATTCTACCATTTAATAACTTAGGTTAACGTAATCCACAAGTGGGTGAATCACACAAGTGGATGAATCAGTCCCCCGCCACTTTCGTACAGGCTGTCTTCTTTCCCCCTTTTCTCCACCGATAATTATGGTACGACAATCAAATGAAAGCGATTTAGTTCTCGCGCTAAATGCGCTTCAATCGAACCCAGAATTGAGCGTACGAAAGGCTGCACAGATCTATAATGTATCCTTCTCAACCCTCCAACAACGACAACACGGCCGACCCGCGCAACAAGATATCCGACCACCTTGCCAGAAATTAACCTCGTACGAAGAGGACAGTATCGTACGATATATAATCGACCTACATTCGCGATCGTTTCCACCGCGGTTAAGTAGTGTTCGAGAAATGGCGGATCAACTCCTCCGCGTGCGCGACGCGCCACACGTCGGAACGAACTAGGCCTCAAACTTCGTACGACAACGACCAGAGCTCCGTACGCGTTTTAATCGAAGAATCGACTACCAGAGAGTCCTCTACGAAGATCCAGACGCGTATCGCACGTGGTTTAAGCTCGTACAAAACATAATCGCGAAATACAGGATCCACGATAACGACATCTATAACTTCGACGAAACGGGCTTCGCGATAGGTAAAATCTCCGCCGAAACTGTCGTTACAACCTCCGATCGACGTAGGAAGCCAAGAGCTGTACAACAAGGGAATCAGGAATAGGTTACAGTAATCCAGGGTATCACGTCGTACAGCTATTCAATCCCGCCGTACATCATCTTCGCCGGGAAGGTCCACCTCGACTCCTGGACCGCAAATAGCCCCCTACCGCCCGACTAGGTAATCGCGCTTTCAGAGAACGGTTAGACGACGAACGAGAGAGGCTTAGAATAGGTAAAACACTTCGATTTCCATACGAAGAGTCGTACGAAGGGTACCTACCGCCTCCTTATCCTCGACGGCCACGAGAGCTACCATTCGGTCGATTTCGAGCTCTACTGTAAGGAACAGAACATTATGACGCTCTATATGCCTGCTCACTCGTCGCATAAGCTCCAGCCTCTCAATGTTAGGTGCTTTAGACCTCTGAAACGGGCGTACGGTAAAGAAATCGAAGGTCTAATACGGGCGCACGTAACCCACGTTTCAAAGGAGGACTTCCTCCCAGCCTTTTATAAGGCGTACAACGCTGCAATAACTAAATCAAACATCCAGGCAGGCTTTAGAGCGACAGGCCTAATACCGTACGACCCGAATTATATGATTTCACAGCTAGATATGAAGTTTCATACGCCGACACCGCTAGGTTCCTCTGCTAGACTACCACCCCCATAGGTTTCAAAGACGCCGAACAACCCAATTAAGACCGAATCGCAGACGAAGTATATTGAAAATCGCATCGTACGACACCAGAATAGCTCACCGTCGTCTATTATTGAAAGCGTACAGCAGCTAAGAAAAGGAGTTATAATAATGGTACACGAGCAGGACCTTATACGCCAAGAGCTCGCCGAACTTCGAGATACAAACGACCGCCTCAGCCGCCGTTGTCGTACGAAAAGAAAGCAGCTACAGAAAGGAGGGTCCCTCACGATTAATCAGGCAAAGGATTTAAAGGCTCAAATCGATGCGACGCAGCAGTTAATAGCGGAAACGAGTCAGAAGAGTGGTCGTACGAGGAGGCCCGAAACGCGCGCGCGACGATGTGGCGTCTACGGCGAGCCCGGGCATAATGCTCGTACGTGTCAGAAAGTTATATCTGCCTCTGAAGAAGAGGATTCCGAATAGTTTGAATTGATTTGAGGCGTTATGGTTGAATTAACTTATATATTGTCGTACGAGTACCCGATAACTGATTCACCCACTTGTGGATTACGTTATTTATTTTGGCGCCCTTCGTTATATATATATAAACACACTTATAGCCCAGTACAACTACTACTTAGTGTTTCCAAGAAAGGGCGAAACCAGGGTGATTATCTCCTGCGAGCTCGACGGGGTTCATTGAAGCCTGGGCGGGCGGCGGTCCCGAATGATCATTCTTGTAGTTGTATGCCGCCGAGGGATTCGTGCCGTCCAGGAAAGCTTGCTGATTCCATGGATTAGGATTGTATTGGTATGGAGGGCCGTAGGCATTGTACGCGGGTGATGTAGTCATGGACCTTAAAGTTCCTCCAGCACTGGATTGATCATGACTTGGATAACCGTACGCTGGTGGAGCCTGTTGCTGCTGCTCTTTGCCTCTCTGGCGGTATTTCCAGAACGCGAAACCGGCTGCGATAAGGAGCAGTGCTCCTCCAATGCCTCCGCCAATACCACCGGCAAGCGCAGCTGTATTCGATGCCGCCGAGTTGTTCGCATCGGTCGGGACAGACGCTGTGGGTACTACTGTCGAAGGGCCGGTCAGTGTGCCCGTGCCAGATGGACCCGCCGTTGGAACCGTTGTCGCCAGTGTGGCACTGGTCGACAGCGACGCTGCCCGGGTGAGGTTGAAGTAGTGTGAGAAGAACTTGGGCGAGCCGATATCGTCGCATTCGTAGGCAATGAGGAACGCCACGTTGGTGAGCTCGACGTCGATATCGCCAATGTTGCCATCCCAGTAATGCAGAGTGGTGGAATTGCCTGCGTTGTTCGGCTCGCAGTCTTAAGGCAGTCAGCTTTTAGCCGGCTCGAGTCTCTCTTCAAATGAGCGTACCTCTAATTAGGTGAAACTTGGCAAGCGCCGGACTCTGCTCCTGGTACATGTAGATGGTGGTCGATGCCATGGAAGTGATGAATGTGAAGGGACGACTTTGCGGTTTTCCGTATTCAATGTTGGGATTCTCGTAGAAAGCTGTGCCGTCTAGGTTCGCCGGTGGGCCTGGGAGAGGGGGCCAGATGAAGCGATTGCTGTAGTCGACAGGCTTTGTGCTCTGTCCGGAGATGAGCTGCACCAGGCAGTAAAAGCAAATCAAGAAGGGAAAGGCCATTGTGTCTGCACAATGCTGAGGTTGAGCGCCGGAGGATGCGATCAGGGCGAAAGACAATATGCCCCGACTGTGCGGGCGAGCACGAGTAGCACTTGAGTCGCAGAACACTGGTCGAAGTTGGGATGAACGAGTCACGTCTAACAACAGGCAAAAAGAGCGTGTACTACGCAGCACCACAAGAGATAAAGGGACACGGTCAACGGCACAGCAGGACCGAAGGAAGGCGACCAACATCAGCCGCCCTGAAAATAGCCTCGTTGGAAGAGCCAATAACCACCCCCTCGGGAACATGCGCCCTCTGACGTGGTCGAATGCCCAGACCGCGGGCCTCATCTCACCCCTTGGTGGTCAGCAGCCCGTGCCAGGGGTAAGTCCGCTTTGTTGGTTGTGCAACAGGAGACCTTGCGAGGAGCCCCTGCAGCAACCCGGAGGCAATAAGTTGAGGAGAGCTGTATGCTGCTGCACCTGCAGGAAGAGCATGTAGCTGTGGCAAGATTGACCTTCTCTTACGGGTTGTTTGTTCTCGACGTGATTTCTTTTTATTGAACAAAAAGCGGTCCCGGGATGGTTCCATAAGCCATATCCACAAGGCTTGCTTCGTCGCAAATTCCTCAACGACCCCATGATAAACCGTTCCAGCATCACAATGAATTGTGTGTTTTTTCAACGGGTCGTGGAGCCTTGCCTGGCGTGGAAGGTTTGCGCACGCACGGATGGCCTCCCTGGTCAACTTACCAAGCGTGTAGCTGTCTTGTGTCATCCCCAAAAGGCAGACTCGGTCTCAGATCCCTGCCCTCGGGCCGAGTGCAGGGGGTCAGCCTTGCTCGATTACTCGCCAACCCCAGCCGTCCAGAGTGTTGGTTGTTGTTGGTTGCAAGCGCCGGCCAGGAGTCGTGCACTGCTATTGGACGAGCTGCTTCGTCCAGCGGCAACTGGAGCTGGCGGGTTATCTTTTGCAAGTGATTGGTCGCCTGCATCATGGGAGTCGCTGTTGGTGACCTCACCCCTTGTCATTTTGTCAGTCAGCTCATGCGGCCGAGCCGTGTTGGTTCGACTTGATTTTGTTTGAAATGAGAGCCTGCTTCTGTTTTTTGTTCTCCTTCACGCCGCTTGTCATGTTCACCATCGTCCTCGCCGCCGCCGCAATTTGTCCCTCTCCTCACCACAACGGACGAAAATGGCTGCACACGCCCTGACGCCGCGAGTTCGGCCTAGAGTCATGTTCCTCACGCTCATTGCCACCCTGCTGGCGCTGACGATGCTGGCCGTCATGCGGGGCTCTTACACTGAATCTCCCTCAGCCCTACTCGCGTCGCTGGGGTTTGCCACGGCAGCCTCACACACCATTGCCACGCCCAGCAGCCCACGAGAAGCTGCGGCAAACACGACCTTGGGCGTACGTCACTACTGCACGCTTGCCAAAACGTTTGTAATCCTCCGCTAACGATGTTGCAACCCAGTTTGCGCAACTGCTTGCCCTGTCAGCGGGACCGTCATGGCGCACCCGTGGTCTTGCAGCCGCGGCAGACCTCGTCGGCCTCGACATCACCATCCCAAGCCAACCCCCCATCACCGACGAGGCGATTGCCAATTTCCAAGCCGTGGCCAAGAGCAGAAACCAAAAGGGCCCCGAATACGGCTCTGCGAAAGCCTGGCTCGCACACCTCGACCTCCTGCGCTACGTCGTGGCATCGGGCTGGGAGACCGCCTTCATCCTCGAGGACGACGTCGACTTTGACATTGCAATCAGGGACCAGATGCAGCTCATCTCGGACAACGTGCGCACCTACACGACCACACCAGGCGACAACACCGCGCCGTACGGGAGCGGCTGGGACGTCCTCTGGGTCGGCCATTGCGGCTCCTGGATCTTCAAGGAGGTGCTGCCCGACATGCACCTCTTCGCCGACGCCACGCGGATCCCCACGCCGGCCTACGCGGGCTGGTCGAAGCGCTTCCTGCGCGAGTTCCTCGCCGAGGGCACCCGCGCCGTGCACCACAACCACATGTCCGTGTGCACCTTTGGCTACGGCGTGTCCGCCAGGGGGGCCCACAGGCTCATCGAGCTCGCGTCGGCCGACAACGGCGCCGAGGCGTTTGACGTCTCGCTCTCCAACCACTGCAGGGACGCCAAGGTGGACTGCCTGATGGTCAACCCCCAGGTGTTCAACCACTACCAGCCCCCCGCGGAGCTGGGCTACGTGAGCCAGGTGCACTCCGGGGACGGCAAGGGCACGCCCGTGGACGAGAGCGAGTTTGAGCACGTCATGGGCTCGACGGCCAACATTGTCAACAGCGCGCGGTGCCAGGCGCTATTTGGGGAGTCGTGTGTGGCGCCGCCGAGGGAGATGTGAGGGGGCTTTTCTTTCTTTTTTGGCCTACTTTGGTTGTATGGGATTTTGGCAAGCGTGGAGTCGGCGTTTGAGCTTTTTACAATTTTGAGAAGATTAATGAAATGCAAATGATTCTAAACCCCCCCTTAGGTTGATCACCCACAGCCCTTTTTGCCAAGAGGGAGCAATCGTCTCTTTTAAACACCTCTGAATGCGTGTTGCTGCTATGATTCTAACATCCAGATTTATGGTCTACTTCTAGCCTCCCCTGTCTTCTAATAGCTTAGAAGAGCACTTTATTTGCAACGACTCTACTTGCTTGCCCGAGACTGTGGCTGCTTTGAGTGATGACTGGAGAGAGAAGGACAAATCTACTAAGCACACAGACATATCACCACCAGCCCTAGCGGGAAAGGGCTTCCAGCACAGAGGAATGTGATATAAATCTTGCGATGTTCTATATACAAAACTTCTAAGGGGACTATAAACATGACAGAGTACCAACAATGGAAATGCAGATGAAGGCAACCCAAGCCAAGAGAAGCAACGCCAGAATCCACGATGCTCCTCGTAAAGCCCTTCTTACCACGCAGCAGATGATGAAGAAGGATGGGTGTTGTAATGAAAAAGTGGAGCTCTAAGAGGCAGCAGACTGTCCAAGCCTACAAGCCACAAAACATGCGTGCCGGTGCGGCAACACGCTCGACAGGCAAGGCGGAGAGAATCGCTTAAAAGGCAGCAATGGCGGTGGGCGCGGCACGCTTGAGGAGGGTGGTCGGGGGGCCGGTGGTGGCGGCGGCCGGGCCCGTAATGGTCTCGTAGACGGTGCGCTTGCCGGCCTGGCCGAGGGGCTCGCAGGAGGCGATGACCTTGGAGGCGTCGACGGACTTTGTGGAGCCGCTGACGGGGATGCGGTACTCGTTGCCGTCGTTGTCGATGAGGACAAAGTCGCCGGTCCAGGAGACGTCGACGTTGCCCTTGTAGTAGGACGCGGTGCAGCGGCGCTGCGAGGCCTCGTCGGTGACGTTGACGGCGATGGACCAGGTCAGTGTGTCGGTGGTGGTCTCGGTCTCGCCGCGCTCGACGGTGCCGCTGATGGTCCACTCGGCGCTGACACTGATCTCGGCGACCTCGGGGACCCCGGCCTTGAAGGTCGTGCCGATGCTGAGCGAGTTGGTGATGGAGTATGTGAAGGTGCTCGACTTGGTGAAGGTCTGTGTGCCGGTGAAGGTATAGGTGTACTGGGAGCCCTGATAGAGGACGTCGGACTGCTTGATGGTCTCGAGCTCGAACCCCGAGCCAATGTCAAAGTCGGCGTACTTGATGTTGTCAAAGTAGCGCTGCTTGAGGCCCTTGATGAAGATGGCCGCCAGCTGGTCAATGTCGGAGCCGGCACGGCCGCCGAAACCGATCAGGATGCCCGAGCCGACGTCGATGGGGTACTCCTGCTGGCCCTTTGTGTCCTTGCCAAAGTCGAACTCGCCCTTGTCAGTGGTGAACTTGATGCGGCCGGTGCGCTTGCCCTTGCCGTCGCCCCAGAGGGACATGGACTTGACGACCTCGCCGGCCTCGAACGCGTGCTCGTCCCAGTCGCCCAGCTCGCTGCCAATCACCTTCTCGGTGTTGTCAGTGTAGAAGAGCTTGATGCCGCGCAGGTAGATGTCGTCCTTGGTCGACTTGTACACGCGCAGCTTGGAAACGACCTGGCCCTCCTCAGCCACAGCCGTGAAGGGATCACCGCCTTCGCCGCCAATGTAGTACTGGTTCTGCCAGATCCCGCTGGACCAGCTGGCCGCGCTCGCGAGGGAGCACAAGAGTGGAATGGTGGCGTACCACTTCATGATGAAGCGTGAGTTTGAAGTGTTTGACAAAATTGGTGCTGTGAAAGGGAAGGAGATGCAGCGACGCGGTCGTTGCTGAGATGATGCGGTTGCGAGGATGAAACCCAAAGGAAAAACCTAGGAAAGAGGACAGAAGGAGATGAGACTGCTGTTGTTGAAGCTGATGAGAAGAAGTGATTGATGGTGAAGAGCAACGGGCATGGCTTTGGTATTTGTACACGTTCTGGTCGCGGCGGGAGTCTCAACCTCAGTACGCGAAGAGAGCAGCAGTGGGCCGATGCTGCTATCCTTGGCATCGCAGGCTTTCGTTTTTGGAATTCGAGCGATGCTATTCAGAGGACCCCCTTCCTATTCCAGGATGCAGCACTCCATTGCGGCTAGCGCCGCCCTGCAGAGGGACGATCCCTGGGTGAAGGCTCCTCGTTCGGTGGGCGTCTAGGTGCAACAAATCAGTCAAATGGGGTTGCCGACGCAGGGGTTCAGGGTCTGACGGCTCATTCGGTGGCGCACGTGGAGGTGGCGGGCAGGAAGGATTGCGCCACTAGACAGAAGCATGGGTCCCAGCGCAGATCCCACGTTTTGTTTTAAGTGGCATTCCAAATCGACACTAGATACACTGCTTGCATCGCGGGGTGGAGATGGGTCCTATGACGAAAGGACGTTACCCGTAGGGCTATTCTTGGCGTCGTATGGATGTCACGGCATCACTGATCGGCCCTGCAGCTGGCCGAGATGCCGCACGACGAAACAATGAAGTGGTGAGATGATTCTTGGAAAGGCGAGGGCTCCTCCAAGAATGACCCTGGAATCTAGCCTTGCAATGGAGCTTCGGCATGGCTGGGCCGTAGCACCGACTTCTGGTGCTGCCATTGCGGCCATCGGTGCCTCGTGCAAGGGCGGGCATCATTGACGATGTCAAAGTGGTGCCCGCCTCGTGGTCCACATACCATCATCTAAACCTGTGTGCCGATGTCCCGATCCGGCTTCCTTGTGTTCATAAGAACGAAACAAGACAACAGCGCTAGTGCTTGGAAGAAACAAGCCGTCAATCCATCGTGGCTTTGTCTTTGTCGGCCGCCCCCACCCCGTGCGACGGGCCCTGACTTTGGCGCGCTCTCGGGTTTCGTCATCGACAAGCTTGTGGGGCGTCTGTTCCCCGATGCAGCGCTGATTGGGCAGCCCTATTCCAGGGCTATTTTTAGGATTGTCTTTGGTCCGCTCGTTTGGAGCTTGATGGATGGATGGAGCCAGGATCAAGGAAGCAGGCGAGAACAATGCAAATACATGGATTCTAGGTTTGCAGTAGGGCATGATCGACGGCCCCGGCCTGTTAAGGTCACCGAGGACCTGGCCTAGGGCGGTAGCGTGCTTGCCTGCAGCTTACTAACAAGCCTGACCCAGGGGCGACACTTTGCACTCGCCATGTCGTCAGGGACATTAACGAGATGTTCATGGCTGGCGGCTGCGTGATGCACACGCATCATGTGCCTCGTTGCCGGAGGTAGAGAGGGACCATGGCCAAACTACTGGAGAAGGCGCGACATGATGTTCTGAATAAGGTATTTGTGCACATGGTCCGAACAGCCTGAACAGCGGCTGCCGTCACACTTTGTGCCTCGGAAGAAGCCGTCTTTTCCTCCTTGGAGGAGCCCGAACAGACAGTGACCGCAGTTGTCTGTCGTTTAGTCGGCCAGGCGACCGCCACGGCGTGACGCGCAAGATGCTGCGAGATGCTGCACATTACATACTCACAAATATACACAGCCTGACGGCCTATCTTCCTGATCGCATGTGCGATTTGCGATGACAATGTAGACTGTCGCACGACGCAAGCAGCCAATGGGTGTGCTTTGTCATCCGGGCGCCAGCGAATCAGCAATGCGCTCGCAGTGGCAGCTCGACCCCGCACCACCACGCCCGGGTGCGCTTCCCGCCCCCGACGCGACATCGCCGACCTCACCCGTCCCTTCCATTCCCATACCTACCCCAGAGCCTCGCCCGTGGCAGCCTCAGGCATCTCTCCCTCCCCGCCCTAACCAGCCCTCCGCCACCTCTGCCAACCCATTGCCAGTCCCATCCCCGGTGCGCAAGTCCTAGACACTCCGCTGCCCGCCCGCCATGCGCCCTGGCACCCTCGCACGCCTGCCCGGGCCTCCCGAGCTGACCGTCGACCCGGACTGCGCCATCTGCCACCTCCCCCCCAACGCAAACTGCGGCTGCGAGGCCAATGCCATGGTCGCCGCCGTCAAGGAGGCAGAGTCCCGCGTCATGAAGCCAGAGTATCGCAAAGTCAGGTATGCCTGCCCTGCCCTGCCCTGCCCTGAGACACACGTGACCTTCGGCACCTCCGGGGTCGTTCAGTCCTGAGTTCCCTCGTCACGACCCGCAGACCGTTAAACTAACGAGCACACCTCCCCGACAACTCCAGAGAATGGGCCCGGCACCGCGCCCAAGACTACGTGCTCCAGTACTTTGGCCTGCTCTCGGAGCGCCGCAAGCAGGACTACCGTGCCCGCGTGGCCGAGCTGACCGACAACGCGCGGCGCTATTACGGCGCCCTCCCGCACCCGAGCGACATGCGCGCAGCCCACGAGCAGCTGCGTCGCGGCATCAACGAGGACTGGAAGGCCAGCGTCACCCGCTACCCCGAGGTGCTCGACTACTTCTTCAGCCTCGTCAAGGTCAGGTACCCCAGCGACTCGGATCCCCGGGTCAGGGACCCGCCGCTGTCCGCGATGAACGGTATTGTGAGGCGGTCAGGGCGGTGACGACGGGGGGCCAGGGAGGGGGTTGTGACTGAGGATGATTTTGTGCGATCATGACGAGCAAAGCACCTTTCTGATGTTCGAGGGGCAGGCGGACGTGCGATTGGGGGCAGCCCGTGGCAGACGAAGCATCAGCCTACCCACATGATACGACGACTTTACGATGGGACTCTGCCCGCATTTTCATGATCTCGTTATTTAGGCGCACCTAGGAGTTTTAAAATGCTTTTGGTATATACATCTCAGCCCAGCTCGCTCGAGTTCTCAAATATGTACATTGCGCCTTGTAATTTTCGCGACAAGCTGAGCCTTGTCATTTTGCAAGTCGGCCTTAACCACCAGTGATAACAAAGCGTCCTCTGGAGAACAGTTGTCTTGCTATGGCAGGGTGACGATATCGGCATGTATCGATGGTATGTGTGCATAGGGACAAGGCCGAAAATGACGCACCCACAGCATCGTCCTGGGCGTTCATGCCTCAGGTCGGCTCGCCAGTCAAGATTGAGGTGCTGAATATACTCGCAAGCGTAGTTCGGTCTGTCGAATTCAAGGTAGCTATTTTGAATTCGCATTCCGTTTCCCATTTGAGTACTCTTCCAAGTCCAATACCACACACTCTGCTGACCAATTGTTGTAGAGCATCCCCGTTGTTCTACTCGCAAATCGATGACCAAGTCCACTGGATCTGCGCCTATATTCTTACCAGCACCATATCTCCCCTGCGGAGAAACACTGCAGAAGCACAGTCAGAGGGCCTGGCACACAGGCTGCAAATTCTCACGTCAGACGCCTCCTGTGCCACACGACACAGCTTTCAGCTCCCCCACCCTGAATGGCATAGATCTCCACAGCGGCAGTTGCAGATAAGCCTCCCCTTGTCCCGCACCTGTCCAAGGTTAAAACAATGGCATTGTCGCACTCAGTATACTACCTTCGCTTGGCCCCCTAGTAAGTCATCATTCTTCGCACGCCCATTGACTCTTCGGCCTCTCCGTTGGTGATCAACTGCACCTATCCTTCCGGGATCGATCTCACACACACACTCTCTCTCTCTCCCTCCTCCTCTACTCCAGCCCTCAATGCCGCGCTCCTCCAAGGTCTCTGAACCTCCCTGCCTCTGCCGGGCGTGGCACACGGACTGCTCGCCCAAGACGTGCCCACAGGCGCAGCACGCCCAGTCCAACTTGCGCCACTACACGATCCGCGAGTTCCGCGGCAGCGCATCCGCGCCCCGAAAATGCCGGACCTGCGCGGCCATCGTGCGCGCCCTGACCACGGTGCCCGAGGTCGTGCAGATCCTGCGCGGCGCCGTGGCCGACCTGGTCAGGCGCGGCGGCAAGGGCATGTGCCCCGGCGCGGATGCCGACTTTGAGGCGATGCTGATCGAGCTCCAGACGCCGACCATTGCGATGGGGGACCGCCGCCGGACCGTGTGCGCGTGCGCCGCCAAGGACGGGTCCCAGAACTGGCGGCACTTTAACGTCTGGCGGGACTATGCGGATGGTAATGACGAGGACCAAGATGCGGCGGCGGGGTGGAAGGGCAAGGGGTGCAGGGCGATCCCGCCGCTCGTCAATCACCCGGTCCGCAGGACGGACGGGCCGGACGCGCTGGAGCAGCTGAAAGGGTGGCTGGCCATCTGCGACGCCGAGCACGGCTGTGTGCCGTCGCAGGGCTCGCGGGCGCCCACGAGGCTGGTCAAGGTCGCCGGCGGGCGGGTGCGCGTCGTCGAGGACGTGGCGGGCGAGCTGGTCCAGTACACCACCCTCAGTCACCGGTGGGGCAACAACGAGCAGTTCACCCTGACCCGCGGGAAGAAAGCAGAGATGATGGAAACGGACATACCGTGGGACTCGATACCCAGGACGTACCGGGACGCCATCGAGGTCACGAGGGGCCTGGGTGTCGACTACATCTGGATTGACACCATGTGCATCGTGCAGGACGACGCCGAGGACTGGCGGCGCGAGAGCGGCCGTATGAAGGCCGTGTATGGTGGCTCGTTTTTGAACATCGCGGCCGTGTGCGCGGCGGGCTCGCATGGCGGTCTTTTCGCGAGCAGCAAGCTCGTTGAGGATTTTGTCACGCACGATGTAGCAGAGGAAGTAGAAGGAGAAGGAGAAGATACAATGCAGGAAGATCAAGGAGACGGAGCAGGAGGAAGCACGGCCACCGTGCTCCAGAAGGGAACCCTGCGCATCCGCCAGCAGCCGCACTTCACACATACCTCGTACGGGAGCAACTACAGGACCAACTCATTCCTCCTCGGCCGCGGCTGGGTCCTCCAGGAGCGCCTGCTGGCCCCGCGCGTTGTGTACTACGATCAGGACGAGCTCAAGTGGGAGTGCTACGGCGGGACGGACTGCCTGTGCGGCGGGATGCTCGTCATCGCCAACTTCAGCACCGAATACCGCGACAGCCTGGGCATGTTCAAGGGCTCGCGGCATAAGAGGGCCCTCGGCGGCGGCGGCGATGAGACAGAGGAGGACGGCAACTCGAAGCCCCTGCCCATACAGTGGATGCGCATCGCGGAGCGGTACTCGCAGGCCCAGCTCTCGTTCGACTCGGACCGCATGATCGCGCTCGCGGGCATCGCCGAGCAGGCCTTGCGCACGGGCAGGGGGGGCAAGTACCTCGCGGGCCACTGGGAAAAGGACCTCGCGCACCAGCTGTGCTGGGAGGTGCGTGGCACGCACCGCCGGCCGGCGTCCATGTACATTGCGCCGACGTGGTCGTGGATGTCCATCTTTGGGTCCATCGGGTTCTCAAACAGGATGGACTATCAGTGCTGGGGGTCGACCATATCCGCGCGGATCACGCAAGCAGAGTGTGTCCTGGCCGACGAGTCGAGGGAGACGGGTCCCGTGACGGACGGGTTCATCAGGGTCGACGGCAAAGTCGTCGAGTTTGACGCCCGGATGACCGATGCTGGGTCTGCCTCTGTGCCGCAGACCTTTGGCCTTACGCACAGACAGAGCGAGACGATGCTGAAATATGGCATCGAGGTGGACTACATCATGAGTGAGAAACAGGTCAGCACGGTGGACAAGCTCTTCTTCCTGTACTGGGGGCAGATGTGGCCACACAGGGAGACCTTTCTCGTGCTCCGCCGAGCTGAGGATGGAAAGAAACATCCGGGCAAGTTCGAGAGGATTGGTATCATATGGTATGAGGGAGATTCTGGCCAACACGAGTTCAGCCAGCTCATGGACTGGGCCGAGATGAAAACAGACATTGTTATCGTCTGATCATGTGGAGCGCATTCGAAAAATACTGCTTGGCGCGTGATGGGATATGCGGACAGCCGGGCCCAGCCCCCCTTTTCTTTTTTTGGAAGAGCGCGATACGTGGAATGCTTTGTATTGAAGTTCAAACATTCCAGCCAAGTCCGGTTCATTACATCGTCTGTATCAGGAATGACAATTCGGGCGATCGAGAACAAATGTAAAGTAACGACAATGGAATAAATCGATAGTCTAGGGACGTGGATGATGAAGGCCTGGAAAATAGATGAAATCAGGCCAAGGCTGATGAATTCCTATGTCCAGGGGATTGTGTAGACAAATAAGCCAGGCTTGAGAAGAACTAGAGGTCCGCGCTTGGTTCAACCTTATCTGGATGATCCCCATGCGCATCTGTATAACTTCGGCAGCAGCCCTGCTTGTTACAAGAGTACAACAAATAAGCCCCAAACATGAGACGTAGAGAAATGTCGAGCCAGACACAAACATTATCCAGTACAAGAACATCAACAACGAAAAATAGTCACGTATTACTGGCAATAATCTCGGCCTTCGTCCACAGCTGGCCCTACCGCTTCCCAGCCACGTTATGGTCGGGCATCTCGTACAGATGAACAGGGTGCAGCTCCGCCGTTGGGGCCTCCCTCGACGCCAATTCCGGCCAGCTGTGCTGCTCCCGCTCCTGCTCCTGCAACGGCGATACCTGGCCGTAAGCAGGCGCAGGCGAGCTCGTCATCTCAAGCACCACATCCTTGCCCGTGATATGAGAGCTGACTGCCTCGTAGGGACCAACACCCGCTGTCTGGCCCGCATAGAGTGTGCTCCCGTCATGGCTCATGGACGGCGCAGACGAATTCTGTCCGTGGGTCTGTTGTCGGGGCTGGCCTTGGTGGAGTTGTTCGTACTGGTGCGTGATCTCATTCGCCGCCTTCATCTTCCGCCGTCCGAGAAGGAACATGGCGAGCCCGGCGATGGCGAGGAGGGCCGCGACCGCAATACCTGCGCCGATCCCAGCTTTGGCGGCTGTGGACATGTCGGCACCGTCGGTCGTTGCCAAGGGTGCGGGGCTTTCTTGGCCGTTGCCTGGGGCCGGTGTAGACATGGAGGTGGGTATTGATGTTGGGGTCGTGTCTGTCAATGGTCAGTTTTCCGTCGCGGCAAGCTCTCGGTAGTGGGTGGCTGGCTCCAAAAGTCGGCCATGTTCGTGAAATGGGAGAACCGGGGGTTGGGACTTACTACCGCCTGCGACTGTGCCCGTGCTTGTGCTCGTGGTCGTGGTCGCACCCGCCGTGGAGGACGTGACTGGCAGACCATTGTTCGCCAGCTTCCACTTTATGCTGTTGAAACTTTTCTCTTTTTCGGCGCTCAGCATGAACCAGCAGCCTTCTATGTTTTTGAGGTCAAGTGTGACCGCCTTTGTGCCGTTGAATGAGGGCACGTCGGCGCTGCTCTGGTACTTCACTGCAGCGGACCGCACAAGGATCGATTAGCACATCCCCGAATAGCAACATGTTCTCGGCTTGCTGGACGGGGAACAGGACCAGGCCGAAGAGAAGACTGAGGGCTGCTTACTGAGGATGTCATCATCACCTGGCGCAACACACCACATTGTTAATGTGGGGTTGGTAAAGTTGGACTGCCACTTGGCTTGGATCGCATCGCCGTTGGAAAACACCGCGCCGAGCTCTGGGTAGAGAAACATGTTTTGGAGGTCGGCAGCTCGCACCGCCAGAGACAGCGTCATGGCTGTTAAGACAGCGGAGCACCCGGAGGACAGCATTATCTTAGGAACCGGGTCGAGGATCGGTGCAGTTCAATCAAGGGAAATATCGCGTGCCGAGTTGTGGCGCTGATCGGCTGTTGACAGCTCGTGCGAGTTCGCGCTCTGGGTTGGTGTGCAGGTGATGTGAGTGGGAAAGCTGCAGGACACGGAGGATCGGTAGCTGTGGGAGCTCTGAGGCCATGAAGGTCTCGAGGAACAATCACCGATACAGGTCCACCTTCTTAAGATATTGAGATACAGCCATCCGCCTGGGCGCCAGGATCGCATTCTCTTCGCGGCTTTAAGCTAATAAATTTGTATGCTGACAGTGGCGTGAAAGCAGGGGCCGACCTGCAGTTCGACAAGGGTCGTCCTCGCAGACACAATGCGAAGTCATGATGGCCCCATTGCGGTTCCGCTCCGCGCTTAGGGCTGATACTGTTTCCTGTTTGGGCTAATACTAATTGAGAGATATGGCCCTAACGCCGTGATCTCGGGTGCAGACCGGCAGGCAACGACATGCTGTCATGCAAGGAATTCTTTCCTTTTGCGGCAATTTCAACCCATGCGTACGGAACTTGCCGGCCTTAGCTCCACGATCCGTAGTGCTGTGCCTCAAATCAAATGAGTGCCGCCAGGGACGGACAAGTTGGCGAACAAACCGGCCCCGAAGCCCCTTTTCAAGAGCGCTGCACATTGCTCTGAGAACAGAATGGCCCAACCCGAGCTGACGAACAGATTCAAGCATAACTGCGATTGTGTCTGAGCTTAACAGGTGAAGACCTCGATCGTGCCTGGTGCAGCATTAAGCGGCTCCTGCATAGGCCCGCGATCACTTCCTAAATTATTGAGGCACGTCGCCTCCGTTGGCCGACGAGGCATCGCGCTTCTTGAGCGTCGTCCGAAACCAAGGCTGAGCCAGAGGGACCCCCCCCCCTGGCTACAACTGGGGCCGTGGATAGATGCGAAGACCTGGCCCGCACCATGGCTCCACCAGTGTGCTATATATATATATATATATCCTTTGCCTTGGCCGCTCGAGATGCTCCGCCTCCCTTGCTCTGCCAATTTGCCCCAGGCCAGGATACCCCACTGAAGGATGATTCACCTGTTTCATCCAGCCCGAAGAGGCATTGAATTATTTCAGCATGATCAGACGACTAGAATGAGTGTGTCGAGTTCGATAAAATGAGCTGGTCTCAGTGCTCGATGTGCCTTCGATGACCTTCAATGGACGATCCAGATTGATCACCGTCCGGATGTTCAAAACCACAGAGCAGGAGCCCTGAGCCGGACGGTGCAGGTATTCTGATGTTCCCGACCTTAAATAAGCCTGTCGGTCCTTCACGTTTCCCTTGGTTTTGTCCGAACATCATCGATTCTACTGCCACTCCTTCTATTTTTGAGAAAGAAACCCACAGTGTATTGCCTATCATTTCAATCATGGTACGGGTCGCAGAGGCACCATGAACGATATCTAGAGCTGTCGTGTCGCTGCTCGCATGTTGAGAGTGCAAGTTCATATTACTAAATCCTCGCATAATAACGCCCCTGAACGCTGAGCACGTCCCACTGGTGGTGCCAATAGCGTCCCGACAGTCTTGGTCGGTCACTAGCAATGTTTTCGAGAGCGGGTGGCAAGCACCATCCGAGTTTCTTTTACGCACGTAAATCAAAAATTAGCATTCGCCGGCACTGATAGGCGCATTGTTTTGACAGACTTCCATACAGGTTCAAGCGAGAACGCACTGTCTGTGCTGTTGGTTTTGGTTAGCATTCTCAGCTAGCTTAAGTGGCTTAAATGGAGTGGTCGGTACCCTTCTGAGGTGAACGGCGCTTCGGGAATACTAGCCCCATCCTGACATTGTTCTAGCCCAGGAAGGCACACCCCCTGCATGAACCTATCCACTATCTCCATTCGGCATATAAAAATCTACACTAGATGGTCTCAGTCATTGCGCCCTCCCTCATACGTCGAACCATTGTAGACGTATCGTTCCTGCTTCTCTTCACTTCGTCTCGGCACTAAATCTTAAATCAACTTTAGCTATCGTTATGACCAAAGGTATACGGCTAATATAGCTAGATTCGCACGGTATCAACTGCCTTCGCAATTGGTGGAACGAAGAAAGAAAGTAGGCAGTGCCTCTGACAGTTTGTCTCATTGTCATCGTCTCATATTGACTCTTCGTCTGTGGAGCAAGTACCCACTTAGCCAGGCCATGCAGCCAGGTATTTTGGGATCTTGAATACCAGCTCAAGGCGTTTCATTCAATGGTTTGTGCCTGGATGAGTGCTTGAAATAGAGTTTTCCCGTCATATTCGTAATTGTCGCAAGTCTGTGCATCTCGACGAAGGTATTCTATTGTTCTCGGGCTGCATCAGCACTCTACGTAGCTATGGTGGAGAACAGCAGCACCTATGGCCGCCACGTTCAAGCTTCCAACAATATCCTTGCTGATCGATTCGACCCGATAAGATATGTCTTTTACCCAGGGAAAGTTGAAAAGAAAATCCCTGATTGTTGCACTTGATTCTGTAACCTCGGTGTAACGTTCCGTTGGTGGGTCAATGATCGTCGTAGTTCAACCGGGTCCGTCTTGGTTTCTCCAACGCTCTGCATAGACGTTATCTCCACAATAATTGTTGGCTAAATGCTATCAGTCACGGCCCCGCGTTCAGAGTCGTACTGGAACTGCCGATCCCTGTAGACTAAGATATACGCCGGAACTTTAGAGATAAGCGAGCATCGTGACTGCGAAATGAGTATATAATACGAGCCATTTTGGCAAACGCCGCAATTTTTCTGAGTACACGTCAAGTCATTAACGACTTGTCTCCATCAGTATGATCCTTTTCGCCTCCGCTGTGGTAAGACTTCAACTCCTCGCAGTGCCGATCTGGGCTGCGTATCTGAGCGGGCTTCCAACTATTCCTTTCGAGCATCAAGGTTCTCCAGACAGAGCTAGTCTCTGGCTCGATCTGAACAGGATCCGCAGCATTGTGGTGGATGAGAAACATGCCGACACCACCGACGAGACGGGCTGGACGCTCATCCCACCAACTCTCCACGACTTTGCTCAGACTTTTGCAAGCGACTTCGGCAGAGAAATTGGAATACAGCTGGGGCCGTCGAGCTGCGCGGATGCGATATATATGACTGTCGGGAACCACAGCAGCTTCACCGATGCAGCTGGCCGGTGGACTTCTGAAGCATACAGAATTGAGATCACCGATGACAAGGTCATAGTCGAAGGCGCCAGCCCTCTGGGGGCCTGGTGGGCAACCAGGTCGATCCTTCAGCAAGCGATTCTAAACGATGGTAAACTGCCCCTGGGCGTGGCCATCGACAGCCCGGGCTGGGGAACTCGAGGTTATCATGTGAGTGTTTTTCGTCAAGATGTCATCTGGTGATCCGAAGCTCGACGATGGTAGGGCTGATGATCAAAAATAGCTGGATGTCGGCCGTCACTATTACCCCACATCATTCCTGACCGAGATGTGTAACTGGATGTCCTTTTACAAGCAAAACACTTTTCACATCCACATGTCAGACAACTTGTACAACAACGTCAGAATCTACTCCCTAGAACGGCAAATGGAGTTATACGCTGCCTTTCGGCCATGGTCTGACGATCCTGCTTTGGATGGTCTGAACAAGCGCCAGAACGAGTCATATACCAGAGAGCAGTTTGACAAGTTACAGCGCAGCTGCGCCGCAAGAGGAGTGACCATCATTCCGGAGATCGAGGCACCTGGACATGCTTTGGTCATCAGCCAGTGGAAACCAGAGCTGGCCATTGATACGAGTATCGACTTGCTCAACATCTCGTATCCGGACACTATACCTACGATGAAGACGATCTGGAAGACCTTATTGCCATGGTTCCACTCCAAGGTTGTGCATATTGGTGGGTATACATCGGTTCCCGAGGAAGTGCATATGCTGACTTTGATCCTAAGGTGCGGATGAATATGTCGATCCTGTCCTTACTAAGGAGTGAGTGGTTGCTGTCTCCAAAGACAAAAAACACTTGCTGACATGATCTAGCGCCCTCGTCTCATACTACAATGACTTTGTGATCACCCTGAATGACTTCATTCAAGAAGAGTCGGGCAAGCAGATTCGTATCTGGGTACATACGAAGCCATGATCCCACTCCAAACACCTCCCCACTGACACTCTGAGAATAGGGAACTTTCCCACCGAAAGACAACTACACAAACAACATCCCTCAAGACGTCGCCATTCAGCACTGGGCGCAATTTGAGGACAACCCATACTTTGACTACATGTAAGCGTCTCCCTCACGGCTCTTCTTTGAATCACAAACTGACGTGCGATCGCAAAGTGAAAACGGATACAACGTTATCAACTCTGACGACTCCTTCTACATTGTCCAAAAGTACTCCGTGCCCTACCCGCAGCAGCTCAACAAGACTCGCATATTCCACGGCAATCCCGGGGACGGCGGCCCGTGGTCTCCAAACATCTTTGATGTCAACAATGCTACCAACAATCCACCGCGCACCTCTCCCTTTGTCCTAGGCCACCTCGCTGCGCAGTGGAACGACTATGGACCAAACACTTCTACCTACCTCGAAGCCTACCACCCCTGGCGATACTATGGCGCAGCACTGGCTGACAAGCAATGGGGCGGGGACATCACCGAGGAGGAGTACGATTTGGTCTTCCCGATTCTCCAGGCGGCAGCGCCTGCCCAGAACCTCGATCGTAGCTTGAAGTCCCAGGGATCTACGATACTGGAATATAAGTTTGCCGATGGTTTCGCGAAGCCCGCAGCACGCGGTGTGGATGTCAAGAGGGCTTCTGAAGTCGCCGTCGAGGACTTATCAGGCAACGCCTACCACGCAACAACATCCTGCGGTTTCTCAGCGGTCGACGATGGTCATCACACTCCAGCCCTTAGCATCACGAATGAATGTAGTGTAAACACACCTCTGACGTCAAAGGGCAACGACTACACCTTGTCCTTCGCCATCAGACAACTCCCATCATCTAAACCGGGACCGATCTTTACCGGACCAGACAGCGAGCTGTGGTCTGGCAACGGAACCTCGACGCAGATCATGGTTGTATCTGCGGGGAACGCCTTTGCGCTGAATTACAGCCTCCCAGTCGGGGAGTGGGTCAATGCGAGCTTGATTGGCCGCGGCAACCAGACTTTCTTCTCGGTCGCGACGCAGGACGGCGGGGACGGAGAGGAGATGGAGTTCACGACGACAATTGGGATCAACGGTGAATCTTTTGCCTGAGCGAGGATGGCGTTTGTTGCGCCGCTGCAGGTGATTGGTGGAGGAAACTGGGAGGGGGAGCTGCGGAGCGTCAAGTTGGTTGACCATGCTTGATGCCTGTTGGAAAGAGACACCGGTTGACTGGACTGTGGTAGAGGAGGTCCAAGGGAACAATAGCATTCTCCGCTAGGTATGAAGCATAAGCATGCTTCATAGAAGTCTTAATGCAGGCTTTTCCTTTTGGTTTCCATGCACCGTTGCAGGACTGATGTCGACATCAGATTCTGCCTCAATTCTAAAAGACTAGGCGTGGATGATTTGTACCGCGGTTTGAGCAATCCCATCAAATTCGTCTGATATCCAATGTCCTCCACGTTGCCGACAGCGATGTAGGCGGGAAATACCAGTACTACGGAAAAGCCACGGAGCAAGCCGTGGAAGTGACCTTCGAATCAACTCGTCCCTGGGCCAACTGTGTCTTGGAGTTTGAGTTTGGACCGGATGCCATCTCTACAGCTGCCACATCGCTGCAAGACAACCGAGGAAAGGGTGGAAGCGCTTATGGCGTCAGAGATTGTGAGTACTTTCAGGAGGGTTGCGATGACGCCGCTCGTCGAAACTCAAAAGGCACTATCCAGCTCGGAAAGCACGAAGACGGTGGAGCGTGACAGGGCCAACCAAGGCATTGCAGACTGCTCATAGGTTTAGCGAGTGAGGTGATGCCTTTATCGTACGAGGCGCAATGAACATGAGCACGGCTCGAAGTTTATCCATCGAGCCTGGCCCGAGCATTCTGCATTTGATCTCCACCATTCCGGGAGATCCGGATAGAAGTTGTCGTCCTCAGCTTGGGGCAGACAACCAAATCTAGATGCCACGCCGCAAGTCTGTATGATCCTGACACTGCTGGCCCACGTTCTAGGCTGCTGTGGGGCATATCAGGCTCAGCTGCTTCGACAGAAGACAGAGTTCTCGCTTCACGAAGGACGCCTCTCTTCGGGAAGTGGAGGAAACGATGGCGTCCAGCGTCCGGGGGTTGGTCCCAATGTGGGGCGGCTTCCCCGTGGGGTAGACAGGGATGCGTTGGAGCCGATGCGGCGGGCCCGGTGGGGGAGGCGTCCCCCTTCCCAGCCGCTGCATTCGCCTCCAACGCCATAAAGCACGCGACGATCCTGCCGGCACTTCGTACCGTCGCTCAGGCTCGCAAATTCGCGTCGCGGCTGTTGAGCGACGACTCGATCGACGACCGAAGCACATAATCTGTGGCTTGAGACGACGTCCAGCATCATCTTTACCATGGCCGACAACAAGCCCGCCGCCATCGACACGATGGACCACATCGACGACGCGCGAAGCGGTAGCGCCAACGACCACCCTGAGAAGCCCGCGTCTACTGGCCAGGCCTCCCATGTCGCTGGCGATGCCCTCCTGCTCGACAAGCAGGGCAACATCCGCCATCTCCCAATTCCTAGTAACGACCCCAATGACCCTCTCAACTTCAAAACGTGGGAGAAGGCGGCTGTGATATTCTGCTGCTGCTGGTTCTGTGAGTAGCCACGTCTGACGGTCGGACCATGGGTTAATCAATGACTGACGGGTGACAATGCGGCGATACAGCGTGTATGAGTCTGGCTCTGGTAGGAGGTCTGGGACCAATCCTGGGCGTCTTCTTTGGCATGTACGCTCCTCAAGGCTACAGCCCTAGCCAGATCGTCTATCTTCTTACGATCCCTTCGCTTTGTGTTGGTCTTGGTGAGTTGTGGGCCCCCACCCGTCCGTCGGCAGATTACCAACGCTAATCTCGCGACACCCAGGAAACTACATTGTTCTCCCCCTCGCTCTCGCCTATGGCCGGCGTCCTGTATTTCTCGGCTCTTCTGTCGCGCTCCTTGCATCTACTATCGGCGCTGCGTCGCAGAATTCATACTCGGGTCACCTCGGTGCCAGAATCGTTCAGGGGCTCGCTACCGGCGCAACCGAGTCCGTTCTGCCCCTGATGCTCACGGAGGTCACATTCCTTCACCAACGCAGCCGCGTGTTTGGTTTGTACTGGATGGTGCAAAGTCTTAGTGGCGGTCTGCTCAATATCGCCTCATCGTACATCAACGCCGCGCTCGGCTGGCAGTGGTTCTATTGGGTCTATGTGATCACCATTGCCACCGGCTTCGTCGCTTCCATTTTTGGCGCTTTCGAGACACGCTTTGCCCGTCCTGCCATGAGTGTCGACGGCGTAATTGTCTACACGGATGAGTTTGGCGTCACTCATGTTGTGCCGTCTGACGAAGTGAGTAGCCATCCTGAGCTCCAGGCTCAAGGACTTGCTGGGCTGCCCGACGACGCCCCTTACGACGGTCCTCAGCCCACTTTTAAGAACCGGATCGCGCTTTGGGGCAAGCCTCATCCGACTCCGGGCAAGATCATCCTCAGTTCTTGGGTGCTGATGGTCAAGTGTTTGACCTCACCTGCCATTATCTACGCAATCCTTATCAGCTCCGTTTGTTTAGGTAAGTCATCTATTGATAACAAGTCTTTCAAAAGTTGCAGCAGAGCTCTGGGGGGCAATCGAGTGGGGCGCCGTGAGAAGAAACCAAAAGAGAGAGGAAAAGACTTTGTTCTCTCAAGCCACCAATATGTTTTTCTTTTCGTCCTCGTATCATAACTAACGACTCGCAGCCGTCACAATCGACATGAGTTTGACCTACGACGCCGCTCTTCAGGCCTACGGCTGGGCTGCGGAGTCAATCGGGCTGATCAACATCGCCGCCGTGGTGGGATCTATCCTCGGCTCCGCGTACACCGTTCTTATCGGCGACTGGCTCGTGCTCTGGCTGGCTAAGCGCAACAACGGTGTGCACAAGCCTGAGCACCGCATCATCGTGCTCATTCCTGTCGCCATACTGGGCTTCGCCATGACCCTAGTCTACGCTTTCACCGTACAGGGTGCGTCATCATACTGGGGCCTCGTGCTCTCTAATGGCTTTTATAATATGGCATGGGTTGCCGTCCTCATCATCTCGACGACGTTCGCCGCCGAGGTCTGGCCCAAGCACCCCGGTCCCGCGCTTGTCATGGTCGTTGGCAGCAAGAACATTGTGTCCTTCTGCCTGACTTTTGCCTTCACTCCGATGATGGAGCACGGGGGCATCACTTGGGCCTTCTGTGTTCTTGCGGGAGTCTTTGGGGCATGCTTTGTGCTTGGGTTCCCTGTGTATTTCTTGAACACTAAGTGGCGCAAGGCGGAGAGCAAGAAGGATAATGCCAACGCGACCACTGATTAAGCACGCTTGAGCTGATATGGCTCATCAACCGAGCCAAGTACGCATGATTCTGTCGGCATGGTAGGGAAATCTGGCTCTAGTCACTCGTCTGTTATAAATTTAAACAGTTTGTCACCAGACAGAAGAATAAAACCATTGTTCACACATCTACTTGTTGTATTGCGGATCTTCCTTGAAAACCCCATTGCTTCATTGCATGTGATTGCGCTGTGCAATCTGTGACCCGGCATGTTGGCCTCATTTCAACCCCTGAGCGGCCCCAAGTCGGCAATCATCAGCCGTACCCTGGCTGGTCATTTCGATGTGAATCCGGACTGCATGTCCCGCGATTGGGTGTGCACTCAGTGACCCCGGATTCCGATGTGGAGAAAGCCCGACGGGCAGGGTCGCCTGACTGGGCCAACAAGCCACTGCTGAAGCTCCCAGCGCGTTCATCCCCTCCCCGCCAGGCCAACTCCACGTGCACCTCTTTTGCGGGGAGAGGCCGAACCGAACACTCCCGTTTGAGGAAAGTGGAGTCCGAACCGACTTTTGCTGGGCGGGTGCTGAGGCGGGACACCATAGCAACTCGGTTCACCTGGGGAACCGGTTGACCCCAACTTTGAAGTTTCGAACGGTCAGGACCCCTGAGTGCAGGAGCCTCTTTGTCTGCTTGCTGGACTGAGAACCACGCGCCCGCCCGGGTACGTGTCTTTGTCTCCCTGCGTACTTGTTGAGGGAGGATGGTATAAGAAGCAGGTTCTCCCAGGAGAGGTAGGGCGGGCTTTTGAGTCAAATTAAGCATCTTCAGCTTTGGCAATCATTCCTAAGCAACTCTCTTCCACTTGCAGCACAGCGCTTTCCCATCAGAACACACCAAAATGTCACAAGACGCCATTGCCACACTCGAGGCTCGCGTCGTCGCCGCGGAGCGTCTCGCCGAACGCGTGAGTCCCTTCACGCATCTCTGATTCTACGCCGAGGATGGTCAAAACGACCTGGCCCCGTCTCTCTCTGATGAGATGCTGACTTTGTCCGCCACGGCGATACACAGGCTCACGCCCGCGGCGCGATCGAGAACATCTTCTCCAAGTACATGCACCTGCACAACGTCTTCCGGGACGAGGAGATCAAGCCGCTCTGGGTGAAGCGCGGCACCGAGGGCATCCACGCGCAGTACACAAACGTCGGCGTGTACACGGACTACGAGTCGGTCATGAAGTACCACTCTGGCCGGCCGAGCCCCGTGGGGAAGCTGATCCTGCACATGACTAACACCCCTGTCATCGAGGTCGCCGAGGACGGGCAGACTGCCAAGGGCTTCTGGCTCATGAATGGCCTGGAGAGCGGGACTACGGATCCGAGCAACGTCGGCGCCATGCCCGAGAACCTCTACGAGCCTGTCGAGAAGAACGTCCAGGGCAAGAGAGTGTGGGCGCACTGGGTGTGGTGCCAGTACGCGCTGGACTTCCTGAAGCAGGATGGCGAGTGGAAGATCTGGCATTTCCGGTGCTTGGAGGTCGCGCGGGCGCCGTACAGCGAGAACTGGATCTCATTTGCAGAGAAGAACCAGTTCGCCTTCGACAAGGTATGATTGCCTCCGCCGCCTTGGGAACGTGATTTACTTGGAGGGGATGCTGACAAAGAGTCGACAGGATTTGGCCTACTTCGGAGACGACGGCAAGGCCGTATTCATGCCCCAGGTTGACAAGCCCGCCGAGAGCAGGTCGGACATTTACAGCCCGCATCGGGTACAGAAGCTGGCGGTCAAGCTGCCAGAGCCATACAAGACTTTCACAGATGTTCCGGAATATTGAAGGCAAGGTAACATTTTCATTCAAGTTGATATGACCCGCAGCCGCATCTCGCATACCTGAAAGCGATCTTCGAAATCTAAATAAACATACAAAAGATTCTTGATGTCTTTTACCCTCGCGGCGACACGGTTGCCTCTATAATATGTAAAGTTTAGTTCAAGATTAGGCTTCTTAAGTGCAGAGAATATCTACACCTCATGTATCCTTGTTCGCGATTCGACCTTAAATAGGCTGGGGTTGGTCCCTTCCTGCTCAAGTCCTTAGGCACGCGTCGACGTCGGAGCAGCTGCAACCAGAGCGAGCCGGCTCTTACAAGCCGAGCAACACCAGCGCGCTTCGTGGCCCACGCAGCCATTCATGTCGGCTTTCTACCACACAGCGCAGGCCATTTTTCACTCTCCAGCAAACCCATTTCCCAAAACTAAGAACCATGCAATCGACGAGGCACCCACAAGCCCGTCCTCGCCACAGACGGCTGATCCAGCAAAATGGCGCAGGAGACCGCACGGGAGTGGAGGCAAAATCCGCTCCTCACGGTTCGTTAAATCTCTCCAGTTGTATTTCCGCGTTGGAAGCCGCGTTAAACTAAACATACCTAAGCTCGAATCCCGGCTCCAAACTCGTTCACGTATATCGGCTCAGATAATCACGGCGACAGCGCAACGGCTGAGATTACCTGGCTTGACGTCCCAATGCCCAGCAGCACCACCGCCATTATCAAGCATCCCGGCCGCAGCTCTCGGCGATTGTCAAATGGATATATCGACATATTCGGCCTCTTCGCTGCGGCTTTCTCTTTACCAGCTCCGACGCCTGGGACATCACCATCGACTGGCTTCGAGATCTTCGGAGCACCGACTCTGAGCTTGTCAGCATGGCTGAGACCATGAAACGACTCTGGTTTCACGAAGTCTACGCTTCACAAAGTCTACACTTTTAACTTCGCTCGGTGATACGGCCTTCTCCCTTGGCTTTCGGCGCTGGTCCAACGGCCATTATTCATGGGGAACATGTTTCCCTGGATCTCTCCTTTTGCCAGTGGGCTGCCTGAAGCGGAGTCGTCGATTGTCTTGGACAGGTCCAGAGAGCTCAAGAACGCCCAGGCAATTGAACAGGCCGGACCCGCCTGAATTTCTCAACAAAACCAAAAATGCTCGTCGCCAGACGCCAATCCAGAACGCGAGTCAAAGCGGAGATCAATTCGAGAGTACTTCTTCCCGTCCACACCAACAGCAGTCGACCCATCGGCTCCAAGAGTGATCAGGTCCCCAAAAGCTTCAGAGCGACTGGTACTACCAAAGCCTGTCCGTGGGACTACGCCAAAGCCACGCAACCCCCGACTACCAAGGGCTCCGCGAACTCGAAGCCTGTAACAAAAAAAGACACAAGCCGCAGCAAACGAGCAAGCAAGAGCACTACTACCAAGTCCTCGAACGCCGCTGGTAAGGCACCTTCGGTTATACTTGGCAGACTGATGGACAGCCTTATGTAGGATGCCTTCCTACCCCCAAGCAATGGTGGAAGTTGTAACTGAAATGTAGCTACGCCTAAGCTGTTCTTGCTGGTCCCTGGAACTCAACCATGCGGCCAGCAACGGTGGCTGCCTTGGTGATGACTGTGTTGTCCGTGGCCGCAGCCCTATCCCGAACAGAATTCATGCCATCGTCGAGACCTGGGACGGGCCAGGAAGAATGGGACTGCGACCCTGTTGACGAGTGCCGTGATCTCCGTGGTCGCGGAGTCAGCAGCAGCACCTGTGAGTTGCCGGCGAGCGACAGGGAGGTACCCGATGGCAAGCGGAAGTCGAGGGAGATTTGCTCGGCGGCGAAGGGCCTCGTCAACGAGGGCCTCTTCCATCTCTTTGATGCGCTTGCGCTGCTTCTCAATCTCGGCATCCTTGGCCGTGATGATGCCCTCTTTGATTGTCAACTGCGCCACAGCGTTGACGTGTTCCTGGTCGCGTGCCTTGACCTGGTCTTTCAGGTCCTGCTCGATTTTGCCATGCTCAGCGCGCTCGTTACTGAGAGTGGAGATTGTTGCATCGTCTTGTTTGGGCTTTTCTCAACGAGCTTTGGGGTGCAGAGGGCACAGAGGGCACAGAGGGCACAGAGGGTGTAGAGGGCACAGAGGGTGTAGAGGGGGGTACAAAGCCTGAAGAGGTGGAGTTTGGAGACTGGGTAGCAGGAAGTCATTTTGCCTGTTCATCCTACCAGCCTTATATCAATGCTTTCAAGAGGCGTAGAACCTCGCACACCAGCACTTCACGAAGATCTCGGGACCCGGAGACACATTTCAGAGAGACACTAAGATACAGCCAGGATCAGGGCACCATCCTCAACTTTCAGCAGATACAGCGGACATGTCGACCGCCATATGCTTAGGAGAATGATCTGCACGACCGAGGCGCTCCATGCACAATATCTGACTTGGGTGCTAGCCAAAGCGAAATTGGTGTGCGTGGACGCGTCACCCCATGGTCCACCGTGTGGTAAATGATCATGATCCTCCCATTGACTGGTAAGGTTTGTCCCCCCAGCTTTTGCCAGGCAGATTTGCAGTCTCGCGAACGGACCTGACATAAGGCGTGCCTTGCGCCACAATGCGTTTGTGCGCAGAAAGCACAAGGGGTGACAGGGAGACCCACCACGAGCGCTACCGGCAGATGACCGGTTCATCGGAGCATATTGCATCCCTGTCAAAGAACATGTATTCGTCAAACAAGGTCCTCATAGGGCGTTTCTGAAACCTTGCCGTGTGAGTGTCGTACGTTCAGGCAGGTCCCCCCACAACGAGGAAAGCACCTTCACAGCTTAGAATGGCTTCTGCAAGGGGCAGGTTTTCATCGGTCCCCATCGGTCCCCATCGGTCCCGAGAGTGGTTCGGTGTATATCGGTAATGCCCAAAAGGGTTTGCCGCTTTTCGAGTCGAAACAGGGACACCCTTGCGATCTGCCCCAGGGGCTTGGGACGACCTCAGGTCGCGCTCGCACAGCCATGATAGCAGCCCGTGTTCGTGATCAACAGACTGTTGCCTGCCAGATGCCAGGAGTCTGTCTCAAGCGCCATGTGCCATTGATGTCACGACCATGGGTTGAGAGTCCGATACGACAGGATGGGTTACACTTGCAATGCGTCTGGGCAGCATGGGTGTCTATTTGGCCGACTTGATGTCGTAGATACTGACGAATGAACTGCTGAGCTATGGTCAGGGGTGACGCGGCTAGGTTGACCAACCCCTGTGTCAAGGGCCCCCAGTCTGCTGATTAATACCCGCTCTGTATACTCCCCGCCAAGACCTGCAACGACAAGAGGCCGCAAGATGGTGCTTGATTCAGAACCTTGCATGTAGAACAAGGCGGACACGTCAGGATCTCGATAGCGTGTAGGGCTTGTAGGCTGGACTGCCACGTGGTTCTTGCTGTATCACATTGGGAAGTAAATTGCCTTCACTGCTGACATAACACCTGTGACGTAACATGTGGTGCATCGTCTTCCGACGCCGACGCCGACGAGCATAGGCAAGGCGGAAATATGCTGGCCACCCACTGCCGCGTCGCGTACCTCTGGGCCGGGCAACAAAGTGACTGCCCGGCTCCTTGATGCAGACCTCGGATAGATCATTAAACCGACAGGACAGGTCATTCCGCCAGACGAGAAGCACCCAACATGAGGAGTAAGCCGGAAGGAGCCGATGGATAGGACGCCGTCAACATGTACGACCGGGATTAAATCCGGCCTTGGCGCTGTACTTTTGCAGCACTGCCGCATCATGGTCGAGCGAGCCTAGCCAGTCCTTGGACTGCACTGGGGCTTGGCAGGGCTGGGGAATTATTTGCGCTCCAATCAGTGCGTGCCCTAAACGACCGTGACTGGGTCTCCCTCGAACCCAGCTCCTGGCCCGCGACTGATGCTGCGATGACATAAGCCTTGGTTCGTGGGGGAAGGAGTAATGCGCTGATCAACAGTGGGACTCTACCTCGGCCGAGTCTCGTCGGGTTGCTGCCGAGATAGCCAGGGTCCCGGCGCCTGAGATCCATACCAGAGCCAATGTGCACCTCAAACCCCTGAGCTCCTCGAAGCCCTGGGACCTAGCCGAGCCTGTCCACAGCCCTACCGCTGTTGTCAAGGGGTCACTGAGCAGAACAATCTGGCTGCCTAAGGCAAGGGTTCTCTGGTGACTGTGTGGCAATGGAGTGTCCGCCAACGGTCGGCCAATTTCATGTCAGGTACGATAGCGAGCCTTGGGCCGTTTTCCCGATTCGTTCGCGCATTTGGAAGTTCTGCGCCACTTCCTTCCCCGATCCAGACCACCAGTGCATTCGTGCCAAGGCTCTCAAGCGACCTGGTCGTACCTGCAGTCAAATGGAAACCAGCCATATCCGTTGCTGGAATCTGGCAAATAGTGGTGCTAGGCTTATCAAGTACGTTTTGTCTCGCCCGACTGCATCCTGCCAGACCCCATCCGTCCCAGCCCACAGGGCTAGCCCAACCAAGAATATAGCCTGAGCTTGTGTAACCGCCCGCAAGGCGTTACTGCCTTGGACCCCTTCCAAGCTCATTCGACCAGATTCTCGGAAAGCAAACAACCACGTCCGGGACTTGATTCGAGCCAGTAGCCAGAGAATTTTCTTTGACGATGCCCAGGACCCACTGCCATAGCGGCTCAAGCGTCAAGGTGGAGAACGGAATCCCTATAGCTTGCAGTAGTTAGTTCATGAACGGGACTGGATCCGACGTGTCCCTGCCCCGGCCTCTCAGCTGGCCCCACCTTGACCATTCCTGTCGGTCCATCCGACAAAAGCTAAGACCAGGAGCAGAAACGCTGGGCAGCCGTACCCGGGTCCCACTGCGGTGACACTTTGAGATTGGTTGTGCTCCGCCACAAGCATGGGCAGAGCGGAGTTCAATCCCTGCCGCCATGTACAACCCTGATTCGCTGACTTTACTACGAAATCGGACTCCGCGGGTGGGTCGGCTTCTATACAATGATATACTTCGCGGCAGTTCAGCGAATAAAACCAGACGCAAGAGAAGTGTGTTCGTAGGGCTGCCCCGCCACCTGCTCTGTCTAAGCTGACAAAGGTTCTGACAAAGGCTCTGACAAAGGTCCCCTGTAGAACAGGCTGAGGTGACGAGCTGAAGAGTTGACATGACGCCTCAAGTCGCAGTGCGTCCGGCCTTGTCGCCTTGCCCGCAAGGCGGGAAGGTTAAGAACAAGCGTGCCAGCGCGCCCAAAGTCAAGACAGGTACGTGAGCAACAGCGCGGCAATTTACAGTTGCGACAAATTCACTAATACCTTCGTGACAACACGCAGGGTGCCGAAGCTGCAAAGCGTCACATATCAAGTGTGATGAGCAGAAGCCGACATGTGGTCGCTGCGATCGTCGCGAGATCGCATGCATCTACCCACTGCTATATTCCCGAAGAGACGGCATAGCAGTCGGGAGCCAACGGCCACTCCAAGCTATCCTACCCGCGCAGCACAATATCCAACTCGTGCGATACAGGGAACCGTCTGTCACTTGCTTGACGCCTCGCGAGGCACAGTACTATGACAACTTTCGACACCGCGTCATTTGCCACCTCGCACACGGAGAGAGCGACTTTTGGCATCGTACAGTATTGCGCGAAAGCATCCACGATGAGTGTGTTCGAAGCGCAGTCATAGCCCTCGGTGCCCTCGCTCGTGCTCAGGAGCACCATGTGAGCCACAACACGCCCCGAGAGGTCTCCCGGCTACCTCTGCAAAAGATTCGCTTGGAGACCATTGAGAACCGCTCCTTGGGTCCAAACCACTACTATCATGCCCTTTCTCACTACACAGACGCCCTTGGAATATTTCGCAGGCGGTTGACTTCGCCGGAAAAGCACACACCGCGGGCCATATTGATTGCCACGACCCTCCTGGCATCTTTCGAGTTCCTACAGGGCAACACCAGCTCCTTAGATCAGCTGGCAGCCTACACTCTATCGTTACTAAGCGGGAAGCTCATGCAGGGAATTTTCGGCACACGAACGCTGTCGGATTCCGCGATAGCTGCGCAAACCGACGATGACGGTGTCCGCGAGGCCGAAGCCGTTCTCGTCCGTATTTGCCTCTTCAACGCAGCCTTCTCGCCACTATATCCCAAGATCAGGCAAGCAGTGTCACAACTCCCTGTGCCCTCCTTTTCCGAGCCGCACCCGCCAGACCTGGGGACTCCATGTGACGTGTTTGCGCGGCTGAGTCTCGAGTACCTCACGCTCGTAAGTGTCTGGCACTTTCGCGTGTTGACCGGCGTGCGGATGGACCCAGGAAAGAGCCATTCTGTCCATTACGACCACGATGCTATCCACGCGCTAGCGACACCCGAGGTCTGGTGGACCAGACACTTCGAAGAACAAGCCGAGATCATGCTACTGCTCGAGGAATGGCGGGCAGCCTTTACCCAGCGCTTGGCACTCCAGCCACTGACCGACAGCGACCGCCAGACTTGCAACCGGATCCTGAGCGCCATCAACACGTGCCTCTACACAGTCTCCACCGTCTTTGACTTCTCTACGGGCACGTGGGACTTCAACGAGGCGGCCACGGGCGAGCTCCTGGCGCAGACGGAAGCCGTCTGTGCCTCGTTCGCCGCCTGCTCCGAGGGCAACTTCGACGCCATCCGCATGACATCGGGCCGGTTCCAGCCACCCCATGGCGCGCCTGCGGGCCTCCAAGACCAGTCCAGGATCGCGGGCGGGAGCATCTACGTGGTCGCGACAATCGCCCAGGATTGTCGGCACCGCACACTGCGCCGCCGGGCGCTGGACCTGTTTACGCTAATGGTCACGACCAGTTCTCACTGGGAGATACGGGCGCACTATCTGGGCATCAAGGCCTTGTTCGAGGCTGAGGAGGAGAACAGAGATCCGGTGACTGGGATGATTCCCCTGGACGGCCAGTGGGATTGGGTGGGCGGGTCTTGGAGTGACGATTACTCGGAGTTTTACGTTGTCCTGGTCAGCAAGGTTGGAGTGCTGGACGGGACAGGCCGTCAGAAAATTGTCACCATGCAGGCGATATCGAGCTAGCATCCACTGTCCCTGCCTAGCTGTAGCTTAAAATGATAAGGAAAAAAATGAGTCCAGTGGATCCTACAAAGGAGCACCTTGTAAATATTTCGAGTGCTTTGGAGCTGCAAAGGTGCAGAGATTCAGACGTACAGAGCTCTGTGGAGACTTTTGGCAACGGCTTGGCTCCCTAGTTGAGCAGCTTTGAAGATTTCCGGTCCATCCATCTACGCTTGCTGCCATATCACGCAAAAACTCAAGAACCGTTAGGGCACCCGGTAACAAGGATGATTACTGTGTCTGGCTGAGAGAAACCGGCAAGGAAGACCCTTGCTATGACGTGACCCACGTAAAACCTCTACGGGGCTCTCCATCCTCCGCTCGCTCCGTGCTTTCAAAAAAGGGGGGTGAGATAAGCCGCTCCGATACCTGCCACAAGCCAACACAGTTGCCATCTTCTCAATCCCACCATGGACCAATTGAACTCGAATCTCTAAGCCATTCACGGCTGCCTAAACCGCCGCGACGAGCGACGTTCGGCAAAGTCTGAAGGTCCTGCGGCTAATATCCCTTGCTGTTTGTTTACAGGCTGCGACTCCACGGATGCGATGCTTGAAATGCCAACAAAAACAAGAGACTCACAAGGGCAAAGAGTACTCGCCTCATCCTGAGCCAGTCAACAGGTCCACGTTGGCCACTCCATGCGACAAATCAATGCATAAAGACGAGTGTTGAGTAAGAATGCATTCGAGATCGAGTCCCGTTGCATTTTCATACCAACAAGAGGCACGACATGCAAACGCCAGTAGGAGTCCAGAGACTCAGAGTCTCAGCGGCCCACAGGGCAGATGGTGCCTAAGGTGTAAAGGGTCAGCTTCATCTCGTACATTCTGGTACAACAATGTTCCTCTCTCGCACCAACCCACGCGGCCGGCTTTCGTCCTTTCAAAGCTCGTCTGAGAGGCAGACAGTGGCTGAGCTGCGGCAATACTTTATCCTGAGACAGTGCTCAAGCTCGTGTCTCGTCGAGGTTTCAAATGTAGCAACAGTGAGTGATTCGTCGAGGATACGTCCAGCTCCACTGGGTTGAGCATCGAGGAGGGCACCCCATCCAAGTGACTTCCCCCCACACCTCCGCACGCCGCTTCCCCGCACCCACAGCCGTGGAGCCGGAACTTGCTCTCCACATTCCGCCTGGGAATGTTCGGTTCACCGGTTCGGTGCCGTGTAGTCTTAAGTTCGAGGATGCTTTGTTTCCCCATCTCATCGGTTCGTCAAAACGACATGGCTGCAGCGTCAGTGTGCAGGGCCGGTTCGAAAGTATCGACAGAGATGACACGCGAAACATGGACTTCACGTCACCGCGAAGAGTCTCCGTAGTGTCTGAGGCTCCGCATCATCCCGCCCCGACACGGCCCTACCAGAAGCCGAACCGGCTCAATGTCGCGTGCACACAGGTAAGAAGACCTCTGATGTCTCAGCTGCGGGGTCGCCAAAAGCTTTTGCAGCAGGACTGCTGCTGACGACCGACGACAACACAGTGCCGCCGGCGCAAAGTCCGCTGTGACGCCTCGCTGCCGAGATGTCGACACTGCCGCCTCCGTGGAGAGAAGTGCGAGACACTCGATCTGCGCGAGGCCACCAGGGGACTCACGAATGACCAAGCTGCCGTGGTCGGCGATATATCAGGTGACGGCTGCTCAGTACTTGCTGTGGTCACGGATGGCCAGCCGCACCTGCGATCGCGAATACGTCAACGCTCGAGATCGAACCGAGCTTCAAGCCAGGTAGCCGACCGAACAACACAGAACCGACCACTACCAGCTACCGAGATGTTAGACAGTCATGCCCGCAGAGAGTCGCCACCGGTAGAAGATGTCTCCTGGGTGTCTCGGGCATACCAGGCCAGCGCGGTCGAAAACCACCACGGCCAGAACATCACCAACCACCACGAGGACGACGGCCCCACGGAAAATGCCAACGGCAACAGCGTCACGAATGCCGACGCAGCAGCAGCGACAACCACCACCCCGGACGTGGTGCTCAACACGGACGAGACGTCGTCGCGCACAAAGTTCCTCGGCGGGAGCAGTGTGCAGAGCTTGTGCAGCTTCGTGGACCTGCACCTCGCGGCGATCGGGCTGGAGCCGATCGGGGCGTGCTTCAACGACGGGATGCGGCACAGCGAGGAGTTCCCCGTGCCGCTCTTCCTCCTGGGCGGTGCTGCTACATCCGGCATTACATCTTCTTCTCTCCCGCCCCTGCCCCCACGCGGCGAGATGGCCTTGTACACCAGCATCTTCCTCAAGCGCCTGTGGCCGCTCATTCCCGTGGTCGACCCGGCGTCCCTGGAAGCAGATATAAACACCTTCCTCGCCATCCAGGAAGCGCAGGGAGGTGCGGCGGAGGCAGGCATCCTCGCACACCTTGCCGCCGCACCCGCGCAGGTGGCGCCCGCCCTGGTCATGGCGTACTCGGTCGTGTGCATCGGCCACGATGAGCTGCACGGCGGCGGCGGCGGCGTGGTGATGGGGGCGACGACGACGGCCCAGAGCAGCAGCACGCGGTACCTCGGCGCCGCATACGCACTGTACGCGCAGCTGGTGGGTTCGCCCTACGTGGCGAGCGTGCAGGCGCTTGTGCTGCTGGCTCTGGCGCTTCGGGGGCAGGTCAAGGAGGGCCAGGCGTGGCAGGTCCTGGGGCAGGCAGTGAGGATCGCGCACTCGATCGGGCTGCACAAGCGTGCCGAAGGGTTGCTGCTTGCGAGAAACAGGGATGGGGGCGAGAGCAGGACCGGCGGCCGCGAGCAGGCCAAGAGCGCTCGCCGTCGTGGGGGATCCGACGAGAACATGACCGCGGGCCCGCCGGACAGCGTGGTCCTCCAAAGCAGGATATGGTGGTCGTGCTGTGCGCTCGAGCGGGTGATGCAGCTCGAGAGCGGGCGGCCTTCTCAGCTGGGGGACACCGGCGACTGTTGCCTCCCCGGCTCGCTGGCGGTGATGGCAAGTCTCGTGGGCGGGTTCTTCGCATCGTGGTACGGGCTGACGGTCATTATGGGCCGCATTGCGCAGGAGGTGTACGTCAAGAAACCTGCCACGCTGCTCGACCTGCTGCAGAAAGTCCAAGAGCTAGATGGCACATTGCTGCGCTGGGAAGCGTCGAGATACCGCGAACGCGGCAATGACTGCAGCCTGGAAAATGATGATGATGATGATGGTTATCTGAGTAGCGTTTTGCTGCTACAGTACAACTTTGTGAGTTTTGGCCGCCAGTGACAAGGACGTCCACCGTGCTGAGGACAGCTTACTGACAGGGCCACCATCTTTCTTTCAAGGCACACATCACACTGCTCCGGATATCGATCATGTTCCCGCCCAAGGTCTACCACGCGGAACTCTGCAAGTACCAGAGCCAGCTCACATCCCACAACCGCCTGCGGAACGGCTCGCACTTCTGCAGCACGGCGGCCCGCGCGACCATCACCGAGGCGCTACACCACGCGGACCACCGAAACACCACCAGCACATCTTCTTCTCCGCTCTGCGCTGGCGGCTCCGCCGTCTGGCTGACCACATCGCCGCTGTTTCTGTCTATCATCGTCCTTGCGCTCGGCATCCTGCAGCAGCCGCAGCGCCGCATGGCCAGCGCGGATCTGGAGATGCTGTCCCTCGGGACCGAGCTGTTCGAGACGACCCTGTCCCGTTGGATGGGCAATGTTGGCAGTGCCAGTAGTTGTGATGGTGGTGACAGCGGGGCAAGGCCGGGTTTCTCGAGCATCGGCAGGACTCTACACGCGAGAGTGGCGCTGTACTATAAGCTGTTCCAGGAACGGAATCTGGGAAAGACGATGACGACGACGACGACCACCAGCGGCATCGTGACCGAGAACACGGTCGCCATTCCGGGCGTGCCCGCGCTTGCCGACACTACTCACGACGGGGTTTCGTCTCTCATGCTGCTCGCAGACCTGTCGTCCTCGTCGTCGTCGGTACGAAACAGACGGCTGGAGCACCAGCAGCAGCACCTTCATCACCATCATCATCAGCATGGGGGCTCGATACGAGCCGAGCAAGCCAGGAACAACAACAACAACACCCTTGTCAGCGACAGCGCTTACACCTCAGCTCCTCAAGCCAGCGGCGCCCTGTCGACTCTGGGCGAGGTCACCAGCATGACGACGACGACCCCTGCCGGCCAGCTGCAGCAGGCGCAGGTTGTCCACCAAGCATCGACAGCCTGGCACTCCGCGACCACCACCACACCATTTCAGGGCCTTGACTTTAACGACGTGTGGGACATGCTTGGCTCGGATTTACTCCTGGATGAGCATAGCATCTCGTTTGCTTGATGGGGAATCTATTTGGCAGCTTTTTTTCCCAACAAATGAAGCGTTTCCAGTGCGCCCTCCCTATTTGTCAACTGTAAATCACGGGGAAGGGTAAAACCATTCCCAATTCACAGGGCCGGCTGTAGGTTTCTTGCCTCCTTGACCTCAATCCGCCTTAACCTCCTTGTGCAAATGCATCCGTCCATGTAGCTTATCTCCACAACAACTGCTTCCCCCCTCCTCCCACCCCACCCGTCAGCAAGGTACCGGCCCGAGCACCAGGTCTTTTTGCCATGGGTATCCCCGGCTAGCTTCGACTTTGCATATCCGGGGTGCGGGTTTGAAAGGTGGGTGCTTTTCTTTTTTCCGCTACCTATCGCTGCTTCCTCGTCGGAACCTGGGGTTGTATGGTGCATAGCATGGGGATCCTTGGAAGATACGAGGTCCAGTTACAACGCCTCCATGTTGGGAATCAGCCACGCCTCCTTCACCCTGTAGGAGGCTGAAGGGTTCTTCGCATGCTGGCACAGCGTGCACAGCATAAGGCTCTGCATCTTTCCCCCTCGCACGTAATGCATGCAGTCTTGAGCTGACAACCCCCCGCCACGAACTCTTGGCATGTCCAATCGAGTGCAACATCACTGCTATCTTATCTGCAGGCATTATCCGGGGCACAAGATAACTACGGCTTCTCTTGAAGGGTGGATATCCGGGCATCGGAGCCTCGACCAGCTGCCAAGCCGTGCGCCAAGACCATCACGCCTGCTGCTGCTGCTGGTGTTGCATCCATGGGATTTGGGGTAGCAGGCGAGATCGCCTCGTCCTTATAACGATGAGGTGCTGACCGCGGTCTCCGTTCTTCTCGTTCGCCGATTTTCGGTCATCGCGGTCGCCTCATCGCTCGTCGACCCACTTCAAAGCCAACTACTCGGCTTCGCCACCTCTGTGTTCACCAATTTGGCAGCAAGATACACATTCACCACCATGACAGGCTCACCGACAGACACTGCCCTGTCGGCCTCGGACGAGAAGGCCAAAAACCATGATCTGGTCGTCGCAGCTGACCACGAGGGAAGACACGTCGTGGTCGACGCCGAGGCGGCGCACGAGTACATCATTGACCCGGCCGCGGAGTCGCGGCTCGTGCGCAAGCTCGACCTGCGCGTCCTGCCCATGGTCTTCCTCATGTACTTCTTCACCTTCCTGGACCGGACAAACCTGGGCAATGCCAAAGGCGCGGGCCTCGAGGCGGACCTGGGCCTGGGCACGTACGGCTTCAACATTGGCGCCTGCCTGTACTACATCGTGTACTTTTTCGCCGACATCCCCGCTGCGCTGAGCGTCAAGAAGTTTGGCTTCATCATGCTGCCGCTCAGCTGCATCCTGTTTGGCATCGTGACGCTGGGCACGGCGTTCATTCACAACGCGCCGGGCTTCTACGTCGTCCGCGTGCTGCTCGGCCTCACCGAGTCATTCCAGTTCCCCGGACTGAGCTACGTGATTTCGCGGTACTATCGCCGGTCCGAGGTGACGACGCGCGTCTCCTTCTTCATGCTCGCCGCCGCGGGGCTGGCCGGAGGCTTTGGTGGCCTGCTTGCCTCTGCGCTGCTCGCGCTGGGGAGCATTGGCAGTGTGACTGGCTGGCGCAACATTTTCCTTGTCGAGGGGTGAGTCGGGTGACTGTCGTCCTACTGGAAGTGCTCGTAGTACTGACAATGACCCCCGCAGAATCATCACGATTGGAGTCGGCATCATATCGCTATACCTCTTCCCAGCAGACCCGTCCAGAACACGCATCTTCAGTGAAGAGGAGCGTGCACTCGCGATGGCGCGCATGTTCCACGACCAGCCTGCGATTGTCGAACACAAGGAACGCATCACCTGGCCGCTCATCAAGCGCGGGTTCTTCAATGTCAACGTCATGGTGGGCGCGTGGATCTACATCTGCGACCAGATCACGGTGCAGGGGCTGTCCATCTTCACAGTGACGATCCTCAAGCTCAACTACCCGGGGCGGTCGACGGTCGAGATCCAGCTGCTGAGCGTGCCGCCGCCCATCTTTGGGGCGCTGTTTGGGCTGGCCGTGGCGTACGTGACGATGAAGACGCAGAAGCACGGCATCGCAATTGCGTGCTGCGCGGCGGTCAACGTGATTGGCTACTCGATCTGGATCGCGTCGACGAACGCGCAGGCGCGGTATGCGGCCATCTTCCTCAACACGGCCGGCGGGTTCAGCTGGGGCACGCTGATTCTGAGCTGGACGCTAGCCAACGCGGCACCCGACACGGTGCGGAACGTGGCCAACGGCGCGGTGTCGGGGCTTGCCAACATTGGCAGCATCGCGGCGACGTGGTCGTACGTGTCGACGGACGCAGGCTCGGGGTACAGGATTGGCAACAGCCTGAATGTGGCGACAGGGGCGTCGGTGATTGTGGCGGCGCTGGCGCTGGTGATGTATCAGAAACTGGAGAACCGGAAGCGGGAGGGCGGCGGGCGCGACTACAGGCTGCAGGGCCCTGCACACAAAATCGCCAAGCTGGGCCACCTGCACCCCGAGTACCGGTACATTCACTAGGCTGGTAGGGCCCGGACATGATTTTGTTGTGTTGACAGGCGGGTGATGGTTGGCGCCCGGCCGGGCAAGGTTCGTCTAGTCGTGAGACAAGGCTTCCCAGGGCAGTAACGCCGGGCGGGCAGAAGTAATAAAACCGCAGGTGATCGTCGCTGCTCGAGTAATGAACCGATGTCGATAGTGCAGTTGGCGACGTCGACTGGGACTGAAGCTGGGCGATCGGCGGCCGCACCATGGGCGGACCATCCGCGGGCGGCACTAGTCGAGGCAGACCATTCCAGAGGCGGGGGGAAAGCCCACCCGGACGTGAGTGTTGATGGTGCGACTGGCGAGCAGGCGGAACCGTCTCCGTCAGAGGATGCATGTGAGCTAGCCCGGGACGGCAGGGACGGGACGTGCACAGGGTTTGGCGGCCATGCGCTGGCGGGCAGGCGTTGCACTGCGCAACGGGTGTCAAGACGACCTCGGGAGTGCTTGTTTGCTTCAAGGTTGCGCCATGGTGGCGGAGGGGGGCGCTGGATGTTTGCTTCGAGGACGGGCTGAAAGCAACCTGGCAACCTTGAAGGCAGGCTGGGTGGAGGAGACGAGTGCTCTGCTGGCCCAGAGGGGCCCTGTGAAAGTCTGGTCTCACCCTTTCTGCCCCAAATAAATCCACTGCCAGTCCCGCCGTGGCGGGAAAGCGCGGCGCCCACTCCACGTGCGCCTTCCTCAGAGACAGCCTCAACTCAACTCAAACACCTGCCTGCCCGACGCTGACGCAGCAAACGACTTGGACTTGGTCGTCCCTCCTCGCCCACTCCAGTCAAAGACCTCCTTGGATGTGCTGCGCTCCTCTTGCTCTCCCGCATCGTCACCAGCCTCACCCAGCCGCTCCTCCTGCGCCGCTGCCCTCCACTCTGCGTTCGCATGGCTGCCCCGAGCTAACGCCGTCCGGGTCGCCGCGCTCAACACCGGCCCACCAGCATGCGCGGCCCGCAACACCCCTCTGCCTCGCCGCCCTCCCACGACGCCGGCCGTATCCGCCTCCCCAGAGTCCGTACCGGCTGCCTCTCCTGCAAGGCCGCCCACGTCAAGTGCGACGAGGCAAAGCCCGCCTGCCACCGCTGCCACCGTGCTGCCCGCCCTTGCGCCTATCCCGCCCCGCCAGGCCACAAGAAGAAGGCTCACGATGTCTCGTCTGCCCGTGCCCTCCTGGCAGCTCGCAAGCCCCTGCGCCACCTTCTGCCAGCATTCGGGTCGAAGGCTGCGTCACTCGTCCCAGCAGCTGCCGTCGCCCTGCTGAACCGCCCCATTCAGTTCAGCGATCTCGACGATCCCAATGCCGCCATCTACTTTGACCGCTTCAAGGCACAGGCTGCTCGGTACCGCAGTGCCACCAACGAAAGCGACGACTTTTGGTTCAGGACCCTGCTGCGCGAAACCGCCCATGACAAGGGCATCCTGGCGGCGGTGCTCAGTCTCGGTGCCCTCGCTCAAGCATTTGGCAATGCCGCCGAGCATGTCTCGCTCTTTTCCCTCAACTGCGCCATCCTGCCGGACTCCCAGCAGACGTCCTATCGCGATGCCGTCAAATACTATTCCCTCTCGATTTCGAGACTGCGCCAACGCCTCGAGAACCCAGAGTTGCTGCATGAGGAGCCATCGCCCAAGGACACCGCGCCTGCCAAACAGTATACGTCCCGGTCTGTGCTCATCTCGTCTATCCTCTACTCTGCGTTCGAGCTCATGCACGGTAACTCGTACACGGCTGACTGCATCGTCGCCAAGAGCATGAGCATACTGCGCACAATGATCCTGCACGGGAAGCAGCTTACATTGCCGGCTCTCGCGGACCTGACACTGCAAGACAAGGCCGAGGCACCGCGACAAGACGTGCCATATATCCAGATCAGCAGAAGTTGTGACGATGAAGGCATTGAGGAAGCCGAGTGGCTGCTTGTCCGACGAGCGGTCCTTGGCGCTCTCTACGCGCCGATGCGGCCCCTGAGTCGAGACGTCATTTGTCGACTGCCCGGCCTCAACTTTCTGGCCGGCTCTAGCCCGCCGCCTATCAACGCCAGCCCCATGACCTTTTGGAAGCTCTATTTTCGATGGGTCCCACTGGCCGCCCTCTGGTATGTGCGCGCTGGCTCCGTGCGTCTCCCAGTGCCTGGGGAAAGGCTCTCGGGCGCCCACGAGCAAGAACATGCCATCAAACAAGCCGGCCTTTTAGAAGAAGAACCCTGGGCGTCCTTGCTGAGGGAACGGGAAGCTCTCAGTGAGCAGGTCATTGCTTGGGAGACGGCAGTGCACGCCAAGCTGACGACGACGCTGACAACTGAGGAGTCCTCTATCCTCCTGCAGATCCTCCCCAACTGCAAGAACTTGCGGTACCAATTCCTGACCCTTTTCGACTCCATCATGAACCCCGAGAAGCGCGCAGAGATGCGCACACTGGCCTGCGAGATCATTGATATAGGCGAGAAGGTGTTCGAGGCGCTACCGGGCATTACCGAGGGGCGCGACGAGATGCGCGAGAGTCTGTCGGCAGTCGGCGTCCTGATGAGCCAGAACTGCCGGGAGTCGTCCAATGTCCGGCGGCGTGCTCTGAAGTTATGCAAGCGACTGATTGACTCGCAGTCGCGATGGGACGCGAAGGGCTTGGTCATGGGGATCAGCAAGTTGATGGAGCTGGAAGAAGAAGGTCGCGACTTTGAGGAGGACATGATACCCGTGCACGCGCAGTGGGACTGGACAAACGCGACGTGGAATGATGCCTACACCGAGCTAGACGTGTTGTACACGTCTCGGGCACTGACTACCGCAGAGGAGGATGTTGACAAATTTGTGGAAGATGGTGTCCCGCTAAAGCGCAGGATGACTCTAAAGCCTGGAGATTATGGCTACTAGCATTTATACGGCAGCTGAACAAAAGATAACAGAGTACGTACGCAGCCATGATATCTTGCATGCACAATCAATCATTTCTTTCACAGGCAAGACTTCTTAGCCACATGAGTAATCTTATAAACTCCAAGCTCAGATCGGCATGGTACAAAAATGTGCAGAGAAGGATATCACTTGTAGAAAGCAAGCATTTTCACAATCGCAGATAGCGCAGAGAACAGCAACCTACACAACCTCCAGATCAGGACTGAATGCCTACAATTCGTGGCTCTCTTCAGCTGAGACGCACTGAAATGGGTCTCGCCTGCTGGGACAAGGCTGGCCAATTACGATGCTCCTTTGTTCCAGGGTAAAGTTGCAGTGGCCCATAATAGCGGTTGGTTCGCATTAAATGCGGGAGTTCGCACCAAGCCCAATGTCCACGCACGCCGAAGTGGTGTGCAGCATGACAGTGTCCAGGGCTGCCCTCAAGGCTGTCCAATGTCGGTGCTGCTGTAAGCACATGTCTCCGCCTATCTCCAAGTAATGGTGGCTATCTCTTCACTGGTCCCTTCCTTTCGCCCAATCGCGCTCACATTTCTGGAGCAACACAGCATATGCCAAGCTTCACAGCCTATCAACGCTGGGGGGCGGCAACGCCAGTTGCTCGCTTGGTAATGTCATCTACATAGCTGCGCTGGCCCTGTTATTTTCGGGTCCAGCTCGACTCACACTCCCCAAACACGGACAAACCCTTCCGACACATTCGTGTCGGATTCTGCTGTGTCTTTGGAGTTTCAGCTGCCACCCGGAGCATATTTCCTGCATCTGACACACCTCAATCGTTTCCCGCCTGAAGCGTTCAGCCATTACCCGCAAGCCCAATTCTCTCAGCTGCTGGATCTGCACAGTACCAACAACGCAATGTCTGACAGCCTTACAACACTTGTGCCACCCGCTGCGATACCTGGAGGCGCTTATACGCCGGTCCTGGAGTACCAGACTCGTCTGACAGAACTCCATGGAGATCTTGGAGTCGCCAGCTCCCCGCTCTCCTGTTCCCTGCACAAGGTCGACTTACTTCGAGGCGAGTTTGGTGCTGGCCTCGGCCTGATCAACCCAGACGGAACAAAGAGTCGCAGCAGGCTTGTCGAGTACGACGCCCTCTCCTATACATGGGGTGACGGAGGGAACACTCATCATCTTCAATGCCATGGCGCGGATCTGTCAATCACAAAGAATCTGTGCCAGGCACTCTTGGAACTCCGCTACAGCGGCAGCACGCCACGGTGGCTCTGGGTTGATGCCATCTGTATCAATCAGGAGGACGATAACGACAAGGCCATACAGATTCGCAACATGCTTTTCATCTATAAGCAGGCCTCGAAGGTTGTCGCGTGGCTGGGCGCGGATCTTGTCCACGCTCAAGTCCTGCCGGACTTGGCTACCATCGGTGGAAAGCGCTCAGTTGGCCAACACAGTCGGTTGGCAATCCCCACGGCGCCAGAACCAAGGCCTCTCCCTCACACTCTGGACACAATCTCTCAAGCTCTGACGGAAGTATATCGACATCCGTACTTTCAGAGAATCTGGGTTCAACAAGAGGTGTTTGCGGCCAGTGTGTTGCGCGTCCGGTGCGCTGGCGTTGAGTTCGATTGGTCAGGGATACTTGCTGAGCCGATGGCGCTCGTGGACAATTTTGTCCTCCCTAAATACGGAGAACTGGCCTTTCTGGAGAAAGAGCAAGCCAAACAGTTCTGTAAGAAGCATGGGATAACATGGACACTCATGAGCTACATCCTAGCGCAAGGCCCGGATGGGCAGGGCTATGCTGATGGACTGAGGGATGGCATACGCCGAACCCTGGAAAACAAAAAGAAACGGAAGGTCGCGCAAAGGACTATCGAAGACCAGCATGTAATTGATCAGCTGCAGCTGATATCCGCGCTCACACGGCTACAGCAGAAGCACACTGGCTGTTTCCAACAAATCAGGGACAGCGCGATGGACGAACGACCCATCGAGCTGATCGATGCCCTCCTCCTCACCGGCGGACTGCAGGCAAAGATGGCCCACGATCGCGTCTATGGGCTTCTCTCCATGACGAACTTCCCCAGCCGCGTCATGACATTGCAGGAATGGCTCCGGAATCCACCAACCTCCCCGCTTGTTATGCCCGTTGACGTAACGCTCGACGGTCATACAGTCCAGATACTGGTCACGAAGATTCTCCTCATGGAAGGAGGTATTGTTCTCCTTGAGAAGTTCAAGATCATGGCAGAGGGAACTGATGATGACTCCGAGGCTCTGGTCTCGCCCCCGGAAGCCACCTCATCAGCCACAGCATTGCCATCCTGGGTCGTGGACTGGCAACTTGCAAGCAGATTTTTTGACCGAGAGATAGCAGACAAATCACCCAATACGGCATACGGGCTCCATCTAATGCATGGTTTGCAAGGACTCCACGATGCATGGAACACAATCATTCCGGAGCGCTATGAAATTGACCGCCGGAAAGGTAGGATCCTGCGTCCCAGCATAGTGAGCCAGGGGAGTCCACCCAAGGAACATCTGGAATTTCGGAGAGACAATCTGGCTCACGCGATCGGCAGCGACGCCGTAGCTGATCTCGGGAAGCTCATAGTCAGAGGCCGAGTGGTGGAAAGCTTTTCGTTCCAGGGAAGCGACGTGGTCGCCAAAGCCGACCCCTCGAGAACCTCTCGGCTCAAGAGTGGTGATGTGTGCTGGCAGCTGGATTTGGTGCCGAACAGTGCTGATTTTCTCATCGTCGCAGAGTCAGACTGCGCAGGTATGGGTGTGGACAAGAGTTTGTGGCTCCTTCGGCCAGCTGCAAATGACACATATCGCCTGAAGGCCATTCTGTCGATCTTGAGTTCGGAGCACCGGATCTACGGATCGTGGAGGCACAATAACACGATGGTGCAAAACCAAGGACCGGAAAACTACCGGCGAGTACAGGTACCCCGAGTTCGCGATTATTATGAAGTTCGGCCGCACGTTCGATTTGGGGATGTGAAGAAGTTCGTCATCGTATAGTGGCCGCTTTCCTAACCTAGCTTACTGAGTTGATATGCCGTTGTACGGCTTGTGTCTCCAACAATCAAGTTAGGAAATACAGTGCCCAGTCTTTGCCGCCGCCTGCCCCCTACCGCATACGGCACGACTGTTGGCCCATCCGCGGGTGTATATGAGAGCATCTATGATGGTGCTTCTGTTCGTGCTTGGGACTGTCATCAAGAGGCCAGCGTTTTGCTTTTACCTTCACATATGTCGTGTCAAATTATCCGCGCTCCCCTATCCTATATGCCAACCTAAGGAGATACCAGACAGCGCGAGAAAATCACCTCGCATGGACAATACTCTCTTTCCCTAGCGAAGACGGATCGTTCGCAGCGACATCTCAGGAGGCAGGGGGTGTTGTCCAATCGCTGTCGCTGTTCTACACACGTCTGTTGTGCCATCAACATGGTCAAGCGATGTGCGAGATATCAGCAAAGCCAAAGTTGCAACTCTCTCGTAAAACAAAAGCACAGCGGTTAGCAACATCTCGACGCTAAACCTGCAGGTACTGTTGCCCGCAATCCTTTCTACAACTCAAAAAAAAGCCAGCCAGCTAGCCAGCCAGTGACAAACACGACCATCGTCAACAAGACCGTGCCTGGCCCCATCAGCGGCGGCGGCGGCGGCGCGGCAGCAGGGCAGCAGGGGAGTCAAAACCCCAGCGGAACAGCGCCAGGGCCACGGCGATGGCGATGAGCCCGATGTTGACGGCGAATGCGCGGCGGTAGAGCGGCTTGTCGTCCTCTTGGAAGAGCTGCGCGCCGTAGATGGCGGCTGTGTTGGCGGACATGATAATCCTGGGTTTCGCAACGGGGGCAGCGTCAGCTGCTGCCCAGAACATGAAATTTGGGATTTTGGGGGCGGGAAGAGGGTCCGCGGGGGTCTTGGAGAGAGAGAGAGAAAGGACTCACATGGCCATCGCGAGCGACCGCTCCTCTGGGTTACGGCACGCGAGCGACATCCACGCAATGTTGAGCGGGTGCGGCATGTTGGCAAAGGTCTGCGTCCAGACGACGCCAAAGTACTTGACGCCCCGCAGCCGGCTGGGCAGCTCGGTGAAGATGCGGTTCAGGATGTAGCCGAGCATGTGCAGCGACAGGGCTGCCGTGACGGTCTCGCCGCGCTTGTCGCTGTTTTTGATGATGAGATGGGTCAGCACGGGATTCATGGCTTGCCGTGGCTCGGAGGTATCAAGGTGGTCCTGCCGTAAACTCTTGCAGGATATTGCTCCGGCTGAGAGGTGCGAGGAATGGAAAAGACTGGTGGTTCCTGACTGACGCTCGATTAATGGCGGGCTTGAAGGGGGGCCAACTTACAAACGATCGGATACCCAACTGAAGAGGTACGAGACCGGGATCTGCAGGAACAAGCCGACCGCGGCGAGGGCGTTGCTCTGTAGACCCTCGAAGCCGAAGCTCTTGATGATGGTTGGTGCGTACGTGTCGAAGCCCCGAAACGGGCCGTTATTGCCGAACGTGATGAGGACGTGGATCCACAGTCGCCAATTCTTGAGCTGTGTTGGGGGACGTTCCACGTCAGCTTGGCCTCTTTCCCACGAGCAAAACACGATACCATTGTCTGAGTGCGGGGCCAAAATGCGTCTGGTTGACAAATCCCGACATGGAAGACATCAGTGACACTGGGATTTCCACTAGACCTACCGCCTGCACAAACGCACTCCGCGGGATATGCTCCTTCACGCCCTCCTTGTCTGGGTCGTCGAGGTGCACCCGCGTGCGGAGGATATACACCTCCCTCTCTGTGAAGATCTGCCGGCGCGGCAGGAACGCGCTGTGCGGGTTGCGGAACGAGTCGGGGAGGCACAGGCCGAGCACCACGCCGCTGGCCATCGTGAACGCCCCCATAATGACGAACAGCCAGAACCAGCCCGGCCGCCCGGCGACGCCGCGCATGTGCAGGATGCCGTACGCGATGAGCTTGGCGGACGCCTGGCCCAGCTGGTTGCCGAAGAAGAAGAGCATGACCCGCGTCGCGGTCTCGCGCTTCGTGTACCATGTCGACAGCGTCCACAGCCCGCCGGGGATGTACCCGGACTCGGTGACGCCCAGGAGGAACCGGGTGATGAGGTAGCCGGTGTAGCTTGTTTGCCAGGCTTGGAAGGTGCTAACGAGGCCGAACAGGAATAGCTGTGCGGTGAGCCATTTCCCGGGGCCGACGCGGTAGAGCAGCATGTTGGAGGGGATCTCGAAGAGGACGATTCCCAGCGAGAGGAGCTGCTGGCCGATGTTGAACTCGAACTGGCTGATGTTGATGTCCTCGAGCATGGTATCGGTAATGGCGTTGGCGATGTTGCCGCGGTCAAGCTCTATCACGATAGGGCACGATGATGGGTTAGCCTTCCATTGTCCTGCATTGAAATTGCTTGCTCATGGGAGGCGAGCCGCGAATTTTAACAAGGCCAGCTGTTTACGGAGACAGAAAAAGCCGAGAATCAGGAGAGGGATGATAATCATATCGAGCCTGGAGCATCACTGTCAGCATGCACATAGAGTCGACTGCTACGCGCTGCTCGCGCCAGCCATGGTTCGATCGGTGTACTAACTTGCGCCTTGCCCGTGTCTCCTCCTCCTTGGTCCAGTCCGCTGCTGGGTGCACTCGAGACTGGTCGTCATCGCTGACCACAACATCATCGACCGGCTTGACCAGATCTTTCTGCGGTTCGAGGCTGGCCATCTTGCCGATGGAGTTCGGTGCGTCTTAGGTCTCAGGTCAGAGCCCAGCAGTCACGTTAAGACCCCAGCTGGGCAGCATCCTAGGATTATCTACTCTGGCTGGATAGCACTTTTTCTGTTCTCGACCAGGACCTCGATCATGATTGGTAAGTTTTTCACATCCGCCGGCACGAACTGCCCCGACCTTTTGTAGATGTCAACGGCCTGCATTGGGTCACGCTGGAGAGTGGAAGCCACAAGCGTTGACAGCATGCTGGGATTTGAGCACGTCATCAGGGGGCTTCGGATTCATAATCCTGGGATGCCCACGGCTTCTCGGCCGACGCGATGCGCAACAGGAAAATAAAGAGATCCTCAGGCATCCGTTTGCGGAGTCGCAAGCCAAGATTTGACAAAGTTCTGAGGGCCTCTTGTAAATTCTTGCCCACCGTTCTCCATAGCCGCTGTGGCACGAACAAGAGGGCAGCGTCGGCTACCTGTTTCCTCAGCAATAGGGACAATGCTTGCCATGTCAAAGTTGTTTGCCCCAGGGGTGACCAGAAAATCGGGTTCGGTAATAGCCCACAAGCATGTGGGAACGCCAACGCTTTACCATAGCCCTGGGAACAAAGAATCAGGCCATATCGCCGGGAAAATGGGCTTGATTGCGGTACAGTAGAACATATCCGCCCACACGAGTCAATCAGGAATCAGATTGGACGATAGAGGATGGCGTGATACTGATCCAGAAGTACGACAGCGGGAAGTGGGTCACTGCCCTGACGGATCATCCACATGGCACACATCGTGGTGAGCTAATGCTGCCGCACTTCCAAACAATATTATCGCGTGAACAGTCAGTCCCTCTTGATTCGACGCGAGTAGAAACACAGGGAAGTCTTTCTTCGCAAAGATCCAGTGCAGCCGGCGTCGCCATTGCACAACATGAAAACACTCACAGGAACGCAACTGTCGGCGCTTGCCGGCGACTACTTCGCCCCAGAAGGGCTATACCAGTACACCAAGTCCCTGCCCTTTCTCGGAAGTCTCCAATGCAACACGGCGACTCTGACGGCAGGCCAATGGACTGAGCTCATTGTCACCTATACCGTCGGCGCGAGCGGCCTGGCTGACGGCGCTTGGGTCAAAGGCACATTCAAGTTCTACTCGGATTGGGCGTTGTTACAGACCTCCGACCCGCGGCAGGACAATTACGTCTCGGCCGAGTATACCGCCGGACCGCTAGTGCCTGGCCAGACACCCGCGACTGTTCAAGGTCTCGCGGTGCGCTTTGACCAGAAGGACCGTGAGAGGCCGTTCCAAAAAGCCATCATCGTGGACGTTGTGGATGGCTACTTGAACCCGGGAGACAAGATCACGGTGCGGGTTGGTGACCGTCGATGGGGGGCTCGGGGGACCCGTGTGCAGACGTTTGTTGAAGATGCGTTTCGCATGCGGTGGTACATCGATCCCGTGGGCACATCTCGCTTTGCCCCGATCAAGCCGGATATCGAGATCCCAGTTGTGCCTGGACAGGCAGTGCAGGTGAAGGCTGTGCATCCACGGGTGGTGCGGCCCGGCGTGGAGTTCCCTGTCAATGTACATCTAGAGGATGTGTGGGGAAACACCACGATGGATAAGCAAGGACTTGTTGCGCGGTGCGAGATCCGCGAGGGTACATTCTCATGGCAGAAGGACGTCGAGTTTGCTGCCGAAGGCTGGACTGTCGGCAGTCTGCACACCACACTGCCCGGCGATGGAGATTATACCCTGAGTATATCAGTCCATAGAACCGCGCCGGGAGACTCCTTGCCCGCAAGTGGTAGCGAGCCTCTGCTGCCCACGATCACAGAACAACTCTCAGTATCGTCCACACTGCCTATCCCTCGCCCTCTGTTTGCGGACCTGCACGTTCACTCTGACGACACAGTCGGCACAAACTCGACAACCTACAACTTCTCCTACGCGCAGCTTATCGCAGGTCTTGACGTGGTGGGATACACGGCCAACGACTTCAACGTGACAGAGTCTGCATGGGCATCCACTCTTGCCATAATCCGAGAACTCAATGTCCGGGAGAAGGGCAAGCTCGTGATCTTTCCCGGTACAGAATGGTGCGGCAACTCTGCAGTGGGGGGAGACCATAACGTCGTCTTTCTCGGCGGCCCCTCTGATCCCGCCAAGGACGACGGAGCAGCCGAAGACGGATATGATGCCATTGAGTTCCCCCACGACAAGCACGGCAACGTGGCACGGTCCTTCGAGTGGAACGAGCACGGCCCCGCGGAGCTGGCGCCAGGCGCCTGGCCACTGGACGAGGTCTATGCGACATACGCGCACGATGCCGAGCGCCACCTGCTGATCCCGCATGTCGGAGGCCGCAGGTGCAATCTGGCCTGGCACCACCCGAAGCTGGAACGGCTGCTTGAGATTGGTAGTGCTTGGGGCCTTTTCGAGTGGCTACTGCGCGATTCCGTGCAGAGAGGCTGGCGGTTGGGCGTGTCGGCCAACTCGGATGAGCATCGCGGCCGATGTGGTGGGGGTGTTCCTGGCACCGCGGTGTTCGGAACCAAGGGTGGGCTTACGGGCGTGCTGGCGGACGAACTGGAGCGAGGCGCCGTGGCGCAAGCGTTGAGGGCAAGGCGGACTTTCGCCACGACGGGGGAGAGGTTGGTTGGTATCATCACAGCTCGCGCCGGGGAGAATGGGAATTCGGCGTTGCAAGGCGACGAGCTGCAGGTCCAGCGCGGTCAAGATATCACATTCGACTATCACTTCTACGGCAACCAAGGATTTGAGTCAATCGAGGCATGGGACGACAGTGGTATCATCTTCAAGCGGAACTTACAGCAAGAGACGGCGCAGTCCCAATCCACCGGCACGGCGGCTCAGAAGAAGGTGCGCATCAAGTGGGGAGGAGCTCGGTTGTACGACCGCTACCGCGAGGCTGTCTGGCACGGATCGATCATCATCGGAGGCAAGAAGGGCTCCCACCTTCCCATTGAACGCATTCAGCCATTCGGCGGCGTCTCGTATAGCCCCGAAGAGGTCGTCAAGCGGGTTTCCGACACCCAAGTCACCTTCCGAACTCGAACCAGCGGCGACTTTGACGGTGTCGATATCTACTTCTCTTCGTCGTCCCCAGTGGATCTACCGCTGGGCGTCAGTGTCACGGGCCATCTCGACGGCTACGTCAAGGTCGGCAACGTGCTTGCAGGCAACCCGCACAAGGCGCAGCCGCGATTCGAATTAGTGGCCTTGCATGATGAGTTGCTGGCTGGCAGCAGCAAAAGAATCGAGCTTGCTGGCGGTGCAGACCTTTTCGTCTCGGCGGAAGTTATTCAAGATGTAAACCTACCCACGCGGGTTGAAGGCACATTCGCACTACCAGTGAGAACTGAGAAGGCAAGTGACGAAACGAAGACTGAGACCAGGGCTGTGTACTTTGTGGCGAGAGAGTGGAATGGAGGCAAAGTCATCACCAGCCCAGTCTTCGTAGACTATGTCTAGTATCGAAGCAAGATCACTCAAGGGATCTTCATAGATGAATTCACACTGCTGTTATCGGTAAAGATGATATTGCTGAAAGGATATTCTCCATCTGGCCGTGCACCGCAGAGCCCGGTGACCGTGACAAGCTGGACTTCACTCATCTTGCGCTAGAGCCGAAAGAGCCAGATAGCACAGTGCCTCACAGCGAGCGCCTTAAATAGCACCGCCAGCAGATAAGCTTCCTTCGTGCTTCAGAGAATCGCGGTTCGTCTGCCGCTCCTGGGTAAGTTCTGTGGTATGAAGCTTGCCGATTCTGGTTTTTCTCGGGGGGATACATGGTTCTTAATGCTGTTGGAAGGATGAATGTGAAGCAGAAAGAAACTGGATGAGATGTACGAGTTGATCCAGCAATGAAGTAATCAACGCCTGCCCACAGTACGCAGGCCAATCAAAAGTGGTCTCCGCGCCAGGGATTTTTATGGGGCTCCCCGTTGATTCGTTCAGGGCCAAATCCCATTGCTGTTTTGAGCCTCAAAACAGCATCAGGGGCCAACCCTGCGTTTCCAAAGGGCCACTAAGCGACACACTGTCCTCCACTTGGCTCGTCTACTTCACCTCCTGCTGACATCTCATATGTTTGGGACGAGAAGGAGAGATCATAGTTTTCTCTACTCGTCCCTTGGTACATCGGTTGAGCAACTACAGGCGCACAGCAACACAACCGAAGCGGGCTACATAGAAAAAGTGTGTGACAACCCGAGCAACAGGTCGCAAGATCGGGCCAAGGACAAGGGCAGGTCATGCACGCGGGGCAGGCACACCCTTGGTTATGTAAGCATCTCATTATGTCGGCACGATACAGGATATGTTGGATCACAACATATCCACGCATATCCAGGGAACAACAGGAACATCGCTACGGAAACCCGACGAGGGGCAAAGGATATATAGGGACAGGCGGATCTCCTTGTAGACAGTCATTACCTTTGCACTTCAGCGATCAATCTAAGTATCACTCTTGCCCTTCACTTGACCTAGTCATTCAATTGATTCAAGTGTGATATCTCGCAAGAGACACGAACGACAACCCCTCGAGAACACGATAGCACAGAGTCAGTATTGCATAAGGTTGCTACTTGCCTTATTCAGAACATAAACCCCACAGCGCCCGGTTGGACGGTTGACCCCGGAGATCGGATCGTGATATAACCCTAGCGCCCTACTAGACGGTTAACCCCGGAGGTAGGATCGTAACAATAGAGCTATCTACGTTACTTATTTCCAATAAGCTAATAGTACAGTAGTGGGCTTGCGCCCTAATGGGTCGCTAGTAGACTACAGGTATATGGAGCTACAGGTACTACTATACCTACGCTGGGCCGCCATAGCGATACTAGACCTGCTGTAATTTAACCAGATGCGATAGTATATCCATTAATACTCGTTGACACGGCCCATTCCGGTACATCCGGGATTCGCTGGCTAATCTGAATCATTACTCTCGGCTAGGACATGATGCCGAGCCCCACATGAGCCCCCCCAAAATGGAGTCTGCAGCTGGTCAGTCGAGTGCAACAAGTCACTCCAACTAATGGAGTATAGGACGATGCAAGTGCTGAGTCGTGCCAATGGCTCTTTTCAATCTAGTTGCTGTGAGATAGCGTCAGGCTAAGCACGAGCTATTGTTCCCACACAAGCCACTCTCCATTGCTGGGTAAATCTAAACGACACGGATGACGATGTCCACGGGTCAAGCACTCCGGTAAACGTTGTGCGGGGCCCCAAGGAAAAGCAATGAGCCACCCTGCGTGGAGCCGATCCGGGGAATCAGCGGTATACCCCAGGAAATCCCTGCATTCTCCGCATCTTTCCCCATCTCTACCCCACGTCGGCAGTTCGTCCGGTCTCGACTTCTGCTAAACATTCTTCCTGCCGTCCCTGCCGTGCCCATGTCTCCCCCGCATTCTCCAGCTTGGCCACAGCCGGGCCTTTGGACATAAAATCCCCTTGTGTTTCCTGCCAAGACTGATTCACAGCTGGATCTCGGGCATCGTTGTACCTCGAGAGGAAGCGAACACCAAGCTCAATCAACCTCGTCATGTTGTCCGTCTTGACTGCCAGTGCGGCTGCACTGCTCGCGGCCTCACCCGCGCTTGGTGCTGCCTATCCATCGAGTGGCAACGCCACCAACCCTGTCATCAACCTTGGCTCGGCTGGTTCTTACCTGGGCGTGGTCCAGAACAATGGAACGTATGTCAGAACTCTAACTTGAACCTTGCAACCTTGTTCTTGTCCTTGATCCTCCCGAGACAAAGTAGCTGACTCTGAACCTCCTGGGTCGCATAGTGTCGCCTCCTGGAAGGGAATCCCGTACGCCGAGCCCCCAGTCGGTTCGCTCCGCTTTATGCCTCCCAAGGCCCTCGCGGCTCAGGGCTCGGACGTCATTGACGTGACAGACAATGCCCTGCGGTGTGTACAGTTCGCTGGCGCGCCGTACGGGATCGTCAACAGCAACATTGTCGGTCCGCGCTCTGGCCCCGGTCAAGAGGACTGCCTCAAGTTGTGGATCTGGAAGCCTGCCAAGGCCAAAGCTGGTGACAAGCTCCCCGTCATGTTCTACATCCATGGAGGCGGTCTGCAATTCAGTGCGGCTCCCAATAACGACTTTAGCGACTGGGTTGGCCAGAGCCAAGACTTCATCGCCGTCAATGTCGGCTATCGCCTTGGAGCTCTTGGTTTCATGGCCCACCCTTCCCTGCCCTCAGCCAACGCCGGTCTGCTCGACCAGCGCCAGGCCCTCCGTTGGGTCAAGAAGAACATTGCAGCCTTTGGCGGCGACCCTGGTGACGTCACCATCATGGGCCAGTCCGGTGGTGGCTACGCCGTCGTCTCGCAGATGGTGCTCTATGACGGTGACAACCAGGGTCTGTTCTCTAAGGCTGTGCCCCGTTCCGTGCAGAGATCTCCCAGCTTCCGCGTAGACGAGCTTGCGGATCGCAACGCCGAGTACTTCAAGCTACTCAACTGCACTGACGGACAGGCTCAGTTAGACTGCTTCCAAGGAGCCTCTGTTGCTGCACTGGTGAATGCATACAACGCCTTGTCCAAATACAAGTCTTCTTCAGGGTATGAACCAGATCTAACTCCCATATGCTGGCAAAGATAATATTTTCTCGGCTAACGCTTTCTCGTCCTGCCAGCGAATTTAATAACCTCACCTTCGGCAACTCAGGCGCCTTCTTGCCCATGATAGACGGCGTCACCTTGACTGACTCAGTCACACGGCTCTTCAAGAAGGGCAAAGTCGCCAAGGTCAAGACGGTTGTGGGATTCGTGAACGACGAGGGCGCCAATACGGCACCCCGCAACACGAGCGTCCTCGACTCGACCACAAACGGCATCTGGAACCTGACCGACAGCCAGGTCAAGCAGGCCGCCAGCTACTACCCTAATAACTCTACTTTTGGCTACGCCAGCCCAGACAACTTCTTCCTGACAATCTTCAAGTCATACATCATGGCCCTTAGCCCGTTCGGGGAGCAGGGCATCACCGGCTCCGAGCGTCTCGTGGGACGATACATGTCAAAAGCCGTCGGCCAGAACAAAGTCTGGACATTCCGCTTCAACGCCCCGGCCGTCGGCACAAACTACTCCAGCACCAACCCTTACCCGCTCAACTACGTCGCCCACTCCGCCGACAACAGCTACCTCCAGAACGCCACGGCCGTAATGACCCCCTTTGAAAAGAGCCTCGCGCTCGAGTGGCGCGCCTACATCGGGAGCTTCATCCGCTGCGGCGACCCGAACAAGGAGAAGCTCACCACCTCGCCCACGTGGCACAGCTACGGCGCCCTGGGAGGAAGGGAGTATGTTGACTCCCCCGTGAGATTGGTCCCGCAGTTCGCGTACCAGAGTAATGCGAACGAGAGCTTGCCCACGAGCACACAGCTCGAGGTGTCGCAGAAGGCTCAGCTCGAGAGGGTGGATTGGTGGTTGACGGATGCCATCTTGGATGCTACTCGTGTGTGAAGGAGGAAGTAGTGCAGCGTACTTCATCCTCTCTGGCTGTTCCGTCCAATATAGTAGAAAGGAAACAATGTCCTCTTGTCCCAAGGTGTAAAGTATCACAGCCTTCTATCACGAGCTGTGTACGGACAATAAGATTGACTTGTAGCCTCTAAATGGATGCAGTCGGCACTTGAGTGGTCTTGTGCACACGGGTTGACTTATGGGTTGGGATTGTGCCGTGCATCTCTCGCAGAGAAGCAAAGCGTTCTGCATCGCAGCTACCAGTCCATTGCTTGCGAATCAAAGGATTGCCCTTAGATAAGCTCGCCGGCCGGCGATTGGATCGATCTACGGACGTTTATCTCCTTTGCAATTTCAGCTGAAGTGAGGGCTATCTGATCGTGCGGCTGAATCAGCTAACGCCCCAAGACATTAAGCGAGGCTAAGCAATGCCAAGCAGTTGAACAATACATTGAAATCAAGATCCAGACTCTACTAGCTCCATCTTGGCAGAGAAACCCGCAGCTTTGCAATTGCGACAACTGGGGGCTGTCGGGCCCGACAGAACGGAAATATCCGAATTCGGTATCGCGCCAGAGCGGCTGAAGTGCTCCTGATCTGCCCGCACGGCTCCGCGGCGCCATGTGGCTGCATAGACGGTAAAGCAAGGGTTGCAATGAAGGGAATAAGAAAGAATTGTCCAGCGATTCATATTAAACTCGGCTGGTTGTGTCTCCTGATCCTGGTCGTTGCCACCTGCACCGCATTCGACCTTTGTCTGTACATCCACGAGCAACATGAGGTTTTTCGCCAGCTCAATGCTGGCCGCTGTGGCCGTCATCTCCGACGTGGTGCACGCAGCAGAACCTTCCTGCAATAAGCCTCCCGTCAAATCATGCTCGCTGGCGATCCAGAGCACAAAGACCCGGACGGCTTCTCTGACGAGCTTTTGCTCCTCGGTGCTCGGCTGCAAGGCCACTACAACCACGCTGACTGGGGGTTCGACGATTACTGTGACAAAGACGATCACGACCATCGAGACCTATACAGAGGAAGAGATTGTGAGTTATCCTGAGCAGACAACATGAATGGAACGCTGCAGGGGTGCAGCCACCATTACTCTTCCTTCAGAGCAACAGCTTTGCCTCTGAACTCCGTCGACAGATTCAGTAGTCGCTGATTTGTGAACCGTCGAATACAGGTCAGCGAGGAATATGAGACTACTACTTTCGACCATACTGTAAGTGCATATAGAGCCTGAATCTGAAAAGTCACCTAGACTTGTTGAATACTGACGATTTGCGTGCTTGAACAGGAGACTACATACACCGAGGTCGCCACCGAAACATCCCGGCCGACGTGGACTGTTGAGTATGGATCGTCCCAGCTCATGAAGAGTATTTCCTATCGATCCGCTCGACTGTTAAGCTAACGCACTGTAACTTTTCAAAAACAGGAAATTTGTCATCACTACCAAGAAAGCGGGAGCGCGTGGGGTTGAGGATGGCACCCGACATCCGAAGGACCTGCGCGCCGGATCGACGTCAATCTGCCCTCCGGCCGACGAGACAAAAGCTTGCTCTTGCCTGATTGGTGGCTGCGCACCTCCAGTCACCAAAGACAACAGGCCAACAAAGACCGTCAGAACTACTGACACGTCCTACCTCGTGAGTTGGCATCATGTTTCGTACAGTGCTTGGGAGCAAAATGACGCGCTCGATCCTACAGAAACATCACAAGTCTCAAAGCATTGCTAATCATTACTGTATGGCATGTATGAACAGTTCACAACCAAAGGCATCACGTACACAAACATCATATATGAACCCATTTTACACACCGATACGATAAGCTACACATATACCGAGATAAGCGGCTACCTTTCCACGCACACAACGACCATCAAATGCACGCCGGGGGCAACATCTTCAGCGACCTCGTTCTTCCGCCTTCAGGCAACAAATGCTCCAGATGTCAATGGCCAGCATTTATGGATGGCACCCTTGAGCCCCGCATTCTCAGTTTCTCAATCGAAGCTGCCTTTACGAGCGACATTGACCAAGCAACCGTGTATTCAATTGACGACCAAGGGCGCCTCATCAGCCGTCACCTCAACGGGACACACTTCGCCAACGTAGATGGTTACAATGACTTCCAGCTCGTGCATATGATGACCCGTGACGAGGTCCAGAGGCGGGGATACGACTACTTGCGGTGCTCGATGAAGCCTCCAAGCGGCAAGTATCCGGGCGGATTCAAGGAATTGTACTGCCTTGCCGACGGAGGTGTGTGGCAACGGGATATCTGGAATTACTGTCCGATCTACAAGGAGTGGTTCAACGCGCCACTGGTCCTAGGGGACGAGTGGTCTGAGACGGCACCGGATTGCTTTGCCATAGTGTTCTTGATCAAGCCGGTGTGCGGCTGGGTCTAGCGCACGTACCTTGAGCGATCAGGACACAACCAGACAAAAGAATGTGCCAAACACGGCGCGGGCTTTGAAAGAAAGTTGGTAAGCCCAGCGATTGGTTTCAAGCGGAGAGTCTGAATGACCGATGAAAATTCGGGTACGAATTGGTTGCTATGTCATAAGACCTAAGTGCGAGGTCCATATTTGTTTTGCACCTTGCAAGCGCGCCATTTCCCTGTTCTTGAAAGTGCTGCACTGGGAGGTCTGGGTTGGTCGCAAGACGAAAAACTCATGAATTATTAGGTAGCCTGCTCTCGAACAATTTTCACATCCAAAGCTAGCTTTACATTGCTATCTTGAAGCTCGTTGTCCGGACAATCAACCCTTGTTAGCCGGTCTTTGCAAAGGACCACTCGCCTCGGCAAAGTTGAAGTGGTGAGCCCGTGGCGCCGTACCGTGACCATCCTAGATACAGCCATCTCTTTATCAAGCTGAGCAATGAGATCGTGCTGCCGCATGCTTCTTTACGGGTTCCGCAAGACCAGGACCGCACCTTCTGCAAACTTTCGCTGGAAATCCTCATTGTCAAAGTCTGTTTCCTTCAAGATCGAAATGACATCCCAGGCACTTCCAGTTAATCCCGAGATATATTGGTCCCCATATGCTGCAGCAAGCGAGCAGCAGCGCGGTGCTCTGACGATGACAATTACATTGCATCCTCCGCGACAACCGTCCATCTAATTTAGTGCCTGGGCCTCTCGTAGCCAATCTCGAGCTGCATTATTCCACAAGTCAGGGATAACTAACTCCACACACGTGAACCCTGGAGCTCTCATCTGGCCCCATTTTCTGTGTGACATGTCCTACTAGGCGTCGTGTGCAACATGAAGAAGGTGCCTTCCGAGGCATTTGGCGTTAGAGGAGGTCAGAACCCGCAGTCCTTGCAGATGTCGTGCTTAGCGGTCGGCCAATGTACCCTATCTCTTGAGCCAGGTTTGATTCAACCGGCCATAATGTCGAGTAGAAGTTCAACCGCTGTGTCACCAGCGATTTCAAACCGAGTGAACCGGGGAAAAAGTTCTCATCATAGACTAGTCTGCTATCCAAGAAATCATTCCTCAATGCAATGCCCCATGGCGGTTGACGGGACAAAGCCAGTCTCCTGCTAGTTTTAGGGCCATAAATTCGAATTGTTGATCAAGAACTTCATACACGATGACGTAACGGACTGGGATGATAGTGCCAAAATATGCTCTTCACTGGCTTCATAACATGCTTCACTGAGAGTTCGCGAATAAAAAGACATGTTTGGATATGATTCTCATTCAGCTGTTGGTATGCGTGAACCACAACAAAACCTTTTGGCATCTATTTTGTATCCCATCAATGCCTTAAGAAGCATACTTTACAGAGAACAGACCACGCTCGATCGAGTTGATCAGGATGTTGCCACTGTTGAAGTACGGGAAGACGGACCACGCGCCGTTAAAGGTGGCAGCGCCGCCAACCGAGTCATCCTCGGGACGGACATCGAAAAAGGCAACCTCCTCGAACAGCGAGCCCGTGTCGTCCAGGTTGACCGAGGAGACGTTGACCATGCGCAGACCAGAGCCGTAGTTGGCCTGGTACGCGATGCCGTCGACAATGTACTGGTTGTGGTCGATGGACTTCTGCGGGGACTTGTAGACGCCGCGGAAGACGGGCCAGGTAAGGTCCTGCACGTCCACAATGTACGTGGTGGTGTGCTGGTCCGCGGCCGGGCCGTTGCGGTTCTGCTCGTCCAGCTCGTCGTCGAGCAGCAGGTACCTGTGGTCCTCGGTGAGCCAGCCCTGGTGGGTGTAGGTGGCACCGTTGTAGGTCGTGCGCGACAGCTGGCGAGGCGTGGGGCGGCGCGAGATGTCGACGATGGTGAGGGCGTCCTCGTTGAAGTTAAAGCAAATCTCTCTGCCCTGGTACGCGGTCTGCGGGCCGCGGTAGATGACGCACTGCGCGTCGTGCACGTAGCCGTCCGAAGACACGCAGCCGGCGTCCTGTGGTCTGCGGGGGTTGGAGACATCGACCATCCACAAACCGCCACGGCACTTGAGGGACATCTGAGTGCCGACGGCGGCAATCAGGTCGGTTTCCGCGTTGGCTACGATGTTGTGGCTGCTGCCAAAGCCAGAGAAGCGGGCCGCGACGTCCCCAGTGATGCTGTAGGTGGGCGGGTTGCTGGGGTCGGCGCTCAGGAGCTTGGTGAGGTCAAAGATCTGCAGGCCGTGGTCGGGGGCCTCGGACCCAATGTAGGCAAAGTTCTTGATGACCTTGATGTCGCGCCAGCTCGAGGCGACGGTGTGGGTGGGCAGGCGGCCGACGTAGCGAAGGCTGCCATCCTTGTTGACTTCTGCGAAGGCGGTACCGTCGCTTTGGCCAACGAGAGCAAACTCGCGGCCACTGTTGGGGTCGGTCCAACCTGTGTGCATGACAAGTTAGTCAGTGACGATGCGCTTGCAACTGCTGGCGGAGGGTGATGCATGCTTACCCCAGACGTCATTGCCCACGCGCGTGCGGCTGCCCAGGTCCTGGTGCCGGAGGAAGCCCTTGAGGTCGACATTGTTGCAGAGGTACTCGCCGGCCTTGCCGTCGACGCAGGCCGCACCGGTGGCCAGAGTAGAGTAGCGGTCCTCGTCAAAGGCACCAGACGCGAGATCCTGCACATGCTGCGCGTCCTTGCGGGAACGCAGCTCCTGCATGCCAATGGCATTCGGGGCATTGAAGGCAGTGAGGAAGGTCTCGTCAAAGGCAGACGTGTCGATCTTCTCGGCAAGGGCAGAGCCGGCCCAGGCCGCGAGGACGATGGATCCGAAAGAAGCCTTCATCTTGACAGCTGGTTTGTATGGCTTATAACGGACGGGACAAGGACAAGTCGACACGTAGGCGATCGAGCTACAGCAGGCGACGCGCTGGGTGAGCAAATCCAGCTGATCGCCAGACTGACTGGCCAATTCCTGGATTTATATAGGGGCGTGGTCCATCTACCAGATTCGCCGTTCTCATCCCAACGCTGTAGCATCAAAACATCACAATCTTGCGCTTGGCATACCCGCCAAGCTCTTGGAGCGGTTCGTCCCCATCGCGTTGTGGTGTTGGTTTGGAAATCTCCACTCAGCCGCCTTATCGCCTTCTTGTTGGAGCAGTGATCAACCCGGTCGGCTCCATTCTTGTCCCTGCAACGAGCACCGGCCAACAGTGCCAAGCCATGGTATGGGCAGCTGCTCGCCCAGCAGAGGTGCAAATACCACCACAAGGGTGGGGATCGGCAGCAAAAGTGCAATAATGGGCCACGGGGCAAGGGCCAGCAGGCAGCACCGGCTCCAAAGGCTCGTCAGGCACAGCTTCTCCCAAGGTTTCCAGGCTTTCCAACTTATGCGCGCCAAGTGCCGTGGCCCCCACAATATACCCCGGACCTTTTCTGCCCCCAAGCCCGGCCGCGGATCTTCAGTGCCGTGGCCCCAGCCACATACAAGCCAGCCCAGCGTCTGCCAAGCAGCACGCCACTCTTGCCTCTTCGTTTGGAATCACCAAGTGCCAAGAGCCTACTTATCGCGCATCCCCGTCGCCTTCCTGATGCATACTACGCCCGCTGCAATCAGCTTATCCGTCCCGCCGGAATGACGAGGGGCGACATGATGGCCCGCGGGAGCCGGACACAGACCTCTGGGTCTTCCTGCCGTCCGCCGATCCGATTGGCTACCGCGCCCTGGATTATTGCGCCTGTCGTGATCTCTTGCTTCGTATGGCATCATTTGCATTGTTGCATTTCTGCCGAACTTTAGCGCGCCGTGTCTGAACACCGCCAAGGAGATTCGCCAACATTGAGACAAGCCTTTGGGGCGGCAGAAGTTGGCAGATACCGCATACTTCTCTCGGCAGCGGCATACAAGCCGACTTGGCCCATCTGTGTTCCGATAGCTGGATAGATAGCGGCGAGTAAAGGCGTGGATGGTTTCGTGCCGTTGTGATCCTGTGGTAGCAAGTGCAACATGTCACCCATCTTCTGAGCTGAGAAAAGAAAGTTACTCCATGAATTTATTTGTTGTCAGGGATGAGCATATAGCGAGCTACTTACATAACTGCTCACATATGACTGAATGGAAAATAAATAGTTAGTATAGACGCGCTTCGATGCGCCGTTCCTGTGCGGTTTGAGAGCATCAACTGCTTAGTCAGGTACACCCTTGTTATTCTAAAAACGGGTCATTGGCTACTCCGTTTTACTGAAGAAATAGTCAAGAAGGGATGAAATTGTTCAATCACCGTCTCCGTCTGCCATGAGGGGCGGTCATTGGGATCACATGAAACTATGTACATTCGATTATCGCAAATGAGAGGCAGCAAGCGTAATAGCCACATCGGAAAACGCATGCTAATTATGCGGATTGATTAATGAGAGAATAATAACAGTGTTGGAACTTAGACGCCAGCGACAGCCAGTCCTCAAGATGGTTGAAGGAAATCAAGCGTGGATGACGGATACCAGCCCATCTGAAACTTTTGATGCCTTGTGCTTGCAGATCCGGCACTATGTAGAGAGAACAAAACTTAAAGACCGCTGCCAGGCCTCAAACTACCGTACCCGCTGCTCGCCATGGCGTTCCTCTGCATGCAGCGATGTAACGTAGACGCAAGCCTCCTCTCTCAGACCAATTCGTGTGTCTCCCGAGCTTGTGCCTGCTCGAGCGGATCCCGCCTCGACAGGCGCTTGATCTTACTCTCCTTGAGCGTGTGAACTGTGGTGACGTCCCTGTTCATGTCGTGATGTCGTATGGTCAGGCTGAGCAGGAAGCAGGCTCCGGACAAGGCCAAGTACGCCCAGAACACACCGCGGAACCCGAACACGTATGCGTCCATTGCCTTGGTCTTGAAGGGATCCCCGTCAGGCAGCGCATGGATGAAGACGATGTACCCTTCGGCGTTCTTGGCGATGGCCGTGTCCAGTCCTTCCCAGCCCAGCTTGAGCGCCATGACGTTCTGGAAGATGGACCCGCCGATGCCGACGCCCAGGGCGGCCCCGAGCTGCCGCACGAAGCCATACATGGCCGCGGCGGCGCCCTCGTCGCCAGGCTTGCACTGCGCCTGCGCCGCAAAGTTCTGTGCGTTGAGGACAACGCCTTGGCCGAGGCCCACGATGACCATTGTCGTGGCCCACACCGCAGTCGTCGTGTCGCGGTCCCAGGTGGTTAGCACGCCCAGGCCGATCGTGCTCACCACCCACCCAGCCCAGATCGCCCAGCGATATCGGCCAGTACGTGTCACGATGGCGCCCGAGACTATGGCACCCGGAACGGTGCTGAATCCTGCAGGCAGGATGGAAATCCCCGCATTCAGCGGTGAGAATTGCTTGACCGCGATGAAGAACCAAGAGACGTAGTAGAAGCAACCAAACAGCTAATTATCCGATTGAATCAAGATTAGCTGACCATACACATATGGGCCATGACGAAAGGTATAGCGGTAAGGTATCAACATGTTACTCACAAGAAGTCCCTGGCTGCTGCCACAAAGGTAGGTCGTAGTGCTCGAAAGGTCGCGGAAAAGAGCTGGCGAAAGCATCGGTTTCCTAGCCCACCAGCCCTCGTACACTACCGCGACAATGAGCCCACAAATGCCAAGCACCAGCGGTAGGATGGTCTGCACGGCACCCCACGCGAACTGTGTGCCTCCCCAGGAGACTGCGATGAGGAATGAGGTCATTGATGCAGTGAAGAGGAATCCTCCGATCCAGTCCAGCTCCAGTAGTTTTGTGCGAAAACTTGCGGTTGGGGGTTTCAGGGTCAACAGCAAGGGTACCAGTACCAGTCCTAGGGATAACAGGGGAAACATCATATAGAAAACCCATCCCCAGGTTGTGTGTTGAGCAATAGCGCCGCCGATCGGAGGTCCCTGCATGAGTTCTCTTGGTCAATAAAGAAAAAAGCTACATGGCATTGACCCTGGCAGTTGTTGACGTAGGGAGACAAGACGGTAGGAAGCGTCGACGAGAGTTGACTTACGATGCAGGTTCCCAGAGCCCAGGCACCCAGTCTAGACACATGGTCAGTACGTTTTGCAACAAGAGCAGAGCGTAACCCAGACTGCCGAGACATGGAATGAAAAGCAACAGCTGGGAATTGGTTGTTAAGGATGTGGAGGAAGAATCGGCAAAGCCTTAGGTACTTACACAGCGCCGTACCACTTGGGTCTAAACCGCAGTGGTACAATGTCGGTGAAGATAACAAGTGCCAGAACAACAATCCCGCCGCCGCCGATTCCCTGGAGTGAACGACCGGCAAGCATGATGGCAATATCGTGAGTAATGCAGCACAGGATCGTGCCGACTGCGAAGAGGACGAGAGAGGACATGAGGCACAGTGTACGGCCAAAGATCTCGCTAATGCCCGCGATGACGGGCATCATCACCGCGTTTGCGAGTAGGTAGGCGGTTCCGATCCAGAATCCTTGTGTAGCATCACTGCCGAGGTCCACGACAATTGCCTGTAGGGTTGTCATCTTTCATATTAGCACTGCGACAGTTGGGGATCGTTGTTTGGCTGGAGCGGTTTGAGTCTTCGTTTCCAGGTGTTGTGATACGATCGCCAGTGCCAAAGGTGTCTAACTTACGTTGAGAGCTGGGACGATCACGCTGGCGTCCAGCGATACCATGAGAGACAGGAGGGAGAGCACAACCATGATCAGGATCTCGTGAGTGGACGGCGACCATGCTAACTGCGTCGACTCCTCGAGAATCTCAGCATGCTCATCGCCGCTGCTACCGTGGGACTCGATGAGTTCCCTAGGCTCATGGCTGTCCGCCGTGTTCTTGTCCTTGTTATGCATTTTCGTGTTGTCGTGTGTTTGAGGACGCAGCGTCTTCTTCCAGGACGTCTCCGGCTTCCTCTCTTTGAGCCCAAGCGTTTGAATCCGAGCGCGGAGATGTCTCCTGATGCAGGATTCGAAGAGCTGAGGCGAGGGTAGGACGTGCCCTGATTAACGATGGTGTATGCTGGACGCTACGGCAAGCGTGAATCTAATTGGGCCCAGACCAGACGATTGTTGTCAAGGAAGTGAGTGTGGCTTGATCATCTAGGCTGAAGCTTAGCTGGCATGCATCGTGGTCGGAGTCGCCGTCGTCGTCGTCAGAGTTTGAGTTGACGCATGTGAGTCGCGTCTATGGGGTGCTGCGTTGTTATCTGGCCCGGAGAAAGGTATCCTGTTGGGCTGTGCGAACCAGAGATCTTAGTTTGCTTGAAAACAATAAGCGCGATCGGAAAAGGTGCATGTGGCTTGGAAACCGGCGAGCTGAAGAGGGTCTTTGTACTCTCAAATAGGACTGGGGCCGCACCTAAAATAGTCACTTAAGCTTTGCGGCGACGCCCGGCTCCCTCCCTTGCAGCTTCGCGTCGTTCGAATCAGTAGTACACTACGCCACGCCGCGTGGGACTATTCGAGACAGGGAAGGCTTGCCCAGCAGGGCAGGCTGCTGGGCGCAACGGTGTGTGGACAGACACAGTGATCAAATGGTTCCAACAGATTGGCCTCAGGACATGGAGTGGCGTAGCCATCCCAGCTGAAGCATCCAAATCGGGAATGCCTGCATCTTCCTTGCACAAGCGCTATTGGGCCGGACATACGATATCAAATCACATCTGCAGCTTGGTTTCAGCTCCCTCCCGCCCCCACGATCGAGAAAGTGCTATCTCCCCAAGGAAGTCGGCAGGGTCTGAACTGGTTTAGAACCTCGGCGGAAGTTACCATGTCCAGAATTCAGACGCCACGCTAAACAAGAGCTGTGAAGCATCTTTAGAGTGTCGAGGGAAATGCGGCTTCCAAGGTTGGTTCGGCATACGTGCAACAAACTTAATTGCTCTGACTGAGAGCACGTGCGCGTCCTTGGGAAAGAATCCATCTGGAGCTCTCAGAAACTGATGATTCATGGGGAGGCATAAATACTTCCACAGAGTATTCGCTATGGGCGTTTCATGGGGGGCCATATCCAACCATACCCAGAGCGTCCGACTCAAGAGCGCTGCTATTGTTAGCCTTCATATCGTTTTAAGCAACAATCCAATTTGACATTGCTACTCCACAGTCACAATGGCTCCATTCCTCGCCAGCGATGGACCACAGGTGTTGGTAAGTCTTGTCATGGGGTTCGCGCTTAAATTAATGTCGTCTGACGGTGGATAGAACAACCTGGCTTGTTCCACAGATAACTCTGAGGAAGCCAACACGCCAGGCATGGCGGAGCCAATTGCTATTTGTGGGATGGCCCTGCGCTTGCCGGCTGGCGTCAGCACGCCCTCCCAGTTCTGGGAGTTCCTGGTCAACAAGAGAGACGCCCAGGGTCCCATACCCGGGACCCGCTACAGTGCGGCCAAGTATTTTTCCAAGGCTGGCAAGGCTGGCTTCGTGAAAGCGGAGCGTGGCTACTTTCTGGACGAGTCGGTCGATCTGGGTGGTCTTGACACAACCCTGTTCACTATGCCAAAAAACGAGGTCGAGCGTGCTGATCCTCAACAGCGCATCCTTCTCGAACTCACAAGAGAGTGTCTCGAGAGTGCTGGCGAGGTCAATTATCGCGGCAAGCAGATTGGAACATTCGTAGGCTCCTTTGGGGAGGACTGGTCCTCCTTGTTCGCCAAAGACGATCAAGTCCCAGCCGTGTACAAAGTCACTGGATATGGAGATTTTGTCCTGTCTAACCGCTTGGCGTATGAGTACGACTTGCGGGGCCCCAGCATGACCATCCGGACGGGATGCTCTTCAGCGTTGATTGGCCTGCACCAAGCCTGTTTAGCCATCCGGGCAGGCGACTGCGACTCCGCCATTGTAGGAGGATCCAATCTGCTGCTAGCCCCAGGCCTCACCAGCGACCTATCGGAGCAGATGGTCCTCTCCCCCACTGGTTCATGCAAGACATTTGATGCCGACGCCGATGGGTATGCCCGCGGCGAGGCTGTCAATGTCATCTACGTCAAGCGGCTTACTGAAGCTATCCGTGATGGCAACCCAGTCCGCGCGGTTATTCGCGGCACCTACTCCAACTCTGACGGCAAGAAGTCTGGGTTGACCATGCCCAGCTTTGAAGGCCATGCAGCCTTGATTCGGAAGACATATCAGGTTGCCGGCATTGCCGACCCTGCTGCCACACCCTTCGTGGAATGCCACGGAACCGGCACGTCGGTGGGTGACCCAATCGAGACAAGGGCTGTGGCGCAAGTATTTGGCGACCGCGGAGTCTACATTGGCTCAGTGAAGCCAAATGTCGGGCACTCAGAAGGAGCGTCAGGCTTGACCTCACTTATCAAGGTGGTGCTGGCACTAGAACACCGATCCATTCCGCCCAACATCAAGTTCAACAACCTTAATCCAAAGATTCCCTTCAAGGAGAAGAAGCTCGTAGTGCCGACCGAACTGACCCCATGGCCAGAAGATCGCGTGGAGCGTGCATCCGTCAACTCATTTGGCATTGGAGGCGCTAACACGCACGTGGTCATCGACTCCGCCCAGTCGTTCCTCGGTTGCAAGTCTGTCGCGCCCATGGTCAACAGTGGAGTACAGCATACCGCTGCTGATCCCCACCTCGTCGTCCTCTCCGCCAACACGTCAGACTCGCTGCGCCGGCAGATAGAGAATCATCGAAGGTATCTTGAGGACAACACACACCTGTTGCCTGAGATTGCCTACATCCTTTCTGCTCGCCGTGACCACCTGCCTTACCGCACCTTTGCCGTCGTTGGACAATCTGCGGAAATCAACACATCTCCCACTATCAAGGTTACCAACACAATTCTTCCTCGTCTCGCTTTCGTCTTCACGGGCCAGGGTGCCCAGTGGGCGCAAATGGGCTCGGAGCTGCTCACGTCCAGCAGCATCCCAGCCTTTGCCAAGACTATACGTCGCTTGGACGCGACTCTCAGTCGATTGCAGGACGGTCCATCCTGGTCCATTGCGGACGAGTTGACCAAGACCAAAGGGGAGAGCAATGTCAGTCAGGCGGCGTACTCACAGCCTCTATGCACAGCAGTGCAAATTGCACTGGTTGACGTACTGACTGAGTACGGTATACGAGCACATGCCGTTGTTGGCCACTCATCTGGTGAGCTGGCTGCAGCATACGCCGCAGGGAAGCTGACAGGCGAAGAAGCAATCATTGCTGCTTATTACAGAGGTGTTGTATCAAAGCATGCGAAGCGGTCAGGTGCCATGGCGGCGCTGGGCATGTCGTGGGAAGACGTCAAGCCGCTTCTCTTGCACGGAGTCGTGGTGGCGTGTGAAAACTCCCCGGCAAATGTAACCATCTCAGGTGACAGAGAACAGCTAGCGAGCGTGTTGGCGGCGGTCAAGGAACGCGATGCGTCGACCTTTGCCAGGGAACTTAAGGTCGACAAGGCCTATCACTTACATCACATGGAAGAGGTCGGCGAGCTTTACGAGTCGCTGCTCGTTCCTCATCTCAAGGGGGACAGCGATTCCGCATTAAAACCCACAGAGGGCACTTCTCGAGATACCGCCCCACCCAGCATGTTCTCCAGTGTTACGGGACAGCAGCTCCTCAAGATGCACAGCACAGGTAGCCGATATTGGCGTTCCAACCTCGAGTCTCCAGTGCTATTCCGCAAGGCGGTCGGCAGCCTTGTCGAACATCATGCGAACGGCCCAGGACAGGGAGTGCCCTTAGTCTTCCTCGAGCTTGGCCCACATTCGGCCCTCGCTGGTCCGCTACGGCAGACACTAGCTGAGCGAGAAATGAATGCTCCTTATTCCAGCTGTCTGATCCGCGACAAGAATGCTGTCAAAACTCTCCTGGCAGCCTTAGGCCAGTTGTGGCAACAGAACGTGAGCATCGACTTCGGTAGACTGACGAACCCCCACGGGATGCGTGATGTCGCCACAGATCTGCCGACGTATCCATGGCAGCATGACCACTCACTGCTGTTTGAGACCCGACTGCAAAAGCTGTGGAGGTCACCCCGCGCGAGAAAGCACGAGATTCTGGGCGTCCGCGTAATCGAAAGCACAGACAACGAGCCGCTCTGGCGCAACGTCTTGCACCTTGCAGCAGTTCCTTGGCTACGCGACCACAATGTAAAGGGAGACATTGTTTTCCCCTGCGCGGGCTATGTCGGCATGATTGGAGAGGCGATACGCCAGCTTACCGCAATCACGGATGGCGGTAATGACGCTGAAACCCCCTTCACCGGTTTTAGTATCCGCGGCATGGTAATCGATACGGCCATGCTGTTGTCTGAGTCTAGGTCTACGGAGGTATTGACCAGTCTCACGCGCCACCGACTTACCGATAGCCTAGAGAGCGATCGGTGGGACTTTGTTGTCAGCTCGCACAATGGTGCCGTGTGGACCAAGCACTGCGCAGGACAGGTCTGCTCTATGTCGCCGCTGCCCACGGCAGAAGAAGCCGCGACGGTCGAAAAGTGCCTCAACTCCAAGTTTCCACGCCATGTAGAGGCTTCCAAATGGTACAAGGTCATGCGCGAGGTTGGCGGAAACTACGGGCCAACCTTCCAAGGACTTGACAACATCACCTGTTCCACCACAGGGAATGAGGCCTCAGCAACGGCGAAGCATACTGTCCAAGACGCGGAAGAATTCTACGCAGTTCATCCTACCAAGATCGACTTTTTTCTTCAGTTGCTAGCTGCGGCTGCCATCCAGGGCGTAGGCCACCGAATGCGAACGATGGCCGTGCCTACCTATATCGCGCAGCTGGACGTGCATGTGGCAGAGTCTGAGCTCACATTATCTGTTAGCGCCACTGCCAGCGCCAGTGGAGTGATCACAGGGGGTGGCACGGGCTGCAGTCGTGATCTTGTGGACGGGAAGAGCCACCTGGTGCTGAACGTCTGTGGCGTGAAGATAAGCCCGCTCCATGGCGACATTTCCGACGACAACCCGGACCCGCACGCTGGCGCGAGGATGCATTGGCGCGAGGACATTGATTTTGCGGACATGCCTTCCATGGTCATTCACAACGACGACCAGCTCGCCTATGCGGACGACATGCAAGAGCTCACAGCCCTCTGTATACGTGACTCGCTCCGGCTTCTCGATGCTGAGGGGCTGCTAGAGCCACCAACAGATCACCTCAGAAAATTCCTAGACTGGATGAGGAGACAGCCCTTGCCCAAGACGGACACTACGGTCGATTCCCTGCTGACCGTGCTGCGTCCCACAGATTTGGAGTGTGTGGCACTCGCGTTGCAGCAGGTGCTCAACAATATCGTGCCCCTATTCCGAGGCACCGTGGATTCGCTCGAAGTGCTCATGCAAGACGGCATCCTCACAGATGTCTACAAGATGATCAACTGGAGCAAGCGGCCCCGTCTGTTCCAGGCCCTGGCGCACGCAAATCCGCGCATGCGCATCCTCGAGATTGGCGCCGGCACTGGTGGGACAACGGAAATCCTCCTGGGCAACTTCCAAGCCATGCAGACCTCGCATTCTCACCGCATGTATGGTAGCTACACTTACACTGATATCTCTGCGGGGTTCTTTGGCGCTGCGCAGGAGCGGTTCAAGCAGCACGTGGATAACATGGAGTTCCGTGTGCTTGATATTTCCAAAGATCCCTGCGAGCAAGGCTTCGAGGAGCACGGATACGACCTCGTTGTGGCGTCCAATGTGCTTCACGCCACACCAAGCCTGGTCAGTACACTGCGGAATGTGCGTCGCCTGCTCAAGCCGGAGGGCCGGCTGTACATTGAGGAGCTGTCGTCCGAGCACAAACCATGGAACTACATCATGGGCATCCTGCCAGGCTGGTGGCTGGGCGAAGCTGATGGGAGGCCCGATGAACCTTACGTTACACCTGAGCGCTGGGACATAGAGTTGAGAAAGGCCGGATTTGGTGGCATCGAAAACTTTGCGCTCGACTGTCCTGGTGGAAAGCACAGCCACGTCTTCCTCCTGGCCAGGCCGTATGTCGACTGTGCACGTGCCAAGGACGTTACGGTGATCTTCAATGCTGCGTCCGAGCCGCAAGCTACAGTGTTGGAACGATGTCTTACCTCGGCTGGCTACTCAGTCGCTCTCCACGACTTCGATGAGACTGGCAACAATAGCGCACCTGTTGAGAAGGACATCGTCTCGGTACTGGATCTGGCAGAGCCCTTCCTGGACGAGATCTCGCCCGCTCGGCTTAAAGCATTCCAAGATCTGATGCGCGGTGTCTCGAGGTCTGGGACTGGTATCTTGTGGCTCACCCGCCCGTCTCAGCTGGAAGGGCAGTGCTCTGACCCGCGATGGGCGCAGATTCAAGGTGCAGCTCGGACAATACGCGCCGAGCTAGTCCTTGACCTGGCCACTTGCGAGGTCGAAACCCTCGACGAGAACCTGTGCCCTATCGTCGAGCGCGTGCTTGGCAAATTCATGCGTCGGCGCAACACTGAAAGGGACGAGAGGCTTGACCCAGAGTTTGAGTATGCCATTGGCCTCCACGGGAGTGTATCCGTACCGCGCATCTACCCTTTCAACATCGCAGATGAGCTTAGGGCAGCCACAGCCAGCCTCCCTCTTGCGGAGACAGCTTCGTCAAGGCTAGAAATCGACAAGCCCGGGCGTCTTAGCACGCTGCATTGGGTAAGCCTGGACACGGGGAGCCCTGGTGATGACGAGTTGTTGATCGAGCCCAGAGCTGTGGGCATAAATTTCAGGGTATGTCATCCTCGAGAAGATCAAAACAGCCGAGGCGCTGTGCACAGTCACAATTTGGAAGGATCGCAAGCACCTATACTGACAGAGTAGCAGGACATCTTGGGCGTGATGGGCATCGTCAATATCATTGGGCTAGGCCTAGAACATGCGGGCATTGTTCGCGCCGTGGGCTCAAATGTTGAAGGTGACATCAAGCTGGGAGACCGGGTCATGGTAATGGGCGGCTATGGCCTTACTTCAATGGCCAAAGTCTCCAAATACCAATGCGTCAAGATCCCAGATAGCCTCAGCTTCGTTGACGCCGCGACCATGGCCACAGTGTTCGCGACTGTCATCTACGGTCTTCTAGACATTGGGCGAATGCGCGGAGGCCAGACGATTCTCATCCACTCCGCCTGCGGTGGCGTGGGCCTGGCCGCTCTTCAGATCGCCCGCATGGTTGGCGCCGGACAAATCTACTGTACCGTCTCCAGCGAGGCCAAGAAAAGCTACCTCCAGACGGAACTTGGCATCCCTCATGAGAACATCTTCTACTCGCGCGACGTCTCGTTCCGGGCGAATCTGATGCGAGCCACCAACGGAAGGGGCGTCGATCTGGTACTCAACTCGCTCTCTGGTGAGCTGCTGCACGCCTCCTGGGAGTGCGTGGCCGAGTTTGGCACCATGGTGGAGATCGGCAAACGCGATCTCCTGGGCCATGGCCGACTGGCACTTGAACCGTTCCTGCTGAACCGGAGCTACCAGTGTGTTGATCTTTCTCACCTCATCGAGCATCGACCCACCGAGGGCCAACGCCTCCTCAAGCTCGTCATCCAGTACTACCGGGAGGGTTATATTGAACCGATCTCCCCTATCATCATATTTCCAGTCGAAGAAGTGCGGGAGTGTTTTTTGCATATGCAAAAGGGGCAGCACATTGGCAAAATCGTTGTGGATATGCAGGCCAAGTATGAAGGAGTGGCGGGTGCCGTTGCAACATCTGCCAGGCCCTTCACCTTCCAGTTCGACTCGGGCGCTGCCTATATTCTCGTCGTCGGACTAGGAGGCCTTGGACGGGCCGTCTCTACGTGGATGGTAGAAAATGGCGCCCGCCACCTCATCTACTTAGGACGCACGGCTGGTGCTTCAGCACATGATGTAGCCTTCATGGAGGAGCTCCGCAGCCAGGGGTGCTCGGTGGCCTCTGTTCCCGGCAGTGTCACGATCCTGGCTGACGTCGAGCAGGCTGTGGCTGCCGCAGGCACAAGGCCACTCAAAGGCATCATCAACATGTCAATGGTGCTGCGTGATCACAATTTTGCCACCATGAGCCACGAAGACTGGGAGAGTGCCACAGCGCCTAAAGTCCGCGGAACCTGGAACCTCCACAAAGCCACGGTCAACACCAAACTGGACTTCTTCCTGCTCTTTAGTTCCGTGTCTGCTACATACGGCCACCGTGGCCAGGCCAACTATGCCGCAGCAAACACATTTCTGGATGCATTTGTGCGTTATCGCCACGGTTGTGGCCTGCCCGCTCAATCCGTTAACGTTGGCATCATGCTCGACCACGGCTACGTTGCCGATAATGACTCCATTCGCGAGCGTCTTGTCTCACGCGGCAATTACGGCATCCACATTAGTGAACTACTCGACTCTTTATCAGCGGTCCTTGCTGCCCCGGTCGGTCCCAAGCTCTCAACTTCATCCATCGCAGGCAGCTGCACCACTGCGACGCGGGCGCAACTCGGTCTAGGCATCCGATCGACGCTCTCTATGCGCGACTCCTCCAATAGGGTCATATTTAAGACAGATCAGCGGATGGCTGTGTACTGGAACGACGAGGCAGGTGATACGGCAGCCCAAGGCAGAGTCAAGTCATCCTCAGCACAGGCAGGCAAGATCGCAGCGCTCATCGCAACCGCGAGGAATGACGATCCATCAGTGCTCTCGGCGCCCGAGACAGCAGAATTCATGGCTCGGCAGATTGCTGGGCAGTTACTAGCGCTGCTGCTCCGGCCTTTGGCCGACGACGAAATTGAGGCCATCGACGTCTCTAGGCCTCCGCAGGATTTAGGTCTCGACAGTCTCGTGGCCATTGAGCTGCGAAGCTGGTGGAAGGCGACGCTCCAGTTCGATGTTAGTGTGCTCGAGCTGCTGGCCTTACCCACGCTACTTGCGATAGGCCAGCGTGCCGTTGATGGCCTGAAATAACGCATCGCGGCTGAGGGTGCCGGCGGTTCGGAGCAGATGAATGGGGGGACTGCGTCTGTGTCTGTTGGCGATGTTGACGCTCGTGTTGTCATGGCGATGCCATGATTGGCCGTAAATTTCTCGAAGTCTTCTTCTTCCCGCTGAATATCCAATCTTCTCCTTGATGTTCTTAAACATTCTATTACGTCGTCTCAATTCGTGCCGCTCATTACGGATACCCTGTACTGCGAATGATCAGCTTGAGGAGGTGATGAAATGCCTGTCCTTGAGACTCACGTCTGTGGAAGCTGGTCAAGCCCGACGCGTACATGCCATCCTTGCACTCGAGGTGCCCCTTATCCAATGCTGCGAGTCGCTTCTGCAGGGGTAGTAGAAGGGCTGAAAGTGACTTTAAGGTGATCCAATGCCAATGGCTGTGAGGCAAACGGATGCTCAGTGTGTCATTCCCTGGTCATTTGGGATGTTCCAGATCTGTACTTGAATGTTAGCACCTTTTCTATCAACTCTCCGAGCTTAAAGTTTGGAGGACCGTCATCTCTCTGGCCATGGAGAAGACTAATTCTGATTCGCTGTAAATTGCGGACATGTCAACAGTGATATTAAGGCACAGAATTCATCCGACCAGACCAAGTTCGCAATGTATAACGAACTGAGTTCGGCTTATTCTAACATAAATGCCACACCGATGCCTCGCCTCCAGATTTCTACGTACACTTCTACTTGTATCCTAGCTCTGGAGCCATAGATAGCACGCGATTGACCACAGAGCCAAGCCCGGGACTCAAGATTACACTCTCAGAGGTCCCGTTCTTACCAAGCCATTGCATGATTCCACGGCCGCTATTGTCCTGCGCCTTGACATCACATCCAAGGTCAATCAGCCGTTCTAGAAGCTGTAACCCAGGATCTGTTGAGTTTCTGTGGCCGCTGCCAGTGTCGAGTTGAATCAAGCTTGCTGCGGCTAGGAGCACTGTCATGCCCAACGGGCTTTTGTCCTCTCGCGCCACATCTGGGCGACTGAGCAACATGTCCATGACTGCCATACCAGCACATCCCTTCTGGCCGATGACATAGTGCAGCACGCTCATCCCGTTCTCGTAGCGCGCGCCAGGATCTGCACCATGCTCCAGAAGAACTTTCACCATGTTGAGGTTGTCCCGTAGAGCTGCAAAATGCAGAGGATACATGACCTGCTCGGGGACAGCATTGACCGGCAATGGGGGCGAATATCTCCACGGCTCGGCCTCTGCGTCACCACCGAGACTGTAGATTGTGCCCCCCCACCAGTGTCCTAGCGGCATCTTGTCCAACCGGAGACGCGTGTTTGGATCTGCGCGCCCTTGGGTTGGGGAGAGCAGGATCTCGAGTAGTTCCAGGTCGTCGCGGCGCATGGCCTCGATTAATGCGGGCTGCGTCACCACAGCTCCGCGGTGGAGCAGGTCGGATATCACAGACATGTCGCTGCCTGGGCCCTCGCCGTGGTACAAGGCGTTGCCGGCTGCGCGGCACAAGCAGGTCTTGCCGTAGTTGTCTGCTGCGTTCACGTCCGCTCCGAGGCTGATGAGCTGGGCGACTGTGCTTTTATCAAAGTCAATGTAGCCAATATGATCAAGGGCAATGTGTAATGGTGTTCGGCCTTCATTGTCTCGCATGTTCGGGTCCGCGCCGTGTTTGACAAGATATGGAAGCGCCAAGGCAAGCTGCCACCAGTGGATGGGCCGATCACCCTCAAAAAGGACGTGTAGTGCGCCGAGACCATGTGAGTCTCTATTGTCGATGTCGATCTTGATTATCTCGATAAGGGCTTTCAGTACATCCATGTTAGGTTGTGGCTGGCTGCAAGCTGCGAGCAAGAGTGGCTTCGTGCCAGGACTCAATATTGACTGTCTTCGGACGGTGTCTGCAAGCGGTGGCAACATGCTGGCCAACCCTTGGGACACGATGTGATGTAGAATGGTTTCGCTTCCTGAGAACGGGGATCTTTCCCACGGATCAATGCTGGCTAACAGTTCTGAGGCGAGTTCGAATTCCCGTAAATCCAATAGGCGCAAGAAACGCATGTTGACTGGGAAACTGTCGTTCATCGCTTCTTCGCGGTTGGCCCGACCTTGCTCGAGAAACCCCATCACCTGTAGGTTATTTTGATTGTCTCGGTCGAGATCAGGTCCGGTAGCTAGCCGACGCCGAGCTCGAGTCAAAACCTCAAAGACATATGCTGACTTCCTAGCGACCGCCAGCTCTAGCGCAACATCGACCATTGTCTCTGTTGGTACTCCAGTCTGCTTGATTAGCGTCTGAACAATTTGATCAATGCCCCGTGGTCCATTCTCGTGTGCAGGATCGGATCTGCGACGCGGCGAATCTATGTCGAACAATGCAACTGCCTGCCAGCATGAATTCTCGAAGCCGAGTCCCAGATCAGCTCCAGCTTCAAGCAGCAATTGGAAACTAGCAGTATCTCCTTCGCGGGCGGCATAAAACAAAGCTGTCCGGCCTCTTTTGTCTTTGGCATTGACAGCAGCTAGGACTGGCCCTGGCTGTTGTGTCTTTGGTACACCATCGGCGGTGGTTTCGTATGATATGCCGATATGTCGAAGAATCAGGCCGGTGATGTTCCCATCACCACTTGATGTTGCTATGTGGAGGGCTGTACGCCCTTCATCGTCGACTGCGGCCACCTCGCTGCCCACTTCTAGTAGTTTTCGTGTCTGGTACTCCGAAATGCTTGCCGCGAGATGGAGCGGCGTGCTGAGGGTAGAGTCTTTAGCATTGATGGCATGGGGCCCAGGCAGTATTCTGACTAGCACATCAAACACCGAGTCGTATCCAGGTCTTCGATGATTGGGGTCTTGCGTGAAATCGATTTGCACGCAGCTGGCAATGTGCAGAGGAGTGCGAGCTTGGCTGTTGGCCCGGGCAGGATCGACTCCAAGGCTGGCTAGTCGAGACAGGAGCCTGGCCACATCACCCTGCTTTGGAAACGTCGTCGCCCCATAGTCGAGTGCGGCCTGGTGCCAAAGAGTATTCCCATTGACTGGGTCGATCTGCCGGGGATCCGCACCATTACTGACGAGAAATTCGACAAGCTCGACATCGTATAGGGCGACTGCGCGTCTCAGAAGCGTGCGGCCGTCGCTATCGGGGATGTCGAGGTTCGTACCTGTCGATATGTACCCTTCAGCGACGGCTCTGATGCGCCCGGCCTCCTTGACAGGGCGTGCACTCGCCATGAATGGTGGTTTCGAGCCGCGAATCACAAAAGAACCTCCTAGTGACGGGCGCTCTGTTCGTCTGTTGGGTAGCGGAGGCGGAGTAACTGTTGTCAGCTTGGCGGGGATTGTGGGGTGAGTTGCCAGGCGTGGCTTACGTGTTAACTTAAAGGCAATTTCTTCAAGAGAGGGTTTCCTAGTCCTTGTAGAGGGCAACTGCAGAGTTGGTGGATGGCACTGCCTCGTGACAAATGATGTGATACGAGGTGTGATGTCTAGGGGCCCATTGCATGATGAAGCGGCAAATATCCCTATCCCCAGTGTATCAGTAGATGACGTGAGCCTAATCCCCAGGCCGGGGTTGTGGCGACGTGACATCCAAGTCCTGCCAGGGGGCAAGGGTAAGAATCCTCCCTAGGCTGCCAAGCCCACATGCAGACCCATTACCTGATTATGACCTTCAACACGATATCGTGCAATAGTGCACTAGCAATGCTCAAATCGAAAAAATGGTACATCGATATAAGTACGCGACGAATAAAAAATGAACAAAGAAAAAGAAAAAAAAATTGATACCCGGAAAATTCGCGCACACGGACAAACGGACCGCTGATAACAAACGTGGTCTCCCTTAATCTGTTCGCATGCATGTGTTACATTAAATCTGGATGCGAAAAAAGAAAGCTACGTCGACGCTGTTGAATAATGCTCTGACAGGTCTATACATGGACACAGTCTTTAGGTATTGTCAAGCTCAGAGCGGCTCGTACCGAGTCGGCCTCACGCTCCCTTTGTGGACAAGAACATCCCCTGCTACACTGACTAAATTCACCGATCCACTTCACACGTTGCATTCATCCTCCATCAGTTCTGTCACTTTTTCTACCAACAAAACATAAGCAATACCTCGTATGGTCTAGAGATAGTTCTTTGTCGCAAAAACGGCATGGAGGAGTGGGTACAATTCAAAGACAGTCCTTTTACTTCCCGACAAACACAACTTCTTATGCCAGCATCCATGCATACTGGGCGCACGAGAGCCGCGTGCAGGAATAGTGTGATGGGAAAACAAGGAGGGCATCCATCGCCTATTAACGCTGCCCATTGATGTTGTTGGGGGTGCAGCTCTTGGTATTCTCTAGGACTAGTTGACTCCTGTCCGCCACGCCGCTCCATGTACTGTCCGCGAATACAAGACCATTGCCCTTTCTATTTCTTTATGAGCGCCCAAGTCGTTCTTCTTTATTTCACAGCACCTTCACAGGGTTTTATTGCCCTGTTGCTTCGAATAGTGTTTGTATCTAGCCATCCCACACTACACCTCGCTGAGTACTAGTTGTGCGTTCGAACTTGGGTATGCCAGATCGGTCCTATATGTACTAATGGGCAGGCATCAGCATCGGGGACGTGGAGTTGTTCCCCCCGTGCATCGATATGGGGCCCATCACAATCAGAGACACGTTCGCGAAAGTCAGAGTTAATGCCTTCTATGCCTTCTGGGGCTGATGTGTAGTTGCCAGCCCGCTGCCGCTTGCCGCTGATGCCATAATAGCACTTCAGATTGTTTTCGTCCAGGCCGCGCTCGTCAATCAAGGTCACGAATATCCATCGCACGGAGCGCGTCCAAATTTACCCCTTTCTACATCAGGGTTGCTATTGAAGATGATGAGGACGTGGTGGGAGACCAACCTGCCTCAAAGGTGGCATTGACGCGACGCCACCTGCCAGGCACAAGTAGGCATACAGTTCCGCGCTGCACTAATGATCACATGAAAGGCATGATAAGCTTGACTTGCGATAGCAGAAAACGTACCACCATGTCTGCGATGAGTTGTTGGCTTTTTATGCTTGTACGTTGTAAATAATTTCGTCGCGGGTTCTTGCAAGGCGATCGTTTTACGGTACAAGATGAAATCAAAGGTAAATATCATCTACTTCTTGCCCTCACTGTTCGCCCGCAATGGGAGGAATTGATTGTGGGACGCCAACGAGCACTGCTGACACTTGCTTGCATGTGCCCTCGGGTGTGCCTGGCCTCATTTGCCGGCCCCCCTGTCGCTGCTCACGTGGTGATCCGGGCTTGGGTCCGAATACTGCCACTACGCGCAGCATAGCGTGGTTTCCTGCAGTCGCTAACGCGATTTTGTTGCCCGCTTGTTATGTGAATGGCCCCTCGACCTCAAAAGGCGTGGAACGATAAGGATGATATCCAGCGCGGCGTGCGCCAATGTCGTATTTGTACGCAATTTGCATGATCCAGTAGCACGATGTGGGGGATTTGGCCATATGTAGATATCTTGGGCTTCAGTGGCGCTCGGCCACGGCTGCTGCATTCAAAATGTTCTCTCAGGTGCCAGTTGTAGTATCGAAACCCGAACCCGAGTTGATGCCTCGATCTGCGGATATCTGCGTTCATATCCAGCAATCCGAGGACCAGCACAGGCGGCCACGCTACGTCATTAGTGCTCATGAATGCGTCAGCCATGGGTCGACTCTTGTGTGCAATCGCGTCTGATAACACTAGGAATTGGCGCTATTTAGATAGGGCACGGTCAAGTCAGCGATAGACAGGATGGCTAGCACAAATGCTTGACTCTGGCCGTCGTCCGAAGTCTGGTGATCGTTACCAAGCCGCTGGGGCTAAATGCCTTAGAGCACTCGGCGACACGCCAGCGTCCGCCTACCCGAACGTCTGGTTTGATTGCTAACCCCACTCACTCGTGGAGGATATACAGTCTGTGCGAGTGCCCCTCGGGCCAGGTGGGAGACAATGGAGGGTTCGCGGGCGATCGCGCCAAGCGATGCATGAAGCTTTATGGGCTTGGTGCAGGGGAAGTAGAGCCGGTTTCCATGTGGCAGGCATGGCTATGGCACACAAGCTGAAGGGCAATGCCGACTGGCATTTATTCCATGGATAGATTGGTGACACTGGATGAATCCTCCGCGTTCGGAATTTAGATTGTTGTTACGCCTAGTTCCGGGGTCTTTTTGAATTGAGCGAGTCGAATGGTGGTGCACTTCGACACGGACCATGACTCGGGATGCAGGAGACCATTCTCCTGTGGTGGCTGCTAGGCTCGCTTGGTAATTGGGGCACCAATGAATTGTCAGCAGCCTGCATTAGGACGATCAACATGACGCGCCACCACCTCGCCTACAGCAACCATAACGACACGCACTGTTTCAGGCCCCTCTTGTGGCATGCCGGGTGCCTGAGTGCCACATGAGCAGAGCCCAGCGCCAGATGGTTCTACCTGGCGGACCCTGAGCGCCCGCTATTGATTGATGGACGGCCCACGGGCCCATCACTAGACAGATTCAAGCTCACGATCCAGTCCGTGCGTGCGGCGTGGTAGCCCTGCTCCTTTGCAGATCGTCCGGCTGGAGCCGTTGCCTGCCAAGTGTTCCTCGTCTGCTTCTTCTCAGTGCCCGCCAGCGGATTGTCGTTGGCCTGCAAAGGTTCTCGGCCCCGTTGAATAGAAGCCCTGACCTCGTGGGCATCCACTCAATGGTTGCCGATCCGAGGGAACATGCATCTGCCACCACGTGTGCAATCTACGGAAACCGCTTAGCATCCCATCCTTCTAGGTCAGCACTACTGCTGCCGAGGGTGCGTCCCAGCGTCAATGCACGAGTCGCTTCCCCTCTCACCGGCTTCTTGGCCCCCGTTAGAATTTGCATCTGCCGGAGACGTCAGACTGGTATTAAGGCTGCTTCGGGCCCCTGGGCACGCGTGCATCTTCTTCCTCTGCAGCCAGCACCTCTATGCAGACCACGGCAAAGAAACATGCGTGGGTTGAGCTTCGTTTACGCCATTCTTCCGCTGGTGGGCCTGGCCGTGGCTCAGCTTCCGCCAGGTACTCCCAAATGTGCAGTGAGTAAAGTACCCAGCCATCTCGATTACGTGGGCGACAATTTCCTCAGCTCCAGCAGAGACCGTACTCACCATCTGCCGTTCCAGGTTCCATGCTTTATCCGTGGGGCTGCGGCGTCGCCATGCCTGACCAACACGACCTGCCTCTGCACAGATGAGCACTTTGTCACATCCATGGAGACTTGCGTGCGCTCCAGCTGCATCATCGAGGACGCTCTTTGTGAGTCGCCCAACTGTGCCAGCAGCTACAGACGTGGTTGGTCCCTTGCCTGCCTTCACAAAACTGACAGTGCTGCCTTTAGTGGTTAAGAACGCCTCAAACACAATCTGTGGCATTGAGCCACACAATGCCGGCACCATGTACACCGAGATCTCCTCGGTCATGACGGGGTTTGCTCTGTTCCTGGTCATCCTGCGGGTCGTGTACAGAAGGGGCATCACCTCGCTAGGCCTCGGCCCTGACGACTGGACAATCATGTTCGTCGCGGCCAGCTGCATCCCCTGCACGATACTCAACTCGCGACTGTCCACGTTCGGCATCGGCAGGGACATCTGGACCCTCACGCCCTATCAGATCACGCAGTTCGGCCTGACCTTCTGGATCTTGACGCTGCTCTACTTTGCCGACATGGCGCTGTTGAAGCTGTCGATCCTGCTGTTCTTCCTCCGCATCTTTCCAGACCACAAGTTCCGGCGCGTGATATGGTTCACGATAGTCGGCGTCGGACTATTCGGCCTCTCTTTCGTCCTCGCAGCGCTCTTCCAGTGCTGGCCCTTTAGCTACAACTGGACCCGCTGGAACGACCGAGATAATCAGGGGCACTGCGTCAACTACTCCGCGATCGCCTGGGCCAATGCCGCCGTCAGCATCGCGTTGGATTTCTGGATGCTGTACCTGCCCATGTCGCAGGTCAGGTCACTCAACCTGGATCTCAAGAGAAAGATTGCCATCGGTGCTAGTATGTCGTCGCCCCCCCTCTCATCCCCCCGCAGTGACTGCAAAGACCGCTCCGCGGCTGGTTGCATGCAACAAGGCTCTTGGGGGAAAAAGGCTAACCCTGCTCGACTGCGCTAGTGTTCGTTGTCGGCACTTTCGTTACCGTCGTGTCGATTATCCGCCTCGCGTCGCTGCTCCAATTCTCGAGCAGCGAAAATGTCACCTACGACTACACCGGCATCTCCACGTGGTCGACGGTCGAGATCTCCACTGGTGTCATATGCGCCTGCATGCCGTCCAGTACGTGCTCACTTACCTCTCACCAAAGGTGTCCTATCTTTCCGTGGCGGCGGTCGTTTTCTAACATCATCTTTAGTGCGTCTAATACTCGCCAGGTTCTGGCCAAACCTCTTCGCCTCCAAGGCAGTAGCCAGCTCTGGAGCACCGTACTACAACAGGGGCGGTTACGACAAGAGGTCTGGGCCCAACAGCACGCAGAAGAGCTACCTGTCCGGCAAAAGCAACAGGGTGTCTGGGGGCAGCCTGAAATTGTTCAGCGGGCGTGCTGGTGCGGGCGGGTTCATGGACACGGTCTCGACGTACCCGGGCCGGCTCGAGAGGATCAATTCAGAGGAAGATGAGCTCCAGCTGAGGCCGATGCCACCGGTGCATGTAGCCGGCGCATCTTCGGCGTCCGAGCTGGATCCGGAGAGGTACCATGAGGAGGACTCGAAGGTGATTACCGTCACGACGAGCGTTAATGTGAAGTTTTAAAAACAGGTTTAGCACATGTCGAATAGAAATTAATAACAATATTCAAGAACATGGTGTGAGAGTGAGCGACAAGCTGTGATGCAAAATTTAACTGCCCGATGACAATTGCTCTCCCCAGGCACACAACTCCACCTGCCTCAGGACCTTCCAAGGTTGCTGCATATTATCCACGCCCCAAGAAAGACAGCTCAGGTCAACCCAGGCGGCCTTTGTCCATCCACCACCTCAAGCCCTCCGGTCACGCATGGCAGTACCATTTGACTGCTCGACCTTGGCGACAGACACCAGGGCATCACCCACACTCCCTGCTTTCGCCATTGATCTTCAGTCGCCGTGGTGGTTGAACCCAGACCGATTTCCGGCGATGGTAATCAATCCATCTCTCGTAATCGATTTAATTTGCAAACGCGATCCCCAACTGTTTCTTCGCCGAGGCTGGGGAACTCGCAACTCCGCCGCACGACCAACAGCAATTGCTGCATCTCCACCGTCCTTCTCACAATAATAACAACTCCCAACGAGAACAAGCCACCTCTGAACCCTTGAACAAAGTCGCAGGCTCATTCAGGAAACCGCAGCTACCACAATCGTGAGCAGTTCTTCCATGCCTCTCGCATTGTTTGCGCAACTGCACCAAAGCTTGACCGCGGTTCCGCAGGCGTACAGGCCTAACAAAGTGTTTCACCTTCGAGGTTGATTCTAGTGAAGCGGCGATTCACGTTTCTGTCACAAGCAACTGCACCTCCACGAGTGAGCTTGACAGTGGCGGCTCTTTCCTCACAACGCATCTCTCTCCACCTTCCCAGAGTCCTATCAACAAGCGAGTTTACGAAATCGCGAGACCACCATTCCTGGCCCATCGTCTTGCTCACTTCACACTCACCCGACCGAACTCCATTTGTGCCTGCCTCGCAAACTTCTACCAATAATCTAAGCGCTAGATGGACTTTACACACCAGCAGACAATTCAGCATACCACGGCGTCCACTGGACCGGGCATAATGGCATCTCACGTCACTACCAGGAAGCTTCCTGACGAGAGTATACTCGCAATCGCAGAATACAGCTTCGATAAGCACTCGCCAGATTACGAAACGCTGTATAACGCCTGTCTCGTCTCGCGGCAGTTTGCACGAAGCTTTGTGCCCAAGCTTTGGCATACAATCGATCTCGCGAGACTGTCACAATTCAAGAGGAAGGGCCGCATCGAGACCCTCATGCGACTTCTTGCTGGCAAGAGCCTCTCTGACGAGTGCCGATATCTGATCAAGCGCATCGACATGCCAGAAGGCCTCAAAATTGACACCGATGTTCTCACGATACTGGGCAACTCTCTGGATTGGATCAAAGGATACTATGCCGAAGGATTCAAGGTCTACCTGCGTAGCCAGATCTGCAAACGCCCAGACGCAGAGGACAGCATACTAGCCTTGATGATGGTCCTAGCACCGGGCCTGGAAGAGTTGTCCTGGGAGCGTCGGGCGAGCTACACGGTAGTTGCTTCACTGTTCGCATTTGCCCGTTACCCAAATGTTTACTCGCGCCAGTATAGAGGTGATGAGACGCCCGTCATCGCAAATCTCAAAACCTTTGAGTTGCGTAACGCAGTTATGAAAACCTCCGTGACCAGGCGACCGGCGAAAATCCAACCGTTTTTCGTTGGCCACGATTTGGAAAGCATTGCGGTTGACAACATTTGCTGTGTGGGCGCGCTGGACAGTGTAAGAGAAATCTATCCAGCACCCAGATATTGGTTTAAACGCCGGCTTCTTTCTGTCGAGTTCACAATGTCAACCCTGGGAGCCATATTGTTCGAGAGCCTTCTGCGATACTCCCCGCACCTTCGGAAGCTAGTCCTTGAGGACCACTTCTTCAGACCAGCGGCCGCGCCAGACAGCCCAGTGATCACACTCGGGCGGATGGGTGACACCTTGAGAACATACGGGCAGTCTCTCACTCACCTTGAACTTCATCACAGAGACATACATCCCTTCCACGATGCCAGGCACGAGTTTGGACATTTGGGAAGCCTGAAGAGCCTGACAAATCTCCGGTATATTGCCATCAACCAGACTTTACTATCTGAAGAAGATGGCTTAGGTCTCGGCTCGATTTCAGTTAGCCACAGCATCAGTGGCCTCTTGCCAACGTCACTGGAGGAACTACTCATCGTTACACCGACAACCAGCACCCGATCAGAAGGCCTGGAGATGCTGAAATTGCTGCAAAGAAATGCAGAGTTCCAGACCCTCTCTCGGGTTGCCATCACTGCACCTGGAGACGATGCAGATCCGTATACGCCGAAAAAAGCCACCTCCTGGAAAACTGGCGGCTGGCAATACGCCAGATACGACAAGCAGAACCAACAGTACAAACTATGCAGAGTTGGCCACGAGCTTGATGAGTGGGTTTGTTCCGTGATCCACCCGTCCACGTGGGGCTCTCTCCCCCGGATTCCAGGCGGTCCAGAACAGAAGGGGCGCAAGCGGGAGCGCACTGGCTTCCTGCGTAGCCTGTTCCGGCGCGGGAATTAAAAGGCCCGACCTTCAGATGCACGGGTAGTCTACTTTGACGCGTAGTCTGCTTTCATCCCCGACAATGAGCATAAATGTCTCAAGTAGCACATAGGCGGAGGACAGCACCACCGATTTGCCACGCCCGGCATGCGAGTGTGCTGAGTGCCTAATGTGCCAGGGAGCGCGAAGACGCAGGTCATTACCCAGTGTCTCATGAGACGAACTACAGTCAAGTTTTCCGTATACAAGCGTTGAATTAATGCTGCCCCTCAAATCCAAGAAAAGGCGATAGCAGGAAGTTTCGAACCCCAGGGCTTGGGTTTCGTCATAAATTCTCACTGGCCTGAGACTAGAAGTTCTGATTGAGCAGATAAGAGATCAATGCTATCTATTGAAGCTTCGTTTGAAGTCTTTATTGGCTGTCCTGTTGTGTTCCAGAGCAACACTGCATCATTCAATATCGTGAGGATCAAACGAATTTGGCTCGCCTGGAGGCAATGCATGAACAAGTGAAGCCACTCTCGGCCCTCTTAAATCGTGTCAAACTCTTGAGCTCATCACATTGGACGCCACTCATCATACGCTGTGTGAATAATTTGACGTCGCATCAGCTAGATTGAACCTTTCGTGCTGTGTTAGAACTTCGCAGCACTCTTGACTGCTACCGCCAGAATACCTGCTGCTCTTTCTCGTGGTTTCTTTGCATGATGGTGCCTGAGCGTCCTTCGAGAGACGAAGAGCTGTGTATCAGCCCCGTCCGACTGCCGAGCCACGCGAGGCATAAATCCGGGGCCGATGGGGAATCATTGCTCCGAGCAGCAAGAGGGCTGCAGTGTGAGGCTGCCTCGATTATGGCCGAGCTGCTTGCTGCCTCGCGTACGTGTCGCGTGCGCCCACCGCGTGTCGCCGTGGTGATGGGCATCCGCAGCGTCAACCAAGTCCCCAGCCTGTATTCACATCTCCAACGTCACTCATCCTTCTTGTCAGTATCTTGGACTCTGCAAGCTTGCGACACCACGTTCTCTGCCACGCCGCAGGTGGTCTCGACACGCAAGATGCCTCGAGGCCTGCTACCAGCGAGCGTCTCCTTATCGTCGTTGCTCGAGACTCTCTCACGGTTGCTGCCGCGATGGCCATCACTCCCATACTTCCAGCACTGGCCAACAGGTGTGCTCACTCGCGCTGCGAGCTCAGAGCCTCGGAGACTAGATCAGCTGCCACCCGAGGTCCTCCACATCATCGGCTCGTGGTGCAGCCAGGACGTCTCTTGCCGAGACGCCACACTGGCCAGCATGTGCCTGGTCTCCCGCTCCTTTGCGGCCATCTTCACCCCCTGGCTGTACCACACACTCCTGCTCTGCGCGCTCCCCAGCCCTCGAACGCTCGAGAAGCTGCTCGTCACTCTGGCCACAACACCAGCTCTCGCCCGGTACATCCGCTACGTCGACGCCACGGGCGACCTGTCCGCCGTGGATCCAGAGTTGCCTCGAGAGACGTACAGACAGGTGCAGCCCTGGATCAGCGAGTACTACTCGCACTTTTTCGCGCACTACTTCTGGTGCTCCATCGACCAGTGGTCCGGGGACGCGCCCGAGGACGGGTACGTGGCGCTGCTGCTCATCCTGGCGCCAAATATCGACACGCTGGTGTGGCAGTACACGCCCAACTACGACATTATCGAGAGGCTCTTTGACAAGGAGTATCTCGACACGGCGGCGGTCCACGGCGTGCCCGAGGACGAGCTGCGGCGGCTGCAGCGGCGGTGCCCGGTGTCCCGGCTGCGGCACTTCATCCTGCTGAACCAGCACCCGGCGGGCCTGGACCAGGGCTACTCGACGGGCGTTGGGCCGGTGTTTCTGACTGAGAGGCTGCAGACGTTGCATCTCTCGGGCGTCCGCTGTCACGGCATCTTCAGCCTGCCCCCGACCATCACCGTCCGCAGCATCCCGCCTCTCCTGCCCTCCTCGTCCTCATCCTCTTTCTCAGGCCCAGAGTCAGGATCGGACGCACACCCAGAAGAAAAGCGCCCCGGCATCCCACGACAGATCATCCGCACCCCCAAGATCCGTAACCCGACGCTGCTGGACCTGCACACCTTGTCCCTCGAGAGCGTCTGCATCGCCGCGCCGCTGCTCCGGCACATCCTGGAGGCCGCCTCGCCGGCCTTGCACTGCCTGCACCTCGACGACCACTACTTTGCCTCCGACCCGGCCCAGCACCGCGCCTTCCCCCACATTATGAGCCCGGCGCACCTGGGCGCCGTGCTGAGGGGAGAGCGCCTCAACAGCCGGCCTCAGCAGCAGTATCACCATCTTCAGCAGCAGCAGCAGCAGCAACAGGGGCAGGGACAGCAGAAACATCTCAGCAGCAGCGACGACGGCAACGGCACCCACGCCATCATCGCGCTCAAGTGTCTCGACATCCGGCACCACGCGGGACACCCGTTCCGCCGGCGCACAGCAGCCCTGATGGAGGAGCCAGACAACAACAACAACCACAACAACTACAACGCGGGGCAACAACAAGAGGATGTGGACGACGACAATGACAGCGACCACGACGACGAAGAGCAAGTTGCGCTCGCGCTGTCGATGCTACAGCTCGGCTCGCTCGCCAGCCTGTCCAGCCTGACGGACCTGCGCATCGATCTGGACTTGCTGCTCGGCGGGGCCAGGGGCTCGTTTTCCAGTGACACGTCCTCGACAGGCTCTACCAATACCACGACTGCTGCTGCTCCGGCTACTAATCTGACGCCGATCGGCCTGGTCGACGTCCTCCCCAGATCGATCGAGCGCGTGCGCGCGTACCCCACCTCTTTGGCAGGGGGCCGGCGCGCCGTGGACCGGCTGTTTGACCTCATGCGCGAGTGTCGCTGCCCTGGTCGTCGCCGTCGTCGGCGCCGTCTTGGTCCTTGTGGTGGTGGTAGTCATGGTGGCGGCGGTAGTCATGGTGGCGGCGGGTCTACACTGGACCGGCTGGAGATCGTGGCGGTGGACATCGGGGAGAGCAGTGAGGCGGGCATGCTCGCCACGGAGCGGGCACGGACGCGGTTCATGCGGTACTGCATGACGATGGAGACTGTGCCGCGGGGCTGGGCTCTCCTGCCGCCGCGCAAGGGTGATATTGGCGGTGGTGCTAGTGGTCGGAAGGCGATATGGTATTACCTTGGTTCTGTGTAAGTGGTTGGCAGATATGGCTTCGGGCACTTTCTGCGGGAGCGATGCCGCATTTCAGACATGGTGGCCATGGGTTCATGGGGCGTGACGAGAAGAAAGAATAGAAATGCTGTGGACGTCACCAAGGGCAGAGTGCCAGGAACACTGAAGGGAATTCTTTCCGCTGGATACGAGGACTGCGAGGAGATTGAGATTTCGTTGACAGGACGAACGTCGTGGTGAACGTGACTACCTAGGTACCCAGGTAAGCAGTTCAGTACCACGATTGAAGATTGTAGGACAAGACGTGTCAACCAGGGAGAAATTATGACATCACGACATTGACGAACAAACACTTGACATTGCCGATAATATTTTGTGTACGAAGAAGGCCTGACCAGCCCATGACATGAATGGGGACGATACAACTTTCCATGGCCGGCAACAGCGCTGTCACCATTACCGACCAGGGCGCCGATGGCTGTACTGGCGGAGCCGACCGAAGGACTTCAATGTCTCAAACTCTTCCCGCTCCGTTCTGACCGTATCCTGCCCGCTTTCTGCGTCGCCAACCGGGCGCCTCCTCAGCTAGTCGACATCACAACCTGAGCAACTTCATAACGCTCATCAACCGTCAGAACCCCCACGAGGGACAGAGTCTCCAGGCTTCCATCCTCCGCGTTCTGAGCATCATGTTCGAGACCGTCCCCACCACCACCAGCGATATGCGCACAGGGCGCGGCGTGGCTGAACCCCGAGGGATCCTGGACGAACCGCGACAGCCGGAAGCGCTTCTCCTCTTCGCTCTGGCAGGTGGTGGCCAGGTATATGCGCATGGCTTGGGTGATGTTTGTGATGCGGTTGTTTTGCTCTTGAGCGTGGGATTTATTGTTCTTGTTGGAGACAGGATCGGCATCGACGGCAATGTCTGGGTGTCGTCGTAGCTCTTGGTGCCGGTCTGACGTGGAGGTGTTATCTGGACACATTGTGATTGGCGCTGCCTCCTGTGCCGCTCGATGTTGACGAACCTTTCCCAACTGCTGGGCGGGACTCGAGACTTGAGGGTTGACACACAAGAAAGGACTCGTGCTCGGGCACTGGCTGGGTTGTGGGTGGTCTGGCGTGAAAGAAGAGCCTGAGGGCTTGCAGTCACGGAAGGAGGACGCGTGGATCAAACGCAGGTAGTCTTAAAAGACCTGAGGCAAGAGGGTCATGTCATTGCAAGGAGGATCATATGTGCGCCTTGATATGGGGTGAGGCAGCAATGAAAGGTTGTGGTGGTGTTCATCTTTCAAGCACATGGAGCGGCATTGGACGCCCCAGACACACCAGTACGTGGTCTGACACCGCCATGAGTTCACTCGGGTGTCCGTGCTGTGTCTCTGTGTACGAACTCTGTGCGTTTGTGCCTGCCAGAGGGGCAAACGGGGAGGCACAAACGGATGAAGTTCGTGGCTAGGCACGGCCATGACCTCGCCGGGGCGGGGAACATGGTGTGAACAGCATTGATTGACGGAAGGGACTATGACGACAACAATGCCTCACTACGATGTTTCAAGGCATGTATTTGTTCAGAGGGGAGGGAAGCAAGACCAGCTTCACTTCTGAGGAGTCCGGTAGCGGAGCCGGAGGCCCCGGGGGTTGGCTGGCCGGTGCGGGGGGACGGGACTCGCGGGACCTGCCGTGTTGGCCAGCCAGGCAACCACGACAGCAGCGCTCACAACTTTCAAGATTCCAGTCTCTGACAAAGAGCACCACAAAACATCAACACAAACATCCTCATCAGCGAAAATACAATGGCCTCCTCTCAGCCCCCCCTCGTCCTCGAGCCCTGCACGCTGGACGACATGCCCCTGCTCTCGGCCGTCTGGTTCGCCGCCTTCACCGACCCGGGCCTGCGCCGCCTGTGGCCCGACACGCCGCTGGTCCGCGCCTGGTGGGACCGCAGCAACACGTCCGACTTTGTCCACCGCGCCGACCGCCAGGTCTTCCTCAAGGTGGTCGACCCATCCACGCTCGACCCGGCCACGAACCGCCCGCGCATCGCCGCCTATGCCAAGTGGGACCTGTGCACCCCCGAAGAGCGCGGCAGCCGGTACCCGCCCTGGTGCGCCGACATGCCCGGCGACGAGTGCGAGGTGTTCTTTGCGCGCGAGGAGCAGGAGCGGCAGCGGGTCATGGGCGGAGAGCGGCACTACTACCTCGACACGCTGGCGACGCACCCAGACTACCAGCGCCGCGGGGCCGGGTCGATGCTGGTGCGCTGGGGCGTGGCGAGGGCCGAGCACGACGGCGTGGGTGTGTACCTCGACGCCAGCAAGGAAGGAGCACCGCTGTATGCAAAGTGCGGGTTTGCCGACGAGAGCCTGCCCGGCGCGGGGGATGTGGCGTCCATGGCGATTCACCGCAGGTCATGATGGCTGTAGATAGACAGACACAGGGAGACAAAGTCAAAGGCACAGAGACAGAGAGAGAGACAGCCTGAGAGACATTAGAGGGCGGAGATAAGGCTAGACCAGATAGAGCGAGTGTTATCTCCGCAGCGCTTCGGCTCGGCCGCGGAGCACAATCCGCACTGCCCGTTGATTGCCACACTCTGCCTGTGTCATCACTTTGACCTCGTCACCACCATCTTCACCCTCTTGCAAAGTCCACTACCACCATAGCACACGACACACACTGACCACACGCCAATTCGCATCGAATTCTTGCAATAGCACGTCCACACCAAAACCAATACCCAGCAGCAGCAGCAGCAGCAACGATGGCCTCTGCCGTACGCAGCCGCCTCTTCTCCCTCGCCGCCACCACCGCCCGGCGCACTCGTGCTCCAACATCATCATCATTCTCCCGCGCGCAGCGTCTCTACTCCTCCTCGCCCTTCGAGACCGGCCCAGCCCCCCTCGCCTCCCCGCCGAGGAACAAGCCGAGTTCGAGCGCCTCCAGCGCACCGCCAACACACAGGAGGGCTTCAACCCCTCCGCCACCCCCGCCGACTTTGTCATCCCCAGCACCCCGACCGCCACCAAGTCCACATCCACATCCGCAGCAGCGACAGCGACAACAGCGACGTCCGGGGTCAAGGGCATCGTCGACGACGCCGTGGCACCCACACCACTCCGCAAGGGCGCCCCGCCAGAGTTCGAGGGCGACGTCAACCCAAAGACGGGCGAGGTCGGCGGGCCCAAGAACGAGCCCCTCAGGTGGGGAGCGGGAGGTGACTACAGCTACAATGGGCGGGTGACGGACTTTTGATTGGAGAAAGGGGGAGGGGAAAGCGTGTGTTGCACAGCTCGTCATTGACGAGAGGGGGCAGGCATACCTTGTGGAAGAGAAAGAGAGAACGAGCACGGACATCACGAAGCGACTCCGCCAAGCCGTAAACGGACATCTTCGTCAAAGATCCCTCAACAAGAGTCTCACATATGAGATATAAATCTGGCCTCGTCACGGCTCAAAGCGAAAGGACACCCACAAAAACCGAGGAGATACCGGGCGTTGCGTACATACACACACACACATGGCAACATCATCCCCTCTTGTGATTCGGTGACGTTGACAAATCTCCAAACATCTAGTCAAACCAAAAACGCCGCCATGTACAACAAGCCACATCGCGTCACAAGCACCCCCGAGCTGCCTCGCGGACAAGCACTTTGTTCCTCCATGCCTTTTGATATCGAGGCGTCTTTTGGGCATTCGCTCGGATGAAGCGCTAGACCCGCACCCCGACTGTATCGCCTCGCCTCGCCTCAACCTAGGATCTTCGCTGCCCTACAACGTTAAATGCAATTTTCTCTGTATCAAAAGACTATTTTGTATACATACATACTGTACACTACCGCGGCGTTACACGTGTTTTACCCACGTGACAATAAAAGACACGCCGCCAAAGGTATATTCGTCACGTGAACTTGATCGAACCCAGACAACCTGTGGGGAAACAAAAAGTACAAAAACGCTGGTGGTATATATTGCTTTTGTTCCCGGGGAATGATTTACATCAAGGAATCACCGTCATATACTCCTGTGTATATACACTTGGTGAAATGTACACTACTGCCTCGCTCCGAGGCGTTCATTGCTGTCAGCGGACAGTGACACCTCCGAGATGTCAAACAGCAGCACCAGTAGTAGTAGCGGCAGCAGCTGCACCACCGACGTGCCCTTCACGGCTATCCTGCGTCGCGTTCTTTGCCTTGTCCTGTTCATCCGCCGCCGCCTCCAACCCAACCGCCCCAGCAGCAGCATCCGCGACATTGTTTCCTGGCTCAGGCCGGTTCTCCTTATCCACCTCCCCGTGCACATCCTTGTCGTCCTTGCCTCCTGGCGCCTCGACATCCTCGTCCATCTTGTCGGCGTCCTGCCCCTGGCCTTGCTGCGCACCATTGCCCATCGCAGCAGTCGCACCGGGGCTGACCTCCTTCAGCACGACATCGACGAGCTGCGCCTTGTTCACCTCCCCCATGGCCTTGCGGATTCTGTCTCGCCTGGCCTTGCCCCGGAGCCGGCCGACGGGCGCGGCGCCGTCGACCCAGCGCACAGAGTGGATCGCGAAGCTGATGCCGTCGTGTGGCTTGTGGCTGAGAGAATGCTGCTGTCCACTGGGACCCCATTCGCGGCTCGTCATGCCAAAGCGTGTCATGCCCGAGTACTTTTCGAGCGCGGGCAGGATCAGGACGGTGACGTGCAGGTCCCTGTCCACGGGGATCGGGACCGGCGCCTCTGGCCGTGCGGTAAGGACTTCGAGGTTTTGTTGCTGCTGCGAGCTGTGCTCTGCAATGCCACTCTTGGGCTTCCTGGACTTCGAGGTTGGCTGATTCAGGTCCAGCAGGCTGGCGTCGACATCGTCACCCCATTCTCCCCGGATCCAGCCGTCGTGTATGCACGCCGCGACAACGTCAGAGTCATCCGTGTACACCTCTGTGCCCCAGATCGACCGACGGGCTGTGAGCTCTTCCCGTGCCGATGGCGTCAGATGTACCCGCGGCACCTTGACTAGCAGCGTGCAGTTCTCGTTGCCCTTGATCAGCTCCTTAGGCAGTGGCTCCGGCGTCGAGACGTAGCTGGTCTTGGCGTGCGAGCGACGCGGTACAGGCTTTAGAGTCACATTGTACAGGAACTCGCCTAGGTGCCGCCGCTCCCTGCCAGCGACCGAGTCATATACAGCTTTCGAAGATACAATTTTCTTGGACTTTGGCGTGATCGCTACCACCGGAGCTGTGTGTTTCGGCACCGCCGACCTTGGAACGTGATGATGGTGTGTAAGCGGGGGATCCTTGGCACCAACGTTGGGCAGTGGTATTGGCGTCGTTGACTTGGCGCCCTTGAAGGAGCCGCCTGCTGGCAGTGGTGATGCCGTCCTTTCGGGGCCGTGGTGGTGATGGTGATGGTGGCTGCTGGAGATGTTAGTCTCACTCGTTCAATGGCAAAATAAAATCAAGAGCTAACTCACTGATGGTGGTGGTGATGAGTATGCGTCTTGGGACGCTTGACGCGGCCCAGAGGCGTGGACCGGCCATTGCTGTCGTCATCACCCTTTCCGTCGTCATCCTTGGCCTTGCGACGCTTGGCCTTGCCATTGGTCTTGGCTGGCGTGTCATCGGCGTCGTGAGCCAGCTCCGCATCGTCGCGGCGACCAATCACTGGGTGGCTTGAGAATGACAGTTGCGCGCCCGAAGGAATCGGACTCGACCCGCCAATGCCACGGACACCGCTGCCAATACCAGAAAACATTCGTCCGAACTCGCTCTTGATGCCCGGCTCACCACCAGGACCTTGCAGCTGCGGTTGTGCGCCCTGTACTGCCTGAGGCAGAGGAGACACGCGACCTTTCCGGTTGATCTCGTGGATGTGAAGAAGCCTGTTCGGCTGCCCTGGCATGCTTGGTCCCTCCTCGACGTGACGCGGCCGTCCATCGAACAGGCCGGTCCCTGGAGGGTTGTATGCTGAAGTCGGCGGCAGAGGATCCTCGCCTGGCCGGCGGGGTGCCCCTGCATGCACGTGCGGTGGCGGCGGCCCCGGGGGTTGTGAGTAGCGACCACGCTCAGGCGATCCATACGCACTGGTGGGAAGCGGGCCACCATGTCCTGGCGGCAGCGCGTGTGGCGGCGGAGGACCGCTAGGTGGATAGCGCTCGGTGGCGTGCGCAGCATACGCAGGGTGGCCTGGATAGGCGGAGCCGGTCGTCGCAGCCGGATAGTCGTGATGCGGTTGGTCGTAAGGACCTCTTCCACCTGGGTGCTGCTCGTAACCCTGTCGCGGCCATCCCGCGGGGTCTCGTGGATCACGGGGGTCGTGTTTACCATATGCTGGTGGCTGGGCGTGTTGGACCGGAGGCCGGTGTGGATCTGAAGTTGTCCTTTCTCGGCGTTGCCTCTCCCGCAGCTCCATATCTCGGTGTGCATCCCGCTCCCGTTCCTGCTCAAGACTCCTCATCCGCTCACGTTCTCTCTCTCGTTCTCGTTCCAGTCGCTCCTGCTCAGGCATGTGGCCGTACGCTGCACGGTGCGGATCCTCGAACGACAAGCGATCCCGGCGGTCTCTGTCCCGGAACTGCGACTCTAGCTGTGCTCTCGCATCACGGTCGGGGACGAATCTGCGCACGTCCTCGAAAGGTGCGCCACGAGCCGCCCGATCCGTGTTATATTCTCCCGGTCCGAGACCCGGAGGTCTGGGGTCTTCCCTGCGTCCGTACAATGGCTCAGCTCCCATCGGACCTCTGCCCATATCTACCGACCGCGCACCTGACGAGTTGTGTGATCGTGGTGGATTGCCCGCCTGCGGCGGAACGCTGCCTGTTCCGGCACGTGGTGGCAGGTCCCTGCGCTCCTCGCCAGGGCCCATCGACGGCCCCCTGGGGGGATAAGCATACCTCGCCATCTCTGGTGTGCCGTATGCTGGGTGTGAGGGTGACGGAGCGGAGCTGTTTCGAGGCTCGCGCCCATCGTAGTGTCGTCCGGCTTCGGGGGTGTGAGGGCGGCGCGCATATGGGTCGGAGGCGCTCGAAGGTGGCATACGGGGCGAAGCGTGTACGGGTCCGGCGTAAGGAGATGCCGAGGAGGGTGCGGCTGTCGCTGGTGGCGGGTAAGGCGCGTGCGCCGAGTGCCCGGGTGTCGTCTCGCGGTGTGCTGGAGACGGGCCTCCCAGCATGGCCGAGATGGACATGCTGCTTCCACTTCTTGGTATCGAGTTGAGCGCAGGCAGTTCTCTCCCAGACGCGAAGGCTCCTGAAGGTCCCAGCGACGGTGGGCGGGCGTGTGATGGTGGAGGACCACCGTAGTGGCTGTTCTGCTCGGCTCGGGGCGGCGAAGGCGGTGGCATATTGCGGTTCAAGGGTCCGCCGATCGAGGAGGAGCTATGGTGCCGCGCGTGCGCGGAGGCGTGGTGAGCGGATGGAGCGCCATGTTCGGCCGACGAGTATGGAGGTCGCGACTGGGAGTAGTACGTCGTGGCCGAGTCGGATGGGTGGCGCTGGTGCTGGTGCTGGTGCTGCTGATGTGGGTGTTCGGGATAGGACCCAGGAGGCGGCGCGGCCGGGCTGGCCGAGTTTGGCTGGTGACCGGGCGGGTATGGCGAAGGCGTCGTGTTTGAGCTGTTGGTCGCGGGCGGGAAGGGCGAGCGCGTGTAGTGGGCGGGCGAGCCAGCGCTGCCACGGGAGAAAGGTAACCCGGGCGGGTGTTGGCGTGAATCCATCGCGTGCGCGTTGCTGGGGGAGTGTGGCGGGTGGCTCAGAAGGCGCCCATTGCAGGCGGACGGATGTGGCCTTGGATAGCGTTCCTGGGGACGTGGCCACGGTATTGTGCTACGGGAGCAGCAGGGTGCGCGGCGAGAGTCGAGGGCTGGAATGTTGCTCACGCAGATCGTGCGGCGGTGACGGTGACAGCAGCTTGGCCAGGGGTGAGGGTCGGCCGAGGAAAGACAAAGGTGGTGCGCGCAGAGAGCTGGCGCTGGCGGCAGTCTGGTCGCGTCCTCGGGTATTGTGCTTGGGCAGGTCAAGACGGGCGTTGTGGTTTGTCGTGGCCGCTGCTGGCGTGACGTGACGAGCCGATGATGTGGTAGATGGACGGACGGGGTCTTGCCTGGTGTGGTGTTTGGCTGGGGCTGGGAAAGAGCGCGCGGAAGGATTTGCTGGAAGGAGCGGCGCACCTGACTGACTCTTGCTAGGCTGGGCTGGGCTGGGCTGGGCTGGCTGGAGCTTGGAGCCCGGGGATCCAAGGCCGGCCGGGGATGGAGCTGCCCAAGTGTGCTGCCCGCAGCTCTGAGTGGCTCGTGCTGGCGCCCTGAAGCAAGGGCAGGCCCGCCCGCCGGTGGGGCCTGACGTGCCGCTGGGCTCGCCCGGCAGGGGCAGCAAGCAGGGCATGTGTGGGGCCTCCCCTCCAGCTTGCATCGCGCGTGCATTAGTCAGGCATCCCCGACAGCTGGCAGTTGCTGCCCACTGCCGGGCACTCAGTCTTGGCCGTGACATGACACATGCTTGTTCACCCCTCTGCAAACATCAAAAGCCCACATCAAAAGGTCGTTGTCGCATCTTTGTCGTCTTCGTTTCCAGGCCGGCTCGTGGCTGCACACAAACCCTTTTGCAGCAATCAGAACGCATGATCAAGCACACAAACGGCCCCCGACTGAACTCCAGTCCAGCCACGAGTTGACGTGCAGCCCGACACGGGCCGCTGCCCGAGAGGCGGTCTCCTGCAGGCCGTCGTCGTCTACCCCTGCGCTGCAGCCATCCCGCAACACCGTCGACGACACCGCCTCTTGCATGTGGTCCAAGGCGACACCGCCGGAAAATACTTGCCGCCCAAGACAAGTCCTTGAAGGCCATGTTCGATTGCCATGTGCTTCATTATAGGCCCAGTCGCTGACATGGACGATCGCCACTCTCTTTGTTAAAGATCCGGCACAGGTTTCCAGTCAAAGACATTGCCTCGTCCAGAGAGACTGCAATCAATTTCTACACAAATGCACAATACAATTGGAGCCAAACAAAAGATAGAAAGCAGCTTGCCGATTGGCAACAATTATCCCCAGCAGAGATCCACACATGGCCAACTTGACAGCCTGCCGTAACCACCTCCTACCCACAGTCAATATCATGTCTGCGGTGCATCCCTCCCTAGACACGATCTGTTCCGGCTATTGGGGGGTCGGAGAAGGCGTGCAGCCCGGCGGCTTGTCATACCCCCAGACGCTGTCCTCGTACCCAGCGCATGGCAGATCCTGGTAGTACGGGTACAGGTTGGAGCACTGTATCTCACCGTATTGCATGCCCGTCGCGGCCGCCCAGACCTCGCGGATGTCACGTGAGCGGCACCACAGCGCGACGGTAAACCACCAGACGAGCCTGTTGGAACCCTCCGACTCGGTCCCGCATGATGCGCCATGTGTCATGATGCCGCAGTAGCCCTTGCCGTTGAGGTTGTCCCAGAGGCCACCGCACAGGCTTGGATGGTCTGCCGGGTCCGACATGTTGGTCCACACCTTGTACTTGCGCACAATCGTGTCTTCATACGCGCAGCCCGACGCCCTCGACAGGATCGCGTTGGTTTGTTCCTCGGTCAGCGGCTGCTGCGGGCCATTGGGCTGCGGCACAGTGTAGTTGACTTCATGCGGCTCGCCATCGACGATGATGGTGTCCCTCGGTTGCAGAGCCGCTGCCGCCCTGCTCCATCCTTCTAGTTCTTCCTCGTCGTCGACCGAAGCAGTCACTGTAGGCTGCTCACTCTCGTCATTGCCCTCGACCACAAACACAGTCCCCATGTTGGCAATTTCTTCCTCTTCGCTATTCCCCCCCTCCACGCTATTCTCCTCCCCGCCGCCATCAACCCCCATCCCCCCTTCCTGTGTCAGAAGCCCGGCATGCGCCTCGTTGTTCCGCCACCCAGCCTTCTGACAGTCCACTGCGCCATATGTGTTCTGCGTCGCGGTGGCCCAGACCTGGTTGACATCGTTGCGCGAGCACCTTATTGCCGGCTCAAACTGGTAGTCCAGTCCACCCTTGTAGTGGCGCTGGCAGATGGCCTTGACGCCGAAAACGGGACAGTCGCCCTTGGCCATGCGCGCCCGCTCGAGCTTCCCGCACAGTGGCACAATATCAATGTCCGCCACCCCGGGCGCGTGGATGCTGTAGTGCCGGCCGAGGATGGAGAGCTGCCAGTACAGGCAGGCGGCGCCGGTATGTGTCGGAGCCCTGGTGTTATTGTTGGTGTCGGTGGAGAAGTGCTGTTGTTGTGCCAGGTCGACGTTGGCCATGTTGGTGGTCGTGGTGGTGTTCTTGCCGCTCATGTTGGTCGGCACTGCGGCGGCGATGCTGGCCGAGGACATCGCCAAAGCGACTGCCAAAACGGCCTTGACCACAGCCATGTTTCGTGATTTGTGTGTGTGTATATATGTATATGCCAACTCGTGCAAGGTTGCAGACCTGATATTCCAGAGTTGACGGAAACGATGGAAGAGTAAGGTTATCGAACAAAGGCACTGACTGAGAAGCACCCTTGAAACCAAGCACTTGCAAGAATTAAAGAAATTTAAGAGAAATGAAGGCGCGCGTAGTGCATTGGCCGCCCCTATCTCCGCAACCTCACCTCCCACAGAAATCGAAGTCGTGGATAGACCACTAGCATCAATAACTCGGGAAAGCCCCAAGCGTCTCCACCTTGCAGGGCACGCGCGCGCGCGACTATGTTCTCGTCTGATGATAGCAACACCAGTCTTGGGAGTAACTGAGATTGTGTCTGGCTACACGACTTTTTTTGAGCTACTCAAATAGATGCAACTAGACAAATAAACGTATAGATTAGATTGGATCGAGTGTCCCCGCGACTCGGAGCACGAGTGTGGAGCCATGCTTGATAGGATGAGGGTGACTACAGGTGGCGTGGGGGTGCCTTCGCGGTGGTGCCCAGGTCTGGGGGGAGGGGGGGTTTGTCTCGCGAGGACGACAAAGACGACCTTCGATGGACTGGCCTGTCTCCCCGAGGCTATCTCAATGGGTTTCAGGCTACCAGATTATCGGGACAAATGCTCGGCGAGCTTGAGTTGGGGGCCTGGAGGAGGTTTGCGGGAGATGGATGGCCGCAACCGAAGGGTGCGACTGGGTCTGAAATATTCCGTCTTTCTGATTTTGAAGACGGCAGCGACCACAATGAAGAGGATTCTCATTTGACGCACAACTTAAACACAGCTCCACGCACAGCTCATATGAGTGGACTCTCCCGGTTCGACTTGACGACACTGTGCCAAGTATTCACTAGAACAATAGGTCTGCCTGAATGGCCCAGATTGGCCACTCGCCGGAGTCCTTTGCCTTGCTTCGGACTTGCATTGTTCCGCTTGGGCAAGCCAAAGCTTGTTAGTAGGTTAAATCAATGCGACGGCCATGGGGATTCCAGGACTTGGATCATGCAACCCCAGTGCCAGCCACAAGCTTAAGCAGACGCATCCTCTCTCTCAAGGAAGGAGGAAGCCAGACGCTCGACAAAATCTGCCAGCACCAACATTAGAGAGTGTTGAGCACGCGGTGTTACCCCATTCACGACGGCCGAAACACTTCACTTCCACCTCACCGACCACTCATTCAGGACGGTCTTCCGATGCGGCAAAGAACAAACTCTTTGACTTTGGAGAAGGCGTCTTGGGTTTCTGAAAGCGCTTTCGCCATTTCTCAGAGTTGAACAACGCACAACACAGCACAAAGCCAGCCTCCAAAGGACGGAAGTGCATTGCCAACCATCGCAGCACAGACAAACACCCTCGGCGGACAACTACGTACACAAACACGTGCTGCCAGCAACACAGCATCGACGAACAAAAAGACCTGTTTGTGGCATGTCGAGATGACAAACACGGACCACACCGAACCCGCACTCGCCGAGCCCGTGGTTGACGCAAACATGTCCCCCGCGACAATCAGCGAGGGCGCAAAGGCGAACGAGGTCGTCAAGACGGACGACCGCGACGTCACCTACGACCAACAACAACGACAAAACCGCGACTATGAGATCAATGGAGATGGTCATCCCAAAGACGAGACACACTCCAACACCGCTGCTCAAAACAAACAGCAAGACCACAGCCAGGACATTGCCGAACCCCATCCGCCGAGCGCATCTCCAGAGCACAAAACTCCAGCCCCGGCCACAACTCCAGCACAGTCTCGACATGATGGTGATCATCAGAGCCCCAGAGTCACGCCGCCGCGAGGAGTTGAAGCCGTATCGCCGTCACCAGACACAGCACCGCCTTTCACCACCACCACTGCACACGGAGGATCTCTCTATACAGAACACGGAACCAGCCCACACAAAGCAGCACATCACAGCCCCAACAACAACAACAAAAGGAGGCTCATCACAGCGGCCCAACAACGCACTGTCAACGGTAACAGCATTCGTTTCCCCTTTGGTGACGAGGACGACCGACAGAGCACCATTATCACCACCGCCAAGTCACACAGTGCCATCACCACAATGCCGCCAACCACGCGACGCTCAGCGGGCACCGCCCCCAGCACCGACTCTGAGAGCAGTCGCAGTGCAGAGTCGGGACAGGGCCACGCTGCAAACAAGACTGCGAAGAACTTGAGCCAGGAGCTGCTCGGCGACGTGCTGGGCATTGGCAGGGAGAGCGGGCGCAGCAGCGGCAGCAGCAGCGGCAGCAGCAGCAGAAGCAGAGCCACTGCCGATGACAGCAGTCACAACCAAGAAGACAACGGCGGAGGGGAAAAGGATGATGAGCCTGCAGACGATGATCTTCAGCAGCAGCTAGTGCGGGAGTACGAATCCCAACAGCAGCAGCAGCAGCAGGCTCTTCCCCCACAGGAATGCAAGTATAAACGTCCGCAGCCGAGGACGAGAAGTCTCATGGAGCAGCAGGGCAGGGCACCCTGGCAAAAGAAACAGCAACACGCCGAGGGGAAGTCTCAGGCTCTTGCTCTTGCTGACAATCAATCGCAACGGCCTTCTGGAGAGCAGACCCCGAGTCCAGGAGGGGTGGTCGAACAGCAGCAGAAGCCGACGACGACGACCAGGATCAAGGTGGTGCAGAAGAAGGAGTCACAGCAGCAGCAACATCAGCCACGACAAAGCACGACCGCCACCAGCGCTAGCCGCAGCAGCAACACCAGCAGCAGCACCAGCCGTAGCAGCACCAGCCGCAGCGGCAACAGCAACGCGGCCACAGCAACCGCCACCGCGGGCGAGATCCACGAAAAGGACAAGCCCCGCAAAGTCGAGTACGAGCCCTTCCTCGTCTCCGTCCCCGTCACCGAGGAGGACAAGCGCAAGCTCGTCGAGGCCGAGGCCAACGCGCGCGAAGCCATCCGCCAGCAAGGCGTAGAGATCAGGCTCATTCGCGGCCAGCGCGACGCCGCGCTGGCCGACACCGCGCGGCTCAGGCAGGAGTCGGAGCGGCGGCTCGCGCGGGTCCGGGAGCTGGAGCAGGCGTACAACGAGCGGCGGTATACCAACATCGAGAGGATCACGCAGAAGGACTGGGAGCTTGACGAGAAGGACAGGGAGATTGAGGAGCTGAAGAAGAGGGTCGCGGAGCTGGAGGAGGCGGAGAAGGAGAGGAGCTCGAGCATTGAACCTTCTTCTGAGGTGGATTTATCGTCTCCGATACAATTGTCCGATGACGATCAAGACATTGAGGAAGGTCCGGCTGAGGAGGATCAGGGGGACCAAGAGGGCGAGGTCTCAAAGAAGCGGGAGCTAAGCGTCATCCTAGAAGAAGAGGAGGAGGATGAGGAGGTCGAGGAAGTGACTCTGGTCCAAGGCGGCAGTGCTAGCCAGGCCAGTGAGCATTCTTCCAGCAGCAGCGAAGACATCGTCGCCCAAGGCAGTGGCCGACATCGCGCCAAGAGAAGGCGCACCGTGATCATCAGCAGCAGTGACGACGACGAGGGCGACGGAGAAGACCTCTCTGATAAGGACGCCAATGACTCCACGTCTGCTTCACACAGCAACAAAGACACTGAGCGCGATTCTGGCCCCGACAGCCTGCCAGCTCCCGCCAAGAAGGAAAACACGAGGAGGAAGAGAACAGTTGAACACAACGACACAGATGACAGAGGCACGACCCAGAACCTCGAGGGCAGCGGCCACAAGTCCACGAACGCCGACGAAGGACGCAGCAGCAAGCGGCAACGCCGCCGTGAGCAGTCCGGCGTCACCAGAAGCACAGATACGGCACGCGAGGAACACATCAGCGGACGAAACACCCTCGCCACGATCGAGGCTGCGCGGCGTACAATAAGTCGACAGGACAGAGTCATCCTCGACCTGGCGGGCAGGCTGCGGCGAATCCGGCGGCTTGCAGCGCGAGTGACGGGGACCGAAGTCATGACGCCCGAGCAGGCCGAGGAGGTGAAGAGGGTGTGGCATGAGAAGTACGAGAATGAGTAAATGTATGATTTCAGGACCGGCGCTGGATATGCCGAGATGCTTCACTTTTGCCGAGCATGGAAAAATGGGTTTACTGCACAGTACTAGATAGGAACTGAATAATCTAATAGCCCTTGGTTATGGAGACACCTCATGATTTTGAACGAATAGTCCATTTCGAAGTACGCCAAAGCCACTGAAACCAGGACACCTGCCTTGGCGGATGGAGGCGAAAACAGGATCATCCTTGATTCCATCTCCAGCCGTAGGAAGGCGCTAAGATCCGATGCCCGGCATGATACGATAAAGTGTTGGTCGCAATACTTCAACACAGCCCATGTTGTCAGAAAAAGCAAAGGCAGCCCCGCATAGCCGTTGGGATGTTCCCTGCAGACCAACATATCAGAGCAGCCTGCTTCTCGCGTAACCCGTTTGGGGCCAGGGTAAAACATGCGAATATCGAGTTTCTCAGCGTTGCGAGAGAGAGCTCAGCTGCCATTTCTAATTCGCGCACACACAATGTGTCCCGCTCAAATCCGGGAAACGGTGATAAACTTACGCATCACCGTGATGTATGGAGCAAGCCATAGCACCTTGTCATAAGGTTCGTTTGGTTGCTCCTGATGCTACATGGTCCAAACGCATGCCACTTGCCGAAGAACGGGACCGATCTGACACGTGCCAATGCGACAGTTACCGCGAACCATATACGTCTCCGTTTCGACCTGTTTGCAGTGCCTTGTGTTTCGCGCAGGCCGAGCATGTCAGCAACTCACATTGCCCTGAAAGAATGGGGCGCAGTGGAGGGAGAAAAAGCAAAAGATTCGTGATCTTCTGATCAGCACCGCCCGGGGTAATGCGTCTCCACTACCTGATCGGCCTGCAAGGGGTTGGCTTCTACACGTCCCTTGACACGTGCTTTACCCGGGCGAGCGCAGATTGATCCGCCTTTTGATCATTTGAGCGATCAGGAAGACACGGTGGTATTTATCGCGCTTTCCCACCGGTATGATGTGACCTGTCAAAGCCCACGTCAGCTAGGGGGGTTTCTTTGCTGTTCGTTTCCCCGCTCGAATTCAGTGCAATGTCCTGTTCAGCAATCATGACGGAGCACGAGACGAAGCATCAGAAAATGATTTAAGAAAATCATCTCTCCATCCCCATAGGCAACAGGATACAAGAGGAACAATGGGCCACCGAGGAGATGCCTCGTTCGCCACTTTTACCGCATTAGGCGACGAGCCGACTTTATCAAGGCCGGCCCTGACTGCTGGGAGGCACCTCGGCCGGGACGGCATTGGAGAACGAGGAAGAGGGTGTGCTCGCCCTGGCAGGGTGGGGTTTGATTGCTGGAAGTCCAGTATACTCTCGCCAAAAGACAACGCTTTACCTCCGACGACGAAAGGCCCAACGCTGAGGGATGCGGCTCAGAGAGGCTGGCTTGGCTCGCAGGACACCAGATTACCGACCGAAGCGTCAGGGGCGACCGGGTGCGCTGCCATGTGGGCGTGTATGTGGTTGGGTTGGCAATACGCATCTTGACGTGGGTGGTGGTGGGACCCCTGTCTCGAATGCGGCAAAGACGACGACCCTGGGGCAGGGTAAGCATGCCCTCCTCCTCCCTGAAAACAGAAGACATGCTCGATGCCGGTGGCGCTGATCTCTCTGACAGGCGTCGTCTGAAGTCGTTGCGGAGACCGACGGGAAAGGAAGGAGGTTGATAGGGGGAAGACCAACTGCGAGTCCCTGCGGCAGGGTTGCATCTACTGGTACATAGGCCTCGGCTTCACCCTCGTCGCCTTCCTTGTTCGCATCGCGGTGCGCAGAGGCAGAGGGAGGGGAGATCCGGAGCCGATGGCCTCTCGACGTACCAGGGGCGGGCCTCAGCTCTTATTATTGCTCGGGCAGCCGTTGCCTCTTTTCCACTTCAGTTCTCCATTTTCAGCGGCAACTCCGCTACGGCTGTGTCTTGCGTCGACCGGCAAGCAGGGGAAGTTCAGCCGGCGGCCCACTCGTAATTGCGTGCCATCAGCCATTGACGCTACCTCGCCGCATCGTCACACCGGGGCACAGGCCGGCAAGACCCGGGCCAACTCTTCGGCACAGGGCCAACTGATGGCCGCCCATGGCTGTTGCCACGCAGGCCAACCAGCCCCCTCAAAGAGAGGGAAGTTACCAGTGTCTGATGGTCTTGCGAAAGCGAATTTGAGGACCAACAGGGCACGAGCAGCCACATGAAATTTTCATCTCCTGCCACCGGATGCCCAGGCTGGTGCACACCGGCACACGAGAAAGCGACGCTGAAGGTTCGCCAAGGGTGGATTCCTAGCTGACAGGTCCTTTGATCTGGAAGCACAGGGTAGTGTCCCCCTATGCCCGTTTAAGCTCAAGTTGCGAGTTTCAAAAGTCGTTTCTGATGCTTAGGAGGGATTCAGCCAGTACTGCGTACCGCTCCAGGCGTTTCGAGCACCAAAGAGGTAAGCTGCCCTCGCCACGTTTTCAGAGGCGTTTCGAGTAAAGCGCGGCAAGCGGCCTTTCGCAGTCTCGGCTGATTAGCCGTGGGCGGAGAGGGGCGGGCCTGACTGGGGGGATCTGCCCATCCGTCAGTACCCTGCGTGCTTCGCACGACGACCCGCTCGAATTGCTGGCAGGGTGCCGAGTGGCACGGATGCCGATGCTGCTTCTGACGATGACCAGGGTCCGGGACTTGCGATGGTGCAGGCCAACGTCAATAGTGACTGACTGACAGTCAGTCAGGTTTTGCTTGCTTGAGCAAAGCAGAGCAGAGCACCCCGCCTCCGGCAGTCGTGGTGACGACTTCATCATCGCCGTTCCCGTGTTGCATGCCCTGCAACGCCCCAGCGTGCCATGTGCTTGATTACTTGGGGAAGAAAGTTGCCGAGCCGGTCCACTCCGTGATGGAAATCAGCCAGTCAAGCCACGCTCCCACACACCTCAACCCGCGGTACCCGACTCTGCGACCATGGTGAGGGCTCCCAGGGACCGCCACACGTGATTCTTACGTGGCAGCAGAAAGCCGAGACAGGCTGAGAGATCGAGTGGCGCCACAACAGCGCAAGCCAGGCAGGGAGCACCAGCGACGACCGACTCAGTCGCAGGGGCATAACACACCTTGTTATGCTGCGCACGGACGCTGACCCCTGCCTCTGCAGAAACCCGGGACAACTTCGCGACAACTTGAATTGTCCTTCTGCTGCTGTTGTTGCGCTCTGCGGGCCGCAAGCTTTCGGCCAACAGCAGACGCAAGGGTGCACCAAGAATCATCATGTGCGGGCAATCCCCGCCCTCCCTTGAAAGAATAATAATTCTGGGAGAAAGAGGGTCGAGTGGTGCATCCGAGATCACCCAATGCCCACTTCCCGGACGGCGCTACCGACGGAGCGTGGTTCTACTTGCGGAGTAGTCTGTGCCTCAGAGCTTAATTAACCCCCGGCTTGGGCTTTCGACTACTGATCCGAAGCTGCGGCTAGTCTTGATGTGGCCTTGGGCCCTCGATTTCCACGGGTTTTCGAGGCCGCCACACTTCCGGACGTTGCGGCCGACCAACGTTCTAAGCTTCTAGCTTGCCCCTGGTGTCGTAGCATATCCCTATCCAGGACGCGCCGCCGGGCGACTCCGCCTGCTCGGGTCGTATTCGTCATGAATCGGCCACGCTATTAAGCTCTGCTAGGCTGTCTCACCCAGGCTTCCGGCTCAACGAGATCGCCTGAGTCAAGTAGATTCTCCCTTAGTCTCCAGCGTGACCCGGGGCTAGATCCTCCGCCCTAATGCCGTTGTTTCGCACGTGGTAACGAGCTTAGCGCAAACCACTGCGCGATGACAATTTCCCCGAATGCTCGCGAGCAGCCAAACGGGATGCGTCGCCGCCCGGCCTGCAGCTTCGTTAGCACTTACCAAGCAGACCAGAAGCTGATCTCGTGCTGATCTACTTTCTTCTTTCGGCGTGTCATTGCATATATGGCTTACCGGTAAGGTGGAGCTGGGCCTCTTCCCGCCCTCTGTCTGTCTTCTTGTCACTCCGCACGCAGCTCCGTGAGCTCGGACTGTGGCTGCTTACACCAACTTGATCTGGCCAATGTAGCGAGGGAACCCCTGGAACTCTATCCCTGACCTCTGATCAAGCCAGCATCTCCACAAGTGCCCCCTACACGCCCCCTTCCCGGCGCCATGTAGCGATCGATTCAGCCCAGCTGCCTGTGGCGATCCATAGGCTGGGTCGGCCCAGGTGCCGAAGTCTGTGCCCCCTGTGCCGGTGCAGAACTCACTCACTCACTCGCTGCATGCCATGCAGGACAGGTCACGGCTTGTGATCGGCAGCATTGATCCCCCGGGCCAGAGCTTGTCGGTCCTGCTGCGACCCTCCCTTCCCGGCCCATATCAACAACCACATGCTACCCTCTTTAGATCTTAGCCCCCCCAGCTAGCCCTCTCTTTTCCGCGTCTGGCCTTCTCAGATACCCGGTCTGCACTGCGACCATTAATACCGACCGTTGCGCTGGGCGCGATTAGGCCCGACGCCTTTTGCTTTTCTGGTCACTCTCCTGCGTGCGCTTGCCATTCTTCGACACCATCTCGGCATGATTTTCACGACTAGACCTCGAGCTTCCTGACCTGTCACATCGCCCTCGCCGTGGCACGCGCGTGCACAGGACGTGCGTTCGTGCTCCGATGCCTGGAATTAATCAACTGCCGGCAGGCGCAGAGGGCGCCGCCGCTCTGTCGTTCACGTACTCGGGCATCAGCCTGATATGCAGCTGCATCCTATGCTGGCTCACGGTCGTTCATCGCGAAGGATGGTCATGTAGGTAGCCTCTCCGTGGCACTCGCGCCGTCAAGCCTACCTTGCACCGGACCCGAGAGGCTAGGTATGCTCGATGGATATGGATGACTGACCTCGACTGCCCATCAGATGTCTTTCTCCTGTGCATAAGCACCGGCGTGAGCACGGTCATGTCGCTTGCGCAACAGACTCACGACATTTTCTACTACGAAGACATCATTCGGGAACAATTTCTCCGCAAGGCGCACTTTACTGAAAGTCCCGAGCTTGCCATTGCCAACGGGTCCTTTGGTGTCGACCTCGTCCTCTACTACTTTCGTACGTGGTTCCTCCTTGTATGGAATGATGGTCTTTCCCATCGCGAATTGACTGACATTTTATGCAGAATACTGGTCATACAATGTTCAGGCTCTCCTCGTCATGTTCTGGTAGGTGCTTGTATATACGGGTCCCTGTCTCCGAGACGGGCAACCACTAAGACAGTCACAGGGCCTCCGAGCTTGCGCAATCCGTTTATGGTCTCAGCAACCGGCCCAGGACACGCCAGGTCTTCAAGAGGATCAACATTGCTGGAAAGGCGATATCCTTCATCTTCCCGGCCATCACCATTCTGACGCTCCGAGCACCGAGTCTGCACTCCAACTTTGTGGCCTTCATTCTGCTTGCGGATTTGCCCTGTAAGCACCAATCACAACCCATCCGGTCTGCCACGGACTCAATGGACTAATACGAGCATCTCTTTTCACGCACAGTGATGATCAGTCTAGCCTGCGGTAGCCTGCTCATGATTCTGATATTGGTCCGCTACATCAAGACCAAGAAGGGCTTCACCCACTGGGCGCCCGCGAGCTACCAGAACTCTTCGAACGGAGGCGGCACCGCGTCGTCCGTGGCCGGCCAGACAGAGTTCTCCTCGACACAGTACAGCAGTAGCGTCGGCGCGAGGAAGCCCAAGTCGGCGCGTAAGCAGTCTTTCCACGACCGCTGGCTGATGGTGCGGTTCACAGTGTCATTCTTGATCCTTGCGTGAGTTGGCGACTCCTCTAGTAGTGTTTATAGGATCACACGTCACATCTGGCGGACACTAACACACTACTGTCGAAAATTTCAGGGTCTTTGAGGTCACCAACATCCTCTTCCAGTTGCAGTCGATCCGCAACCTCGAGAATGACAGCAAGCTCACCGAGCCCGATTTGTCCGTCGCGCGCGCGAGCACGACCTTCTTCCTGTTCCTGCCTGGAACGACGGCTGGCATATTCCTCTTCATCGTTTTCGGCACCACGGCCGGCTGCCGCGCCAAGATGCGCGAGACGTTCACGCCCAAGTGGTGGCGGATGCGCCAGGAGCAGAAGAGGGCCGAGCGGGACGGCGGAGGCGACCTCGAGTACAACCACCAAGGAGTGATGGACACCTACGAGGGGCCCGTAGGCGGCGGCGGCGGCGGCAACAACGGCAAGGGCCGCATCGTGCGCTCGTCCTCGGTGACGGTGACGTACCACAACAAGGCGAACGGAGACTCGGTCCCGCTCGAGTCCCTGCCGCCGCATCACCACCACCGGTCCCAGCAAGGCCGCAAGATGTCATTCAAGAGCGCCGACGACCTGCTCCTCGAGTCTGACGGGGACACCAACGGCGACAGCGACAAGGACTCGACCAGCGAGATCATGATCGGCGCCGCAGCACCCGCGACTTCCAGCGCCACAACCACCAACAACCACAATAACACAACAAAAGCAGCCGGCCGCTCGAGAAGCAGCAGCAGCACCGGCGGCACAAGCGAAAACAGTAAGGCGGCGGCGGCGGCCTTTGCCGCCCTGAACAAGCCCCTGCCAATACCGCAGGACACGCCGATGGCACGGATCGCGCACTTCCAGAGCATCACGCGCCCGCAAACTACCCACTCGCGCACACGAACGACAACGTCGATACCAGAGCACGAGGGCGAGAGCGACGAGAGCAAGGCGGCGGCCATGATGAGCCGGCAATTTGCGGAGCACCAAAGACGGCAGGTACCTTCCTCGTTGTCATCATCGGCGTCGGTCGCCGCGCAATCACATCAGCAGCAGCAGCAGCAGCAAGCGCCGATGCAAAAGGTGCAGACGCTGAGTAGGCAGTGGACGCACGGGAACAGCTCACGAAGTGCTGGCGTTGGCGCTGCCGGATCTGCCGCCGTAAATCAGCAGCAGCAGCAGCAACCACAACAGCAGCAGCGTGGCGCGGTGCTCGGCGAAGAGTACTACGGGAGCTCGCCGGAGCATAGCGATGATTCTGGGCCGGTCCTACCTATCATGGCCGCGAAGAGATCGTAGCTGGGGGTTTGAAAGATTTCGTTGCAGTTTTAGCTTATATACCCATCAATTCATTATACTGTTCCTTTATATGAAAGAGTGAGCGTCGCTCGGATCGGTTTGATGTCACGTTGTCGGTTGGCACATGTGATGGTTCGCGACTAAACCCCGTGACACATTATTGAGCGAGTAAAGCACGACTGATAGTGTGGTGACCAATCTCGGATAATCATACAAGGTGCTTTATTGTGAGTCCGCCCGTTGTAATACGATTGGCTCGTTCCCTTTTTGACATTCCGCCTTGGCAGACCGAAGGCAAATGTCATGTCCTATAGCCAAACATGAATATACAGAAACAGCGGGTGCAAGTTTCGTGGAGAACAAAATAACTATACTATGAACCAAATATCAATGACAAGCAACCCAATAAAGAACGTATAAACTTAACAGGACTAGTTCCAGTACCCAGTCAGCAACATCCAAGACAGTGTCATCATTACCTTGATCCAGCCATGGTCAACAACCCAAACTCGACAGCCTTATGCTCAATAACTCCCTCGTGCTATCTACGCTACACAAGCTCACAGTGAGCGACGGACGGGTCTTTCTTCTCCCGCTCGCGCTCGTGATGGGACGGCTCGTCAAGCGGGGTGTCATAGAACCCATTCCGAGGGGTCGGCGAGGCTGCAGTGACGGGCCCGCCGTTGTGGTGGCGCGGCTCGTCGTGGTAGGAGCTGTGGCGGGCGTGCTCAGAACTCCGCCTGGCGGGGACGATGTGGTGGATCGGCGCCGACTTGTGGTGGCCCTGGTTGTATCCGACAGCCTGGGACATGCCAACGTCCTGCTCGGCGTGGCGGAGCGGCTGGTCCTCGCTGTAGTAACCCTCTTGATGGTCTTCAACGCCGTGCTGGGCCACGCCTTGATAGCTGGTTCCTCCACCGAGCTTGAACTTGCGCGGCGGCGAGCCATCATCGTGGTGGCCGCCGCCGATAGAGTGTAGGCCGCCGCGCTTCTTGACGCCAGCGACGAAGATGAGGAGCATTGCCACGAAGTCGAGGTACAGGAAAGCGGCGTTGGGCAGGATGAAGTGGAGCAGCTCGAGGGTCTTGATGAAGAGGTTGAAGTTGACGGCGAAGGCTGCGCCCCATAGCGATGAGGCCCACGCAAACGCTGCACTGGCCACGAGGAGGTCAGGGATCTACCAAAGAGGAGAGCTTGTTAGTCTCGGGTTGCCGATGGTCGTCTAGGTTGAAGTTTTGAAAAGAAAATGCTCACTCTGCGATTGTACGCCTTGACCTTCTTCTTTCCCACCAACAACACGCGAATGCACCAGATGAATGTGGCTGTCATCAGGATGAAGAGTGCCCCGTCGCAGCCAATGGCCAGGTAGTGGAAGACGGCAAGTCGAGGATCGACGAGCATGTCCCAGTAGTATGCTGTCGACCCGCCGCATGCCGCGGCGGCCACCAGTGCCAGCAGCACAGAAACACCGTGCAGGCAGTGGAGCATGACGCGGTGCCCTGGAGTGGCCTGGTGCCAAGAGTACAGCAGTCCATAAGCAATCTTGACGAGCATCATGAGCAGCACAATGTTGGTCAGTCGCAGAAAGAACTGCCCGACATGGAGAGGGATGATGTCTGGGCCGGGAAGGTACAGCCTCCAGTGTTCGACCGAGGTAGCGAGGTACATGGCCAGCCATCCGCTATTGGCACCGATTCCGAATGCAGCACTGTGATGCTGTCAGTCTGTTGACTGTCTTCTAGGCCGGGGAACGTCTCCCGTGCCGGCGGAGGACGGCTCCAATGCTGGGACTTACATGGCCAAAAACAAGTAGGCAAAACTCAACCACCATAACCCCTTCCTCGCCTCATCACTGTGGGTTTTGACATAGATGAAGCTGGCGATAGCGAAGCACACAGAAAGCACGCCGATCAGGCCTTCGAGGCCGGCGGCCACCATGACAGAGATGTTGAACATATTGGGTGTTTGCGTGGTCAAAGGATCGAGAGGGCTGTATGAGAAGATGTGGGAATGTCCTTCAGCTCGATTCCCCCATCTGAGGGGCCGGATGGGAGTTGATATACCATTAACACAATGCGGTGCTGCATCCTATACACTTTCTCCATCATTCCCATACCCAGGAGGCCTTGCGCTAAATTTACCTGCCAGCTTACATCGCCGGACCAAAGTTTGGCATTCTGAGCTGCGTGCTCCAGCTCATGGTATCAGAGTTGTGGCTAAGAAAGCTGATCCAATCACTGCGCCTCGGACCCCAAGATCTAGATGCAGCACAATTGCTCCACGCGTAAGCGTGTCTGCAGGACAAAGAGCTAACAATACAGCCGCAGAGCTTCCAGCTGCTCGGTGCATAGCGTTGCCCACGTTAGCGCGGCCTTGGTGCCGAGTAGGAGCAAAGCTTGTGTGAGGGCTTGTGTTCAGCCCTGCCAGCCCTGGCGAGCCGTCCAAACTATCACGATCGTAAGCCTGTTCATGCTGGTGGGAGACTTTGCCTCAGTGGGTGAGATTGAAGCTGAGATCGATGGCGCCGCGCAATCGTGTCCACAGCCACAAGTACAACATTCGTCGTGTCGGGAGCACTGGTAAGAATAGAATGCTCACGCACCCGACCACGAACTGGTATACGAGGGCACGCTCTCCAACCACTGCTCTTTTTCGGGAGATGGCCCCTTCTGGACCGCTAGTCAAGCGGAACGTCGTCTCCCCGCGCGCACAGACCTAGGCTGTGCCACAAGGCTCAGCTTGAGGCCAGACTGATCAATCATGGCAATTTGTGCAGCTGGTCGGGCTGCCTCGGACCTATGCGTGGATACTCAGCCCAAGCTTCACTGAAGTCCAACCGTCATCTGGCTTTTCCTTGATGCCGTGGAAGCGACTTTCTTCCCCTCCTGAAGTGCAAAGTTGATCTCATTCCATATGCATGAAGCTCAAATGGCCTTGCCTAACAGTACTGCCTAGTAGAGCTTGCCAACAGAATGTGCCAGGATTGCAACAAACAGTTGGGAGCATCCAGTCTCATGAATAACGTGTCGACTACCATGCTTTTTGCGCATTATGCAGATCTCTGAAACTCCTGTCGCGAAGGCATTCGAGAGTTCGAGCCACCTGAGCAGTATCTTTAATCACCAGCCAAATTTAGCTGAAGGGACACTGAGGCATTGATTCACGAAATTAGCGACGTGCATCCCTCAGCGCAGGGACACAATGTGACATTATTGATGTCCAAAATGAGTGAAAACCATGGTGTGGCGACGGTGGACAGCCTGTATGCCGTTGAATAGTGAACAGTCTGCGGTGGTTAGTCCCTGGCAGTTTAGGGGCAGGTCACAAAGTCGCGTGGAGATCGACCACTCTCAACAACTTCAACCCTATCGTATCTCTTGTCGCCAAAGGGGGTTTCTCTTTGAAGCAGGACAATCCGCACATGGTGGAGGCACCCTGGGCAGGGTTCACCATATCATATCAACCAACCTACCAGTAGGACCCTGGTTGGCTGCGCACACACCAGATGACTCACCGGCGGTCGTTCCAGGTCGCCCCCAATGTGCAATTTTCCACTGAGCGATAAGTCGATATCATCTCAGGGGCCTAGAAGCGTCTAACAGCAATGCTCTCTAGGCAGAGAACGCTCAGTAGCACCTCAGTGCTACTCAAGGTTCCCCAACAATGGAGACGGCACACGAGGGCGACGACCAAGCCTACGAAACCGACAGCGATGAATCCGGCTTCTACTTCCTGGACCTCCCCCCAAATATCCGCACTCAGATCTACTCCATAATTGTATGGCGCAGGCACGAGATTGAGAAGCGCCTGATCCCTTCCAGTTGGCCCGGGCACACACATGCCTCCGATTCTGAATTGCGGCGGCGTCACGAGGAGAAGCTCTGCCACAATATACGCCCGAGGTGGCGTCACACAATCTCGACTAGCCCTCCAAGCAACCTTGTATGCACATGCAAGCAGATCTACCTCGAGTTCGCACCTCTGCTGTACAAGTCGCACACCGTTGTGTTGCCTGTGGTCGGTGCGTGTCAGAAAAAGAACTTGATGCGCGATAGTGGTGATTCGGACCTCACCTGGCCCCTGGCGTACCTTGAGCTCACAACGCCATCTCCACCACGACCGTGGCTACCACCGCCGCTCTCGTTCTGCACGACCCTGTTTCTCACGATAGCCACACCCGTCACCTCTGACATGCGCAACCGTTGGCTTCGTGCGCTTCGCTCGCTCGTGCCTCAGGCAATGGCGCTCACGCATATGCGGATCACTTTCGCACACGACGGACTCCGGCGGCACTGTGCTCTTCGTACTAGTCACCCGTCGAAAGGCTGCTGTGTGGAACTGGCCAAGGATGTAGCCCTCGCCCAGCAGCTGAGTCGGTTTCGGCGACTGGACAGGCTCGAGATCCGCGGGTTCTACTGCCAAGTATGGCCGGCCGTTCTAGACGAGAATATCAGTGCCAAGAGCAGGTACGACAACACGCGCCGCAAGCTGAGGGTGCATCATATTGGTTTCCTCCGCACGGAGGTGGATGGGCGTGGGCCTTTTCACCCAGCGAAGCTCTTGGAGGTCGAATATAGGCGGAAAAGCGATGCAGATGCCGCCGACCCATCGCGGTGGCCAAGGAAGCCTCGTTACGAAGACGAGGAAATCAAGTCGAAATATAAGCGCAACAAATGGGGCCCTGTCGAGGCCTTCAGTCTCAGGATTGGCCTCTATGTTTAGAGGCTCTAGATGTGTCTAGAGTCTAGACTACTCAGCCGCAAAGCAAGGATCCCGCAAAGCGAAGAGAATCCAATCCTTTTATTTAGGAGCAATTACTTTCTGAACTGTGGGTTCTCAATCCAGTTGTGGCATCATGGAAAAGGCAGGACCCACCAAAGACAGCTTTGTATCGTCGTGTATTCATATTGTACGACTCGTGTGGCAGCCATGATGAGATTTCATGTGGCATAAACCACCAAGAGCCCAGCTCCCGCGGTAGCACTCCTCCAGACATGCCGAGTTGCACAAATGACCTGGACTGCGGGGTGCATGACGATGGCACCACCTGTCCTACAATATTCGCGCGAACATGCAATGTTCTCGTCGGCCGATGGATCCGGGAGGCGGCAAGGTTTCCCCACAGTCCTGTACCTCCGGCGGTGTGCGGGAGCCTCGGGAACGACTCGCGCAAAACGGAGATAACCGCCGCACCTCCCCCACTTCGACTTCAGTCTACAACCACAAAGGTGCTTGCAACGCCTGAGCCCGAGGCCGAGCAACCACGACCACGGCATTCTTGCGATCCAGGGCAACTGCGCGTCGTCCCTTCAGATTACCATGGCCTCGGTCGTGAGTATGTCAGCTGCGACTGTCGTCCCGCCGGAGTATGGGGCAGGTGTGTCCAGCTTCGTCGAGAACAAACTCTGTAGCGCCGATACATTTGCCAACATCCGAATCGAAGAGAGCGACAATACGCCACCCGTCGAGATCATCACCGTCGTTGCTTCGCTTGCCAACGTGACGGAGCCACGCTTCGCATTCAATGCTTGGCCCATTAATGATCCAGCCACCACAGAGGTCTGCAACGTGACCATCACCTACACCCACCCCGGCTGGGACGACACCATCAACAACTTCGTCCAGCTGCCTGTCTCGCGAGACTGGAACGACAAGGTCCTGGGCATCGGCGGGGGCGGATGGCGCGCAGGCAACATCGCCGACCTGGCCTACGCTACGGCGAAAGGCTTCGTCGGGGTAACCACGGATGCGGGCCACTCGTTGGACTCCCAGCCCGTGGCGGACTGGGCGCTCACGGACGACGGCACGAGCGTGAACTGGCACCTGTTGCAAGACTTTGCAGGCATAGCACTGCATGACGCTGGCAAGCTGGGCAAGAAGGCCGCCGCCGCGTTCTATGGCTCAGGTGTCCAGAAATCTTATTTCACGGTGAGCTGAAAACCGTAGTACAACCATGCTCTTCGCAATCGACCGGAACGCTGACTGGGATGCGTACGAAAGGGCTGCTCGACAGGAGGACGCCAAGGCCACATGCTGGCGCAGAAGTTCCCCGACGTCTATGATGGCATCCTCGCCACTGCCCCAGCTATCAATTGGGACAGATTCCTTCCGGGGATGTACTGGCCTTTTATCGTGATGAAGGAGATTGGTATGTCAAATATTCGTCACGGGACAGGTGCTAATCTTGAAGTATATGGCTGACTGTGGAGTGTCGCAGGTTACTTCCCTCCGCCGTGCGAGTTGGACGCAATCACTAAGGCGGCTGTCTCGTTCTGCGACGGTATCGACGGCGTCACAGACACCATTACGGTCGACCACGACAAATGCTCGTTCGATCCAGAGTCAATTGTCGGTCAAGAGGTGGTTTGTCCGGATTTAGGCGACCGGACAATTACCATTTCCCGAGAAGCCGCCAAGATCGCCTCGGCAATTTGGGATGGACCCCGGAAACCCACCACCACTCACGATGAAAGCAGCGCCGGCAGCAACAACAAAAAACTCTGGCACGGCCTCAGCAAGACGGCCAGCCTCCTCTTTGTGGCTGGGACCGAGTGCCAGGCCAACAGCACCTGCTCGCCCGCGGGATTCCACATCACTATCGACTGGCTCCGGACGTTCCTTTCGGCAGACAAGTCCCTAGACCCTGCGACGCTGACCTGGGCCGAGTACACAGACCTCTTTGAGGTATCCACTAGCCAATTCGAATCGGTGATAGGCACGTCGGACGCGAACCTCGAGCGATTCGCTCAGCGCGGCGGCAAGCTGCTCACCTGGCACGGGCTGGTGGACCAGCTGATCCCGCCGCTGGGCACGCGAGACTACTACGAACGGGTAGTTGCATCCGCGCAAGACCAGAGCGCGGCCGGCGGCGGCAGCGCTGCGCACGCGACAACGGCGGACTACTTCCGGTACTTTGAAGCCCCCGGGGTTGAGCACTGCGCGGGAGGCGAAGGGTGGTTCCCCGGCGGCGCGCTGGACGCGCTGATTGACTGGGTCGAGCACGACAGAGCGCCGGAGACGCTGTACGCTGAGAACTCGTTCGCTAGCGCGAGTCCGCCGGGGAGTCGGGCAGTCAATTTGTGCCTGTATCCTAAGAAGCTGCGGTACTTGGGTGGAAACGCAGATCAAGCTGAGGCCTGGGGATGCGGGGACAGCGAGCCTGCAACTCAGGACGGAGATTCGGACAGGCCAATTCCGTCGAGAGATGAGCTGTGATGCGGCATGTGCAATGTAAGAATAGCAATTTTGTGTTATGGAAAAGGATGCAGCAGCATCTACTACCTAGTCCAGTGTAGCCGGAAATATGTAGCGCAGCCAAAGTCCACTACCATGTTACCATGAGCGCTAAATTTACACAAGTGAACCATTCCACCGTGGTCCATGGGACCTGAACAACAGGAACACCCAGCGGCTGCACATGCACACTCAAATCACTCTACAAGAAAAGGTCATCATGCCTTGGTGACCTTGTAAACAGCCATGTCATGCTGTCCCAGGCTGATGCTCACGCTCGTGCCCGTCCCAGAGGTACCCCTGAAAAGCTCGGTCCAGCGCCAGTTTCCGGATCCCAAGCCGGGCACCTGAGCAAAGTTGACAGAGAGCGTCTCTGCCCCATCGGGCGCGATGAGACCAACGACAACGCCGTCAGAGAGCTGGCCGGCCCAGTAACGGTACAGCTGACCTGACACTGGGCCGGGCTTGCCAGAGGGGACAAAGGTGGTGGCGGCTTTGCCGAGGGAGTCCTGGTTGATGGCGAGCAGTCCCTATTCATGTGTTAGGTTATTGGACAACTAAACCTCAAGCACTCGAAACGGTGCCCGGCCAAATCATGACTTACCTTGTTCTTAATCAGGTTCAGCCTGGTGGTGCTGAGCTTGGTCATATCAGTGCCTATGATGATGGGCGACTTGGCAATCGCCCACAGGCCAAAGTGCGTGCGCTCCTCGGCATCAGTGAGCTTGCCGTTGCCGATGATCTGATATAACTCGCACATCAGTGACAAAACTCTTAAAGTACTTATGACAGCGACTCGAAACTCACCATCATGTCGAGGTCATTAAAGCCTCCAGGCTTCGAGTACTGGGCAATCGGCCCGGCGGCGCTGCCAATGCGCACAACATCCGCCCAGCCGCCCCAGTTGTCGACGCTCATACGCCAGCTGTTGCCCGTCGCCCCGCCCCAAGTCCAGACCGAGTCGCGGCCCCAGTTGCAGAGCGAGTAGAAGATGGGTTTGTTCGTCTGCTGCAGGTAGTCGCGCATCTTGACGTACCACGTCTGCGAGTTGCCCGCAGGGTTGCCGCAGGTCTGCACGATGGGCCCGTTGCACGGGGTGTAGCAGTTGTCGTACTTCCAGTAGTCGATGCCCCATGCAGCGAGCGTCTGGGCGTCCTTCTGCTCGGAGCCTTGGCTGCCCGGGTAGCCAGCGCACGTCATGGTGCCTGCGTCGCCGTAGAGGCCCAACTTGAGGCCCATTCCGTGGATCTGGTCGGCGAGGGCCTTCATGCCCTGGGGAAACTTGTTCGGGTCGGGAACCAGGTGGCCGGTGCTGTTGCGAGACTTGGTGGACCAGCAGTCGTCAATGTTGATATACTTGTAGCCAAGATCTCTCAGGCCCAGGTTGACAAATGCATTGGCTGTGTTGAGGACGACTTGGGCTGTAGCAGCGTTGCAACCACCTTGGTTCTGAGAATTATTGTCAGATTGGAGACACAAGAGGCAATTCCATGCTCAGAGTCTTACCCAGCTGTTCCATCCAAGAGCCGGTGTTCGACCCAGGCCATTCTCGAGGCGTGGAAGAGCCGTTGCGGTGGCCGTGGTGGCTACTGCCAGTGCAGCGATACTGACATCGGAACGCATCTTGAGTGCTTGAGACTTAGTCAAATTCGAAGACAGAGGGCTTGCTACTGGGAGCACTGCTGGGGTTGAGATGTCGTGAAGGAGGGTGATGATCGCAAGGTAAGAGCGGTCTCAGCCCGCCCTTTTAACTTTCCCCATTCTGAAAAGTCTCCCCATTCCCGATGATCACTCCTCTGCGAGGCATGGCCATGCTGGCGTCCCAGAGGCGAAAATTGCTGGATAAATTGATTAATCAATGATGGAACACGCCGACGTCGACGCCACGCACGCCGGTTGCTCTCCCGGACGATGACGCTCCGCGAATGCGGGGGATTGACAAAAAGTTCCGTGTGGTCTGCATGCGCGTGGCGTGGATATGATCGACAACTCCACTCGAGCGCATCGATGACGGCCGCGTCTAATTGGGCCGCTTACAAGTACCCCAGAAAATCGTAATAGAGTGCCGGCAATGCAGGTGCTGGGTTCGTGTGTGCTCTGGTTCAATTGACACGACGTTGCACGCTGCGGAGAGGGAGGGTGGGATGGCACGGAATGTACTAGCCGTCTCCAATCAGCCATATTCCAGCAGCCGTTGTCGATGTCGTTGTTCTTGAGTGTGGCTTCCGAGCGATCATCTTGGCGCCAATCAGAACACAAAGCTTGGTGTGCGCTTGGTGTGCGCTTGGCATCAAGGGTCTTGGTTGCACAGCAAGGAGACATAAAAACGGCCAGGATGCAACATATAACTGTCGTTGTATGGGCCGGCTGTCAGTGCTGACAACCGCGAACACTGCTCCCGTCATGCATGAACACACACCACATGCTCGGTGTGCGAATCGTCCGATCTAGCCGCCCCCTTTCTCGAAAAAAGCAGTGGCTTCGTGGTGCAGCCTTCCAGACTGCCCCGACTTGTGCGCGATTCGTGTCGCAGCGGCAGGGTGCTCTGTCCAGAATTCCATGGCCTGGTCCGGCAAGGTTCGTTGGCAGGTCTGAGCGCTGGCAGCCATAAATCCACACGACCACGCGACGAAACCGTTTGCAAATCCCACGAATGAAGGCGGCGAGTGATCGTGATGGGTTCCATCTGACTGCCCAATCCCTGATATGGACCAAGCGCCCCTGTTATGAACCAAGCGCCTCGCACCGCAGCGCCATGCCTGCCACATACAAACATCTAATGTGTGCTGAAGCACTGTTTGAAAGCGACGGGAACCTTCTGGTAGCTGTGTCGTGACCTTGAAGGGCGAATCATTAGGGACCCCAGCGTGTGACCTTGCCAGGGCCAACGACAAGTGACATGGAACCTGGCGTATGCAGAAATGCTGGACTGACATGTGCTTTGCAGGCATAAGACTGGGACAAGAGACTGAAACCAGCCGCGGTCCTGGCCCAGCTGGCCGATCGAATGTGTGGAACCCTGGCTTGACCGGCCGATCTTGAAACGCTGTGGGGACGGCCAACAAGAAGGGAATGCGCCATATTTTGGCACTGGATGTCCTCAACCACCGAAAGTCTGTCGACTTGCTATTGCACCTTGTCAGTGTCTGGTGGACAGATGGGAATGTGCCAAATCGGAGAGGAGGGGATGCTAATACGCGTTGCATCACTCGCTTGTGCGGCTCTTTCAACGAAATGACACCGACCAGGCCTGGCAATGCGACCAGATTAGGTGACATCGGTACGTTCCGTCTGATGATGATGGGGCCCACTTTCATCTCGAAACGAATGAAACTCAGGTGGGAGTTGAGACGACGTGAGACACGAAGCCGCTGTCAGGCCAGGCCAGGCCCAATCGCAACTCACGCCCAACCACGGACCAGATCCGCAGTGCAGCCATTGATACCCACTCCTTCGTTCTTATCGTCCTGATGGCAGCGGAACAGAAGGCGCGCCTCCCATCGTGTGAGCAGCCGCCCAGGGTCGGCGGCGGCTCAAGCTCAGACCCCAGCAGAGCAGGACCCGCCGACGACCCAATCACGGATAGCTTCCGATATTTGCTGTTCGACCCCTGAAGTCGGGTGGAACGCCTGAATGCTAGCACTCGTGTATGGTCCCGTATCGTGAGCATGATCGTGCTTCAGGAGTCAGGTGCTTTGCTCGAGTATAAGTATCCTGTTGGAATCCCACGACAGGAGGCAAAAAAGAGTCTTCCTACCCATCTTCAGCATCTTCAGTCTCATTCACTTCGCCTCTGTGCTCTGGTAGCCAGTCCTTCTTTCCAAAACCACACTTCCATCTTCGCTTCACTTTTCTACACTACCAGTTCAATCTACGCTTCGACAGCAACGACCCACGCCCTTTTAATCATCAAGATCACCAACCCAGGCTCCAGCTTACCACACCGAAGTCAAAATGAAGACCACCGCCTCCGCTCTCTTCCTCTCCGCGCTGTCGCTCTACGCGACCGCCGTCTCCGCTCACGGCCGCCTCGTCAAGCCCGCCGGCCTCCCCAACAGCGGTCCCCTCAAGGACATCCGCGTCGCGGCCAACAACTGCGGTGAGGGCGTCACCATCGCGGGCAACGCCGTCGCCACCTTCAAGGCCGGCTCCACCCAGGAGGTCACCTGGGTCGTCGACAACGGCGACGGCGCCGGTCCCCTGGCTGTCTCTTTCGACCCCACTGGCAAGGGCACCGCCTTCACGGTCCCCGCCGTCATGGTCAAGCAGCTCGAGGGCCAGAACGGCGGCGTGCCCAACAGCTTCCCCCGTGGCAACCACGTCGTCAGCTTCAAGGTGCCCACCACCACTTGCAACAAGTGCGTCATGCAGATTCGCCAGAACATCAAGGGCAACAACGGCTTCGGATCTTGCGCGGTTGTCAGCATTGTTTAAGGGGGGCCAAGGAAGTGGTCAGGCTGTGTCTGTGCGATCATGCAGCGGTCAGCGATGATATCTTGGGCCGGTCGCTCGCTTGGAAGAAGCGAATGGCCAGTGTAGGAATAGGTAGCAAGATAATATATTGACTGCAAGACTGTATGAGCATTGGTCCGTTGCCACGTGAACTTTTGATTGCCTGATTGCGCTCTTCCGTTGATCAACCACTTCTTGCTAATCTATGGGGGTGGGGCGAGGCTTGCATAATCAATCCTACTTGCTCGTATGGGCTTTGTAGTCTACCAGCCGTATCGATTTGGGTTCGGCGATGTTCATGCTCCGATTCGGACAGTCCTGGGTGGCCCGACTCCGAGTGCCCAGTCTCTGCGGCGCAAGCATTCCATGTCAAACAGTGCTCCACTTCTCGCGGTGCAAGAATCTATCCGACATAGCTTTGTCAGTGCTACGAAGTTTGCACTGAAGTAGTATAAAAATGCCAAAAAATCGTCACTTTTCGTCTTCGTACAACAAAGTACCAATTCCAGCATCACATACAATCACATCAGTCATCCTCAGTGTTATTGTTCGTATCATGGCCAAAGAGCTTCTCACGGTCTTTGGGGCTACTGGCAAGCAGGGTGGGGCCCTGATCAGACATGTCCTGAACACCCCGACCCTGGCATCCAAGTTCACACTGCGAGGCATCTCGAGGGACACGAGCAAGAGTGCGGCCCAAGCATTGAGCAATGCAGGCGTCGACATGGTCCAGGTCAGTTATCTGTCGATCATCAAACCAAGTCTTTGACCCAACGAGAACTAGGCTGACGAGCATGCCACGTTCTAGGCGGACCTGAACGACCCTTCGACGCTGGATCGCGCCGTGGCTGGCTCTCACATAGTGTTCGCTGTGACCGATTGTGAGCACCTTTGCCAAACAAAAATCTCCTCAGAAGCATACCTATCGGTCTTTATACCGTGGTGTCGATGGTGTTCAAGTGACTGACTGACCACGCTTCATAACAGACTGGGTACAAGCGCTGCCGCAAGTCGAGGTTGCTCAAGGTAAGGCGATCGCTGATGCCGCAGTCGCCGCTGGCGTGCAGCATCTGATTTGGTCCTCGCTTCCGAGCATCTCCAAGTTGACCGACGGTCGCGTCAAGACGATACACCACTTTGACAGCAAGGCCGAGGTGGAGACTTACATCCGCGGACTCGATATTGGAAGCATCTTCTTCGCGCCAGGTTGGTTCATGTCAAACCACCTGGAATCTTTCAGACCTCAACCCGTAAGTGCACACATGTCTCTCCAGAAGATTCAGGGCACCCAGAGACTGAATGCGTATACAAATGTGTGCAAAAGGTGGGAAACGACACGTATATACTCGTCTTACCCTGGTCCAGTGCGACTCGCTTGCCGCTGATCGATGTCCGAGACACGGGCAAGTTCCTCGCTCCGGTCCTTCTCAACCCTAAGCGCTACCATGGAAAGAGCCTCACCTGTGCCACCGCCTACTACAGCTTGGCTCAGATGGTCGAAGTGTGGAGTAAAGTCACTGGCAAGACCGTCATGTGCAAGACCCTCGGCGTCGATATCCCCTTCTCCGAGGTTCCCGAGGAGCATAGGCCGCTATTAGAGAGCTTGGCAAGCATCCAGGAGCTGGGGTACTATGGACCGAGTGGTCCGGCAGACCTTGCGTGGACGCTGTCGCAGCTGTCTGAAAAGCTGGGGACTTGGGAGGACTTTGTGAAGGATCAGGAGCCCTGGTTTTGAGGTGAAAGCTTGTCGATCCTGTTCACGGTTGCAGATGCATGCACGGGATTTGAACCTGCTCGACGCGAGAAGCAAGATAGTTTTGGTACACAATATCCATTAACGTAAGCCGTTGGGCGGACATATTGCCCTAGGCCAGAAGCTATCCCATTTTACTCCAATTCCATTCTAGCCTTCCATGCTGTCCAATACATTTCCAATGCTCTCCATCATTGTCGTTGAGCTTCACCGGCCAGTCAGCTCCAGTGTAGGAGCAAAATCAGCCATGCTGAGTGGGGTCGATCTAATTTCGTAGGTTGGCCATTTGGATGACGGTTGTTCTGTTGACGGTGACGAGGACGAGCTCCACCAGTGAAAGCGGGAGATCCTGAACAAGGCTGAGAGCATCATGACTGGGGAGTAGGCGTGGGTTGATGGTGAGCGTCTCCAAACTGGCCAGGTTGCGAAGAGAGCCGATGTTTCCGTATTTCCGGGGGTTTCTGCGGATGGGGTGCCATATGTCGTGGCCGATGGTGATGCTCCGTAAAGAGTGACCGTGCTCGCGCAGCGCATCGCCAGCTTCGGCAAGCGAGAGACCGTCTGATGGCAAGCCTTGCTGGCCCCTTTTGAAATGATGGTTCCACAGCCTCAAATTTGTGAGGGCCTTGTTTTGTCGGAGCAGCTCCCCGAAGAGCGCGGCGGAGATTTGGCAGGAATCCAGAGTGCATTCGATGAGGCTTGTGGTCATTGCACCGTTGAGTGTCGGGTACTGCACCAAGTGTCCAGCCTGGGAGAAAGGCGGGACGGATTCGAGGTTGGCACAGTCAACTTCTCTGATGGCAAGCCTTTTGTGTTGTCGATGGAGGAAGAAGGGTGGGCAGCGTCCTTGTCGTCGTCTGAGTGGAATGAAGGGATGGTTTCCGAGTTTGCGCTTGCAGTTGTTGTGGTAGTTGATGGTCTTGAGCTGCTCGAGTGGGCTGTGCGCAAGCCCACTGCCGTTGAAGTCGGTGGTGAGCAATGCCTCAAATCTTTCGTACGCAGTGGTGCTCTCCCAGGATAATTGCCGCAAGTTTGGTGGCAGAACTGCCAGCATGACTAGCCAGCCGTCCGTGAAGCCGTGAACGCGATCGAGACGATCGAGAAGCTCGTAGCGGAACGACACCAACTGGTCGAGAGTGTCGTAGAAGTCCGAGGAGTAGTAGTCGCACACCCATTCTTTCGCTCGATGCAAGGTGTTGCGGGCGCGTTCTCCGATAATGTGTTTCGCCTTCTCGGTGTAGATGTCTTGCGACTTGACCTCCACGTTGCATACGAAAGCAGCCAGCGTTGGAGAGCTCGACAGAGTCCGCATGAGCTGGTCAGCTGCACCGGGTGCGAGCCGATCGAGGCTGATATTGTGATATAGTCGGGGTGTGAAGCATTTGGCGAAGGACCGGGAAACGAAGCAAAGTGCCCAAGCGGGCTCTCCAAGTCGAGGTTTCTCTCCGGGATGAGTTTGGCGTAGGTGGCCCGAGATGAGGTGCATAAGCTCGACTGGGAGGTTTGTTGATTGACTCCGTGGCTGTGGCTTTTCCCGAACAGCCGGGGATCTCTTGTGGTTGACTATGGGCCCCAGAGCAGAGTGATTTGAATGACCAGTGGTTCTGCCCGAGAGTCTCATGAGAGGTGCCATGGTGATGGTGGTGGCGTGCGAGGATCAGAAAGTCTCTCGGTTGGTTTGTTAGGATTGCTGTAAGAGTTGAGCTTTGAAGAGGTTTTATTGTCAATGTGGATACGATGTGGTTCTGTCGTTTCATTTCTCAGGGCACTTGGAGGGATCAGCGGTGGGCATTTATACCATGGCGATATTTGATGAAGCTATCTCCGTTACGATGGGGGGAGACCTTGCAGGCCTTGCGGAGAAAGCCCTTCGAGCCCACCTCGAGCCACGTCTCTAGTCCAACTGGATCGGCTCTCTTTGCAGGTACTCCTCAAACGTCGAAATGTGCCCTTTGGCGTTCTCGACGCTCCATCTGACCAGTTTGTCCGTATCTGGTCCAAAGTAGCCAAACTCCTCCTCATACAGCTGCATCTCCACCAGCACGCCAGCCGCAGGGTTCCGGTCCCCGCCAAACAACTGGAGAGCATCCTCACTTGAGACCTGCTTGTACACAACCTTCTTGCCCGTGCTTGCACTCAGATGCTCGACGATCTCGAGCATCGTGTACTGCCTGCTGCCCGCACACAAAGTCTTGCCTTCAAGCTTGTCAAAGTCCGCCAGTATTGCTGCGACCCACTTGCCCAGCTCCGTAATATCGATCAAGGGCAACTTCGACTCCGCCCCAACATGCGTGGTAAAGACATACGTGCCGTCTCCCGCCGGCGAAGGGCGCGGCTTCAGCGGGCCGCGGTAGTTCTGCATAAAAGCGCTCGCAGACACAAAGCTGCTTCGCACCACGCCCTTGTCGCTGAGCCCGCGGATGTACTCCTCGCCCTCGGCCTGCCCGTCGAACGGCGCCACTCCAGTGTACTTGCCGCCTGAGATCTTGCTGGCAAAAGGGAGCGTGCTGTACACGATGCGCTGGACCCCGGCAGCGACGCAGGCGTCGGCCCCCGTAATCACCGAGTCGCGCTGAACACTACGTATATCGCCACCGAAGCCCGGTGTGGCCGCAAGGAGGAAGACTGTGTGTGCGCCCGCGAGGGCGGCCGGGAGAGTGGATGCGTCCGTCAGGTCGGCAGCGACGACCTCAGCTACGCCGCAAGCCTTGAGGGCTTGTGCCTTGGCGGAGGATGCGTCGCGAGTAATGGCACGAATCGAATATTCCTTCGACAGCTGAGGATCAGAGAGTACGTGAGTCACGACCGAGCCGCCCTGGTTGCCCGTGGCGCCGAAGACTGCGAGGATCTTGGACATTGTGAATATGCATTGCTTGACTGCGAAAGGAGATGAAGATATTGTGTTTCGTGAAGGGGATAGGATGCTTGACGACGCCCGGAAAGAGCTCCGAGAGAATGTCCCATGAGGTTTATAACTGGCCACTGAGAGCCATGGCGGGCTCTGGTGGCGCAAACGAAAGCGCTTAACTCCGTGTCTTATAAATCCAGATCTTCAATCACGTAACTTCATGGCATTTTGGCTTTGCACGTTGACAAGCATGTTACAGGCATCTGCTTTGGAGAGTCCCTGAGACACATGTCGGGAAATCATACCGGCCGATCGAGTTCTCCGCTATGTGCCTCGTGGCCAATTAGAAAAGTGCTGCAGACCACGCCATGCGGAGAGCTATCGACGAAGGTTTCGGGAAATCGGCCACCACTTACGAAAAGCCTGGGAAGTCCGCGCCCCATAACCCGATTACTTATCTCCGCTCCGTGCACACGATGGCGAAATGCCGATGCAAGGTACCGATATGCAGCCCCCAGAGTGCCGGGAGTCAGGCAACCCGGCCAGCCAGATGACGTCTCGGGTGCTAGGTTCCCCGGATGGTGACAAGACACCAAGCGATTGCTGTCAGCACTGCCGATTGTCCATCTCCGCCCGTGCCAAAATGTCCAACCAGGACCTCCAACAAACGACGACGGTCTCACAATCATTTCGGGAGATTGCATGATCGGGCCGTGCGGAACTATATTCTATTGGATTCCACATCAATTGTTCATCAAGTTTCATGACAGAAGCCGGAATCGCTGTCTCTCCCACCGCTGCTGTGGCGAAATCAATGATCACTAATCACCTGGTGGCCGCTGGCAAACTGCTCGCCAGGTATCTCCTAAACATCCTAAACCAACCAGCATTGTGCACAGCCCGGGTCCCAAGAACGGCCCCGTACCCAGAAGCAATAGTGAGCACGAGCAGCATTGTCAGCATCCGCTCGACGCCATTCTTCCTCCACGGCCCAGAGTTCTTCTCTCTCGTGGCGTCCACGATGCCCAGCGGGGTCGTAGGGTTGAGTAAGTCCGGGATCCACTTGAATGTGAACATGGCCTTGTAGCCCAGGCCGCCCTTGTTCTTATTGTCTACAAGTAGCTCGTAGAACGTCGCTCGCATGTTCTATTGTGTCGACAAGACAGTTCAGCAAGGTACTCAACTGGTAGAAAAGCAGCAGCTAGCCAAAGTTTCGACTCACCTTGATATTTCTCTCATCCAGCCATGGGACACTCCTCGATATGTATCCATTCAGCATGAACAGCCAGCACTGCATCGCCACCAGCGCCGTGTTGAACATGCTGGGTTTGGGGATTTTCAGCGCCCGGGACAGCTCGGCGCCGTTCAGCCACCAGACCTGCGCGTACAGGAACCCGCGCGACGCATAGATCGGAGGGATGCCCTCGAAGCCAAAGACAATGTTATTGGCCAGGTTGCCCGACTTGTCGGTCGGCATGATCTCCGAGACAACCAGGCTCTCCATCATGGCCTTTGCCTCCTCGGGTGACGACAGCCAGTCGTGCGGCGTTCCCATGATGTACGCCACGTACCGCCATAGCGCAAGATAGTCGAGCTCCTCCTGCTTGCGGAGGATGATGCCCTGCCTAGGTAGCCCCATGTTGACCACGGCCGCGCTAAAAGTGTTGATGGTGCCGATGCAGTCGAGGTCGTTGATCGGGATGCCGAACTTGTCGAGATCGAAGTAGTCTGGCTTCTCCTTGGCGAGCTGCATGATGCGCCGCCGGACCGAGGTATGCAGCAGCCGCACGCGGACCGAGGACTCCCACCCTTGGCCGCCGGGTTGGATGCTTGCGAGATTCTTATGCACGTCGAGCGTGTGTTGTGTCGTCTCGAGGAGGCGTCGGCGCACAACGGATGCAGAGAAGCCGCCTGTGCGATCGAGCGTCTCAACGATGCGCCCGCCGCCCATGCCTCCGAGTAAGGAGAGATATGTGAGCTACATGAGAATTTGACGTCAGTGTGTCAAGGCTTCAAAAGTCGGGTGACAACCATGGTGGGGGTATTATCGGAACGCACCGAAGTCACCGAGGCGCCGGCATATCGCCAGAACACCTTCTGCCCGCGCTCAATCTGTGCCCAGTCCACCCAGTCCGGCACTGTATTGACCTGATTCCAGAACGCCCGGATCTCCTCGGCGGCGTCGGCGTGCTGCTTAAGCAGCTTATATGCATCTCTCTGTGGCTTGCGCTCACGAGCCTCTTTGGTCGGGGTCGTCTTATCGTCGTCCTTCGCAGGTGTTGCAGGGATTGCTGGCACAGGGAGAATCTCGTCGAGCTTGTCAAGCGCTTTCTGCGAAAGGTCGTCGTAGGTCTGCTGCAGCGGCTTGAGCTGCTCTGGTGTTAGATGGAGTCTTGTCCAGATGAACTTTTCCCCCAAATGGTTGATCTCGTCGCCGACCCGCCCTACTACCCCCATAGCTGTTTTTGGATGCCAGTGATGATCTCTGTAAGAACCTTGAGCTTCTAAACGCTTCGGCGGACGAAGTTGCGAAATCTCGAATGATCGCTGTTGTGCCCGCACAGTCCCACAGGCAGTCTTTGCTGCACCGGTATCCATTTTATATGATGACCTTTTGATCCTCGGCGGCGAGCAGATTTCCCCATCTACAATGTCGCTCTGCTACCAGATATGTCGTTGCCGAGGTGCGATATGCAACGCAGATAAGGAGGGGCGGCCGAGAAGGCCGAGAAGATCCCGGCCGAGAGACATCGAATGTGACGAGCTGGTTACTAGATTTGGCGCTGCAGAAACGAGGGGGGCCGAGGTAGCCAATCAGGTTGTGACTCCCTGTATGCGAACCACGGGGATCCCTGCTTTCCTGCTGGGCGATCCCCCCCCAGATTGCTCTCAAGCAGGGGCTCAAGGGTTCATGCGGGGGAGGCGCGTACATCAAATCCAACCCCGGCTCTTGCGCCACAGATTACAAGATGGCTTGATGAGCTTATTTTCATGTCGTAGGTCAGGCTCAGTTGAAATGGAAGGGGCATCTCCGTCGAGTCTGAGAACCGGGTGTTTCTCAGAAATCCACGATTCTCGAGGTAAGGCGGCCCCCGTGTGTATTTCCAATCCCCTCACTAAAATGGAGTTACACAGCTACTGCATCCCTCGCTACCATCAGCATGCATGTGGGCTGAGGAATTATGAGTGTGACTCTCAGATGTGGCTCTATCTGGATATCAGTTCCTATCTCGATATAACATACTGTCGCAAAATCAACGAGGTCATGCAGGACAGACAAAGAGGGTAGTCTTTTTGGAAGCAAGTTATTGGACTGTTCAAGTCTTTCGTAGTGTCCACGATAACAACCCTCTCAACTCACGGTGGCCCCATGCTTTCGAACTCCGTGAATTTGACCGATGGGCCCGGTATCAGATGGTTGTCACAACATCAAAGGGCGTGCTCATGGGCACAGTGTATAAGAGCCCGTTGATTTTGATGGCTTTGGGCCCATGCTTTATGGAGCCGTGACGTTGTACACGTCTTACTAAGAACCCAGAAGCGCCGATTCACACTAAAATGAGAAGCTGGGCTTGACTAGCTAGATCGAACCTTGCTATTAGTCTAAATACTGGGGATTATGCATCCCTGGAGGCTATTGATCGGAGCTCGTTTCAGCCCTGATAGCTTAGTTCCAAGCGACACGCCCAACTGCCTTGTCCCAAACCATGGAAGTGCCAGACCCAGGCCTTTGTTCCCAGCAGACTGCTTGCGAATGCTGTTGCGCTACGTCGCCGAGGCGTCGGAATGACTGCGTTGCAAGCTGACATCTGAACATGGCGATTGACGACTCTGTCACGGTCGAGCTGCGCCAGATGCCTACGTCGCCGTCGCTCGATGAACAAGCGCCGGACGAAAACACGGAGAATCAAGACGTGAGCACGCAGCCCCTGGGACTTGCAGCAGGAAGGCGGCCTTTTGCGAACGTTGCCGTGCGGTGTCTTGCGCGATGGCTTGTGACGGCGGCCGTGGTCGGTGCCATGGCTGGCATCCTTTTCCACTATGCCAGCAAGCCCGTCATGGACAGCGAGGGCAAGAGGATATTCAACACGCTCATCACAGGACTCTCAATCGGCCTCGGCCTCGCCATCACCAGCAGCCTTGACGACATGATCCGTGACCTACGTTGGTGCCTGCTGGCCCGTCGCCACCGCTCACGGCGCAAGGTCGAGCGAATATTGCAGGCCGACAAGATAACCAACCTGCTGCAGCTGGCGTTGACTTCTCACCGACTCACCATCCATGGCGCCGTTACGGCTTGGATTATCCTGTTACTTGTGAGCCGAGGGGGACCCCCCTCGAAGACATATCAAGAAGCTGCGGCTGACAAGATGTCTCTCTTACGGGACGACAGGGCGCCCAGATTGCAGTTTCAGCTCTCGGGCTCTGCTACTCGTTGGACGCAGCCACTGACCAGGCTCTCCTGGTGCCTGGAGACTTGCTCGTTGCCGACATGTCGACCATCCAGACATACAAACTGCTGCCGTCCACCTCGGCCGAACTCGATGCTCAGCAGTACACTGCATACAGCTACGGGCTCATCTCGTCTGGCTTCAACACCGCGCCCCTCGGTAGTATCCCGGAGCCAGGCAGCATCTTTGCCCCTGGCGACGCGCTCATCTTCCTGGGCACCGAGTCGGCCAGCTACGTCTTCCGTGACACTTCCGCCGCCTCGGCCGCCGCCAGCGGCACCAACCCAGTCGCCATCATCACACCACGGTCGGTGACTGCGTCAAGCGTCTGCCGCGGAGCGCCTGTCACCCAAGGGGGCGATGGCAGTGATACCCAAATCACCATCGCGGACCCGTCCGACTCCAGCACCAGCACCACTATCATTCTCCCGCTCCAGGTCGCGAACGGCAGCGCCGACCAGACGACCTACATGATCAACACGACGCAATCCTGCGGAGAAGGATGCGTTCCGATCACCGTGTTCGAAGCCTCCCTGACTAATCCCTGGTATTACACGTGCAACACGACCGTCAGTCCTGTGGCCAACGCCCTACGCCCGGAGCACGAGATCAGCCTTGGCGTGCGCACCATGGCGGCGGGTGGGATTGCCCTGCAGGGCATCTCGTCGTCCTGGCCGGCCAACGTCACCGTGGTCGCCCAGTCCCAGAATTTCCCCGCCGAGGTGTTCTTCGGCCTGCCCACCAATGGCAGCGTCAGTGCCGTGGCGCTGGTGCTCTCCGAGTTCGCGATCGGCGTGGTCGCGTCTACCGCCGAGTGGAACGATCCGCTCGTCATCAAGGGCGGGACCGCACCCGCACGCGGGGACGTGCTGACCATCAAACACACGGGTGCCGTCATGGCGATCCTGATAGGCGCAGTGGTCGTGCAGCTCGTGTTGGAGGTCGGTGTGGCGGTGTGGTCGTATCGTGTCGGCGTGCCGCCGGACGACATGGTCTCGCAGGCACAGGTTTTGAGGCAGATGACCATGGTGGCAGGCTGTGTTCATGAGAAGAAGATTGGTCGCGTCAACACATCGCGCACGGACGAGTCTGGGGCAACAGGCAAGGCTGAGAGATCTGAGCCCTCGTGGATATACAGGGCTACACCACTGGGGAGCTCTGGGTTGTACGATTTGCATTTCGAGAAACGGTGCTTGTAGCAGGTACCCACATTGTTAAGAAGGCCTCATGAAAATGGGTTAGCTAAGGAGTCCCTCGACTTGAACAAGCGCCAGACTCGAACCTGCCAGAGAAGGTGTATTGCAGTGTGCACATACGTATGGCGTTGCTCCCAATCCTTTATATCGTATTGTCATGTCTCTGTTTCAATCCCCAGGGTAAACGGAGATACGAAGGAGATCGACAATAAATATCGCTGACACGTGCCACACACCAATACATACGCTGGTCCAATCCAATCGCAACAGTATTATCACAGGCGAGACCAAGGCTTTACTCTATCTGTTCGAAAACCATGACGTATATAATCAGCTCTGGATGGATATCTGTATTTTGCAGTGTCTTGGTCTTCCTCATCATACCTATCCTCGTCATCTGAATTCGGACGGTCACCATCACTTGGTCCTGCATATAATGAAAAAGCTCCTGAAGGCTTGTGCTACGACTTAGGGTGCAATTGACGTCTGTATTGAAGGGGTTTGGAACGAGCGACTGGAAGGAGACTATGGAATAAAGCGATGACGGTCAAATGGCAGCAAAGTGAAAGATCGGAGGGAAACGCCAGATCAGGTCTAAGCAGCGTCTCGTGATCTTGACGATTTCACCTGGAACGGAGCGAGAAACCAAAAGACAACAGGCCGGGCGGTCCAGCAGACGAACAGGCGAGTGGGATCGTAGGCGGCAAAGATCTAGCGGGTCTGGCACATCCACGACGAGATCTTGTCGTTCCAGCCAAAGTCGCCGAGGTCAATGTGTCCGTCGTCGGATCCGATGGGTCCACCGCGAGTACCGCCGCAATCATAGTTACTATAAAGAGTAGGAGGGAGAGACCCGTTAGCGGTGCTCCATGAAGAAAGACAAGTCGAGGGAGAAGGGTGAGTGGTAGGATGTAACTGACGTCCAGATGTAGCACTGAATGCTGGGGTCGGTGGTCTTGGCAGAGGAGATGGCGTCGTTCCAGCCTTCGTAGGCGCTGTCGTGAGCTTTGTGTTAGTAGACCGGGAGATAATTACACCCAGGAGTGCATATCGATGAGTGGGAGACCTGAAAAGGCACCAGAACGTACTTGGTGCAACGGCCGAGGTTGGAAGGGCTATCGTAACAGTCTCTGAAGCTTGTCTGGCGACAGATTTTGAAGAGCAGAGCCCGGGGAACGAGATTCACTCCCTCGCCGGCAGCAGGAGCCGGAGCAGCGAGGGCGCTGGTGGCAGCGAGAACCATGAAAAAGGACTTGGTGAACATCTTGATAGATTGAATGGTGCCGAGGCAGAGATATAAGATGATTGAGGACGGTTCAAGGGGTTTGCTATGGTGCTGGATGGCTGGCTGTTGCTATTGTTATTGCCGAAATGAACAAGTCGGCGGCGGCTCTTATATACATGAAATCGAGACCGTTGTTCTTGTTAACTTCTGACCATGCCTTCTCTCGAAAAAGGGCTTGGTGGATTGCCAAGCAACCTCGAGTCTCGCAGCGCTGTCGGTTTCCTCGTAATTTACAGGCATGCCGCCTGACAAGCGCGACGCGACTCGTGAGCATCCACAGGGCAAACCTGGTTGAGTATCGTTGAATCCGCCCCCATCAGTCCATCGTGAGCCGTAGGAGTGCAAGTCACCCATGGTGGCACTATTGGCTGCGGTCTGTCCTGCAGACACTGGGGCTGATTCAGCGTACGTACTTGCTTACCAGGGTTGATCGTTTAGGTCCTTGGAGTTTTCTCTTGCACGCCACTCTGCTCCAGGTCCACTGGCCTGCATGTCAAGACTGCCCCATTGGGGAGTCCCTGAGCGGTTCCAGGCTGTCGTGTGGTTGGCGGCGAGGTGTGCGTGGAGAGACGCTGCACCGAAAGTGCAGCTTTGGGAGGATAGGCTATTAGATGGTCCACCTCAGAGTAGCGCAGGTATAGCCAGAAGCGCTTTGCGTGGCAACAAGCATGCATGTATTTGTCGGTATGCCCCAGCTAGCGGCCCGCACCCGCAGGGCCTTTCTCTAGCAAGTCAGCACCTGCTGACGCCAGCCTGCGTCACCTTAAATTGACGACCCATGATCGTGCTACCACGACTTCACTGAGGCGATCTGGGGCTGTCCCGCACGGCGCAGCCAAGCAATATGCCTTTGCGCACCTGCACGACGAAGAGAGTTGAACAAGGAGGAAGTCCTAGAACTAGCTTGTAATGTCAACTCCGTGAAGCGTCCGCTGTGCCATCGACTCCTGTCATTTCATGCAAAATTGGGGAACCAAACTTGATGTCAGTCTCCACAATCACAGGCGGAGAAAATATGAATAATTCAAGGCCTGTATAGGATTGGCCGGCATACGAAACCGAACGTTGACACACGATTAAGAAAGAATCTGGTGCGAAATGCTGTATCAATCAGGAGCTTCTTGCGCTGAGGGTGGATCAATGAGGCATCAATGCAGCCGACGCCGTCTCCTCGGCCACTTGCTCAAAACATGGTACCCCATTTGAATGTGTACCTTGAGAGGCACCGGTCGCATACGTCGCATTGAAGTTTTTTCGGCGTCACCGGATCTTGCATCGGGGTCTAACAAGTTAGACCACCGAGCAGCTGATAGTGGCAATTGCCTCATTGTGCAAGGGCCCAAATCCCGAGGGCATACAGGGCCAAACCCCGACGGCACAAAACATATCCCGAGGGAATGCTGGAGAAAGACGCAAGTGTGCTCTGCAATGCCCGGAGATCGATTTTTCGGGTTTTGCGCCTTGAGAAAACCTTTGCTGGTGGCGAAGTCATTCTAAAGTCGGCCAGTAAGATGCGCGAGCAGGCGGGCGAGGATATTACCCTCATGCTCAACTTGTCGAATACTGAACCTTAACGTAGTGTAACGAGGCGATTGCCTGTCTCCCTACTGCCTGGCGTGTGGAAAATACAGCGCGCTGGATTATGGCTGTGACAAATGGCGTATATAGTTCTAGTGCTGCTAAGCCTTTCTTGATAGGGGCGAAACTGTCTTCCAAGGCGTTCAGGGGTGCGGCTAGAGCCTTATTTTGCGTCACCGCGACTCCTTTAAGGTCAAAGATCACGCCTGGAACTAGTGATACAATGTTGAAAAGTTTCGACGTAGAGGTGAGTATGGCCTCTGTGTGGTGGCCATCTAGCGCCCCGTTTGACGTCTGTACCCAGGGGGTTCGTGACAACAGGGCTTTAATCTTGCAACTGTTTAACATCGTAGAGAAAGTACTCATATGACAGTCGACAGCCCTTTGATGAGATCGGACCGGACAATTACAGTTGCTGGGCGTCGAGAATCAAGGTGATTGCCACCTTCTAGGACAGGACGGTCTTGCAGAGCTCGTCGACATCAATTCTTTACGCACACACCCTATGTAGCCCAATCCGAGTATCACTAAGGAATCTCCAAGTGCGGAAGTGCCCGAGGCTGCTCTCCTTTGTCTGCATTTTGTTGGTCGTCTTCCTGGAGGGGATGGCATCATGCAGTGTATGGGAATTGCTCAGACCTGTTCAATATTCCTGCCTTCTGACTCACCTTCAGGGTCGAGCGCGGGTACTAACCGAAGAGTGATGCAAAGAAAAAGGTTGATCTCTGGTTCCAGCTGATGGAAAAATGCTGGAGCACCCCTGTAATCGTGCAACGGGGAGGCCTCACGCTCAAAGAGCCCTAGAACGGCGATGCTATTGCTGACAGCATATCTCGATGACATGCATTCTGTCTGTCCCGGCAGCCGCGGAGAAAGAGAGGAAGCAAGAGGGCTCGTGCAAAAACCCACGGCGTCAAGGCCAAGGATCTGATGAGTAAGGTTGCGCATTATCGTTTGCCCCTTTCTGTTGCATCCTTGTGTTCGGTGATTGAACGGGGTCTGTTTACTCCTTTGCCGCAGCTGGCCGTGACCTCACAGCCAGTGGATCACCTGTTTCGCTCTGCGCTGGACGGTGATGACGGAGGGACGTCAATTCATGACTGCTTACGCCTGGAGTCATCATAATGCCAGATACAGGTCAGGCTTGTGCTGAATCCAGCTCGGATGAAATAGGCGCCATTGTTTATGCTGTCAGAACAAAACCTTCACAGTAAATTCAGGTTTGACCAACTCATCTGGTTGTCTACAATGAGCGCATGGTGGCGGTGGCTGAGAGTTGGGTACCGCAGCCGCATGGGACCATGGCACTTGGGGTACCATCCATGCATCATGCAGGTTGAGCACAGCCCCAGACATTGCAGGCTGAGGATTGTATGGGGTGAGACAACAACAACTGCCCGTCGCTCTGCACACCTCCCTGCTCACCCTTTGTCAAGTCGCCACTTGTCTCAATCTGCCCCGGTCCACACAGAAGTGCTTCAATATTTCGAGCACGAGCGTTGGCACTATGCGTCTCTTGCACGCAGATTCGCTGACCTTGGAAGAGTTTTTTGAGCCCCGAGTCCCGCCTTACGCTATCCTGTCTCATACGTGGGATGCGGAAGAGGTCAGCTTCCAGGACTTGCACAACAACCCCCACCATCACCAGATGGCTGGCTATGGCAAGATTAAAGAGTCCTGTCGTTTGGCCCTGTTCTATGGCCTGAAATATGTCAGTAACCGTACAAACTCCCCATGCCATTGGCATTTTTGTTCATGGCCACTTGCGCAGGTTTGGATCGACACGTGCTGTATCGACAAGAGCAGCAGTGCGGAATTAAGCGAGGCCATCAATTCCATGTTCAGATGGTACGAGAACTCGGCATTTTGCTTTGTCTATCTTCCCGACGTGCCGTGGTCGCGCAACATCTTTGAAGACACGTCGGCTTTTGGAAACAGCAGATGGCACACAAGAGGATGGACCTTGCAAGAGCTTCTTGCTCCGCGCAAACTGATATTCTTTGCTTCGAACTGGAAGAAGCTTTTTGCTTGGGGAAACTCGTTGCGACATCCCGGCCAGGTTCTCTTTCACACGGATGAACGGTACACGAATCTCCTGAGACAAATCACAGGGATCGAGCCTCATGCATCTGGCTGGGAAGATGCGCGAATCGCCACGAAGTTGAGCTGGATATCGCGCCGCGAAACGACCAGGGTAGAGGACATTGCGTATTGCCTCTTGGGTGTGCTTGGCGTTCAGATGCCGTTGTTGTATGGCGAAGGCGACTATGCTTTCCAACGATTGCTGATCAACGTCATGGAAAGGGATAACAGCTACGATATATTCCTTGCTGGGTACAACTTGCTCTTGAGCAAGTGGGAGAGAGGCCGAGACTATCTTCTGCCCCGGACGCCGGCAATGTACGGAGGCTGCTCTAATCTGAGCAGAATTGGAAAGAAGGCAGCATCCCGGTCGAAGCATTATTCTGTCACGAATGCCGGACTGCACATTGAGGCGCCAATAGTGCGGCTATCTCCCATCCTCTTCCTGGCTTTCCTCTACTCTACCACAGATGAGGATCCCCGGGCCATCGCACTGCCGTTGCGCGGGCGGGACGAGAGTAGTGAATTTGAGTTAATTCCGGACCAAGGCGTCGTCGAGGTTAAGTGGGATCGGAATGACCCCGCACAACACATCTACATCAAATTGGGCCGGGAACATAGGTCAAGGTTGTTGGAATTTTCCGAGGGCATCAGAGTCGACCTTCAGCATCTTCAGAGAAACGACTTCGAGATTCTATCGTTATACCCTCCAGGCATGTTGGGCTATAGCTGGAAAACATTTACCTACTCCCACACAGCATCAACGGTCATAATCTTGGACTCAAAGAAAATCGCTGGAAAAGTTGCTCTCCTGCTCGAGGGTTGTGTCGAGTCTCGACTTGCAGGTCTACGGCAATTTGTGCCAGCCAAGTGCACTTTTATGCCCACAACCGCCACGACAGCGATCGAACACTTACTGCTGACGCCCACTTACCTCGAAGGATCGTGGCGCGCACCCTCATTCATTTCAGATTTGCCTTACATACGACCGCAAAAGCCTATGGAGTGGTCTCAAAACATGAATATTCCAGTCAGCGAAAAAGAATCCCATGAGTTTGTTCGGCGATACTTCTCAGACAGATTACCAGAATTGTCGCAACTAGCTGGGCGTCTTCATCTACACTTCTCTTACGGAAAGACACCAGATGGCATAATACGCATAACTGCCTTTCAAAACGGATTACCTGGGAACGACGAAGAGGCTGCTCGGTCAGTGAGCGAGGCGCTTTCAGCCTATAATGGACAGTCCTGATCTCCATACAGTAATTGAGAGGGTATTATAGTAATATACGATACTATAGCAATTCTATGACGCATCACCTCACAATTAGGCGGGCTTCCAAAGCTAGAGACCATAATAAAGCACCGGACCCATTCAGCTGATACCAAGAGGTACCGAGGTTCGGTGACAGGCAAATATCGAAATGCTTCCTAGGAGAAGAAGGAGGTGGGCTTGGACAATCTCGAGTTGCATGGCTCTGTTGAGCCGCAATATGCGTTCCAAACCGTGATCAATTTGTGAAACTTGGTTGCGGAAAGTATTTGGTGCATGTGTGACGTGTCTATAACTATATTAGAGAACCAGAGCGCCGTACTTAGCCAGCTTCGTACCAACATGCTTGTCGGACATTTACATACACGGCCCGGTTGAGACTGGTCACCGCACCGAGGAATATAGACCAAAGGTAGAGACTGGCTTGTTGGAGAGCTTTCAGCATCGAGGGCGCACAACATTCTTTCTCATTTGTCTGTCCTGGTCCGCCCTCTGCAGGTTCTCCCCGTTCTGTGTTATCGCTCACGCCATAACTACCCACGGGCTCTTTCTTCTTGTGGCCATCCCCGCGATCTTGGTTTCATACTTCTTCAGACATTGCACCTGCTTCTTCCGCATAGTCTATCTTCGGGCGGTGAACGGCTCCAATGAGCGACACATTTCAATCTAGAGCAACCAGAGTCGCCTTGTCGTGTGCATTGTCGTCGAGAGTGAATGCCTTCCATCCCGACTTTGGAAGATCGATAGTGCCGTCATTTGCTAGGAACTTCATGAAGACGCCGTGGGTGACGACGACAATATTCTTGCGTGCCTGCCTGTTGTCGCCTTTGTTTCTTCCAAGTGTTTCTACCACCCCGTGCAACCTTTCACGGAACCGCTGGGCGCGCTCTGAGACGCTAGAGTCGTCTGGAGCATATGCTCCTTTCTTGGTCGGCCAATTGTCGTCATTCAGGGTGCTGAAGTCGAGGCCCCGAAAAGCCTGCTCCAGGGCTGAGCGTGACGAACCAGTGTCGCAGGCGAGATCGCTGCGCTCTTGTAGGTCAGGATCGACGATGAGCTGCGCGCCGCCATCTCCCCCGGGCTCGGCTCGGCCATCAAGATGGAGAATTGAGGAGAATCCAGCTACAGTGGTTTGTATTGCACGCGTGAGGGGAGACGTGAAGATCGTGGCCACGGAACCGAGCTCTGGGAAGGCTGTGGCAATCGCAGTTGCTTGCTGAACGCCCAGCGCAGTCAGAGGCGGGTCGCGGTGCGACATGTCTTTGGAGACATTGTGTTCCGACTCGGCGTGCCGGACGAGGTAGATGATTGGTGCATTGGAGTCGCGGATCGCTGCCGACATGCTGCCTCCGTATATAGTGAAAGGTGCTTGAAAGTGCACTTGTTCGCCGTGGTTTTAGTGTTGGAATCATAGACAGATTATCGTGGGATCTAATTATGTCTTATGGGTTGCTCCGAATCAGTTCACGGGCGCCCAGAATTGAAAACGCCATTGCGGTGGCTGATGATGGAATGCAATGTGGCGCTTGTCCACAGTACCTTCAAAGCTTTTGCCAGCATGGGCCTGCAGTGCCAAGGAAACACCACGGATGTTTCCGCCCAATGATAACCAAATGCTGTGACTCCATTCTACTGGCTAGTGAACCTCTCCTGCGTATCTCTATATCACTCTCCCGTGTTTAAGGAGCCACCAAGCCTCCTCCAAAACGGCTTCCGGACTGCATTCAGCGTCAATGGGCAGCACGTCACACTCGGTCATCCCCGCCTGCTCATATAACAAGGCCTGACTCTCTACCAGGCTCGCGGGCATATAATGCTCCGGCCGGTTACTAGTTCGCTGCGCCAGCAGCTCCGGGGAACACTGGAGGTCCAAAAACACCACCTTGGCAATATTGCCGATTTGCTTGCGGAGCGCATCGCGGTACGAACGACGTAGTGCCGAGCAACTAACAATGACAGAATCGAATCCTAGCTCGTCAATGGCCTCGACTGCGCGCCTAGCGACCCTTGCCAGCCAGGAAGCACGATCTTGATCGCTGAGAGCCTGCCCGGAAGCCATCTTCTCGATGTGGCCGCGCGCGTGGAGAGAGTCGCCCTCTATGAAAGGACTCTGGAGTTTTCTTGCCAATGTGGATCCCAGAGTTGACTTACCACTACCACATGGTCCCGCCGCCACGACAACCGTCCTGGGACGAGATTGGGTTTCGGTTTCGGGAGACGTCACCCATGCGCCAGACCTAAAATGTGACACGAATTTGTCGACAAGCTGCTGGTCGAGGACGGGCGCATCAGCGAGGGCTGGTGCCAGCGAGCAGGCAATATTAGTGGCGTATCTCTTGGATGGGCCGAACTCGTCCTTGTCGTACTTGGAAGCAAAAAAGTCAACCAATTTGATTGGGGGGTTTTTGGCCGGATCTGGGTCTGAATGGCGCAGACGATTCACCCATTCCCGCGGCTCGACCTCTTCAAAGTCTAAACCGGCGTGCCTCAGGGCCGGTAGCAGATCCGATGTCCAGTCAAAGGTTTTCGGGTTGGCCACATGAGTAAAGACACTGCCGGCGTCCGAGAGGGATATCTGTACGATAGACTCTGCCGTGGTGTCTACGGGCAGCCACGATGGAGTCTCGCGGAGCTTGGGCAGCGCACCGATCGTGGTCGCTGTCTGGAGCATCATGGTGATGGCTTCTGTGCTGTTCCAGACTCCGTGCTTCGTATCTGCCACAATCTGGCCAACACGAAGCACCCGAGCAGTTACGCCGCGCTCTGCGGCTCGGGCACACAGATGCTCGGCAACTGACTTGGACTGGGCGTAGCCCATGCCTTGTGCCCACTCCAGCTCCGGCAGGCGCTCAGGCACCGGGTCAACGGTGGCCCGGGCGACTGAGCTTACCGAAGAGCAGAAGTTGAAGCTGGCCGGGCCGGTTTTTCGGCCAAACTTCTTGTTCCTCTCGCAAAGAGAGATGAGGTTGGCAACACCAGAGATGTTGCTCTGTTCGAAGCTGGACAGCCGCATGTTGAAGTTGACCGACCACGCGCAGTGTATAACCGAGTTTAAAGTACTTGCCACCTCGTGATACATGTTATCAGAGAGACCAAGGTTCTCTTGTGACAGATCAGAAGCCAAGCTGACAATCTTTCTGCGCTGAAGCAGGGATAGCTCATGGTAGGCCCGGCGCTGAATCATCGAAGACTTGACGCGGCTGGCTGCGTCATTGTTTGATGTGGCCCGCACAAGGCAGTAAACCTTACCAACGTTCTCATCTACTACCAGCTTGGCAAGAACATGGGCACCAAGGGAGCCGGTAGCGCCGGTGAGTACGACAGACATTGCCGAGGCTGAAACAGCAGCAGTCGCGGGCTTGTGGCTGTACTTCTCAATCAGGTCTCGCATCTCGCCCTCGACATCCTCCTGTTCCCCTTCTTGATGGTTCGAGAGCGAGAACAGATATTTGCTCAATTGCCTGATTGATGGATGGTCGAAAACAACCGTCTGACTAAGTCTCTTGCCCTGGACGTCCACTGTCTTGAGTATGTCGCTCCGCATCTGAGTGGCCTGAAGGGAATCGAGGCCGAGGAGGAAGAAGTCAGTGTCGTCGGTATAGGACCCGTCCTTGGCAAGTGCCTCATCCAGAGATGTTCGCAAGACATCGTGCAGCTGGGGCAGGCTGAGCTTGAGCGAATTGCCGTTGCTGATCTCAGCTCTGTCGTAGACCTCCGTTATTTCATCCGCGTACGTTCTGTAAAATGCCTGTCGAATCACGCTACCTTTGTCCGTACGGGGATAGTCGCAGCCAACTGGCAAGGGCTTGATCATGGACTTGCTGATCCGCGCATAGGCCTCGACCTCGCGGCAAGCAGACTCGACGACCGGCCAGACCAGCTCAATAATCTCGTCATCCGTCTTGCCCACCAAGCTCATTGCTGGGACAATCAACACCCCCGGTACTGGGAGTCCTGCGCCAAAGATGACTGCCTCGGTGACGTTCTTGCTAGATCGGATGGCGCCCTCCGTGCTCACGGGGTTGAACATCTCGCCTGTCTCAAGATTGATTGTGTCGTCACGACGTGCGATGTACTTCCAGGCTTTTGGAATGGCCGGGTGCGGTTCAAAAAGATCCTTGGTCATGTAATTCCCATCATCCTGATTGGATGCCACCTTGGCTGGCCACCCGTCCATCACGCAGCACTCGAACAGGTTCTGGCCTCGGGGTATCCACTTCAAGAATGGCGAAAGCTTTGGCGTTTCCCGGATATAGTTCTAGGCATTATCGCCGACGTCACGGAAAGACGTCATGAGTTGTCCCACTTCCGTGGCGCCATAGTGGCCGACCAGGTTGATGCCGCGCGATATCAACAGATCCCCCAATTCGTCAGGCATAGCTGAGCCGCCGTACATCACAATCTTGAAATGCCGAAGCAGTGAAAGCCCAAGATCAGACTCGGACAGTAGTTTCAGGGCGTATGGCACGCCGTAGAAGATCTCGAACTGATGGTTCTTCATGATTTCGGTCAGGTGGTCGCGGGTCAAGGGCAGACTCGCGTTATACCTGAACATCGTCAGCCCAAGTGAAACAAGAAGCCAGAAAGTTTCATCTTACAAATGAATTGGCTTTCCTGCGAAAATGGCCCGGAAGAGGTTGCATATGCCGTGGTTATGGTACAGGGGTAGAGTGATGAAAGCCGCCATTTCCATGCTGACGGCATAGTTGGCAACAGCTGCTTTCTGCGTTTGACATATGGGCTTTGGCAGGCCAGTTGACCCTAAGGCCCGATGTCAGCAAGGTTCACACATGGTAGGGCGAGCAACCTACCACTGGAATGAATTATGTATATCAGATTGTTGGTCTCGACGGAAGGATCAAGATGGCTATCTATTCGCGTATCGGCATGGACATCGATGGGAAAGTCGAACGAGGCTTTGCCGAGTATCTCCAAGACATTGAGCTTCTTGATTGACTTCTGCGCCGATTCCGCTGTGGTCATGTATTTTGGATCCACGAGAAGACAGACGGCGCCTGTTGTGGTAATCAGGTTGTTGACAGCTTCTTGAGAGATTCTCGTCGACAGGAAAAGAATTGTGTGACCCAGCTTGGTCAGGGCGAGCATGGTGATGAGGTAGTCGAAATTTGAGGGCCCCAAGATCGCAACAGTCATTGGTGACTCGGCTGACGACTGGCGCACAGGAAGCTGTTGCTCATACGCCTTGGCGACCCGATAAGCGAAGACATCCAGTTGTTGCATGGTATAGTCGACATATCGAGTGCCCTCAGATGGATAGGACACTATGACGCGGTCCGGATGAGCTCTCGCTCTGCGCCGGACGAGCTCGTCGACTGTCCTGATGGCATCACCAAGGTCGGGGCCGATTGTCGTGGCCACAGGCACCGTTACGGGCTCGTCGAGCTTCACAGGATGGGCTGACCCCGTAGGGACAAGTAGAGAGGGTGGTGACATGGCAAGAAATCTTAGATGGTGCTTGCTCTTGGTATGTTTCCTGTGCAAGTGCCATTAACAACGCCCAGTGCTAGTCTTTATGCATGCCACAAATTTCGAGCACGAATGAGCAGAGTTGGCAGCTGACTGAAAATGCGCGGTTATACCCCGAGAGGGCCTGTGCACGATTGCATAGGCGCAACTCTTGATCCCATAGATTTCCACAGTGGAACTTGGCCAGGCCCCGGATCTAGTCATCCGCCACCGCCGCTGTACCTCCACGGACGCCATTCCCCTGGCGTCGGATTAACGACGATATTGAAATCCGTCAAGTGGGGCCGCTTGTGCTCTGGGAAAGGGGAGATATACTGGGATGCGGGGGCGGGGGCGGATTAATATCCGCTTCGCCACAGTGTCCGTGGAGCTTCCCTCGGAAGGAGAACCAATATAACATTGGCCAGCCATTTTGAATAGTGTGAACACGTTCAAGGCAGAGTTAATATGTAACAATTGCCGCTTTAAAATCCCCCAAATCAACTAAGACCTAGTGAGTTCTTCGTTTGCCAGTGCGAAGCACAGTCACAGCTGTTTTGAGGCTTCCCAGTCACATGCGCGCCAGCCCTGACACCACATCCTCAGCTCCCTCTTCGGCCCGTACGAGTTCCCGTGTGCCTGCTCAGCTCAGCATGGGTCTCCCTACACACCTTGTACTGAACACGGGTGCCAAGATCCCAGCTCTTGGATTCGGCACCTGGCAAGCCAAGCCCGGCGAAGTCGAGCTTGCTGTCGAGACTGCCTTGCGCAGCGGATACAGGCAGTGAGTTCCTTCTCGCAAAAGTCGCGGCCGCGTTTTGGCGGCGTGATTAACGTTGCTAACCGTGAGGACATTCGCAAGCATCGATTGCGCGTCCATCTACCGAAATGAGGCTGAAGTCGGCGAGGGCATCCGCAAGAGCGGTGTTGCCAGGTCCGACATTTGGCTTACCAGTAAGCTCTGGAACACGCATCATGCCCCTGAAGATGTCGAGGCAGGGGTGGACAAGTCGTTGAAGGACCTCGGCACGGATTATCTTGATCTATATCTCATGCATTGGCCAGTGTAAGTTGTTTCTCTTTGACCCTGAACCCTCTGTTCCTCTATGACCGCAAGCTTAACAATCGGCAGCGCATTCAAAAATACCGGCAAATGGTTCCCTTTAGAAGAGAGTGGCATCTTTGCCCTGGCCGACATTCCCCCAGCCGAAACATGGACAGCGATGCAAAAGCTCGTTGAGTCTGGCAAGGTCCGTGCGATTGGCGTGTCCAACTTCACCATCCAGCGGATCGAGGAGCTGCTGGCAGCCTCAAGCACAAACATAACCCCGGCCGTCAACCAGATCGAGGCCCACCCCTACCTGCAACAGCCCAAGCTATTGCAGTGGTGCCAATCCAAGGGCATCGTAGTCGCTGCGTACTCGCCCCTCGGAAACAACCAGACAGATGAGCCGAGGACCGTGGACGACCCCGTTGTCAAGCAGCTTGGCGACCAGCTTGGGCTCGACGGCGGCCAGCTCCTTGCCTCGTGGGGCATTCAGCGCGGTACGGTTGTTCTGCCAAAAAGCGTCACGCCCAGTAGGATCAAATCGAATTTCCAGGTCGCCGAGTTGCCGGCCGACGTGTTTGATCGGCTGAACAGCCTGGAGCGAAACAAGAGATTCAATTGGCAATCAAGATGGGGTCACGACATCTTCCAGGAGCTTGGCGATGACGAGGTCAAGAGGATTGCATCAGAAGCAGCGGAGGAGAACAAGGAGAAATTCACTGTATAGACGTAGTGGTAAAGAATGCAGGATAAGAATTATCACTCACCTACATAAATTTGAGAGGCGTACCTTAGCCATCAGAAATCTAATGTATCTCCCCGTGTGGGTTCCAGAGTACCACCAGAAAGATCCAAGTTTGACATCCATAATGAGGACGAGTCGAGGTTCATGTACGGCCCAAAAGCAGACGAGTCGAGCTCGAGCCAGTGTGTGGTGTTCCACTCGTCCAGCAAACTGAATCTGAGCTCGCCTCCAGGAATGAGAGTGTCTGGGATTGAGAAGCAAGCAGGGTCGACCATGAGCTCGTGTTGCATGCCGTTGCCTGACATCACGCGTTGCTGGCTTACATCCCCAGGTGCAACTGGCCCCTCTGTTCGTCTTGTGCCCATGGCTTCCGAGCAGAATTCTTCAAGTATGACTGCATATCGCCGGCTCGGCGAGTTTTGCGCAGTCGCCTTGGCCATGTGGGTCTGACAGTGTATAGCTAGGTCCATGAGTCTACTGTGAGCAGCCTGGGCATCACAGGTCAAGACAGTGCCACGGCGCTTGAGCTGTATGTCCCAGACATACGAAACAACGAGGGCGCAAAAAGTGACATATTGAGTCCACCAGAATGCACGGAACAAGGGGCCATCATGCGCGAGACTATTGACAACCTCAAATACTGTCTTTGCCGCATTCAAGCACTTGTCAACTTGACCCTTGCTACCGTGCTGCAGTGTTGATAGCAGAAACAGTCTGTTTGCATGCATGATTGCATGGCAGTATGCCAGCTTCAAGACGATGGACTGTCGGCGGAAGCTCGTGACGAGCATGGAGGGGCGAACTGCCACCAGATAGGCCGGTAATGAAGTTTTCCAGTCGTCAAGTTGTTTGCTCAGGCGGTGGGCAGCGCTGATACGCTCTGCCTCAGAAATCGGGCATATAGTGTAGACCTCTCTGGAAATCTGACCAATTACTTTGGCGATTCTGCGGTTGATTAGCTGCCATGGCATCAAAATATCTCGCCGGAACGACTGGACTAACTTGGCGTGAAATATGAGTGCATCAGTGTGACACCCATCATTATCGGCACCTGCTTCTCGCAAAGGCCCTTGAGTGGTTATATCCTCATCCTCGAATCGGTCGGGAAAGTCTTGATCAATGTCCTCGTCGTGGTAATGTCTTGGCCGCCCAAAGATGACGCCAAGGTACTTGTCCAGGATGTACGCTGTCCAAAATGTCCTCATACGGAGCTGTGCCTGCAAGTAGTTGAGCTGGCCTGGCGCTAAACGTGACTGCCGCGTGGTCTTGCGATGAAGCCCTAGTGCGGAAATTAGCTGCAAGGCGTTGCCGAAGGTATACCATGCCTTGTTCATGCGAGAGGTTGTGAGCAGGTACAAAGTCTGCAAGATGCGAGCCTGTGCGGCGTGCAAGGATGGCAGATCTGCCTGCGGCTCTAGCAGCTGCATGCACACACCAAACATTCTGTCACTTTCAGCCAGAGCCGCGGCACCGGCTTCCAACTTCTCGTGGTGAGCCATTGCCACCGACAGGCATGCAAACACAATGGCGACCTTTGGTCTTCCAATGTCTCTCCATGCGGCGTGGCCATGGTTTATGTTGAACTCGATGGACCTGGCCCACTCTTCTACTGACGGCCGGTGCAGGATGCGGTAAGTGGCAATGCAAACATCAAAATACAGCGCCATCAAGCGCCGCATCTCCTCATGAGACGGAAGAGACAGACGATACATGTCATCCTCAGAGAGATTGGGAGGTGGTCGGGCTTCTGGCGGCCTTGCATGCTGATCCGAGGAGGCTGACTGGGCCGTTGTGCCAAGTGGCGCGTCTGCTCGGCTCGGCTTGGCCAGTCGCTTCCAAGCACGATGCAAAAAGGTCATGCCTGATGTTGGGTCAAAGACCTGGCCGCCAATCTCGGTCATTCCGAGCTCGGGAGAAGCCCTCGACGCGGGCCCCATGCTCTCAGAGTGGCTTCCGATCGCGTTCCTCGCCTCGCTCGAAGCTCCACTAGAGGTGGACGCGACATATTCATATGGCGCTGTTCGACTACTCGAAGTGGGCGGTTGCGGAGTCGGAGGCCGCCCACGGGAGTAACTCGCATCATACACGCAAGTGATACCCTTTGCAGTACACTTGTTGCACGGCAGCGTGCCTGTGCATCTGGCTTTGCGCTGTTTGCAGTGATCGCACGCCCGGCTGACCTTGCGGCCCTTGCGAGGATTCGCCACGGATGTGTAGTCGGGGCTGGGTAATCCGTCGGTACCGCCGCTGCTCGCAGACCTGTCGCTCCTTTTCCGCGTTTCTGGTGCAGGGAAACCGTCGGCGGTGCTGGGCGCGGTAGCTAAGGACTGGCGACTTCTTTGGGCTTCGGTGGGGGCAGCCATGATTGTAGTGATACCAGGGGCAGTGCGGGTGGTCAGGCGACGGAAAGTGACGGATATGCCAACCAGGAAGAAGGACAAGAGCGACGGGATTTCAAGACGTTGTTGATGACCCTTGAGCGGAAAAGGCGGACTTTTATCCGTCAAATGGGGCAACTATTGACAGGCCCGGTCAAGTGCCGCTCCTTCCCCCTCCTCCATTTCCCCGCGTGAACCCCAGATTCTGGGGCAGACCCACTGCGGAGAAGGACAACTTTGCCAGCCCCCTCGGTTACGCTGCTCGGCTGCCATGACTCTTGCAAGGTCTCCAGTTCAGCAGCATGAGATGCCTGCACCAGAGGTCGCACGGGCAGTCGTACAGCGCAAGAGTCGCCAATGGCTATAGATAGCCTCAGATGTCCACTGCAGGCAGCTGCAGACTCTTGCTTGGTCGTCGTCCGCCTCCCCACCTTGGTCGGGACGTATTCGCAACGTCCTGATACCTTCTGACTACACATAGCGCAAGCATGCTGAGGACTTGCAACCCCCGAACAAGCATGTCTGGCGTCGGTACTGCCGAGACCAGCCCTCTCGAGAAGGCGGACGTCATCATGATTGACCATGCTGACCCGACTGGCGATCACCCCGAAAAGGCATCGCAGATTCGTGTTGTGGACAACTTTCACGTCCTCGGCTTGACTGAGGAGGATGCAGAGTTTTACAACAATTACACACCCGCGCAGCGGACACGTACCAGGCGGAAAGTAAGTCGTTGCCACTGAACGCCGTCAGGATTAACTCATATCAAGGCACCGTAGCTGACGCTTCGAGACGTCAGGTTGATGTTCGCTTGATCCCGATGCTGGCCAGTCTGTACCTCATCTCTCACCTCGATCGCAGTAATATTGGCAACACCAAGATTGAGGGAATCGACAAGGACCTTGGCATCACGGGCATCCAGTGGAACATTGTACTTTCGCTGTAAGTTACCGCGCGGTCTAATTCCACAGCACCAATTTAGAAGCTGATAAATGATGCTCTAGGTTCTTCGTTCCCTATATACTGTTCGAAGTACCTTCCAATGTTGTTCTCAAAAGGTTCATGCGGCCGTCTATCTATCTCGGAATTTTGGTTACATCCTGGGGTGTCATCATGACATTGCACGGCGTAGTACATAATTTTGGTGGTCTACTGGCTGTCCGCCTCATCCTAGGTGTCTTTGAGTATGACACAACCCTCACGTAAGATTAATGGCTCTGTGAACTAACCAGGCTTGTCTAGGGCTGGCTTCTTCCCCGGTGCCGTCTAGTGAGTGTCTGCTTTGCACAGGCATCATCCACCTAACGTGGCTAATCTCCTTCACTAGCTTATGCACCTTCTGGTACATGCCGAAAGATCTAGCATCTCGAATCTCTTGGTTCTATTGCATGAGCGCGATGTCGGGCGCCTTCTCTGGCCTGCTGGCCGCAGCCATTGCCCAGATGGATGGTGTTGGTGGCTATGAAGGCTGGCGTTGGATATTCCTCATCGAGGGCATCGTCACCGTTGTCCTTGGCATCGCCACGTTCTTTCTGCTCATCGATACACCAGAGCTGAGCCACAAGTGGCTCGAGCCCGATGAGATTCGATTCCTGCAGCTCCAGGGTTTCATTAAGCAAGGTGGGCGGTTCAAGGAGGATGGGGAAGAAAACCGGCACATCTGGAAAGATCTCTGGGCCTGTCTGACAAACTGGAGACTGTTAATTATTGCATACGTCCAGTTTGCCCAGTCAGCCATGGCCTATGGCACCAAGTTCAACCTGCCGACGATTGTTCGAGCCATGGGATTTCAGAGCACGCAGGCTCAGGTGCGTGTCCACCCTTCTTGTTTGTGCCGGCTCAAGACTGATTTCGTGGGCTGTCTAGTTACTATCTGCACCCCCATACGTCATGGGTGCGATTTCGGCGATCTGCTTCTCCAAGATCTCTGACCGGTTTTACTGGCGCATGCCCTTCGTTGTCATCCAATTCACTTTGGTTGCCATTGGCTTCAGTGTCATGCTGGGACTCCAAGGAAGGCTCGAGCAGAACATCGGGGCGGCATACACAGCCGTCGTCATCGCCTGCATGGGCTTCTATCCGTATGCTGAAATTGCTCCCATTCTTCCTGAAGCGAACAGGCTTATGGCTAATCATTATGTTGCAGCGCAATGCCCGCAGCCGCCGCCTGGGCCGCTAACAATCTTGCCCCGTCCTCCCGCCGCGCGGTCGGTCTTGCTCTAAACATCGCGCTCGGTAACGCTGGCGGCATCATGGGATCTTACATGTTCTTCGACTCTGATGCTCCCACGTATCATACCGGCTTTGGGCTCTCCATGGCTTTCGCGCTCAGCGGAATCATCATGGCACTTGCGGCAGAGGCTGCTTACAAGTGGGGGAATACCAAGAAGGGCAAGATTAGCGAAGATGAGACCCGCGCACGTTACACTGAGGATGAGCTGTTGCGGTTGGGAGACAGGAGCCCTCTGTTCAAATGTGAGTTTCTTACCCATGAACGCCTCTCTGAAGAATCTTGGATTGACGAACTCAGACACTCTATGAATCTTCGGAGCGGAGCACTATCCTCTGCTGGAGCCCTTGAACTTGAGAAGGAAGATTCATTGATGGGTTATAATGTGTTTGGATGGGATGAAAGACAAAGGCTACCCCCTAGAACTATATCATGCTCATCCGGATCGCTTTCTCGATGTCAGGAATGCGATCTCGATTCTCCGCCATGAAACTCTAATCAGCCTGAGGATACACTTTCGTGAGTCTGCCATTGGAGACTGGTCGTGTTAGAACGACACAGTGAGGATCTTGCTTGCAAGAGTGGCTGAGTAGGACTGCGTATGGCCTGCTTGTGGCTGAGCAGTCAATTGAGTGGCTCCATGTAAGACACTTACCCCATCAGTTTTAAGCGTGATTCAGATTCGCCAGCGAATCCAAACTCAGTCCTGCTCAGGTGGCGCTCAGGCTGTCAGGCGAGAAAGGCATTCGGCGTGGTTTAGATTCATTCTCGATGATTCAAGAAGTTTCGCAAGACATCAAGGATACGCTCTCCCTGCGCTGGTTTTAGTCTGCGGGCTCAGGGCGAGACGCCCTTGTCAACTGAGGGACAGAGCGCTCTGAGTCGGGCTGTCAGCTGTTGGTCGGGGCAGAGGCCGAGCTCCCCTCGTTCACCGCCCCGACCAAGCCACATGCCGTGTCTTAGCAAGGCTCTTCAGCTGTGTACTGCATGTTCAACTCCTGCCAAGAGCGACAGTATTGCAATGCCGCACCGGACGCCAGCCCGCCTCCAGAAGCTGTCAAACTACGGGTCCCTGCCGACGGCGGCAGTTTAGAGCTGGCGACGATGCGTTCTTCTGTCTTCAATTTGTTCGATCACTCAGGCTTTCTCGTCTTTTCATCGCAGCACATGCACTTCGTCACGCAAAGCCTGATTGACAGGGATCTTGTCTGGCTTATCGGTCCAATTAGCAACAGCATGCAGCGTAATCAGCCTCATGAGGCAGACTTGTTGCCTGATATTGCTTTTTCATATCGAGCCTTTGCAAAACCCCCGCTCTTGCCAGATCAATGCACACTTCTTTCTATCCAGATTGTTCATTGACGCATGTGAGAAACCATGCCGGAAAGCCCGGTGCTTATACCAACGATTACTTGTTTCACCGACTCGTCCCCGGCTCCGGTCCTTAAACCTTGACAACGGTTGCAAAGCTGACGAGTATGGACTCGGCGGCAGCCACCTATGATGATGGTAAGCCCAAGCATAGTGTTTGGCAGGACGTAAATTGCGAGTGACAGATCACCACCAGGCGGCCTTCTGACTTTTTTCAGGGTGCAATTCAGCCTTCGAAGCTATACTTCAAACATTCGCGGACATTGACTTGTTCTCCGGGCCTGCCTCCCCGACCATTTTCCCCGTGTACGCCCACGACCGCGCAAATGGATCTGCACCTGATCGGCAACCGCTCAGAGCATACAGCAATACTGTCAAGCACTTCATTAAATGGCTAAGGCTATCTCGGGCGCGTGCATTGTCGGACAGGCATCCACTGCCCGTTTTCGATCATGAAACCCGGCCCAATAGAGCCTCCACCTGTAATGACATTCTCGAAAACCAATTTTGCCTTCTGCCAAAGAGCGCCCCGTCTAACCACGGCACACGAATCGAGCGAATCGACAAGGTCATAGTCTATGGGTCACCAGTGTTGAGGAGCTACCGTCTCGATCCGTTTGCTGAAGAATACATCAACGAGATCAAAAGGGTGTACTCAGAGTGTCTCGCTTTAGACGACTCAAGTCTGAGAGCCATGCTCCTGGAACAAGTGATCACTCCTCACCACGGACATCCATCATTCCATCATGTCTTGACAGAATTGGCGTTCCTGGAGCTCAGGCATCATCACAACCCCAGCAACCATGGGATCGTCCTCGTTTCACTCGACAATAGCCCAATGGACTATCTCGCTTTCCCCGAGCCGACTCATCTTCGGATCGAGACTCGATCAGAGATTCCCAGTCGCCTTCACCGCCGATTCTTCAAACTTCTCTACCAAATTTTCACCAAGACTGAGAAACATACGGCACTAGGAGAGTTCGAAAAGGTGTACGACCACGTCGCGACCACACTTGAACAATGCGGAAACACATTGTTCCAGTCCGAGATTGAGGAACGGATTAAATGGGCGATCAAGGGTGCGAGTGACGAGCTAATGCGTCATGCAAAGGCCCAGTTGCGAGCCCTTGATCGAGAAATCCAAAACAAGCAGCTTGACCAGGCAGGCTTCACAGAACTCGAGAAGGACCGGAACAAACTGCTCCGGAACCTTGCCACGATACCGTACCTGGACCGCAAGAACGTGAACCCCGAGCGGGTGCCGGGGACTTGCAAATGGTTTGAGAATCACCCGCTCTTCCTTGATTGGCGTGCAGGCACTGGATCACCGCTGCTATGGGTTTCGGCACTGCCTGGCGCCGGAAAATCCGTGCTGTTCAAGCACCTCGTTGATAATGTCCTTCCGGCACCCCAGAGGACAAACTGTTATTTCTTCTTCAAAGACATTGAGGATCAGAAGTCTGCCATTGGGGCTCTGCGGTGCCTGCTGCATCAGATGTTTTCTCAACGGCCAGATTTGCTCAGAAAAGCAGTTCTGCAAAGATTTGCGCGTGATAGCCAAATCTTGCAGTCTTTCGAAGGTCTATGGGAAATATTCCTCAATACAACGAGGGCTATTAACACAGGCGAGATCGTTTGCGTTATTGACGCTCTGGATGAGTGCCAAAGCTCCGACCGACTTCCACTGCTCAAACGATTAGCAGAGTGGAGCAACGATCCGCGAACCACGCTCAAGATCATTGTCTCGAGCAGACTCTACAAAGACATCCGCCAAGAATTTCACGAGGTCCAGGCGCAGATACATCTCAGTGGCGAAGGTGATCTTGTGGTCAAGCAGATCTCTGAAGAGATCGACATGGTCATCGCAGCAAGGCTCAAGATCATAGCGCATCGGCTCGGTCTTTCTTCGCCAACACAGGAGGCTCTACAGCAGAAGTTGACTTCACAGACCCAGAGGACATACCTATGGGCTTACCTGGTCCTCGACGAACTTGAAAAGGCACTCGAATTTGATAAGCGGTCGCTTCAGGCCACTATAGAAACACTGCCCAGCACTGTTGAAGAAGCCTATGACGCGATTCTCAACAGAAGTGGCCGCCCAGAAAGAGTCAAGAAGCTTCTGACACTGATATTGGCTGCCAGAAACCCGCTCACGCTAAGGCAAATGGCCGAAGTGTGGGCTCTGGAGGCGGACACACAGCTTGGCGAGCAGCTGGAAGTGATGACTGAGTCACAGTTTACAGAGATGGTCACCGGACTCTGCGGTTTGTTTGTCGTCGTCTCCGAACGAAAACTCTTCTTACTTCACCAGACGGCGTCGGAGTTCCTGCTGCATCACCGCAATAGCCCGGTTCTAATCGCCCACGGAGTTCTGGGCACCTCTTGGAAGAACAGCATCGCGTTTTCGGAGGCAGAACTGAGCCTTGCGAGAGCATGCATACAGTTGCTCGCTTGGCCAGGCTGCTCGTTGAAAGATTGGTACCGAGCCGAGGAAGAACGGAGGGCAACAGTTCTCGCTTTGTGGCAGGAGAAATCCTTGCGCGACCGGCACCGAGCCCGCGAAGAACGGATGGCAACACCTCACACGTATCAATTTACTTCTTATGCTCTGACACATGTGTTTGATCATTTGCGGTCCGCCAACAGTTCGATCGCTTTGGCCGACCTCCAGCAGGTTCAAACTATATGGCAGACTTGGCGTAACCCAGAGGATGAGCGGCACACGCACAGAACATTTATACACTTTGGCCAAACGCCATGGCATTCAACGCCTATGATCATTGCCTCTTGGCTCGGCACAGACCATATCGTCAAGGACTTCCTACAGACATCAGGCACTCAGATGGACTATAGAGACTCGATCCGTGACAGAACGGCACTACACTGGGCTGTGCTTGGAGGCAATCTCACCATGGTTGAGCTGCTCCTCGAGAAAGGCTGTTCCCCAAACACGTGGGACTTTCTCTTCGACTCGCCTCTGCACTCGGCAATATCTGCAAGAAGATTCGACGTCGCGACTTTGCTTCTACAATATCGGGCAGAAGCATTCACGGCACACAATGGCGAGGAGCCTGCCTTCTATCTAGCAGCGTGCTGCGGTGGACAAGGTGACCCAGACTATCTACAGCTGCTGAATTCGATACTTACGCTTTGTGCCGGTGTCGATATTAATATGAAAGACGCCCAAGGCACAACCGCCCTGGGTCTAGCGGCCCGATATAAGCATCATGACCGCGTTGAGCTTTTGCTTAATCACGGTGCAGATATATATGCAACGGACGGAGCAGGAAGAACAGCGCTCCATGAGGCATGCCAATATGGACGGATGGAGCTCGTCAAATTGCTACTACGCCACGGTGCTGTCGTTGATAATCATGCAGCGGATAGAGGTGGAAAGACAGCGCTGCATGTAGCATGTGAACAGGGACGGACGGAGCTTGTCGAATTGCTACTAGGCCACGGTGCTGACGTTGATCAAGTCTGTGAGTTAAGACCAAACTCCATATCAGTTATTATGACCTTGAACACCTGAACACAAGGTGCCCATCTCTAACCCCCATCTATGTAGATCCCCGCGGAAACAACCGGACTGGCTGGACTGCACTTCACATCGCTGCTCTCGCTGGACATACCAAAATAATCGAGCGACTGCTTGCCCACAAAGCGAGCATCAGCAGCACCAACGAAAGCGGCGAAACAGCGCTTGACATCGCTCTGAAGCACGATCATATTGCAGCCGCAATACTCCTCATAAAAGAAGGCGCGAGGATGGACAGGATTGACACAATCAAAGGAGCCTTGATACAGGCTTGCGGTAGTGCTCAAGTTGATGTCGCTGCATCCTTCTTCAGAGACAATCCCGATGCTCGTCTGAAAGTGCCATACACGGTGTTCTCAGGCTTGTTATGGGCGGCGGCCCGTGCAGGGGACATTGCACTGGCCCGGCTTTTGTTGGCGAACGGCGCAAAGCCTCATGATCCAGAGGCTCGGAAGGCTGCGCGAGAAAACGGACAGCAGGACTTTGCACAGATGCTGGCACTGGAACAGCTCAAACTCATGCATCGTGAAGCATCGTGCAACTGCCCAGGCAACATTTTTTGCAAGGGATTCTTAGACGACGAGTTCTCTCAGCAGAGGGGAGATAGCTAGATAACTAAAAACGAGTCACATCATGTCAACTCGAGTCATTTCCTTTTCTATCGTGTTGGGCGTTGTTCTGGTCTTGAGTCCAGCATCATGCCCGACGGGTTCCACCAACTAGAGTGGGGCATGGCGCCGGTGCTCGTTGAACCACATCTCGGCCACTCAAAAGGCAACAAGGCCCCTCTCCCCAGTTGTTGTTTCTGTGCAGGCAGCCACCCAGACCACACAGCCTCAGCATGGGATCAAGAGGAATGGCACCAATCGACACTGCTCGCAGGCAGATTCTAGGTACACTGCCTTCAGAGATCATAGCACTCATCATTGCGAGTTCAACTCTGGCGAGCATTAACGCCATTTCGCAGACATGCCGGTTCTTCCAAGGCATCGCCACCCCGATACTGTACAAACGAGCAACAGCGGCCCATCCATACCTGCTCGCATGGGCGTGCGAGATTGGTAACAGAGCGGTCGCCCTGCGCCTGCTCGCGGAGGATGCCGATCCGAACTTGCAGGTCGAGGCATACCAAGACAGACGCGTCCTTGTAAGCCCAACTGACTTGGGCGACCACCTGCGAGGTTCGTCCTCGCCCACGCCCGGTTCCCCGCTGGAGATCCTGCACAGCATCTACGCCCGGTCCGATGGGCCCGATGTGTTGAATAGAGTTTTCGAGGATTCCCCTTATGCATTTCAGATGGAATATCACACGTGGTCGCCTCTGCACCTAGCCACAATCAGGGGCCACGCCGCAATCGTCGAGCTGCTACTCGACCACGGCGCCGAAGTTGACGCAGTTGCGCCCGGATACTGCAAATATGAGGCTGACGGCCTCGTTACGGACGAAGACTACACCACCATTCCCTTCTGGCCTAACCACACTGCGCTCCGCGTGGCCCTCTGCCACCGCCAGGAGGAGGTTGCCCGTATCCTCATCGCTCGCGGTGCCAAGCTCGCGTTTGGACCTGGCCCTCATGGGCAGCATGAGCATGCGCTGCATACGGCTGCCGGTCACGGCTGCGTCGATGCCATAAGACAGATGTTCGCCAGGGTGGCAGCGGCTGCATCAGACGACGCCAGCACCCCCAGCACCAGAAGCCTTGATGTCAACATGCCAGACTCCCAGGGTTTCACCCCGTTATACCACGCGCTACGCTGCGAGCAGTCAGAGAGGGTCGTAGACTGCCTCTTGAAGCTCGGCGCGGATCCCAACGTTACTGGTTCGAAGCTGGGGACAGTCACCACGGAGACTCCGCTGCACGTTGCCTGCAGGCAGAAGCAGTGGGCCGAGGCGAGGATGCTGGTCGAAGCCGGCGCCGACGTGGAACGAAGGACCCTGGACTGGGCCCCCGGCGTGCGCGCCCTGGACCTTGTCTGTCTCTGCCTGCAGTCCTGGTCCTCGGACCGGCCCCTGACCCGTGAGCAAGACTACAGAGGCGCAGCGCAGCCAGCCGCGCTGCAGGAGCATGTCCGACTGCTGCGGACCATCCTCAGGCACGGGGCGGCCACCACGCCACACTCCGCGCGGGGCAGTCTGCATCGCGGCGGCGGACGGAGGGGCTTCCGGCGCGGCAGCGGCCGTGGCCGAGGTGGCTCGTACCCCGGCCCTGAGCGGTGGAGTTGGGCGCCCGTCGTGCTCGCGGCGACGTGGCCTTCCTCTGCGGTGGCCATTGCGCTCCTGGAGGTATTTGCCGAGGCCGGGGTCGAGCTCGGGGAGGACAAGGATATCTTGACCCAAGTCATTGCGAGGTCGAATAGCAAGATGCACTACACGTCGAGCTCGCCTGACGATGATGAGGATCCTGTGCCCGTTGTGGCCTGGCTTCTCGAGCACGGAGTACAAATACCTTCATCCATTGACGGTTCAGGCGTCGATGATGAGCTGATGAAGGTGCTCCTGGCCTGCGCAGAGGAAGCCTGGGCGCCCACACTTTTTGAGGTGCTGTTCCTGCATTGGAAGACAGTCCAGACGCCCGAAGGATGCTCACAGGCTGGGCAATTGATCGAGGTGTTGCTGCATGCAGGATATGACGAGCTCTGCCAGCCATTCTTGAAGTCTGGCGTCGTCCGCTACACATCGTCAGGAGATCCCTAGTGAATACAAAATACAAGGATATGCCACTGGCGACGGTCGTAGCATGTTCCAATGGCCGCACATATTCCAAATAGTCTCGAGGAGGAGCAGTGTTTCAGTCCCGCCAAGAGAATGCAAAACCAGCATGTGATGACGCAGGACGGCCCAGTGGTAAGCTGAGGTGATCCACCCAGGGATCTAGCGGGCTTCCCCTTTTTCGCAAAGCTTATTCCAAATCAGTGCTGACGCCAGGCCTGCGAATAAAAGAGGGGCAACACGTGTTGCCGAGACTTAGGTAGGTACTAGACCCACGGCCGGCCCAGTGCCGACGTTTGCTGCTTCTTCCCAACCACACCAAGCCTGCCGAGGCCATCGTCAATGCTTGGCACCCGCGAGGACAGCTCTAACCGCCAGATTTCCGCGTCCTGCTAATAGCTCATGCTTCACGAATCCTCGTCCATGGGCCGCCATGGCCTGCGTTTCCTGCGCAAGGCCGGCTCCTTCGTCGGCCCCGGGTTCATGATTGCCGTCGCATACAGTACGTCCTCTATGACGATTCGTCCCCGTCACGTGTGCCCGCAGGTGGCGGCATATGCTCACCGCTTGACATAGTCGATCCGGGCAACTACTCCACCGACATAGCCGCAGGCGCCTCGTACCGGTTCCGCCTCCTCTTTGTCGTGCTGCTCTCAAACATCTTTGCCATCTTCCTCCAGAGCCTCGCCATCAAGCTCGGCACCGTCAGCGGCCTCAATCTCGCCCAGGCGTGCCGCGCCTTTCTCCCGCCATGGCTCAACTACGTGCTGTACTTTTTCGCAGAGGCCGCCATCATTGCGACAGACATCGCAGAGGTATGCGTGGCGCCCAATGCCGCCAGGCAGGCATTCAGAGCCCGCCTCCGTAAATTTAGAGGGGACAGACATTGGCTGACGTGCTTTGCAGGTCATTGGCTTCGCGATTGCTCTGAACCTGCTCATCCCGCAGGTGCCCTTGGTGGCTGGCTGCGCCATCTCCATCCTCGACGTCATGCTCATCCTCCTCTTCTACCGCCCTGACAAGTCCATGGGCGGGCTGCGGCTCTTTGAGTTCTTTGTCGTCTGTCTTGTCCTCGGCGTCGTCGTCTGCTTCGCCATTGAACTCTCCCTGATCACCAACGCCACGGTCGGCGAGGTCTTCCACGGCTACCTGCCGTCAAGCGCGCTCATAGAGCAGCAGGGGTAAGTCTTTCTGACACGAACATGTGTCTGATTCCGGCTTATGGAGATACCCGCTCACCAAAAGAAAAGTCTCTACCAAGCCTGCGGCATCCTCGGAGCCACTGTAATGCCGCACAGCTTGTATCTCGGCTCCGGCATCGTCCAGCCGCGTCTGTACGACTTTGACGCAAAGAACGGGCACCTCCCACGGCAGCTCACGCCCGCGCCGAACGCCACGGCCACAGACACGGCCGCCGCCGCAGCAGCAGCGCCCTTTGAGCTCGACGACAACGACAACAAGGCGCGCTACACGCCGTCACTCGCCGCGATCCGGCACTCCCTGCGCGCCTCGACCATCGAGCTGACTTTCGCGCTCTTCGGGTTCGCGCTGTTTGTCAACTCGGCGATCCTCATCGTGGCGGGGGCCTCGCTGTACGAGAACCCGGACGCCGTCGACGCCGACATCTTCACGATCCACGACCTCCTGGCCCAGTCCATAAGCCCCGCCGCGGGGACCGTGTTCGCCCTGGCCCTGCTCCTGTCCGGCGTCTCCGCGGGCATCGTGTGCACCATCGCGGGGCAGATGGTCAGCGAGGGCGCGCTGCGGTGGTCCATCAGCCGGCCCTGGCTGCGGAGGCTGGTCACGCGGAGCATCAGCATCACGCCGAGCATCATCATCGCGGGCGCGGTCGGGAGGACGGGCCTGGGCGCGGCGCTCAACGCGAGCCAGGTCTGCCTGAGCGTCGTGCTGCCGTTTGTCACGGCGCCGCTCATCTGGTTCACGTGCTGGGGCAAGTACATGACTGTGCGGCAGCCAGATGTCGATGATGATGATGATGATGATGATGATGATAATGATGGTGATGATGGCCGGCGAGAGAGGGCCGCACGGGCGGCTACCCCGGGCGGTGGCGGCGGCGTTGAAGGCACTGAAGCAGGGCGAGGAGGAGGACAGGGAAGTGGCCGGGTGGTGGTGATGGCCAACTCATGGTACACGAATGTGTTCGCTGGACTCGTGTGGCTGGGCATCACGGTTCTGAATGTGGCCAATCTCGTGCTCTTGGCAAAGGGGGCGTGATAGAGTATATGGCATGCAATACCTTAACCAGGCCACTCGGACGAACGTGTCTTGGGAAACTCGAGAAATCCAACTGGTCATCCGACAAAAGATGTGGAACAAAAGCGGCACGTCAGAGGCCAAACCTCACAGGTCTCTCTCGTCAGCAACAACCCGCTACGCAATCGCCCAGACGAGCGGCTCCTCCCCTCGCCGCGCCCTCCACCGGTTCGTCGCCTCCAGCACGTCCTCGCACCCCTGGAACGACCACGCCCACTTCCTCCAGAACCCCTCCGAAACCTCCCACCCGCTGACGTGCCACGGCGGCGACCAGGCCACCACCCCGCGCGCCTGCACCTCGGAGTGGGGGAACCCTTGGAACAGCCCGCCGATGGTGTCGCTCCAGAGCGCGCCCTCGTCGAAGCTGCCCAGCCCGCGGAGCAGGTTGTCCCGCCACCGCGGGTGCGGGATCATGTCGAGCCAGTCCTTGTGCGGGGTTCGCCGCTGGAGGGCCGTCGGGACGAGCGAGGGCGGGAGGGCCATAGGTGAGGAGGTTGTGGTGGCGGATAATAACGGCTGGACGCCAAGGGAGTCGATGTTGCAGCTCCAGTTCTGGACGCCGGAGAAGCCGGCGAGGCGGTTGAGGATGGCGCGGTTGGTGAGCATGCCGCGCAAGACGTTGTACTGAAGCAGCGGGATGAGGTGGTCTGAGGAGAGTGGGAGGAGGATGGTGGCGGTGGCGGTAGTGGTGATAGTACTTTTCGATTCCCTCTGACTTATGCGGTGTGTGCCTCTTGGGTCGTGTATCTGATGCGATGGAGACCTAGATCGGGTTGCGACCATGTTGCTCGGAAGGCATAGGCCCCTCTTGGTGGGCAGAGTACTGGCTGTGGAGGGAGGAAGCAGGACGATACGCTGCTCGGTCTCGTCCCAGCAAGGGACCATCTGTGAGGCGCTGTCATCTATGGGGCTGTCTCTTTGCCTCTGTTGTGTCTGTTGTGCGAGCTTTGCTTGCTCTGCCTTGCGTCTTCCTAGGGACAGTGCATTAGTGTACGGCCAAGACTTGTGCCCAGTACCGTGTCCAGGTTCGTACTCATGGCCCTCATGTTGAGACGTGTCTGGATCTTGCGGCGAGTGGCGGCATCCGCAATTCCCGTCCAGTCCTCGTCATTGTTGGTCGCCTGGTGGCTGTGCGTCAGTCATCCCGGCCATGACAAAGGTTCGAACAAGGAGATGTGCCATTTACCTCGGCCAGCTGGGGCATGCGGGCCAGTTGGCATGACACGCCCTGCGGGTTCGGATGCTGGATGTGCATTTTCAAAGGATCCGTGCGTCTCAACAGGTGTCAAAAGATAAGGGGGGGACCGCAGTTGACGGCCACGATGACGAGAAGGAAGGGTCCAAAGGAGATACGGGGCCGGCCCCATAATATATGCGACCTGCTCACATGCAGGCTGCTCACACTTTGGATGTTCCACAGGCTAAAGGTCCTGGCGTAAGGCAAGCGGCTCTCGCACCTGCAGGCTGCTCACATGCACTAACTAGACTAGGGTGCTGGCCCACGAGGGAAACCGCCATTTCATTGGCCTGTTTCTCGCAGGGGAGTCTTTAGTCCGTGTGGAGCTACGCAGTCCGGAGTAGGGTCACGGATATTGCTGGCGTTATCCCCGCCTTACGCTGCAGAGCGGGCAGTGCCCCGTCGTGGCAGGCAGGGGTGTCTGGTCTCGCGCGCAAGGCTGAACTAGCTTCAGCTTGTGCATACCAAGCATACCAGGCGAGAGTCCATGATTCATTTTCGCACTTGTGGACCGCAAGTCTATACTTGTCACCACGATGGACTCGTATTTAAGACGGCATCGCTGCCCTTTTCTGGCTCACACATGTCCCATTCTCATCATCACATCACATCCCAATCCGACTCTTCTAGACAACCACAACTCTACTCACAACCACAACTATTCTCACAATCACAACTATTTTCACAACCGCAAACATGTTCTTCTCCAGCAAATCTTTTCACCCAGACTCCCTCCCGGACCTGTCGGGCAAGACATATATCGTCACCGGCGCCACGTCAGGCATGGGGTTCACCACAGCCGCCCGCCTCGCCCAGCACGGCGCCCACGTCTACCTCTGCGCCCGGTCCCAAGCCAAGGGCGACGCCTCCGCGGCCAAGATCAAGACACAATACCCTGGCGCCAAGCTCAGCATCCTGACCATGGACCACGCGGACCTGGCCACCATCGTCGCCGCCGCCAGGCACTTCCTCAGCCAAGAGGCCAAGCTCCACGGCCTCGTCAACAACGCGGGCATCATGGCCACACCCTACGCCATCACGAAGGACGGGTACGAGGAGCAGTGGCAGACAAACTACCTCGCCCACTGGGTCTTTACGCGGCATCTACTGCCCGTCCTAAAAAGCACCGCGGCCGCGGAGAGGCAGACCCCCGGTGCCGTCCGCATCGTCAACCTGACATCTGTGGGCCACTTCAACGCCCCCACGGGGGGCATCAACTTTGAAGACACGTCGCTCGGCAAGGCCAGCGCGGGTCTGGCACGCTACGGGCAGAGCAAGCTGGCAAACGTGCTGCACGCCAAGGTCCTGCACGAGCAGCAGTGCGGGCAAGAGATCTGGGTGTCCGCCGTGCACCCGGGCCTGGTCAAGACCAACCTCGGCGAGCGGGCGACCAGTTTTCCCGCCCCCTTGGTGCTGCTGGTCAAGTGTTACAGCGCGCTTGGGGGCGCGAGAGATGCCGACTCGGGCTCGTTCACGAGCCTGTTCTGCATCGCAGGCTCGCAGTTCAGGCGCGAGCAGTCTGGCACGTATTTCCAGCCTGTCGCGGTGGCTGGCAACGAGAGCGCTTATGCCAAGGACATGGAGCTCGCGCGGAAGCTGGAGGCGTGGACGGAGAAGGAGATGCGCAAGGGCGGGTGGGTGGCGTGATCGTCCCGGGTTTTGTTTTTTATTTTGCCAGGTGTGGCGTTTGGGATGTACTTGTTGATTCAGGCGTAATGGGTCTTATATTTACAATAGAGTATAACATCTCTCAGATACTAGAACGTTTAACTTGTGAGACTGACATGTTCGATGTAGGCAGAATAAGTTTTCCATTCTTCAGTTTTTGCACTTAAGACGTTGGATAGTGAGTGTCAAGATTGCTGGCGGCGGCGTCCTTGGAGCGGGCAGAGTAAGGACGTGGTATAAGACGATGGCATTAATTTATATGGAAAGTAGGGGCGTTTAATGCAGGATTATGAAGATGCAGAGATATCCAACCTCGGCGCTGCATTCACCAGCGGCGTGGGACGTGCTGCGTGATGAGTGCTGGGGCTCTCGGGGCCGAGTGGGTCCGCTGCTGGCGTCTGTAGCGAATCACATGTCCGCAAATGCGAGCTCCACCCTCCATGAGCACGACCCGCACTTTGAGGACTATTTCTGATTGGCGGGCAGTCCCGGGAGAGACTTTGCCTTGATCACCAGAGAGGCTTGACCTCGACGGCGAGCAGATTTGGGAATAGCACCTGTTGCATCGTGAGAGCTTCCGGTTGACTCACCAGCCTGGTCGTCTGCAGCAATGTGGGACAGTTCGCCAGTCGTCTTGCACGGGGCACCACTGGAATGAATGCCTATAAGTATCCTTTCCGTTCCTCCTCTTCTCAACATTTTGCGATATACTCGGGCAACAGCATCACTGCTACACAGGCCAGAGAACACAGCGACACATATCATCACGGCCACGAGAATGGCAGATTTCGAAACCCTCCTCGCGCGTGCCACGGACAAGAACGCTCCAACCCTCCACGGCGCCATCTTCAAGGGCGTCGACAAGCACGGTATGTTCCCGCCCCCCGCGCCGTACCTCTTCCGCCTTCTCCCCTCCCGGAGCTAACAAAGACACCTCCAGGCCAGGAAATCTACAGCAAAATCGCCGGCCACGCCTCCCTCCCCTCTCCCAGCAACCCCGACCCGCCAGTGCTCCAGGAAGACGCCGTCTTCAAGGCCGCCAGCAGCACAAAGCTCTTCGCCAGCGTCGCCCTGCTCCAGTGCGTCGACAGGGGTCTGATCGGCCTCGACGACCCGGTCTCCTCGGTCCTCCCGGAGCTCGCCCACCCACAGATCATCACTGGCATCTCCCCAGACACCGGTGCTGCACAATACACTCCCGCCACACAGCCAATCACCCCGCGGCACCTGCTCACCCACACCTCCGGCCTCGGGTACTGGTTCCTCCACCCTCTACTCATGAAATGGGCCACCACGACCCCGGAGGGCAAGAAGAGCCGCGAGTCGCTCCTCGTGCACGAGCGGCATGCGATCCCGCTCCTGTTTGAGCCCGGAGGACAGGGACAAGGACAAGAAGAAAGCCCGGGGGGCTGGATGTACGGCGTCGGCCTGGACTGGGCGGGCTGCCTGGTGCGCAGGCTGCACGGGAACATGTCGCTCGAGGACTACATGATTGAGAACATCTGGAAGCCCCTGGGATTGCAGGCGCCGTACCCCACGTTCTGCATCTCAAAGAAGGGCGAGGATGGGGATGAGTACAGACGTCGGCTGATGGGTGGTGCGGAGAGAGTGCAGATTGAGGGTGGGGGCGATGGGGATGGGGGTGATGGTGCGGCAGCGACGACGACGACGACGACGACGACGAGGCCGGGACTCCAGGAGTATACCTTCTGGCAGGGCGACAATGCGCAGGACCAGGACGGCGGGCACGGGCTGTGCCTGACGACGAGGGATTTCGTGGCCGTGCTGGCGGACCTGGTCGCCGACGAGCCTAAACTGCTGAGCCGGGAGATGGTGCAGGAGATGTTCACACCCCAGCTGGCTCCAGGGTCTGCGGCGCAGAAGTCCCTCGCCGGCTTGCGCGTGGTGTGCGACACGGTTGCCGGGCCCGATGTCGATGCGGACGCCGTCAACCACGGCCTGGGCGGGCTGTTGGTCACAAAGGAGTCGCCGGTTAGTGGTCAGCCTGCCGGGACGCTGGCGTGGGGCGGTGCGGCCAACACGATCTGGTTCGCATGCAGAGACAAGGGCGTCGCCGGGTTCATGACGACGCAGGTGCATCCGTTTGGAGACCAGCAGGTGCACGAACTTGTCGAGGCGTGGAGGAAGGAGTTTTGGGCCACGCCGCAGCTGGGTTGATGAGGCCCGCGTCCTCTCAGGCAGCCAGCGTCGCCAGATGTAGAACCGTGAACGTGTTGAGTTTTGTAACGTCTGAGTAGCGAGCAGCCGGGTCGTCCGGATCATGAGCCTGCGCAGCAAAGTCACCAAAAACAGGATCTTACTTTTCTCCCGTCTGACACTGCCGCTTCTGACTACTGAGAGTCCTGCATCATCTGTCTGCCACATCAGCAGAGGAATATCGAGACGCGCGCTTAAAGCCATGGTGCGGGACACCTCTCCCACGTGCAATTCATTCCAAGGCGCAAGGCAGCAGTTCAGCACTGTCAGCATCTCCAGTCGCAAATTCAGACTTTTGGGGGCACAAACCAGCAATATCCCTGTCGATAAGCGTAGTGAAGCCCAAGCATACTCCCAGATGGGGTCCCAGCCAGGATACCAATCCTCCCGCCAGATGTGGGAAAGTATATCACCCCTAAAAGCTGCGCCTATATGCGAGTCGTGTCCTGCAGGATACCTAGGTATCCCCACGTCAAGACAACTGGTCGCTACCCTGTCGAGCCTGCGTGGTATACAGCTGACTGTGAAGAGCGAAATGGCATTATTTCCCAATACGGAACTGTAATCCCCTCTTATACCCAACCAGGGGTGGGCTCTGCAGGGACGATCCCGTAAGCGCGGGACGAATGGGACCATTAGAACTCGAGCACTGCCACTCACGTTTGCTCAAGCTCCAATACTAATTGTACAAGTCGCGTCGCACAAGCAGGGCTGCTTTGGCTTATTTTTGGATGCGGAGAAGGTAGAATGATAGCGATAGGGCAGTTTTAGGGCTGCATGTAAGATGCAGATCCCTGAAGGTACACGCCGCAAATGAGGCCAAATGCTTATTCCCGACTGCCTGGAACCAGTATAAAGACAGTTATAGCCGTCGCATTCCTTTACATGCCTCGACCTGAGCGTCTCCCAGCGGAGATGCTCATCAACGTTACGCCCACTATTAGACAACTCATCATCATTGTGAATCATGCCGCGCAACACGCGGAGACACTCCCGCTACATCCCCTTGGAGGATCCTCCAGAGAGCCTGGACAATCTTCAGCCAGCGCAGCCAGGCATCGAGGCGCGATATGAGCCATTCCAACAAGCCGGTGCACAGGATTTCCAGCGTGCTCCGGACAGTTCTTACGATACTGCCAACGAGTATGGTGGAGCAGGCGAGCTGCACGACTTGCCAGAGACTACGCAATACGCCCAACCGAAAGTTGAAATCAGCGATGCCAACGACAAACTCCCGTTGTGGAAAGCTGTGAAAAAGTACCCCCGGGTTGTGGCATACTGCTTCGCGGTCACGACATCAATCCTTGGCTGGGGCTATGCATCTGTCCTCATTAGCTCGGTCAACAACGTCGACGAATTCCTGCATCACTTCGGGGAAGAGATGGACGGAGAGTGGCAGATACCCGGGATGTGGCAGTCGGTGTGGATGTCATTTGATGCCGTCGGCGGTGCCCTGGGGTCTGCAGCAGGAGGCTGGATCCAGGATCGCCTTGGCCGTAAGCGGAGCATGATTATCGGAGGAGTGTGGTCGGCGGTCGGCGTTGTCATAGTATTTGCGTCAGACACGCCCGCGAGTGTGAACGGTCGCCGAGGAATGTTCCTTGTGGGCAGGATGTTGGAAGGATTCGCAGTCGGCATCATGAAGACAACTGCCATGGCATATGTCTCGGAGAATGCGCCCACTGCTCTTCGGGGATCGGCCATGGCGCTCTTCCCGACGTTCACTCTGGTTGGCCAGGTCCTCGGCACGGCTGTCATCATGGGGGTACGGGCCATCAATCTTGACAACAACTATCGCATCGCCTTCTCCACTGAGTGGCTCTTCTCGATCCTGGCTGTCGTCCTGGGCATTTTCTTACCCGAGAGTCCATCGCATCTGGTGCGGAAGAACCAGACCAGGAAAGCACTCGAATCGGCCCGGAAGCTGTACGCACCTCACGTCTCGCCTGAAAAGGAGCTTGATCGCATCGTCGCCAGTGTGCGCAAGGAAGCAGAGAAGGCATACAAGCCGGGATACCTTGAATGCTTCCGAGGGGTGAATGGCCGCCGCACTTGGATCATAGTCTTCACAAACGTGCTCCCCGCGCTGTTTGGTCTCGATTTGTTGTCGCAAGCGAGCTATTTCCTCTTGACGATTGGCATGCCCAGCCAGATGGGGCTCCTGTTCCAGCTGCTGGGAATCGCGCTCGCAATCGTGGCCAATGCTGCAAGCGTTTGGCTGCTGAGCCGGATCGGACGGCGGACAGCGACCATTCCCTCGCTGGCGGCTGCGACGCTCCTGTGGACAGCAATGGGTGTCGCGGGCTTCTTTTCGGGGACGGGGATGCAGTACGTGACTGCAGTGTCGATGATCGCCGTCATCCTGGTGTGCGGGCTCGGGGCGTGGCCAGCCGGGTTTGCCATCATGGGCGAGACGAGCGCGCTGAGCCTGCGTGCCAAGAGCCAGGCAATCGGCGGCATCTCGTCACACCTGACGTCCATCGTGGTCAACTTTGTGCTACCACTGCTCTACAGCCGGGATGGGGCGAACCTCGGGTCAAAGACCGGCTTTGTCTACACGGCCCTGTGCGCCGTCGCCGTAGTCACGTCGTGGCTTTTCATCCCAGAGATGAAGGGGCGGAGTGCCCTCGAGATTGACCACATGTTTGCAATCGGGCTCCCCGCGCGGAGCTTCAAGGCATGGAGGGGTGATGTTGCCTTGCCAGTGTAGAGAGATGCGTGTGTCATGCCTGCGAGGGGCCAATAAAATAGGTGTCGCTTGATACGGTTCAAGAAACCAATTTGATGTGGCTTGCTACATTTTTTCAAGAATGAAAAGAAAATTAGACCCCGAGCGCGGGCAGACGAAGCAGCGATGTACCGTGAAGGGGCAGTGCAGACTGGACGCTGCATGCAATCTAGTGATGACGTTCGTTTGCGATTTGGAGAAGGCACGCTTGTCTGGAGCCAGTCGGCAGCCGCCCCCATTGTGACCCCAGGCATGTACGTTCTCAGCAACAACGGCGAGAACAGAGTATCGGGTGAGACACAGAACATTCACGGAGTGAGATATTCTGCGCCAGCAGAACATCAGCGACCATGGCCACGCACGACAGCCAGCCGCTCAACAAGGAGCCGCCCATCGCCAAGCTCATGTCCTCCTTCATCACCAGTGAGGGCTACGACCGCAACCACGGGCCCTTGCCGTCTGCTGAGCAGCTGGACGAGGGAAGCCACCAGGTCCTCGTCGATGGCTTCGTCCACAAAACCCTCAGCCTCAGCATTGCAGACCCCAGGGACAGCTTCCCCCAGCACGAGGTGGTTTGTGCCCTGCAATGCGCGGGCAACCGGCGTCACGACATGCGCACCACCGTCAAGGAGGTTGACGGCATCGACTGGCTCGACGGCGCCGTCATGAACTGTCGCTGGCGGGGACCCACGCTCAAGGACATCTTGAACCGAGCCGGCATCAATCTCGAAACTTCGCAGATCCCTGCAGCTCACGTCGCCTTCGCGTCCGAGGTTGTCGAATGCGAGAAGGATTTGTGGTACGGCGCTTCCATCCCGCTTGAGCGGGCCCTAGACATGAGCAAAGAGGTCGTCCTCGCGCTCGAGCGCAATGGGCGGCCTCTCGACATACGCCACGGCTTCCCGGTCCGGGTCATCGTCCCAGGCGTCGCCGGAGCCCGTGCAGTCAAGTGGCTCGACAGGATCACTGTGCAGCTGCAGGAGAGCAACAACTTTTACATGCAAAGGGACTACAAGGCCCTGCCGCCAGACGCCAAAGACGGGCAGTCGGCCGAGCCGTTCTGGGCGACCACGCCGCCGGTGCAGGAGATGCCCGTCAATTCTGTCATATCACACCCGCGGACAGGCGACACGGTCAAGCTCGACGCCTCGGGCAGGGTTGAGTGCCGTGGCTACGCGCTCCCGGGGGGCGACGGGGGTCCAGTCGTCAAGGTTGAGGTCAGTACTGACCGTGGCAAGACATGGACACTGGCCGAGATTGAGAACCACGGCGACGACAACAAGTGGACATGGGTGTTTTGGAAGGCCTCGGTTGTGTTTGACAGGAAAATGGGCGGCACAATCCACAGCAGGGCGACGGACGCGCTGGGCAACACACAGCCGGAGGACCCGCCATGGAATCTGCGAGGCGTGTGCTACAACGGATATGGTGAAGCCAAGGATCTCAAGTTCGCATAGAAAATGAGGGCCATGGGAGCTGGGCAAATTGATCAAAGGGTCTCCCTCGTGCCGTGTTTGGTGATTTGTTGTGTTGCCCAGGCACTCTGGGCAGTCGGCCGTGAAGCTTGAGGCCGATAGCGGCGACGGAGCTTTTTTTTTTTTCCTACTGGGATGCTGCCGCGCATTGGTAGGGTTGACATCACTGTGGGTGGGCTTGTAAGGCTGCAGGGTCCTGCCAAAGGACAGCCCACGGGTGCAGTTGTGCGTTGCCCCAGGGCTATGTTTCGCCGGCTTGATTCCATGCTTTGTGCAATGGCATCTGTCTTGTCCAGCTAGACCCGTCCTGTAGCTCGAATCCATTCTGCTGATCGCACTGGATCAGAGATCAGAGACGGCGGCGAGTCAGGTCAGAGCCACGGCGACCCCTCTTCCTTCCCGCCCGCTAACCCAGCTGGAGACCTGGAGCTCTCACGTAGCCTGGACAAGCTCCCAATTGGGGGCATAGATAAGATAAGCGGCACAGCACAGCACGCCTGGGCAGCAGCCATCCCGTGGGCTCCACAGCGACGTCGGCGGCCGCGTCCCTTGCTGCCCGCGCCAGCCAAAAAAATCCCTGTTCTTGACTCACGCCTGGCGGCGCTTTTGTACCGGCTTGCTTCTTCAGCTCGACATCACCGCTGTTTTCCCTTCCCAATTGACATCGCAAACCACGGCAATTGCTCCGACTGCGCCATCCACGATCCTCGACCACATCTCTCACCACCCTCCACCACTCGAACTCACCAAAATCCATCATCATGGCTGGCGATAAGGGAAAGGTCTGCCTCGCGTACGTCCTGCCCCTCCCCCGCCATCGTGGCCGATGCACGGCCTTTGCGCACCACGCGAGAGACTGACCCTCGCCCAACAGCTACTCTGGCGGTCTTGACACCTCCACCATTCTCGCCTGGCTCCTCGAGCAAGGGTAAGCATCTCAATCTCTCCTCCCAGGATAATTGTCATGAGCTAACAGTACTGCCAAAGCTACTCCGTCGTGTACGTACTTCGCACGCCCGCTCCACGTGCCCTCCAAAAAAGCTCATCTCTGAGCTCGATTCAACCCGATACCTCCCTCGATACACAACGCAAAGACCCTGCGGCGACTCTACTGACCAATCCTTAGCTGCTACCTCGCCAATGTCGGCCAAGAGGAGGGTAAGCTGCACAGCCGGGAGAATTGGAAAAGAATGGGCAACAAGCTGACATTGCGACAGACTGGGCTGCCGTCGAGAAGAAGGGTATGCTGAATGAATCCACACCTCTCCCATACCATACGACCCGGATCAGGACACGAGGCGACGAATCGCGGATAATCGGGAAACCACTAACACTGGAAAACTTGCAGCTCTCCAGATCGGTGCTGAGAAGGCATGTCCTCCCCGCGTCACAATGCGCACGCGAGCGTGACCAGGCAGCTAACAGGCCATCCAGATGATCATTGATGACCTCAAGCGCGAGTTCGTTGAGGAGTGAGTGACGCCGAAAACCAAGACCCTGGAGAGTACACGAGCTAACACAAGGACCCAGGCTCTGCTGGAAGGCCGTCCAATGCGTGAGCACAGCACAACATTCGCCTCAGCCACAATGCTGCAAATGCTAACACGGCGCAGAACGCCATCTATGAGGACCAGTACCTGCTCGGTACGTGATTACCGAATCTCAACGTCCCCGGTTCAGTACTGACCTCTTCACAGGTACCTCTCTGGCTCGCCCCGTCATTGCTCGCGGTCAGATGAAGGCTGCGCTCGAGACCGGGTAAGGACGACTTTGAAAGGTTCCTAGGAGCTTCGATGCTGACGAGAACACAAACAGCTGCCAGTTCGTCTCTCACGGTTGCGTAAGTACAAACTTCTAGTTCACCAGAACTCGTCGAGTTCGACATGCTAACGAAGTCGTGCACAGACTGGCAAGGGGTATGTTTGGAACTCACCGAGAAACGCTCTCCCACAGCTTTGCGACTTACAAGAAACTTAGCAACGACCAAATCCGCTTCGAGTTCGCCTTCTACACCATCAACCCCGAGATCAAGGTCATTGCCCCGTGGCGTGGTACGTGTCTGCCCCCTTCCCCGCATGACAAAGTCGCGGTGCTAACACCATTCTGCAGACCCTACCTTCTACAAGCGCTTCCAAGTAAGTCGAGACGTGAAATCCACTCGAAAGTCCTGCTGGGCGCTCGCAGCCAGCCACGAATTCCGAGCTTGATATCGAAGAATTGGTCCGCCATCGAACCACAGCCCCCGGTCGTTCCTTTGATATCATTGTGCCACAAGCAGATTCTTTGAAAATGATGTGGCCAACACCACGCAACTCGACCCCGACAACTGGGCTTCAACGGCTCGACAGCAAGCGATTCACTCCCGCCAACTGCTTTGCCCCACCGCTTGACATCTTTGCTTGAGTGCTGACTGGAGCATTCCAGGGCCGCAACGACCTGCTCGACTACGCTGCCGAGAAGGGCATCCCCGTCACCAGCACCAAGGCCAAGCCTTACTCCATGGTGAGTTGATATGATCGCAGCCACCATAACATACTGGACCTCGAACTAACTGATATCATAGGACGACAACTTTGGTTAGTCCCTCTGTCTTCTGTCCGCCGACGACAGCCACACTGACAAACACAGCCCACTGCTCGTACGAGGCCGGTATGCTCGAGGACCCCAACGTCACTCCCCCTGAGGAGATGTGGACCCGCACTGTCTCGCCCCTGAAGGCTCCCGACGCCCCCGTCGACATCACCATCCACTTTGACAAGGGTCTGCCCGTCAAGGTTGTGTCGCCCAACCAGACCTCGACCGACTCTGTCGAGCTCTTCGAGCTGCTCAACAACCTCGGCAAGGAGCACGGTGTTGGCCGTGTTGTAAGTATTGACCATCGGCTGACCTCTTGAATTCGATGCTGATTGTGTGTGTCTAGGACATTGTTGAGAACCGGTACGGAGATCTGCAAAGATGTGAACCTGGGCAGTAGTACTGACAAACAACAGTTTCATCGGCCTCAAGTCCCGTGGCTGCTACGGTATGTTTTGGCCCCCGGCACTTGTACCATCGGAAACAGTACTGACGGTTTACAGACTCTCCCGCCATGACCATCCTTCGTCTGGCTCACATCTCGCTCGAGGGCCTGTGAGTCGCCTTCCCGCGGATCAATTGCACTGAGCATCTGCTTACCCTGTCTAGTGTCCTCGACGGCCGTGTCCGCTCCCTTCGTGACAACCTCGCGAAGCAGTGGGCCGAGCTCCTCTACAACGGCTACTACTTCAGCCCCGAGCGCGAGTTCCTCCAGCGTAAGCCGTGGCAACTAATCCTCCGTATCAAAAAGCACAAAAGCTGACCAGCACCCATAGCCTCGCTCGACTTCTCCCAGCAGCGCGTAAGACTGAAGGACCATGGCCCTCGCCCAATATTCTGCGATACTGACGCCAATAACAGGTCAACGGCGAGGTCCGCCTCCGCCTGTACAAGGGCAACGCCTACTGCCTGGGCCGCACCTCGCAGGAGAAGCTCTACTCTGAGGAGGACGCGTCCATGGACTCGCTCACCACCTTTGATCCCTCCGAGACTGTAAGCATTTGGGACTTGCCATTTCAAACGTGCAGAATTGTGCAAGTGCTGACAAAGATTGATAGTCTGGCTTCGTCACCATCAACGCCATCCGCCTCAAGAAGGTAAGTCCACGGCCGGTCTTACTGGCATGAAAAGTCGCAGTACTAACAACCTGAATAGTTTGGTCTGCAGAAGGCCGAGGCGGGCCAGAAGTTTTAAGCCATTGCGCAGACCGAGTAAGCCGAAATTGTGTAAAACAGTAGAGAAAGATGGGCGGGGAAACAGCCTCGTCCCGGAAAAAAGATTGATTCTCATACCATGCGCATTTTTCTCATGGTGTTCAACGTCGCTGCTCTTTGACTGGTTTGTGCATGTGACTTGTTGACTGGTCCATTTCCGCGAAGTGTGGAATGCTGGGAGATACTCCATTCTTCCTAGCCAAGCAGTGTTCCAGAGGAGGGCATGAACTTTACAAGCAACCTTGGAGGTTCTGGTTCCCAGCATGGGACCTGACAGCCATATTTCTAAGAGCAAGACTTGATGCATCAGCAACGATTGCTCAGCAATGCTTCTGACTGGGACAGACCAGGACCCTGTCAAGTCCTACAGCGGCACGCATGACCTCCATCCGATCTCGGGGACGGATCTTGCCGAGGGCGTGGGCAACTCGCAGAGGACTTTTGACATGATGTCTTTGCCAGACTGCCTCCGCTTTGCCGGTGTGTTAGCTGCAGTGGGGAGAACGAGGCGCAGCCCGGTGTCGCAAGACAAGAGAGTGTGTGTACCTGGTGCCTGATTCCAGGCAGACAGAAAATGCACCACCCCAGGCAGCAGCAACCGGGAAAGCCTAATCCATGCAGGACTATTATGGCGGCCCAAAGGCTTGTCTCCGCGGCAGATGTATGCAATGTGACGACGGGACCAGGGGTCTTCCCGTCCGTTGTATGAAGCGTGGGGTGCGGCATGGTTTCCGCCTCTTCTAGAAGAACCGGGATCTGACACATAGTTTGCTAGGATGCCCTCCAAAGGCTACACATCAAAAGACGTCCCGGGGCGTTGCTGGCAATGAATGTGCAGGTCCCACCGATTCTTGCCTCAGCTGCGGCTGAGTTGTGGACTGTTGTGGACTTTGTGAAGCGGACGCCATTGGCTGTCAAGCCTGGGGCTCCGCAGTTGCAGCAATTACCCGATCGGGAATGATGAGGATTTGCCTGTCCAACCAGCCCCGAAGCCCCGGCACTATCGGCACTTGGCCCTGTGGCGTTAACCAACGGCGATGTCCAACTAGTCTGGTCTCGTTAATGCTCAAGGGGGCACGGAAGCAGGTACAGAACGGCGGCAGGTACACACTCACACACACATGGGGCAGCAGTGAGCTGGGGGGGCGCACCGCCAATGGACAGGACAGGGCGCAGCCGGTGACGTTTTCTGCAGAATTGCACATTGCCAAGAGCCAAGCGGCAGGTGATGACTAAACTGGTGATCCTTCATCTCAACGGCCTGACATCAGCAGCTCGGATGATATATAACCAACGGGGTTTGCCATTCCTTCTGCCCAACTTCTCATCATCGACACCAACTCCAGAGTCGGCATCGGGACAAGTGCTTCCACCTTCGGTCCTACTCTCAACCATCACCATCACCATCACCATCGCAGTTGCCGCTACAAACCGCAGAGATGCGCTCTCCCACCACCACTGCTCTCGTGCTCGCCGCAGCACTGGCAGTTCCTGCAGCCGCCTCGCCCACGAATCTGCCCCGACAAGGCGCCAAGATCCCCGACCTCGCCCTCCCCGACACGACGGGGCCTTACAAGGTCGGCACCACCGCCTTCCCGCTGACCGACTATGCCCGCATCGACCCCCTGGCCGACCCGCCCGCCCCCAGAAGAGTCATGATATCCATCTTCTACCCGACCGACCTGGGCGGGAGTGGTCAACACAACTACACCTACGCCCCAATCTTCCCGCCCCAGACGGCCAGCATCTTCGACGGCATCATCCCCGGCGCGCCGCCCGGCACCGCCGCCATGCTGCGCACCCGGAGCTTCCTGGGCGCGCCCATCCTGCCCCGGCCTCAGAAGAAGGACGAGGACCCTTTCCCCGCGCTCTTCTTCTCCCACGGCTTCGGGGGCATCCGCCTTTTCTACACCGCGCGCATGCAGGAGCTCGCCTCGCGCGGCTGGGTCGTCGTCAACATCGACCACCCTTTCGACGCGCAGGTCGTCGAGTTCCCGCCCCCAGCCGGCGCCCCGGAGGGCACTCCCGGCGAACTGGTCTTTCCCTACGCGAACGATACGGTCGGGTATACGCCCATCGGCGGCGTGGAGGGCCTGCAAAAGATGCGCGCCGCGGATATGCGGTTCGTCCGGGCCCAGCTCCGGAGCAACGAGACGGTCCGCGCGCAGGTCCCGGGTCTTGTTGGCGCCACCGCACCTAACCTGCCATGCGGTCCCCATGGACATGGCGGCTCCGTCGGCAACAACAACAACAACAACAACAAGGTCGAAGATGGTCTGCAGGCCGCCAAGGTCGGCGCGTTCGGCCACTCCCTCGGTGGCGCGTCGTCCGCGCAGGCCGTGTCCTCGTACCACGGCCAGCAGGACGGCTTCGTGTGCGGCATCAACATCGACGGGACCATCTGGGGCAGCCTGCCCCAGGACGGTCTGGCTCCTCCTTCTGCTCCTCCCGCAGACCTATCATTCATGCTCTTCTCCAACGCAAATGTCACCCGCTCCCAGGCCCAGTCATGGGCCCAGTTCTGGGACACCAACGCGGCGCAAAAGCAAGTGAAGCTCCAGAGGCAGTTTGGCGTCCGCGAGGCCGTGCACAACTCGTTCACAGACGCCGGGCTCTACTTCCAGCTCCTCGGCGCGCCCGTGCCCCCGGAGTACGGCACCATCGACCCCAAGCGATTGCTCCAGGTTGAGGCGGCGTACGTGGACGCGTTCTTTGGCACGTGTCTCAAGAAGAAGGGCGTGCAGCGGTTGGATGAGTTGCATGTGCGCGAGTTTCCAGAGACTTTTGTCGGGGAGTAGAGCAGAGTTGAGTAGAGTGCAGTGAGTGAAGGAAAGACGAGAACGGTTTTGGGAGTTGTTGTTGTTGTTGTTGTTGTTGTTGTTGTTGTTGTTGGGGTGCTGGGAACTAGGGGTGGAGGGGCCAGTTTCTCGTTGGAAACAACGCCGGAAACAACTTGCTGCGGGATGTGGTTGTGTTGCGGCATTGTTTGTTTTCGGGCTCTGATGTTGGGCTCGCGGGTGCTGACAAGTCAGCCACAATTCTGAAGTCCTACTTCCTCAACATCAGCTATGCACCGCACCGTATAGAGCTCAGAATATCAATATACAATAGAGTCGAAAATCAAACGCGAGGACGCTCAACCTGTACTGTGTTGCAATGTACTGTGCCTTGTGCTCAAGTGTCTTCTGACCTTGGCCAATGCAAAAGAACCTGGAAACTGCTCACTGCGTCTTCTCTGCCAAGACAGTTGCTTATCGACCCCGGGGCGACGCTTCTTCTATTGGCCATTGCAACATTGTTCGAGAAGGATCATGAGATGCATGCATTGGTTTTCGGCACCTCGTCAGCGCCCGCTTACATTGCCGACCTTGGCCTGTTGGGCGGGTCCAAGTCGAGTCCTACGGATTGAGGGTTGTCAAACTCAATGCAGTATGTGTGTGTGTGTGTGTGTGTGTGTGTGTGTGTGTGTGTGTGCGTGTGTGTGTGTGTATTGTTCATTACTCCCGTGGCCTATATAAAGCAGCCGTAAGTCCGTCTAGAAGAGATCGTTCTTCTTGTCTCATGCTTCTCTCAAAGTCACAACCAAGGCCACGGAAACACAGCAACCACTAAACACATCTTCCTCCCTCCCTCCCTCTCTCTCTCTCTCTATCTTTCTTGCTCTTTATCAACCATGATGCGCCTCTCCGTAGTCGCCAGCAACGTTTTTGCGGCGGTCGTCTTGGCCAGCGACATAACCTTCTACCTCAACGACAGCGCCTGCACCGGCGCCGCCCTCGTCGTCAGGAACGTCAACCCAGGGACATGCGCCTCTGTCCCGGTCGGCGCCCCGTCCATCAGATTCAGCGGCTCTGCGAGTGAAGCCCGCGACCTCCAGGGCTTCCCATCCCTAGCGCCCTCGTGCGGCGGCGTCAACCTCCCGCGGGGCGTGCCCTTTGGGACCTGCGTCGGCGGCGGCCAGAGCGGGCCGTTCCGGAGCGCGAGCGTCCGTCGGCGTGTTGGAGCCACCGCAGCCACCTCAGTTGGGACTCAGGCCGGTGGTGGTGGTGATTCCTGCTGGACGACTGGATGCGGGGAGGCTGATTTCATCGTCCACGAGGACGGGTCTGTTCTCGATATAGCTGGCCTGGAAGCCGGCGAGTTGACTGAAGTGGTAAGCAAAAAGGCTCCCCAAGACATGGGCCGTTATAAATTCAAGGATGATTGTGCGCTGACACTGGCTGGCCACTCCTAGTGAGTAATGGCTTTTTATCAAGCGGACAAGTTCAAAAGAAGATGCAGGGGGAAAAAAAAAACAAGGGTCAAAAGAAACAGAGAAGCTTATCTACAGCTGTTCTGATACACCCTCGACAGTCTCCTGTCCTTCATAGTCTTTTGCGCTGACTTTCCATTTCCCATCATAGTCTCGAGCTTGTCACCGCCGGCGCAACGGTGGAGGAGATCATGGACGGGCGCAACATCACGCTGATCGCCGAGTAGCCTGGGCCAAATTTGATCTCCCTCTCTCTCTCAGCAGACGGATACATTGGAGCAAGGCCTGGGTGTTCTCTAGCTTTGGCCCGGCTCAACTGCTAAAAGGGCAGGGTGTCTTGTGGGCTGAAGTCACGGAGCCATGTGAAGCCAAGTGGGAGTCGACCCTGAACGAAATGGTGGATTGTTTGAGCAGGGACGCATGGAACTTGGGCGGACAGTTGTGCAACTGCGCAGCTCTACCTCTCTGTTCGTGTAGAAAGACCGTCTAGATCACTTGCTCCAATGATTGAATAAAGTTACAGCTAGAAGTGCCATGGGAAAGAACAAAAAGTGGCTTGGAGCTGTTTTCTTCCGTGCCAAGTATGGAAATTGACAGCGGAGAGGTTAGAGTGTAGGAGGTATAGCTGAGGCAGGACCTCGTTATATCAAACATTTCGGATATTACAGGTGAGAGGGCTAGCAGATATGGATCACAACACGCCAACGGCCTTTCGAATGCCTTGAGAGAGGTAGCGTTTCCTTATAAAAATAAACTAAAATAGTAGCCGTGCAGACGACACATTCTGTATAGTTCCTACTATAGATGCTGTTCTGCTAGACTTTAATTCAGTCTCTAAAATAAGCGAATAATGTTATATTAGTAAGTATGATACCATACGTAGGAATCCGGTCGCTCAGCGAAATGTATTAGTAGATCGTGGGTATAAAGAGCAACAGATCTTGCTAGCCAAAGGTATCGACAGCAAGGAGGAAATCACAGCAAGCATCGACAGTCGCGTCACAAAGCCCCACAAGCAAGCATATAAAAGTTGGTCGGTACAAGTATATTCATGACCCATCAGCTCATATCTACAGATTCATCCGCCAAAGACTATGTACAGGAAGATGTAACACTGCTCGTTTTTCAATGTTGGACAACCACATCAACAACCACATACTCCATACTCCACGCTTGCTCCCACAACAGACACCACTTCACATAATCCTTCCACCTTCAGCATGTAACAACCATGCTTACTCAAGGCCGAGCTCCGTGGCGGCAAGGAGGAACTCAAAGAACCCGGCGTTGGTGGCGCGGATGTTCTCGTTGTAGTTGGCCACTGACGGGTAGAAGGGGCAGGAGCCGCTGCTGCCGAAGCCAAACTCGACCGTGTACGCGTGGACAAGGTTCTTGCTGGGGTCAGCAAAGTGGCGCGAGTAGGCGTAGTCGTCGCTGGCGCCCGAGGTCGGGTACAGGTCAGAGGCCTGGTAGTAGCCGTAGGTCTTGCCGCCGCCGGCCGTGAGGCCACTGGCGAGGCGCTGCGCAGCGGCCGCGTTGGCGGTGCCCTCGGCGGCCGGGACGTACTCGCCGTAGCCCTTGCCAGAGCCGGGGGTGTCGGTCAGGATGCCACGGACGCTGTCGTAGGTGGAGTTGAGGAAGTTCATGTAAGGGTACTTGGACTGGTTGTCGTCGGAGCCCCAGCTGTACAGGACGTCACCGGTGTACGAGTGGAGGTCGATGAACCAGCGGACCTTGGCGTATGTGTCAAAGACCCACTTGATGCTCTTGGTCTCGGGCTCGGAGAAGGCGGCGGTGCCGTGGTAGGTCTCGGAGCTTGGGCTGGTCGAGGCGGTACTGCCGGCCACGCTCGACGCGAACTTCTTGGTGAAGTCCCAGACAAAGTCAAAGTTGCGGTTGAGGTCGACACCGTACGAGCCGCCGCTGTTGGGGCGGCGGTTCTTGCGCCAGCAGCTGCCGGTGGACTGGTCGTAGGCGACACCGTCCGGGTTGGACAGGGGGATGAAGACGATGCCGGCGGCGAGGGCCGTCTTGACCTGGGCAGCCGTGTACGTCTTGGAGCCGTAGGTGAGGCCGACGTTGTTCTTGTTGGCGTAGAGCAGGTCGGCGATGAAGTACAGGACATTGTCCGCCGAGCCGCGCTCGCGAGCGTGGATGTTGCCGTTGAAGAAGACCTTGTAGGCGCCCGTGCCTGAGCCGGTGCCGCCGACCTGGGCACCGTAGATGGTGGCGCCGTTGTAGGTCTTGTAGGGGGTGGTGAAGGTGGTGATGCCGTACGTGTTGGAGAGGGCCTTGAGACCGCTGACAATCTCGGTGGGGTTCAGGATGGTGCTGAAAGTGACGCCGGTCTGGGAGCCGAGGCCGCGGGGGACGACGGAGCCGCCGCTGAAGCGGTCGCCGGTGCCGATGGGGGTGCCCGACTGGCCCTGGCGGCGGACGACGCGGTGCATCATGGTGCCATCACGCTCCTCGGGCAGCAGGCAGGCGAGGCCAGTGGACGAGAGGGCCGCGAGACTGAGCAGGACAGAGGCCTTCATCTTGACGAGGGGGGTCTGCGTGAGATTGACGGGTTGGAAGGATGGCGAGCTGAGGATGAGGGAGTGCCTGGCCAAGGTCAGGAGGGGCCAAGACACGAGACATCCAGGCGGCGGGACGTGCTTGTCTTTATGTCGACGCTCATGGTCGTCGCAAGCAGCCGGGCCCTTGCCAGCCAGTCTGCTATCTGCTCGTCCATGGCCGAGTGGGCGTGTCTCTGTCTGTAATGTGGGCACGAGTAATCAGGCGTTGTTTATGCGCCGTGTAACCTGGTCGAAAGCGGGAGGTGGCAGTGGGACGGCAGGCGTTGCTTCTGCCGTATCGGGGGCCCAGGGAAACCTTCTTGATTGGGGCTTGGCGGGCGCGGCAGTCACCGCCCCATGCCTGCGGCACTTGAGTCTGGCATGTATTCTCGTCGGCGCATTCCAGGTGGATGGATGGCGGCATGGGCCATGGCGATCACCTCAACTTTGAGTCCCCAGGAGCCGGCGCCAATTAAGCTGCGCCAGGGGTCCCGACGCCAATCTTGCTCTCGACCTGCCCGTCCGAGAAGGCGCGCCCGTATGAAAGCTGGGGAAGCCACGACTTGCCCACAGCCCAGATACCCCGGCACAGCCAATCAGCTCCTGTACAAGGCCCCTATCCTCCAGTGAGTGACGGCCATGGCGGGGCCTGCGCAACAATCCTCAACGCGACGCAAGAGGCTCGTACAGCGATTCCTGCCTCCAGCCATCCACTCTCTCTCCGTCCTCGCATCTTTGGGCACCGACCAAGATGGGTCTTCCATGCCCTCACCCTGCACTATATCGCTTAGCATACTAGGAAGAGAAGGCGGCATCGAGAATGGGAGCATCACCATGCGCGATAAGGGCACATCAACACCCGCCAACCTCAAAAAGGCCGCGAATCGCCTGCTTCCTTTCTCTTCCTCTCTCTGCGAATGATCCGTCCTGCCTGTCGAGCATGCTGTAAACACCTGACATCGACGCGTTCAATGTCGTAGTCAAGGCAAGCAATCGCGCAAAAGGCGTGGCGCAACATTCGGATCCTACGACCAGGGCAGAGAGGAGCAAAGGCAACCAAAAGCAGGCTGAGAACCAAGTTCAATCCGGCAAGTCGATGTGCCAAGCCATGTGCATGTCACCTCGAACTTGGCCCGCAGCTCCAAGCTTGAGCGTGGCCCTGCCTCAAGGTATCGAGCGTTGAAGACACACCCTGGACAAGGGATCAAGCACTCTGTTGAAGAATGCGTGTCCTGGTGCAGGCGTGGTTGCTGCAGACGAATCAGCTCGACAAGAGCTGGACCTGGTCCCTGCTACTTTTCACCACCGTGGATGCACATAAATGAGCACTTCGCCAATTCTTGTGAGAACTGCCTGTCCTGATCCTGTGCCGCCGCATGGACACTTGGGAGCAGCCTCCGATCGCAGTCGAGTGTGGATCATTTTGGAACACATATACCAAGCACCTCACTCCCAAAAATCACGAGTGTACAAAGCAAAGCATTGGACAGGCCACGCAGCGGCACAAATCTCATTCTTGAGCTAAGTCCTATCCGGCTACGGCTCACAAATGGCAACCCCTCAGCCAGGTAATACAGGATACGCGAGGGTGCCTGGAATCACAACCATGGACAGCAGCGGGTCACTCTTGGCTGCGTAACCAGTCAAGTAGCCACATCTCTCCATCGTAGCTGTGGTTGTGCCCCATCACTGCTCCGGCACCGGGGCCGTGGCTGCCTACGTTGTGGCCGCGGATGGTTTGATTGTGTATTTCGCATGAAATCGCCGTTTGTCCGTTATTCGTTCAGAAGTCCAGTCATAAAATACGCAGGGGTGTGCAGTCCGGAACGCCGAGGCCTCAATTACAAAACGGGGACGGTCGCTGGGCCGACGCCAAAGAGCGGCGTTCGATCCGTCGAGCTGGAATGTTGAAATGACAGCTCAAGCAAGCTCCTCGCCAAAGGTGTTCTCGCCCGAATATGTAATGTAGAGGAAGCTAGAGCGAATGCGGTCAGCTGGGCGTTCTCCAGTAACGTCTGTGGAATTGCTGGAGGGAAGAGTAAAGAACGTACCCGTCTTCATCCTTGTGCTCCTCGTAGATGCTGCTCATCAGCGCCGCGGTCGGAGGCAGAACCTCCTCGACGAAGATGAAGATCGCCTTCTCCGGGGAGAGCTTGATGCGCTTGCGGATGACGTAGACAAACTGGCCTACGGTCAGATCGGCGGGCACCAGGTACTTCTTTTTGTCGATTGTCGCAATGTCCGACTTCTCGACCTTTTCGCAGATGACCTATTTGGCGGTGAGGCGGTGGGTTAGCAGCGGATCCAAAAGTCTCGTTGTACGGGTTGCACAAGGCAGCGGCGCGGGCGAAGGCGGTGGTTGACCGCGTCGCGCGGGGTAGCTCCCTCCGTGAAGCGGTGAGGCACAGGTAACCACAGCCATCACTGGTTGAGAAGCAGCGATAATGTCGCGCGCGAAGGAGCAGGAGAAAGTTCAGGAAGCAAGAGGATCACATACAGGGATGCGGTCGGCGTACTTCTGGCGGATGCGCTCCGCCTCGGCCTTGCGCTTCTCGAAGGGGTGCTCGTCCTTGAACTTGGAACGCATGATGGCGGTTATCGGCGGGATCTAGGTGGTGGAGTGGCTGGCTTTGATGGAGGGCGCTTCGCGAGGGCCTGGAGAACGCTTTGCTGGTGCAGTAGATGATGGGGATGTGTTGCAGAGAGGTGTTGTCACGACAGATGGATGCAGTGAGTTGGGGTTGTAGGAGGTTGAAAGGGAGTGTGACTCGTCGCTGGCCGAGAGGCGCAGGTGATGTATGGGCAGGCACCCTGAGGCAGCTGCGTAGGCGGCAGCGCACGCAAGCTCGAGCTGTCACTGGTGAGCTCAGGTGCACCTGTGGCTGACTCTGGGTCTGGAACCTTGGGGGCCTTGCTGGCGGTGTACCTGCTATGCTGCCCTTTGCGCAGAAGGTACACGACGCGAGCGGCTTTGTCAGGTACTCGGGAGGTGGGGCTGGCCATGGGCGGGGCACTGCCCCAAGGACGGCGGATGACTCCTGCGGGCCCTCCCCCCAGGGCAGCTGCCCAGCTGGCCCACCGAGTCGTCCACGCTCGTGGGCTGTCACGGGCATGGCCAGCTGGCTTACAAAACCGCGCCACTGGCTGCCTGAAATCCACGCGATAGGGAATCAGAGGCAGAGGCAGAGGCTGGTTCAGTCTCGTCGCTTCTGCTGCTGACGAGATCGTCTTTGACCAGGCGAGGCACCGCCGCTGCTGAGACGGTATGACTGCACATGATACACTGTGACGTCTTCGCCTCACGGGCGCGGGGTATGGTCGGCTGATAGCGGATAACGTGACCACATGACAGCACGCGGCCGCAACGGTGCCTCAGGCTCATGCATCACCACGAGCAGCGGCTTGTTATCCCCGTGGAAGTGGCGGGAGCACAGATGTTGAAGACCGGGTGCGAGATGCTCTGCGCGCAGCTCTGCCGCGGAAGCCTGCACGGTAAAAGCGCCTGAAGGTTGAGAACACACGCCTGCGGTGGAGCGGTCGACGTGCGTGACATAAGGCTAACCAGTAATGTATTGTCTCGCAATAATCCTCGTATCTGCCAGCCTCATCGGATCACGTCACCTTCCTTATCAATGCCCTCTGTCATTTCCAAGATGTCACTCCCACCAAGGACACCACTGCCCAGTCCGGTCGTAGCCTTACGCTCGGCGAGCCAGATTTCATGGAACTTGATGCTCTCATCGCTGCTCGCAACGACAATGCAGCCCTCTGCGGCCGTCCGACTCTGCCTCTTTCCAGCCTTGTGATGGTATGTCTCCCTTGGTCCTCCAGGGTAAGGGATTGCATACAGAGCTCGGTGCTCGCCTTCCCACGGTATGGCCGCGATTTGACGACAGTCTGGCCAGCTGAAAACGGCGATCCGGTACGGATGATCTGGCTGCGCATAGCCAAATGTCGCAGCAATCTCGCGGCGCGTTGTGCTCCAGATGAGCGACGTGACTTGCGCTGACACGGCAATCGTGGCGAGCGTGGCACCTGATCCTGCGTGGTAGAAGTGAATACACTTGTCGTTGGAGCCACCTCCTGTGGCAAGCAGGCCTCGCCGCCATGGGCAGAAAGCAATCGCTTTGACCGCAGCACTGTGCCTCCACCGTTGTCTCTCGCTGCCACGAGGAAGCGATCTCACCGTCGTGTCAGGGGTGCTGTTGTCGGCGACAATCTTGTCGACGTCGAAAAGGCAGCAGAGGTTGTCATTGCCTCCTGTGGCAAACTGTTCTCCAAAGTTGGACCAGGCAAGCCCACAGACTTGCTGTGAGTGAACCTTGATGTGGGCAATGAGAGTGATGGCACCCGGCCAGTTGTCGCGGGCAACCTCCCAATTGTCCGGCCACTCGACCGCGTAGTAGTAGACATCGCCAGCCTCGTCACCCACGACCAGGTCTTCGGTCAACACGGTGGCACCAGATCCGAAAGGGTTGAGCGACTTCCTGGGAACCGGTGTAGGACGCCAGCTCACGCAGGCGACAGGTGAGGAGAGCGCGGTCTCTATGCGTGGCAGTAGGCGGTCGTACATGGACATGAGCATGAGAACACCATTTGATCGCCCAAAAGCTAGGATGGACTTTTCACCGGCTTCTGAGGAGAACGCCATTGAGGTCAGCCATGAGCTATCCCTGAATGCGCCGTTCAAGAGTATGACTCCCGTGGCCTCGTCCCAGCTGTATAGAAGGCCGCCCAGTCCAACTGCGAGGGTGTTGCTGTTTGAATCATACGCCATTATTGAGCAATAGAAGTCATCGCGAAGCCCTGGAGCATCAAGGACTCTTCAGTGTGTTAGTGAACCCTCCTAGTCCAGACCGAGGTAGCCCGGCCGATCGGACCACTTACTTGAACGGGGCACTCGGCAGCAAAGAGATCTTGTGCGGGTGACTTTGGACATGTTGACCTCCGTGCATCCATTCGACACCTGTCTAAGCCGTCTTTTGGTCAAGCCGGGATCTTGTCGTCGTCTTGCTTCGACAGCGCGGAAACGTGAGGCGGCCGTCGAAATCCAGCATTCGTGAGGCTCGATCCATCTTGAGCGCGAGAGCAAGCCGACCCTCGTGGTTCTCCTGATCCTGCTCGACTTGGGATCTGGCACTGGCAAAGGAGGTTGTATACAGGCGAGCATTGGTCCCGGCGCCGAGGAGGGAGCCGCGTCGACCCTCGACGGCCCTAGCGCTGGGAGGAACCACGCCGCCAACTGACTAGATGGTGCCGTGGCTGACCTGGCGATCGGGCGCCGAAACTGGCACGGGGCGGAGGTTGAGAGTAGTGCCAGCAATGCTTGGGCCAGGGTCGGCACTCCGAATCGCGCGTCTTGGTGGCAGCATAGCCGGGGCTGATTGAGGCGGGCGGTGGAGAAAGACATCGGGACCGGCATCTTCCGTGCGGCTCAGGCGCTCCGCGGGAGAGAGGACGAGCGGACTCTTGGTGGTGCGGAAGCGGTCAGCGAGCGGCTCGCGGGTCCTCGACGGGACGAAACGGTCTGGCGTGATGGGCGTCATCTGGGGCATGAAAGAGAAGGGTGGTGTATAAATGAATGATTGAGGCTAGCCCGGGACGATTGAGACTGGGGATGATGGCCGTGTCTACCCCCTACCTCGCCCTGTGACGCTGGCGATGAGGTTGGAAGCAGGCGGTGGGCAAACACGCCATGATATGGCTGGACCTGAGGACTGAAGAGAATCCATGCGGGAGGATGAAGACTTTTCTGGGCGAGGAAGGTGCGACTCGTGCACGGGTGCCTGTGCCGAGCACTTGAGGTCAAGGCTGAGGGGAGCTTGAACAACCAAGGTGCTGTACTCTGTCGAGGCCGTGACGATGCACTTACACGCGGCAGGTGGGAGTGAGAGCACAGCTGGTCAGCTGCCTAGAGCTAGGGCCCCGGATGCTTAGGCCCCACACACTTCACAAGTCCCCCGTCACTGAAGCTGGCGGCTCATGCCCCCTCCCATCAGCATCGACCAGCCTGCGGTCCTGCAACTCCCAGTCTGCCCATCTCCAATAGCCCGCAAACCCCCCAAGGCCAAGCTCGACAACGAGCCCCTGGCGCGACCACAACTCCGCCATGGCCAGCGTATGTTGAACCGCTTCGACCTCTCCTCCGTGCCAACAACCGCTGACCAGCATCCACACCCCCGTAGCATGGCGTGACGCGTACTGCCGTTTCCCGCACCGAGAAGCAGCGCCAGCAGGAGCTCGACAAGATCGCGACCTATCGCCAGCTCGAGGACGAGTTCCGCGCCGCCGAGGCCGCATACAAGGCCAGGCCCGAGCCAGCTGCCGACCCGACACTGCTCCAGCTTACGACACGCCTCCTGCGCCTCAACCCAGAGTATTACACAGTATGGAACGTGCGTCGACGCTGTCTAATCTATGGGTCATTGTCCAAACCCTCGGCTGGATCATGGCCCTCGAGGGCGTCGCAGAGTTCTTCTCAGAGCACCACTACCAGGCCGCCCTCCGAGGCCTCCTCGTCCTCTTCTTCGGCCGCGACCCTGCAAGGCCCCGCCTCCCCGACGACTGGGCCGAGTGGTACAACAGCTAGTGGGCCGGATGGCGACGCTGCTGTGCTGCGCGACGAGCTCGCATTCACTTTCCCGCTGCTGGTCGAATATCCAAAATGCTACTGGATATGGCAGTTCCGAGGCTGGGTCCTCGAAGAGGCAATCACTCGGTTGTCTGTGCCTGCCGCGCGCAAGATCTGGGAGACGGAGCTGGGCCTCACGTCCAAGATGCTGAGCAGAGATCGCCGCAACTTCCACGCGTGGAGCTACCGCCGCGAAATTGTGGCCAGGCTTGAGAGCGCAGCTCTTGCTGGAAACAGCATGGCCGAGGACGAACTCGACTACACGACACGCATGATTCGGGTCGACCTGAGCAACTACTCTGCGTGGCACGGACGGAGCTCCCTGCTGCCTAGGGTACTAGACGAGCGCAAAGCTGACGATGCAGCGCGCACCAGGGCACTGGAGGAGGAGCTTGCACTGTTGCAGGATGCATTGAACGTCGGGCCGGAAGACCAGAGCCTTTGGTTCTACCATCAACACATTATATCACAGATCGCCGACGTCGATTCGGGGCAGGGCCAAGGCAGCATTGCGCCGCGCCTATCTCGTGAGCAACGACAGGCGTATATCCAGCAGGAGATTGATTTCATTAAAGACCTGGCACAGGACTACGGGGACGTCAAGTGGATCTATCAGGCGCTGATAGGCTGCACGGCCGCACTTCGCGGACTAGGGGTCGGCATCAGCGACCAAGCAGAAGATCGGGAGGGGTGGCTTCAAAAGCTACGAGACACAGATCCGCTCCGCGCTGGGCGATGGCAGGACCTCGAGGCTTCAATGTAGATGATACGGAATACGATATTTCTTATGTGCGCGCGACTTGCGTTTCAGCGGCGCCCCGAATCTAAGCACCGCACTTGCTCCGGACGAGGCTGGCGTTCTTGCCCACCAGCCCATCAAAATAAGCCAGCAGCGTCTCGGCGGGCAACATGTCCATGAGACCGAGACTGGGGTTTGACGACCTGAGCACCTTTCCGCCAAACAGGACCCTCACATGCCACAATCCAGTCTTGACCTTCTGCCAGAGCTCAAACACAATCTCTGCGCCCATCCCCGGCCAGACCATGTGGTCGATCTGAAGCACACTGAGCAGCCGGCTGGTCGACCCGTCATGCGCAAAGTTGTGCAGATACAGCAGGCCGTCCCCGTTCCCAGTACCCTCCATCTTGCCCCGCAAGTGCGACGCCAGCTCGGCGATCCAGACGCCCAAGCTCGCCGCGCTCGCGGCCAGCGTCTCGGGCCCGGCATCGCGGTAGATGTGCGAGTACTCCCACTGGCCGAGCCTGTACACGGCATCGGCCTGGGCCTGGGTCACACACTGCTGTGCAGGACTTGTGCCCTGCTGCCCACCAGCCTTGCACGGGAACGGCTTTGCATGACACTGCCGCGCGGACAGGTTATCATAGTAATGATCGAAGCTCGCGTGGAAGCCCAGGTTGTCATTGTTCGGATCCAGGCCCGCGATCGGGTCGAGCTGGGCGTACAGCGGCGCAGCGCGGGCCAGGTGCTCTGCCCAGCGGGCGTTCTTGGCCGGTGATTTTATGCTGCTGAACAGCGAGGACGCGGTCGGGCACGAGTACTGCGGCTCGAGCGAGTCGATGCCCGTGGCCTGGATGAGGAGCGGGACGGCCTGCGCGGTGAGCGAGGGGAACATGCCCCCGATGAACATGCCTGCTACTTGCGAGGTGATGACGTTGTTGGTCACGCGGAAGGCGACGTCGCCGCGTGGGGACTTGGTCGTGGCCGGGAGGAAGTTGAGCAGGTCGTGGTACACTGCGTACAGGTCCCGGCCGTGGACAAAGCTGTCGTCCAGCCCGCCCGCGGTGATCTGCGGGAACTGGCACGTGCCTTGCCAGCCTTTCGGGGTGAACGGATTGATCGGGGAGATTGTGCCGCGCCAAAAGGCGGCGGCGGGCTGATGAGATGGGTCCTGGTGGTGGTGTCCTGGTGGACCTGCCGGATACGGACCGCCGGGAGCCGGAGCCGGAGCGGCGCGTGGACGGGGCGGACGGATGGGTCCGCCGGGTGGTGGACCATCACTGGACTCGCCAAAGGGCGCGCCGTAGTAGAACAGGCCTTGGTCGTCACAGTTCCACGGGTAAGGCTCGACGGGGAAGGAGTTGCTCGCATAGGGCGTGCGCTTGTGGTGGCGCTGCATCTGCATAGAGAAGCGGGAGGTGTTAGTTTGGATGGCCTTGGGAACGAGAGAATGGAACCAGAGAATCATGGGTCCAGGCTTGTAGTTGATAATAAGTCGACTTACCACCTCCACGTACTTGAGGACGTACTGGCCCTTTGGCGGTACGACATACTCGGTCTTGCGCGCATGGGGCATGTTGCACCAGTTGTACGTCGAGTAGTCCACTCCAGCGGGCGTCTGGGAGCTATTGAAGATGAACCCGTACGCCGCGTTGGCCGGGTCGAGCGCCGCCGTGAGGTTGTTGATCTGCGAGCTGCTCGGCGGGTACCAGTTGAGGTCGACGGTCTGCGCCGCAGCAGCAGCAGCAGCAGGCGAGGCCAGGATTGTCGAGGCGAGTGCCGCTGCTGTTACCGCCATTTTGTGGACGGCAGGGCTCACGGGCCGAGCTTGGACTGGCGAGAAGGGCGGCAGCATGTTGGTGGTGATGGGGTCTTGGTATCCGCTCTGCAGGCTTGTCAAGGCCGCAATGACTTGTTGTGGCGGCTGGGCGGTTGCTGCTCGCGTGAGGAGCAAGGAGAGCAAAACGATCTGGGGTGTCATGGCCTTTTTCAAGTGCCACGATCCCAACCTGGCGGGCCTGAACGTGTCGCCGTCGGTGACGATGATGATTGCAACGTCATTCGAAGCCGGCCTCCACTGGCAAGGCACGTGGGAGCGGCCACGGCCCCGATGTGCCGTCAATCCTGGTTCTTCGTGACTTGTGCGAATCAGCAAAAGCTTTGGGTAACATGCCACGCCATCAATGCCCTGCGTGATCTGCGGGCCGTGGATGGAAATGGTCTTGACTGATAATGTCGACGCCAGGAACAAGGGGACTGGACTGGGGGATCTTCCCCGCCCACGCGCTAGATAGACCCTACAACGCCACCTCTGGGAGCCACGTTGGGCGCGGCAGCCCGCCGACTGGCTCAGGCAACCGGCGCCCTTCAGCGGAGTTCCCACTGTGGCTTTCAGGGGTCCCTGTGCTCTAGCTTAGCCTTGGCTCTGTTTCTGCGGGTGCTGGAGCTATCGTGCTGGTTGCCATTGAGCCTAGCTGATAACCTCTTTGTGTTCAACACACGTGCATGCCCACAGAATCTACGACACGAGATATTCTCTGTCCCAGACTACTCATCGGCCTCGTCATCTGTAGAGTATTAGTAGTACGCAAAATTCAAGCATCAGACACGTGGTACGCCACTTCGCCAAAGTCGTTGCCATTCACACCAGAGCAATGAGGAAGGCTCTGGCGAATGGCGAACGCGCAACAATTTCAAGGGGTAGTGACCGATGTCCAGGTGCAGAGCCAGCCAAGGATACAGGGAAAAACCACAAACTGCAGCTGATTTTGCATCGTGCTCGTCCGTTCTTGTGGGGCTGATTCTTAGTGTAGTGCTCACACCTCCTGTCAAAGAGGAACCATCACTTCCGTTCTGATTGATAGTCGCTGTAGCTAAGAAGCCCCCCTCTTGCTTCTGATGCCCAGCCTCCCCAGGAACCCACTGCGCCGATTCCGGCCCGCGGGCTCACTTTCGTCAAGCACTCCGACCCGCAGCGCCGGCTTGTACTTCTCCAGCAGATACCGGCGGTGGTATTTGTCAAACTTCTTGGTCGCGTCCTTGCCGGCGACGCCGAGCAGGACTTTTTTTGTTCCAAGTTAGCGTGTCTATCATGCAAAGTTGCAATGTGGCTCACTTGTCCTCTTGGATGTAGAATCAAGACAAATATGCGGGGTTCAGCTGATCCGGTGACAAGGAAGCAGACAAACAAGATACGTACTCTTGGCACCACCGGGGTGCTTGACTGCAAAGTCGGTGCAGTCGTACACGTCGTTGTCAATCGCGATCCAGCAGTCTCTGGCGTGGTTGTGCAGCGCAACCTCGCGGAGGGTGAACTTCTTCAGGGCTACGGGAGGCGGCGCGGGGCGGGAGGCGTCCGCTTCGGCCGCTGCAGGGTGCTCACCGGGCGTTGGGACCGGCGCCGACTGGACGGTCTCGAGCGAGTCGACGGGATCGGCCTCGCTAGCTTCGCCGGCTTCGCTCGGCAACAACAGTGTGGGGAGCTTCAAGAGATTTCCGGGTGGTTGTGGCGGCATCTCAGAATTTGTGGGAAAGGCGCCGGTCGTCGTTGTAGCAGTGGGAGTGGTGGCCGTGGTGTACTCTTCGAGTTGGCTTCTCTCAAGGGTCCCTTTCGGGTCGACTGAGATGGGGGCCCGTTGGCCATCTGGGTTGGTCTGTGGTGGCCGACCGGCGGGTTGTTGCTTAGTTGTGGGCGTATCGCGTTCAACAGGCGAGAGCCGCAGCCATGACTGGCTGATGCTGCTTGATGATACGGCCGCGATCTCGACGTGGAATGCCGTTGGCTTTTGGAAATGGTTCGGTGAGCCGATGCGAGCTGCGGGGGTGAGTCTCAGCGGCTCCATCTCCTTTGCGGCCGTGGCGGAGCGCGCGGCGGCTTTCAGTGTTCTCAACCTGGAATATCTCCGGTGAAATGTTGAAGCTCTGGGGCCTGCGACACTGTCGTCTGCGACTTGATTTCCCTAGCTCCGGGTGGTCTGAAGGCCGTGTGCTTGGTGTCTGCGTGCTCGAGGATGAGTGCTAGATTGTCGTCGTGAGACTGCGATAGTTCAGAAGGAGGACTACTTGTTGGCCGACGATCTCAATGACGACGAAGTTGGTAACAATGGCCACGCTTACAAGCGTGCGAGTCAAAGAAGGGTCCCGAGCAAGTCTTCTGAGGTTGCGCTGAGCCTGATTCGTAGAGCATGGCACTCCGAGGTGGTGATCAAGCAGCGGGCACTTCCAGGATTCTCTTGTGCTGTCAAGCGGGGTTGCAGAATGTGACTGTGCAAGAAAATCTTGTGATTGCAGGGACCAGATGAAGGATGAAGTAGAAGCAAAGTGTTTGTACCCTTGCGGCGACCTCCCGAGAGCCATGAATCTGTCCTGGGCCAACTTAGTACTACCTTTTGATTGCTACGCCAGGCTGCCACTGTTATCCCGCGCTTGATGTGGCATACAAGTAAGTAACCGCCATCTTCAGGCCCTGGTCGCGTTTCCTGTTCTCTCGACGGACCACGTAGTCTTGCGTCGAGAGCGATTTGCCGAGTAACCCCATCTCATACAACAAACGGTTCCGAGTTCCACGACACCGAGGCACGCGGCAAGTGGGGAACACTGATTGTGGTTCATTCCCCGGACGGGTGCGTTGAGGGGAAGCCTGGTGTTACGCCAGGGGGCAAGGACCAGCCTAGGAATGCTTGGTTGGTGGCGTACGTTCCAGCATCGTCGCTGGGAACAACTGACCGTGGTCACTCCGGCAAGCACTAACACATGACCATAAAGGCGGGAACTCCAGATTGATGACATCCCGTCAAATCCAATTGGAAAGTCGCAGGACGATTTAAAGATCATAATGCATAGCATCATTCCGCGTGCACCTCTATGTTATTCATTCATATCACGTCCAACGTGCCGATCGAGCCAACAGAGGCTGTCATCTCTCTTCAATGTATTACAGCAGGCTTGACAGGCTGTTGGTGATTCGTTGCAGGACAGAGTCTTTTGCGTGGCGGGTCTCAATCGGCACTGGGCAGCATAGCTTGATAGATCCCGGATGTGATGCTGGGTGAGTAGGTTTGGTTACAGCTGCTACGATGTGTGCCCTACAAGCACCCACCTGTACACGAGGCCTTATCAAGCATGTAGCACTTTCCGAGCTCACAAAATACGATGGGCTTCGACTACTGGAGTGTTACTTGTGTTGGAAGAATTCCCTCGAAGAGAAAACCGACCTTGTCGAAGGCGCTCGTATCTCGTCCTCGCCCGAAGCGTCATGACAAAATCCTGGCAGAAGGATGCGCCAAAACAGGGACGACAGCTTGTGCATGATCATGAGGACTTACAAGCCAGGCTGCCTAATCTCAACTACAGGCTCAATCAGTGAAGTTCACCAGATCACTAGAACCCATCCAACGGCCCCACAACTCCCGCACCAAAAGCTCTCAACTGAGGGCGTCCACGAGGAGCGAATTGGTTTCCCAATTGGGCAGCAGCTAATCCTCTGAGCCAATCACGCCTCACTGACGGCGTTGACGATCGCTGCCTTCGGCCTCTCTTCCAGCGTGCCATGCCGAGGTCGGCTCCGAGGCGGAACGAGTGCCGAAGCCGACAGTCAAGCCTTGACGATGGCCTCTGTAAGCCGCCAATGGGCAACCACTTGGCAGAGTTTGCCTTGCCCGGCGCTATTTGACCCGCGAAGCTGCTGTGGTCCAGGCCTTTCTATCGATTAGTCGTTGCAGAGTGCATTCCCGTTTCTCAGAACACCTTGGACAGCTAGCTACTTGCACGGTGAATAATGTCGCCATTTAAACCGTGACGCGACAAGCCGCGATGGTCTTCGGCACACCTTTCTGCAAGTACCAAGATTCAAAAACAAGTCACCTTGGCTTCTCGGCCCGGCACTTCGCACCTGTCGTATAGAACGAAACAACATGGGCAGTCGACAACTCAGCATGGCGGAGGGAAGACAACCCGCCCTGTTGGTCGAGAGAGACCAGCGAGTAGAGGCAGGGGCAGCATACACGCATCTGGCTAAGAAAGCTTGTACAAGAATAGTCTTCGGTGTTGTTCACAGGTCATACATATGAACTCAAACGTCAGGCTCGGTTCTGGCAAGGACCATGGTACATTGGTTCCATCCTCGAAATTTCGCAACAAAGCAGAGCCACTCAACTGACCAACGTAATGGTCATTTACATGGAGTAATGCAGGAACCCGAGCAGGAGCAAACTTGGAAGCGCTGGCGCGCTTGCGCCAACACCACTGTTGTGTGATCATCTATTTGCAAGAGCCAACCAACACGAACAAAGGCACATGACCACACAAAGAGCGGCTCTGCCCTTGGACTCGCGACTCGGCGTTGCTCCTGGAATGGCAGCACCGCACATCCAGCATTGCTTCCTTGCCATCAATGCTCTTGCCGGCGCTGCTCGTTCACCACATTCTTCTCGCTGAGAGACACGGCTCTCCTTTTTGGCTAGGATCACAAAGGAACACGCCCAGCTCTTTTTTCCAGACAGACAAGATGGTATGCCCAACGGTCCACCTACACCATCTCGGTGATGATGCCCCCATCGACATGCCTGCAGGACTTCATACGGCCATCAGCGAAGCCTCCTCACCAGTTCAGAACGAGAAGAACGAGGCACACTTGTCCCCCACTCTCCGTCAGAACGAACCCCACCAACAGAAACAAGATGTCCTGCATCGCCAGCCCAGCAGCAGAAGCGATGGCCGGCTCACCGTAGCGGAGTGGCTGTCGCCCGACTTCACCCCGAAGTACATGAACCTCATCATCCAGGAGTCGGTGATCCTGGGCGCCGGCGCGGCCGCCATCCTCCTCCAGGTCGCCGAGCCCGGCGTCGCCGCAGGCGTCAACGAGCACAGCAACTTTGCGGAGCGAGTGGGAGACCGCCTGCGCACGACCATGACATATGTGTACTGCGTAGGATTTGGCACGCCATCCGAGAAGCGCGCCATCGCGAACGCAGTGACGCGAGTGCACAAGCATGTCAACGGGGTGCTCAACGAGGGAGAGAGGAAGAAGAAGGGCCAGCGGTACAGCGCTCTCGATCCGGAGCTCCAGCTCTGGGTCGCCGCAACGCTGTACTACACCGGGCTCGACATCTACCAGCGGGTGTTCGGCCCCATCGAGGACGAGCATCTCCATGAGGAGATCTACCATGAATATGCCGTCATCGCCATCTCCCTGCAGGTGCCGCCCGAGATGTGGCCGCGCGACCGCCGCGCTTTTCTCGAGTACTGGGACGCAAAAGTGGCCCAGCTGCAAGTCACCCAGCACGCGCGAGAGGTCGCCAGGGACCTGCTCTACCTCCCCAGGGCCCCTTGGTACCTGCGTGTCCTGACGCCGAGTCTGCGCTGCTTGACGGCCGAGCTGCTGCCGCCCAGGATCCGCGAATACTTTGGCCTCCGCAGCAACAGTTTCTGGTATCATGTGCACATGCTGGGCCTGAGGGCCGTGTACAGGTGGCTTCCGCTCATGGTGCGCAGCTTGCCGGTCCGGTACTACTTGTGGGACATGCGCAGGCGGCTGAGCTGCCACCGGCCCGTGTTCCACAAAGGCATCGGTAGCTAGCTGATCGACATGAGGGCTAGGAGGAGGCTAAGGAACCTCTTGGTTCCCGAGAGGGGCGGCGAGAGCAGTGTCCGGGCAGACAAGAAAACTGGTCGAGACTGTATCACTGGGCTGGACAGCCGGATAGCATCTGGGGCTTTGCAAGAGTATTATCACTTTATGTCTACGATCATTTTGGAGTTTTCCTGCTGTTGCGCATGTTTTTGCCTTGCTTATCTTTCGCGTTCTGTGTGCAGATAGTGAGCAGGCATCATCAACTCTATTTGATCAAGGGTTTTCCTCGTTCCGCTCATCGTTCCACCAAATGCCATCCATCTCCAAGGCAGGGCCTTACAACAAGGCGTAACCCACAGCACCAACAAGGCCCGCGGCACCCGCGACTGCTGCCCTCCTCGCAGCCTCCGGGATCGGCGCAGGAGCAAGCGCGGAGCTCGTGACTGACTGCACCGCGGCGGCTGTTTCTTGGGTGGCTTTAGTCCACGCCTTGTCGCCGGTATGTACTGTGCCGGCCACGTTTTTGAGGAACGTTCGCAATTCTGGCGATAGCTCCTGGTGACATCCATCAGCCTTGCGCGTCATGAACGTGGGGACAAGAAAGTGACGAGCATGCCCCGATGAAAGGGGAAAATGAAAGAGAAGAAGGACGCAGACATACCTGATACCAAGCCGGCGTAGAGCCAGACGCAAAATCCGCCGACACGCTGGCACGATAGGACGTGTTCATGAGCTGCACGAGGACTGATGGCGGGATGGCTGTGTATATCTGGGCTTTGAGGACCTCCGGAATAGACAGGCCCACGGTCGTAGTTGGGCTCGGGAGCATAGGCCCGAGGCTGGTGATGATGTCTAGGTAGTTATTGCTGGACGGCAGGTTCGGTCAGTTCAGTAACCCTCACAAGCAGCAAAAAAGACTAGAACGTACAGGAGGCTGGAAACGTAGGGCACGTTAATGAATGGTTGCGTTGTCCCTTTTGTTGTTGATGATGCGGGAAGGGATGTTCTTGCTGGCGTGGGCGCGGAAGTGGTTTGTCGTTCTTTGACCTGGGCGTTGTTGGCATCGCTGGCGAAAGCAACTGCCATCAATAATGTGGCTACTAGAAGGAGCAAATGCATGGCTGACCATGTACTAGCAAGCACGGCCGTGAATATCTAGAAGCACTTGACAGAAGGAACCGCGGGGCGTAGTCATGAGATAAGAGAGAAGTTTGTCTAGCGACTGGTTTCCACGAGCTAATGCCACACTTCAAGGTTAACAAACCAACGCTGCAAGGTCTGTCCGTCGGGTATCCAGCGCTGGCATTAGCGGCCCCTTGGCCGACACTTACAGAATCAAAGACCCAGGCACACAGGAGTCCCACCTGCTTCCGCGAACCAATCCTGCATGGACTTTCCTGACAGGGTGACTTATCGTGAGATCGGGCTTTGAAACCTCGAGCCCCAACACACACCTGGCAGGCCTGTCAGTGTTTGAGGTTGCAGCAGCACCCTGATGTAGTGGTGCACATGCAGGGGTCCCACCAATATTGCCCTTAATATCGTCCTCGAGATGGGCCCGTCAGTGCAAGAGGCCGCTTTCTTGAGAGGAACCAAGTTGAGCGGCAAGAACTTCACAATGGGAAGCATTGAAGAACACCGAACTAAAGCAAGGAGTCGTAGTCGAGTTATGCAATTATCCAGCGGCAGCGGCGGTGACACGATGAGCCATAGAAGCAACACGCAGGTGATCTCTCCTTGACCACAGCCACAGGGAGTGAGCCACAGCCAGAGTCGACGGGCAGGGCTGCAATAGCTCGCAGGTTTCAGAGTCAGCCCAAGCCGGAATGAGGCTTTGCATTGCAAACTTTCGGCGGCCGCGGCCCTTCACTTTATGCCTGACGGGAAGGCGTGTTTCGTCACTCCCGCCATGGCTGTGGACAAATATCCCAAAGAGGCAGGCCCCTAGAATCTGACACGCGCTGACTGCCGGCATGTGCACAGCGCCCACTGGCACGCTGTGATTGCGGGGGAACGTGGCTAATGCCGCAGGGGCGCCCTGGGGGCCAGGGGCTGCTGTCAAATGTCTTTGGACTTCAACCTGGCGCAACAACACCATGTCGTGGTTATCTGTGTGACAAGTGTAAGAGAAGCTACTGTGTGGCAAATATCCCTCAATCTTGGGTTGCCGGCTTGACACAATCAAGCACGAGCGGCTTGGAACGCAAGTGCAGCGCCCGTCGGCAATAGGGCTGGTTCGCAGCACGCATTGCGAGTAAGTGGCTAGTGAAATAGACTGTTTTTCCGCCTGGGAAGAGTGATGGGACGGTCATGGAGATGGCGTAGACCGATGCAGCTACTTTGTAGAATCACCCAGGGACGTGCGGCTCAAACCGGTGGCTTGGGCTTGGGCGGAGCCGGAGCCCATGATCGCTGCCCAGGACATGCCCCGGGGGTTGCTCCATCAGGGGTGCAACCCCTCGACCCTCATCCACTCTCAACTCCTCCCTCACTTCCACTCAGATCGGAACGAACCCAGAGCAGCTGCGGCGACGAGGCCTTCCTTTATGGAAATCCCTTGCGAACAGCGTCGATCAAACTTTGCAAGGGTACTCCGCCAATTACGGGATGCAGGTTTCCGCTGTGTCGGATCGTCACAGGTGGCAAGGATGTTCCGGCAACTGCTGATTTAAGGTATGCTTGGATCGTGGTTATTGCGCCCTCAGGATCTCCGATCTGGAAAGTAAAGTACCTGAGTGTCGGGATTGCACAAGGGGCTCTTCTCCCTTGGCCGCCGAGACTCTCGATATCTACCAATCCTATCCCGCGTGCCGTGCTTCATCTCGTGATCCCACCACTTTTAACTCTTCATCGACCATACGCTGTTTTGAGGCCGGACCAACTCTGACGATACTGCTCGCCCACTTACAACCAATATATCCATAAGAACAAAGATAATTTTAATTCCGCACAACAACCCTAATCACCAAGATGAGGACCATCTCAGCATTCACCATCGCCATGGCGATCCTCATGCCTGCCACGATCCTCGCCACAGTCGTGCACCCCTCCTCCTCCGCTTCCTCCCCGTATCCCGACGACGACGACACAATGCACGCCACAGCACTCCTCGAAGCGCGACAAAACCTTGGCACGACACTCTCTCAGCTCAGCGACCTGGTCTCCATCCTCAACCAGATCGTGACCTCGCTCAAGCCGCAGTTCTTCGAGGACATGAGCACCCTGATCACCGGGCTCGCCGACCTCATGGCGGCGCCTCTGCCCGCGCAGCTGCGCGGCCTGATCAACACGGCCACCGACCTGCTGGGCGGGCTGGGCCCCGTGCTGAGGTTCATCGGCAAGATCGACTTTGCGAGTCTGACGGAGTCGGCGCAGGGCCTGTTTGAGCCGCAGTTTGTCGCCGACAGGGTCAAGCTGATGAAGGATGTGTCGGGCTTGATTACGACCCAGTTTATCCAAAAGGTTGTTGACGTGGTTGATGAGCTAGCTCCTGTAAGTCGCTGCTGTTTGTCCGTTTTGTGCTTTGTGAACGAGTCTTTCTGTTATTGGGGAAGTTGCCCCCGGAATTCAGAGAGGCTTCCGCCCTTCTCCTCATACCATGGTCTACTTACTCCTTCTTTCTCTGTTGCTTGCCGCATCGTAATTCCAGAACGAACCGTGTGCCCAGGACAACTGACTGACCAACCACTTTCCAACTTCCACAGCTCATCGCAGCAGTATCACAATTCATAACAGCCCTCATCGCCTCGTTCATCGGATGAGCCGCTGGCCGACCACCCATCTCGCACACACACACACACATATATACACACACACACATATATATATATACATATCTACATACACACCTGGGTACATATACACTTAGGCGCTTGCCCAGTCCCGGCCAGCGAGGAGCGAGGGAAACCAGACCACCATCAATCAAGCAACTGAACAAAACAGGCAGGCTACCCGCAACAAATTTAACAGGATATCTCCAACATCGTCACGATCGAGTCTTACATCGTTGATAGTTTAAAATTTATCCCCATACAGCATGAACCAAGAAAGAGAGAGAGCAAGGTCTTCCTCCTTTCCATCCTCGGCTCGCCCCGATCAGATCATGGCCTCCATACATGAGAGGGTGTCTCATGAGAGAGAGAGTGAGAGAGGGGGGGGAGGGGGGGAGGGGGGGAGGATACAAACTCATCTCCTTTTCAAAACACTGGAGCACGCATTCGGTCGTTGAGCCGACCCTACTCAGCCACTACGCCCCCCCCCCCCCCCCCCCCCCGCCCCTTAAATCAATCACGGCTCTTCACCTAAACATGTGCACAAGCTTCAAGAGCGAGGAACAAGGGACCGACGACAGCCATACGCGTAAGGTAGAGAGAGAGATGTGTGTGACGCTGGTGAATTTGTTCATTTCCTCCACCCTTCCCCGCGCTGTGCCCTTTTCAAAACATACAATTGCTACTTTCTTTTTGCGAAATCGAAGATCTGCTTTCATGAGTAGTCGAGAAAACCCCCACGCTCTGTCCCCTGGCTGCCCACAAGCCCAAAAACATTAATGACTTCAATGCCGGCCCTCAATTTACAGAGCGCTGAGACATAAAACAAACAATAATACGCCCAGTGCGCCAAGAGAGAAAGAATTGATACCGGGCCGCTCCGAGTAGACTTCGTAAACACAAGCAGGGGCCGTGTCAGAATGTGGTGCCGTGCTGCGCAGCGCGTAGCAGCACTTACGCGCCCGACAAAGCGCCCGACGCCATGAAGCAGTTCTTCAGACACCGAAACTCTGACACGCAAGCCAAGACGACGTGAACAATCAAAACTGCGCATATGCCAAGGTGTGCTCTGTCAGCTCATTCAGAAAATTGCGCGCAGGAGTAATCCAAAAGGCTGCTGTCAGACATGAACGCCGTGATGCTTGGAAACGATGAAATACAGCGCGCTGCGTAAGACACTCGTGTTTAGTCGACAGATTGTTCGTCATGGCAAAGGACCCTCTAAGCGGGGTTGCCCTTGGCGCGCTTCGCCATGCGTGGCGTCGCAGGCTTTTTCGCAACTCCCATGCCATTGACTTGGCCTCCGGCAGCTATCGCATTGCCGCCGTCGTCCTCTGTCTTGACCCCGGACGGCCGCCTCCGCTTGTTGCTGGCAGGGCTCGTGTTGGCGCTTGGTCCGCTAGAGCTCGTGCCCTGTTGACTGGCTTGCAGCTGCATGGCAGGAGCCTGCATCTGACCTTGAGCCGGGCTACCAGTGTTCGCGATGTGCGGCGACCCTGGGAGGGCCATGTGCGCCGCAGCTGGCGAGGCCCCCATACCGAATTGACCAAAGCTTGGTGTCCGGGGCTGCTGGGGGATGTTGCCCTGGCCATTCGCCATGGCTACCTGACCGCTGGCAGAAATGACGGTGTTGACGTATTGCTCGAGCGCCGCATATGGGCCGACACCCGGGTTTGCTTGCGTTTGGTGGAACAAGGGCTACGGAAAAATTAGTTAGGTGCCGTGGGAAACCGGCTTGCTTCGCTCTGGGAGGTAACTTACGGTCATGTACCCCATAACCTCACACATCTGCGCATGATTCGTGTTAGTTGGTCTGCTCGACTGAATGGGTTCTGTGGATCGGAACTCACCTCCAAAAACGGGGACACGCCCTTGGGCACTCCTTGGCGTGTGATGATGGTTTCCGACAGCGCAATGTCGGGTGGCGGCCCGGGAGGAGACTTCATCGTCTTGGGTTTCGGTTTCTTGCTCATCTCGGGAGATTTGGCCCCGGGAGCAGGGTCATTCAGGTTCTTCCACTGCTTGCCCCATTCGTGAGACGGCTTGGCCGCCTCAAGGACAGAGGCATGGGCGAGGAACTCGTCGTGACTCGTAATGTTGAACTCGAAAAGTTGAAATTTCTGTTCACCGTCGAAGTGCACGCGCAAGCTGCCGTGCCAGACGACATGGGAGTCGTCCATCCACTGGATGAACGATGACTTGCCATTCTCAATGTAGTGTCCGTTGCCGGGGAGGCCCTTGTCAACAGTGCCCTTGCCCAGAGTTAGTGTCATGCTGCGAATACCACCCTCGAAGCTGAGCTGGAAGAAACGCGCCAATGCGACTTGAGGGATGTCAAATTGCGGCAGGTCGTGGTGTTTCGAGCCATCGCCACAGTCGATTGGTTCTGTCTTGAGGGGTATTAACCGGAACGTTGCCTGTTGCGAGAAGAATTGGTTTACGAAAGCCTGCCAGTATGCCGTGTCATCCTTGGCACTGCCAGCTGGGGGCCCGCTGAGGTGCTCGTTGAACTGCATCAGTTTGAGCAGGCATTGACCCTTCACCATGTTCTCGTTCTTTTGCTGCTGCATCTGCTGCAAATTGGCCATCTGCTGCTGCTGGACTGCGAGCAGCTGGGCATTTTGCAGCTGTGCCTGGCCCGCTTGTTGCATTTGTTGCTGCCCAGGAGCCGCATTCGGTGGCTGAGCCTGGGGAGCGCCCTGCTGTGGTTGTTGGGGCCCGGCCGGCGCGGGCTGTCCCTGCTGTGGTCCCGGCTGTCCTTGCTGGGCTTGCTGCTGGGCTTGCTGCTGGGCTTGCTGCTGCTGCTGCTGCTGCTGAGCCTGAGCTTGGGCTTGAGCCTGCGCCTGCGCCTGCGCCTGAGCTTGGGCCTGTTGGGCCTGAGCCTGTTGCTGCTGGGCCTGTTGTGCTGCCTGTTGTTGTTGTTGCTGCTGCTGCTGCTGCTGCTGTTGCTGTTGTTGCTGCTGTTGAGGGGCAGACTGGGCAGGACTTGGCCCGGCGCTCTGTGGCTGGCTTGTCTGTGCCATAGCAGGCGTCGACACTCGCTGTGGTGGCTGGGTCGTTGACTGTGGCTGCTGCTGCTGCCCTGGCTGCGGAGGCTGGCCCTGGGCTTGACCTTGGTTCTGCGCAGCATGCTGCGCTTGCTGCTGCGACTGTTGCTGGGCCATGTGCTGCGCGGCGATATGCTGTTGATGTGCCTGTTGTTGCTGCAACGCTTGCATCTGCTGCGGCGTCATCTGCGGATGTCCTGGCTGGCCGGCGTGGTTCATCTGGTTGTTGGCAGCTTGCTGGGCCGCCTGCTGTTGCTGCAGTGCCATGTGCTGCGCCATTTGTAGCTGGGTGCAAGGAATCAGCGTTAGCTGCCAGACATGAGACAATCTCGGGGACGCTGCCTACCTGTGCTTGCTGCATGACTTGTGGGTTTTGATGTTGTCCTTGCTGGGCAAGGTGTGCCTGCTGCAGGTGCGGCGGCAGCGAGACCTGGCGCATACCGCCATTCCTCATGGCAGCGAACTGGTTGATCTGCTGCTGGTTCATGGGGACGTTGACGGGCATGCCATTTGGTTGGGTCATTCCGCCGTACATCTGCTGTGCGACCATAGCCTGTTGTCGTTGCGCCTGAAGCATCCGCTGCTGCTGCAGAGCTAGGATGTTTGGTGATTGTTGCGCCGCCACTATAATCACAGAGGGTCAGTGTATCTAGTACCACACTCCATGGTTGACGTTGTGCTTCTACGAGAGAACATACTGGCAAACTGCTGTTGCTGCTGTTGGAACATCTGAGGGTTTAGATGTTGGAGCGCATGAGCATTAGGGCCGCCCGCGCCAGGAGGCATGCCACCCATGAGGGCTGCTGCGTTGACCTGTCCACCGGGACCCGACACGCCGCCCATATGAGCCATGTGCTGGGGCATGCCGGGCTGCGCACCAGACTGGCTCGGGTTGTGCGCCATACCGGGCGCCATAGGGTGCCCGCCAGGCACACCAGGATGTTGCTGCATGCCTGGGTGGAAACCGGCTGGTCCCATCGCCTGCATCATGTCTGGGATGGTGGGCTTTCCACCAGACTTGTGGTCGATGCTGGCGATTGTTGGTTTTCGTGCTTCGCGCGAGGCTCGAGTATCGCGATCCTGCGGTTGTGGGAGAGGGGTGATTCGAGCCGGGGGCGCACAATCAAGCCGTGGCGTTCAAGACGGTCACTTCAGTGCACGATGCGAGGCGCTTCCATATGGCAAGCTGACGGCGTTTGGGGAGAGTCGTGGCAGCGCAATGGCGATGGTGGGAGCTGGGAGCCAGGACGGACGGTGGTCGGACTGGTCCTGGAGGCGCGGAGACGCGAGAGGCGGCGAAACAGGGATCGAGCGAGGTGGTCGAACAGATCGCGAGAAGGGCGTGCACGGTCGGGAAGAACCTGCGATGGCTCTGATGGCGCCGCTGCAGAGGGTGTGCGGATCGTGCGGATGACTCGGACACGGGAGAGGGCGACGAGGAGCAAGTGGTGCGAGACAGGCGCGGCAGCGACCGACCAGGGCGAACAGGGCAACCGACTGCACACAAGGCGGATGGTGCGGCGCAGATGGGAAGAGTGGACTCGCGGAGGGGAGGATATGGTTAGAGACAAGGCCGGCGGAGGAATGCGCACGCGCAAAAGTAAGTCTTGGGGAATGAGGCTGTCGTGGACGACGTCGTCGCTGCGTGGGAGTCGCTGATACGCGCGCGGCGAGTGGACTGGACTGGACTGGACTGGGCTGGCGGCGGACGGAGCTGGGCAGACAGAGAGAACAGACAGGGCAGGCAGGGCAGGGCAGGGCAGGGCGAGCAGCGGCGGGCGGGTGGGAGCGGCAGCGATCGCCAGACTGGGCAAGAGCAGAGCAGAGCAGGCCTGGCCGGGCTTGGGCCCAATGTTTATCTGGTGGACCGTGTGCAGCAGAGCGAGCAGCCACATTCAACCAACACCCGCGCACGCAGGCCTGGGGGTGGGGCCCAGCACCCATGGTACATACTGTATGTAGCAGAGCGGGGCCGCCATGATTTCATACTGTCCAACGTGATCGTGTACATACATCCCCTTCACTGGGGAGTGCCCAAGGAGCAACCTGTCGTGCGGTATGGCGTCTTTGGCCCGGCCAGGAGGTTTACCCGTCATGCAGAACCTCGAGGTCATCCTATGAGGGGTGGCGCACGATGGGCTCTCTGGTCAGACTCCTTCTGGGGGAGACCTGGGGATTGGTGGTGGTGCCGGGTAGCTCCAGTGGCCGACAGTGCGGACTGAGGATGACAGTATGAGCATCTTGTGCACTGTACGCGTCTGTCACAGGTTGGCAGGCGGCCAGGGTCCTTCCAGATTACATGTCCCTTTCTGCCACCTCACCTGGGCAGGCACGGCCAGGCACGCCCGCCCACTACCGTGCGATCGTCCCGGCCGTGATCCGCGTAGGCTCTGCGACAGCCCTCTGGCCGACAGGAGACGCGACGAAACACGGCCTGCTAAATAAAGCGTCATGGTCTGCTCTTCTCAACATCCTGCGACACGCACGCGGTGCAAACCCGCCACGCCTCTACCTCGCCGTCGCCTCGCTCCTACTCCTGCACAAATAGTCCCGCTCTCGGCCTGGCCTCCATCCCTTCGGCTCGTAGGGGTCCCTCCACCGACGGATAGTGGAGATGCGATAGCATGCACCCAACAACGGTGGCCTCAGAGAGGTCTGGATGGCCCGGGCCTTCTGACGGGATATGGCGAGCTCATCTGGCCGGCCCACCCGAGACCTCACAGCCGTCGCATCATTGATAGCAAGAGAGCACCGAGACATCGGCCCACAGACTAGCATCGCACGTTGATCCCTTGAAGGAGGCTTCAATGCACGTGGCTTGGGGGCCGGCATGCCATCGGTCAGCGATGCAGCGCAATCCTCGCGACAGCTTCCCATGCTCCGTGGCATACACGACCGGCAACCCCTCGGACATGGCCCGCCTCCGCTAACTACGATAGTCCTGACTGCCCAGCGTGTCGGCAACAAGAAGCCCCGAAGGGTTTCCCGACCGCCGTGACGGCTGAGACCCGCCGCGGTTGCCCTTGCATCGTGGGTTGCGCCCGTGTCCCATCCTGCTTGTCGGCAACGTCTTACAAATACCGCCCTGTCTGCCGCTGACTGTCAGCGCCGGCCCTTCCGTGACAGTCGGAAGTCGATCTCACAAGGGGTCACGCGAAGGCAAGAATGACTCTGACAATACGCGATGGTGAAGGAGTCGATAGGTCGAGCATCCGCACGTCTCTCGTCGCATGGGATGAGCACAGTGTGCACCAGATGGCGCTGGAGCAGCCACCACGTCATTTCGGCGCGCAAAGGGTCCTGTCGCAATGCCCGTCACGTCATGGCGACACCGACAGCCAGGCCACGGTGGAGTGAACAGTGTCAAGACTGCCGATAGACGCGATTGGCACCGTGTGTCCGGATTTTCCTGCTTTATCCGGCCACGACCAATTTTTCAGGTTTGGGTGGGGCATATCCATCTGCTTCCGTAATCAGAAGGCCAGCCAATCAGCCGGCCCCGCTTTATTTTTCTGCGATGCTTCAAAAAGGCTGCAGATTTTGAGCACCACCTTCTAACAGTCACATTCTCTTCCTTCCCACATCACCCTCACCACCTCTCCTCCTGGCGTTCCCAACCTACCTCTGCTGGGTACTGCTGCGGCTCATGGGCTTTTGTCTGTGCTCTTGTAGCTGTCCGCGCGACGTCGAGCTGCCGAGCGCATTCAATCCTTCGGCGCGATTTATCACGCACGTCCATCGAAGCGAACGAGAACACCGCGAAGCAACAGCATAGTAGAGGCAGGCGCGAGAACAGACAGGAGGTTGGACGGTGAGGGTTGACAAACGTCAATGGTAAGCCTTTTTCCCTACACCCTCTTTCCCGTGTGCCACATCTCGCACTCCTCGCGCGAAGACGCATCTCTTTTCATGATGACGACAAAACCATCTTCTTTTCCCAACGAATCGACCATGAAGATAAACAACCGGTTCGGGCACCGCTGTTCGCGCAGCATCTTCGCCTGTTACTTGCCAGTATTACTCGTCTGACTCTAGCACCGTCTTTACGCTACTTGCCAGCTGCATGCCAGCGGCGAGGAATCGAAGGACAATGCAGAGGAGAATAGAGGATGCTTGAGCGTGGCCTCGCACTTTGTTTCTTCAAACACAAAGCTGACCGGCCATCCTTGCCTCTAGATCCCGTCGGTGCATGTCTCGCCAACTGTCAAGGGATACCGAGTCTGCCTCCGGAATATTGCTGGCTGGGGACGGATCGGACAATCACCCGTCGACGAACGTTTCCCCAGCCTTCAATCAAAAGGTTTGTAACATCGCCTTCTCCCACTCCGGCCAGCACATATCCACACACAACAACACCACCACCTCCGCATCTGACAAATGTCGGAGTCCGGTGCGTGAGGGGGACAATCTATATGATGAAATTTCCATACACATTCGCAGTTTCCACTCGAGCTCCACTCCGAGCCTTTTGCGGAGCAGATGAGGGCATTATACCTTCCTTGGATGTCTGATTTCGATTGTCCTCCCTCTTTACTCCTTACACTCATCCATCGTCGACATGTTGCTGGCTGGGCAGTGCTGCTCTCCTTCAGTGGGAAGCTAGAACGCTAACATGGTCACGATAGGTAACATCAGGACTATCTCGTCTTTCCCGTCCGGGATGGTGAACCAGCACAACCTAGGCAGGTCTTCAGGTGTGTTGACTCTGGCGTGAGGTGGTAATAGCCGCGCCTGCCGCCTGGTGTGGGGGTGAGAGTCTCGAGGGCGAAGCCACTCGATCTACAATCTTGAGGGTAGAGTAAAAACAAGATAGAGGTTGCCAGTCATGAATAGACGAATTGATCCAGTTGTTCACCCTACCTGTCTTTGCCTTCTTAACTATCATCCACGCTGTCGCGAGTGCAAGTACTACCGTGACTGTGATTGTGATTCTGACTTGTGTGTGAAGCCTTGCCAACGACAGCATGGGCACAATTTCGCTCTCTCTTTCCGGTACCGGTATCGTGTATTCAGCATCCCCTCGTGCTCCCCGGGGGAAAACCAAAGCACGCACATTTTTCAGCGCGCCTGCCACGGGATGGGGTCACACGTACCTACCCACCCCCCACGATGAGGACTCAAACTCCCCTTTCGTGGTGGTGCTTGGGGACAGGCAAAAGAAATACCTTGACCCATTCATATGCCAATGAAATTGCGGTGCAGTGCACACTCGAGAAGCAGGAGCTTCAGTCCTTGATCGGTATGCTTTCGGTCGCGTCGCGCATTAGTAGCAACCCATGGAAAGAAAACCACAGAAGTCACAACCTGACCTGCCTGAACTGCCAAGTCCACTTCCACCGTCTTTGCCCGCCTAGATAGGCTGTAGCCCGAGCAATCGACGATAAGCGCAAGGAACGACTACACATGCATGTAAAGTACAGACGTGGTCTACTAGGAAGCAGGGCAGCCTGGTGCGGCGATCACTCTCGTCGGCACGACACACATTCAATCAATCTTATCTTATCCGCAGCGGTCTGGTGAGTGAGATTGTGTTCACATACACTGATTCTCTATCCAAAGAGCCGTGTGTGCACCGCCATTCGGAAATGGCCAGCCAGCACACATATATATGTAGACCAGAAAACAACACCACCTTTGGTGAGCCCTTGGCCATCAAGAACGCCAGAGACAAACGCAATAGCCCTGCGGACCCAGACGCCCTTGCATATATCCCGATGTGTTCCAATCCATCCATGTGTTTGTCATCGTTGCGCCATGCAGTCCCAGACCAGAACCGATTTCCCTTTTCCCAATTTTGCTCTCCCGCCCTGAGGCAATGACTCGGCCTGCAAAAAGGATGTCACAGACACCATCACCCTGCCACGCCTACACTATCCTCTCTCAACGACTGGGCCAGCAGGCTCCCCGGCCCGCCTCCCGCGCTTCCACCGCCGCCAAAGCTCCCACCATGGGCACTGTTCCCTCTGGAATGGCCAAGATACCCGTGGCTACTGCTCCGGCGGTGATGGCCCTTCAGACTGTTGCTCAAAGCGGCGTCCGGATCCACGCGCTTAACGCGTCCGCCCACCATGCCCCGCCTGTTGCGTCCCGTGCGTCCGCGCCCGAGCCAGTTGAGCTTGAGCAGCCGGCCGAGCTCAGACATCATCTTGCTGCCCTCGTCCGCGCCCGACAGGCTCGAGTTGGTGGCGACCTTGGACAACGGCTGGCCTACCCCACTGGCGGACGACGACGAGGGCGTCATGTTGGTGGCCGTTGATGGGTCACCACTGCTGCTCGTGGTTGCCGCTGACGTGGAGAGCAGGGATGGATCCGCGAGGGTGTTGCTGCCCGGACTGTTGCCCACGCTTGCGAGCACGCTCATGCACTGCAGCATCCGACCGACCATCTCGGTGATTTGCTTGCTGTCCTCGACATTTTGTTCGCGTAGGCTGCCTAGTGTGATGCCAGCTCCAGCTTGTGGTGTGAAAGGTCTGTGTGAAGCACCACCGCTTCCGCCCACAGACATTGGGTCGGAACCACCACTCGCATACGAGACGTTGCTGATTGCTCGGCTCCGCGACGGGTTTGAACCTTCACCAAACAGGGTTGTGGACGACGAGTTGTAACTCCCGTTCGACGGATCTAATGACATGGCCGTGCCCGGACGTGCCCCATAGTAGTCGCTGGGAGAGCTTGACAAGGACCCCATACCGTCGTGGAGAGGTGGCGGCTGTTGCAGGCCAAGCGACCCGAAGGAAGAAGGCAGGTGCTCGAGGGACAATCTTGAGAATATCGTCTTGAGCTTGTCATAGCGTGGAAGGATGACCTTGTCGCGGTATGCTGTAAGCACAAGCCGGCGCACATCAAGCACGCTCGAGGCCGGCTCGTAGCTCGGTTGTGAGCCTGGAGCTGGAGACGCCGCCAGAACGCCACCCCAGAAGTCGCGAGCCTGGTCTCCATTCAGTAGCGGACCGCATCCTTGGAACTCGAGGTCCAATGGCAAGAACACAGCTTGCAGGTATGGGAGGATGCTGGTGAAGGTGAACAGCCACAGCTCCACCAGGGCCGGGATGAGGCGGTCCTCGGGAGTCTTGCGTAGTGTGTGGTCCAGTGACGAGAAGCCCGTCGACAGTAGATCTCGCAGGTCGTCAATGATGATGTACGCCGATCGCCGCACGATGCAGTACTGAATGTGCATCGTGACCACGCGATTGAGGTCCTCGATGGTTATCCGCAAGTCCTCGCCCTCAAAGATGGACAGCAGCTTAGCCCTCAGGTATGGCCACGCGTCATCGATTGACATGTTGTTGAGCCCGTATTTTGTGCCGTCCACGCTGTCAAAGAACGACGGAGTGATTGTGCCTAGGCTACTGGGACCCGCCCAGTCGTTGCTGCCACCAACATTGAATGACGACTCGTTGTCTTGCCGCGTTTCAAGCTTGTCTTCTTTTCTCTTCTCTCGAAGTGCCCTTCCTCCATGCCGCAAATCCAAGCCACTAACGCTCTTGCTGAAATTGGAGTTGAGGCCGGGGCTGGGCGGAAGGTTGAAATTGTACAAAGGGGCCGGCGCATTGGGATCTACCGGCCGCGAATTGCTCGCCGCGGATGACAGCGGCAGGTGGTAGTCGTCCTTGGACGTGAGCTTGTGCTTCTGACGTGAGAGAAAGTGCGGCTTCTTCTCCTTCTCCTTGTCTGTGCTCTCCACTGCCCGTATCGTCGCTGAGGACGAGTTGGCCAGGTTGTAGAAAGAGGGTGATGGGTCTGCGAGACTGGTCGTGCTGTAGTTCCCTCGCTGCAGCGAGGCGAGGGCTGACCCGATCTTGCCCGGGCTGGGCAGCGGCTTCTCTCTGGTGTCGCTCTTGGTCTCGATCTTCTTGGGCCGCGAGAACAGCTTGACCTTGGATTTCTCCAACTTGGCAGGCTTGTCTGGGAGTGGTGGAGGCTGGTCTGGAAAGCTAGGGGACGTCACAGGAGATTTGGGAAAGACAGTGCTAGCCGCGGCCGTGGCGTTGGCGGACTGGCTGCCCAGGAGCCCGTTGCGATAGACCTGGTCTGCGCCGAAAGCGTGGTCGCGAGGGACGCTGGCCTCGGTCAGGCTGAGCACGGGCGGTGTCAGCTTCGGAGGGGGCTGCCGTCGTGGGGGCTCGCTTGCTTCGTTTCCGGGGAACGGGACGGTCTGTGACCTGCTGCGGCTCTGTTGTTGCTGCGCCTGGTGCTGCTGCTCGGCACGACTGACGGGGTGCTGAAGTATCGGGACCTGTTGGTGCTGGAGATTCTGGGGCTGCTGGATCTGCATGGCGGCCTGGGCGGCAATCTGGCTGGCCGAGAGGGCCGTGGTGGACGCTGGCGGAGGCATGCTGATCTGGGAGAGGTTGGACATGCTGGTGGAGGGGAGGAAGGGCTCGAAGTGGCCCTGGGAGTGCGAGTGCTTGCGGCTGTGGCCACGAGTGCCCGGGGGCGCGAGGGGAGAGGCGTTGCGAGCGGCGGCCGGGCTGTCGCTGGGGCGGACGGGGCGGGAGAAGTTGTGGAGGCTGGAGGAGCTCGAGTTGTGGTGCTGGCCGAAGGGGAAGCCGCCGGGGCTGGTGACGTTGATGGGAGTCTGCGGGGTGCGCGTCTTGGGCTGGTAGATGCTGGAGCTGTCCTCGCTGGACGATGTGTCGATGCGGCGGATGCCAGGGCGGGAGGCAGGCGGGCCGGTGCCGTTGCCGGTGGCGACGGCCGAGGAGGAGGACAGGGAGGAGGCGGAGGAGGCGGCGGCGGCGGCGGCGGCAGAGGACGAGAAGCTGCCGGGCATCGGGGAGAAGCTGCCGGGAGCGCGCTGGGCGCGGGATGGCGGCTGGGCCATGGTCGAGCGGCAGGTTGTCGGTCAATCGCAGAGGGTGAAACTGGAGACGTCGGAGAGTGGGCGGGCTATGGCCACGGGGGGGACATTGCGGTGGGCGGGCGGCGTGGGGCGGTCGCAGGCGCAGTATCGGCGGTTGAGGAGGGTGAGCAGGTTGAGATGGGGGTGCCGTCGATGGCAGCAGCAGAGGCAGCCAGCCTGGGGCGTGGTGGTTGGGAGGAATTGGTAGGACTTCAAAGGTGAGTGAGCGAGTGACGTGCATGCCTTAGGTACGTACAGGTACGCACCTCCTATGATAGCGTATAGGAGGCTCAGCTCAGCCGCTGCAGGTGCGCCCCAACTGGACCTCCCCAGCGCGCGGCTCCTTCCCCGCACAAAACCCTGCACTGCGCATCCACCCAAGCCCTGCTCAGTGCCCGCCTAGGACTGCCACAACACAGACACCACGACGACCTCGATTGCTCATCAGCTTGATAACTTGTCCTTTATATTGTTTATATGCGTCGAAACGTAATCTACGGGGACCTGCCTGGACAGGCATCATGCAAAGACTTCGGGGACCCCCAGAGATAACTGTCAGTTCCTTCAGTGTGCCTCTCCGTTCGCGGGGGCCACCTTGTCACTCAGGTCCTTCTCCAGCTCCTCAACCAGCTCCTCAAAGATCTTGGTGATGCCTTCGACCTTGGCCCACTCCGTCTTGGTGCCCTCCGTCAGCTCGCCCGTAAACATGGCCGTCTTAAAGTCTTCGCCCTGGGGCCCGCCGGGGAACGCGAGGGAGGCCTCGGCCGCCGTGACCTTGAGCCCGACGCCGCCCAGGCTCTTGCGCACCTGCTCCCGCGCCGAGTTGCCGCCCATGATGCCGTAGCTGACGACGCCCACGGGCTTGCCCTTCCACTCGTGGTACAGGTAGTCGATGGCGTTCTTGGTCGACGCCGCCATGCCAAAGTTGTACTCGGGCACCGTCAGGATGTACGCGTCGTGCTTGGCAATCTCGGCGGACCACTTGCGCGAGTACTCGTGCTCGTAGTCGGTCGCCGCGTTGGTCACCGTCGCGGGCACCTTTTTCTCGTGGAAGATGGGCAGCCCAAAGTCGTTCAGGTCCACGTGGGTCAGGGTGATTTTGCTCTTGGCCGCAGACGCCGCCGCGAGGGGGTTCAGCGCGGCCAGGACGAGTCCCGTGACCTGTGGGCCGACCCGCGTAGCACGGGTGCTGGTGGTGATGACGGCGATGGATTTGGCTGCCATGGTTTGCGTATGAGGTAGGTGTGTTTGGGAGACGGTTGTTGGTCCTGAAGCCCTGGCTGGGGTATGCTTTGTTGGGAGTGGTGGTAGGTCAAGTAACAAGCTTGGTATGCTAGTTATAAGACACTGTCTAGATGAGATGATAGGCTATGATCAGAGTAGCCGAGGGAATAGGCTATGATGGTTGAGAGGATAGGCTATGATGAGATCGACTTTGCTTTGTTCTCGAAACCCAAGTTAGCCGGGTCTTTGTTGCTCTTATATACAACCTCCGGCTTCCCTTGTCTCCACCACCACTGCCACCACCACGAAGACATTGCCAGCAACTCTGTCAAAGATCAATTGCTTCCACTGGCAGTACTTCTGCTTTGTAATTCACACCCCTGCCCCTCGAACACTTTCCACAGAACCCCCCCCCCCTCCCTCCTATCATAAGCGACCCCTCATCTCCTGAATATCTAAGCGGCTTCTGGGCACTCAGAAAAGTCGTCAGAACACCTCGCGGATGACACAAGACCATTCTCCAAATCTGCTTAGCAAAACCCCCGTTGGCAGGGGTTAGTTAGCCAGGCCTTTCAAAGCCAGTCTGATCTAGGTCGGCGGTGATGACTCTGATTGGCTGACAAGGGGATGAAAAGATAAAGTGGGACCCGGGCGCCACGCCGGCTGATAGTCTCAACTGGATCTGTCTCAAGCCAGGGGGCGCGCGGTCATGACTAAGCGCTACTGGTCACTCGTATGACCGCTTCGCTTAAGACGAATGTTGACTGGCGGGCTCGAAGGGGCGGCGGGGAGTGAGGCTGAATTCCAGGTGCTCAAGACATTTCTGAGATAGGGCAATGAGCCCTGGGGGAAGTGGTTTTAGGATTATTCAAGGTCACAATCTTGTCCGTTGTCAGCTTTGTTGTAAATTCATGGTGCTGTCAGGATTATTTGAGAACAAAAGAGAAAACAAGCCGAAACTAGGAAATGACAAGGAAAAACAGAACAGGACATATGGAAACCGATAGACATCCACTAACTTTCAAATACACATGACTGTGTACACATGACTGTGTATCCGTGCCTTATTGAGCATCAAAACCTGCCCATGGAATTAACCATCTGGCAAAGAAACGCCATCGTGTCCAACCCTCAACTATCTGCCTCCCCTCCCACCCAGCTCACTCCTACTCACCCCGTCAAAACCCACATGCCCCCCGTCCCATCGTGGGGATCAGGTCATTCACTCTTCTTCGACCACCCCTCCCCTAGTCGCTGCCACTGCCGCCGCCCACACTGACAACACCCTGGGCCAAACAGAGCTCGCGGAACCGCGACCCGCCCTCCTGCGCCATCAGCGCGGCGGGCGTGTCATACTCGACCACGCGGCCCTCGTGCATGACGGCAACCCTGTCGAAGCCGGCCGCGAAGGCGAGCTTGTGGATCACGGCGACCACGGTGTGCGAGGCGAGGCGGGTCTCTATGAGGTTCTTGACGATGCGCTCGGATTGGATGTCGAGACTATTGTTGTTGTTTTATGGTAAGTCAGTAGAGGAAGAGGAGGAGGAGAGAGTATGGAAAATTAGGGGGAAGGGACGAGAAAAGCGCTAGCAAATCGGGAAGACTCAAAAGTTGCCGTAAGATCCAGGGGCAGTTGGAGAATAATGGCAGCATACGGGCCGCATAGAGTCCAAGGAAACACTAGCGTGAAAAACACATACCTGCTTGTAACCTCATCCATCACAACCACCCCTCCTTCCTCCTTCTCCCCGCCTCCCCTTCTTCTTCTTCTCAGCACCGCCCGTGCGATATTGAACAGCTGTCGCTGCCCCGTGCTTAGCGCATCCTTGTCGATCGCGGCATCCAGCCCGCCGCGGCTCTCGAGGTTGCCCTCGCCACGCCACAGCTCGACCTCGTCGAGCGCGGCAATCATGTCCGCGTCGTCACTACTATTACTACTACTACTGATAACTTCCGATTCCCGCCACGGGTCCATGTTCTCCCGCACCGTCCCGGGCAGGAAGAACGGCTCCTCAGCGACTCCGACGACGCGGCTGCGCAGCGTGGAGCGCGGGATCTGCGTGATGTCTGTGCCGTCGATGGTGATGGAGCCGGTGGATGGGTCGAGGAGGCGGAATAGCGCGAGGACGAGGGAGGACTTGCCACTACGGGAGAGAGGGGGCGTGGAAGCACCGGTCGTTAGCCAGGTAGGTTTCTCGAGAGGAGCGATGGGGGGATTAGGGATGAAGGAGCTGGCCGATCGATCGATGGTGGCTGGGCTACATACCTGCCTGTGCGGCCGCAGATGCAGACCTTCTCGCCGGGCTTGATGTCGAGGTTGATGTCGTTGAGGACGAACTCTGTGCTCTCAGGCCTGATGCATGTGATCAAACACTGTCAGCTCTGAATTTGTGATTTGGAAGTCGGCAGACCAAGATGAATCCTCTGCCCCCGGGAGACTTACTTGTACTTTGCACTCAACCCCTGAATGACGATTCCTCCACGGCCAGGCCACTCATCGGCAACCTCAGCTGCGTTGCTCCCGTCACCCACAGACTCAAAATCCCGCTCGGCCTCAGTGTCCTGGCTAAAACTCCGGATCCGCTGGACAGCAGACATGCACATCTGCAGCTGGGCCCAGAACAGGATGAGGAGCTTGAGGTACGACGTGAACGAGACGATCTGCGTGAGCGATACGCCTGTGAACCCGGCGTCGCTCCCGCCGCCACCAGAGGAAGAAGAATTGTCCCGCAGTCCGACAGACAGCCCCACGACCAGGGTCGCCAGGCCCGCGATGACGAGGTCCAGCACGACGCCGAGCCACTTCTGGATGACGTACATGAGGTACCAGGGCCGCTGGGAGCGATCGACAAGGGCGTGGTTGTGCGAGACGGCGGCGTGAGTGTGGCTGAAGGCGCGGAGGGTGGTCATGCCCTCGAGGGATTCGAGGAACTGGGCGCTGTTTTTGGGGGGTCTCGCGTCAGTCTTTTTTGGGTTCAAAAAGAGCTGTGTGTGTACATGTCTTCGTGTTGTATTGAGCAGCCACATATGAAGAGGCGGGCATTGATGATAATGTTTGCATCTCAGCAAGGGCACTCACTAAATCGGTGCCTTCTCCTCGAGGTCCAGAGTGCGCATCTGCCGCGCCGTGCGCACGTAATACGAAGGGATGAAGTAGAAGACGGCGAACAGGACGGGGTAGCTGATTGCGATCCATCCGGACGCCGAGGCAATAAGGCCTGCCTGGCCGATCACAGCGAGGGAGTCTGGTATGCATTTCGAAAGATTAGCAATACTTTCCTCCCTTATGATAGAAGTTGATGCGTCAAGCCCAATACAACGTGTAGCCGAACTGGCTGATTATACGGGAGGAGGGCACCAGGGCAGAACTCACGGCCGACGCAGATGAGAACGGATAGCGGGAGCTGAATGTCGGCGAGCTGGATGTCCTGCGTGAATCTGTAATGTGTACAAACACGTGTCAGCACGGGGGGCTTTCAAGCAGTGGTCCATAACTAGTGCCGTACTGACCTGTTCATGATGCTTCCACTGTCCGTCGAGCTGAAGAGCTGGAGCGTCGCCCTGAGTAAAATCAGCCATGAGCACCTTGTATGCGCAGTGTCCGGCTGTACTTACGACATTACAGTCTGGGTAAGCGTGGCATGTAGTTGAATTCCCGTGGTCACAGCTAGAGCGTTGAGACACCAGCTGCGTCGCTCACATAGTCAGCATACGCAGCTTTCGAATCCAAGTGGCCGAGCACATAGGTAGGTACTTGATGTACTTACAGAGTCGACAGCCCAGTCGCAATCATGGCAGCAGTCTGGATAACCGCGTACACGCCGATGTAGTATGCCGATGTGCCGTAGGGGAAGCTCGCACTATCGTCGGTCCACCACTTGAGCCATACATCTGAAGTGCACGCCGCATTAGACACATTTTTGAAGCTCGCACAGATACTGCAGCGTTGCTGTCGGACGACTAAATCAATGGAAGAGGAACAGACACTTACACGAGAAGCAAGCCAGGAAAGCAACGAGCGTCTGGAAGAACAAGAACGTGAACATATCCACCTTCTTGACCGAGGACAGGTAGTATCTGTATATCGCATTCTCCGTAGCAGGCGGCTTGGCGTCGCTGTCGGCGTCTCCGCTGCCACTGCCCGTAGACGGGTTCTGAAAATCTTCGGTCGCAGTGGACACAGTCGCGGTATCCGTGTTTTCCTTGGCAGGCAGTGCGCTCGAGCTCATTGCGTCGTCGCTTTCTGCGGTATTCTCCGTGTTGTTCCCTTCATCCGTGTGGTTATGGTCATGGCTGATCTCGCGGATGTACCCGTCGACTTTCGAGAGCTCTGCAAAAGCACCGTTCTGTATAATGGTACCCGATGCATCGAGGGCGATGACCTGGTCGGCGCGGGAAAGGAATCGGCCTGTTTCATAGAGGCCAGAATTAGCGCAATGTTCTCGACAACATGAGGAAACAAGAAGGTGAGCCAATATGGAGGAGGATATGTACTGGAAGAAGAAGTCATCAACACAGTCGTCCCCCAGCGGCGAAACAGTCCATCGGGACCAAGCAAGCTCCGAGCAACAACACTCTGCGTATTGGCATCAAGCTGGCTGAACACGTCGTCGAGGAGGACAATCTTCTTGCGGGAGTACACCGCACGAGCGAGGGCCTAAATTAATGAAATGTGGCAAAGCGCCACCGTGGTCAGCTTTCAGAAGGTCGGCTGGTAGGTGCTGTGCTGTCCGACAAGACTTACCACACGCTGCCTCTGCCCAGCGCTGAGAGAAAAGCCCTTGCTCCCGACGATCGTCATGTCGCCCTTGTCCATCGTGGCCAGGTCGGCCACCAGCTCGCAGCTCCGAAGCACGTTGGAGTAGAGCTCGGCGTCAAACACAGAGGCATGGGTGATGTTTGCTCTGATCGTATCGTTCTGGGCACATTACATTCTGTCAGCACACTTCAAGCCTCTGAACTCGCCGGCGTCTTTCTCGGGCGCATGAGAGAAAACGTACCATGATCCACGGCGACTGGTCGCAAAACGCGACGTCTGGGTCGGACAAGACCATCCTGCCCTCCCACAGCGCGGTCTCGCCCAGTACCGCCTTGACGAGGGTCGACTTGCCGCACCCGACGGGACCCACGACGACCGTGATCTTGCCGGCCGGCACGACCAATTCGATGCCACTCAGCACCGGCTTCTTGGTGTCGAGGTCCCAGCCGAACTGGCCCCGCTCAATCGCGATACCAGTCGTGTTTGCGGTAAACTCGGTCGAGTTCGTCTTGTTGTCCTCATTCCCGTCGGCGCTTGCCGAGGGCGACACAGCAGTAGCAGCACCGGCATCACCACTACTATCACCTCGCTCCAGGGTCCGCAGGAACTCGCGCCTTTCCTCGCGGGTGGGTGTGCGCAGGAACTCCTCGACGCGAGCCAGGCAGCCGACTGCCGTCATGACGCTGATCATGCCCTCGAACAGGCTGAACAGGGGCTCGCCGATGAGAAGGAGCAAGGAGAGCGAGGTGAACATGTTGGTCGCGGTCAAAGCGGCGCCCTCGTTGCGCCGGGCGACGGCGATGTAGACGGCAAAGGTGATGACGGGGGATATAAGCTGGGGGACGGTCGCTGGCGTTGCAAGGAGAAGAGGGACATGTCAGTTGTCCGAATGATCTAGTATCGTATGTGGGTGGATGGCTGGTGGAGGAAGGGAATATGGTTAAGGGAGCGGCACGTACCGACTGTTGCCGTGATGATGGACACGATGCGGAACTTCCTGGCCGACCGGAGCTCGTCCTCGCGGAGGTTGTTGAGGAGCGCGCCAACCTTTGAGGTCAGGTTTGTGATCTTGATTGCCTTCATGGCGCCCAGGACGGACGTGGTGACGCCTGTTTGATGAGAAGGACATGGTGCTGTCAGTAAGTGCTCGGTTGTTTGTCCATTTGGGGGATTGCATGTTGTGAGTGATTCTTTGTTTGGTGGAGGGACGGGCTTGCAGCAACTCACCGATTCTCGCCTCGACCTTTTCGACCCACAGCATTTGGAAGGCAGGCGTCATGTTGGCAAAGTAGACGGTCAGTGCCGTCGTGACTGTCACAATAAAAACACACAATCAGCATCTGCATACGCATCCACAAGTTCGTCCACAGACTAGTCCTCTGTCAAAAACCCTCGGCACTATTTCGCCACATCTTCCAAGAAGAAAAAGAAGCCTGGCCCACATACCCAGCGTCACCGCAATTGGCGCCACACAGGCGACTCCCAGCTGCGTCTCGATCAGGTACGTCGCGATGGCGACCTGCGAGACGTCAGCCCACAGGTCGTGCAGGGGCAACAGCCCGCGCGTGATGCGCTCGCAGTCGGCGCTCATGAGCGTGACGGTCTTCGCGTTGGTCGCGGCGCTCGCGGGGCCCGAGGCTGGCAGCAGCGTGGCCTTGCGGAACACGGCCGTGATGAGCGTGCCGCGCAGCATGGCCATGAAGCGGTAGTGCCGGTGCCAGAAGACGGCCGCGGAGATCTGTGCCCGCTCGAAAAAATCAGTACCTTCCAATACAGCTTCATTTCGCTGGAACGAAAAGACAGAAAGTCTACGGCAAGGGAGGAATTTGCCTGTCGAAACACAAAAGAACCAAACGCACCGCCATGCCAACGTATATCACCACCGTGGCGCCTATAAGCGCGTAGCCGATCTTGGGGTCCTGCCGCGCGACCGGGTCCTCGAGATACGCCAGCAGGCGCTGCAGCATGAGCGGCTGGCACAGCGTCAGGGCCAGCAGCGCCAGCCGCGGCAGCGCGGGCAGCACGACCGAGAACCCCAGCAGCTTGAAAAGAGTCCCGTTGAGCGAGGGCGTTTGCTTTTGTGATTGGGCTGCAAGATCGTCATGCACACATGTCGTCTGGTCAGCATGGGTTCGCTTGCAATGGAATAGCAGGGGTGGAGGATGGGGGCTGCGGCTGCATGCAGATCAGCAGCACAAGAAGACAGGGCCGGCGGCGCACCTTTTGTCCACAGATCCCAGAACTGGTTGCCCAGTTTCTCCGACGCCATGTCCGCCGTGATGGGATACAAGCTCGCGGGCTTGAGCAGGTGCCGCGCGCCGTAGAAGACAATGTCGTTGAGCCATAGCAGCAGTCCCTGACCAAACAGGCCGCTCGACTCCTCGGGGCTGCGGCCGCGGTAGCTCGCCAGGAAGAACCTGCGCTTTGACACGGCCTCGAGGAGCAGAACGACCACTTTGAGCGCAAATGAGGCCGTGTAGATGTCGCGGATGGTCGAGTTTGTGACGGTGACGATTGTCGTGCCTGCTCCTGCTGTTGACAACGACGAGAGCCACAGGGTCCGGAGTGTGGCGGCGTCAAGCAGCACGCTGACGGCGAGATAGCCGCTAGCCACGAGCGAGGGCCGCAGCGAGCGCGCGTGCTCGAGGTACGACAGGGGCAGAAGCGCCAGCCCAGCCGCGAGGGAGAGCGCCGAGGCGGCAACTGCCGACGTCCGATTGCCTTGGACGCTGGGCTGGGTGGCCCAGAGGACAAGCAGCGTCAACTGCAGACACGCAAAGACGGCGATGGCGGTCTTTTGTCGTGGTGAGGCGTGAGAAAAGTGTGTAAGTCGTGAGGCCGGGATTGGCAGAATGCGGGGGGAAAGTCATGTCACGGGAGCAGAAAGATGCATTCACACGAAAGAGAGCAAACAAGCACTTCATCTGTGCTGTGGCGCGTGTTGATTCACAACCACATGGTTTGTTTGTCTGGCTATCTAGACATCACTAATGGTATGGTGATCGAGAAGCGACTTACGAGTTTCGAGAGGCGTAGGAACTGCCCGTCGACGCGGGTCGAGTTCTTGCGCAGGGACGCGATGCGGAGCGGAACGGCGAGAAGGAAGACAAGCGAAGGGACGAGGGTGAAGATGTACTGCTCAAAGGCAAGGGTAAAGTCAAAGTCCTGGCGGCAGCCCTCGACGACGGGGCCAAAGGCCGCGTCGTTGCAGGACGCTGTCTCGTTCATGGCTTTGACAATTGGATGTAAATGACGAAACTGGGTCAAGAGAACAGATGATTATGACGAGGAATGGGGCATGTGCTGTGTCGATGGGGGGAGAAGGAGAGCTCTGTCAAGGCGGAGTTGCGTTGCTGCTGCAAAAGACACAGAGGAACAGGAGGGAAAGTCAGGCACGGCGACTGCAAGGGGAACCAGCGGGCATATATGCGCCCAGCTCCCGCGCAGCTACCTGGGACCACAACGCGCGCAGCCCCTGTCAGCAGCAATAACAAGTGATAACATGGATGCCGACGCACCTGCCCAAACGGGCATCGCCAATTTCGCGCTTGTAGCCGCGCGGTATTATACGCCCCTCGTGGTCTTGGCAGCAATCTCAACGACTCCAGGCAGCGTTCTCTGGGTGGTGGACAGTGTAATTCAGGTTGTGGACTGCCTGGTCTATTCTACAACAGTGGGGATTCTGCCAGTCTGTCACTCTCCAATGTCCATCCAATCCCGTGCCAATGCTTTCCGGTGCCAATCTATTCCCAGAAGTATCTACGCCGTGTACCCATCATGCGCGTCGTGCTGAAAGAAGTATTGCGCCAATGTACATGTACACGCTGGCGACACCAAGAAATGCTTGAGACATAGTTGCATTGTCAAAAGGAGCGCCGAACGGGACACCTTCTTGGCAAAAACTTGGGTTGGGCTGAGTTCTAGTTAAGATAGAGCCATGTCAGCATATTCCAGTGCATACGGTAATATTCCACGATGAAGGAGACGACGCGGGATGTTTCATATCTTGGTGGTAAAAGGCACGATAGGAACTCACACTTCTTGCTCTATTTGGCCTTGACATCAACCGCCTTGCCTTTGTCGACCTTGGCGCTTGCCTGGGCCTCGTTGGCAGCGGCAGCAGCCTGCTGGGGAGCAGCCTGACCGGATCCGACACCTGGAAAGTTGCAAACAAGAATTAGTCAAGAGAAAATGAAATGACACGTGCACTGCATGAGATTGGGGAGAGCGGAAGCGGGAAGACTAGAACACCATGCCACTTACCATCCTGACCAACGCCGGCGAGGATGTTGGAGAACGCAATGAGCTCCTCGGGAGCACGGGCGACATTGCCATTGCCATTGCCAGTGGTGGTCACAGCAGCACCGGCAGATGTACCCGGGCGGGCCGCCACGGGGTCAGTGGGAGTTGCGGCGTTGCTGCCCTGGCCGCCGTTTGCGACGACAACGGGGCGCACAGCCTTCGGAGCCTCACCAATGACGGAGGCGCCGTCGGGAAAAAAACATCCGAATGTGCCAATCATGAATGTCTTGAGTTTTCCCGGTTCCTTAGGAACGTTGACCAGGACGCTTGCGTCGTCGCTGGCCTGGGTAGCGGCGGCGCTCTTCTTCTTGTTGCCAAAAGGGAATGCCATTGTTGGTGATTCTGAGTGGGTTATGGAGGGTTCTGGTGCGGTCAGGCAAGCGTCGTTTGTCTCAGGGAGCTGGTGAGCTGGTTCTGAAATTTTTAGAAGGCACGTGTCTTGACAAGGGAGTCAGAGATGATGCTTCTACTGTCAACAAAGGACTGATGAGTCTCATGCAGAACCGTGCCGGGTGGCGGTGATGAAGCGCACGTCTGGGATGCAACTTACCGCGTTGTGTCTGCGAAGTGTGTGGTGGGTGCGAAGTAGTGGTTGAGGGGAGGGGAGAGACGGGAACGCGCAGAAAAACAGAGAGAGAGAGAGAGGGAGGGGCAGCTAATTCACGGCCAGGAAAAATGATGTCTAGCCAGGCACTCGTGTCTGGTCGTTTCCTCGGATACCAGTTGCAAACGACGAGGGCGCTGTCCGTTAGCGGGAGCAGTCCCGCCCGGCGTCTGGCACGCTGGACGATGCAAATTCTCAGGCTGGTACCCCGATGGTCATGCCTTCATACAACTATATAGCTGTAACAATGAGTTTGAAGAGACCGCGACGGTGGCCTTCCTCAGCCCTCTCATGAAACTTGGCGTTGACAGGATGCTGCTGAAGCTCAGAGCGCACCGAGTATCTCCTCGGAGTTGGTTCTTTCTCACTGAGCTCCATCTAGAGCGGGCCACGGGCAAACAGATATCCGAAAATGACAAGTGACTCTTGTTCTCCAACGGGTAGTTTCAGCTAGTTGCCATTGATTCGCAGTGCTTCTATTGTTGTGTAGTTGCTACAAGGCTGCTTCGACGCCCTCGGTAGTGGGCCCATGTCGTGACCGTGCAAGGATTCTTATGGTGGCCCAGCCTCGACCAACGGCCAGATTACCACAATGAAGGGCCAGGTGCTCGAGTCTGCTATGTATGGAGCGTCTTCATTGTCGCTGCCGAATCAAACAAGAACGGGTACGCAGCACCCCAGCGTGCTACCTGGGCAGATGGATCATGTTGGACGTCAATGGCTTGGATCCAGTGTGGCGAGACCAAGTAAGAATATGACAAATGACTTCTGTCAAGATACATAAAGGCACCGACTTCTCCTGCAAAAGAAGTCGACCAGCGTTGTAAATTACACAAATCGGACGCTGTCTGAAGAGCGACCTTGGGAAGCAGTTCCTAAGCTTCTTTGGAGCTGTTGTTTCCAATTGAAGGCATCAACGATGTCTAGTCATCGCGTTGTGGTCCATATCGTACCTAAAACCCCCTAAAGTATCTCGAAATACACGTCGCTATGCGCTTCCGGCGACGCTCATGTCCTCGCCCTCGCTGATAGCGTCCGTCCTACCTCTTGTGTTGCGCTGCGCGTCCGGCGACTCTGTCTGATCTAGGCCTTCTAGCGGCCGAAGCGACCGGGGACGAGCTTGCTGGTCTCCTTGACCCTGCTAATTGTGGTACGGCTATCACAGTGGGGTAGACCGTAGCCGCCGGCTCCCGCTCGATAAACCTGCCGATAAACCGACGGTCGCTGTGGTGATGTTGTATGGTCGTCGGAATGAAATGCCATATTTCTGTTGCCCTCGGTATGCGACCTGGCACTTTTTGAAGCATGCAGGATAGGTGATCAGCCTCGCCGAGGATGAGAAAATTGTCCCTGGCGCTTGAGTAGTGTTTGAAGCTATATGGCACTTCGTAGTCGAGATGTTCCAGCCTTTGATCAAGCCAAACCATGTCTACAAATTTAGCTAGGGCATTGGGAGTTGAGCCGTTAGTCGCTGTGGCTTCGTTGGTCCTGATCCATTCGCCAATGTCCCTCATGCCGAGGCTCCGGCCGACCGTTGAGCAACAGCTCGACGCTAATCGGCTGTCAGGACGAAGCTGAACCGTGACATATGGAGACTCCAATTCCTTGCACACTGTGATCGCCGTGTGAATCAGACACACGCAAGGCGAGCAGTAGATGTAAAGGTTGAGGAGGGGGAGTCCGGCCTTGATGAAGGCCAATTGCTCGGGAGTGGCTTCGCTGTCGGAGTCCGATGTCCCCAGTTTCAGAAGACTTCCCAGCACGCCATATTCAACCTTCTCCTTAATAACCGCGCTGACGTTGATGGAACGCTCGACAATAGACCAGATCGTGTTGCGGCTGACTCTGGTATGGCTTGATACATCCCACTTCGGCCTATAGTTCTGTCCAGATAACCCCATGGTCACCTGGTACCCCAGGAAACGCACATCACATGGCTCATCAGTCGTTCGCGTGCGGCACGGGCTTGTCAGCACAATGTATCTGCTACAGAATTCGAGCTCTGAAAGATAAGATTCTATTTTTCTCGTGGTGAGCCAGTGTCATTCCTCCAGACGAAAAGGGAAAGAAGCAACCATACCTGATTCTGACCCTTCGGAACCCTCTGTTGGTCCGGATTGTGCTGGCTCAATGTCGCTGCGGTCGCGAATGTGCTCCTCTAACGTCCTGCGATCAAGAGTTCCAGCCTCGGTCAAAGCCTTGGCAGATCTCGCAGCCTCCAAATACACCGGATAGCTCTCAGTGGCGTCTTCCACAATGGTTAAGCAAGAAATATCTATGATGGATTCAATGTCTTCGACGACCACGCGATCTAGAATCTCCCGGGAAACATGAATGAGTTCAATTAGCCTGTCGATAAAGTGACCGAGGTTGTTGACGAGTTCTTGGAACTTCTCCCTCTCGTGGATGGCCCACTTCGTCCTCGCTGCCCTGCTTCCGCGGGTGAAACCTGCCAGGCGTGATGCGTTTCGAACCCAGAACCGATCTGACGAGGCCTTGTAGATGAGTTGGCTCTTGGCGCTGAGGTAGTCGACGGCTCGTGAGAAGGAGGAGCCTGGGATGCGTAGTCCGTACGTAGTTGTCAGCTTGTCTGAGTCGGTCAGGAGCTCGTGGATCTGCTCAAGGACCCTCTTGACGAGATTGGCCATCCTCTCGTCCAGGAGCTGCGGGCTGCGACGATCGGCAGAGAGCATGCCGACATTCTCGCCCCAGATGATGAGCCTGGCCTTCTCGATGTCGAGTTTCACCAGTATGATTTCGATATCCCTGGTCGCATTTTGGTAGAGCTTGAAGTAGCCGAAGGCATCGACACAGGATGTGAACAAACCCGCCACTCCAATGACGAAAGCCGGAATCTCCAACAAACCACCCGACATCTCTACCAGAATACTGCCAATCAGGTGACGCCGGGGAAAATTAGCAGAGGCCTCAGATGGGAGGCGTATACCTGTTGGCGAACAGGCGGGTTGAGAGACGGCAGCCCTGTAGGGGGAGGGAGAACCAGGTACAGGAATTCGGATTGACGGCTGTGGATGAAAGATGGAGCTTAGATTTGGGGCAGAAGTTGTGCGAGATATGCAACTGCCCGGGTCGTCTTCAGAGCGGTGCGTACATGCAGGACTCAGCCCTGTGTTCGCTGTGTCTGCCTTGGCGTTCCAACACAGCCTCTCAGGTGGTTTTGATCACGCCACAGGAAAGAAAATTGGCATCAAGGCGAGCCCGAGCGTTCTGTGCCAAGCCACAGCCTGCTTGAAGAGCTGAGACATATCGACCCCCTAGATCGGAGATGTCGGAAAGAGCGTTTCTGGCGGCCAGGTGTCCTCGAGCGACCACCCGATTCCTGCATACGGCACACCCTCTGTGCCAACGCCTCCTAGTGCTGACTTGCAAGACATTCCCGCCCTGAAGTCCTCCAACGCGAATGTGGCTCCCTCCTCAAAATCCATATCTCTGACTTTGTGGCTGTCGATGCGCCCAGAATGCCTTCAGACCACACAGTCTCCTTCGCAGCCTCACCTAATTGACACCGCGCATTACCATTTTCAGCTCACAGCGGCCATTTTCTGCTACACAATGGCTGCCGCTCTCCTCGTCCCCATCTCCATTACCGAGCCCCTCTTCAACACATCCAGCCCTTGGGTGCTGCCGGACTCCTTGACCAATCGTAGGTGAATACCAGGTTCTAATACATGCAAAAACAAGAAAAAGAAACTAACAAAAGGGCAAAGAAACCCCACAATGCCCGTGATGCAGGCCTTTTCATGCAGGCTGCTCAAGGACCATTTGAAAAAGTCAATACCCTGAATCGAAGCCCACGACCTGAGTGAGGTTGATAGCGGGAATCGCGATACTCCAGTCTTGACAACGACACGTCAAGCTCTTTGAATGCCCATGGTTGGTATATATCTAGTCATCATCACCCAAGAGATGTGTCCTCCATCCAAGCGTGTGCACTCAGCATATCTTAAAGTCAAAATTCGAGAAACTCCATCCAGGCAAAATCACAGTCGCTATAATGAAGATATGCTCATTCCACCTCCAGCACGACCCTGTCCTCCCCTCTGACCTCTCTCCACCGATTCGTCGCCCTCAACAACTCATCACAACCCTGCAGTAACCCCGCCCACTTCTTCGCAAAAGTGTCGCCAACCTCCCAATTCTCGACCGCCCAGGGATCGCCCCAGAGCACGAGCCCGCGGTTGCACCCGCTGCCGTCGGGCGCCTCCTCGAACTCGTTGCCCATGAGGTCCGCACACAGCGAGTCCACGTCGATCTGGTCCTGGAGCCGGATGATGTTGTCGCGCATCTCGGCGGACGGGATGATGTCAATCCAGGCCTCGTGGACGACCGACTCTTGCAAAGCCGTGGGGAGCAGACTGGCTGGTGTGTGCGAGGGGAGGGTGGTGACGCCCTCGGTGTATAGGGCGTCCCATGCGAGTTGACTCTCACTCTTGTCGTTGCCGTTGTTCTCGGATGCCGTGTTTGCTTCAGGGGCAACGCCTTGTCCCCGGAGGCGGAGGATGAGCTGCATGTTTGTCATGCAGCCGCGAAGGGCGTTGTACTGGACCATGCAGAAGAGGTGGTGGTCTGGGGAGATGGCGGAGGCTGCGGCAGTGGCCTGGCTGGCGAGAGAGAAGAGGAGCTGGCCGCGCCGATGGGCCTGGTGGTCGCCCCAGTAGGCGAGGACGGCCTGGGGTTCGCCGAGAGTCTCGAGGATGGTCCAGAGGAGGTCCCGCTTGGGCATCTTGTCAAAGGCCGTATCGAGGCGGTGGCGGCCGCTGATGTGATTGACGGCGATCTGCCGGAGGAGGGACTGTATTGTGACCGAGGCATTGGCTACTTGTGCCTGAGTGAACTGTAGGGCCGGCAGAGGGGTGACGGCTGCAGCAGAAGGTGGCGAGCTCTGGGTATGGGCTGCCATCGAGGCTGCCTTTTCCTGGGCTTTCCTCCGGCCTGTCTCTGGAGATTTAGCTGGTGGCTCTCGGGGGATATTCTATCAAAGAGAAATGTGATGGCAGAGGGGGTCAACGCACGCCATGCTCTCTGATGCAGGCGGTTCTGCCTTTTCTTGCGCTCGACGGGGTCTGTAAGGCCAACCCAGTCGTCATCCTTGACCAGGATCTGCGGCGTGGTTGAACGGGTCAGCCACCGACTACTAGTCACTCATGCTAGTCGACCCGATGGTCCCTGCATGTGAAGTGCGGACTTAACGGTGCCAGCAGGGGCCGGCTTGGGGAATCGGGACTCACCTCGGTGGCCGAGTAGTAGGCCGTGGCCGCAGCCGGAGCCGTGGCCATGGCTGGGTCAGGGTACTGTGGTGTCGCGTGTCTGTAGCCAGCGTGCGAGGCACATCACTTGGCGAGATGGCATTGAGGTTGAAGAATAAAGGGCACGATCTGTCAGCAAGTGGGCAGACAAACGAGCTGTCATGCAGGATAAGGCACTGGCGCCTAGACGCGGGCCCCGCCTTACGACCCGCCTTACGGTGGAGCCTTATGCTGCATATGCGCTAGGCTGCATCCGGTGTGGCGCGCGTTACTGTGCATGCCGCCATCTCGGACGCTCCATCTCGCCATTCGCCAGCAAACACCCCGGACTCGATCTCTGACAGGGGGACTTATCACAAAGTATCAGAATGCCATGTTGCAGAGCACACAATGCCATGGGATCGCGGAATATCTTCGAAAAGACTCTGCATACTTCAGATATATAAGTCCCCCGAAATCCGCCATTCAGCACGAAATGAACAACAGACACCATCACCACCATCACCAGCAACACTCATCCATCACCTTCTACTACCACCACCACACCATCATCTCCTCAGGCCTCAGCCACCGAAACCATCAGCATGCCCAACCTCGAGCAATACGTCGACTTCAACCCCGAGAAGGAGACCCCCTCCCTCGCCGGCAGAGTCCTCTTTGTCACTGGTGGTGAGTCCAGAACAGTCTCCACCGAATCCTCCAAAATGCCCTCAAGCGTCACCATCACCAACTAACTCTCCCCTCCCCGATCCACACAGGCACCGCAGGTCTGGGCAGAGCAACCGTCATCTCCCTCGCCCGCCACAGCCCCGCCCACATCTACTTCACTGGCCGCAACGCCTCGGCCGCCGCGGACCTCTTGGCCGAGATCAAGCAGATCGACCCGGCCGTCGGCACCACCTTCCTCAAGATGGACATGAACTCGCTCGCCGACGTCAAGAAGGCCTGCGTCGACGGCTTCAGGCACTCCCGCCTCGACCTCGTCGTCTGCAACGCGGGCGTCATGTACATCCCCGTCGGCCTCAGCGCCGACGGCTTCGAGAACCACTTTGCCATCAACCACCTCGCCCACGCCATGATCCTCCGCGTCCTCATGCCCGTCCTCGCCCGCACCGCCACGGACCCCAAGCTAGACAATGTCGACGTCCGCGTCGTCTCGCTGTCCTCCGACGCGTGGCGGATCCACCCCAAGGACGGCATCACCTTCTCCACCATCCGCACGGAGCAGAAGAGCTGGGTTGGCGGTGCCTACCGCTACGGGTGAGTTTATATCTCTCTTCTTCTTCTCCTCCTCTAATATGGATTGAACTCCCTCTCTACTCCCCCTGTTGGCAGACCTTGAATTAACAACAATATTCATCGATCCAGCCAGTCCAAGCTTGCCAACCTAGTCTACGCCTCTGCCCTCTCACACCACGTCCCCGCATCCTCGGCAAACCACAACAAACCAAACAGCAAGACTAAGGGCATCAAGTTCCTCTCGGTCCACCCGGGCGCCGTCACGACCGGCCTGACCACCACCAAGCTCTCCACGCTCGACCGCGCCGCCATCAAGGCCTACACCCTCTACGCGCGCATCACCATGATGGACGAGTCCCAGGGCCGCCTGAGCCAGCTGTGGGTCGCCGCCGGCGCGCCCCGGGACGAGCTCGTCGACGGCGGGTACTACATGCCCGTCGGGCGCCTCAGCCAGGACAGGCTGGACGAGATGGCCAAGAGCGAGGAGCTGCGGGACGAGCTGTGGCGGTTCACGGAGGAGGTCTTGGATGGATTCTGAGCTTTGTTATTGTTGTTGTTGGAGCGAGGGATATTCTTAGGTGCTGATTGAGAAATTCTTTTTCAGATGGCGGGGATATCTGTGAGATTTGTCTGGGTTTTCTATTCCCCTTTCCTTTTTTTTTTTTCCTTTTTTATCCTTCCCTTTGTCCAGTTTTCATTTTTTAGATAGATGTATGCTTTGAGTTGTCTAGATAGAGTGTGCTTTGAGCGATATTGTATAACACGAGCCCTAGTTTTCATTATCCGTTCGTCTTCACAGACCGTGCATTTTAAGTCTAGCTGGCACTCAGTCCCATGCAGCTGTATATGGTACCTCTCCAATTGACAGCCCTTGAAGAGGGTAGCTCGAATGCATCGTGCAAACCGCTTGAGAACTCTTCCTCCCCGGTTCCCAGGTATTACATCAAAATACCCTGTAGTTGGTAATGTTTGGCTCCAGTATGCCTACTTGGACCTTGCCTCTTGACTACGAGGCCAAGCTCGTGCTGAGCCAAGGCTCCCCCCCACCACCGAAAGGGGATGTTTGCCGACGTTTGGCCGGCCAGCTGGCTGCCAGAAAGGCTACAAGGGTATAAGCCATCGAAAACGTGTTCCCGTGGCGACCCAGACGACGGAGGAACAGGAAGTGCTGGAACTCTAGGTGCGTTGTTGTCGTTTCAGTCATTGGGAGGAATGCCGCACGGGCCTCTGCGCTGTGCCAAGATACCTTTCCAGCGTCGTACAGAATGACAAACCCGAGTCGGCGGGACAGTCTTCATGTCTCGCACGCCAGTCATCCATCACCAGATACTCTTCGTGCCACACATCCCCGCCGCAGAGCGTGTAACTCAGCTCCAGTCTCTCCTGGGAGTTCCGCCCCGCGACAACATGCACCCAGCTGGCCACCTCGACCCTTCGCCAAACGGGGACCTGGTCCATGCGCTCGACGACCGCCGCCGTCGTCGTGGTGCCGCTGCTGCCGCCCGTGCTTTCGTCTCTACCACCGCCACCACCACCACCACCACCACCACCACCAATACCTTGCTCCTCAATCTCAATGATCCGCTCCACGACCGTCGCGGCAGTGCGGCTATCCCAAACGGCCTCCCTGACCATCATCCCACGGAGCAGCTTCACCGCGTCCCTGCGAACCACGGGATCGCGGCACTTTTGGCCAATAATGTACAGCGAGGGCAGCACCCCGATCTCGGGCGTGAACGACGGCGGCGTCTTCCGCGCGGTGGTGGCGGCCGCCCGGGTCGTGTACTCGTCGTGCAGGGCGGCGACTTTCGCAGCCAGGGTGAGGCACTGCCGGAACTGGGGCAGGTAGGCGTCGTATTCTGCCTCGCGGCCTGGGCCGTAGGAGGCGAGGAACGTGGTCGCGGTGAGGTGTTGGAGGCGGAGGAGGTATACGAGGCGGCGGTGCTCGTGGGTACGGGGGTCATTTGCTGAAGCTGGAGAAGGACCGGACGGCTCCTCTGACTGGGAGCCTACTTGTGACTGTGAAGGGTGTTGTTGTTCGCGAGCCAGGGCCTCGAAGCGCGTCTGCCAGGCCCCGAGGTGATCGAGAATGCTGGCCTTGAGAGCCGTCGTGGCGGAGAAGGATGGCTCCGCGGTGGGGAAGATTTGTTGAGTCGAGTTGCGCAGGTCCATGACCTGGGCGACCAATAGTTCTAGGTGGTCGTTGGCTTGCTCGAGGGAGGTGAAACCGCCGCCTGGGGGCAAGCCGGCAACGAAAGGCAGTGAACCAGGCTGCAAGTCCCTTGGGGTCCACTCGGCCAGGTAGATGGTCGCCTGCAGATCGAGACGCCTGATCTGCCTGGTGATCTGGCCGAGCACTGCCTCGATGTCTGGGGTCATCTCCTTCGAATTTGCTTGCAGGCTGCGGCTGGTGCTTCGTGGAGCTGATTCTTTGGCCTGCCTGACGTTTCTCGACAGCTCGATTCCCCCTCGGAGGTGGTGCAGTGCTTGTGCGTAGTTGCCTGACAGGCTGTCGATGCAGGTGAATAGGTAAGACAGCAAGATGGTCACGGCCGTGTCCATGCAGTCTTGGGTCTTGTGCTCATCGAGGAGATGCTGGATGGCCTTATTGTAGTGCAGGAGTGCAGCTTCCTCGAGGTGGCCCCACTGGGAGGCCCGCAGTTGACCTGTCTGCTGCTCTGCATGTCGTCTATAGACGATGGCCAGGGCTGTTGCGGCATGGCGGGCTGCTGGTATGGTCTGGGCGAAACACATAAGGGTGTTCCGCCAGGTCTCTGACGGGTGGTGCTCATCAAGGTGCATGATGGAAATGCTCTCGAAGAAGAGCAACGCGTCTGCTTGATGAGGACCGGAGAGCGGCAAGATCAGGAGGGGCCCAATGTTCTGCACCTTGAGCCGCTGAAGTCTGTGTCCCTGGGAGGATGGGGTTCCGAGAGCGTCCTGTGCTCCGGGAGGGGCATGAGTATGTCCAAGGGGCCGTCTCTTGTCAACGTCCAGGCCGCCACTTTCTAGTTGGTGCGTTTCTGGTTCGGCAGTGACAGGCGGCGGGGCATAGCCGTCGCACTTGCGGCCCGTGGATGTGCATTTAGTGCACGCCGGTTGTGTAAGATCACACTTGATTCGCCTTATCCTGTTTGTCCCCGTCCCGACTGGTCAATGGTGAGCTCCCGTCGTTGTGCCTGAGGGGAGAGGGGGAACGACTTCTTACTTGCAGGTCTTGCAGCCAAGCCTGGACTTTGGGGCGAACTTGCGAGGCTTCTTCCTCCAGGCCTGGGCGGCTCTCTTGGCTTCTGCAGGGTCGACAGCGCTGCCCATGCTCGCTCGCTAGCTCGTGCTGGTGGTGGTGGAGGGACCTCTGAGGCGAGATATCGCGGGGTGTGAGGACTACATCTTGGCCCGTTGTCTGTGTGTGTACAAGTAGGTGTTGGGCGTTATGTGGTGTGGCGGAAGCACGACCAGGGGAGCAACCGATGCCTGGACTCAAGTGGGCCTGGAGCACCGTTGGCCCCGCTCTATCAACAGCTTCCATTGGCCGGCTCGTAGAGGTGGAACTCCAGTTTCGAGAAACCAGAACCCCGCCTGTAACGGGACATTGTGACGCAAGTACATGATTGGCTGCCTCGAACAGCAGGCTCCCAGTCGGCTTGCATGCAGGATTATTTCCATAAACGGCATAAGCTTGGTGAAATTGATGTCTGGCGAGCCCTGGGGATGTCCCTATGCGTTCTCCACCTTGGACAACTCATAGATGGTGCCGATTCGCCGGGTCGTATAACACGCCTCCCCTAGTATGATTCCCAGTTGAGGCTGAGTCTGGCATGACGTATAGTCTTCATTAACAAGGGCGACGAGAATCTCCCGCGTAAGTCATATAAGAGAGTCCTTCGTTTTCCAGCGTCAAGGCTCTATCCAATCCCATGATCATCTGAAGACATCTCAGTATCATCACCCCGAGAGACCTAGGAAACAAACTTGCCGACGAACCCAATCAGAGCCATGCATCGCAGATGTTTGGGACTTGCCCTGATGGCAAGCGTGGGCTGCAAAGCCGCTTGCCAGACTGGGCCGACGATGGTCCATAGCTTCGAAGACGTGGGTGCTCACTATCGCCGCTGTTCAGGCCACATGCTACGGCGTGCTAATACACATCGCCCAGATCACATCCTCCACCAACATAACTTGGACGCCATGCTTTGACAACTTCCTATGCACAAAGTTGCAAGTGCCTCTAGACTACGCCAACACCAGCCTTGGAACCACCGACGTGGCCTTCGTCAAGCTGCCTGGCAAGAATGCCACCGCCGACACTCCCAACATTGTCTTCATCATGGGCGGCCCGGGAGGCTCTGGCATCGACATGCTCGTCTCCGACCCCGACCGCCCGAGGGCCATCTTTGGCGAGCAATACAACATCGTCTCCTTCGATCCTCGCGGTATCAACAACAGCGGCCAGACGCTCGATTGCTTCTCCGGCAACGACGCCGCCCGCGAGACCTTCATCGGCCTGCACAGCACCGGCACCACAAACACCTCGACCGAGTCCTTGCAGGAACAGTTCTACTCGAGCCCCATCTACGCCGACTCGTGCGAGGCCGCCATGGTCACGGCCAACTCGCCACACGCATACTACGTCACAACGCCGGCCGTGGCCCGCGACCTGCTCGCCTACACGGAAGCCGAGGTCACCGCCTGCGGCCAGAACCCGCAGGACGCCAAGCTGTGGGCATATGCCGTAAGCTACGGCACCGTCACGGGCGCCACCTTTGCGACCCTATTCCCGGAGCGCGTCGGGCGGCTCGTGCTCGACGGCGTCATGAACGCGGAGCAGTACTACGATAACGTCTGGCTCGACAGCATGGACCAGACGGATGCCGCGGTCGAGTACTTTGCCGAGACGTGTCACGCCGCCGGGGCCGACGTGTGTCCCTTCTGGGGCCCTTCGGCCGAGGATATCCTGGGCAGGCTGGACAGGCTGATCGAGCAGCTCAGAGACCACCCCGTCCCCATCAGCGGAGTCCAGGAGGGCCAGCTGCCAACCATGGTGACCTACGCAGACATCAAGGCGCTCCTATTCGCCGCGGTATACACACCGCCCGAATCGTTCCCCGGGATGGCCGAGACGCTGTTCCAGGTGGAGAGCGGGAACGCGTCTGCGCTCGCGGGGACATATGCCGGGCTGGCGGCGGGCAAGACGGACCCGGGCCGCCAGATCCAGTGCGCCGACGCGGCGCGGCGCAACAAGATGGCCACAATCGAGCAGTTTGCGCAGTACGTCGAGGCCACCACCTCCAGGAGCAGGTACGTCGGCGACGTATGGCCCATGGCACTCGACGGCGTGCTGTGCAGTGCGCTGAGGCCGGAGCTCCCGGAAAGCATGTTGATGCAAGGTGAGCGAGCGCGCGCGCGTCCTCGATTTCCCGGCTTTCCCGTTGCCCCCAGACACGGTCGCGTAATCTCATGATGAGGCTCGTGCATCCGGGGCCCTAAGCCGCAGTATCCGAGAACGTCGCTGACATACTTTTTCTCTGCGCCCCATTTGACCACAGAACCTATCGGCGCGTTCGAGAAACCCACGGCCTTCCCGATCATGGTCGCGAGCAACACTGTCGATCCTCTGACGCCCTTGAATGTGTAAGCCGTTCGCAGTGCTATTGTCACGTGAGGAAACGCCGTACTGACTCTATTTATACCTGGTGCAGGGCCAAAACGACCTCTGCTCTTTTCAAGGACGCTGTCCTCGTGCAGCAGCAAGGCGTTGGTGTAAGTGACACCCGACCGAGCCCCGTCTTCTTGATTCAACCCCCCTGTCCTTGTCGCGAAGGTTCGCGCATTGCTAACATATAGTTTGCATGGGGGCGCAGCATACCGTTGTTGGCCTCTCCGGATCGACGTGCTACTTCACCCACCTGCAGATGTACTTTGCGGGCATTGTTCCGCCGGCGAACGTGACGTGCCCGCAAGAGCATATCCCGTTCAAGCAGTGAAGATAGGTGGAACACGGAGAATGAGGCATACATAAGTGGTTGTTTGCAATGGGGACACGGCTTGCAGGTGGTGTAGATCATCTTGATGGCTTGGTTAGTGCTGTTCTTCGTCACTGCGGTACGAGGCAAATAGCTGCCTGTCAATATCTACTACTACTATACTTGACAAAGAGACCTGGGGTATTCTGGTATTTTGGTCCACATAATTAATCGGACTCGCTGCTGACCAGCATCTGTCTCGATCGTCACCACATCCCTGGCCAGCTGCCCCAAAGAGGAAGGCGTGTGCGACAGCGGAGCATTGGCCCGGCATTAGTGAGCGCCCATCCCGTCCCGGGATTTGATAGTCGAGAGAGACATACGTCAATTACTCCAAGACATGGACCGGGGCCGTGCTTATGCGCAGGATCCGTCCATGCCAGATTAAAAAACACTGCCAGCCTCGTCCTCGTCCTCGTCCTCGTTCGTGTCCTGCTGCTCGTGCCAGCACGCACTGCAGTGAATTCCCTCGCGTTCTCTGGTCAATTGTCAGTCGTGACTCTTTTTGTGACCATAATTGATTGAGCAGACTCGACATATTTACCAGCCATCATGCAATCCATGACGACGTGGCTGCTCCTCGCAGCACAGAGCATCTTCACCGCTGCCGCGGCCGAGCCCACTGCTATCAACCAGGCCCTCGACGTCACCTACCACGGCCTCGAGCGCAATGGCATCGAGCTGTTCCTCAACATCCCCTACGGCCTCGACACGGGCGGTGAGCACCGCTTCAAACCGCCTCGCCCAGCAGTACCCCTGCCGGGCAGCACCGTCGAGGCCACCAACTACGGGCCCTCGTGCCCGCAATCCCTGGGCACGTCGTCGCCCCCGCTCGCGCAGGGCAACATTACACAGGTCTCCGAGGACTGCCTGAACCTCAACGTCGCCCGGCCCAAGGGCACCACGGCCAAGGACAAGCTGCCGGTGCTCGTGTGGATCCACGGCGGCAGCTTCTGGGCCGGGTCCAACGCGGAGCCCACGACGCGGCCCGACGGGCTGATTCTCGAGTCCGTGGCTAATGGCATCCCCGTGATGCACGTCGCCATGAATTACCGGCTTGGCTGTGAGTATCAGATTCTCCAGTCTACTTCTTTCCTGGGTGACGAGCTGCTGACAAGCACAACACCGGCTTCCGCGAACAGTCTTTGGCTTTGCCCAGTCGGACGCGCTACAGCAGGAGGGCTCGGAGAACGCCGGGCTGCGCGACCAGCGGCTGGCGATCGAGTGGGTGCGCGACAACATCGGGCACTTTGGCGGCGACGGGAGGAGGATCACCATCTTCGGGCAGTCGTCGGGCGGGCTGGCCGTGGGGATGCAGATCATGGCGTACGGCGGGACGCAGCCGGTGCCGTTCCAGCAGGGCATCTGCGAGTCGCAGGCGCTCGAGCCGGGCATCACGGCAAACTTTACCATTGACGCGATGCAGCTGCTCGTCGACGCCGTGGCCTGCAACACTTCGGCGCTGCACTCCCCCGAGACGGTGGCCTGCCTGCGGTCCCTCGACACCGAGACGCTCCGCCTGGCCGCCATCGACACGTACATTGCCGACATTGCCCACAACATTGGCGACATCTGGCTCCCCGTGGTCGACGGCGACTTTCTGCCCGCCGCGCCCTCTGTGCTCGCGAAAGAGCACCGCTTCGCCACCGACGTGACGACCATGATCGGCTGGGCGGACAGCGACGTCGCGTTCTACACGGACAGCAGCATCGCCACCCCGCAAGACACGCACAAGTTCATCGCCGACTACATCCCCTACGTCACGCCCGCCAACATCGACACCCTGCTGGGCCTGTACCCCGTGGGCGAGTTCGCCGCCGACGCCGCGCGCAGCCAGGGCACCCTGTCGGCCGAGTTCTTCCGCTCCGCGCGCATCTTCCGCGACATCATCATGGCCTGCCAGCCCGTCTGGTTCGGCGGCAAGGTCGCGGCCGCCGCGGACCCGGGGACCAAGGTCTACCTGTACGACTGGAACCAGACGGTCCTCGAGCCCGCGCTCGACTTCCTCAGCAACAAGACGGGCTGGGGCCCCGTGCACACCTCCGAGTTCGCCTACATCTTTGGCAACGTGAGCGTGTACGACGTGCCCGGCTTCCCCTTCACCGCGACCCCGGCCGACTACGCCCTACAGAGCCGCGGGTCGCGCAGCTGGTCGACGTTTGCCGCGACGGGGAAGCCCGGTGGGCTTTGTGGCAAGGACACGTTCCAAGGATTTGACCAGGCGTTTCCCCAGGGCGAGGATGGAGAGACGTATGTCTTTGTGGTTGGGGGTGCGGACGAAGGGCTGTCGGCGTTTGACGGACCGAGAGCGAGTGAGGCCATTGCGGCGCAGCGGCTCACGGAACGGTGCGCTTTTATCAACTCGGACGAGATGATTGAGCAGCTGCGGTACTGAGGATGAGATTGTTGTCCGTGGAGAAGTATAACGAGGTGCAGGGGTAGTAGAATCAGGGTTCTCGTCACGGTTGAAGCTGGCTCGCGGGACTTGAAGCAGTTTTCGTTGGCAGCCACGTCACACCGACTAAGGAATATACTTGATATTAGGCTGGTTCTCCAGCTTTGTATATTCATGCCTACATGCACTTCAATCAGCGCGTGAAATGTCACTTCAACCGCCCAAACGCTGCCCCTGAGCCCCCTCCGAGCACCGCCGTTCCTGTTTGCACAACCCTCATCACAACGGGGAGCCAGACGCGGCGAGAAATAAACACTGCCTGGCCGACCGCAGCCACGAGTCCGATCCGTGTGAGCCAGTCCCACTTGGCCTGCTGGAGAATCGGCCCCGCAAACTTCTGGCGTGTCTGGGCAAACGACGCACTCTCGTTGGTCCTGTTTCATGAGCATGAGAGCCAAGGTCAGCACTCAATTTTCGCTAAAAGGGGATACCAATAACATCAGAGAGTCAAGAGAAGGGGAAGCGTCTAGGTAGACACAGGCATAGACAAAGACATACCTCGGAAACGGCACCTCCCTCCTGACCCCATCCTCGCCAACCACACTCGGCACCTCGACGCCCAGAAACTCACAGAGCGGGGCCCACCCATCCTGGACAGTAAACTCGATCCGCCTCCCGGGGGCAATCCTGGCCCGGCACTCTCCATAATAACCCTCGAAGAACGCGAGGGCCTTCTCGCGAGCGTCCTCGTCGTGCCACTCGAACCGCCACACCTCGGCCTGCTTCTTGTCCAGGTTCGCGGCGAGCGCCCGCACCCGGGGGTCCCACCACGTCACGAGCCGCAGCAGCGCCTGCCGTAAAGGTTGCGCGCGCTGGGTGAACGTCGCCTGGCACGAGGCGAACCACGCCTCCGGGTCGCGGTTCAGGATGACGACCTTGGCGTCTGGGTATAAAGCTGCGAGCTCGGCGCCGAAAAAGGCCCCCGGGACGTCGACGACGGCTGAGTAGCTGCCGAGGATGGCGTCAAAGCCGTTGCGCGAGAGCATCATGGCGCCTTGGCTGGTGTTGTACTTTGCGTCAAAGGCCCGGTCCCAGAGGCGGATGTTGGCGAGCGAGTCTTGCCATAGGTTGAAGGAGTGGTAGGCCGGAATGCCGAGGATACCTAGGGCTGCTTGCATGCCTATTTTTTTGTTGTTGTAGTTGTTCCATATTATTAGTTAACTCTGTTTTTTAGGCCAACATGCACATAGAGCATGAAAATGTCAGGGAGTGTTATTGCTCGGAGGGGACTGCTGCATACTGGCTGTGCCGGTCCGGCCGAGACCACAGACAATGACCTTCATGGGCAGCGTCCGGGGACTGCCGGCGCCGAAGAGCAGCGCCCTCGCATCGTCCTGGTCCGGACCTACGAGGATGGTGCTGCCGGTGGCTTTGTTCGCTGCAGGCATGTCAGGTGTGTGTGCTTGCCAATGATCACTGCGCGAGAGGGGGCCTTGGTCCTGCTTGGTGCTGGGACTCGCCGGGCTTTATGCCAAGACCCCGGACAGATGAAACCTGGTAATTATATTGACGATAGCCTATGGGATATCTCGATGACCGAAGGGGGACCGACGTAAGCTGCTCCATTGCCAGCGAAAGAGATGAAGCTAGCCGTGCTGAGGATAGTCTGGGCGGAGTCCTGTCAGCACTACCGCAGGAGGCAACTCTGCCGTTTCAGTCACGGTGTACATACTGATGCACGGGCAGGGGTGAGATCCGAACCGACCTATCGGGCCTGTATTTGTAATTGCAAGCGAATCCAGAGAGAGGCCAAGCATTCAGGCGGGGCCCCTTGGCATGACAGATAGTTTCACGGTGTTTCTTGACTGGCCAGCAGGCTCGCTATGCACCGCCCCCATGGAAGCGATACCCGGCTGGCTACAAAGTATTGCATACCCGACTACTTGACTTCTGCACAGGTGCGCCCTGAGACCCCTACTAGTCTCGCCACCACGCCGCCGTTTCTCAGGACCCTGGGACAACGGGCGGATACTACTCGCACGCTGCAGAAAGCCCACAGAAGATGGTGTTGCCTTATTTATTCCAGGGTGCGAGCTGAGCTCCCACCAGCTCTGGAGCCCGCGCTAAAGGGGACTCCCGCGCGCCATCTTCTTCCCTCTACACTTTCCATCTCAGTGCTCCCGCCCGTCCCATCTCGCCAGATAGACTGGCAGGCAGACAGACGCACACTATGGTTCTTCTCGAAAAGACAATGTCGGCGCTACCCCTCCTGGGGGCAGCTGCCGCCGCCGCCGCCCTCGCGTATCTGCTCGCCCGCGCCTTCACACAGCGCCGCTTCTACCGCAACGTGCCGTGCCCGCCGCACTCGATGTTCTGGGGCCACCTGAAGCTGCTGGGCGAGTACACGGCCAGGATGCCCAAGGGCGGCTACATCCAGCAGGCCATTACGCAGATGAAGCAGGACTACGACCTACCCGACGTCTTCTACCTCGACATGTGGCCCGCGACCAGCGGGTTCGTGTGCATGACGGGCCCCGACGCCACCGCGTACCCGACCACCACCAACGTCTGGCCCCAGGCGCCCATCGTGACCGACTTCTTTGTCGAGACGACCGGGACCACCTTTATCGAGGCCACCAACGGGCCCCTGTGGAAGGAGCTGCTGCACCGCATCGCCCCGGGACTGACCCCGACCACCATCAAGGCCTACTTCCCCGCCATCGTGGCCGAGGCCTGTAGCCTGCGCGACGAGCTGGCCAGGAACTCTGGCGCCGGCGCCCCGGCGGTCCGCATCTCGGACGCCATCGGCCGCTACCCGTTCGGGGTCATTGCCCAGGTCATCTGCGGCGAAGGGCTGGGTGAGGACGTGTACCGGGACACGCTGCGCGTCGCCGAGCTCCAGACGCTCAAGCAGACCCCCGGCGCCCTGTTCCTGCCGTGGAACAAGTGGGCGTACAAGCGCGAGGTGGCCGCGTGCCTCGGGCGCATCGACGCCGTCTTGTTGACGAAGGTGAGGGCCAGGTTCGCGGAGCTGGCGCGGGACAAGGCGGCGGCCACGCAGCGGATTCTGGACCGCCTGTTGCTGCCGAGCGTCAAGCAGGGCCTGCCGCTCGACTCGGCGCTCGAGACGCTGTGCCTGTCAAAGTAAGTTGTTGGCCTGTGGAGTTGTGTCTCTTGTGTGTGTGTGTATGTATAGAGAGAGAGAGAGAGAGAGAGAGATGAGTGCTGACTATCTATCGTCTGGACAGCATCAAGGGCCTCATCATCGCCGGGTATGGCACCACAAACGACACCTCAACGGTATGTGGCTCTCGAGCGGAATGTCTCACGGACAGGCCAACCTTACCACGAAAGTCATGTGACTGACCGACTGACTGACTGACTGACCTGTTGCCTTGTGTTTCCAGTTCATTTGGCTGCTCCTGCACACGCATCCGGAGATCCTCGAGAAGCTTCGCGACGAGCACGACCGCGTGTTTGGCAAGGATCTCGACGCGACCCTCACCAAACTGCGCGAGAACCCGGGCCTGCTCAACAGCCTCGAGTACACCACGGCCGTCATCCACGAGACTCTGCGGCTCTTCCCCATCGGCATGGTCGTCCGTGCGGTGCCGCCAGGACTGTATGTGCAATAATCAGATTCATGCTCCCCCCTCCTGCCTTTCTGCCAAAATCTATCAAAGGAGCCCCTCTGGCCAGCCAGGTAAACCCCAAGGACAAAAACAATGGTCCTCAGGCTGACTTCTTTCAAAACCCCCGCAGGAAATCCATGTCCATTGGTGGCAAAGAACATCCCGTCCTGCCCGACCAGATGGCCTGTATCGTCTCGCACGCGATGCACTACAACGACGAGTACTTCCCCGACCCCAAGCGCTTCCTGCCGGACCGCTTCCTCAACGACCCAGCGGCGTCTGCGCTCGTCACGGACGGCACCGGCCAAGCGACCTCTTCCTCTGGCAGCGATGACGACGAGAAGAAGACCGCCGCCGGCGGCAAGATCGGCAACGGACCCATTCACCCGCGCAACGCGTACCGCCCGTTCGAGCGCGGCCCGCGGGGGTGTATCGGCCAGGCCCTCGCGATGGAGGAGATGAAGGTCCAGCTCGTGGTGCTGGCGCGGTCGTTTGACATGGCGATCGAGAAGGTGGAGGAAGCGGGCGAGAGCAAGGCTGATGTCAAGGAGCCGACCTTTGGGCACATGGACATGGAGAAGAAGCTTGGCAGGCACGCTCTGCAGGTTGCTGGTTTCACGGCCGGGCCTGCCGGACCGGTATTGATGAAAGTCCGCCCCCGGGGTGGTCTGGCGGCGGCGGCCCGGTAGATGGTCGGGGGATGTGCTGATGAGAGAGCAGGTGGGGAATAATGGGGATGGTACGTCTGTCTGCTGGCTGGACTGTGAGTTTCCAGGGGTTCGCTCTACACCACGGCCGACGGCTGCACCTACATGAGATCCTTCAGTTTACCGAATTGTATTAGTGCATGGTAAACTTCTCCTAAGGCCTAGTGTCCATTTGTATTCAGAAATGGACCATCCCGAAGCTCACGGCTGGAATCGCTCGTTGATCGTGACAAACGCGTAACTTCAGCTGGTGCTTCCGTCACTACGCCCTTGGTCTAGCGAGGGCTACAAAGACCTCTCGCACTGAAGCAGCGCCTCATGGGACGACTTGATTGCTCGTTGATATGTTGGCTGCATGTTAGAACCGGGCGTCAGGGAGCATGCATCTCACAAATGCTCCAAATTTGAGGCCCGTCAAAGTCGACTGGGATGAGGCGGTCGAACACGACTTGTTATTGTGCTATGTAGGCCTCATGAATCTTCTCCAGGCTATGATTTCAGCCGTGTATGCCAAAAAGAAGCCGTCGCACTATTACCTCACGCCTTGCCCTCTACAAACTCTACACCCGGTCCGGGAAGACGCCAAGAGAGCGACATGAGCAACCATGACATATACCTCCTTGCCGCCGAGAGCTCGCTAACTGACTGACCGGCCCACCGCAAGAAGCTCAAGCAGCCCCCATGATCCCGGAATTGACCAATCTAAGACACGCCCGTGCCAATCTGCGGGAAGCCACATCCGCCCGCCTAGCCGAGAACAAGGTCGAAAGCATCCCGTCGCTGGAACCAATCGCCCCTCGCCGGTCTGAGACATGTCAGGGAGATTAAACTCACGAACTAGTCCAGCTTCGTCGAGTGACAGGACTAATGCGTCCAACCAACTGACAATGTCTCATTCCCAGCTAGGACGCAAATGTCCATGGCCGGGTTTTTTTTTCGCACTAAGGCTAGCAAGCTGTCTGGCTTTGTTCGACATGGCAGCTAGGTTGCGCCCGCAAGAAGCCTATTCCCCTAATTCGAGGCCAGATCGCGCGGAGGATGCCGAGGCCAAGCTATTGACCCAACTGCGGACGTCATGAGAATCCGAAATGGAGGGTAGAGCAGGGCAGGGAGGGTCCCACGAAGGGGTGCTGGATGCGGACTTTGGTGTAGGCTTTTGCGTGTGTTGTGAGCTATAATGATCTTTGTCCGTCGTGGCCTCCCAACCTGCTGACATTTGTTTCCCACCTCTTGGGCTGTCCATCTCGTCATACGTACATCGGCGACGATTAGAGAAAAGACACGAGTACGACTGTCGACTCCCGAGTTCAATCTACTTACACGGAACATTCTCAAACCCTGGAAGCCTCGCCAAGCAGTACTATCATCCCATATCGGACAGCCCAACGCAGCACACACCCTTTTCGCAACTCGCCATAGCGCAGAACAAAGGCAGATTGCAAGCGACAACAACAACAACAACAACAACAACAACAACAAACAATGCAGCTCAAAGCAACCCTCGCCACCACCCTGGTGTCTCTGTGGGCGCTGGGCGTCGCCGCCGCGCCCCGTCCCGATCCCAACCCGGCGCCCAAGAAGCACGGCGGCAGCGTGGCCGAGGACTACGACGACTTTGACGACAGCGGCATCGTCACGGCGCTGTTCAAGGACGCCAACGACCAGGAGAGCCGCGCCGAGTTCAAGATTGGCAGGTGGGCTTTCTCGGGCTGTGAGTCTCATGTTTCTTCTTCTTCTTCGCTGGTGCTGTCTCCCTCCCCGTGTCCCTCTCCCCGACACATACGTGCACGTACTGGCGAGCACGCGCGCTCCATTTCATGTATCACTTTTGCTGCGTGTTTCCGTTTCTTCTCCGAATCATGTGATTATGTTCTCTCCACATCCCCGACCTCAAATGCCGGACCAGTATAGAGAGATGCAGACACTGACTTTGACGGCTCGTGAAAAACACAAACAGTCGCCCCTTATCCAATCCACGTCATCACCCAGGAGGGCCACAAGGCCGTGTGCACGTACACGGGCCAGACGACGGGGTCGTTCAAGATTATGGGCAACGGGGTGAGTCTCCTCTTTTTACTTCTCTTTCCTTCGTCTCGTGCATGTGTGTAGTTGCCCCTGCTGCTGCTGCTTGCCTCGCTTTCGCTTTTCTCTTCTCTGGGGAACACGCCTCGACGTCCGCGTCCCGAGAAAATTGCGCCCGTGAGAATAGCCAAACAAACAGGAAACAACATCTTCGTTCCCGCGCCCGTTCGATTTTGCTCTTGATCTGGGGGATGGGCTTGCTCTGGCTGACAAAAACAATCCTTGGACGGAAACAGAAAGTCAAAGTCACCCCGCCCCAGTCGATCAAGGAGGTCGACTGCTCCGAGCTTTAAGAAACACAGACACTAGCAAAGATGCTGTCGATGAGGGGCGGAGAAGGTTTAGAATCGCCTCTGGGGGTGTGGGGGGGGGGGGTTGCACATAAGCAGAAGTCGGTTGTCTCTATTGAGGCTCTGCACCAGCCAGGTCCCATGCTTCACAGGATGCTCTGGGGGGAAGCTGTCGAGGGGCTTGATGGCGTGGGGAGAAATGCTTGTGGCACGGAGCTGCTTGTTTAATGGTTTCAGGGTGTCTGTTGTGAGGCAGCGTTGGCTGGGGCCGAATGCTGGTGAAATTGCCAGATATGGATATGTTGCATGTGCTGCAGGCGTGTCCGTGAGTGTCCGCTAAGGGAGAAGCAGAAGGGCTTGTATATAATACCAAAACGCTCGGAAAAGGCTGATGGGGTATGTAATGTGCACAGCTCGAGACAGTTTCCGTGAGATAAATTCTTTGTTTGGCAGAATGTATGATTTTCCAGTCTATATATGCAATGATCCCACGCTTGCTAAATGCATTGACAAATGTTCAAGTTAGTTTTGTGCGTTGTGTACGCCTAGAAGAAGGCGCCTTCTACGAGGAAGCCGACGGTGAACTAAGTAAAAGCACAATCAGCAAGACAATACTCATCCCTCCTGACCCGAATGCAAAGCCAAGTATGACCCTGCCATGGCGGTACATACCTTTGTGTGCTCCAGAATATGGTCAAAGTCTAGCGTGTCGTACGTGTCCCTAGACGAGTGAATGAACGGCGACGCGTCCTGGATGGTCTCGTCGCACACGTATGCGGCTGGGTAGCCGACCTCGAACGCGGAGTTACTGCAGCGCGCAAAGCAGTCAGCAAACAGTACAGCACACGCTACCGCGGTTCACGGAAAACAGGGACAAAGCATACTGGTCAGAGCACCCGTAGCCGCACTTGTCCGTCGCGACGGGCAGCTTCGAGTACATGGGCACGATTGTAGTGATGAACTTGGTCAGGGCCGGGTCGACAAAGTCGGTGAACACGGCAATGACGTTGTTGGGCGAGTAGCCCGTCATGTCCTGGTTCATCATGGCAATCACGTCGGTGCCCTTCTTGGCGTAGGCCTGCATCACGTCCCGGGACCCGAGCGTGCCCCCTTCCTCGCCGCTGTAGAAGTGGAACTCGAGCGTGTTGGCGGGCTTGAAGCCGGCCTCAGCGAGCACACGCAGCGCCTCAAGGATGGTGACGATACCCGAGGCATTGTCGTCGGCGCCAGGGGCACGGGCAGTCGCGGATGTGCTGATGGAGTCGTAGTGGGCGGAGACGATGACGACCTTGGAAGCGGACGAGCCGGAGCCGGGGATCTGAGCAATGACGGACGGCTGGTCGTAGGCCTTGTGGACGAACTGGGAGACCACGATGGCCGAATTGGGCTCCGCGGCGGCGGTGACGGCGTCAAACATCCAGTCGGCGGCGTGGCGGGCCCAGCAGCCGCGGTAGTAGCGCGAGAACATGTCGGTCATCTCCTTGGCGCGGGCGACCTGGTTGTCGCCATTGATGGCGGCGAGGAGCGGCTTGGCATCGTCGGCATGCTGGGCCGTGGCCGGGTATGGGTATGAGGCGTTGCCGCTGCCGCCACTCTGCCGAGTCTGGAGGGCGCGGTCGCGGCGGAGGAGCTCCGTGTCGCGGGTGTCTGTGATGTCGACAAAGTGGACGTGGCGAGCGATGAGCATGTCGAACTTTTCCTGCTCTGTGACCCAGAAGCCGTCGTGGTCGAGGGCCGTCTTGACGAGGCGCAGGCCGTGGGTGGCGGAGGGCGAGGCTGTCGTCGTCGATGAGCCCAGGGTCGTGTGGGTGAGCAGCAGGGCCGCGAGGGCGGCAAGTCGTGACGAGGCGATCATGGCGGAGGACGTGGCAGAGGGGCAGTGGCTACTGGCAGAGGCAGAAGCTGGTCGAGGCAGGCTTTGAGTGAGACGAAGACATAGGCAAGTCGGATTGAGCAGAGCAGAGAGGAGGTTGAAATAGAAGTGGTGGCAGATGTGAGGCTGGGCCCGTCTCAGCTGGGGCACCCTTGCAGATGGCCATGGGGTTCGTATGGGGGGTCCAACTACGGCAGTGCAGCAGCTGAGCCGGGGGCGGGCCCGTGCTGAAAGGAAGCCCGAAGCAGGGCAAGCCAGTGGCACCCTCCACTACACCGTCCCCCAAAAATAGAACTAGGGCAGGCACATGGGTCCCGGGGATCTGGCGTAGTGCTGAGCCACAGCGGCTGCCCTCACCGAACAAGAGCCAATTGTCGCAATGTGTGACCAATCGAGACTTCTCCTTCGGTGGTCTCAGTAGTGGCGGCACGGCCATATTCGGATCGACGTCCCCCGTGTGCTGGAGAACATCGTAACGGGTCGAGGAGGTGGATGTTGTCGTCGAGCAGCTGATGATACTGATAGCTATTTTGGGTCAGCAGTGTGACGCCACCTGCCCGTGGCGCAGAGCGGAAGAAAGTGCCGGGCAGCATCGTGGATGACGAAGCTGAAGCCTCCACTTGTGCCATGGACGCAGTCGGAGCCCATACTGGCGACAAATCCAGGCTGGAGACCTCTAGAGACTGGGGACCAGTTGCTCGCTCTCAGGGATTGAACACGGCTGACTTGAGACTGGGTAGGCGAGAGCGTTGGACATTGACGCCACATCATTCGCATGCGCCGGATAATGAATATTCCAAATTGACCGCTCAGATGAGACACCCTCCGTTGTCGACTAGCTGCGAGACATGATACAAGATGATGACAAGCAGCTTGCCGGATCAGAGATCGGAGAATGACTGTCGATAGGACAGGGCATGGCATAGACTGTTTGATGGCATGGCTTTGCGGAAAGCTGTGGCCTTGCCGAGCTAGGATTGTCCCTCTTGCTCGGGCGAAGCTCACAGGAGCGTAGTCCACTCCGGCCACCATGCCAAGAGGCCGCATTGACGCTTGCTGTGCCCGTCGGGGACTTGTGTTTGCACAGCTGGGAGATGTCTGTCTGGCCACGGGGCTGCACCTGTCAGGATCCTGGCTGGGGCAGTGATGTCGTGACCGCGTGGTTGTGACAGCCATAGCAAGATCGGAAGATGCAGGTTCGAGTTTGTCAACTTCTCAGCAAGCTTCCAAAAGTGTACGCTTACCTGAAGGTAGTGTAGCTCCATTCCCCAGTCCAGGTCAGTGGAGGCTCCATCAGTGGTGGGTCGGAGCTGGTGCTGCCCCGCGGCGCGCGCCTGTAGCGCTGCTGCAGCCCACGGCGCATCAACTTTTTCCCACTCCGCAACACCAAAAAACCCCCCGCCATCACCAGATTCTCAACTCCGCACCGCGAAACCTCCAGGCAACACGTCCAAGCTGCAGCACTACAGTCTAGTCATACTCCAAATATACAACGCCCACCATGGCTGCCGACTCCTCCTCCTCCTCCTCCCAGCCCCGCCTCACTGCGACATACACCTCCCCGACCAACGAAGCCTTCACCCTCCCCTCCGAGCCCATCCCGGTCGTCACCTCTGCGTCCTCCGATCCGGCAACAGCAGCAACAGCCCAGCAGAAACAAGCAGCCCTGTCCGCCCTCCGCACCGCGGCAGTGCAGATGCAGCAAGACATCAACGCCCTCCTCACCGCGCGCATGGACGAGGACAACCAGCGCGCCGCTGCTGCTGCCGCCGCCCTCTCAAACGGGACCGCCCCAGCCGGGGAAGCAGACAAGAAGACTGGGGCCAAGAACAAGGCACAGACCGTAGACGAGGACGCTGAGGAGGACAACTATGGTGAGGAGGTTGTAGATGAGGATGAGTAGGAGAAGTTACGCAAAGCACGGTGGCCATACTCGAGGCGTACCAGTCAGGGAGGCACGCAGGCAGGCAGGCAGGCACGTCCGGGTACAATGGAAGATTCTGCTGGGCCACGTCAGTCATGTGGCCGGGCATTGGCTTTTTCCGCGAGGCGAGATGACCTGCAGCCAGCGAGCAGACAACAGCATGACGAGAGCACACCAAGCAGCAACGAGGCATGTGCGCGCGCGGAGGAAAACTTGGGGGTATATATGGATACGCTTATCCTCCCGCGACCACAACCCATTACGACGAACACCCACCATCACTGGCGGGACGAGTCGTCCGCATATCTGTCTTTCACCACAACCTCTACGTCTCTCTCAGCCCGCTATATACACTGCGGCCAGACCACCGCCGCGCTCAGCCACTCCGGCCCCACGACCCGGCAACCCGATTGCCCACCTGCTGCTGCTGGCCACTCCTCCCCAGGCAGCCGTAATGCACCGCGCTGTTATCCGGCAGCACCGCGATCACCGTGTTGCCAATCCGCTTGTGGCACACCCTGCACACGCGCTCCTCACTGATGACCACCCGGCGGTTCCTTCCGCCTTGGCCGCCCGGCACGCCGTCACCGAGCAGCAACAAGGCCTGCGTGTTGACAAACTGCGTCTTGCGCAGGCCCTCGACGATGCGTGACTCGTTGACCACGCTGTTGGCCGCGCGTATCCGGCCCCGGAAGTACGACTCGAGCTCCTTCACGGGTAGATCGTTGGGGATCAGGGAAACGGTGGAGGTCGCAGGGAGGCGTGAACCGTGGCGGGAGAGCAGTGACAGCGCCGGCTCCAAGTTGGGCTTGTGCGGCGCAGGAGGCGCCATGTAGAGCGACAGGAGGGTGTGGTAGATGGACTGCGCCGCGTCCTGCTGCTTGGCATCATCCTCGTCATAGTCGTCGTCGTCTGCGAATCCGGCCTTGCTCCCCGTGGCAGTACTCGGGCGCGAGCGAACGGGGGATGACGGATCGCCGGCGACATGGATACGGTTGCAGTATCTGAACGAGACGAGCGTGGATATTTGTTAGCCTAGTCTCACGATAGACAAAAATGACGAGCACATCCAGGCAAGGAATGACCCACTCTTCGGCTTTAGCAAAGTCCTTGATCTTGAACACATAAATCTCGAGCGCCTGCTTGTGCTGGCCCATGTTGCTCAGCACGACAGCCTGCGCCTCGTAGAACGCGGGGTCTGCGGAAGTAAATATCTAGTGTTAGCCGATTTGCAGTGTAATTATGGCAGCAAGCCGAAAGTAATGAAATGCACGCAGTGCCGAGAGAAACTCACCATCCTTGGGCAGCAGGTTATGAGCCTTGTACAGCCCATACTGACTGCTCTCCCTCAAGAACGCCACGAGACTCCCCAGCCGCTCATGCCACTCGTCGCCGCGCTGCTCCGGGTCTTCCACGTTGCGCAGCATCTGGACCAGCAGCTCGACGAGGCGATTGTGGAAGTCTGGCGTCCCGTCCGACAGCTCGCCGATGATGTGCTCTAGGTATCGCGCCTCGAGCTCCGGGCTGATGTCCCCGAGAAACTTGACGACCCGGTCGCGCGGCAGGGTTTCGGCGTTCTCGCTGTCCGCGACAAAGACCTCCATGCCCAGGTCCGGGTCGCGCCGGAGGACCCACTCGGCGAACTCGAGGACCAGGTCGATCTTGTCGGGCGGCAGGGACTGCAGGTAGCCTACTGTCCGCCGGGGGCCTCGGAGCTGTTCGGGGATCTCGACCTCTTCAGGCGGTGGCGTTGTGGTAGTGTCATCGCCGTCGGTGGAAGTAGATGTTGTGCCCTCCTCTGCGCTCGTGACGGTGACCTTGCCGTTGGCTGTCTCCTCGTTGCCGAATCTCCGGAGCAGTTCGAGAGCCTCGCGATGCAGCTTCTTGCCGTAGAAGAAGTCGACGAGCTCGTTGTACCGATTGTGCTCGAGGAGCTTCTCGTTGACCACGGCCGGGTCACAGAAGTTAGGGATGCGGAAGAGCGATCCCGCAAGTGAAGGGCTGGCGAACATGTATCCTCTAAATAATGTCGTGTCCACTAGTGTGAAGGTGTCGCGCAGCTCCTGCTCCAGCGACTCGTCCGATTGAGATCGCGGGTTGGTGAGCAGTGCGTCCAGGCTGTCGGCGTGGCTGACAGTCGACTGGCTCGTGCCAAGCTCGGGCTTCCGCGGCTTCAGCTTGCCCGTAGCTGGGTCGATGTACCGTTGCAGACGGGCGCGTGTGCCTGCGAGGTAGCTGTTGAGCTCTCGCACTGCTGTCATGAGCTCTTTATTGTCCATGGCGCCATCTTCCGCGGGCTTGGGCTTGGGCGCGGCCTGGATGCTCGCATTGTCGTCCTCGGGCACGGTCTTCTGGGTCGAAGATGCGATGGACGCAGCGTCAGAGTCCGTCTTACGGTGGCCGCCTCCAATCCAGTAGCTTGCGAACCCTCCACGTCCCTTCGCTGGCGAGGCTGCTTCGATGATACTCGGGGGGTTGGAGGACTTCTCGGCCTGGCCCTCGATGGGTACAGCCTTGGCATCCTCCTCTTCCGGCTCTTCTGGCGTCTCCTCGCGAATCGGCTCTGAGGAGAGCTCGCCCGCGATCGATCTCGGGTAGAGCCTGAGCACTCTTTCTGGTGGCGCGTGGACGTCGTCCTCGTTAAAGAGGTCCAGAGAATCCCGAAACTTCTTTTGCTTGAACAGCATCTCTGCCTTGAGCATCTTGATCTCGCGCAGTGTACCAGTCTTGTCCTTGAGGAGCGCGTCTTCGAGCATGCCCAGTATGCTAATCGCCTCGTCAAACCTCTCCCCTCTGACCAGCTCCTGCACTTGCGTGTCATAGTCTGTGGCGTCCATCTTCCACACCACGCGGTCGCTGCTGACGTGGAAGCCCTTTGCGGCATGGGCGAGGCTCACTGTCGGAGGCGCAAAGTGTAGCTGGGCGGCACCCGGCAGCTCGATTGACTGCAACAAGCTGAGCGTGTCAGGATTTCGCACCTCCAGCGATCCTTTCGACGGCGCCTGCAGCGCCAGAATGTATGGGTAGCTGTACCCGATGCTCTCTGGCGCGCTCTGCCACGGGATCTGCCGCTTGTCCTGTGGCTTTCCTTCGGTATCGACAAACAACGAGTTGATGTCCTTGGCCAGCAGCATCTGGCCCTCGGTCAGCCGCGTCGCGAGCGGCTTGGGCATGTACCCTCCTAGACCCATGTATCCCATGCTGGCAGCTCCGAACCTGCTGGCTGCTGGAGCGCCCGAAACGCCCGGCGCGCCCTGTCCAGAGATCTCCTGCGTCTCGGCGGTGGTCACGTCGACGAGGACATAACCCGCGTTCATGCCGCATACCAGCTTGGTGGCGTTGACCCAGGTGACGGTGCGTATGGACTCGGGGAGGACGATCTCGGTGATGTCGTCGCGGAGCTCGCTCTCGTGCCAGCTCCAGATGAGCAGGCGGCGCTTTACGGCGACGGCGAGGCGGCTGATGATTTCGGGGATGCCGGTGGCCTGGTCCTTGACAATGTTACTGGTGACGGCGAAGCACGAGGCATTCTTTGTGCGGGAGAGGGTCTCGATGGGCTCGTAGGACTGGAGGTCGTGGAGGGAGACGTGGTAGTTTGAGAGGGACACGAGGGTGTTGGCCTCCTTTATTATGGCGAGCTGCTCGACGGCACGGGTCGAGAACTTTTCCACTTCGCGCAGGAGGTCGGTGGGCTTGACGGGCGGCTTGGTGGCATGTTGACCGCTCGAGGGCAGGCTCTTGCCATTTGTGTCTGCCGAGGGTGCTTCGCTGGACTCTGTGGCGGGTGGTGCTACGGCAGCGCCATTCTGTGGGGGCAGCTCGTTGAGGCGGTAGATGCGGAGGGCGCCGGTGTTGAGGCCGACGAGGACGCGGTCGCCATGGGCGAGGATGGTCTCGATCTTTGACTTGTCGCGCTGGCGCAGCTCGACGATGGGCCGCGCAGTAAAGGCGGAGAGCATGGCGGCCGGAGCCCTCTCGGAGGGAGGCTAGCGAACCGTCGCCCACATCCACAGGGAGGAGTTGTGATTGCTCAGAGACGGGGTGGAGAACTGTGGTCAGGACGTGTGTCGTCACTGATCTGGAGGTTGCTGGTGGACGACGCTGGCCTGGTCTGGATCGGGCGAGGTCGTGGTCGCCGTCTCGGCAAGATGGTTGTCGGGGCGAATACTAGTGTCGCCGTGGTGCGTTGCTGCTTGTAGTTGTAGTGTGTCGCTGTTGGCGGTGGCCTGCTGCATGAGGCGGGAGTGGAGCAGTGGTTGGAGCAGGTGATGGAGTGCGCTGGTGTTGTTGATGCACTACCGAGTAGTGCAACGTGCAGGGGAGGGAAGCTCTGGCACGTGGGGCGCGCGATGACCGCATCCCCCAAGCCCGCCGGCACGCTGATTGGCCCACGAGAGACGGGCTGGAGCCTGTCACACAGTCAAGTCAACCACCTCGCTCCGCCACGAGTTGTGTCGACAACGTTTTCGGGCCAAGTGCGAGGACGAGCACACCTGAGGTGCTAAGATGTTCCAACCTCTCAGTGCAATAGCCCCTCGCCGCCCCTGTAAAAGTCAGTCATTGACTTTCACCTTTCCGTCCGCAGTGGCCGGAGGCGCAACTATGCCAGACCCCCACAGGATTTCATAGTTACTCGGTCATCAATCAGAGCGGATTAATGAAACCAACAAATCACGCGCTAGCCCATAGAATCTTTTGCTGAGAGTGCAGCAGGAACAGACCCACCGGCATACGAGCGTGGGAGACCTGTGGACCAAGCAAGTTTGCATGCCGCAGGACCCAGGGCCGTCTTCTGGTAGCACAAGTTGGATACGGCATACATGCGCATTGAAGAACGAAACCCTGACTGGTGTCGATTGGGCTGGCTGGAAACAATTCGAAATAGAATTATGCTTCTGCGGCAGTAAGACGTGTAGCCGAGATACGAGTCGGCTCAGATACTTCGAGATCCTTCGGAGTCTTCCCAGTAGTCTTCAGACGGCGCGTCGCTTTTCATGGAGAGCAGCCCCTGCATCTGTTCCCTTTGAGAATTGTCAAGGGAAGCAGTTTCGGCGCCGTATTGCAGCAACAACCTCGTGCACGCAGCATTACCCTTGTCCAAGCTGACTTCAAGGGGCGAGCGCTTCTGCCGGCCGGCCCGGAGATTGACGTCTGCCCCGTGATCCAGCAAGTACTGGACCACATTGACTTCACGCCTTCTGTCGACCGCTATAATGAGCGGGGTGCCCTCTAGAAGTGCACCTTGTGCATTGACATCCGCCCCGTGAGCAATGAGCAGTTGCACAATGGCGAAATCGAAGTCGCTGCTGGGGCTGCTCAGGCATGCAGCAAGAGGAGCCAGTGACTCACTATTCCGGTTCACCTCGGCGCCTTTCGTGAGCAGGAACTGAACAATGGCAAGGTGGCCGTTGCGCGACGCTATAGCCAGAGTGCTCGGGATCAAACCAAACGGGCCGTTGACGTCTGCGCCATTCAACACCAGGTGCTGCACAATCTCTAACGAGCCGTAATGCGTAGCGAGAGAGAGAGGGGTCTCCCAGTGATTCGTTGCGTTGACGTCTGCGCCATTGGAGACCAAATGCCGGACAATCTCTAGAGAGCGCTGCCCCACGGCTGCCCGGAGAGGGCTGAAGCCATCCTTGCGCCGTCTTGTGTTCGGAACTGCACCGCGGGCAAGTAGAAGCTTGACCATGGCCAGGGGGCCTTTTCCGCAGGCTGCAACAAATGCTTCGGCGAGGTCGTCGCCATTGAGGACGATCATCTCGCTGGCCAGCAGGAGCTCAAGGATGTCCAGATGCCCTCTCGCGCAGGCAGCCTCGACCGCGGCACCACCACCACAAGCACGAGCCGTGGCGGGGGTCACCCTGTCGAGAAGGAGCTTGACAATGTCGCTGAATCCTCCATACGCGGCAAGGCTCAGCGCGCCTCGGCCACGTTTGCTCGTCCGGCTCACGTCGGCACTCTTGTCCAACAGCAACTGCACCAGCCGGCAGTCGCCCTTCCCCGACGCCACCTCGAGCGCGCTCAGGTACCTGGGCTCAGCCTCCTCAGTCTCCCATTCCCGGTGTCGGTCTCTTTCGATCAGACAACCACCCCTAGATGTTGTATCGTTTTTCATAATAGTAAAGCCAACCGACCTGCCATACGCCCAACCTTGGCCTGCTTCAAAGTCTACACTCGCTCCTCGACCCAGCAGAAGACGTACAATCTCTTCATGGCTTCCCCAGCACGCTGCCTGGAGCGCACTGCCATAACGGCTGCCACTCGAGTCAACATCTGCCTTGTTGTCGAGAAGCAGGCGCATAGTGGACAGGTGGCCCGCTCTGGCTGCTGCCTGGAGGGCCGATCCGTAGTGTCCATTCCTTAAGTCGACGTCCGCACCACATTCCAGCAGCAGTGTCACAATGTCCTCGTGGCCGCCCGCAGCAGCGGCTTGGAGTGGCGTCCCAAAGTATCCAGCTTGTACATTGACCTCCATTCCGGCAGCGAGAAACCTCCTCACAACCGGAAGCAGGCCATGCAGGCAAGCGTAGTAGAGCCCCCTTGGATAATCCGTTTCGGTTGTGAGACGGCCATAGCGATGAATCCATTCTCGTAGGCTTCTTTCGTCTTGTAGAAAAGGAACACGCCCTCAACCACTGCTGTCAAGCTCTGTGCCATCCTCGCGTGGTTGCTCCAGAGACTTCTGGCCCAGTAGCAGTGTATATACTCCGCCGTTCCTTCATTCCTGGTTGACATCATGTAGGCAAGGCAGACTAGACTAACCTCTTTACTGATAAGGACTTGCTTGAATCTCTCTTGCCTGTGAAGATACTCCTTGACTGAGAAGTGAGCAAGGTGGACAATCGGCTCCTTGTTCCAACTGGCACCAAATGATATCAGTCCCGGACAGTACTCAAGCAAGTCGTGCTCTCGGAACAGCCTGCGCTTGGGGTTGCAGCCACGCTTGCTCTGCTCCCCGTCTATGCGTGTGGCGATGATGTCAATCGCAGCGTCGACAGTCAGAGGTTCATGCATGGATAAGATGAATGACAGGAGCCTGCTCGCATCCTCCTTGAGCTCGGATGGAATAGCCGCAAGCATGCGGTCGTATGTCTCATTGAGACCCTTGGGCAGGCTCGCCAGGGCTGTCTCAAGAGCTTCAGCATGATGGCACCTTGCCAGGACATCCATTTGGCAAAATGCCCACCTGAACCTGGAATTTTGAGACTCACATTAGTTCGGATGCACCATGGGGCAAACAAAGCAGAGAGCTAGTGCCAGGGGTCTAACTAAAGCCGAGGCCTGGAACAATGGAAATGTAGAAAATGAATCACAAACTCACATTCCTTCCGCTCCACCTCCCACTTTTTTCACAATGCTGTCCAGAATGCTCTGGGGAATGCCCTTCTCGGAGAAACGGGGCGCCTGCAGCTCAGCCATCACATAGGACCGAATATCGACGTCCACTGCCCTCTTGTCCAGGGCGACCCAGTTCTCGGGGCCAAAGACTCGGGGTACTTCTCGCGTAAACTCTGGCTCCGGTCTCACAGTTATGATGAGCTTTAAATCACTTCCCTCGAGCTCGTCAACAGCGTCTTTCAGCCAATTCAACAGCTCGCGACGTGTCGTGCATTCATCCAGAGCATCGAGTACAAGCACGGCCTTCGGTGCAGCTTCTAAGCCCCTGATGACGACTTGAGACAGGACACTTCTGTCAACTTGCCGTTTACCTGAGCTATGCGACTCGAAAGCCTGATCAATAATTCGCGAGACCTCATGGCTCGTCTGGTGCAGTTGATAGGCCAGTGACCGAAGAAGACTTTCGAGCGACTGCTTGCGCGTATCCTTGAAGTCGAAATAGAAGCGAAGAAGAGTGAACCCGCCCACTAGCTCGAGGTGGTCGTATATTGTCGTGTTGAGAATCGTCTTGCCAAAGCCAGCCTTCCCATGCAGCCAGAGATGCCGCAGCTGGCCAGATTTCCACCGCTGAAATGCGTCACTTTGGAGCAGCCAGCTTCCACTGCCAGCATGCCTCAGCTCTCTCGCCGCGGCAGCATTGGTGGAAGGGTCTGGCGGAGACAGCCAGAGGCGAAGCTTTTTGAGATGCTCATCGACACAAACAGCTTTCATCGCGGCTTTCGTCTCTATCACGTGCGAGCTTATCTCGTTCACTTTTGACTCAACTAGATAATTCATGTCAGCCCTATCCGCCCGATTATCATTACAGTTCTTATGTCAGCACTGACTGTTCTCAATGGTATCTTTGAGGCGGGTCTCACGCTCCACCTTGTTCGCAGAGATGAGGCGTAGCAAGTCTCCAGCAACCGCGGCAGCAACCATAGCCGCATAGCCCTGCCATTGCTTGTTCTTGTGCGTATCCGAGTAGTCGCAGATTCCGCGGATGACGAGGCAGGGGAAATTGTTCATAAGCCCGGCTGCTTCCATCTCGAAACAAAGCACCCCGTTCTCTTTGGCCATCTTATCTCGGATGGTGGCATCCTTCATCAACGAGTTGCCGCTCGCAATGAGACCATAGTGAACCTGTGGGTCGTCTTCATCGTCCTCTCGGGCTGTCCGGGCCTTGAGCCGCGTCGGTTCGCTACCGCAGGTCTTTCCGCAGTCATCGCCCGACGTGCCAGAGTCGCGGTGCAACACATCCGACAGGTAGAGTCGGTCGCTGCCAGCTGGAGGACGGGAGTATTTCTTTTTGATCCTAGGCCAGCGCTGCAGGGCATCACGGACCTTGTCGTCGAGCTGGCTCCCCTCCATCTCATACTGGCTGCGCAGCGCGCTGAGGGCCGTCCGCAGTAATGTGGGCGGCCGGTTCAAGTAGTCGTTATGCTGGAAGTCGAGGCCCTGGATGGCCTTGCCGTAGTCATACTGGAACACGCCTCCCTTCCCCCCAGCGGCGCTGCTCACAACAACGTCCCCAAGGCGGATGTCGTGCCGCGAACTCGGCGCGCCGCCCCCCGATCCCCACCATCAACCCGATACGGACGTTGGGGAAACTGCTCAGCAAGCCCTGCGCCACCGTCGCGGCCGTCGTGGTACCATACTCGCCGTCCGGCAGCACGGCGATGACGACATTGTGCGGCCCGACGCGCCCGAGGGCGTAGGTGTTGGTGTCGTGCTGCGATGTGTAGGGGACGCCGGTGTGGGCGACCTCGAGGAACGCCTTGGCCGCGTTGAACTCGGTCGCGAGAGCGCAGATCCAGCCGACCGTGTAGCTCGAGGGCTCGAGCATCTCCTCGGTGGTCATACTGTCAGGGGATAGCGCACAGTCCAGTGCCACGGCCAGGGCTCGGATCGGTGCAGTCGCATGCCCGCGCGCGATGTCTAGTGTCGGGAGGAGAGCCTCAAAAGCCCACTAGAGAGTGAGCGAAAACGCCTGCGTGAAAATGAAAGACCGCAAGGCTGGCGACGCGGCGAAGGTTGTGCAGTATCACCCCCCTCCCCCACCTGCGGCATCGACTCTCAGCCCCCCGCGGGCGAAATGCAGCCTGCATAAGCGTAGGCAGAGAACCAAACCCTTGCTTATTGGGGCTGTTGGTTGCGTGCCCAGCCTCAAACTGCCGGCAAGGGTCAGCAATCACAAAGCGGGTTCACTGGCCAAGGCTGAATGCACCATTTCGGGTTAGGGGGCGCAGATGGTACCCTGAATATTGCAGGCACGATGCATCTGCTGCAACTGGGCAGCTTTGACCGCATCTTGTCCTGACGGGGGAAGTCGAGTTGTTGACGTTGAGGGTGTATGGGCCTGATCCACACGAGGCCTGTAGTTGTATGAGAGAGTGGCAGAAAGAACGGAAACAGATTTCGACCTAGAATATCGAGGAATGAGCCCAACCCATCGCGACTAGACACCGCTCGTTTCATTGCGAGCTTCATAGCTGTGTGATTGGGATTGGACAGATGACTGGTCAGCCAGAATTCGGGTCTAATTGAGGACACATATGAGCCACCGAGTAGAGAAATATCATCTTGGAACCAACTTTCCATGTCAATAACAACAAAGGATCTCAGACCAGCCACGTATTGTGGGTGTTTCTGCATCATCTACGTGTCTGATTCACTACTTTCAGGATATATGAGAATGGCAGGATAATTTACCGATTCCTCGGGAGTGGGCCTGACCCGTCTTGTCAAAGTAGTTGGATGCTCGCATTTCTGTGTGTATGAGACGGGTTGAAAGCTCGAAGTCGTGGTCTTGCGCAGCAAAGCCATCAATGTTACTGCTGAACGTCGAGCAAGAAAGCAATGTATAGCGGACAGCCGCCATTATTGCGCATGCATATGTTTGCCGTGCTATGGATCATGCAACATTCGGCTAAATGGGATACCCACGACACCGTCGCTTCCGAGTCCAACGAAATACCCAGTTTCTCTTGGAATGCGGTTGCAAGCAAGGGTGTCGCGTCATACATAATCGCTAAAACAAGCCCGCTGCCAAGTGGAGTATGTTCTGTTTTGCCTCGAACGAGAATGTCACAAATGGTAAAATCGCCCCTGCTCCCCCTCCCACCCCATGCACGGTTCCCCGGACCAGTTGTAACCTGGCAGCATGTAAGCATAAAGAGGGGCAATACTCCCAGCTTATCCATCCAGCACCAGTCTTTGGCGTCGTCCAATTCTCGGCGCGGAGGATCATTGCAGCATCCTCTGCTTTGTATCCAGAAACAAACAACTCGGGGACGATGGCCTACTCGCCTGTCCTCCCCGGCTGTGAGCCGTCTACCTTTGCACCAGCACTGCCGGGTGTTTCCATTCTAGATTTGTTCGCGTTAACCGTGACAAACCCGGACGCGAGCTCCAGTCTGCCCACCATCCCTTTCTGTAATGTCACGGTCGTCTATACTCACGACGGAGATGGCGACGAGGTCATCGTCGAGGCATGGCTGCCTGGCAACGATGCATGGCAGCAGCGTCTCCAGGCCGTCGGCGGAAGCGGCTATGTCGCGGGACGCTTCCCTCAGGCGTTTCAGAGGATGGCACCCATTGTCTCGGGCGGCTTTGTTTCGGTCACGAGTGACGCGGGCCTCGGCGCTGCACAAAGTCCGCTTCAGTGGCCTGAAGCGCCTGGAGGTGGAATTAACTGGCCGCTGGTGGAGAACCTGGCCCGCAGGTCACTCGAGGACGAGGTACGTCAATGCCCATGAGTACTTTTGAGCCAAGTAGTCGGCAAGTGCCAGCGTTGAGGATTAACACGTGATTGTTCACCAAGGCTATAATCGTCAAGTCTCTGATTGCCAGCTTCTACGATAAGGACCTGCTTTACTCGTACTGGGACGGCTGTTCGCAAGGAGGTCGCCAAGGTCTGGCTATAGCGCAGAATTACCCGGAGGCATATGACGGGATCCTAGCGCACGCTCCCGCTATATTCCTGCCCGAGATCCTAGGGGCACTGTACTGGCCCCAGCAGCTCATGAACGACATTGGGCAGCACCCGTTTGGGTGCGAGATCGACGCCATTACGGCGGCCACAATCGCAGCTTGCGACGAGCTGGACGGCATGCGCGATGGAGTCATTTCCGACGTCGCTGCTTGTGCTAAAAGCTTTGACCCACAACTTCTTGTCGGGCAGACGATTAAATGCAAGAAGTTCCCCGGAGGCGATCCGGAAGACCATGTCCAGATTACCCAGGCCGCCGTCGATGTAGCCAGGACTGCGTGGAAGGGCATCCCCTTCCGTCCGTACGGCGACGGCAGCGACCCTATCGACTACAAATATAACATGGGCGCCGACCTCACGGGCAACTCGCCTACGTCCGGTGGCGGTCCGGGGAGTGCCCGCACAAGCTGTAATAGTGACGGGGTCTGCGTTGGAGTGCCCAACGGTCTGATCGACCCTTGGTTCAAGTATTTCATTACGCAGGATCGCGGCTTCAACGTGACCGCCATGACAAGGGAGGAGTTTTGGACGTATTTCGAGTATGCCCAGGAGAAGTTCCAGATCTTGCAGACGACAGATCCAGATTTGACTGAGTTTCGTCGCGCTGGTGGCAAGATGGTCACGTTCCATGGACTTGTAAGTGCTGAATTTCTCTCAGATGCGGGTGTTGTGTATTTCATATCTTGTTGCAGGACAAAAGCTGACAGTGCAATCCTCCCAGGCCGACCAAGTCATTCCCGACATTGGCACACAGACGTACTACGAAGCCGTGTCAGATATTCTGCCCGATGTTCGCGACTTTTACCGCTACTTCCAGGCTCCCGGTGTCAGCCATTGTGGCGGCGGCACAGGCGGCTACCCGCGTGCGCTGTTTGCGCAGCTGCGTGCCTGGGTCGAAAACGGGACGGCTCCAGACAGCACGCCCGTGCAGTTCACGGATAGCAGTGGCACGGATCATCGCAGGATCCTGTGTCCGTATCCGCTGGGCCCGGTGTTTGACAAGGGCTGCGTTGATGATGGGGGTGGTGAGGAGTGTTGGACTTGTGTGTGAACTGTCTCGAGGAATTGTTGGGCACATATGGAGAATACGGCGGTGCAAAGAAATAAATCGCAAGCACGATGGATCGTCCGCCAGAGTTTCTCCGTGTCGTAGAGGTAGGAAGTATCCAAAGTGTCACCAATGCCAAGACAAGCGCTTTGGCGTGCAAAGACATCTAAAAACCCAACGGCACTTTTCCCACTCAAAGGCCAGTCTGCTGGGAGTCAGCTAGGTAGCGCAGCCTCAAAGGCACCACAGCTGTTCGCATTGCTAATATCCTACACGCCGGGTTAATGGATTCCCCTCAGAAAAGCATTGTTGACACAAAATGGTCAAGATTTGAGCCAGCGGGACAAAGTGAGGATTTACAGAAGCATACAGTTCGCAAGAAACCCCGTTCCCCGAAATGCGTGTCTGCTGGTTGGTCGCCAAGGGCTGGACCGGCTGCGCCTTATGCCGTTGCTTCTCTGCGAAGCATGCAGTCACGCGCGCTGGCCCAATGCTCGGCCATCTTGGCCTCATCTACCCCGATTGTGAAGCCGACCCAGAAGAGCACGTCCGGGGCTGTTGCCCGACTCCTCTCGGGCCCAGCGCAGCCATCGAACCATGCTCCGTCGGAAGATCGGCCAGGCCGCGGCCAAAATATCCCCACAATCGCCCGTCGGAGCGGCTCCGTCTCAGCATAGGCGCTGACCTCACGGACGAACTGGACCACGGTGATGGACCTGCCAGCCCCGCCATTCTCGCCTGAATTATCGATGACAAGTGGCGCGGGCCGCTGATCCATGAGATCCCAGTCTTGCCAGCAGTCGCTGTGATGGATGTCTGCAATGTAGACAACCATCCTCGAGAGTGGCGGGTTCGTTGCGGGTAAATTAGCGATCGGACGGACAGGCTCCAAAGCGTCGTCGAATAGTGGCTGCCACAGCAGTGGAGCACCGGCCGTGAGGCTCTCTTCCTTGAGTACTCTGATGTTAGACAGGGGCCGGGCAAAGACGGACTTCTCAAAAGTCTCTGGCGGAGGAGGGTTCAGGGTGGCGCGCGCTCTCTCAATCGCGGGGTCAGGGCGAAAGGCCTGATCCCGGGCAACAAAATCCCGGTCGAGGGTGTTCGGCCGAACGTCTCTATTGTCTTCCATAGTTGCTCCTGCCGCCCCTGAGAAGGGTGTCTCGATATTTGCTGGCTGCATGCGAAGAGGGGCGGTAGTCAGATGGACAAGTTGGACGGAGACTGTCACGAACCAACATGGTACATCCCCGTGCCTGCATGAGACCCGCACTGAAAGAATGAGTGAACCAACATGCGTGGTATGCCGGCTGGCTCGGGTTCATGGCTAGTAACCTACATGGGCCACGGGACACGTAGATAAAAGCGCTTGGTGAAGGCATCCCGCTGGGTCGGAAATTACCCATCGTCGCTTCTTGGCTCGAACATTCTTCGATGTTCATGACAGGCTAACCAAACTCTTTGCGCCACGCCAGGCTCGACTATGCATTGTCGGCACCATGTGCCAGTGCACTTTAAGGGGTCGCGTGACGTTGAATGCGAGCCTCGAGGACAGCAAGCACGACAAGCGCCAGAGACTGACAGGATTGCTGTCGCAAGGTGTGATTCATTATTAGGTTTCTATATATATCTGTCACACCATACGCTATGAACAGAAAGCAAGCATTCTATCCGAACCCCAGGCAGCTCTTAAGCAGTGCACATGCGGCCATCGTTGCTGACCTTCCAAGCCTCACTGCCGACTCCGACGGTGGCGTAAAAGGTGCTGAGGGGATCCCACTTCTGCTTGATCTGGAGGAGGCGCTTGTAGTTGCTGCCCCAGAAGGTGTCCTGCCAGTTGGGCTGGCGCCAGTCGCCCTCGTTGACGTACGAGCCCGAGCCGGGCGTGGCCGCCTCGACGAGGGGCATGATCTCCTCGGTCATCTTCTTCTGGGTGGCGAGGGCGTCCGACCAGGGGGCCTGGAAGGACCAGGGCAGAGTGAGGGTGGCATGGACGAGGGCGTCGCGCCAGGCCGGGTGGACCGAGGTGGTCGAGGTCGTGCCAAAGGGCTTGACGTTGGTGCCGACGCCGATCCACGTCACGCCCTTCTCGATGATGGCCTGCCAGGTGGGCGCGATGGTCGTGATGACGGAGCGGGGGATCAGGCGCGCGCCGTACTGCGCGATGCCGACCTGGATGTTGCCGTAGGGAAGAGGCCCAAAGTACATGTCGTAGTGCGTGTAGTAGTCCTTGGACTGCGAGTAGGTCGACGCGAAGGTGACGCCAAGGGCGTTGAGCTTGGCCTCGAAGGGCGCCATCATGGCCTGGACCTGGGCCTGGGTCTTGCCGTACGCGGTGAGGGGGGCAATCATGAAGAAGTCGGTGGTGAAGTAGTGGACAACCATGGCGCCAGCATCAACCATGGCAGCAAGCTCCTCGTGGAAAGCCTGGATGCCGCTGTAGAAGAGGGTCTGGTTGCCACCGTTGCTGGCCTTGAAGAACTGGAGCGTGGCACCGCTGACGGTCTTGTCGGGGTAGGTCTTGGCCGTCATGGACACAACGACGCCAAAGGTGCTGCCACCACCACCGGCCAGAGCCCAGAAGAGGTCCGAGTTAGTCTCGCGGTTGGCGTTGACAAGCTGGCCCGTAGCAGTGACAACCTCAAAGTTGAGCACGTTGTCGGCAGCAAGGCCAAAGTTAGTGCTCAGCGCAGAGTGACCACCGCCCTGTGTGTATCCGCCAGCCAGGCCGACTGTGGAACACTCGCCACCAACAATGACCTGGCCCTTGTCACGGGCAGCAGCCATGATCTCGAAGGCCTGGACACCAGCACCGAGCTTAACGGCCGTGCCCTTGTAGCTAGCGCTGCTGTAGTTGGGGATGAAGAGGATGTCCTTCAGGTGGTGAGTCCAGATGGCGAGCGAGCCGGCACCAGTCGAGCGGCCAAGGTAGTCATGGCCAGTGTTGCGGATGACAAGACGGATGTTGCGCAGCGTGGCAAAGGCAATGGCCCACTGGATGTCACGGGCACCAGAGGCATCAACGGCATAGCGAGCATAGTTGCCCAGTTCACATGGCTTCTCCTTCGGGGTGAAGGGATCGCAGCTCTGGTTGGCGAAGAAGGGGGCCATGACTGAGGAGGAGGACTCCATGCTGGGGGGAGGTAGGGGCCGTCAGCCATTGGTGCCAAGACGGATAACCGCTGCAGGCCAGGGTGGAGAATACTTACTGGATCTTCTCGTACTGCCATTCCGATTGAAGGTTGGCGCAGGTAGCAGCATCATAGGTCGAGCCGTGGCAAGGAGCACCCAGGGGAACCGTCTTGATGAGATTGCCTCCCACCGTCATGTTGAACAGATCCCATTCGAGCTTGGACGGCCACCAAGGGTCGCCAGGGAAGTTCCGGCACAGCTGGGGCAGAGAGTTGATGCCGGCGTCCTGGGCCGCAACCAATGAGCTGGCGCCCAGGAGGACGGACGCCACGGCCGTGCGAAGGGACCACATGTTTGTTTTGTCGTGGGGGACGGGTGTGATCACTCCTACTTCTGTCAACCGGATTGGGTTGGCAGAGGACAGTAGTGCAAAGAGGGAAGAAAAAACGAGCGTGGACGTGGCAACAAATACTACACGTGGGAACGACAGACACGTGGGAATGGAAGATCTCCTTACCCTTTTGGCTGGTGGCGAGCAGAACAGATCGGGGCTAACACGTGTGCTGCAGTAGCTGTGGGTGCTTATAAGTAAAGAGCTGCACGATCGGAAGCCGGACCCGACGCCGCACACGTGGAATCAACACCGGGCCAGCAATGACAGTGCAGGCCGGTCGACGACCGATAGCCTCAGGCAGATAATGAAAGCGCATTGTGCCAGCATAATTGGGGCAAGGGGCACATCCTAGTATCCCCGCCTCCGCCTGACTGATCCACCTGGTGGCGGTTCCCCGAACACAGAGAGTCAATAGTCTCTCCATCATCTCATGGGGCTGTGAGCAGGCCTGCCTTTTGCTGGATCGAGCAAGCAATGCGTCGTCTCAAGCCAGGAGAGGGCCTGGACTTGGCTCAGGTGAGAGGGGATGAGGCATATATCTTGGGCTAGCCCTTTGACCGACGTGTGCCGTCGAGGTAAGCCTTCAGGCAGACAGACGGTCGAGGACCACTCGATTCTTGCTTTTTCCTCAGCTCCAACCCGCTCTTTTGAGTTACTGATGGAGAAAAGATCCATGAAAGAACCTGGTTTGTTGTGGCTTGGAGATGTTTGCTAGTTGCTCCCAGCCCCCCAGGGTCTCTGCTTGTGGCCCTTGGCCATCGGCACTTGAGCCAATCACGGTGCCTGCAGGCACCGCTCGGGAAGGTCCCCCGGCAGACCGGAGCCAGGAACCCTGGATGTCTAAGCAAGCATCATTATGTAGCTAGGGTCTCATCCGAGGCTTTCCGGCCACAGCCGTGCATGCTCATGTTCATGCAAGTAACAGTACACCTGGCTTCCTCCCAGCTCCCGGCCCCTCAGGGTTCTTCAAGAGAGCTACAGGTGAAGCAAGCTATCAAGAGCTGCCCGCATGCCTCATACAGCCACTTCCAGCTATACCCTGGCAGTTCTCTCCTGAGGGCTGGCAATGCAGGCCATGGCAGCCTCATCAGAGCCAAGCCTTGAGCTGGCAGCCCTAATCTGATGCATCAGGTTGACGTCGGCGCCACGCCGTTGCTGGCCTGGACTATCGAGCGGCGGTGGCTGCAGTTTCTCTGCATTTGCGCCTTCCCTTTGCGCCTTCCCTTGCGGGCCGCGCTCCGGGCGGTGTTAGATGAACGCCCGACAAGGGCCGGAGGTTTCTCCGTTAAAAAGATTCTTCCAGAATAAGGTACCATCTTCGTCCCTGCTGAGCTAGACCCGCTGACCTGCCGCTTCGGGCGCACCTCCGAAGGTTGGACGGAACCTAGATGGCGCCGTTCGCTCTGTTTTATGTATTTATTTTTGGAGCGACAAGTTCCTCACGTCCTCACGCCACAAAAGCACACCCATGAATTATGCAAGAACGCCACCAGGGGCCTAGTGCTGTGCTGGCCTGGAGCCCCACGGGCGACAGCTGACGGGCCGAGGCGGACAACGCTCCAGCCAACAAGGAAGAACGGGTCAATACCTTGCGTTTCCCCAGCTTTCTACAAATGGTCATCTAGTGTTAAGTGGCTTCTCGGTGGGTGATGATGCTCCTCACCATGGGGCCACCCAACTTCCAAGCTTCGCCAGCGAGCATGGATGAGCCTGGGCGAAAGTTGCTTCCCTGGTCGACCGATGCGAGCAGCAAACCTAACATAATGCACCTCGGGCGACATCTTGTTGCCTGATCCTTGACACGAGAGCCAGGGACGCGTATACGGAGTCCCAATCGCAGGGGTCGCAGCGTTCGTGTGAGCGCGCCAGCAAACTTTAATTCCTTGGCACATTCTACTCGTCTTGCTTGCACGTGTGCTGCCGTCCTGCGCGGAAAAATGAGGGGAGCAGCCGCACTTGGCGCACGACTTTCATAGAACGGTCCCCTGTTCCACTGGCCGCGCTAGAGCCCTTCTCGGAGTCAGCGCCGGTGTCTGGGTATTTATGGGTGAGACCGCCCGGTGCCTCATTAGCTTACGTTGACTGAATTGCCGCCTCTGGCAGGACGGCCAGCACGCCCACACTTTCACTTTTGTGGGCGGCCGGCTCATCAGTGCGGGCGCATGTAGCTCCTCGCTAAGGAGTAGGAAGGGAACCCTTGTATTATCCAACGTCGGCTTCAGCGTAATTGGTGACGCTAGGCCGTGCTAGCGAGGAGGCCTGGCCGTACAATCAGGCGAATACGCTGGCCGGTTTTTGCAAAAGTTCTAAGATCCAAGGCGGAGTTGGGTCCGACTCCATGCATCGGGGCTGTTCGCCTTGCCAAGCAGCAGTAGCATCAGTCACCATCTACGTAGATCCCCGTTGCCTCAAAGGTTACTGGCATGATTATAGCGGCCTCCAAGTTCTCTCTGTCAGGCAAAGTCCGGCGTGCTTCCGTACCAGCAAGGCACTACGGCTGCGAGATCCGAAATACGCCGGAACTATAGGTCGCAACCTCATGCAGTAACAATGCATGCCTGCTCGGTCGCCCTGGTCCGGCATGCTGGCGGCCGCTTAGGATTGGCCGCGGCTAGAACACTGCGTCCTTGGCCCAGCCGAGCTCGACATCCCCTGACGCATCGGAGCCGAGTCGCCATTGACGCGACAGATGTGTCTCATCACACCTCCCTGCCCTGCCGTCACTGGCCAGGGGAACCCGTACCTGCAATCTGCGACCTGTGCATCCGAGGGGAACCTTATTGTCGGGTTTCGTGACAAACCTTGTCCGCTTCTTCCTTAAACATGCAGAGAAACCTGCAAGGGCGCCCCGTGAGACGGGAACCGGTGGACGTGGCTTGCTTCCCGCATGTGTGATTGTAACGTTGACTAATCTTGACATAGAGTTCCGCATACAGAGTAGGTGCTTTATGTGCCTGTCTACCATGTATGTATGCACTTGTGCGGGCAGTCACTCTAAAAACGCAAAGAAACAACCCCTGGACGCCGAAGACGATCTCTGTGTGAGATTACATATACTCCTCGGCCCCCCACCGAGGCGGCAGCGCTCGTGTGAACTCTGCTGTTGGTGTATTTCTTCTGGGTGCTGATCATTACCTTCGACGTTGTCGTGCACCGATCGCCCGATCTACCCGCTGCCCGGTTCGAGGACGAGTCGCAACTGCTCGGGCATCATCATGTCCTGGACATACAACACGCCCGAGGGCACCCCCAACGATGGGCCCAAGCTTACTGCCATCGCCACTGTCTTTACCGTGCTTTCGTTTCTAATCCTAGTCCTGCGCTTCTACGTCCGTGGAGTCATGATCAAGGCCATCGGCACTGGTAAGTTGATCCCCTCTTGGTCGATTCTTTTGAACGGATTGCACAGTCCAAGCGCAATGGCGGTGCCAGCCTTTGCCTTGCACCAAGCACCTCAATTTTTGGTGCTTCGCTATTCACTTCAGCCAACCATGACCTGACCACTGACATGAATCCCTCTGCAGACGACTATGTTCTGGTTATCACTTGGGTAATGATCACCACAAATACCTCGCTCCTGGCTAGCGACTCCTGCCCAACATTGCTGACGAGATGACCATGGTCGCGCGAGACAGATTGCTGCATGTGGCTTCGCTGTCATCACCATCCTCCGTACGTCTCCGAAGTTGATAAAGCCTTCGCGACTTGGACACGCGAGGTGTGACTAATCAATACATTGCCAGAATCAAAATGGGGCCTGGGATTGAAGTTTGTCGAGGACATGCCGCTGGAGAACATCTACAATTTTGGACTGGTAAGTGACAGACACAGAAATGTGTACAAACAGCCGGCACAAAAAAATCGGAATCTTGCCAGGCTGACCTTGAGATCGACGACAGTTGCAATATATGGGAGCGCCATTGTAAGCCACCTGTTCTCCCTGCCGACCAGTTTTCAAACACGCCACACCTTACAGTCGGCTGTATTAACCTTTCCGCGTCATAGCTACATCACCAGTATTCTCGGCTTCAAGCTCAGTCTGCTTCTGTCCTACCTGCGCTTCATGACGGCCGGCGCTGTGCGCACGGCCACGATTGTCGTTGCAGTTCTGTGCTGTCTTTTCCACCTGTCCTTCCTGCTCGTCCAGCTCAACCTCTGCCAGCCCGTATGTATCTTGCTGAGAAGCCGCACAACTCAAAAGCCGCGCCCCCCCTACCCCTCATCCAGCGTAGCTGCGTTCACTGACCAGCGTTCACGAACAGGTTGCTAAGCAGTGGGACCCTGCGATCATGGACGGCCAGTGTATTGTTGCTGTGCCCTTCTACACGAGCATGGCTTCTCTGACTATTGTATTTGATGTTGCAGTGTAAGTGTTTCCACGGCATGCAAGCCCCTTCCCATGTTCTGACTGGACTTTCCATACAGCATGCTGCTGCCTTTCCCTGTGCTCCTTAAGTCACAAATTCAAGCTCGCAAGAAGCTCGTCCTGCTTGGCCTGTTTGCGCTCGGCGTCTTCATCACAATCATCCAGATCATCCGCATCCAGACGATTCGCAATCTGGCCAACTACCTCGACTCCTCGGGCCTCATCATGTGGTCAACCGTCGAGAACAATCTGGGCATCATGGTCGCCTCCGTGCCGACGCTGGCTCCCCTATTCAAGTCGTTTGCCGAGAAGTCGCGGTCAGGCTACTACAAGAACACGAGCGACCAGGCCAAGGCCGGGTCCAAGTACGGCATGCACTCGTGGCGCGACGGCGATGGCGGCAGCCGCAGCGGCGTACACAACGGCTCGCAGAGCCACAGCAACAAGGTGTCGGGCGGGCGCACCAAGGGTGAGAGCAACGGCGTCTACGCGATGGGGAGCATGAACCGCGAGTCGTCGGTGGCAGGCGGGCTGAGCCCTGAGGACAGCCAGGAGCGCATCTGGGCGGTCGGGTCGTCGACAATCACCAAGAAGACGGACATTATCATCTCAAGAGAGCTGCGTGGAGGCCGGGGGTCCGATTCGACTTGAGAAGAGAATCCATGTACGCAGCTTCGGATGGGGGGACGGTTCAGTGTTTCACTGAAGGATGCGGCTTGCGCGTCGGCATCTTTCGACAACAGCATTCAACAATTCTACCCGGATTCTACACGGTTCAGAGATGCTTGGCTATCTAATGTGTGTTACGGTCTTGGCGGCAGGCATGATTCCAGGGTACGATAACGATTTTCCAGCCTTCACCATCCTGCACCACATCACGGGCACAAGCCTGGCATGCATGAATGCGGCACCGACACGCTTCGGGGGATGGGGGACATTGGAACAGCTCGAAGTGGGCCTTGCCGTTGTCGTGTCTTGTTGATGCGATTGGCCTCGTGGCCCCAAGTTTCTTTGTTCCGTTTCCAGGCACCCTGCCGATCCTGGCTTGTCGATGGGAGCCTGTGCGGACCCGCCTCTTTATTCGTGGAGATTTCGCCGTTTCACCTTGGCACCCACGTCTGGCCCTTTCTGTGGTGGTTTAATTTAGCCTGCTTCACCTCCCGCCTCATGAGCAAGCGGTCATATTTGGACACGGGCACTTTTCTTTCTGTAACGGGCAAGCCCAACGCCGCAATGAGACTAAGGAATATGCACTCCTCCTTGCTTGCTCGCTTGGGACCATTAGCCGTGCCAGTCATAATGTCGGGAAGTAAAGTTGCGTGTCGCTACTGCACCCCAGACGGCAGAGGTCCCAGGAATTGGCTATGACATGACCAGCCCCGGGATGTCTCAAAAGAGCCGATTGGTGGTTTCTTCTGGCCTCGTGGCGAGGTGGCTGTGGAACGCCCCGTGTGCTCCGATGCCCAACGCGGAATGCGTGCTCAGGGGGTCAAGCCACCAACTGGTGGAGGCGCTCAATGCCGTCGAGCAGCGCACTCTACTTTTTCGCACCAGTAGGTGAAACGTGCCAAAACGATCAGCTATGCAGACGACGCTCAATGCAACGCTTCCATGCTAGCCACACCATGATCATTGCGGCTCAACCGCGAGCATTCGAGCTGAGTGGTGCATCTAGAAGTGCCGGAAACACGCCCACCCCTGGCATAGCGCTTGTTCTGTTATGATCCGTGGCCAGGGGTTGGCAGTGGGACCTGCGTGTGACAGCCAGCGTGGCGCGCCTGGCAGACATGACAACCAGATGAGGATGGATGTCTGCTTGTGTCGCGTCACGATCATGTTCCCGCAGGATTCAGAGTCCCTGTCCTTCTCCCCCCGTAATGCATCGGTCACTCGCCCCTCGATATCCTAATGGCGGACTTGAGCATACCGAAGGCCCCCAGACCTGCGCAACGGACAGACTGGCGAGGTCCGCCTCCCGCTTGGCACGGTCGTGGTCATGCCGAAACAAGCAACGGAGGCTGGCCGCCGTCGCTGGGACCAGGCGCCCCCGGCGACATGATTGGGGCGCATGACAAGTGCCCCCAGCCCACGGCGCCGGATCGGCAGCAATCAAGAAAAGCGGATCGGCTGTCATCATAGTCACGGAGCTCGACGATCCGCATTCGAGAACAAGCACTCTTGTTTCGACAGCACGCAAGCCCCCGGCGTGGGCAATCTATCGGATGCAGGCCATGTCGCCCCGCAAGATCAGCAATCTGTTTCCCTTGAGGGGAAGAGCCTCAGGGCAGAGCGCCTATTAAAGAGCCTCGGCCCCGGCTGCCAAACAAGCAAACATGATCTGGAGAGCCAACCCTTCACTGGAGTTTCTCTATCACGTCACTCTTTGACACGTTCGGGGCCCCTTTGCTCTCACCGACATCTCAAGATGAAGTTCACCACCGCCATCGCCCTGCTGGCGTCGACGACGTCTGTCTCGGCCCAGTGCCAGCTCCCGTCCACATACTCGTGGACCTCGAGTGGCCCGCTCGCCCAGCCCAAGAGCGGCTGGAGGTCGCTCAAGGATTTCACCCACGTCAACTACAACGGGCAGAACCTTGTGTACGCCACCTACCACGACGGCAGCAAGTGGGGATCCATGGCCTTCAGCCCCTTCAGCAGCTTCTCGAGCATGGGCTCCGCCGCCCAGAACACGCAGAACGCCGCCGCCGTCGCGCCCACGCTCTTCTACTTTGCGCCCAAGAGCATCTGGGTCCTGGCCTACCAGTGGGGAGGCGCCGGCACCTTCACCTACAAGACGTCGAGCAACCCGACCAACCCCAACGGCTGGGGTGCTGCGCAGACGCTCTTCACCGGCACCATCTCGGGCTCCGGCACGGGCCCCATCGACCAGACCCTCATCGGCGACAGCCAGAACATGTACCTCTTCTTCGCCGGCGACAACGGCAAGATCTACCGGGCCAGCATGCCCATCGGCAACTTCCCCGGCAACTTTGGCAGCTCGTCGACCATTGTGATGAGCGCGGGCACCAACGACCTGTTCGAGGCCGTCCAGGTCTACACCCTCAAGGGCCAGAACAAGTACCTCATGCTGGTTGAGGCCATCGGCTCGCGCGGCCGCTACTTCCGCTCCTTCACCGCGACGTCGCTGTCCGGCTCGTGGACCGCGAACGCTGCGACCGAGAGCAACCCCTTTGCGGGCAAGGCCAACTCGGGAGCCTCCTGGACCAACGACATCAGCCACGGCGACCTGCTCCGCAGCAACCCGGACCAGACCTTCACCGTCGACCCGTGCAACCTCCAGCTCCTCTACCAGGGCCGCGACCCCAACGTCAACCCCGACTACCCCCTCCTCCCTTACCGCCCCGGCCTTCTCACCCTCCGGGGCGCTACCGGAGGCCAGCCAGGTACGACCACTAACCCGGGAACCCAGCCGACCACAAGCCCCCCTCCTTCTGGATCCTGTGCTAAACTCTATGACCAGTGCGGCGGTCAAGGATACAGCGGACCGACATGCTGCCAGTCGGGGACGTGCACGGTATCTAACCAGTGGTACTCGCAATGCATCTAAGGCGGGAAGCGCTCTAGGTCGCAGCTGATCAAGTCCAGCAGCGACGATGACAGCAGCAAAGATAAGCTTCCCTTTTCTCTCTTGACAAAATTTTTTCTCTAGTTCCCACGCCAGCCAGACGACGGGTGGGGGGATGAGTCACGACGAACATGGTGGATGAGCAGGACGATGGGAATCGGGTAGAAGACGTGAGTGTTTGTGGACCAGCGCGTGTTGTCCCATATTCATCTCAGAGGCATGCGCGGTCCTCATCACGCGCACGGCTTCGCGGTTCGTTCATCTCCTGGATGAGGGGGAGGTTTGTGCCAGTCAGCAGTACTGTGCATCGTATCATATTCCATTCTTGAGCTGTACATAGCTTTCACTTATCAAATGACATATCTTGTTGGTGCTTGAACATGCGGCTATCGATCCAGGGTGCGATTGTAACCTTGTAAGCATTACCACTATTCGCCTTGGCGTTCAGTCCCACAAGGTAAGGGGGTTTCCTGACGGACCGCGAGGTCAGCCAAAGTTGAATAGCTAAGTCTGAATCTGCGCCGCGCATGTCAGGACAGCAAGACCTGACTACAAACAGAGCCCGCAAACTAAGGAGCTGAATGCGCTTGTAGCAATTTTAGCAAGAGGATGCTACTGTTCGCAGTATTTGCCAGCGTGCCATGGCGGACACGTGCGATGTTTTGAAAGGTGAGGAGTTGGTTTGAGAGATGGGAACCGGTCACGCGGGTTTCAGAAGACTCTTTTGTGCTACCAAAAATGTGCTTGGTGATTTTGCACATGTTGAAGCTAGAAGTCTTTGACCCGCAGTGCTTGCGCAAGATAAAGCTGATCAATCGGCCGGTCTGCTATCTTCACGCGTGATGTCTGCGGCGCGGTCGATTTTCATGAAGCGTGCTCCTACCCCTGGAGGACGTGTGCTTGTTTTGGAGAGGACTTACAGTCTTGAATCCCGGGGCATGACTGGCTGAGCCAAAGAATGCTCGAAATTGACGTACGAAGTACAAGACTAAAGGCCGAGCTCGAGATCATGACTCCCAAACACGCAACTTAAGGGTTTGGAGAACACTAGCCTCGCCGACCGGGCTTAGCTTTTCGTCTCCGTGTATATAATTATGGAAGGAGACCAACAAACGAAACGGCTCGCACCAGAGGCACGTATGGATGCTCATTAGAGATGGTGCTCTGGATAAAGCCTCGCTGGCCGGCATCACGGGAGAGATAGTGCGCTTTGCACGGCTGCGCGCAGGAATACCGGCGGCTTCGTCACAACTCAGATGAAGTGATCGCAGGTTAGCAGCTGCCAACACAGTGACCAAGTAGACTTCAACAGTGGCCGGCTGAACTGAATCATTGCCCGATGTGTGCCTCAGCCTTTAAGTTGGCTTTGATCGGGCGTAAGTAGTTCGTCAGTCTGCAGCTTGAAGTCTGTCCTAGCCCTTCAAGCATAAGTCGCCAGTGGGCTTGTTGACCAGAATCAGCTGACCTGTGGTGCGGTCCGCCATCACGAGCTCGATATCTGTTTGTTCTCGTGGGAAGTCGGAGTCCGACTTCACACATTGTTTTTGACTGCCGTTGGGCATCCAACAATTTCACACAAGTCATTGGGTAGCTAGCTCAACTCCTCTTGCCCAGCATCTTCCGCTCGACCCTAGATTCTTAGTCACGTGCATGAGCGGTCAGCTACCGCCAGGTCACGACTAAGCAGGTTTTCCAATCCTCCTTGTTATGTGGATGGCTGCCAATGCCCATGGCCGCGCATGACGGCCCGGGCAAAAGAGATCCCGGCATACTGGCGCAGCTAGCTCCCATGTTAGAGCCTCAAGTTCCAGGGCCAGAATAGGCCGAAGTCGATCAGTATATATTTTGGTCGAATACAATGGGCGGAAGGCGGCCTTGCGGAGTCCAAATTACACGTGGGTCTTCCCTCGTGAAGACATTGGGGGCAGCACGGCAAAGCCGTGATGAGTGTCGGCACACGCTGGGGCTGCCAGTGTTTCACCATAGACCGAAGCAGCCCCAAAAACTGCTTGGCTCTTGACTGTTTGTGGGTCACAGTCGGCAGACAGTCCGTCGCCGACATGGCAAGGGGCACGGTATGGTGGTCCCCTTCCTGCTCGGGGCTACTAGCCAAACACATTGACCAGGGTCCCAGGACCGAGGACCACGGTAGCACGGATGACAATGGTCTACTGTGCCGAGCGCAAGCGCCGGAGCCGGACCAAAAACGGCGTGACCGCCTTCCATTGATTCCATGGCTATTCTGTAACGGGCCTAGTGGCTGTCCGCTATTCGCTTGGACGGGAGCACGTTTTCTGTCTAGTCGGAGTTTCATGGCGCTGGCATATCGGCTTCTAGCCTTGCACTAAGCAGATAGGCGCGCGATCTTAGATGCCACAATTGCTTGTCGCTCGAAGCGCGAGAGACTAGCGATCTCAATCGACTACACAAGGCATGGATAGCCTCGTCAAGTGAGCCAACTTCCCATCGCCAGTCTTGCTCTCATTACTTGGCGTACTCCGCCGCGGCACCCGGAAGGTGGGCATACCCGCGAGAACAGGATGCAGAAGCCGCCATGCACACAGGAGTGCTGTCGATCTTCTCACATGCTCCAGTACGACCGTGACGCTCCGCATGGATGTTGGGACACGAGACAGGCGCCGGCCGGGACATTGCAGCCGCTGGATGCAGGGACACGAGCTCCCGGTGCTCTGTGAGATGCTGTCGCCCCTGGTTGCAGACCGTCCGCGTGGAGCCGGGCGGGACTTGAGGCCATGTAGGACGCAGGGGCTTGGAATCTTCGCCGAACGTGGACTAAATAACTGGATAGTCATGGATTGCAAGCATTGCGAACAGGCCGCCCGGCCGAGCGGGGGACCAATCGCTGTGCTGGTTTCGGGCCCGGCCTCGCCTCAATGACAGGCCGGTGTCTGTGGATCGCGTAACCAATACGCTCGCTTGTGTGGCCGAGCTGTCGGCGCAACAGGGATGGGCCGGCAACTGTTCCCACATTTCCATAAGCCTCGATTTCAGACAGAAAGGTGCTGGGTCTTGCATAGCGTCACGCTAGAGCAGCTTTTTGAGCACGCCGGCCAACGTCTTTGATGGGGCCCCAGAAACTGTCCCGGCTGATCGATATTAATACTCTGTCCGTCCCTGTCGCGTGCCTGCCATGTTCAGACTCTTAGTACTGGAATACAACCCTGCCCACTCTGTCCACGTCTCACATATACGCTCGCTGTGGACGTCCGAGGCACCAAACACTCCTTTGCCGTACGATCTTCTGTGGACAATCTCGAGAGCGAGCCTTCTCCCGACGACGACCCAGCCTTGCTCGGGCCAGCCTCAATACACCCCAAAGAGCACCCACAGCAACCAATCGGCACTGACGACGCAGTCTGCTCACCATGACGGCCATTCCGCCGTTCATCGTGGCGCCCATGCTGGACTTTGTCCGGGCGGAGCTGATTGTCAACTGCCTCGTGGTCTTTGTGATGCTGAGCGTGGTCGGCCTTCGGACCTACGCCAGGATCAACGGCGCGGGGATCGGCCTTGATGACATCCTTATCCTACTTGCCGCTCCGCTTGGTGTTGGAAGTGAGTAATTATCAGTATTCGACGCCCATAATACGGAATGCCACCACTAACACGGGTCCTGGGCAACAGTGCTCGTCTGCCAGGGTTTCCTCAGCATGGTCGGGACAGGCTACGAGTTGAAGGACAATATGCAGTGTACGTACCACTCTGCCCGTGTTGCTGTCGACAAGGAGGGTGGACGATGCTAACAACCGACCACTGGACCACAGTCGCTGTCAATGCGCCCTTCATCTTCTTCGTGAGTAGATCCTCACCAGCTGGAATGGCTTAATACGCTCAATGCCGTACTGACAACCCTCAATTAGATGGCGTTTTGCATGGAAGTCATCTACGTGCCGTGCCTGGCACTATCCAAGGCTAGCATGCTCCTCTTCTACCGCCGCGTCTTCTCCACGCCCGGCATGCAGAGGGCAGTCGACATTGCCCTGGGACTCGTGGTTGTCTGGACCATCGCCTTTGAGTGCGCCTGCATCTTCCTGTGCAACCCCGTCTCGTTCTTCTGGAACCGGTTCGGCGAAGGCCAGTGCGGCGACTTCCTGGCCATGATTTGCACCCTCATTGCGACCAACGCGCTCGGGGACCTGATCGTCATGATCATGCCAATGCGCACTGTCTGGTCGCTGCAGATGAAGAAGACCGAGAAGATTGGCATCATGTCTAGTTTCGCGCTGGGCCTTGCGTATGTCCTACCTATTCCATGTTTTCAATCCCGCCACGGCCGCTAACACAGCATTACATGAAACAGCTGCATCGTCATCGCCATCTTTCGCGTCATCTACTTGATCAAGGTCGACATGGCCAGCAACGTCACCGGCACAATGGCCACGACAGTCCTTCTCTTCACCCTCGAGCCGAACCTCGCCATCCTGTCCGTCAGCATCCCGATGCTTCGGCCCCTGATCACGAGCTACCGCAAGCGCAACCAATCGTCCCGCCTGTACGACGATAAGCTCAGCTCCGCGTCCGGAAACGGATTGCGCACCATCGGCGGCGGCGGCGGCGGTGGCGCTGGCTCACAAGGTCACCGCAGCAAGTTCAGCAAGGCCGATCCACTCGAGGAGACGGTGTGGGAGATGGAGCGGTACCGGCCCGCGAACGAGACCACGATCGGCGGCACCAGCAGCCCCGTTCTCAACATCAACGAGACCTCGACGCTCCATCTCAGTGACGACGACTCGGGCAGCGCCAAGTCGCTCACCAAGAAGCAGCACCAATATCTCCCGCCCATGCCCGCGTCTCCGGCGATGCCACTGCCGTCGAACAACGTGATCGGCGTCAAGACGACCTGGACAGTCACGCACGGCTCGACATAGGTGCTGCACGGAGAAAAAATGTGGTTACACAGATGATGGTCTTTGGCGTTTATCGTTTCTGCGGTTCTTTTCTCTCTTCTAGCGTTGCTTTTCGGCAGGACTCGGCCGAGCATGCCCACAAAAGTTCATGGTCAGCGCATGGAGTGAGTCTGAGCATGGTGTCTGCATGGTTTAGCCCTGCATAAAGTTCTGTCACGGCATGCATCTGGCAAGTGGTCACCCACAAGTTAGTCTAGTGCCTTGGCGGCTGTCCAAAACGGGCTTGCTGCTCGGCTTCTCACGTGGCAAGCCTCAAGTTGCGAGAATTATGCAACAATCCCAAGAGGGGATTCTCAACTCCATCAAAGCAAAATCTCACTGGGAACTCTGTTTCCCTTCGAGCGGGAGTCATTCAATCCTCGAAATGGACGAAACCAAAAAGTCAACAAGGCTCTGTACAATGTCCGGCTACCCGTCTGGTTGTGACTGTGCGTCGACTCGATGCTTGGTGACTGTATCGTGGTCCATGCTCCACCAACTTGGGCAGTTAGTCCCCGCCCGCCCATCCCCATCAACTGGCCGCGCGTATGACGGTTTTGCGTCGATGAGAGGTGGGGCTGCCGGCGCGGCGCTGACGTCCGGGCCCCATTCTGCAAGGAAAATAAGAGGGTCGTGTATTTATTGCCTGGCAGTGGCGGGTGACTGTCCGGCTGTCGCAGGACTCCATGTCACTGGGGGCTGGGCAAATCTGAGATGGGGAGTCGCCGGCATTCATATGGAACCGATCAGCCTCCTTGGCGATAATGCAGAATCTCTTGCCGCGACAGTGAACAAGGTGAAATCTGCCACAGTGACCTTGCTACAGACAGCCAGTCCACCGAGGCAATGGGAGGAAGTGTGGACCCTGCCTGCCTGCAGCTTCGCTTTTTAGTGGCGCCGCAGCCTCATTTCGCCGCAAATAGAACCTAGGATTCCCCTGTGTCGTCTTGTGTTGTGCAGCGTCGTGTTCCTGTCTCTGCCCCGCACAAGCTTGACTCAAGCCAGATGACTGACTGGTTAGTAAGTAGATGGGCTGACATGATTGTCCCCGGATGGCCTCTTCGCAGACCACGTTACAAGGTTCCCACGATCCTGCTGCGTACATAGTGTGCTCTGGGCCGCTACCTACAGCATTGGTCTTGCCACCATCGGGTTGAGTCTGCACTCAAATCATGGTGCTCTAGCCGAGCTGCTGTATTCCGGTGCCCCCCCCCCCCCCATCATCAGGTTACATTGCCGCTTCATCCCGTAAATCATACCCTGCACTCCGTCCGAAGAATCTCAAACAGCCAGATGAAGATCTCTGCCGTGGATGGTGGGCATCGCAATCCCGGCCTATACCGTGTGCTCATGGGTTGCAGTCGAACAAGGGAACGGAGTCCAAAATCCGGGGTGCGAGACGACGCCAGCATCAATCGCTTAAGCGCAGTGGATACCTGGGAACATGACAAGATAGGGTGACATTGCGTGGCACAGCAGCCAAGCCCGCAAGCACATGGCCAAGGCCATTGAAGGCAATGATTCTTCAAGTCAGGGGTAATGGAGCCTGCCGGGTGGAAAATAGCTCCTTGCTGTCCAATTGCCGCTTATCCCAGGAACCTGCCCGAAGCATGGAGTATTCCCGATCGCTACGGCGCGCATCCCTGCTCTCAAGCATGTACCGAACCGGTACTGATCGGTGCCATCACCCCTTGATCCTGTCAGGGGTCTCCCTCGCTCCCGAGAACTGCGCCGCCGGATCCTCCACCCAGTGCGAGCAAGGTGCGCCGCCGTCGTAGACTGTGCCGTCTACGAGAGATTCACTGTGGCCGAGACAATTCACTCCGGTTGCCCGTTCCAGACCCGTGACTACCGAGAAACTGGGGCTAGCGCAATTCCCGGGGATCGAGTGAGTTTCTATTTCCCCAATTACAAGAATACTATGCCATAAGGAGACAGCACGTGGAGAGGCTGTTTCTTGGGAGTGAGAAAGACTGGAAAGGTGACTGATGACAGGGCATGGGTTGGTGGGCTTGGAAGTCGGCGCAAATAGACAGAGCATTTATGTCGCCATCAGACAAAAGGGAAGACCGGATATAAACGAAAGCCAGGACGGCGATCAAGGAGCATACAGAAGAGGCTACGGGAGGAGATTCCCGCAACGAAACTATACAGCATCTGTATCTGTCACCCTCATCTAAGGCTGGCAGCTGTTGCCTTTTCCTTAGGCTGATCTCTGGCCCTTGCGTTTGAGGAGACAGCGACACCCCGTTCTCGTTTAAAGACATTGAAGCAGCCCTCGACGAAGTCCTCAAACACGTGAGCAAGCCTTCTGCCAAGCCCCAGAGCCGGGCCGAAGTCCCTGGAGAGGTAGTTGCCCACTCAGTAGTATGGAAGCCTAATGTTGTCGTCCCTCAGAGGCGGTCCCGAGAGGTCGTCGTAAGAAACGATAAGGCAGATCCAAGCGCCGAAAACAGGTCGTCTAGCCACATCATTGACGCTATCAACAAGGCCAAAACCGAAGCCCAGACGGCTTCTCAGCGGAGACGTCCTCGTGACCTTCAAGGACGCAGTGAGCCGCCACGACCCCCAAGACTGGGGCCTAGCAGCCTTCGGAAAAGACGCAACATACTCTCGCTGGGAGGTCAGGGTGATAGTCAAAGGCCTGCTTATATGAAACCTATAGGATGTCACCGATATCAAGGAGCTTCTTGCGCACCTTCAGAATAACAGCACAGAACGTATCACGCACGCAAAACGAAGGGTAAGCGAGAGGACGCGAGCCACCTTCTCTACCATGGTCCTCCATGTCGACAACGTGGAAGCCGCCCAGAGGTTGCGTGAAAGAGGAGTGATCTTCCAAGCCCAAACTTTCGACTGCGAGCCTTTTGACGCGTCACTACAGATCCAGTAGTGCTACATTTGCTTTGGCTATGGGCGCACATAGCGATTTTGCAACAAGACGGCACGATGGGGCTACTGCGCAGCTTTGATGCACCAGGGAGGCGAGAAAAACTGCCCTCAGAAGTCGGAGAGCGGTACAAAGAAGTGTATCAACTGTGGTGCCAAACATACGGCCTGGGATCGACGCTGCCCCCTAGCAATCCAGGAGCGAGAGAGAGTCAAAGAAGCCTACTCGTATAGACCGAGGAACTTCGAGATCCGGATCTATACTCCTGGATCTTCCTCGGATGGCAGGCTCACCCCAACTACATCAAGCAGAATGCAAACTGGCCCAGACGGCTTCACAGAGGTGCGCCGTCGAGGGCGACCTCTTGGGGGCTCGAAAAGCAAAGAGGTAGATGTTTTACAAGAGACGAACTGGTCTCAGTTCCAGATGCAGGATCTCCCAGATGATCGCGAGTGAATCTGGATTGCACCAAATGCCTTGCTGGCAGGACAGACTGAGCACGACCTGAGATAGTGTGACTGAGCCAAACTGAGCATGACAGAGTTCACCCTGTTGATCAAGCGACCGATCTCTGAAGACAGTGCACCACGATCGCATTTATGCTGCAGGGTAAGATTTGTGTACGTCTGGTTAATCCAACTTCACACATAAAATTTCACATATTGCTGTACCGGATTTGCAGACACAAAGAAGACTGAAAAACTAACCGACTGGCACAGACTCTTCGACCAACGAGTCTCCACACGCTACTAAGCACAACACATCATGATTAAGACGGGATGTTTTCCATGATACATGATATGCTTACACAAGTATCATTTGGTGCTCTAGCAACTCACTACGTCTTTCTATAATGTGGTGTAGCAGTCACAGCAGTGCTGATCTGGTTCTATATCTGGTAAGTAAAGATATCAATCTATGAAGTCTGAACCGCCAACGGTGACGTTCCTAAAGTAGCTAGCACTCTCTTCGAGGCTGGGTAAATTAGAGTAGCTTTTCACCCTGGTCAAAAAGGAGATGCACACTTGCGCTGTACGCCATATGGGTCTCCGTATATGCAAATTCAGAGTAGCGACGTCGTGTCCACATTTGGAGAGTTCGGTGAAGCTCCAACGTCAGCATCACAGCGTAAGCCGTTTTTGGAGAAGACCCGAGCACCAGCCAGTGACCAGTAAGCGCAAAGAGATTACGTCAAGAGAGCATGGACTACTGATCAGAATAAGATCCTTGAAATATTTTGCAAGGCGGTGCATTGTCTGACCGGCCTCTTGCGCCTCCATTGGCCACATGTTATGCCGTCACTGAGCGGAAGCGCCTTTCATATGGGCAGCTTTGCCCTTGATAGTGCTGTGCCAAGTCATCAGTGCTTGACCCGATCAGATTCATCCATTGGACCACTCCATTAGACAGTTCCTATACCGCCTAAGTATAGGTTGCCTGCTGGCTGTGTAGGCACTGCTAAAACCCTCCTCCCTCCTCCCCCGTCACCCGCTCGTCTCTGCTGGATACGTCAAAGAGTCATATTTAGACCAGACTTCCCTTGAAGCTTACTTAATACTAATTGGATGTTGGCCATGGGACCTCTTTGATCCTCGGTAATCAAGATATGTATCTGCAGAGCCAGGCCGGGCGATACGCCAGATATTCCGTCAAATGCGAGGGCCTCCAGACCTCCCTAAGTCTTTTGAATACGGCCGAGGTAATATACTCCTGTGTGTAGAAGCATCTGGAGCCGGAAATGAGGTGATGGTGTCAGCTCCACCCCAGCGATGGAATGCAACAGGGGCATCGCTGGCGACTCGTCACCATCGCGAATCGTATTTTTCCTAGAGACGAGGAAATGGCAGGCGGGCGCAACTTCTCCAATCATTGCTTCACGTTACCTTTGCTTTTCGGTGACTCGGCCGAGAGCCCCCCACCCCCTTTTCGCATATGCAGTTGGTTGTTGGAACTTCTACACGGTTGCACTAGTCCCACTGGCCCTGGTTGCAAGTCCCACACAGCTAGAGATACCATCATGTCAGAGCCTCAAGGTTGAATAACCACAAACGGCCAAACATATACATAGGGTGACGGCTCCAGAGGATCGGAACCACTCCCGCAACTGTATCGCTTATACTGCATTAGAGCAGGTTCAGCTGACATAGCTTAATGCTGAGAAGACAAACGACGACGGTTAGAACGTCTCCAGCCCAGGCAACGCCAGGGTTGATGTGGGTAAATAGATTAGGCTGAATATAAGCAGACCAACACCTCGTGTGACTACTATGTACAGTCTGATCACACCGTACTTATCCATCTGGCAATCGACCTGGTCCTTGTCTGGGGTACTAGGCTTTCGACCAGGGGACTGCTCAAGATGCAACCAACCGCGGCAGAAGCCCCGCGGATGCCTCCCCGGGGGTGGAGATTACCGTGCAGCACGGGCTTGGCCCGCAGGCGCGTGGCACGTTAATCCATCGGACTGGTCGAACCTATCTCCACATTCAAGTGCAGTCGTCCACCACCAGCGATACCCTTCAGGGCCCACACCTGATTAACACCTGATCAAGGGGATCATTGTGAGCCAACACGTTTTCTTCAGAACTTCAGCCGGTCAGGCCTTTGGCAGCCCCCCTCCCCGCAATCATCTTTATATTTGTTGCCGTGTCCTAAATTCCCATGGTAGACTCTGTCCCCGACTTTACGTCAGTTGCCAAAACCTTGATTCATCGCGTCCGGCTTCAACAGGTCTTGTGGTCGCAAAACCTCCCTAATCCACAAGCATGGCGAGCATTGCAGCCAAGACTTCTGGTCCTGCCGAAGTCCCTGCAGGCGAGAACGACAACCAGCAGAATGGAGAGCAGCGTGCAACGGGGCACATGCATGGGTGGGCTCTCGCCACGTTGACCCTGGCCTTCATGTCCGTTTGCTTCGTGCTAGCACTCGACAATACCATCCTAGGTTCGTGTGTTCGCCCTAGTCTAAAGGAATGAGGAGCAGTATACTGAATTCTTTCTACTCAAGCGACCGCGATACCGCAGATCACCAGCGACTTCCAAAGTTTGAACGACATTGGCTGGTATGGCTCTTCCTACTTGATCGCGCAAATGGCACTGCTACCGACCTGCGGCCGCTTCTATGCATTCTACAACATCAAGTGGGTATACTGCATTTCGCTGGTCGTCTTCGAACTCGGCTCCGTCATCTCGGCAGTTGCACCGAACTCGATGACGCTTATAATTGGGAGAGCAGTTTCTGGCATGGGCGCTGCTGGTCTGGTGAGCGGAACGACAACTATTCTGTCATACTGCGTCGCTCTGAAAATGCAGGCGAAACTATCACCCTTCATCATGGGCATGTTCAGCATTGGATCTGCAGTAGGGCCACTCGTCGGTGGTGCTATAACGGATAGCGCGGTGCTCACTTGGCGCTTTGTGTTTTGGATTAATCTCCGTAAGTCTGTCGATCAAGAAACACCTTCTCTTCCCAAATGATCGCCAGCTAAATAAAAGGTTCCCAGCTTTTGGAGCTGTCGGGCTGGCTCTAATTTGGTTCACCTTGAGGAACCCTCCGCCCGCAGTACAAGGAGGACTGCCATGGCAACAGAAGATACGCCAACTCGACATTCCGGGCGCTACTATACTTCTTGGCGCAACATCATGCTTGAACCTGGCTCTGCAATGGGGTGGCATCGTTTATCCATGGTCTGACCCGAGGGTGTTTGGCTGCTTGATCGGATTCGGTTTGCTTATGGCCTCCTTCTTGGGCTTGCAAGTCCGAGGTAAAGAAAGGTTAGTTTCATTTGATCCACACTTGCATAAGCAACACCCGACATGTTTGCTAATACTGTCTTAGCGCTACTGTTCCTCTTCACATCTTCCGAAGTCGTACAGTATCTGCGTCATGCGGCTTCATGATGCTTGTCCAGGTGGCCATAGTACTCCAGTCATACTTTTGGCCCATATACTTCCAGTCGGTCAGGAATACCACTGCTAGAGAGTCGGGTATCAATCTACTTCCGTCGATTGTGTCCAACAGCCTCGGCACCATCTGCGCTGGCTGGTTCTCCTCCACGTTTGGGCACTATGTACCGTTAATGTGGATCGGCGCCCCTGTCCTGGCCGCGGGAGGTGGTCTGTTTCAACTCATCCGCCCCGATAGTCAGCGTGGACAATGGATTGGGTTCCAGATCTTGGCCGGGTTTGGCTATGGGATGTGTAGCCAAATGCCGATTCTGGCGGTCCAGGTCGTCCTCAAAAAGGTAGACATCCCGACGGGCCTTGTCATGGTCATGTTCGTCCAGATGCTTGGAGGCGCTCTGGCTCCTAGCGTCGGGCAGAACATCTTCACTGATGGGCTTCTGCGAAGTCTGGGCGAGATCCAGGGAATCGATGCTGCAGCCGTAGTGGAGGCCGGTGGGAGGGGATTCAGGGAGATTGTTCCCCCACAGCTGATGGATGCGGTCATTGACGCATTCAATTCTGCTTTGAGAAAGGTCTTCTGGGTGGGCCTTGCTACTCCAGCCCTTGCTGCGATCGTTAGCTGGGCAATTGAGTGGCGACGGCTGCCTGACCCGAAGAGTCAGAGTACTGAAGCTTCAGCGACAGAGGTCTCAGAGAAATCAGCCAACTAGAGGCAAACAGCAGATTCTCTTGTTTTTCTGTAATCGTAGTCATTACCAGCGCTTTCTGGCGGCGGGTCAAACTCTTTGCCATGCAGCTCCAGGCACAGCTGAGACCAAGGGTGAGCGACGAGACCCCGGCTGAGGACACCATAGTGATCGTCGGCAGACTTTCCAAAGCATGCGGCGAATCGACGATCCCGACTAGCCAACACAAACTGAGTAGCATATTTAATACAGCCGTGCTGAATCTGGTGTACGTGGCTCGGTTCTGTCTTGGGCTGGGCCCATTCATCTGCAATCTTTGGGCTGGCTGATATGCTGGAAGCATCAGTGTCAGGCACTGAATCATCTTGGCTGTATGCTGATTCGTTTGTCGCTCGACCATTGAACATTTCTGGCCTGGCCTGGGTATCGTTTGCTGATGGCACGTCCAGTAGCGGTTCAACTTCGAGCGTCTCGCTCAAATCAGCTAGTGTCGACCCTTCATATGCTGTCTCCAAGACGGTCTCGCTGAGGCGTTGCAAGACCGTTCCCAGATCGCTCTCGAGGCTGGACGCCACCGTGCCTTGCTCTTTCGCGACTTTGAGGTGACCAAGCACGAGTGAGAGATCGCTGGCCTCGTCCGCCAGCTCTCGGATCTCAGCCCTTGCTCCCCGCACATCTCTCCGGAGGTCGTTGATTTTCGTGGACAATGATGCAAGCGAGGACAGGATGCCTATAACGCCGCCTACGATCGAAAAGGGGTCCGCCATGTTGGGGTCTTGAGATTAGTTGAGGAGTCGGAAAGCCGAGATGGTGTGGCGGAGGTTGAGGTCAAAATCCACTGAGAATGAGGAGAGGGGCATGTCCAATCAGCTACGCACATTTCTCTCTCCCTCCAACGCGGCAGCCACTACAACTATCACTGCCTAGCGCCAGGAAGCCTACCAAGGCCGACAATAGTCAGGCTTGGCTCGTTCGCGAGTCTATCTATCCTTTCTGCTCCTTGCAAGCACGGTCAACGGCGCCTCGAAGTGATCTATATGTGTGCACCTCTTTGCTGTAAAACTTTTCCTACCCCCCCCCCCCCCCCCCCCGCAGGCTTCGTTGCAGCCTTGGACTATTCCGATGTGGTCTTTTACACGGAAAGGATGACCTGTGAGCTAAGGCGTCTGGGTATAGAACAAAACGTTTCGTGGGGAGGGAGTTGCCAAAGCAGCTGCAAGGTCGCGCACAAGGGCCGCGCTCAAGGCAACCCTTCCGCCCTTGGTGGGCAAATGGTCAATTCTTGTCCCAACCGGCAAATAGACAAGCAGATAGGGCCTTTTCACGATCAATGCGTAGGTTGAATTAGTCTAGGTATCGGCCAAGAGTATCAGGTGATTGTCGGGATCGGACGATTCCAATGGCAGAAACAACGCAGAATGTTCATCAGTAGCTCGCCGGCCCACTGCTGTCGTTTCGTCCGTTTGCTTTTGCGTGGAGTAGCCCCTTTGCGTGAAACGTTTCGGACCCTGGCAGAATAACGCAAGTGGGCAGGCGGCAGTGCAGATCGCCGGGGATAAGCTTGGCTCGGTGGGACATAGTCTAAACGTGACATTGCCAAGCACAGGGTGACACAGCCGCGGTGGGCTTGACCAGGGTGTCTCCCGCCTGCTCATACAGGTCACGGCTGTCAAGATGAGGCTCATCTCGGTGGACATCCTCCATAGGGATACGACAGGGTTCGTCACGACCAACAAGTTCTCGAGACCCAAAAGTATTATAAAAAGGGTTGGGCGTCGTTTCCTTGACTCAGCCTGGCGGACCTCTATCTATGCCTATTGCAACACATCACTGTCAGTGTAATCTAGCAGCCTTTGACATACTCACGAAAGCCGCCCACCATGCAGTACACCCTTCTCCTCGCCGCCGCCACCTCGGCGCTGCTCACCTCGTCATGCGCCAATGCCAGTCCGGCCCCACCGCAGATCACCGCCGCGCCCCGGGCCGCTCAGGTCGCGCGCAACCTAGCCCGGCGACAGCAGCCCAGCCCCGCGGGGAGCAGTGTGCTGGCCAAAGTCATGACCATTGCGGCCGGGGAGAGCTTTGACGGCGGCAACGTCATGTTTGATCGCGGCGTATCGTGCACGGGGCAGGAAGAAGGCGGCTCTTCGGACGCCGTGTTCATCCTTGAGAAGGGAGCCTCGCTGTCCAATGTCATTATCGGTACGTTCACATCCTACACGTTCAGATTCGGCTGCTGCTGTCTCTCCACGAGAAGGAAGTTTGAGACTAACACAGAATCAACCGCGTGACAGGTCCCAATCAGATTGAAGGCGTCCACTGCCAGGGCGGGTGCACGCTGACCAACGTCTGGTGGGACGCCGTCTGCGAGGACGCGTTCAGCATCAAGACGCAGGACGCCGGCGAGACGACGCACATCAAGGGCGGCGGCGCGCGCAGCGCCGAGGACAAGGTCGTGCAGCACAACGGCGGCGGCACCGTCGTCATCGAGGACTTCACCGTGTCCGACTTTGGCAAGCTATACCGCAGCTGCGGCAACTGCAAGAGCATGCCCGCCCGGCACGTTCAGGTCGTCGGCGGCAGCGCGACCGACGGCAAGCTGCTGGTCGGGATCAACCCGAACATGGGCGACACTGCGGTCGTCCAGGGTGTGAGCATGTCTGGCGTCAAGGACAAGTGTTTGGCGTTTGAGGGCGTCACCGATGGGAGCGAGCCCAAGCAGATTGGTCCTTGCGAGGGTGTCTAGAACTGCGGACTGGGAAATTCGGGAGGAAAAGAAGGTGCTTTTACGACACGTCGACAGACATACTAGAAAGCGATATCTTTATCTTGCAAACTTCTATCTCTACTATTGTGCTTATTCTATCCATGGAATGGTCCAAAAGTCCCAAAGATTACAAAACTTTCTTCTCGACAGCAAGATATGCCAGATGTCGCGTGAGCCCCAGCTCATCCCAGCTGTCCCGCTCCGCCTGGTCGCGCACCCAGCACAGGCCCACGATGCCCGCGCCGTTTGCGCCCGTCGTACCCATCACGGCGTGGCGGCGCGGGATTACACAGACCCAGTCCGCTGTGAGCACGACGTTGTAGTCTGACCACTGTCCGTGTGGACCGCGTCTCTCGCGGGCTGTATCGACGAGCCGTTGCAGTGAGGAGTGGACTTGTGCTGCGGTGGCGGATGCTGGCAGGCGCAGGACAAAGTGCTCGTAGGGCACGCTGGGTATGTCGGTTGCAATCTCTGAGATGGAGAAGATTCAGTATGCCAATTTCCTCGACCAGCCTTGAAAGTTGGAGTGGCTATGCTTACCCGTCGTGGACTCTGCTCGAGAAGGGAGCAGCTCTATGCTGGAGCTGCACTCGAAGATCTGCACATGCTTGTGGCCCTGTGACGACCCGGCATCCACGCCACAGTTGTAAATCATCATCTGCGGGCCCGCCGACTTCGCCAGGTTGCCCATAATGTCCCACGCCGCGGACACATCGGTGACGTCGAGGTCGTCAGTCTGCGGGGCGAACAAGCGCGTGTGCAGCACATACATGGGCCTGTAGATGCACCGCAGGTTCAGGAGCAGGGTGTGCGTGTTGCCAATGTGTGTCACGACGAAGGTCGGGTCCGGGTTGATGAAGGGCCCGCCCTTGCCAGACCGCTCGGGGGCGTCCTTGCTGAGGATCTGCTTGCCATTGAGGATCGGGCAGATGCGGAACTCGAACTGGGTGTTGCGTGTGTCAGTGGGCCTAGTACATCGTGATGGTGCACCAACGGAAATACCGTTGTTTTGTCTATCTTTGACTTACAGTGAAGCCGTTATGAGTGACTATCTCAGGCTTAGTTTCGCTGTACAGCAGCCTGCCCTCTGCATGGAGAGCATCAAACTGACGCACAGCCCGCTCGTGCAGGTCCGCTGGGAGGCCAAGGTCGACTGTCATGATGAACACAACTCTCCACGTGCTTTTGTGGTATGTGCTCGCAAGGCAGACCCTAGGTCATATGTGGTTCATGGAGGGTTATTAAAACGTGATTGTCATTCATGGTGAGAAAACGAAATGAGAACCCCTGAATGCCGACCCAGCCAGAATGCGCGCTCTGATTGGCCGAGCACGTGTGCTTCTGTGATTGGCTCTTCCCGAGTGCCGGCTACCTAGGTAGCACGACATGGCCGTCCGTTCATTGGATGGTTCGCTGTCAGAGGGGGCAGTCGACATGCTCATGGCGTCAGCCTGCACTTGTCCCAGGGCTGTATGAGTCTGCCTTGGCATGGAAAGGTGGTGCCATGCCATGCCGCAACCTTTCCATGCCAGTTGGGTGGGTGGCCAGCGTCGCGCCCGATGGTTCAGCCGCACACCCATACATATGTATATCCAAGGAAACCCTTTGGTCCCCATTTGTTGGTGTCAGCCAATCTAACTGATCGACAAACCGCCACAGTTCCGACAATGGCCTCGGACACTATCTGGAACTTTCCCGCTACTGTTGACAAAAATGACCTTCAGAAATCTTCTGCTAGAGATAAAAAGCGAAATGACAAACGACGACGACGACAAGAACCAGACGCTGCTCCAGCTTCGTGAGACCTACGGTGCTTCCGTTGCGACGCAGCTTGCGAGAATAGTCCATGACCAAAACCAGCAGGAGCACCACAGGCTCCTCTCGTTCATTACGAGCCTCGAATGTTTGCAACCAAAAGGCCTGCGGCTCATCCGCAAATCCATCAATTGTCTGCTGGAGCGGCAATACGTTGCCCTGTCGTATAACTGGCTGGCTTCGGAGAATGAGAGTCCCGCTTCGGGTCGATACCAGGTACCAGGCTGGGATGGTGATGGATTGGCCCCTTCCACGGTGCGCACCAAACGTGCCCAATCCTTGCGTACCCATAGGATACACCCGGCGGAAGGAGATCGACTCCTCTTATGATTTGCCACCAGATTTACACCCGCGACTTCCCTTTGCGCTGCGGAAACTGCTGGAAGGAAGCAAGCTGCCCAGAGTGCGCATCAGCCGCGACGACAAGGGCAACGTGCTCGCCAAGATTGCCAAGGCCCGCCTGGCAGATTGGCAAATCTGGATGCCGAACACTCCCTTGGACGCTCGCATCAGCGTCAACCTGGAATGGGAGTGGGATGGCCCGGTCGAAGAGATTGAGGCCAACCACTTGCCGAACCGCGACAAGGCGCCCAACCGGAACAAGAACCGACTTAGCTACACGCACGGCTTCTACCAGGTGGATCTGACACAAGTCACGTACACCACACCCGGAAGGGCATCCGCCAAGGAGCACGAGATCGAGGTCGAATTCGATGGGAATATCCTCGTCGAGCATGGTCGGCGCGAAATGGCCAAGCAGCCGATCCGGTACATCGACCTCATCGACGGTCTGCTCGACTCTGTGAGAGCCCTGGCGAGGCAATGCCCTCACCCTCACTCTGGATAGATGCACATCTTACGGGAGTCATAATGTTATTTTTTAGTATATTTGTAATTGACGGGATATGATGGTGCGTTACGCCTCCGTGCCTTTGAGGGGCGCGAGACGGAATATCTGCGAGGAGGGAGGTGAAAGAGAAAGGGAAAAGGACATGTGCATTCAGTGGGTTCTGGGTATCTTTTTGAGTTTGCGCGGCTTATTTTTCAAAACCGATATTCCCCTTTTCTTCTGCTGCGTTACATTTACTCTCCCTCGCCTTCAGCATGTGACTGATCGTTCGACTTGCGATCCCAATGACTCTATTGTGCGAGACAAAAGTGATGATTACGGTACTCAATAGAAGCAATGTGAGAGCCAAGGACCAGTCCCGCCAAGCCCCAGTATCTACTTCGAACCTGTGTTGAAACTCTCCCAGCGCGCTATCTCCAGGAGGAACGACGCAAACATCTTCTTCTCGTTTCTATTCTCCTTACGAAGCCGTTTAGTCGATTCCGATTTCGTCGTTGCCTTCAACTTCCCCCTCGCACGCGGAACCCGCGCCGGAGCCTCTGTGTCCACCGGTATGCGCCTGACGATGCTCCTCTTCCGCGCCTCGGCCTCCTCAGCCCGCCTCTCAAACTCCTCCCTGGTCTCCGGGTCCGCTCGGCCATTGTTCCGGTTGTACTCCTTGAGCCACTTGCAATGGACCTTCGTCACATGCAACGCGGTGATTTCACACCCGTTTTGCGCGAGTAGTGTGGTGATGGCGGTGTCGAGGTACACGATGCTTGTGCGTCGCGAGTAGTCGTCGTTCCCGGGCACGCCCAGGTACATCTTGGCGATGACTTCACTGCTGCGCGCCGCGGCGCGGGCTGCGCGTAGTCGCACGAGCGGGGATGTGGCGTTCCGGAAGGAGAGGAGGGCCATGGAGCGTAGGATCATCGCTACGTGCTGGACGTCCCCTGGGTATCTGTCCCCGGTCGTCAGAGCATTGAGAATCTCTTGCACGAGAAGGAGGCGCTGGAATTGTCCCGATGTTTCCTGGGTGTGGTGCTGGAGTTCAGTTTTGATGACCAATTTGATCAAAGCGGCTCGATCAAATGAGGGTCGCTCCTTGCCTTGGCTTTGTGCATAGATTATGTTTCCGAGTTGTTTGTCGAGGCTGGCGGACAGAGTGAGCGTGACGAGATGGTCACGGCCCAATGAATCCTGCACCATCCTCATGACTTTGCGGTAAAGCCTGGCGAGCATCCCCTTGAACTCCATGGGCGACCCTTGCAAGATGGCCAACAGCGCTTTGATGATTGGTAGGAGATGGTCTTGTTGCGGTTGCTGCCACATACTCTGACAGAGACCAATGAGGAAGCAGCGCAAGACGAGGAAAGTAGGCAGTCGCTTCGGGTTTGAATCTGTGGTCTCAGTAGGATCACGAATCTCCGATAGCAGTAGACAGATCCTGCTGAAGCAGAGAACCAAGTTTCGGTCGCTCGGGCGACGGCCAAAGACTTGTTGCGAGTAGGCAAGTAGATCTCGGAACCGGCGCTGGAGACGATTCCACAGCTCAGACTGGTAGAGTGTCTGTATGTCTTGGCAGATGTCTTCGAGCGCTGGCCAGATCTGTAGAACGTCCGTCTGCTCCCGTGAGCCTGTTGGCTCACGAATATCCCATATCCATGTGGATTCTCTGCACGCCAGGTAGAATCGCATGGCCGTATCCGCGGATAGCAGTAGACTCCCAAGATCGTCCAGCTCGATGCGCATTGGAAAGAGGACCAAGAATATTTTCATTTGCAGGGCTGTGAGTGGCTCGCTCTTCCTGTCGGAGCTGGCCTTGGGTCTCGTGGTACCCGCATCCCTACGCGTGCGCTTTCCTGATCCAGAAGGATCCGTTGCTCGGCCGCTTGAGGTGTTGTTCTTCTTCAAATTCCAGTGAGCGAGACGTTTCCGAAATTGCTTTTCGCTGCGGTACGATGTGGTTAGACAAACAGGAGCTGAATCACGGCGCATTGCCATAACTCACGTTTGGTCAAATCCTCTTTCCTTCATTTCTTCCACCAAGTAGTCAAGGGTGCGGCTTTCGGTGATGTAAATCTGCTTGATAACTTGCTTTCTGCTCTCCCAGTCCGCATCGGTAGGCTGACTTCGAGGCGGCAATGGCGCGTCAATCTTCTTGATGACTTGCTTTCTGCTCTCCCAATCCGCATCGGAAGGCGGACTTGAAGGCTGCAAGGGCGTTCCCGTAGGGAAATCAACGTCCGGTCCCTTCAGCATTGTCTTGAAGGGCAATGTGCGCGTTTCTGGAGAAGTTCAAAAGCTCTCGCGAGCAGCGCATGGACCTTGAAAGTGAAAGTAAAGCTGCTTGACGACTGCTAATTATACTGCGGGAGATGAACTTCAAGTATCCGTAGTACCTTGGTATGGTGACCGTTGGCGCTACTTCCAACTGGTTGAACATGCATGGGGCGTCGGACAGGCTTTGCATACCTATTGCTGCTCACAAGTGGAGGCTGTGGCTACTAGAAGCTCGTCTGCAGTCGCCCTGATCTGTGCTTCATTGTAGTGATGCGATTCGTCAAAATTAAATGCCTTTGCATGAGACCCTCACGAGATTCAAGTCCTGGTGCTTCATTGGGCACTCCAGAAGGTCATGCATGGAGCGGCCTGCACTCATCCGTCGGAGCTTCTGCTTATTGGTAGATGGTAAATGCCCGTGCATATTGTGCGGCGCGGGGCGTTGATCTGCACCTGTTGTCTTCTCACCGGCGGCCAATGAAATTGGCATTGGATTGGTCTCACAACCGAGAGGTTACCACGTTAGAGCCTCCCGACAGGCCCAACGATGGACACAAATTGTCAGCATGGACATAAAAGATGTGACATTTCCGGCATGCCTGCCTAGTTGGACTGACATCTGGTCATCCCCGAGTCTCTGACCTCCTCCACTGTGCTCTTGCTTCCATTTTGGTTTTCAATTATCATTCTTCGTTCATCCAGCGTCAATTCAAACTACAGAAGAGATGCCATTTCTACCCACCAACAACAATGAACTGAAGGACATGCACCGAGTGGTTTCGGCAGAACGCAAGAATGCGGAGATCACCGGCGTCGCTGTGGTTCGCAGCAGAACGTTCGACCCCTTGGACAGCAAGTGTGAGCCTCGATGGTGGAAGTTCTGGCAGGGTAAGCTCCACGTCTATTCGCTCCTCACACTTCATATGATTCAGACACTGAGCTGTGTGTTATTGACGCGATGTAGGCAAGGGTGCCATCGAGGTCACGACAGCCCCTGACCTCCAATACACACTTGATCGAATCACAATGGAAGACCGTCCCACCAACCTTATCATTGTTGCGAGCCGGTACATCCGGAACCTTGGCTTCGATGTCGACTCATCGGACAGCAACCTCGAAAGCTTGAAGATTCTTTGTGCAAGCCCGAGATCGAAGCAAGCTTCGGACTCAAAGCGGAACAGCATGCAGCACCAAAAAGCAGAACTCTTCCTTGACGGTGCCTCCACCTTTGGAGGCGTCCGACTGGATCAATGGGGTATGGCTCACGGTCAACACAAGGTCTACCTAGGTGAGAACGTCAAGATCCGCCCCGAGCTAGACATGCTCGAGAAATCCCTCCGCACCGCGTGGAACCAGCGAGCCAACGGAATGAGGGAACACTTCAACACCATGAGGAACACCAACATGCTGGGCGAATGGTGGAAGGAGTGGCGAGGCCCCGTCGCGGGCCTGCTCGGCGCCTGCGTGACGACGACCAAGCTCGGCGTCGCCTTCAGTACCACCACCATTACCGTGTCCGGAAGCTACGGCTTTGGTTTGCTTGCCGGATCCGCCTCCTACTCGACCACCACTGCCGTCGCCACCGCCGCTGGTCCTGCGCTACTTCTTGGCGCCGCGACCGCCGCGATGGTTTACTTCGTTCCCTGGGAGGATCTCCTGGGCTGCTTTCAGTCCTGTTTTGGCTCCTTCTGGGATTGGCTCATGGACCTGATTTCCGGCATCAGGGAGAGGTTTGTGCAGTGGTCTTCGGCGCAGAGGACTCGGTATTCATCGTCGGGCCGGGGTCGGCGAGAAGAAGCTCCTCCGCCTTATGAGCATCACCGCCACGGGCAGAAGCTGTAATGAACGGGCTTTTCTCACGATTTTATTGTCATTGTCGCGACTTTCCTCTGTATTCGCCGGGTTTCTGAAGACTGTGGACGTTCTTATGACGCCATGATCAATTTCTTACAAGTCATTGGTACAGGCCTTCAGCTTTTATAGTCTTATCGCCAAAGATTGATAATCGATTTCATAGTCACTATTCAATGCATGTGATTAACAATACCGAGATGATTATCGGCTACTGCCCCGCCAAGTGCTATGTCGTCCTTCGACCGCTTCGAATCTCTACCGCTGTCTCGCCCTCCGTCTCCACTTCCACCCTTCCTCCTTCTTCTTCTCCTCTTGCCCGCTCTGTCGAATCCAAATATTAAACATTCAGGGGTATATATATTTCTTGCAACCGCCAATGCAATTACAGAAGGAGGGACGAGAACAGACAGACTACCCCACTACTCGGGCCCCCTACATCTCAGCCCCCTCCGGGACCACCGATGATCCACCCTGAAGGCACTCTCTACCAAGATCTGGGATGAACAGGCGGGGCAGTGCGGGCAGACGCTCGACGGCCATGGCGCCTGGGTCCGCTCAGCGGCCTTCTCGACGAAACTCATCGGATTCACGACGACCATGGGTGGGTGGCTTGGTGCGATATGATAAATATTGTTGGAGCCTCCCTGACTGCTTGATCTGCCCCAAGATGTCACCTTTGATTCCTGATTGGCTGTATACGTGGTTGTGGCCTGAGGCACTCATACCGGCACCCCTCACTTATTTACTCAGCTGTCGCTTTCGCCTATTATCTTTGCCTAAAGCATACAGAAAAACGAGAGAAGTTGCTGTTGGTGACGCCAAATCCGGTTGGTGTATGCCGCCAGTTTCCGCGGCGCAAACAGAGTAGGCTGTACCTCCTCTAAGTACCAGGTACTTAGGGACCCCGTAAAACCCTGGACATACTCAAGCGTACCTATGCGGATATCTGGGTGTTACGATCCTGCCTCCGGGGTCAACCGTCTGGCAGGGCGCTGCAAGATAGGTAAAGCCTGTGCGATAACAACTAACACTCTGCTGTCGTTCTCTCTTAGGGGTTGTCGTGTCTCTAGGAAGAAATACCAGTCTCGGCAATTGAGTAACTAGTTCAAGTATGTGGTAAAACTAATACTTAGATTGATTGCTGAAGTACAAAGGTAGTGACCGTTTACAAGGAGATCCTCCTGGCTCTATATAGCCTTTGCCCTTCATCGTGCCTGGTGCCCCGCGATATCATTGTGTCGCGTGCCGACGACTTGTCGTCGCATGGCCGACAAGTGGTGGTCGCGATGCGACTGCCCACTGTCGGCTGCTGACGTAAGTGGGGCGCTTATATAATGTGCTCCCGGCCAGCCTTCGCTGGTCCGCCCTTGTCCCTGGCCTGATCCTGCGGCCTTGTTTGTGCTGGGCCTGTTTGTTACCTCAGCCCCAAACAGTTCCCCTGTTGGTCGGGTTGTCACAAAGTACTCCCTACAGAGACGACAGACGGATCGAGGACGCTCTTAGCCGTAGCCTGGTAGTTTTTGCACTATCGCACTATCTGGGTCGCTAGGTAACCTTCCTCATTCCTTCCTACGAGAAGTACGAATTTGACCCCGCAGACTCCCCTTTAGTCCATGTTCGGCCTGTTAAGTACTGGCCCTAGGTCTGAACAGATACTAGGCGTATTAGATTTACTACGAACTTAGGGAATAAAAGGAGACGATTCGCGCGCTTCGCGAACGCGTTACGCTTTTGTAGGCCCCCCCTGTCTTCCCCTTTTGGACCCGCCTAGGCTCGGGCCAGAGCCCGGGCCCGTAACACGGCCTCCCAATTAGCATCCAGGCTGACGAAGCCCACCGCTTCTACGTTACAGGATTCCCCACAGATCCGAACCCCGGCTTCCCCCAGCAATGGAGAAATTCATAACGGAACATTATGCGGATGAATTACAGGAAGACAAGGGCATACCCATTCTCTACTACCTCATTCGTAGGTTCGATATTAACTAAGAATCTTATTTAGACATAGGAGAGTGGAAATGGGCTCAGCAGAAGTGGGAAAGTGTGTACGACCAACTCAAGGCTGACTTTGAGAGCAACGCCATGAACGCAAGGCAATGATGAGAGATGGGCCAAATGGACAGTTATCTTGCGTATCCGTTCCACCACCTATAGAGGGCCCCGTTAGACCTTTCTGTGTTCTCAATGATATTCACACGGCTCAACTCGTTAGCGACCCCGCTCGCCTCATTTCTCCACAAATAGATTGATCGCGTCCCACGTGAATCATTGTTTGTCCCCGAGCTCTCGCTGCCGTTAATCCGATTCAAGGGATGGGTCTACCACAGGAAGGATGTCTCCTGGCTATCCTTTCCTCGACCATCTTCTGCAGGGTCGGGCTAGACACTCGCACGAGTCTCAATGGTGTCTCGTCACTTCGATGAAAATGGTGCCTCAAAGAAAGTCGGGTTTGTTTGCCTTCACCAAATGCCATTCCAAAGCCGCTCCAGGTTAGCCTCGTCTGGGTCCCCGGACAAACAGTCAGGGTAGTGAGCGTATGTTCATGTGCTGCAGAATCTCATCGCCAACGAGGATCGCGTTTGCCTCTATCTGTTGTTCGTCCGACAGGCTCGTGGTAACAGCTAACCAATGCTAGGTCCCGTAAGTCTGACAGAGAACACGTATGGGAATTTCAGATACCTTGTTGTGAGCATATGTGTGCTGGGGCATGGCTTGTGTACACAAGAGGATGTGGCTTAATGTATCAAAGAAATGGAGTAACTACAAGAAGAACGCCGCTAGCAAACGCGGGACACTGATTGGGTTGCGCTTTCGAAACAGGCGACGGGTTATGCATGCACAAGAATTATGCAACTGCATAAAAAAAAGAAGTTCCTCCGGCCTGACTGACCAAGAGGCTGCAGCTTATGTCCAGACAAGGACCAATCCTCTAGAGACTTTTATGCACAATCGGCCAAGGATGCGGCCTAGCGAGACGGTAATTGGATAGAAAACCTGGATTACGTGGCCAAGTCTGCTTTCTGCACTTCCTGCGGCCTGCGGATGAAGTACGCCACACTGGGTTACATCAGCACGAAACCCCTGTAAATTGCCAATAGTCCTCGCCAATTAACACGAGGCCAGGCTTTCTCCCAGTCAATTGTGGGTTTTACATGGATAAGTATCCCATCTCCCTACCTGAGGCCCGGTCCCCTTGGTCCCTTCTTCACATACCGTTCGGGTGGCGCAAAATCTAGTCACTGATTTCCTTTTCTCTCTCGCCCAAGTGCCGTGCCGTGCCTTGCCGAGCCAATCAACAACGACTACTTTTTCAACGTCGCGTGCCCACAACGACGCCCCATGATATCGGCAGCCCGATGACGGTCCAGTCGTCGCGCTTCGGACAATGCCGCCGCCATACGACAACTGGCCCCACTACTTGAATGGGATCTGCCCAGCCACACGAGAGAGTGGCTTTTCTGAACCTGATGGGCAGGACCAGTACCATCCGGGTCAAATCCTGGACATTGTCTGGTACAACGGGGGGTACTTCGAAGGGCAGAATGTCACCGTATCCTTCACACTTCAAAAATATCGTGAGCGTACTGATGATTCATACCTGAAATGGATCTCCATGCTCAGTATGACGTCCTCGATATCAGTCGTGACCTCCTTATGTCCGATCTGGCTAACGTATTGTTGGATCTCAGATGAAACGACATTGTACAGCCAATTTGAGATCCCGCCGGATAACCACAACTTCGAAACACCTTGGCTTGGTCGCGTTGAACCCTGCACAAATATGACTGCAGTATTGTTCCGTTGGAAAATCCCAGAAGATATCAAATATCTTGAAGGAGATCCTAATTATGTCATTTCAGTCGGAAACGTATCCGGGATAAACACGAGTCAAGGTGTAGGAGGAACGACAGTCGACGTGTCAATTAGTGACCCATTTCTGCTCACGCGCGTTGATGGGTCTCAGACAGAGAACAACTCTGTCGACACCACGACGGCCACAAGCGACCAGGCTGCCGGCAATATGCTTCAGACCAGAAGTTTGATCATCGGCCTCAGCATCGGTTTCGGGCTTTTGGCACTCGCTCTAGGAATTTGGATCTGGTTCTGGCGGCGTCGCAAACGAAACAAGAAAAGCATCAGCAGTAAGACACCGACTAGCGACGTTACCGAAAAAGGGGTCTCCAAACCTGAACTATCGGTATCCAGGGCTGCTCCACAGAGCCACCAAAACAATGCCATCAAAATACAAGAGGTGGATGCAAATACCAGAACCACGGAAACGGATGATAGCAGCCCGTTATCACGACTCCACGGTCTCAGGTCAGAGACGGACAAGAATAGGAGAATCGAGCGTCTCGCAACAGAGTCATCATCTTCAGAACATCAACGACAACCAGGAATGGACACGAGGGAGGACCGAGAACTGAAAGGAATCACACCCGGCGAGCTGAAATCGTTAGGGTTTTACATCGAGGAGCAAAAGACTTTGGGACCACTCAGCAGCATGCTATTACACTCGAAAGCGAAGCCGGTATGAAGCGAGACGGATGCCATCGAAGGGATAATCGCGAAATCCTTCATGTTGTCATCTTCGAATAGACGAGCACACAACTTCGGCAGCTCGCTTGAGGAACGAGATTCTACGAAATACTTCGAGCGACGAGACGGCGCCCCCAGGAAAAGTGCTACGTCACCCGAAGAGCTCCTGTCTCTCGACTGAGTTCCCAGTGCAGGATGCGGTGGAGCCGACCCCATAGCCGAACAATGGCAGTTCGAAGCGCAGACGCTAGCTGGAGATGGTTTACGTTACAAAGCCATGGCTCTCAGTTGCGAACCTTGAATCATCACCAGATTGGACTGAACAAGAATCCCGGCACCAGGCGGAAGCGACAACTCAAAATGTTCGCGATGTTCGCCTTTGTTCCATGGCTGCCTATTAAGTGCGAACGAGCAGACGCTCACTAGGATGCATTTTCTCCACGAACCACTGGTCCCAAAATATTGTTCATGTCGAGAAAGGTTCCTTTTACACTGGCTCACAACTCTCAAGAGACTAATCAGCATGCTGTCCTCAGAAGTAGCCTGATCCCGTGGCAGTGAAAACCAGTGAGGCAAAGATGTGAGAGACTGGAGTTGACCACAGACTGACACGTTTACGGAAGCACAATCGACAGATAACCACGCGTTGGGCAACGTGATTGGTGTTTGAGAATCCATGAAGAAGATCAGCGACCTGGCTTGCTAAAATGGATGTCGTATCGCATCACTGTCTGGGCTAATACAGACAGAGACATGGCGTCGTGCTCGACGTTGCTGTTTCGCATATAGCTAGACAAGCGGAGCACGACTGCGAGGACGACTGCTGGTGGTGGTCCCCGAGGTAGAAAGCAGAGACTGGGCTATCTGGCAGACCTACGCCAATTTATGCAAACACCACGGCAACGCCGTCAGTGATATCCTACGCACCTCGAGAGCTCGGGAAGGCTGTGAGGTAGCACAAAAGATCGTCAGCCACATCATGGTGGCCTCTTGATCTGTGCTGCTGCACACGTCCTTGTTCGGCGAGGCGGAATATCTTCCCGCTGTAAAGGGCAGGCTCCAGTCTAACTTTGAGACGCTGGTTATGCTGAAGCAGTATTGGCCGAGTGTAGAGATGATGGTAAGTCGGACATCCTCTCATAAAGCCGGATTCTCACTTTCAAGAAGTCCTTCAAAGCATGCAGCTGTGCTATGACGAAGAAAATCAGTACAGGATTTCACTAAAGACTACCCAATCACGTGCAGACTAAACGCCTCGTCATATTCCAGGACAACTGCCCGCGCCCCACGATACGGAAAGACTCGTCTCACCTCGACCGGTGGATAATAGGCTTCCTGCCCGAGCACTGGCTTGCTTTTCAGGACAAGCTGAAGGAAGTGCCGTATGCTGAAACAGGGGAGAGCTTTAGCGAATTAGAGACTGTAGCGGCGGCTGCGGACAGGGTGCAGGTCGGGAGTAGCAAGGTCACCAATGGGATTATCATAAGCATGCACCACCAATATTCGAGACAGTCTTGAATAATGTGTATAATGGTTCACCCATAGATACAATGATGTACATGAGTATGTAAGCGTATAGGACTCTCTAGGAGCATATGAATACCACTTTGAGCTGCTCATGTGCAAATAACACCTTTTTATTTGTTTCATAAACAGGTATCGAAGCATCATCGTCATCCTGTTCTGGATACCTCCGCAATCAAGAGTGACCACGATGTGAGATCCGTGCTGAAAATAAGATTCCGTCGACTTGATTTGGTCTCTTTAAGTGCCCAAGAGGCATCCGTTGAGTGCCTGTATACTCGTTCATGTTAAAGCAGAATACCTGGATGCTCATCATATTCAAGAAGTAGGCTGTGTGAGACAACTCTCTGCTCCCTGTCGCAGAGAGCGCTCTTTCAGATTGCCTCGTCAAAGTGCCTTGATGGTACCTTGGGCCCCCTGGACAGCTCAAGCACTGCCGCAGCACAGCCATGGGGCCATGTGCATGCAGTGTGCTTATGTATGCAGAGCCGCGACGCGAATGCAGGACAGTGATTCGTTACACAGCGCGTCTCAGACCCTTGCCTGACAAGCATTGTGCTTATCGGCCTACCCGTGCCACGCCCCACTTTAGGCGATTTCGCTTTCAAATGCTGCACCACCTAAAGGTAGTACTATATAGCAAAATGACGCACACAGCAAAATGACGTATCACAACCCTTAAAACACGAAAATGGCGGCCCAACGACGTCGTGATAGCAAACAGAAGGCTGCATTACGTGCAGAAGGCCTTAATGAAGCTATAGAATAGCTTGAAACCAATCCAGATACGTCGGTACGCGCTACGGCGTGTACTTTCAACGTCTCCGAAGCCACCCTCAGGAGGCACATCAATAGCAAAACACCGACAAAGAAGCAGCACAACCACATGTGTAAGCTTTCAGATGCTAAAGAGGCTGCCGTCTATAGGTATATTGATCGCCTGGATTGCGTTAACCTTGCTGTCAAGCCGCATCACGTTAAAATGTATGTAGAAAGGATCCTCTTCGAGAAAGCTAGTTGTGACGACCCGACTAACAGGGTCGCAAGATCGGGCCAGGGACAAGGGCAGGTCATGCACGCGGGCTAAGAACACCATTACGTAAGGAAGGACAGATGACTCAGCAAAACAAGAGCTGCGCCAAGACCCAAGGAAGTGCACAGCTCCCGGAAGGAACTGCGCAGCGTAATAACGAGAACCGACAGCACCACCTGTCGGAAGGACAGGGCACGATGAAGGATAAAGGATATATTTAGGGGCAGGAGGATCTCCTTGTAGACAGTTATTACCTTTATGCTTTAGCGATCAATCTAAGTATTAGATTTACTACATACTTGAACTAGTTACTTAATTGCCGAGACTGGTATTTCTTCCTAGAGACACGACAACCCCTAAGAGAGAACGGTAGCGGAGTGTTAGTTGTTATCGCACAGGCTTTACCTATCTTGTAGCGCCCTGCCAGACGGTTGACCCCGGAGGCAGGATCGTGACATTTTGATGATAAATCTGTGGAAGCCGCGATATGATAGGCTCTAGATAGTGATCTTTTTTGCGCGGTGGGGGTTCATAGAGAATAGGAGGTAGCGGAGCGAGATAAACAAGAGGGATCATCTGAGCCGAAGGGAATTACGTGATGAGAGAAAGGTTGAACGAAGTCAAATATACAAGAATATAATGGGAATGAGAGCTCACTCATGTATTCTCGACCGAGCTAGATTAGGAATAGTAGCAAAGCGGCAAGTGCGCTAAGCTCTTTTAGATTGCCGCAAAACCCTGCGGGGACAACAGCACATCCTCGATTACAGACTACACATGGCCGGCAACTCTATCGGCATTATCCGCGCGTGGTATCAAATGGGCGTGCGATACGTATGTCTCGACCGCGTCCATCGTCTCCCGAGCCCACAGTCTGCTAATAGAAAGTATGACTGTTCAGATCACGTTGACGCACAACTGCAACAATGCCTTTGCCGACTCCTCCCAGGTTGAGCCGGTCCACGGTGGACTCTCGGCCCTGGGCAGAGGCGCAATCGTGGAAATGAACCGCCTAGGTGTGTCTGTCCCTGCGCGCCATCTGCGCACAAGCACTGTCGAGCTCCATTACCACCTGATCCAGGCTGACCACCACAACCATGCCCGTGCGCACCCTCCACAGGCATGATTATCGACCTCTCCCATGCGTCGCGCGACTGCGCGCCGCAGGTCCTCGACCTGACCCGCGCGCCCGTCATGTTTTCCCACAGCAACGCCCAGGCAGTGTTCGACTGCGCGCGCAACGTGCCGGACGAGGTGCTCGACAGGGGCCCGGCCAATGGGGGTGTCGTCATGATCAACTTCGTGCCGGAGCACGTGGCCGCGCACCGGCGAGACGCCCGGATGCAGCACGTGCTCGACCACATTTTCTACGTGGCCGAGCGGATCGGGTGGGACCACGTCGGCCTCGGGTCCGATTTTGACGGCGTTGCGTCCGTGATCCCGGGGCTCGAGGACGTGAGCTGCTACCCGGGCCTCATCGCGGCTGTGCTGGACCGTGGCGCGACCACGGAGCAGGTTGAGAAGCTCATCAGCCGCAACCTGCTGCGTGTGTGGACGCGGGTGGCGGCAGTGCGGGAGCAGATGGGGAGGGAAGGCGCCCGGCCCGTCGAAGACGTCTGGGAGGGTCGCAAGTGGTGGCGGTTCAACGGCGAGCACCAGATCGAGGACAATGACCCCGGCGACACGCGCGGCTGGGGCTGGTTCGGCATGGACAAGCCCACAGATGCCATCTGACTGGAGAAGAACCGATGGGAAGAAGGCCATGTATAGACCAGAGTAGTCAAGAAAGGAGCGCTACATCACCTAGCATGTCCCCCATGGACGCCGTGCTCAGCCACAAGTCCACGTCAAACAGCCCCATGTCGACCTGGTCGGCATCGACCACCAAGTTGGAGAAGAGGTCCTGGACCTCCTTGTCGCTTCGTGCTCTGCGTGCCCCTGCGGCGCCGTGTCTGAGGTGCGGCACGAGAGCTTGACAGCGGCTGAGGCACGCCTGCCCGAGTTCCCAGCCATGCTGTTTCTCGGCAGCTCTCAGGCTCGTCTGGAGTCTCTCCAGGTCCTCCATGCAGGCTTGCGACACTTCGCATTCCTCGGCCTCCAGCGCACAGCGCAGCAGCAATGTGGCGCAGACCGTCAGGTGTGATGATGTGTCTGAGATCATGACTGTCAACTGCGGCGCTCCAGCGGTAGTTCGGGTTTAGTAGAGATGGGGACAGACGTACAGGGCAGCCAGAAATCGGCAAAGTCATGCTCATCAAGTCCGGACACGAACTCGACAATGTCATGCGCCGCCTTCTGGCAGTTGAGCTGGTGAAACCGGCGAGCTGCATCCGATGGTGTCTCGTCTGACTTGACAGATTCCTGCCGTGAACATCAGCGTGACTGTGAGCACATGCGCATCGGCCGGCGCCAACTCACGTGGAGCATCATGCGGTGGACAAGCATCTTGGTCGTCAGGAAGCAGAGGGCAAGGTGACTGAGGCCTGGCACCCGCGGCCGCCCGGGGCGGGCTTCACACCTGGTCCTCCACTGCGCGTAGAGCTCTTCCCACTGGTCGAGTTCGACTTGGCGTTGTCTCAAGCCCTTAGTAACGCTGTCTGATGTCGCCGCGCCCCGCAGGTCGAAAGCAATGCACCGAAGCCCCTGGGTCGTGGTCGTTAGCCTGCACAGTAGCATGAAACACTCTGAGGCGAGCGGTTCGTGGTCCCCGCACTCCTCTGCATCCACTTGGTCCAATACGTTCATGGTGAGCATAGGCACGTCAGTTTGGGATGCCTGTGTGAGGGGTGGTATGCCTCGGGCGAGCGCTGACCTGAATCCAAAGTTAGTGTATGGCGCATCACGCAGAACCCAGAGCCCGCGCATTCTCGTCTTCTTACCATGTATCATGCACCCTGAGCCCCCACCACAGCGCCGTCCTTGTGCTCCTCTCCGCGTCGGGAATGCTCCATGTGCTCGGGTATCGGTTGAGGCCGAGACAATGGGAGAGGGATACAACCTGTCCCAGAGTCATGGCGTTGCTTGTGGCCGAGTCGACAGGTCGCTGGCCCAGCAGGACCAGGCTCGCCATAACCGTTGACAACTGAGGCGCTGCAAAGGCTTCTTGCACGGCGCCTGCGGCGAGAGCTTGCACCATCGCGTGGTCGGGACAGGGAAACCCTGCTAGGCCGGGTGCGTGCTTCCAATACATCAAAGCGGAAGCATATGCGGTGCACAGCAAGACGTCAGAAGCGCCGTGATCCACGGTCGAAGTGGTTGGCGCGAAGAGATAGTCACTAGATATGATTGGGAATGCCATGTTGACTTTCTTTAAGAACCTGGGAATGAGTAAGTCCGGGGCCGAAGCGCCAGAATGCGGGCTGAGGCACAATTTGATCAGGGTGTCCGCGAACGGGCTCACGATTTGCTCGAGGACCTTTCTGCGGTCAAGGCGAGCAGAGAAAGGGTCTTTAATAGCGGTGGCCGGGCTGGACAGCTGGTAGGTGAACCCGACAGGCTTCTTGCGATCGGTCGAACAGATGCCAATATGCTCCTGCGCAATGGGGGAGGCACGCGCGGACAGCAGGTGCTCCTCGATGACCTGGGAGTCCTGAGCACCCGAAGGGCCCAGGACGTGGACAGGTAGCGAGCTTGAGCCGTCATGCGGCGAAAGTGCCGTCGGCCGGACGTTCGAGATCTCAGCGAGACCGCCATGGGATGCCAGATCACGGACGGCCGCCCTTCGCCTCGACTGCAGCCTCGGCAGAGACCGCCCAGTCGAAGAGGGCGGCGCTGGTCCCTCCCGTGCCGTGGTACTAGCCCGAATAGCATGGAGGCATGACATGTCCCGCGAGCGGCAGCGGCGGCAGCCGAGCCCGGGAATGTCAACCACACAGCCCGTCTTGTGCTTGCGGCAAAGATCACACGCCCGCACCTTGTGTGACCGATATGGTCGTGTCTCCATCCTCAGCTCTTGAGCTGCTGGGATGTGCCTGTCGGCGGCAGCGGGCTAGATGTAGCAGCGGTCAGGGCGATGGTCCTGTTAAGGACTACTCGGGGTCGAGATTGGAGTTACAGCAATCCAGCTTCAGAAGACGGAGGTAGACGCAAGATTGGTCGGAGATTCGGGGACCTAGGCTAAGGGAGCCGGGCGGGACTCGGGTAGTAATATGTGACGTACCGGACTAACAGGGGATTGTTTAGGGCTGAGGAACAGGATAAACAAGGCCGCAGCAACAGGCTATGGACAAGGGCGGGGGCAAGGATTGCCTAAGCAGGGACTTAAGTCATCAAGCGATTGCCCCGTGTTTTGCTTGAACGTAGTGAGAACTAAGGGGTTTGTTTCCCCTTAACCGCCAACGGGATGGCCTCGCCAGGATAGGCAAATTAAGTAACAGCGTCAGAGCGCTCCATACCAACCCGGCCTAGCGCGACGATAAGGAATTGAAGGCCTAAGCCGCCTAGCGGCTAGGGGCTAGCTCGGCAGCGCACAGCCGATACCTGTCTTACCTTCTACCTACCTCATGCATGAACACCATGGCATGCACACGAAGAGAGAGAGGAGTCGTGCTGTGAGTGGTCAGGTTCGGCGGCGCCTGATCGAGGCGTCTGGTTGGGCTGCGATGCCTCCGAATGGACAACCTCGCGAACATCCCCACCACTACCGGCGACCAAATAAACGTAAATCCTTGGACGGGACTTCCCGAGGGCTTCCCGTCGCACGGATGAGCTTTGTTGAGGACGAGGCCAAAATCTACCTGCGTCTCGAACGCCATCAAACCCTTTGAATGAGACTTAGCTGCGCTACGTGAGCCGCCTGAACATGTCGCGTGCGATTGAACTGCCGGATTCCTGCCAGCTCGAGGATCCTGGTGATCCCGATGTCGCTGGGCTTGGGGTACGTATCATGGAACATCCTGACTCGGATCTGACATGGAGTTGGACTAATTGAGCATAGGTCATCATCGCATTCCTCATATCAACATGCCTCGCCTTTGCGATGGTGATCGCGCTGTACTTGCGCTCAGCCCTTTCTGGCGTCTGCAACGATATCGACGAGGCAGTCCTCGGAGCCCTGAAGTATGTCCTCTACAGACGTATACTAGGGCCTGCCGACGAGAACAACAGAAATGAACCGCGGTCCTCCAGGGAAACCGTTGACGCCGTCCTCTTCGACATCCTCTCCAGCCAGAACGACCAGCTACTCGTCCTCGGCCTTGCCATTACCTTGTCCCTCTACGTCCGCCTCTCCGAGCTCCACATGCTTTCCACCTACGCGTTCCGCATGTCCATCTCCACCGCTTGGCTCACCTGTGCTGTGAACATGTGCCTCATCTCCATCGCCCGCGGCCGCCACAGAGACACTGACCTACGCTGGAGGCTCATCGTCATGACAATTCACATCCTCCTCACGGCGCCGCTAGTCATGATTGCCTCCCAGCCCGTCTTCGCGGTCGAGCCATCGCTCTCGGTCAAGTGCGCGCTCGAGGTCATCCCGCAGCTCAACGGCGCGCAAGTCACCGTGTCCGTCCTGCAGTCTGTACTCTTCATATTGATTGCTATTGGGGGTTACGTGCGACGCATGGATCGGCTACTTGGAGTCCAAGCACTGTTCTTTCGGAAGGTATTCAGGCTTGGTGATAAGTACGAGTGGATGATGGACCCCCGTCACACCATCATGAACCATCAGCGTATCAAGAAGAGAGCTCTGGCTCGCATCGCCGAAGACTGGGCCAATCTCCCAGGTCCACCAGGACTTTGGGAGGTTCCCGGACTTTGGATATTTCCCATCGGACTTTGGGGGTTTCTCCGCATCATGCTCCGTGACCTGGTGGAATCGTTCTTATGGGAGCTCCTGTGGCTCATATTCTACTTTGTCTTTGGTATCACGTCCCTACTCGTCTCTTGGACGGCTCTGCCGCCACTCTCGCAGTGGGATTTGTCCTTCGGGCAGCTCGTCCCGATCTTCTCCCTGCTCTTCTTCGCGACACCCGCGTACGATAATTACCTGAGTAAGTGAGACGTAACATATGGTTGAGGCTATCTTGGCAGAACGTGTTTTAGCTAACTGCATGCTTTCATAGCTGCTCGGCGGGAGGCGAGACGGCTTCGCATGAACGGAAGCAACGCTTGGGTCGAGTTCTGGACTGTCGACGGTCGCAAGGGCGTCACAGATGTCCCGCTCCTTGATCCTCTGCATTATCAGCACGAATACTCTGTTATCACAAGAGAAGGCAGCCCAGGCGAAGCTCCCCTAGGCCAGGCGGTTGCAGCTCCTGGTCGTTGGCTCCGGCAGCTATTCACGTGCGGGCCAGGGCCGACCATGCGAATTGACGTGCTTCTTAGTCGGCCCCATGGCCCTCCCGCTCGCTCCTCGACTTCAAGTCTGCCAGGTGATGACAACCCTCCTTCCGAAGATCTCGCCTCACATCCTGCCATTCCATCCACGGGTGATCGCGACGAACACGCTGAGGGCCTGGAGGATGTCACCAAGGCCGCCAAATCCCCGGCGGCGTCTAGTGCAGAACACCTCTCAAGTTCTCAGCGCGACACCAAATCGAAAACCGAGCAAGAAGCCTCTGATTCACGTGGCGGTGGAGCAAATTTCGACACCGATGACGTAGAACGAGGGATAGCTCACACGAACAGCAGCAGCGATCACTCAACAAAGGCCAAGGTTCAAACTCGCAGGACTCGAGCTAGTCAAGATTCCCTCAGGATCGAGCATGTTGATGATGGCGTTGATGATGCTGGGGAGATATCTATCAGTGAGAAGAGACAGCCGGTCGATCTCTCGCTTATCGAGGATGAGTTTACATTCGTCCACGACGAATTACAAGGTAATGATAGATCTGAGGGGCCCGTGAACGCAAAGCAGGACGGTCAAAGCCAGCCACCGAACGACAATTCGTTACGCCCAGGACGCGGACCCATCCCGAACTTTTACGTCCGTCTGTACTCCTCCAACAGGATACTAGTGGTCGGCTCGATTGTCTCTTCTCTCACCTCAGGAATAGTTCTCATGCTCCTCTTTGCAATCTTCTCCGGCGGCGCCTTCGCAGGCTCGGTCCTAGGTCCCAGCACAGAAGTTTGGGCTGTTGCTTCTGGCATTATCGGAGTGTCGTACTTCGCTGCCGTTGGTGTCTACGGCATGACTGGATTTCGGCGACATGTGATAGCGCTGCGGAAGTTCCAGATGCAGGAGGGAAAAAAGCGGGAGCGGCAGGAGAGGATGGAGAGGATGGAGAGGATAGAGATGAATAGGGAAAAGCAGAATGTGTATAAGCACATGCGGCACCCTACCACGTCCCGTCGGACGAACTTCAGGACATAGGCAAACGCTTCTCAGGGATGGTAGGCAGGGCTCGCATCATCCTCTGCACAAATGACGAGGCTGCCAGCTGCCTCTGTGTACTGACACGCATTTGTGAGGATGAAGATGCAGGAACGCAGCGAGGGAGCCTTAACTGAGTGGAATCATGAGAGTGCAGCGACTAGGCTCGCCGAGTTCATCGCCTGACTTCACTCGTTCAGATTCTCACCTAGAACTTAATATTATCGCTTCAATGACTGAATTAGAAATGAATTGAAACTTCCCGATACAGGAGCGAGCGATGTCTCCGGACCCCGGTGGTTGTATGGATCTTACCCCGGTCTGGGTACCTTTCCGGATGTTGCCAAGGTCCGGGTGGCTTTCAGTTGGGCAAGCCAGTCTCAAGGCAGCCTGCGTCACGACCACGACTAAGAGTTCTTTCGAGCAATGAATAAAAGTGCTTTAATGCAACAAGAGCCAGGACACTGGGCATTTTCGTCCAATATAAAACGTCAGTCATGACGACATCTACACTAAAGCCGCTTGAGTTACATCCCAGCCGGTGAAGCCGTCTAGAGTAGGCGCACCTGGAAAGGGGCCCTGGTATGCTCCCATGCGACTCATGTAGTACCTACATCTGCGGGCCAAGCAATCCTTCCATGGAGAATGATGCAGACCTGGGTCCTTTATATAATTGCCTGTAATAGCTTTACTAAATGTTTGGGAATTTGGGTCTATGCCTATTTGCATGCCTTCCCGGCCTCGTCGCGAACATGCTAGCTTCCTGCCCTTCACTTCCCCGTCACCTCCCTCCCCCTCATACCCGACAGCGCCCGCGCGTCTCCCGTCGCGTCGCATACTTTCCTCTCCAGCCGTACTGTCCCTTCTCGCCCCCTCCCGGGGGGGCCCTGGTTGGGTGTTAGCGCGGAAACGCCCCCCTGCGCGTGGGTTAGCCTTAACCCCCAGCCGTTTTAGCGCGTGGAACTTGACTGGGCCGGCCCCTGTATGGCCCGTGCCCCCAGCGGGAACTTGACTGCGCCAAGGCAAGCTCCAGCAGGAATGATTGTCAGTAGGATTGCAGCTCCTCGTCGTCCGCAGCTCCCACTGCTCGATGTGCTCCATGAATATGCCAGTCATGTGTGATATGCTCGGCCGTCATTATGTACTGGTCAGGCATGCCAGGATCAGGGTCCGTCGTTGGCCTACGGCTCACAACCAACTCCCGGCCGCGAAAGGCCATGACCAACTTCAGTCCCAGATACCACGCGATACCCCAGAACGGCACCGAAAGCCCGACGGCCAGCAGCAAGTACCACTGGAGGTTTGTGGCCGCATATGCGTAAGGCGATTCATCCGACGGTTGCGCAAATGCCGCGAGTATCATACAGGCGCAGGCGACGCAGTAGACCAAAGCATATCCCCAGCCGAATGGAGGGTTGAAGTTAGGGTTGGACCAGTTCCTATTGCGCTTAAACTTGAGATATAACAGTCCCAACGACGTGAAAAATCCGTTGAGAATGATGATGACGTAGCTGTAGAGCTTCACCAGCACGGCGTAGGCGATGGACGGGTCGAGCATGGCCGTGAGGGCGATCAACAGGGCCGAGGTGAGAAAGTGTAGCCCCAGTGCGGCCATGGGCGACTGTTCCAGTGTCGGGTCGTCTTCTTCCAGGTGTCTCCCCTTCCACCAGGCCCATGGAGTACGACGGCTGGTGGCGAAGGTGAGTGACCACGGCAGGATGCCCTCCTTGGCAATCTCTTGCTTGACTCGAGACGCCGTGTAAGTCATGACTAGCAGGTTGCCCGAAATGGAAACCGCGATGATGGCGGCCATGACGCGCTTAGCAGTTTCGTTGCCGAACATGTGGCCGAAGAAGACGATGGCCATGTTGCGCTGTTCGTGTAGGGCGGGTAGGTTGCGGGGCACGGCGCAAAAGTACGCCACGTTCACCAGGAGGAAGAGAACTATGACAAAGGCCATGGTGAGAAGCGTGTATCTGGGGAAAACTCTCCGAGGCGTCCTGACTTCAGTGAGGACGTAAAAGGGCTGTTCGAATCCAGAAAAGGCGTACATGATGTACAGGAGGGAATTCGTGACGCTTGGAACCTCTCTGGCTCCCGGTCGAAACGATTCGATAACGTCGAAGTTGGACGTCGCCTTGGGCTCGCCGCCCACCCTCACGCCACCTGCTTTCATGAACCCGAGGACACAGATGGCCACCAGCAATGTTGTTTTCAGCATGGCAAAAGCGCTGTTGAGGAAGAGACCCGCTCGCCTGGAAACCATGTGCAACATCACTGTAAACGCTAAGATCCCGACGGCAATGCCGATGACCGGGCCCTTGGGGTCCGGAGAGTATCCCGCTGCGTTCATGAGGAAATCCCAAAGGCGATAGCGTTTCCAGATAGGTTAGCGATGAGGACAAAAGCGATGCCGTACATGGACTTGACCAACAGCTTTGGTTGGTCTCTCTCTCTCCTGTAAATGAATTCCAGCTGTCCTCATCTGTCAGCTACGCATCGCCTGTTGTGCGAAGTCTGACTTACGTAGTTCTTTTCTCCACCGCTTCGCGGGACCGCGCGCAGCGCCTCATCGTCTCCTGTAGGGAGGAGCGGTAGTGCAAGCCCAGCTGGAGCCAGACCATAAGACCGTAGGTCGCGATGAGCCCGCCGAAAACCCAAAGGAGCAGTGACCCGCCTACGCTCTCGACGCCATCGACGACCAAGGCCGGTGTGACGAAGATACCGGAACCTGAACGACGCCCATGTCAGTCGAGGCCTTATGAGAAACCCAAGGCTGGCACGCCGACAAGTCTCACCGATAGTTCTGTTCAATACCAGGCACGCCACCGTCGTCGGGCCAAGCAAATTACTGCCCATTGGAGTCGTTTCGGTCGTCTGGGCCGCTGCGACATGACAAGGTGGAGGGGGCGGCGGTCGTCTCCTGCGTGATTCTGCCATGGCAGAAGTTAAGTTGTATGTCGACGGGGTATGCCATTCGTGCGAGGCTCCCGACCCGAGCGAGTGGGACGAAGGGCTGAGTATAAGAGGGCGAGATATTCGTCTGATATCGGTGGCCAATGAGCGAGGTGCGGCACACTAGTCTGCCTTACACGAGGATAAGGCTCCGGGTGGACCCTGATTATAGGGATGAAGACGCCACGCTGAGGTCGACCTGTGCTTTTTCTCAATATTCGCAAATGTGGCGTCCAGTCCCAGCGCTTACAGAGCCTTATCAGCCGCCTCATGTTCGGCACAGCCCCCCGGCTTGCCAGCAGGGCAGTATCTGGGCAATATTAGGGCTCTCAGAAGGTCCGGTCAGGCTGCCGTCACGGTACGACGTTGAACTCCTCACCCTCCTCTCTGATCATATACATCCCCGCCTTCTCACGAGGCCCACGCACGAACTCTATCCTCATTCGAATCGCCTTTTTGCCCCATGAATCCATAAGAAAGAATCTCGCAGCCTTCCTGCGGATACCTCTCCGCGTGGAGAGCCATGTCCTTTGGGTTCGGCATAGGGGACATCGCCAAGGCGCTGGAGGTCAGCAAGTGGATATGGGACACTTGCTTCCAGAAGAACAACGCTGCTGGTAAGTGACTCGACCCACACTCTATCTTCCTCCAGGCGAGTCCCCAGTTTGAAGCTCACCATCACATTTTCAGACCAGCAATACGCGGCCCTCGGCGCCGACGTCGAACGGCTCCGCTCGACACTCAATGAGCTCCAATCCGTCGTCGTACATGCTCGCGCCGAGCTCGAGCCCTTCGAAGATGACACGCGAGACATCGGTGGTGACTTCGTCAAGACACTGGAGGACTGTCGCTCTTTTCTCAGGGGCCATGTGGAAGTGACGAAAAACCGCGCCGGCATCATCCAGAACATCAAGTGGAACCTCTTCACGGGCACAGAGCTGACAGAACTCCGCAGCCGGCTGCAATTCCACACCCAGGCTTTGACTCTTGTCACCGCGCCGGAGGGTCTGAGGCTCCTGATCTACATCACCCAACAGGTCGCTGAGCTGAACGACAAGATCAGCTCGTCAACGACGGATGTGCCAGAGCCGCCGGACAACTGCATCTCAGAATGGCTGAGCGGTGTTTTCCGGGAGAATGCCTTCCGCGCGCCGCCCGTCACGTTCGCCGCTCTCGGTGACATTCCATTTCGACAAGGCTGCATCGCCCTTCGCCAGCACTGCACCCATCTCCCGCCCGAGAATAGAGCAGGTGCCACACCGAAAGAGTACCTCGGCCTCCTCAAGTGCCTTTGGCTGATCAGAGTCCTCCAAGCCGGAAGGGATATCAGGAGGTGGCGTAGAGGCTCCCCGTTTCGAATCTTCATCCTGAACGTCAGGTTTGAGATTCACAATAGGCTTGATGATCTCGCGACGTCCACCGCGGCCGCAGTGACTGACAATGAGCTCAAGCCTTTGTAGAGCGAGAGCAACTTACCGTTCCTCATCTGGGATCCCGGGGAGGAGAGGCGGCCATGGGAGCCGTGGAAGCCCCAGTTTGGGTATGAAGAGCTGCCAGCTTTGTTATTGAGACGGAAGGAGATGTTGTTGATCTTCAGGAAAAGCCCTACCGAGATGCGCTTGGTGCGCATGGCCGACTCCAACGGCGAGAGAAACGTGTCGTGCGTCCGTGGCGAACAGCCGTTCAACACAGAAACCGACAAATTCTTACCGCTGTACACGGTGGGCGGCCCCAATGACCCCTTGGCGGTCGAGACATACCGGCAGAACGACTCGAATCCCGAAAGATACGAGTTGGCGGACGAAACCGCGGTTTGGGCACTCCAGCGTATACTTAGCGGCTTCTTGGTGTGCGCCGAGGAGCCGGGCGTGGTATGCAGGCTCTTGCGGGCTGCAGGAATTAGCAGCCTTAACCTCCTCGCAGACGCGAGGACGGACAAAATGGAAGGGCTGGTCCAGGTCTGGCATTTTGATCCTCTCGTCATTGAACTCCCGCTTGATTCGCCCATCGAGCCTTCTGCTCGCTCCATGTCGGTGGCGACAGTGGCGCAGGCCTCGTACTCCTCGCTGGCGACTCAAGCCAAGTCGATATCTCCACGGCCGTCAACGTCTAGGAGCATCGGCGCCGTAAGCATCGCTTCGTCTCAGGCAACGGCGGTGGAGAGGGAGCACCGTCATGGGTCACTCACAGAGCTTCAGCCTCCTATTCGGCCTGCCGTCATCCTCTTTGACCGTTTAGGCTGGACACACACCTACCTTCATCTTGAGAGTAAGTTGCAGCACCTGTCAGTATCGAGTTGCGACCATACGCTGACGTTGAGCCGCGCGGCACATAGTTGGCACGGACGTGTTCGTCAACGAAGCGGCCTGCCAGTGCGCAGCCACAAACGGTAAATGCAAAACTTTGGTCATCACGCCGCGGCCCAGCTTGAGTCGCTTCACGGTTCGACGCCTCTCGGTGGCGGGCGGATCGTCGCTGAAGAAATGGAACCTTCTCCTGTTTGGAACGCCAGGTCTGCGCGGCAAGCCCCACGACTGGGAAGTCGTCGAGACGCTCGAGTGCAAGTACCTCGGTCTGACCTTTCCAAAGGTCGAGGATCGTGTCGATTTTGCAGAACGGCTGTCCGTATATACTCGGATCTACCTGGGTGCCGAGAAAGAATACACGACAAAGAAGGACCGAGCGAAACGTGATGCTGACCGGCCGCAGCGCAAAATCGTCAAGAACACCAGGGGCTCCATGTATAGCCTGTCGACCATGTCTTCGAGATCGACGAATGCCAGCCTCGGCGTCTTGCCTCATTAACGTATCGACGTTTCATATGCCGCTGCCAAAAGACGGGGAAACGTCGACGACGACGGGACGACGGGGATCGTGACCGGGACGGCAATGGCGATAGTAACTGGTAGGGGTAGGGACGAGAAAAAGGACGAGCACAAGAAGAGCGACGGGGAAAAGGACAAATCGGCTTTCTGAAGGACCTCGGGATAAGAGAAATGCGTTGATGAGAATACGCGTCGCATAATCCATCGTCCCTCTATATTTCACGACTAACGTAATCCACAAGTGACTGAGACACACAAGTGAATGAGACACTTTCCGCCCATTCTTAACCCCCCATTTTCTTTCCTCCTTTTCTCCACCAACAATAATGGGACGACAATCAAATGAAAGCGACCTTATCCTAGCGCTTAATGCGCTCCATTCAAACCCAAAATTAAGCGTACGAAAGGCTGCACTACTCTATAATGTATCCCATGCGACCCTCTCACGACGACGAAACGGCCAAGCTGCGAAACGCGATATCCGACCACCCTGCCAGAAATTGACCTCGTACGAAGAGGACAGTATCGTACGATATATAATCGACCTAGATTCGCGATCGTTTCCACCGCGATTAGGTGGTGTTCGAGAAATGGCGGATCGACTCCTCCGCGTACGCGACGCGCCACGCGTCGGAACGAACTGGGCCTCGAACTTCGTACGACGACGACCTGAGCTCCGTACGCGTTTTAATCGAAGAATCGATTACCAGAGGGTCCTTTGCGAAGATCCGGACGCGTATCACGCGTGGTTTACGCTCGTACGAAACATAATCGCGAAATACGGGATCCACGATGACGATATCTATAACTTCGACGAAACGGGCTTCGCGATGGGCAAAATCTCCGCCGAAACTGTCGTTACGACCTCCGATCGACGCGGGAGGCCAAGAGCCGTACAACAAGGGAATCAGGAATGGGTTACAGTAATCCAGGGCATCGCGTCGTACGGCTATTTAATCCCGCTATATATCATCTTCGCCGGGAAGGTCCACCTCGACTCCTGGACCGCGAATAGCCCCCTACCGCCCGACTGGGTAATCGCGCTTTTAGAAAACGGTTGGACGACGAACGAGAGAGGCTTAGAATGGGTAAAACACTTCGATTTCCATATAAAGAGTCGTACGAAGGGTACCTACCGCCTCCTCATCCTCGACGGCTACGAGAGCTACCATTCCGTCGATTTTGAGCTCTACTGCAAAGAACAGAATATTGTTACCCTCTGTATGCCTGCTCATTCGTCGCATAAGCTCCAGCCTCTCGATGTTAGGTGTTTTGGACCTCTGAAACGGGCGTACGGTAAAGAAATCGAAGGTCTAATGCGGGCGCACGTAACCTACGTTTCAAAGGAGGACTTCCTCCCAGCCTTTTATAAGGCGTACGACGCTGTAATGACTAAATCAAACATCTAGGCAGGCTTTAGAGCGACAGGCCTAGTACCGTACGACCCGAATTATGTGATTTCACAGCTAGATGTGAAGTTTTATACGCCGACACCGCTAGGTTCCTCTGCTGGACTACCACCCCTATGGGTTTCAAAGACGCCGAACAACCCAATTGAGACCGAATCGCAGACGAAGTATATTGAAAATCGCATCGTACGACACTAGAATAGCTCACCGTCGTCCATTGTTGAGAGCGTACGGCAGCTAAGAAAAGGAGTCATAATGATGGTATACGAGCAGGACCTTATGCGCCAAGAGCTCGCCGAACTTCGAGATGCAAACGACCGCCTCAGCCGCCGTCGTCGTACGAAAAGAAAGCAGCTACAGAAAGGAGGGTCCCTCACGATTGATCAGGCAAAGGATTTGAAGGCTCAAATCGATGCGACGCAGCAGTTAATAGCGGAAACGAGTCAGAATAGTGGTCGTACGAGGAGGCCCGAAACGCGCGCGCGACGATGTGGCGTCTGCGGCGAGCCCGGGCATAATGCTCGTACGTGTCAGAAAGTTATATCTGCCTCTGAAGAAGAGGATTCTGAATAGTTTCAATTGATTTAAGGCGTTGTGGTTGAATTCTCTTATACATTATCGTACGAGTACCCTGAAAGTGTCTCATTCACTTGTGTGTCTCAGTCACTTGTGGATTACGTTAATGTATACTGTAATAGTGCTTCCTGCGTCTGTTAATATCATGAGGTGCTTATGTAACCTGGAGTGCTTCGCCCCGCGTGTATGACCTGCCCTTGTCCTCAGCCCGTTCTTGCGATATGTTGGTCGGGTCGTCACATCCTCATACCGGCTCATGTCTCTGCAAGTTGGACATTTTAGTCTCGCCGACGCTATATGCCGAGATCCGATGAGCATGCCGGTCACTGTTTCAATCCAGATTCTCTATCAGACCTGGTCGATACTAGAAACTCGAATTCATAATAACACTCTTTGTTTCCCGACCTGCGATGTTATATGGCAGCGGAGGATCACAGCGTACTGCATGTGAACGGCAAAAGTCGCACGAGAAATACCCTTTTCGAGGTAATCGTTTCTACCGAATGGCTGGCATAGTCTATTGGGCGTTGCTGGATCTAGTACTTCGTAGAGGAAAGGAACGAATGGTCGTGACTGGCTTATGCCGCGGAGATTTTATCAGGGTTCGGGTATTCCGCGGGTATTCCGCGGACCTAAGTCACCTGTGGCGGACCATGCTTGTATACATCCGCGGGCTAAGCAATCCTTCCATCGAGAATGATACAGACCTGGGTCCGTATATAAGATAGCTTTACTGAATGCTTTGGAATTTCTAGGAGCTAGCTTGCACCATCGTGCCCCGCAGTGTAAAGACGACGTAAACATGGACCGCCGACCCTTTGACCATATGTATCACGCAATGGACAAGCAACCGAACCGTCTGAATGTTGCGGTCGTAGGATCTGGCCTAGCTGGATTGACGGCAGCAGCAATGCTCCGCCAGCATCATGATGTCACAATCTACGAGCGAGGTGATGTCCGCGTTGCGACCGGCGGCCAAGGCATCATCATTTCCCCTGGGTCGACCAGACTACTCGAATCGGTGGGCTTCGACCGCAAACGACCCGGCGCGGTACCGATCGATGGCTTCCGAGTCTACGACATGTATGGGAAACTGATGGAACAGGCACCAATGGGACTTCAAGAAGCCTTCGGCGACACCATTCTAGCAATGAAGCGGTCCGAGTTCCGAGAGGAGCTTTTGCGGCTGGCTTGCGGAGGCGACGCAGAGAGCGAGCCGGCCAGGCTGATACTGCGTAGCAGAGTCACCGCCCTGGACGCCAGTGCGGGAATGCTCACTCTTGAGGACGGGTCGCGGGTCGGCTTCGATCTAGTGATAGGTAAGTCGTCACCATTCAGAAGCACGCGCTTCTTCTGACCGCATCCGGGAAGTGGCGGATGGCATTCATTCCGTTTTGCGCGACACAATCATAGGCAACACGGATTTCAAGGTCAGGAAGACAGGCTTGACCTGCTATCGCGTGGACGCCCCTGAGGACTCATTCCACAAAGCCGCTGCGGGCAGAGAGAGGCCAGATTGGTGGACATCTACCATGGAAGCCAGCGGATCATCGTCGATGAATATGTTGATGGACACTAGTGGACGTGTCGCAGCATTCTACCCGATGCGGGAAATGACTTGGGTTAACTTCTCATGCGTGGTCAGGACGACCAACTCAACCAAGGAGACCACTGACTCGTGGTATGCGGATGGCAACGTCAAAAGCTTATTGGCACACTTCGAGGGGTTCCCGGATGTTTTGTGTCAAACACTGCGGTACGTGATATACAATTTCGACCAAGACTTCTGATCAGCCACTGACCTGGGCATCCAGAACTGCAACGGAATGCAAGGAGTGGGAGCTACAGGAGCTTGACGAGATTCCCACCTGGGCCTGTAGGCGTGCGATCATGATCGGAGACGCTGCTCACGCTATGACTCCCGTCCAAGGCCAAGGAGCCAACATGGCCGTGGAGGATGGTGATAGCCTGAGACTCTTTACGCCAGGCACGACTCGCGACGAGGTTCCTGCCATTTTGCAGCTCATCAGCGATATCCGCAGACACCGACTGGGACAGGTCTTGACTGAAAATCGTCGGGTCAACACTGAGCTGACCTCGGTAACGGCGAAGGTAACGAGCAACAAGGATTTCTATTACAATTACCAGGGTATTCAGCATGCAGCTGCCGCATGGAAGAGGGCGAATAATAGGGCGGCGTGAGACTGTGACTGCTCGCGGGTTTGAGGTCAGTGGTCCGGATGCCGATAGCGTGCGATTCAACTCGTATATGGCTAGAGCTTGAGACTTGTCTCCCACCAAGTTTCTGCGTGGTTCAAGTGGATGGAAAGAGTGGTACGGGAAGGCGCGGGCACGATCGAGGCTGATTCAGTTTGTATCACGGGGCTGCGAAGGGGACACTCGGCTATGAGGCCCTGATGAGAAGACACGGCGGTGCCTGCACTTAATCACTGTGCATACGGTTGAACAGCACGGCTATCGGTCGACTGTCCCGCGACCGAGATCTGGCGACGTCAGACTATGATTTCCCAAATATCCCACCTCTCGCTTGCCCAACGACAAGTTCTTATTCTCCGTCATCGTCACCATCGGGGCACCTCCACGCCTGCTTCTCCGCCGCCTCGACCCACCCGTTCGGCGTGCAAGACATGTTGACTTGCTCCCGCGAGAAGCACCCGGTATCCATGGCTACTTGCCCGCGAAGCCCACGCTATGCTTGGTATTCGGCGCGCACAGGACGATGAACAAGACGCGACGCCGCGAGATCCTGGGGTAGGCCAAGAAGAGACTGCATCTCGCCCTCCCTGGCCGCACCGCAATAATGCCTCCTCCTCCTCCACCCCTCCCCCCCCCCCTTCCTTTCTTCCTTTTGCTGCAATAACATCCCTGTATCTTTCTTGAGGAGGTTGAACGAGCTTCTTCGTCATCGCGTGCATATTGCCGACCGCCGGCGTCCGCAGCGACGGCGCGGGGTCGCTGAGCATCCAGGGACACGAGACCACGTCGAGCAGCGGCTCAGAGCCGCGACCGGGCTGTTCGACATTTTACCCGAGGAACGTTGTCTTCATGTCATCTTCAGGCAAGCGGAGCACCGCAGCCTCGAGGTCAAATACGTCCCCGTTCACAAAGGGAGCATTCCCCACGCCGAGCTCCGCCACCCGCGCCCCGCGCCGTGTCGAGGCATGAGCCGCTTCAGTCCACGCCGACAACGTACACTCCCGGACCTTGACACCCTAGTTCTCACTTCGTTTGAACACGGGGCATAGGGCCACGTAGGGACCCCGTAATCGCTTGGGAAGGCATCGGCAAGGCTGCCGCCCGGGCGCCCCCGAATTATAGTTTCGGTACCCACTCCTGGGCCGCGACAGTGCATTCCGTCACAATGGAGCCTGGCCCACTATCCCCAGCTTCCCCAGCTTCCCCTAATTTCGGGGGTTGCCAGGGAAGAACTTGCCCCGCACCACAACATATCAACCATCCTGGATCAGCCCCAGGTGGATTCAGCCTATATTGGCTGCTTCATCTGCAGAGCGACTCGTCGCGTTCGACCGTGTCAAACCTGTGTGTCGCAACACTGCTTTTGGCAAGCTCGGAAACGAGACGACGCTCTTCCAGCCACACATGTCATGGTGCACTCAGGGCTAATGGGCAGATGCGTGACTCGTGCCGTGCAGCAATGGTAGCTTCAGCTGTGACTAGCCCACGAATGAGAGAGGTGACGCGTGAGATCATCCTCGGCAGGTGTGGCGCCCTGGTTGGCGCATTGCAGAACAATCCCCCCTACAGAGCAAACTAGTGCGGCTCGAGAAAGAGGACAACAAATGCTGCAAATCTCCTCAGCCGTCTCGGTCAGGGGCAACTGGGACAGCCGCAAGTACCCTGTCACTTTTGGGGGCAGCTCCAAGCCAAGTGTCGGAGGATGCGCCATGGTTCTATCCACCCTGTCCAGCTTCTTCATTGAGTTAGGTGCGTGCCAGATCCCCGTGATTGCGCGCCGCATTGTATGGGGCGCCGGCGTTTGAGGCTTTACGGGGAACGACGGCTTGTCCCATTATTCCGCGCTTCTAGAAAAGGGTGGACTGGGAGGACCACGCCTCACACGAAGCGGGGATCGACACGATTGCATTAGCGGCGACAGCTAGAGCGACAGTGCCGCAGCCCGCCAAAGTTAAGTTGCTGAGCCCTTGCTGAGCGAGCTGGAGAAACCCAGGAGCGATCACACAAGCTAGCTTAGAAAGTCTGTGCTCGCTGTCCCGTGCGGCGGTCCGAGGCTAGTTCGGGTCCGTGTCCTCGCGTGACTCGCATCTTGCAGCGTGGCGTCCGTGGCGGTCCCTCCCGGTGCCCAAAAGGACTTGAAAACTTTGGCCCTCTGCCCCATTCCTTTGGTGTTTAAACCCGGCTGCCAACTTCCTGATCTCCACATGCAGTCCGTCGATGCAAGTTCCACTCTGCGAGGCCAGGCATCATGTCTACGAGGCCAAATCCGCAACCACCTGTCGAGGGCAGGCCCAACAACCATGCTACGATCATGGGGGTTCAGGGTTTCCTTACCGGATTCGCGCTGTCCGTCGTCGCGCTGCGCGTCTGGGTTCGCCGAACGGTCCTCAAGACATTTAGCTGGGATGACTGGTTCATCTTGTTGTCGGCTGTAAGTGGTCTATTCCTCCCTGCACTCGCCCGGCCAGCCTTGGATTAATCCGTCCTGGCTATGTATTACAGCTCTTCTCTATAGGCGTTCTCGTATGTTTCGTGGGGGTCATTCTTAATGGCGGTGGTCATTACACATCGGATCTCGGCGTGCCCGAGGAGTGGGAGGCTCTACAGCACTGGGAACACATCCTTCTTGTCATCAACATCACGGGGGTCAGCGTCGTCAAGATCTCGGTCTGCCTCGCCCTTCTGCGCTTCCTATTCGGTCGGTGGTACCGGAGATTCCTCAAATTTCTTATTGGTATGCCTCTGGTATTTGTCCTTGGAATTTATGCGGCCAACCCATTTCTGCCGCCTATACGAGTCTTACTGACCCAACCGGCACTCGCGCCATGTAGCGTTTATTATAATCTTTACCATATCTACCGAAGCGCCCCTTATCTTTCGATGCTGGCCGAGGTATTACATTTGGGCTATCGAACGACCGCCAGGGGTTTGCATACCTACTGATAAATTCCTAATCATCGCAAACCTCAACGCCTGTATGTTTGTGCAAAGTCGTCAGCAGACCTCCTTGGAGTAAAGAGCTAACCACACCGAGTCGCGGATAGCCATCAACATCGTCACCGACGCCACCCTCGTTCTGCTACCGTTGCCAACGATCATCACCCTGAGAGTTAATATCCAGACCAAGGCATCGCTCCTTGGCGTGCTATTCATTGGCTTCTTGTGAGTCAGCATTTGCTAATCCTGTCCATTGTGGCCCATGAAATGGCCACAGTTTGCGCGAATGACTGGAGTACTGATTGTCACTTCTTGCGACCAACTAGTGCCACTGCCGCTGCCATCGTCCGCGCCGTGTTTGCCAACGTGCCGGCTCAGATCAGCGACTCTTGGTCGCTGAAGTTTTATGTGTGGAACTCGTATGCCTCTCACATTCAATCGACACCGCCAAACGTGGCGGAGGTCATCCTTCTGCATGCCACTTGCTAACCCGAAACTCAACAGGGTCGAGCTCAACCTAGGAATCATCGCCGCTTCGCTTCCAACCTTGCGCCCCTTGTTCTCAGGCTGGCTAGAAAGCACCGCCTCCCGCTTCCGCTCCCGGTCGGGGGGGTCTTCTTCTCGTTCAGCCGCTGCTGATACGGAAGGTGCTGATGCAGCCGGGATAAGCAACGTCAGCAGCAACAGACAAGGCCGCGGCTCTGTCCATAAGCATGGATATCGAAAACAGCGCGAAGCCGAAGTCTATGCGATGGATATGGCCCGAGAGTGGAAAGGAAGCTTGAAGAACAACGCTCCTGTGATTAGTAGCTCGAGGACGGCTTACGGATTGGAGAATAACAGCAGTGAGGAGGAAATCTTGGCGTCATCGGGTAGCCACAGAGTGACAGGCGGGATCACGAAGCACGTCGAAATCGCGATTCAGAGAAGTGACGTTTAGGCAGCAGGGCAGCTTCACGGGGAGCAATGTTTGTATCAGTGATCGATCTGATCATAACAAAGGAAATTTACACGGAAGCATGTGTGAAAGCTATTTACTCAACGAGCCTAATGAAAATATAGACCAGTCCTCGTATATAGGGTAGTCTAGAAGCGCGAAAGAAAAGCAAAGAGACCTGCAACTTAGCAGAAGTAGCCGCAGGGGGTGGAAGTGGGCAATTTATGCAACACTTGAGCGAGTCGGTGGAAGGTTGAGCACAGTCATCAACATGCCTATCCTCAGGCCTGCTGTCTCTCCGCAGGCGGATCTTCAGTGCCCGAGTCCTTCGAATGCACGTCCAATGCACTGCCATTAGCAGCAGCCTGGGCGCTCCCGGGCAGTGTGAGGGTGGCTCCAGTGGCGCCGACAATCTCCCCCTGATTCATAGCATCGATGTCGACTTGCGGGCCCTTGTAGTTCTTCCTCCCATCAATGATCCATTGGACAACTGCTATGATGAGAATGACGCCGAATGCAACCACGCAGTAGTTCATGTTTGTGGACGTCACGGGGATCTCGGCAGGAAAGACGAAGAGAACGGTAGTCAGAGCTGTCCAGGCGATTCCAACCTATGTGTACAGCAAGCTCAAATCAATAAAGAATCCAGCGAATGATATAGTGTCTGCGGGTGCCTTGGCTTACCAGGTTGACCGTCCAGCCTACCCAACCATTCAGCTTGAAAGGTCGAGTCTCTGGGAGCATCCGTCGTCGTCTCAGGCAGTTGATCGTCGGCGGGATAGCATACGTGACTCCCAATGCCACAACGCTTGCCGAGACGATGGCATTGAAGGCGTCAGAAGACCCGAGAAAGACACAGCCAAAGATGATGACCCATGCTGTGGTCCACAGCAGGGCGTACAACGGAACGCCCAGGTGGCGGTTCACTTTGGCAAATAGCCTGCTGAACGGCAGGCCGCGATCTCGCGCAAAGGCCATGCTCATGCGGCTCGACGTGGCCATGATGGACGTGGTTGTGAATAGCATGCACACCAGCGGGAACATCAGCAGGCAGATGGCGCCGGCCGTGCTGTCCGTCGCGGCATGCAGGATGTACAGGAGCGGGCCGGCCGATGAGGCGATGGCGTTGTCGACGTCGTCGACGACAAAGAGGAGGCAGCTCAGGAACACCCAACCCGTGAACATGCCGATGCCGATGCACCACAGCATGATGCGCGGGCCGTCCCGCTGCGGGCTTGGCAACTCCTCGATCATGTGGATGGTGGCGTCGAAGCCCGTGAGCGCAAAAGCACCCTGCAGCAGGCCCAGCAGCCACGCGAGGCCGTCGGGCCACCCAGTGGTGTTGATGAAGGCGCCGTACACGAAGGCGCCGCTGCGGAAGCCGCTACCACGGACCGGCGCGCACGCCAGCACGGTGATGCTGATGATGGCGAAGCCGGCCAGCGACCAGAAGAAGGCGGCCTTGGTGAAGGCGGGGAGTAGACGAGACGCCGTGGCGTTGATGAGCAGCGCCGCGAGCGTGTAGGCGATGTAGATGAGGAACTGGTGCCAGGGCGCGGCCACATAGTCCGGGTGCACAAGGGCGATGGCGCCCACGACGAGCTGGCTGCCCAGCAGGCCGCCGGTCGCGGTCAGGCACACCCAGGCGGCGACGTTGATCCAGCCGGTGACGAAGCCCGCGGCGCGCGCGGCAGCCGGCCAGGCCACGATGGCGGCCCAGTGATACTGCCCGCCCGCAGTCGGGTAGGCGGACAGGAACTCGGCCAGCGAGGCCGCCAGGCAGAGGTTGCAGACGCCAGCGACAATGAGCCCCCACAGGACGGCGCTGGGCCCGCCCGATGGCAGGGCCAAGGACAATGAGGCCGAGAGGGCCGTCCAGCTGTTGAGAATGGCAAAGGCCAGCCCGAGCATCGACACCGTCGAGAAGTTGCGTTCCAGCTCCTGCTGGACGCCAAGGCGCGCCAGGGCGGCCGAGTCATTCTCGTTGATGCTCGTGCGGGGGCGTCGGCTGCCGGAGCCGTTGGATGCTTCCATCTTGGCGCTATCAATTCACCCAAGCGCGGCTAGGAGCAAGCTGTCTTCCCTGTGTCGCCTGCTTTCTGATTGTCAATGGCCTTGTCCTTGTGCTACAGCTTCAGGGGGGAGTAAAGGTGGGCGATCAACCTCGAGGGAATGCTTGTGAGGAGCCAAACCCCCGCCGCTCGCTTGGTCATTCCCTTTGGTCGCCGCGACCCCTAAGAGCGCTGCTGGCCAGGCCGTTTGATCAGGGATGCCAAGCATTTCCATTGGTTCTGTTGTGGTTTCCACTATGTCCGGAACTAAATTTTGTGGGCTGCAGAGTGAGACTGATGTCATTATGCAGCCGGCTGGAATTGACCCCAACTCCTTTCCAGCACACTCATGGTTCTCATTCACACATTTTAGATTTTTTTCTCAATTCACGTCCTTAAACTATTAGCCCGCCCAGCTTCACCTGCTTAGCGAACACAATTCTATAGGAACTTGTTATTTCTCTCGAGATCTAGATTTTCTATTTGTGCTCGTCCCTCTCAGTCGTTGATGCAATAGCATCTCTGCTTAAGCCTTTCTGTCCGGGACCTTGGTGAAGATGTTTCTGATGTCCACATGCTCAACCCCTTGCACGCCGACCTTCAACAGACCCTCGTCGGCTTCTATCTCTGCCTTCCGCTCGATCAACTCCTCTACATCCCAGTTTGCCCACACGAAACGGCCATGCAGGAACGATGCAGCAGGAGTGGAAGCCCAGACACTGTAATCGCCGGGTAGATTCTCTGTACGTGCGGTCAGTGTTAGCCACGCGAGAATGAAGTGTGCGGAAAGGACAGCCGGGGAGAACATACCATCGTCCCAGGGCAGGGACTCCCTTGTAAGGCCGTATTCGTCAGCAGCCTCAGTGAAGATGGCACCGGGGTGAACGTTGATGATGGTTGCTTTGCTGGAAGGGATTTCTTCGGCAAGGTGCTGGAGCAGTGACGCGAACGCGGCTTTGCTTGCCGAGTACGACCCCTGGCCTGGGGCCGGGTTGGAGTGCGCCATGAATGACGAGATGTTGACCAGAGCCTATCTTCCTGTTTAGTTACTTGACCCTCAGGCTTGCACGTGGGATTCTGGTTCTCACATGGCCGGGCTTTTCTCCCATCTGAGCCACAAAGGATTGGGCCATCCTCATATTCCCCAGCACTGTCGTCCGAAACGATGCCCAGATGCCATTCATGTTCGAAGTCAGACTTCCCGGAATGATCAGCGCAGCATTGAGCACGAGGACATCGACATGGATTCCCTCGTCGCGAAGTCGTTGCCAAAGGTTCGTGATGTCCGACTCGGATGAGATATCGCAGACTCGAGCATCAGCATGAGGCAGGGCTGCAGCGGCGGCGTTGAGAGTTGATTCTGTGCGACCAAGCAAAATAATGCGATCAGCGGAGGCCTTGGCGAACGACTGCGCGATGGAGCGTCCGATGCCGGTCGATGCGCCTGCGATGACAACAGTGCGGCCGACCTGACTGTTCAATGGGTTTTCCGGCGAGATGGCCGAGTAAGAGGCCTGGTGGTAAATCTTTGTGAAGTGCGCCATGATGCTGTGTGGTCTGTGTGGTTACTCAAAGGGACTGCTCTGCTAATGGCTGGTTGAATTATCCCTCTAACCTCTAAGGAGAGCACCATATTTATATAGTTATGGGTGAATTGTCCTCTGGGACCCGGCCTCGTCAGAACCTTCTCCTTCCCGTCCCATGTGTAAGCAATGCGGGCAGCGACGGCCGCAGTCTTTGCGGACAGCGGAGGGATGGCCCTACAAATGCAGAGTGGGAAACCCGCTTTTCTCCGCCCCCAAGGCATCCCCCGCTCCCTTTGTAAGCAACCCCGAAGCGGCGGCCACACTGTTTACGCCCGGCGGAGCGAAGGGCTGTGCAAGCGGAGGGTGGGAAACCCGCTTTTTTCCGCTCTCATCTCCTCCCATGGAACGACAGACAACACCTGGCTTCCAGTCCCGTTTCCAACACTGCCGACTCCAGCTCCTCACATCTCGGGGCCGACCATGCACGAGACCGAGACGCCGTCCTTGGAACCGTCGCCGTCCTCGGAGCCGTCGCCAGCTGTCTGGCGCAGGGCCTGTACCGCGTGCACCGGAGCCAAGCGCAAATGCTCCAAGCAGGTTCCACGCTGCCGTCGATGCGACCATCGAGGGCTGGAGTGCTTCTACCCGCCGGCACGCGCGTCGGCGGGTGAGCCGCACCTGGAGATGCCCCTACCATCAGCCGCGGATGTTCCTCTCCAGCCGGCGGACATCTCTGCACAGGAGCAGCCGCCGCACCCTCAAGTGCCCGATTGGTTTCTAGCGCCTGACTCGTGGGAGGTTGCTCACCTTCCGCCTCAGCCACTGCCTGACCTGTTCGGCGAGGAGACCCTATCTGCATATGTCACTATTATCCAGAGCTGGTTGCGAATGTGGGTTACTGATGACCACTGCCCCTTTATTCACCGGTACCTGTATCGTGCCCACATGCCTAGACGGATGCAAGACGCATACACGACCATTTCCGCGTATCTCCACAAGACGCCAGAGACCGAGGCGACGGTACGCCGCATCATCGAGCACCGCCTGCAACAGCTGATGGAGGAGAACTTTGTCGAGTCCTCGCTGGAGCTCGGCTCTACAATCCTCGTGGACCACCTCGCCCGCGTGCAGGCGTTGCTCGTGCTCCTCGTCATCTGCCTCTTCGACGGCAGCATCCGGCTGCGCGCCCAGGCCGAGCTGCACCTGGCGACGCTTTCTGCCTGGAACGATCAGATGTGGCAGGTGTCGACGCAGGAGGTCCGGAGTAACGCCACACTGGAGCCCTGGCGGCTCTGGATCTTTGGCGAGAGCATCCGGCGGACATGGCTCACAACCAGCATTATCCACTGTGTCTACATAACCATCACGCAGGGTTATTCGTGGTGTCCTGGGGGTGTCTATTGCACTTTCGGGAACGAGCTGTGGGATGCGAGGACGGCACATGACTGGGAAAGGAAATCCGAGTCTGGCAGGAAGCGTTTGTTCATGCAGAGCCTGGATGTGATGGAGCTTTTTCTCGAAGACGATCCTGACGCTGTCGATGCGTTTGGCCATGCGATCATGTTGATAACCTCCGGGATAGACAAGGTTCAACGGTGGACAGCACGTAAGGATGCGTCTCCTCTCACATGAAGCACTTTCATAGACGCCTTTGAAACAAAAAGATCACACTCCCACTTGGCTGACTCACACGACTCACGCGACTCAGGCGAACGGCTGGTTATCATTCGGCCAAAACTCAGACTCAAAAGCTTCTGCTAGAAGTACGCCCCTCATTTACAACGAAGAACCCATATACGCCTCAGTATATCATTACTGGGTTATACCGCTTGAATCTCAGGTCATGAGTAGAAGGCACAACGACTCAGCCCCTACAGGACAGCCACTTCGAGCTCGTATATGTCGTCGTCAGTCTTGCCGATTAGAGAGACGACGACGCCGAACTCAGGGAAGGCGAACGAGCTCGGCCGTCCAGGAGCATCGAGAACCAGTGCGGCGTCATTCAGCTCGTCGCCATCACAGCCGCCCGAGCCGGGCGTCGAGTCCAGCACCCGGATTGGACCGTTGCCCGTGCTCACGCCAACATCCACAGTGTACAGTAACACGCCTGTAGCACATCCTGCCGTTGCCAAGCCAGAGTTGACGCCGCGGTTGCTTGACCGCACCTCGGCGACCAGGACCTTCTGTGTGTTGTTCGTTCCGGTCACCACCACCATCTTGTGGCCAGTCCCGCCTTGCACCTCTATTGGCGACAGTGTGACTGACGCCGGAGTCCCCGCCGCCGCCGCCGCCACGCATGCTACCTGCGCGTCGTCCAGCCAGCCCAACCACCACTTACTCCAGCCAAAGTAATCCGGACTCGCCCCACTGATCAAGCCCATGATGTCCCAACCGCCGACGTACAGACCCGTTGCGCCGCCCGAATATGGGTACAAGTCGGGCAGGCCCATCGCGTGGCCTGTCTCATGATTGAGCGTGCGTGCGTGCCACGTCTTGTAGACGTCGACTCCGAAGGTAACGGCGCGGCGGGCGACATGTTGCTTGCTATCGCGATCAACCACCTCGCTGACCAAGCTGACGCTGAAGGAGATGGCCGCAGCATTGGCCGTGGTCGTAATATACAGCACATCAACGTCGGCCGGTATGTTGTCAAGCCCAGCCACCTCGATCGCGTCCTGGATGTACTCCTGGTGCGCCTCGAACGTCAGCCCGCGCTTCCAGCCATACGAGTCGGCCGTGGCGGGCATGCGGTAGAAGCGCGAGGTGTCGGCCGACATGTTGAGCGTCAGGCGACCGAAGCTCGCCGTTTCGTACCAGTCAGCGGCATCGGGCAAGAAAACATCGCGCAGCGACTCCGGTGTCTCGCCGGAAAGGGCTGGGTAGTCGGGAAAATCCACAAACAGCATATAGCCGTTGAGTGCCCCCGTGCTTGGCGCGCCGTCAAAAATGGAGGTGAAGCCCAGGCTGAGATCGACATTGGGCGGCGCGGCCAGCTTGCATTGCGAGATATCGGCCAAGACGCGATGGGCTAGGCCCACGAGAAAGAGTGACGAGCGCATAATTGCTTGTGGATGTGTGTCCTCAGCAGACGATGCAATCACGTTAGCACACGACGAGCTCTGGTTGACGTAGTCAGGCCCCTATTATTATAACACTTGGAGACGACTGTGCACGGTCAATGGATAGATACCAGGGTCCCCTCGGACTGGGTTGTTACTCGGGGATAGATAACAAACCCCTGCGGGTTCCCTCTTACCCCGCGGCCGCGACTCCGAAGCGGCACCATTCCTTCCTTCACTTTATCTGCTGAACTGGGATGGTTGAAAAGCAGGCCTCGATCAACGAGGCGCCAGATCCGCCGCCCGTACCTCGAAGGAATAATACCTGGAAAGCCGAGAGATCAAACATAGTCGTGTTCAATCAGTCTCGTATCTACGGTGCTTTCTATATGAGACTACCTTAACTCGTCTTCGTATTCCTACCGTGCAGACTTACAGCAAGACGTAAATAATGGGTATGCTTATATCTGAGGACAGTGATTATGTCCTAGAGAGGCAGGTGCTAGAGGAGCCGAGCCCTTGCATGTGATGCCCTGAGGGGATCGTCCACGACAGGGTAACATTCTCCAAATCTTGGAGTACAATAAGCTAATGGCACGCCATTATCTCCACTGTCCTGTTATCTGGGGTCCCGTCCCGTCCCCTGCCGCAGATTGAAGTCGACTAAAACACCGGAGCAAGCTTTGTAGTTCTCTCCTGGGATTCGCGCGGCAAAAGCCCTAGCACTAAGTGCTTGTTCCTCGTTGATACAATGGGCATATGCAACGGTCATAATCCCAAAAGCCAGTCTCCCTGAATCCTGGTCTAGTTAAGATGCCTGAGATGGTTGTTATCGAACACACTTGCTTTATACGGAGCAGAGGCTGTGGCTGTGACCATCCCAGCTTCTTAGGACTTTCGTTTACGCGACTCTGGCATATTCATTGCGTCGTGACCGTATTCTCTAATGATATAATATGCCAACATCCAAATCAATATCTGTGATTGTTGTTTCCGCAGACTTCCGGTAACCAATTCAGGAAATCTGTAGGTAGCTCTGTGAATTCGAATCGGACATGCCACTATCGAACTTGCTCAACATGGCTCGCTGTGACCTCTGCTTTCTCCTCCTGCCCCAAGCGCATCATGTCTTGAACGTCTCGCCTGACCTTTTCTTCTTCAGTTGGGTAAGCGTGCCTCCACATAGTCCAGATTGATCGACTGAACAAATCGTCCATACTCTCAAGCGACCGTCCTTTCATCTCGGGAAGACAGAAAAATATGAATACAACACCGAGGTAGGTAAGCATGGCGAAGAGGAGGAAGGTACCCCATGCCATCTCCGCCAGCATGCGGGGACTGGCGGTGGTAATGCCGTAGTCGACGATCCAGTTCACGAAGAAGCAGAATGCCATGCACAACGATCGAATCCTAGTGGGGAAGATCTCGGCTGCGACGACATAACAAGCCACCGAGTGGCCAAAGGACCAGCCGAACGCGTAGAGATAAATGGCAATGACGCCAACAATGCCTCCGGCGGGTGTACCTCCGCTGGTAGTCGTTGCTCCGACACCCGCAAAGCGGATGTACAAGCCCAAGTAGAGCATGCAAGAAGCTTGAATAGTTGCTCCCACTAACAAGGGAATACGGCGTCCGACTCGGCTACAATCAGCAGTCTACAGTAGCAAGCCCGGCCGTCATTGAACGGTGCCTTTCGTGTGGCTCCACATAGATAGGGATGACTCACTCTACAAGATAGCCCACGTAGAAGAGCGTTGTAACCACCTTGACGATGCCGTAGACTCCCTATAGATAATGTTATCAGTATGGTCCAGGCAACTGCGTTCCCGGCCTAGAAACTTACGGTAGCCAAGAGTGTAGTGCTATTGCCTTGGATGCCAATCATGGCGAACACGGAAGGAGCATAGTAGTTCAAAGTGTCGGTTCCGGTGAGTTTGTGGAACAAAAAGATCATGACAGCCAAGAAAAGACGACGCCGATTGCTGGCGTTAAGGAATATATCCTGCAGAACAGCCCAAATGCTATGACCTTGCCGTACCTGGGAAGGAGCGTGTTTGAATGAGCAACTTCGTTTCCCATCCTCTAGTTACAGCAGTTTGAACGGAGAGAGAAGTGGGGGTGTACCTCTTGCTCGGACTGAGCCTGTGCCTCCATCTCCTGGTACTCGATTTGCACGTACGGGTGAACCTTCGGCAGCTTCCGCAGCTTGCTCAGATTGTCGAGGGCTCTCTCTGACTTGCCGTGGTTGACAAGATATCGGGGCGTCTCAAGGGCGAAAGGGATCATGATGCACATCAAGGCACCAGGGATGAGTTGGATAGCCATGGAGGTCCGCCATTGGCTCTCATCACTGGCGTCGACCTGCCACAGGCTTACGCCATAATTGATCCAGAAAGCCAGGGCCAGGCAGGTGACGATCATCAAGTTGTACGTCGCGACAAGTGAGCCACGAATCGACCTGGGCGAGTTCTCCGCGAGGAATTGTGGGCTAAGCATCGAGCTGGCACCAACACCCAAGCCGCCGAGGAAACGCCCAGCGAGCAGGACCTCGTAATTGGAGATCATCTGCATGGCAGCACCGATAACGAAGACAACGCCCCAGAAGAATACGGACCACTTCCGGCCGAGAATGTCAGACGTGGGCCAGGCGAGAATGGCGCCGACAGAAGCCTGCGAAAGAGGACACGTATTGTAAGCGAGGCGATCGACTTCAAAGAAGCGAGCTTCTGGTCGGAGGGAGGCAACGGGCTGGAACGTACACCGGCTGAGAGCATAGCAGCGATAGTACCCTATGCAATGTGACACACGTTAACAAGTTGCCACAAGTCTTAGGATGACGCGGGATTTACCTTGCGGTCGACGGTGTTTGCAGCGTTCAAGCCAAAGGAGTGCTTGAACGAGGGCAGAACCAGGATACCACCAATGTTACCCTGGTCGAAGCCATAGAAGGCGCCGGCCCAGGCGACAGTGATCACGAGGTATAGCAGGCGCAAGTTGAAAATCTCTTTGGGATCGGTTTTAGCATCCTTGCTAAACCAAATACTGGTCCCGCCAGCCATGTTGTGTTGCGAGACGGGCTCTTGACCGCGCTGGCAAGGGATATTGTGTTAATTTTGCAGCTGGCTATTCGGAACAGGCGAGGTTGGCCTTGGATGCCAGCAGCGGTACGTTTCAGTGTTGCAACGATGGATATATACCCAGATGGATGGCCTGCCAAGCCGAGGGGATGGAGTGGCTCGAAATCTGGGGAAGCCTGAAATTAGGGGAGGCAGGATGGGTCCGTCCTCCGCGGTACCCCACGGGGTTCAAGGTAGCTCTAGCGAGGCTCCCCGAACTACGAGATGGGGCACCCCATAGGCTGGAGGGTCGGAAGTAGCCTCCGAGTTCATCGGGGGGTGCCTCCGAGCAGAGCGGGCCACAGCCGGACGCAGTCTCGGTCGTTCGGGGCTTGTGCAGATCTGTGCAGATGACGAGGCCAGGTTGATTGAATGACTCGTGCTGCTTAGGAGCGCCTTAAAGCAGTCAAGTGCATTGCAGATGTCGAACTTCCCAAGCCAAGGCCAGTCAATCATAGTCAGCCACCATGGATAATCAGCACGGCGAATTGGCCACCTCCCTCGAGAGCGGACCCCTAATTCAGTCACACGCACTCATCGAACACAAAGAATGCTTCGTGCCCGCCGACACTGCCCAATGCCACGCATCCAACCTCTTGGTGCTGATCAATGGCGACATTCTCTGTGCATGGTTTGGCGGGAGCCAGGAGGGCAAGCCTGACATCAGCATTTACCTGGCGCGGCTGCCAGCCAACTCGTCCACTTGGACTAAAGCGGAAAAGGCGACTTTTGACACGTCCAGGAGCGAACAGAACCCAGTGCTGTTTGAGACGCCCAATGGCGAGATCTGGTTAATGTTCACCTCACAACACGCCGGCGACCAAGACTCGGCAGTGGTCAAGCATCAGATCTCGCGTGACGGCGGGGTATCGTGGACCCAGCCAACGGTGCTCTTCCGCGAACCAGGCACTTTCATCAGGCAGCCCATGGTCGTGCTCGATGATGGCTCCTGGGCCATCCCCACATTCAAGTGCCGTGCCGAGCCTGGCACGCGCTGGGTTGGCAATGACGACATCTCGACAGTGCGCGTCTCGAGGGACCAGGGAAGGACGTGGGCCGAGACCGAGGTCCCGGATAGCTACGGGGCCGTGCACATGGGCATTCGGCAGCTCAAAGACAAGACCTACTTGGGTCTTTACCGCAGCCGATGGGCCGACAACGTATACCTGTCCAGGTCGAGCAACGGCATCGACTGGACCACCCCGCGACCGACCGAGCTCCCGAACCCCAATGCCGGCATCTGCTTCGACGTGCTGCCATCTGGCCGTGTCCTGGTCGTTTACAACCACTCGTCCAAGGCAGATGCACAGGGAAGGCGCGAAGGTCTCTATGACGACATTGCCGACGCCGATGACAACCGTAAAAACCAGGACAGCCGGCACGCCGGCCGGGAGGCCTTTTGGGGTGCGCCAAGGGCGCCGTTATGTTTGGCATGGAGCGACGACAACGGAAGCTCATGGAAGACGCGTGTGCTCGAGGAGCGTGATGGCTTTTGCATGACCAACAATCGCGAGCAGAAGCTGAACCGTGAGTTGTCGTACCCAAGCATGGCGAGGGCGGCCGACGGATCTATGCACATCGCCTTTACCTTCTGGCGGCAGAAGATCAAGCATGTTGTTTTAGATCCAGCTGTGTTGGATAGGGAATCATAGAGAGAGTTGCCAGGAAGCAATCGTACTCTTATGGTTAACCCTGTCCTGAAGTGTTTTGTCTCTTCTCATCAGTTGCTGTAGCCCTTAGGTGATTGATATTACATGATGTACAATTAAATATCTTGGTGTCCGAAATAATTTGACATGCAATAAGCAAGAATGGTTTAGTTACGCTAAACAGTAAAGTACAGCTATTTTTGTTATTGAATTCCCATCATACCGCAACAAGTCAAAGTTTCAAATTCACCTGCAGAAGCAAATTATAATCCAAGCTTGACATGTTCCGAGTTATTTGCAACTGGGACTATCAATTTCCGGCATGCTCTCTACATCCAGCTATAAACAAGTGCAGAGCAGAGGGCCTGTTTCGATACGAAGCAAAACGAGGTACATTGATTTTACTAGGATCCATAATCCTCCAGGTAGTGTTGTATTGCTTGTTTTACGCTCACATCCTTTTCAAACCCAAGACTGTAAGCTCGATTGACGTCAAACCTGGCTGGCCACGAACCGACAATCTTCGCTGTGCCCTCGTCGTACTCCTCCTGCACGAGATCCAAGATGGATGAGCCGGCAACCTTTGCGAGCGCATCCAACATCTCCTGCACTGTGACGGTTGTGCCAGGGAGGTTCACTATGCGGCTTCCGTTCCCGAAAGCAACTTCCTGGACGCCGAGCGCCGCAATGACAAGGTTGCGGACAACGGTTCGGGTGGAGCAAATCCACAGCTCAAGGCTGCGACTTACGGGTAGCTTGGCAACTTCGCCCTTCAGGGGCTCGCGGATGATGCCGGAGCAGAAGGACGAGGCGGCGCCGGAGGGCTGCCCGGGGCGGACGATAATTGTGGGCAGACGCACGATGCGTGCGTCTAGCAGACCGCGGCGCGAGAGGTCGTTGAGTAGAATCTCGATGACAGCTTTCTGGGCACCGTACGATGATTGTGGCAGTGGCATCGTGCTCTCCGTGATGACATCCCTAGGCCCCGCAGGCCCAAAGACCGCCAAGCTCGAAGGGAAGATGACCCGAGGAGGTCGCGCGCGCGTCTGATTGCGCAGGACGTCCATGACATGCCGCATCGAGTCCAGGTTGACCTTGAGCCCAAGCTCGAGGTTGGCCTCCGCTGCCCCCGACATGATGCCATGAAGAAGGAAGATGTGCGTCAGGTCTGGTGTCAGCAAACGCTCGCACACATCGGGAGACACCAGGTCGGCGGCCACAGCATCTACCTGGCAATGTGTGGCTGGCTTGCTTGCGTTGGGCTTGGGTTTGGGGATTTCGGGAACTCTGACGTCGGTGAGGACAATCTTTTCAACTGTGCGCTCCTGCATCAAGGCCGAAGCCAGTGCCTGGCCGATGAACCCCCCGGCACCTGTGATCAGGATTCTAGTCATCTCTGTTTGGCTGCTTATCCTGGCACTTGTCCCAGTGCGGTTGTCTCTGGGTCCTGGTCGAGGAGGTAGATGAAGCAAATAATAGAATGAGCTATGAGTGAGAACAAAGTAGGCAAATAGCATGAGCTGCCACCACAAGGAAAGTTTCCGCAGTCCGGTGTAGTACTGGTAGCGCAAGAGACGCGACATGTGTTTTTTATGGAGACGCTGTCTTTAGAATGTTCCAGTGGTCTGTCATGCAGCCCGCAATGCCGGTGGTGACTCGGCGGGGCACCCGGCGATAAGTAACAGAGACGGACTCTGGCCGCCGCAGCCCGGAGCGTGATTCCGCCAGTTCGATTTCTACCTTCCGAGCGGGTCCACCGGGCCCCTCGTAGTGCGACCTAACAGCCGAGGTCCCAGGAACTCAGGGAATTTGTCAAGCTGGATGCAATCGAGAAGAATATCAAGTTCGTGCGGAGACCCTGCCCGAGAAGGACTCGTCATGGTGAACCAGAGAGAATCTCAGACGGTCAATTTCTTTAGTCGATAACGCTATGCACAGTCAAGTAATTCTGCACTCTATATCGCCTCCACGCGCAGAGGCTGGTACAATTCTTCCAAATACTCCACATCTGAGTCGTCCAACTTGACCGAGAGAAACTCTGATGCTGAGGCAATGCGCTCAATTTTGTCGAGCCCGACGACAGGGCAGGCTCCCTTCTTCAGAAGCCACGCAAGAGCGACGCTCGACATGGAGCAGCCTTTGGTCTTGGCGATCTGCTCGACCCTATTTACGATTTGTTTGTTTTGACTCGAGCTGAACCATCTTTTGGTCTTGGCGTCCTTCTTGGACCTTTCAGTCTCGAAGTTCCACGGTCGAGCGAGCAGTCCACGGGCATTCGGGCTCCACGGGATCAGGCCAACCCCTTCAGCGTTACAGAACGGATTCATCTCTCGCTCCTCTTCGCGATAGAGCAGGTTGTAAAGCCCGGACATGCTCGTAAAGGTGGTCCACCCGTGCATCTTGGCTGTGTACTGAAGGCGCGCGAACTGCCAGCAGCGCATACTGGAGGCGCCAATGTAGAGCACCTTACCCATCTGCACCAAATCGTGCAATGCTCGCATGATTTCCTCGGGAGAAGTGTTGACATCGAGGCGATGCAGCTGCAAGACGTCGATGTACGCGGTTTTCAGTCTTCTCAGAGAGCCTTCGACGGCCTCAAATATGTGCTTCCTGCTGAGGCCCATTTGGTTCACCAGTCGCCCATCATTCACAGCGGGCTGTGGGCGCGCGTCCGGCTCGTCCTCCATCACAGGGTAGTAGAGCTTGGTCATGATGACCAGCTTGCTCCGCGGGATCTGATAAACCTCCATTGCCTTGGCGATGATGGACTCGGAGCGGCCGTTGGAATACGTGTTTGCCGTGTCCCAGGTGTTGATGCCCACGTCGTACGCCTTCTTCAGCAAAGGCAGCGCCTCCGCTTCCGGGAGAACCCAGGGGCTGCCTTCCCACTTCTCATTGCCGAATGACATGCAGCCCAAAATGACGCGCGAGATCTTCAGGCCCGAGGTGCCGAGTCTCTGGTACTGCATGGCGGGCCACTCTGTTGCGCCGTCCTTGTCCGAGGAGGGTAGAGCCCACTGCGCCACAAGGTCTCTGAGGGTATCTCGTTCTCCAACATTTCCTGGGAAAACCACGTACGGTATGTTGGGGTATTTGCACGAAGGCGCCGAGCAACGCCAGAGTGGCACACCAGAGGCCGCCTGGCCACAAATCTCAGCGCGCTTGAACATGAGGCCTTTGGACGCAGCGTCGGAGCTTGTGATGCCTCCCTTCACAATGACATATCGCGGCCGTGGCACCAGAAATCGCAGAAACGACACGAGCGCCTCGGCCACGACACTGCCGATGTTGAGGCTGGAGCCTCCGTCGGTACCTGTGATGAGCTCACGACTAGTCATGATCAACACATCCTGGCCGTTAAGGATATGTTCCCCAGCGGTGTTGGCGGTGCTAAGCAGCATTTGTTGCGTCTTTCCTGGCGACCCCAGCAGCTCAGCGACGTCCAAGGTGATAGTGATTAGCTTTTCGCCACGGCCGTCAATGAGCGAGGCGAGCTGCTCTGTGGTCTTTGGCACGTGGGAGCCAGCGATTATCAGCCCCCCCGGTGCTGAGGGCGAGACGTCCATTTTCAAGTCCGCGGGTGTCATGGGAGGAATCTGCTGAATACCGAGTCGGCTCGACACAAAAGCTGCCCCGGTGCGGAAGATGAACTTCTTGCCCCGCAGGCTGGCGTCGAGCAGGCCCTTTACGAAAACGTCCATGTCGGCCGTCTGCACAGCGTTGACGATGACAATGGACCGCCGCGGCAATGTCATGAGCTTATCGGTCACCTGCTGTGGACCACCTCTGCGGATGTCGTCTAGAGTGACAGAGTGTATGCGGTCTGCTGTAATGCTCCCCTTGGACTTCTCGTGAACGTACTCGCGCAGATTCGACTGCGTATACCCAAACGTTGCATCCCGGGCGAAAGGTGTCTGAGCCGCTGGTATCAGCTCATCGGCCGGCCCTGCCACATAGTGGACATCGTTGATCGTCAGGCGGCCCCCCTGCTCGAAGAACGGGGCCAGCACCCAGACATCTGCCTCTCCTAGGACCTCCTCTGCTACCTCGACCTCATCCGGGAAATGGCCACGCAATGTTGAGTCGCCTCTCAAGACGACCTCGAAGGACTGTCCCGCACGGCGCGCGGCTTGCTTGACGGCGTGACATATGTCGCGGATGAGTTGGCGGGCCGGGGCTGGCTGCAGGGCACGCGAATTGGTGAGGATGAAGAATCCAGGACAACCAGATCGAAACTCGTGCAGCAGAGTTGCTTCGTCCCAGACAGTAAGGACATTGATGCCATGACACGTCTGCGTTCCCGTGGGGTCGTCGTCAAGGACTATAAGCATGGGAAGTTGGCGCCCAGAGACTTGTGCCCCAATATGTTGGCAGACCTCGTTGGTGTTGAACGGTGGCGGCAGCTGCGCCAATGTGGCGGCTTTCGGCAGTTTGGGGCTGTCATGAATGTCCTTGAACGCCATTCTGGACCTTGTTGTCTCGTGGAACAGGTTGCGAGAGGTTTGCCAAGAACCTGTTTTGGTCCTCGTCGTCGGCCCTCAGCGCATTCACCACTGTACCTGTTTAAGTTTGTGTGCGTGCCCCCTGCCAATCGCCCCCCGCACGCGAGACTGGGGCACCATCGGCAACCTGAATGCGGAGGCGGGGAAAGGACAACCCAGGCCGTCCCAGTGCCGCGCGGGGCAACAGTTGGGGTTCGGAGGGTGCCTCCGAGATATCGGACCCAGCCTCCGCATCCTTCGCTCAGCACCGGCGATGCTGCCGCAGCAGCGCAGACTGGGCAACGGGCATCCTGGTCCGGATTTGGCTGGAAGCCTAAAGCCCCATGATGACTCCTGTCGAGCGCGATCGGCTAAGACAAAGAGGCATCCTGTTCGATCCTATCCGCCGTTGGCACATCTCACAAAGACCATAGAAGGGAAATTACGTGGTAAGCATGGCATCAACAGGAAGCGAGGCGAGCAGTCGCCACCTTATCTCGTTCCAAGAAGTCCAGAAGCATGACCAAGAAGGAGACTGCTGGCTCGTTGTTAATGGGCAGGTCTTGGACCTGTCCAACTTTGAACACCCTGGAGGAGCCGAAAGTGAGTGTTTAACATGCTCCCCTCGATGGGGGACACGGACTGCAGGCAAGGCTAACATGAGTGACCCTGCCACCAGTCATTATACAGCACGCAGGCTCCGACGCAAGCACGGCGTTCAACAGGATCCACGCCCCGGGAATTCTCAAGGGTCTTGCGCCAGAACAATTCAGAGGCGACGTTGACCAGAGCAGCATCCCTTGCCCAGTCAACCCGAAGGATCTGGCAGAGGCCGAGAGCAAAGAGGTCCCAACACCGGAAGGACACCCCAAGCCACCCCTACACAGCCTCATAGCTCTCCATGACTTCGAAGACGTTGCGCGCAAGACCTACAGCGCCAAAGCGTATGCCTTTTACTCCTCTGGCGCAACTGATCTAGTGTCCCTTGAGGCAAACTCGCAGGTACACAAACGCCTGTTGCTTCGGCCTCGAGTCTTGCGTAATGTCCGCCAAATCAGAACAAGCAGAAAGATCCTCGGATTCAACTCAAGCGCACCGTTCTTTGTCAGTCCCACAGCCATGGCCAAGTTGGCGCATCCGGACGGCGAAATTGCCATAGCAAAGGGGTGTGGAGAAAAGGGCATTATCCAGACAGTAAGTCGTAGCACCTCTTGAGCTTTCGGGTGTCCTTGGGCTTTTCTAACAGACTTCGGGACACAGATATCGACGAATGCATCGTTTCCGCTGGAGGACATCGTCGCTGCGGGACTTCCCGGGCAACCTTTCTTTCTCCAACTTTATGTCAATTCGGAGCGCTCAAAGACTGAGGAGCTACTACAGTCAGCCCATAAGCTAGGCATAAAAGCCATATTTGTCACGGTAGATGCCCCTGTGCCAGGGAAAAGAGAGGCGGACGAGCGCATCGCTGCTGGGAATTTGACTTCAGCCATCAGCGGTGCAGTTGCCACCAATGACAAAAAGGGTGGCGGTCTAGGTCGTGTCATGGCCAGGTACATCGACTCCACACTCTGCTGGGACGACCTGGCCTGGATCAAGAAAGCATCTGGAGGGCTACCAATCGTGCTAAAGGGAATTCAGACGGCGGCCGATGCTAAAAAAGCTGCGGAACACGGTGTGGAGGGCATCCTCCTGAGTAATCATGGAGGATGCTCGCTCGATACCACGCAGCCGGCAATGCTTACCCTCCTAGAGATGCACAAGGTATGTCAAAACACGTCGGCACCTAACCTCGCTTTACAGCGAGCAGACGGGCCACCTGCCGCTCTCTGTTTGTGTGCAGTTACCAGTACTAATCATTGGATTCATTCTTGCCACAGGCATGTCCAGAAGTCTTTGGCCAGGTCGAGGTGTATGTCGATGGCGGCTTCAATCGTGGCACGGACATCCTTAAAGCCATTGCGCTTGGCGCCACAGCGGTTGGGATTGGGCGTCCGTGGCTCTACGCGATCAACTACGGCCAGGAGGGTGTCGAGCACGTGTGCGACATCCTGACTGATGAGCTTGTGACATCCATGAAGCTCAGTGGCATCACTGACGTCGATGAGGCACACCCTGGGATGGTGAATACAGCCATGGTAGAGCCGCTGATACGCAGCAGCGAGGCACATCCCTGGATTGCTTGGACTCCAAAACCCCGACTGTGAATGCGAAACAGAAGGAGTCGTACATCTTGATGGAAACCGGCCACAATGTCGTTCAAACAGAAACTATATGATTGCCGAGGCCCCTCTGTAAATAGAATCAATACTTGAGTTATACAAAAAGAAATCAAGAGAGACGTATAATAAAAAGAACGATTCGATTTAATAAAAGGAACAATGCGATGCAAGGAAAATCGGGAAACATACGCCGGTGTTGATAAAGTGCGGGCCACTCTAAACCATGGGTGGTGGTGGATCGTTCTTTGGATTCTACCCCGCATAATTATTTCCCTTCCCCAGGACAACACTCGCCCTGCCTGCGGGGACTTTTTCCTTTTCCGCCAACCGTGGACTCGAGCTCCTCCCCAGACTGCCCAGCGGGTATCATTCACGAAATCTGATAACAGACAATACTGAGCGTGTCGCCACATCCGATGAGATCATGTATTCTTCCCTGAAGAGGAGGAGAGACGATGCCGCGCATCTCGGCAGGACCCCCGAAGTCATCGGGCCTGCTCCCCTTGCCGACGAAGGCCCCGACCCCAAGAAGAAGATGACGGCAGCGTGCACCGCCTGCCGCAAGCAAAAGGTGCGTATGTCTTGTCTGCCTCCTGGCACTTGCTTGTATCACTTCAGGCTAGGCGCGCATCCCCCAAATCGCGTAAACACCGAGCCTGACGTTTGCCTTTGCAGATCAAATGCGACATGCCCAGCGTAGGGCCTCCTTGCTCTCGCTGTCAACGGCGAGACCTTACATGCGTGTTACACACGGCGACATTGCGGAATTCGACTGTAGATCACAGGTTCGCAAAGTCTCTCCATTCGTCCAATCCATTGCCTTACCGCGCCACATCAGCTTTTTCTTTTGCGGCCTGCACATCCTCCAGACACTAATGCGTAGCAGGCAAATCGGGCTTCTGGGCGAGGACGTTGCCAGTATCTTCAACATTCTACAAACGGTCTGCTGCCGACTGGAGATCGAGCCTCCTCAGCCGTTGAAGTCGTTGCAGGAGAGCGCTGATCACTGCAACTCGGGGCAGTCTGCCAACGCTGCTGACGACGCCGAGGTCTACGAGTTGTCGGCCCCTGCTTCGCCTTCGACGTTACAGGCGCCCATAGAACCGTACCTGAGCGGCGGACGTTTGCAACAGCATGATGCGTCTCTGTCCAACGGAGGAGGTAAGACAATAATGGAGAGGCCGCGGAGGAGGAGAGAGAGCGAGAGACCAGACCTCATCAGCAAAGGTCTCATCGCCTTCGATCTCGCTGACCTCCTTGTACAACGTTACCTGGTGCATTTTGATCGCTTTCTATATGGAATCGCTCGGAAATACCGCGATGCGACTGAAGTGCGAAAAGCGTCACCCACACTCCTGGCCGCCATGTGTGCCGTATCAGCCTTCCACGACGTGGACCACAAGGACGTGTTTGCGGTATGTTACAAGGAGTACCGGGCTCTCGTTTCCGCATCCCTGTTCGAGAAGAGAGGGGTCGAGTACGTTCGAGCGCTGTGTATCGGATCGTTCTGGCTGCTTGACGCGTCTAGGATCCTCTTGAGCGATGCGATACGCAGAGCCGCCGATTGCCGCCTTCATGATCATTTTCAGCTCTTGGTGGCAGCTTCGCCGGCGGAGCTTTCTACTTCCCCTTCCTCTTCCATAGCAGCGGTCGATACAGGTGTCTCGGACAAGGCCAAGGAGGATGCGAGGGACAAAGTTCGCCTCTGGTATCTACTGTTCATCTCAGACCGACACCTTACCATTCTCCACAACCGGGACTCGGTGATACGGCAGGAAAAGGACGCCATTGAGCAGAGGGATCTGTTCTTGGCTGACAAGAGCGTTACTGGGGCTACGTATCAAGATGTCCGCCTGCTATCACAGGTCTCGTTGCTCGTCATCATGGGCCACATACGAGATACCATAGGATGCGAGCAGAGCAGGCCGATTCCCAAGAGCTTCAGCGTTCAGTTCGCCCACTTTGCACACGAGCTCGACCAGTGGTATGAGAGGTTTGCACCATCACTAAGTAGGTTATACAACCCTCTCCGCAAGCTTCACGATGATAAGCATTGCTTTTCGTCGCGACCCAAAGTTCACATGCTAACATCCCTGGTTTTCTCCTCCTTTCACGAACAAAAGAAGACGATCAGTACATCGGCACATTCCCCTTGGCGGGTCTCAAGATGCACCACCAGTACGCCCGACTCTATCTGACACACCACGTCTTCCGGGGTCTTGGCGAGGGTCCGATTCCGGGCCACTTCATCGGGCAGGCGGCGACGGCGCATGAGGCTGCGGTCGCCATCTTCGCTGTGGTGCTCGAGAACGAGGCCTTCCGGACAAACATCCTGGGTATGCCTCCCTACTTCCACGTCATGATCTCGTTTGCGGGTCACTTCCTGCTTGAGGTGGTCATCAAGAAGCACCGCGAGCAGCTCGGGATCGCGCCCGAGGTCTTGGACGAGGACCTGAAGCGCGTCGCCGCCGTGCTGGCACTTTTTGCGCGCACGCCCGCCATGCCCCAGCACCCCATTGCCCGTGCAGTGGCCGGACTCTCACGCAGGATGAATGAGTGTACCGCCGTCCTGGGGCTCGAGTCGATATTCACGGGCAGTCCGTTCCAGAACCCGGACTACGCATCCCTCATGCTGGAGCTCGAGGCCGGCGCCAGAGATGGGGGACCCCGGGATGCCATGGCAGAGGGCATGACGATGTCGTCGTTTGACCTTGGGGCGATGGGCGGGTCGTCATCAGAGGACTTTCTGTTTACCGATTTCAGCGGGTTTGGCATGGTGTTTCCCGACGCACATTCCCATTTCGGGCCTGGGTCTTAGTGCAGGATGTTTGAAGTGGTGCTTGCCAGGGACAGATAAGAAGTCCGCGTCAGTACAATCACCAGCATCAGATAGACTGAATGGAAGCATTCTACTGAAATTTTATCAACTTTCTGACTTTGCTTTTGCTAGCAAAACTAGACCAGACAGTCACCTCTAGGCCCGTCCCAAGTCCGAGCAACCCTTTCGTTCTATTTTACATCGTCGGCATCATCATGAAAGACTGTGGTGCCCCAGTTTGGCCGATTAAAACGCTTGGCCCCCGCCACGACCAGCTCATCGATGCGCTTCATCTCATCGTCTGTCAGAACAAAGTTGTCGCGGAGATTGGCGGTGATGCGGGCGGGTGTGACGCTCTTGGGAATGACACTCCAGCCCTTGGCCAGACCCCAGCTGAGCATGACATTGCCCGTCGACACGCCGCGAGCACGGGCAATATCCACAATGGCAGGCTCGTCGTGCAGGGTGCTCCCCGTGCCGCCGAGCGGCCCAAAGGCGGTCTGGTGAATACCGCGGTCTGCGCAGAAGCGGTGCAGCTTGGCCTGGGGCAGCAGGGGTTGTAGTTCTGTTTGGTTGACGGCGGGCACGACGGCCGGGTTCGAGGCCAGCAGCTTCTCGAGGTTGACGGTCGAGAAGTTGGCCACGCCGATGGCGCGCACCCGGCCCGACCCGTCCTTCAAGATGCGCTCCATCTCGCGCCATGTGTCGCAGAAGTCCCAGTCCGGGTCGTGCACCGTCCGGTCCTCCTTGCCATACTCGGCTCCGGGCGGCAGCGTCACCGGCCAGTGCATCAGCCACAGGTCGACATAGTCGAGGCCCAGGTCCCTTAGTGAGGTGTCGAGCGCGGCCGACGCCCGCCGGTGATCCGACGACCACAGCTTTGTCGTCACGAAATACTCAGCCCGTGGTACCGCCGCCGCCCGGAAAACGTCTCCGATCTCGGCCTCGTTGCCGTAGAGCGGTGCGCAGTCAAAGTGTCGGTAGCCGGCCTCGAAAGCAGCCCCCACTGCTGTCGCCGCACTACCAGGCGCTGCCTTCCACGTGCCAAAGCCCACAGCGGGAATCTCGGCACCCGTGTTGAGTGTGAAGTGAGTTCTGGGCTTCGACGACGACGACGACGCCTTCGGCACGGAGGAGTTAATCTGGCGTGGCAGGGCAAGGTCGAATAATTCAAGGACACCCATCATGCCTAGAGTGGCAGCCTGCAGGTCGGCCGAGGCCGGACTGTAGGGCTTGCGCGGGTAGAAGGTGGCCGGCGCCGTCAGCCCGAGGCGGCGGCCGATGAAGTGTGCGGCGCCGCATTTTGTGGCAGCGAGACCCTTCTTGCACGCGAGCTCGGCCAGGGCGACCTTGCCCTGCAGGTCACGGGCCTCGGCAGTACGCCCAGCCTGCCACAACGCGTACAGCTCGGCAACGGCACGGGGAAACACATTGCCAATACCCGTCACGCACCCCACGCCTCCCGCGACGAGGCACGGCAGCAGCCAGTCGGATTGTCCCGAGAAGACGGCAAACTGTGATGGCCGGAAGCGCGCCGTCAGGCACGACACCTTGCCCGCGTTGGCGCATGTCAGCTTGACGCCCGCGATATTGGGGTGCACCGCCAGCTCTGAGAGCACGTCCACGCCGAGGTCGATACCAGCGGTGACACCGGGGAACTATAGCGAGGCAGCATAAGTCAGCACTAAGGTTGTCTCGAAAAATGAAGATAAAAGTAAGGAGAAGGAGAGCCTACGTTGTACACAATTATGGGGATGTGGCTATGGTCTGCAACCTCTCTGTAGAACTGGACAATGTCCTTGTTGGTGATAGCCTTGGGCCAGTAGCTCGGCGGCAGAAGCAGCCCAAAGTCGGCGCCTGCCTCAGTCGCGTCGTCAAGGAGCCTGAATGTCTCGACAGTCGACTGGCCGCTGACGCCGGCGGCGAGTGGGAACTTGGGGACCCCGAGGTCGGCTGCGGCCTTGCGTGCGGTGCGAGTGATGGCCACTCGCTCTTCGGGCAGTAGGAGAGCGGCTTCTGCCGTCGAGCCCTGCAGCACGAGGCCGTTGACGCCGCTGGATATCAGGTGCGTAAAGTACGTGTGCATGGCTTCGAGGTCGAGCTCCTGTCGCGGCGAGTCCTTGTACAGCGTCACCACGGGACACCATACGCCCGCAGGAACAGCAGGAGAGTCGTCCATGACGGTATGAGAGCCCTTGTGCATGATGACAAGCGGTGATGGCGTCTTGGAAGGTGTACACGTCGCGCTGGGGAATAGGACGGGAAGCCACAAAGGCCATCCAGCTTGGCAACAATATAGTGTGTGCTTTTGCTGCCCCAACACTGGTGTGCCGGCCGTGCTCGTGCATCACACCCCTTGGGGCCTGCCGCCGCCGAGTCAGTGGCTCGCTACCCCGACCCCGACTTTCATGACACTAAAAGCCGGCTCTTTGTTCACATCGGAGGAGTCTCCGCCGTACCGGGCCACGGCCTCCGATGCGGGGTAACAGGGTGCGGAGATCCCTGCTGTGGGCCGGTCTGGCGTACAGAGGGCACGCAAAGTAGTCAGGACAAGTTTCCTACTCATGCTCCGAGTATTTCTGGCTGTTCTCGTTGCTAATTTGCTCACGACAGTGCTTCCCAGTATATACCTGAAAGTGCTGAAAATGAAGCCTTGCGCGAAAGTCATCACTCTTAGTCGATATTAAAATAGACAAAAGAAAATAGGGCTGAATGCTCCCATGGAGAATTTTTTTTTTTTCATCACTCTTTAATATTGCTTTCTGGAGTCAAAACGATACGGATATCTCGCCATTCCTCCGTTGCGACCATGTTTCTTCAAGGTCTGCCTGGAACCGTGGAATCTGCGCAAAGCCCGTGGCTTCTAGACGCTCCTGCAAATCATCCCGGATGATCTGCTGATCCTCTGGAGCCTCTGTGAGAAAGCCAAGCGTATAGACTGGCCAGTTCCCGACAAAACACCTCGTCCACGCGACGTCCCCCTTGTGCCGCTGAATAATGCTAATTGCTTTCCTTACCTGCCATGAACTCCCAGGCTCAGGCAACGGTGATGGGCTGCACGCCTGATTGCGGCGAGACAGCTGCCGAAATAGGAGCGAGACGGTGATGGAGTATAGCAGCTTCACATCCTTGTAGATGTGGTCATTGCATGTCCCAGTCAGGGGAGCTGCTGGACACGGGTCGTCCGGAAGGAGGAGAGTGCGCTCCCAGTCTTCCACCTCGTCACGGGCACGTCTCATCGTCTCAGCATCTGCCAGTGCGTGACGTCCAAATTGCTGCCGCAGCAAGGTAGACAGGGTGAGCAGTGAGGCGGATACCCCGAGGACAGGGCTGTTGAGGCTCTCTGCCGCCTCGGCCCCGGGAAACAAGTCGCATTTCTTCAGTACATCTTCTGCACGACCCCAGAACGTAGCATCAATGGCACAGTCTACCTGGGGCGGCTGGCTCCAGAGCCCTGTCATCAACAGAAATATCTGAAAGAGGACGCTCTCGATGGCGACCCTGTCGAACAGCGAGGTGATTCTGCCACGACGGTCGAGGATTCGCGCCCTCAGAATACGTACGGCTGCGTTGACATGGATGGGAATGTCTACATAAGTCCCCAGGCCGATGCACTGGAGGAGCTTGTCAGTGTGGCTGAATGGCCATGGCCTCTTGTCAAGATCACTTACTCCGTGCAGGTACAACAACATGACAGACATGAGCAGCCCATCGTCATCCTCTGGGTGTGGACTGCCCTTAAGGCGTGCGGAAAGGGCGCCGGTAGCCTTAGTATAGTACCTGAGGGCGAGGCTCTGGGTTGGCGTGTTGTTGTCCAAAAGGTAGATGTGGGAGGCGGAGCACGCCAGTACTGAGTAGAAAAGGCACTCGTGTGTGTGCATGAGCTGCTTGATCCCAACGAGCCAGTCGTCGCGGAAGCTCCTATGGCAAGTCGGTAGCAGTATCAGGTCGAAATAGCGGTCGAGGAAGTGTCGAGCTAGCACAACCGGCATCTCTCGCGACGTGAGAGCATGGGCCGCCCCCGACTCTGCCAGTAAAGTCGAGATCGACACGAGCGGAGATGTCTTGGCATGACCTAGTTCAGCTGAAGCTGCCCAGTATCTGGACGCCTCATGTACTGCAAACCGACGGTCGACGAGTTCCCTAGAGCCGGGCCATTGACAGCTACGGCGGTTTCGGATGCATTCTCCGCAGACTGGGGTCGTCTCATCGCATTTCTTCTTGCGTTGTCGACCTGGGCACTCACGTGTCAGTTCTGAAGTATGGCAGGGGTAGGCAATCCCCGTAGTGGACTCTGAATTGCAGTTGATCGAGGAACCTCACATGTAAGACAGCCTGTCTTTGTTCTCAACCGTGCCCGACTCACTGGTCTCATAGTGCTGTTACGTTGCAGGCGGATAAGGAGTCATCATCGATAGTCACGGGTGTCAGGTCAGGGGCGGTGCTATGCAAGGTGGTCGGGGGCACAGTAACGGGGACAGAGCACGGGTAGAGATCACTCAAAACGACTGGCGCTAGAGGGGGCGAGTCAACACGCGCAAACCAGCGGCCACGTACCTCCTGTCCCCACGCTAGCACTGGAAAGTTTTAGCCGTTGCCGCCACGTTGAAACGATTGCCTTGCGTTGCAGAGTTACACCGGTGCATACGACTCGCGCCGTGCGTGAATTAATCGGGTGATGGTGTCGACACTCTTGTCCGGCTCCACCCCTCCCCTCGAACCTTAAAACCCATTAATATGCAAAACAACTCCCACCTTGCTTCTATGCTTCCATGCTTGACATGCTCATATTGACAAGGCCGAGAGCGGCTCACAACCCTAGACTGCTCGGCCCCGATCCTACTGCTGCTTTTGTTTATAATGTCACTGAACGGGGCCGTGGCTCAGCGCACAAGCCTGTGTCGCTATCATCAGTGGGCGGACCGAATCGGACTAGGTGGGTCGCACGAGAAAGGTTTCGGTGGAGTCATACCCTCCAGGCCAAACATCATCGGCAGGGGGGCTGGCTGGAGGTGGACGTTTGACCGTTGTCACTCCTCCGCAACGAATGGCACACATGCAGTCCACAACCCGCAAACCTTGAGGAGCAACCGGCGCCCCCACCTCCCGACGAGGCAATGCTGCGAGACTCAGAGACCACCCTCCGAAGCACACAGCGCGCCCCCCGGTCTTGCAGGTCTTGCGCGTCAAGGAAGATCCGCTGCGATAAGGCTGTGCCCTGCCTCCCTTGCACCAAGAGGGGGCACGCCGATGCTTGTGTCCGCGAGACCGTCATCGTCCGCGGTGAAGTGACCACCGGCAGAGACGTGGACGGCAGGCCTTCGTACGATGAGTTGAAGCAAGAGAACGAACGTCTTCGAGAGCTTCTTGCAAGGAGAGACTCGGCCACGGTCGCAACTACTCAAGCGCCGCGTCTTACACTGCCTTACGAGGAGTACAACGAATATGAGCAGCTCCTCTTCAGTGTCCAGGGTGCCCCTAAAGTACAGAGGCATGCCTTTACCATCGGCTCCGTCATTCTTCCGAGTCGCGTCTGCAGCAACGGCATGGTCACGTACGACAAGCAATGGAACTCTTGGGTGCACTATGCCGTCGAATATCCAGCTTTCGAGGAGCAGCATACTCTCTTCATGGATGCGCTTGATGCCGGCGTGTCTCTGGCAGACATGGACGCTGCATGGCTTGCCATCTATTTCAGTATCCTGACAGTGCGCCACCCTCAGCTGTCCCCGAACCATGTGGAGGCAAGAGACATGCTGACTGTGTTCAGGCATCCATACTCACCATGGACGGTGACGAAGCTGAGCGACTCAACCTTCCACTGAGCAAGTCCCACTCCCGAGTGATTGTTATTCATTACTAACCATAGACCCAAGATGACCACCACCGGCTACAGCGCAACTGGTACGACGCAGCGCTTTTCTTTCTTGATCGAGCCGAGTTCATGAAGCGGCCACGACTGGAGACTTGCCAGACTATCGCCATCCTCGAGATCTCATTCTCAATCTTTGGGGACCATAAGCTCAGCTTCATCATGCGATCATGTGCCCTCACTGTTGCACGAAGTCTTGGTCTGGACAGGGAGAACCCCATGGATGAGTCCCAGCTCACGGCCCTAGGCAAAGAGGCTCGTCGCCGACTATGGTGGACACTCGTGATTTGCGAATGGTATGAGGCCCATGGAGTACATGGCGGATTCAATTCGAGGGCTCATTGGTCGTAGTGCTGACATACCGGTCCTGCAGGCTTTCTGGACCTCATCCCCCCTCGCAACTGACAGAAGATGACTTTGACATCCTACTCCCGGTGGTGGATTCGTCACACATGGTACGAGACGGCCCTCCTGGCCTGGAAATACACCCTGTCCAGTATCATGTCTTCATGGCAAAGACTAGCATTGTGTATAACCGCTTCAGACGATCCCTACGCGACCCCACGGTAGCCCGTGATGTGCTGGTGCGGAAAGCCGACGAAGAGCTTGCTGGGGTTATTCACACACTGCCACAACACCTCTCGCCAGATGGACTTGCCAAGCGGCAAGAGGAAGACCTGAGCCGTCGTTATCCTTGGATCCGCTGGCAGAGAGTCGATGTCACCTTGGTGCTACTCCATCACCGCCTGGAGATCAGCCGCATTCTACAGAATGATTGGCAAGCGAATCCATCTCATTATGGTTGGGCTCGGCAGATCTGTCTCGGTGCGGCCAAAGAAATCATTTGGATAAGTCAGAATTGGGAGCAATCGGCCGCAAAGCGGAGCCAATGGTACAAGGATTCCCATCCCGGAGAGACGGAAGGTTTGCTAACTATCAATAGGGCGCTCGCATGGCACGTTTACCTCGCGGCGGTGTTCATCATCAGCGATATGAAGGCATCTACCGCAAATCTGAGTACATTAACGACAGAAAAAGAGGATATACTCCAAGGGATCAAGTTCTTGGACAGCGTCAGGGCACGTAACGTGATGGCTGGCAAGGCCGCAGACATACTGAGACAGCTCCTCGGCGGCGGTGGCATACCACAACCCTAGCTACACTAGTCTGATCTACAGGTTATAGCCGAAAGCTCTTCTCGCCAGTTCATTCAGTCCTTCGTGGCCCCTGTAACCCTTGAATGTCGCCTCGCTGACTCCTGTTCCGTCGTCCTGGTCCGGGGGAGGTCGACCAGCTAGCGTTGCCTCAAGCTGGGATTTAATGTATTTGTGGTTGATTGGTGTGCTTGGGCACGCGCCGACGTAGACTACGGCGGCGTTCTCCTTGCCTTCATGCACTGGATCAACAGCGTGACATACCTGATTTCTTGGTCAGCGGCTTCGACACTCCATCATTATCAGGGCGGGAATACCTACATCACAATGCCACCAGACTGTATCTCCAGGTTCCATAACCGGGATATGAACAAGACAGTCCTCGAGCCGCAGGTGTGGGTGAGAGGTCCGACTCATGTACTGACTCTCGGGCTTGAAGGTCCCAGGGAACCAGCCGCTTTCGTCAAACATCCATGTTTCAGGATCCATGACATCAGAGTCGGGATCAGTTGGAGGGCGAAAGAATGGTCGCAAGAGGACATAGGCAATCGTGGTCAAGAGGTTCGGGTAGAGAAGCAGTGTTCCTTCTTTCGGTGCTGCTCGCGTGAGCGCGGTCCAGCCCTGGAACGAGCGGAGCACAGTCGAGTGCGCAGGGCCTTTGAAAAGGTCCTGGTCGGCGTCCTTGCGCACCCCGAGATCCCAGGCATCGTGCTCAAGAGCACGACCAGAGAAAACGGCATCATAGACGCGCCGATACTTTGGGTCGGCCCAGCGGCAGAGACTGCCAGCATCAATGTGCGGCCCGAGGCCGAGGAATGGCTGACCAGGCTCCCGGTCTCGCGCGCCATCAAGATATATGAGCGGCTGCGAAGAAGTCTGTCCTGTCTCGTCGTGCCACAAGCTGTTGACCATTTGTTGGAGTTCCATGTGTTTTGGATGCGAGCGGATGGCGTTCTGTGTGGGCGAGTCGTACAACATGAGCATGGACGGGCTCTCGGCAGGCCAGCCACGGACATGCGCCTTGTTGTCCCTGACATAGTCCTGGAGGTCTTGATATAGCCTGCGAGCGTCGTCTTCAGGGATCACACCACGGACAATAAAGCAACCGGTCTGCCTGATGGTAGCGACGTCTGACTCGCGGAAGCCCTTGCTCAGCAACTCGTCTGCATCGAGAATTGGTACAATGTCGTTCCTCTTGCTGGCAATGTCCTCCGTCACTTTTTGTAGCTCTTTGCAGACGGCGAGCCAGCTCGATCGTAGTTTGTCTTCGCCATACTCGCGGATCACGTCTTGTTTTGCTTTGACGAAATCGTCGTCGATTGCCTCGCTGGCCAGCTTTGAGCCAAACTCACGCCAGGCAGGCCAGTCATGAAGTTTGCCTGGCATAGCTTGTAGGTCCGGGATCGCTCTGGCAGGTGGAATGAGAAAAGTCGGAGGTTGTCTTTGTGCTACTTTTGCAGTCAAGACGATAAGAGTGGTGACTAGTCTACGAAGCCACCATCAAGACAGGTCGTCATTAAAAGTTCGCAAGCAGGCCAATCGTAATAGATCCCCAAAAGGTTCCTGCAGCCAAAACCATTCCGTCGGCAACTGGCCCGATCCCGGGCGAGCTCGGGGGAGTTCAGATTGTGGAATCTGTAGGATCCACCTGGCCCGCAGCCTTATCCTTGTTCTAATCTCCATCTTTGCGAATCAGCCAGTTAGCGTCCTCTGATTACCCCCTTCAACTCCATATGATAACGTAGACCGCTGAGCAAATCTCAGCCGAGCTCACCCGGCCTCCAACACGCCGGCTTCCAGGGTCCGACAGGAAAAGGCAGTGCCGCTGGCGACTGTGGATTCGGTGGGCAGGGGGTGCTTCTCAGGACCACATGGCTATATATCCACTGGTTAGGAGTGCGTTGCACATGTCTCGAGACCACGAAACCCCTCGTCTTCAGGTCGTCCCGACTTTGCACGTCTCCGTCTTCCGGTAATATTTTCTCCAGCCGCCGACATGGCGCCGGTCGAGCGTCGGTATGTTTCCAAGCTGGTACCCTCAAACACAAAGCTGCTCACGGTTCTGCTCGTCGCCGTTGCGGTCGTCAATTCAGCAGTTAGTCAAGCCTAAACCCTGGTATACTACTCACGAGCGGTAAACAGTTGCTGACATTTCCTTGTCTTGTGAATCCAGACGCTGGGCTATGATGCGTCTGTCATGAACGGCCTGCTCATTCTCCCCTCTTACACGGAATACTTCCAACTCACTACAGCGACGATCGGCCTCAATAATGCCGCCAGCTGGCTAGGCAGCATCCTGGGCGCCTTCCTCATGCAGCCGCTGCCAGATCGCTTCGGTCGCAAAAACAGTATTCTGGGGGCCTGCCTCATCGCGTTTCTTGGCATTGCGCTGCAGGCCGGCGCGCAGAACATTGCCATGTTTGTCGTTGCACGCATCATTGTCGGTCTGGGCACGGCTTTGAGCAATATCGCCGCACCGCTTCTCCTTGGCGAGCTTTTGCCAGCCCAGCTGCGCGGCAGGATCCTGGGTCTCTTCTTCTCATGCTTCTACGTCGGCAGCTTGTCTTCGTCTATTGTCAATTACGGCAGCCAAAACATCACGAGCACGTGGGCTTGGCGGCTGCCATCTCTGCTGCAGGTTCTCCCGAGCCTTTTGTCCCTGGCGCTGCTTCCTTTCGTGCCCGAGTCTCCTCGCTGGCTCATCTCCAAGGGCCAGGACGAGTATGCACAAGAGGTCTTGGCGTTGATGCAGGTCGGCAAGCAGTATGGTGGAGCCGCCGACGATGGAGCAAGTGCTGTCTACGAGATCAAGGCTATCATGGCAAAGGAGGAGGAGGAAATGCCAGGGAACCCCTGGAAGGAGCTTGTTTCCACTCCCGGGAACCGGAAGAGGCTGCTGATCTTGATCGTTTTCGGCAGCATGATCTCGACGCTGGGCAATTTCGTCATCTCCTTCTACCTCAACGACATTCTGGACCAGGCTGGCATCCACGACACCAACACCAAGCTGCAGATCAGCGTCGGGCTGAATTGCTGGTGCTTCCTCGTCGCCGTGATCGGCAGTTTTATGCTCGATGTGATTGGCCGACGCATCCAGACCCTGCTGGCCATGGTGGGCATGATTGTCACCCTGTACATCACGGGTGGTCTGATCAAGAGTAAGTCCATCCAAGGCAACGAGTATTTCTCGATTCATATCGTTGTCCAGGCACTGACATACTCGCTGCAGCTTACGGCATGAGCGACAACCAGTCGGCAATCTACGGCACCATCTTCGTGATCTTCCTCTTCCAGGGCTTTTACTCGTTCGCGATCACACCAATGACGTCTCTGTACCCCACAGAGATTTCTCCATTCAAAGTTCGTGCTGCAGGAATCGCGGTCTTCAGGTTCTTTGACAGTGGATTTGGGTAAGGCTGATTCCGTCCTCATCATGAATGATCATTTTCTTGTGTTGCTGATACATCTGCTATCCAGGTTGTGCTTCTCTTTCGCGATGGCCTTTGCAATGGCCGACCTTGGCTGGAAGTTCTACCTGATCAACGCTTCGTGGAACGTCGTCTTCACCTTGATCATTTTCTTCTACTTTCCTGAAACCAAGAAGCTCAAGTTGGAGGAAATTGCCGTGCTTTTCGATGGTCCGAAGCTCATAGAGGCTGCACTTGCTGAGACGGCCGTGGCTGAAACCACTTCAGACAAGAATGGATCATCAGTGACCACGGGTCCCAAGTAAGATTGCGGTGTGGTGCGCCGATGAAGGCATGGTTACCAACCACGCTTGAAGTACGGTTGAAGCTCACTTTCGCTTTCTCGTTGTCTTTCGTTTGCCCAAGATTTATTGAGGAGTAATGGCTGCGTATTCAATTGCTGTTCGCCTTTCTCTGCGTCGATCTAAGTGCGTAGGAAATATCAAGTTGCGCTCGACAAGAGTGGTTTGCTGTTGATTACAGCTGGCTATCTCTTGGGAGAAGCAAGAATCTTGATTTCGTCTTGTGAATCGCCAATCAGCACCTCAAATCCTTTGTCCACAATCTCGTCCAAAGATAGACGACTGGTTATCATCTTCTCGACCCCCTTGAAGCGACCTGAATAAGAAACCTGTTAGAGTCTGACGTTACGTGTTCGATACGGTTGAGCACTCGCCTGCTGTGAATGCAGCTACCGTCTCTGCAAAGTCCTTCTCACCGTATGCCAGGAACGCTCGATACGTCAACTCCTTGAGAATAAATGCAAGGCTCGGGAGTGCAAGCTACACTGGGTGGTCAGTAGAGATTCTCGCATCCAGCAATGCCAGAACGTCTTACGTCGGTCTTTGGCAGTGCCAAATTTGCATACACGCCGCGATATCGTAGGCTCTCGCAACCCACGATGAACCCTCGTTCTGCGCCAGCACAATCAACCACAAAGTCTACGCCATCCCTACCTGTCAGCTCCCGCACCCGCTTGGTAACATCCACTTCAAGCGGATTAATGCTGTCGAGGACCAAGGGCTCGAAGAATACGCGGCGGGCAGCTGTTGGTTCAGAAAGAATAATCTTGTCTGCCCCTAGGGCTCTGAGTACGAAGACAACCGCCACGCCCACCGGCCCACCACCGAGCACGAGCACAGGAAGCCCGGCGAAGTCTGCCGGCCCAAGCCTCCGGACAGCGTGCCAGGCTACCGCAAGAGGCTCTATGAGGGCGGCGGCAGCCAGATCTGTGCCATCCGGGAGAACATGGACCTTTTTGGGATCAACGGCCACAATTTCAGACAACCCGCCGCCGCCCCCAGAGAAGCCAAGGAATCCAGGCATCCGGCAGCACTGTCCGGCGTCCTCGTTGCATGCCCGGCAATCGGAACAGTGGATGCGTGGATCGACAACGACAAGCTGGCCTTCTTCAAGTTGGGAGCCGGCCTGGGTATGTGCAATGCGCCCAGTGAACTCGTGCCCTAGGACAACCGGGCCAGGATCGCCGGTGAGCGGATGTGGTCCTCGCTCTTTTGTTGACGTCCCAAAAGGGCCTGCAAGGGAGAGTCAGCCTCGTCAGTTGGTCTCCACAGCTTTTCGGGGTCATCGAGACAAACCGTGAGTATATTCGTGGAGGTCACTGCCGCAGATGCCACACCATTCCACCTGGACCAGAACTTTGTCTCCGGTCTGAACGGGAGCCTCTATATCCTCTACCCGCACATCCCGGGTATCATGGAATCTGGCGGCGCGCATGCTTCAGTCCCGAATGATGACAGAGGGTATGTTTCCGGTGCTGAAGACTGGAGTGATGGCCCTCAGATTGTGGTCGTTGTTGTGCGTGTGACTACCTGGTTATGTAGACACGGCACAACACAAGTCGTGATAGCCTACATGTAGATGGACAGTTTTCTTATCCGGATAGGCATTTCCGTATGGGCCTCCCGGTTGGTGGCTGTCAACTCGGCCGCGCCTCCACCCCAGCCGACGGCCAACCAGGGGAACGGAAATCCGATAGTCCTACGACGAGATCCTTTGCCTCGGCCACTGATCAGGCTGGCAACCGGAGCAAGTCTTCCCCACAGCGTCATGGCTGGGATCTTGCTCTTCATTCGCTGCGAATTAGAGCAGGTGCATCAAAACGCGGGGAAGTTTCTCCACAGGAGTACCCGGCCCCCTGGGCTCGAGGGGTGCTGCAACCAACAGCCTGTGCGGCATGGGCAGGCTAGGACAGCTGGACGACTGTGTGCACTTGACAATTTGCTCGGGTGCCCTACACCTCATCAGGGGCTCTCTTCAGCCGAGGCGACCAAGGTGAAACCCAACGGCGTGCGTAACAGCTGCTATACAGACAACTACGCTATCTGATTCTCTATCGTCTTTCCACAGGCCAACCTCTCTACTTGCAGACCTCCTCGTCTGCCGAGCAAAGACCTTGCGTATGAGCGATCCATTGAAGATGCCACCCTTTGAGCTCAAGCATCCAAAAGGGCGAGAGCTTGTTGGAGGGGACCTAGTGGCTCAGACACTGGCCCACTTAGGGGTAACGGTGGCCTTTGGATTACACGGCGGCCACCTGGACTCTTTCCTTACTGGATGCGCATTCGTAGGAATCAAACTTGTTGACACCAGGCACGAGACAGCGGCAGTTCAGGCGGCCGAGGGCTATGCCAAGGTCAGCGGCAAGACAGGACTTGCATTCGTCACGGCCAACAGCGGGCAAGTAATCCCCCAGGCTTCAGACCGGATGTCGCTCCATTGTATTCTTGCTAATACGAACGAGCAACTGCAGCTTTGCCAATGGCTACCCCGGCCTTGCCACAGCGCTTGCTGATCGCTCTCCCATCTTTGTGGTGACGTCGTCTCCTCCGTTGCGCGACGCCGAGACCAACGCACTGCAAGGCTTCCACGACCAAGTCGTCCTCGCCAGGCCCGTGACCAAGTTTGCCCACCGGGCGACTGTCGTTGAGGAGCTTCCTCGTCTCGTTTCGCACGCTTGGAGAATCGCAAGCGCTGGTGCTCCTGGCCCAGTGCTGATCGACTTTCCTGTCGACATTCTCTTCACTCCACCACGATTTAATGCCATCTCCTGGGGCTCTCTGGACCGCCAGATCTCTTCAAGGCCAGGACCTGCTCCGGCGTCAGTCGACGAACTGGCAAGGCTCTGGAAGGCGGCAAAGAGACCAGTATTCATTACGGGCACGGGCGCTGCGGACACGGGACGCATCGGGGCATCGCAACCGATCCTGCTCCAGCTGGCAGAAGCCACCCAGACCCCAATCTTCTGGTCGTCCAAGTTCTCGCTCGCCATTCCTCACAATCACCCCCTCCGCGGCGGGCCAGCCACCGGGCTCGCATATCTGCCATACATCCAGCAAGAGCGCCCTGACTTGCTCATTCTCCTTGGGGCTCGCACGGGATTCCTTCTTGGGGGCCGGAACGGCGCAATTATCCCGCACAAGGACTGCACACTGGTGCAGGTGGACGTCGATGGTGGCGAGATTGGAAGGACGCTTCCCGTGGATCTCGGTATTGTATCTGATGTGTCAGAGTTTGTGAACACGATGGCCAAAAAGGTTGCCTTGGACGCCGCCTTCACCACCAGTCGCGACCGGGATTGGATCAAGATGACTTCCTCACTCAAAGGCCTCATACACCGCCGATACGGCTCTGACCCCAAGCAAGGGTGTCCAGATGACACGGGCGACCGGATGCACCCCTACCACGGCATCAAGGCTGTCTTTGAGGTAGTTGCAGACCACGAGCCAATCGTTATCGGCGACGGCGGTGAGTGCGGCGTCTGGGCCGGTGATCTGATTGAGTGTGCAAAACCAGCTCACTTTCTGGCCGCCACGGGATACTTGGGCTTTCTGGGCAATGGCTGGGGCTACTCACTCGGCGCAGCAGTCGCACACCCAGACAAGCTCATTGTGAATGTGCAAGGCGATGGCAGTGCCGGGTTCCACATCGCCGAGCTGGACACGTACGCTCGGCACAGACTGAAGATCTTGACGGTCGTCGTCAACAATTACCGCTGGGGCATGTCAATTGCTGGCCAGGATATCCTGTATGGCGAGTCCACTCCTGGCCGCCTCCTCAGCTCCTTGTCTCCCGTGTGCAGGTTTGACAAGGTCGCCGAGGGATTCGGCGGACTTGGCGTGCGCATTGACAAGGCCGATGAGGTACAGGCGGCCGTCAAACAGATAGTTGAAGACATGGCGGCGAACAACGACTTCACGCCTGGCCTGGTCAACCTGATTGTGGACACAGATCCCGTTACCGAAACAACGAAGAGCATGGTTGGCATGCCCGCACCGGGTAGGGAGAAGGAGGTCGTTGTTGTGCCGTACTATGACAATATTCCCCGAGCTCGTTATGATTAGCGAATGATGCCACCCGCTGGTTAGAAGAACCCCTCGGTCTTTGCGGACATCATGTCAAATTTGATATCCATTGCTCAATATTATAACATCTTGTCAACGTCTGGTGTTCATGCTGTATTAGTTCTATATAGTGCTCTATACGCTGTCATGGGGTATCATATGCGACATTAGAAAAGCAGGGTCACGCAGCTGCTTTACAACTTCGAAGTCCTGGCTGCAACCTCGCGCTTCCAGTAGAGTGCCATCGGGAACGGCTGGTCTTCTGCGGCATCCCAGAATCCACTCCCAGTTAAAGAGCGGCGCTCTAGGCCCGCCATGTGTGTTTTCCCTAGCCTATCCACCAGGTGATGATCGCTAGTGTTCTTGTCGAACTTGCGCTTCAGGGCCTGAAAGTCGTCACCGAGCAGCAGGTTCACACTGCATGCAGACAAGAGCGCTTCGTATGCCTCAATTGTCAAGAATGGGCTGTACACAAGCGTGTTTGGGTCGATGTATGACTGGGCCTCGCCCATTTCCGATGGCGACGGTGTTTTCAAGACGCGGATGCCAAGGGAGGTGAGGAATGAGATGTCTGGCTTTGTAAATGTCGGGTCCTGCGCGAAGAGCTCGAGCTGGGGTCCACCGGTTGTGGCTTGCAGGGCATTGATCTGGGCCGCTGCGGCCATGAACATGGCGAGTTGTTTGAGTCGCCTCGGCTGGTCCTTGGACCGCTCTGCGAAGCTGCCCAGCCCGAGCGAGACTGCACGCGTGATCGGGCTTCGCGACGTGATCACTTTGGCGCGCAGGCTAGCTGCAAGTGATGTGGATAGCAGCGAATCGTCGAACATGGTGCGGAGATTCTCATATTGTTGTTGGAGCGATGAGTTGGTCTTTTTATTGCGTGCTGTTGTTTTCGTCGCTTTGTCAGAAGCCCGACGACGCGACTCAGGCTGTCCGTGTACCGCGTGAGGCATGTTGGGGGGTTGTACAGATTATCTTGGAGTTGAAATGTAAATCCTAAAATCGACACAGGAAGAACAGGATCCGTAAAACTACAAATGGTTGCAATTCTCTACACATTATACAGCCGGAATGACTAGAAAATGGAACAGATATATATCACACTCAAGAGACGTGTTCGGCATGCGTGAGATATGATTCCCCCGTGCTTCCATTCTAAAAGCCGACAGCGAAGTTATCGCCAGTCGGCTGTTGTAAGCAAGAATGACAATTGCACCCTGGTCGGCGCTGACCAATTCTGTGGGCTTAGAAATGGACTGTGCTAAATCGGGCATAAGGCGTGGTGAGCCATGAACCGAGCCGGGGCTCGGACGAACCTCCACCCGCCTGGGCCATGGCAGCTATGACGACATCGGCGATTACCAATGCACGCACCAATGTCTGTCTGCTGCTGCTGTGCCGCGCTGTTCCTCGCAGCTCATGGCGGAACTGTAGTTTCCAGGGGCTTCGCATATATCATACTTGATACCACACTCTATGCAACTTCCTCGAGATGCTGCTCACAGGTAGGCCTGGGGAAATACACGCATGAGGCTCTGGCCAAGTCCTTGCTTATCGCCGAGGAGCCCCATAACGTAGGCGTGCAAGAACTCGCGCAGAAGCCGGGCAGATGCGGAACCCGCTTGGCAAGGCCCTGACCACTTACTTGACTAAGCGCCATGCCTACCGGCCATGGCTCGCGACATGCTTAAATTCAATGCGTTACACACAACGGAGACGAGGTGCCTTCGCATGCGGGAACCAGGCAAGCAGAGATTTTCTAAAAGCCGATAAGAATTACGAGCAGTTGCCTTGCATTGAGTGATTCGAACGCTGTCGAGCGATTGATGTTCTTGCCGAGGATCTTACCAAAACATTGGGCCCTCCCCGCTGAACACGGAGAGAGACGGGCACCCCATGTGGTAAGCAAGGAATGCTCCGCTCTGCATGCACTCTTGCACTCTGAAGGGGGTGGCAGTGGGGGTATATTCTTGGAAACCGACTTTAAGCTTTCTTCAGTATTCGCACACATCGTGGGATGCAGGACATCTACACTTAAGGGATGCTGCTTGATCTCCAATTATAATCCGGACAGATCACAAAAGAGTCCTGCAAAATAGAAGCATTACCACGCCCAATGAACGGTCATCAAACCCGAGGGTCCAGTGCCTGAGCCTTATTTGCTGTAGCTGCACCCTCCCCCGGCCCAGTCAGCATTCTGGTGAGCTTCCAGATATTAAAACGGTGTTCCTTGCATAAAACCCTTGTTTCCATAGCCAAAGACGGCCCCCAGGCAGACGAGCAACTGAGGCTGATGGATGCAACCAATCGGGGCAGCCAATCTCTCTTCTCGGCCGACAGGGAAAGGGACGAGAAGCACACTGCCATCTCGTTTCTCTCTGGGCAAGCCGATCGCTGTGCTAGTGCAGTCACCGTGGAGCCACTTGAGATTAGGCAGAATCCCGCGGGAGAGGACTACACCATGAAGCGGCTAAGACACATTATGGTGCCGCTGTATTTCTACGCTGTCGTTCCATAAGCCAACAGAAAACGCCAGAGGACCGACCATTGCTTTCATGCTCGCGCGGATTTAAAGGGCTCCTCCAGCCCTTCTCGTCCAAACCACCCACTACTTCGTGTCATTTCCCATCCCTGCCATCACTGAACTCGAGCTGAGCAGAAGTTGGGTTGACACGAGGTACGCAGCCAACAAATTCAGGTAGAATGGCCCGACAGGAGCCAACCTTTTCATTTTAGCTTGTTCGTGGCTGCTTCACCCGGGCCAGTCAGCGGTTTGCAGGGGTTTGCCACTGTAGCCGAGCTGGACGATTGGGCTGCGGGCAAGGCGGGGTCCCTGTGCGCCGGGCCACGAGGCGGTTGTCCGGACCGCCAATGCGCATTTTTGTTGTTCCATCGAGCCGTAAGCGGGAAGGGCCGACAATGCTAGCGTGCCCGCACAGGGTGGTCAGGTGGCCGGCCAGTCGGTGCAAATAAGCCTCGCGCTCCATACGGGACTATGACGGGCCACGAGCCAGGCTGACATTTTGTTGGTTCCGTTCTGGGGGTGTTTGCAATTGACTGCCCAGCCAGCGCAGGCGAGCACAAGACGGGCCGAGGGGTGGCCAACACCGTGCAAGCTTTCCAAGACGAGCTTGTTGCGCGCCAGGCAGCCTTGGGTGCTGAGGCCAAGCATTTGCCATGGCTATTCGGGCCGTCTGCAGCCAGTCTCCGTACGAGCAGACACGTCCAGGACATGTCTTGGCCATGTGTGCGGCCGCGAGGTGAGCAAAGGACGCGGCGCTGGTGGCACCACTTGGCCCGGCCCCCTGGCGGCGCGCCGAGGGCGAGGAATTAACCCGTTGGGGTTTCATACTTCCGCATTTCCCAAGGCAGGCGATGGTGGGTGCCACACGGCGGGGTGCTGGGGGCCGCCCCGTGCTTGTGGTTGGCTTCTCCAGCTTCCCCCAGCTCTGCCCCGGGTCTGGGGTACGGTCAGGGTGCCTGGGATGACCGGGCTCATGCGAGAACGAGTACCCGATCCGGATATCCGCGGTGACTACTTAGTCCGGGGCTGCTGCTGCTCACAACTTGACTGTCCTGGTGTTCCACGCGCTCTCACCGACACCTTGCCGGCTCCATCCCTCTCAAAGACAGATTGCCACTGCGACTACGCGCCTGTTTGCGAAATCTGCACATCATGGTGGCCGAACAGACCAAGGGCCACACGGCCGACCCCATCGTCACGCGCCTGGTCGAGGAGGACAAGACACCCTGGTACAAGAAGCCCAACCTCCGGGTCATGTACGTTTGGCTCTTCATCTGCTGCATGGGCGTCGAAATCACCTCGGGCTTCGACTCGCAGCTGCTCAACACGCTGCAGTACTCGGACACGTTCAATAAATGTTTGTCTCATCCCCGCCCGGCCCACAGTCTTGGTCCTGCGCTTTGCGCCGGCCCTAATCCTCGCGGCTCACTGACAATGATGCAGACTTTGGCGAAGGATACATCAACCCCAGTACCAACAAGGCCGATATCAGACCCAGCCTTCTCGGCTTCATGAATGCCTGCTACCAGCTCGGCACCATCCTCGCGGTGCCCATCGCCCCGTGGCTCAACAACAAATATGGCCGACGATGGTCCATCATGGCCGGATCCCTCATCATGATGGCCGGCGCCCTCCTCCAGGGTTTCGCACAGCACGGTAGGTTCCCACGAAACCCTCTAGAAAGGCCTCAGCAGGCTAATTTCTCTTATGCAGTCGCCATGTACATCATCGCACGTATGTTGCTTGGTGTCGGCATCTTGTTCGCCATTATCGGAGGCTCTGCCTTGATCGGCGAGCTGGCTCACCCCAAGGAGCGACCAACTCTGACGTCTTTCTTCAACGCGTCCTACTTCCTCGGCGCTATTCTTGCCGCCGGTATCGCCCTAGGCACCGTTGAGATTATTGGGGACTGGGCGTGGCGACTGCCATCTCTGCTTCAAATGGCCCCTTCCTTCCTGCAGGTCGCAACGGTCTTGTAAGGGCTCCATTGCCTCCCCTTCTATCCCCAGTAAGCCTGTACTAACAAGTCCTTAGTCTCCTTCCCGAGAGTCCTCGTTGGCTGGTCAGCAAGGACCGCGATGAGGAGGCCCTGGCCGTCTTGGTCAAGTATCACGCCGAGGGCGATGCCAACTCGCTCCTGGTCCAGGCAGAGATGGAGCAGATCCGCACCACCATTAAGCTCGAGATGGAAAGCGCCAAGCAGACGTGGTGGTCAGTCGTCTCCGCACCGGGAATGCGTCGTCGTTCAATCGTCTCCATCTTCCTCGGCCTCTTCACCCAGCTGTCCGGTAACTCGCTCCTGTCGTACTACTCGAGCTTGCTGTTCAACATGATGAACTACACGACCCCATACGCCAAGACCCGCATCAACATTGCTAACCAGTGCTGGTCTCTGCTTACCGCCGTCGTCATCGCCATGTATGTGACGAGGTTCAAGCGCCGCCTGGCTTTCATGACTTCTGCTACTCTGATGCTCTGCGTCTTTATCGGCATGACGGTGTCGTTCTATAACCTGCAGGTGGCCAAGGACAATGGCACGACCAACAACTCGGCCTCCATTGCGGCTTTGTTCTTTTACTTCTCTTACCAGCCCACATACAACATTGGCAACAATGCCCTGACCTACAGTATGTCCACGATCCCTCCCCACCTGGCCTCAGCTGCGACTTGAGTAGGGCATGCTAACCACGTTGCGCACGCAAACAGCCTACCTGCTGGAGCTGTGGCCATACGGACAGCGAACCCGCGGTATCGGTATTCAGCAGATCTTCGGAAAAGCTGGTCTCTTCTTCTCCCAAAACGTCAACCCGCTAGCCCTCACCTCCATCGGCTGGAAGTTCATGGCCATCTAGTAAGCTCTCCTGCAGCGCCAGTTACATCTTACCCGACTCCCATGCTAACCCACTCAAAGCTGCGGCTGGATTGCGTTCGAGTTCATCATCGTTTACTTCCTCTACCCCGAGACCCAGGGCCGCACTCTCGAGGAGCTTGCCTTCTGTAAGTGGACGCAGTGTTTTCTTTTTCCTGCCAGAGGCGTGGGACGTCGAAATCGTGGGCACTTTACTAACCACTTCCGTTCACAAACACAGTGTTCGAGGGTGACGAGCTCAACGACAAGGCTACTGCGGCTGTCGAGAAGCGCATCCACGGCGATGCCATCCAGCCCACCGTCAGCATCGAGGAGGAGAAGCGTACCAACGTGTAAATCGCTCCTGCGAGGCTTTACTACGGTCAAGACGGGAGACCATAGCTCCCACTCTATATTCATTCGACCGATATGCGGCAGACTGTAGAATAACATGCCCAGTACTAGGGTGTGAGATAGCTTAAGGAATGCAAGCATTATGCAACATCCCTGACCACCTATGCTGCAGACAGTGCTAGTTGCTGTATGAGACACGACGATGAGCAGCCCAACCTGTGTGTGTGTGTGTGTGTGTGCATCACAGTCTCGCGGCGAGACTAGCCTTAGACTGGAAGCTCTGACGGACCTGCCTGGCAGCGACGATTCCTTGCTCGATAGCCCCATCAACGAACCCTCTCCACCCACTTGCCCAGTCAGCGCTGGCCATAAACACCAGCCCATGTGGCTTCTGCAATGCCCCGAGGTACTTGCTCGCAGAGCTGGGTCCCCAACACGCCCATGACCCTTTCGACAGCGGATCGGCCGCCCAGTTGTGTGTCACGTATGCCTGGATGTCAGCCTCGGGCTTGAGGTGCTTCTTGAACTGAGAGCATATCGTCTCTCCGTCCTTATGGTCGCTGAGGTGGCCGCTGTAACCGAACGCGATCGCGTATGTGCCGTCGGGACCTGAGCTTTTTGTGCCAGTATGGTCGCTGAAGGCAAAGCAGTACGGGGTGCTCGCGTCGCCTTGAGCGGACAGGAAAAACGGAGCCTCGGGCTTCGACAACTTCATATGGATCTTTGGGACCTTGCAGATATGGCCCTGGTCAACTGCTTTTTGTCGTGTGGGGTCAAGTGGTGGCTCGAACTGGACGCCACCCAAGGCATTTCTGTGTTCAATTTTGGTCAGCATGAGTAAGTCTTACCTGTTTCGCTCTTGCATTCTTGGTCGTATCCTCATCATACATGACCCCGTTCTCAAGGACTGCAAACAGTGTGGAAAGTCGGCAGCGATGTGTGCCACTTACAAGGGAATGGTGCAGACAGCGCACTTCGCAATGAATTGCCGGCCGCCGCTGACGCTCACGGTGACGCCATTGTCGTCCTGGACAATCCTGTGGACCGTGCTACGCATCGCCAAGTCACCGTGATAATCAGCAAGCATGGCCCGAGCCAGCCGCGTCGTGCCGCCTTCGCCAATTTTGTAAAGCCCAGCAAATTCTCCGATGCGACCGAAGTCGTGCCCAGCAAGCGCGTACCAGCGGAGCGTCTCAGCCCAACCCAGTTCGGTCGCTGGCGTGCCAGAAAATGTGCTCAAGAATGCCTCGAACATGGCCTTGTCCTGCTGGGACCCGGCCTTTAGCTGGTCCAACCTCTGCTGCACGGTGACATGGTCGTACTTGGCCCAGGGCGCGGGTTCTCGCAGGGGATCGAGCGGGTAGGGCATGAGATCGCGACTCGTGAGGCCGTCGAAGGAGAAGAACTCATCAGCCACGGGGCCCATGGCAGCTCCGTGCTCCTTCATTGGCCTCGTGAACGGCTCCCCCGTGATGGGTGTGAAGCGCAGCTCGTCCGCAACGAAGCCTGAAGAGGGCTTAAGATTACGCTCCAGGCCATATCGTACAAGCTCGGCGTAGATGAATGGCTGGATCCTGTTGGGGTGGAGATCATCGCCGTCAGTCAGCAATGCTCGGCCGGGCAGCTCGCAAGCAACACAACTTGCCAGTGGACCCATGTGCCTCCCATTTCAAAACTCTCGCCCAAGGCGGACGCCGTCCACGTTCTCCCGCCGATCCTGTCCCGACCATCGAGCAGAAGCACCTTGAGCGTCCTGTCGGCTGCAATCTCGCGGGCCGCCGTGAGGCCTGCAAATCCTGCTCCGATCACAATGACGTCGTAGCTCTCACTGAGATCCATGCTGTCGTCGACCACGGCATCAGTCTCGAGGCCTGCCTCCGCCCCACGGTCAGCCTCCCACACAAACCCTTCTGTACTACGAGGCATTTTGGTTTCTTCTTGACGTCCGAGGTGGGGTCTCTGCTGTACCGCCGGCTCCAATTCGGATTTTTGGCATGCCGTACCTCACGTGGTGTAAAGTAGTTGGCCATCTCAGACCTCTGGAGCATCCTCTTCCCCCGAACACGGCGGCGTGAAGCATGTCGGAAGGGTGGCCTGGTTCCGCCCATTCCGAGATCAGGCGTGCCCCCGCACTCGGCCCCAACTAGTCTAGCAGCTGGTCAAGGGGGGCCGATAAGCTGTGGAGGCTTATGCCAGCGTGAGTGGGCCAACCGCCGTCCAACGCCGACATCACTCCGGTCCAGTGCCCGGGGGGTCAGCGAGGGATCGCCAGATTCAGGGATGCGTGGCAGCGTGATGATCCAGTCGCCCGGGTGAAGTGCCCTCGCCCCCCCCCCCCCCATGATCGAACAAGAGTGCAGAGACGGCACATGCGGTGCTTCGACAGGGGCCCCGCTCTTCTCGGTTGCTTCGTGCGAAGAATTGCATCCATCGCTCCATTAGGCCTTGGCTCGGCTCAAACGTGTCCCCTGATACCGCAGACTGATGCTGGGGCAGAGGTCAGACATATGTCAAGTCGAAGGCGGCCGCAGACCCAGCGGCTCCTATGCCGCCACGGATCATCCATCATCTATTAGGCGATGTTCTGAGGTTCACGCCTTACATGTTCAATGGTTCATCCTGCTCAACCCCGACATTGAAGAAAAAGGCGTAGTAGGTGCGAGTCCATGGGTGCTCAGAATCTACCTGATTGCGCGCAGAGCTAAGATGTAGACTCCGTGTGTACCGAAACGAGCTTGTACCATGGAGACATTTTTAAGCCGTACGGGCTTCAGACGCTAAAACACAGAGGCGCTGGAAAAACGTATACGATGACTGCATCGAGCTAAATGGTACTCTTCCTGACCACAATTAATAACAAGCCCACCCCGGATCCCCTATGAGCGAGAAAGTACTCGATTTTGTACTTGACACTACCACCCTTCCGCTTTTGCCCATTCATCCATATGCCTGCTTCCGCCTAAGCGGCAACGTCAAGAGCCTTCTGCAGACTTTCATTATCGTGTGGGACAAAGTACGACCTAAACCGCGGAGGCAGGGCGACTAGGCTGGTCGGGTCGGCATTGCCCGTGACTGGATGGCAATCGACGTCATCATACTTCCTGACGTGGAAGGAGTTGAGAAGGCGCATGTAGACCAGGTAGAGCTCGCGGTTCGCAAGAAGCGAACCCGCGCACATGCGATAGCCAACTCCGTATGTGAAGAGCGGCGCCTCGGGCTGCTCGAGCCATCTTTCCGGGCGAAACACTTCGGGATCGGACCAGACCGCGTCGTCTAGGCGCGCACCAAGAGAAACCCAGTTAGTGAAAAGTGCATTTTGGTATTATCTATGCTTCCGAAAGGGGGGGGGGGGTTTCAAGGATAATACTTACCCATGTTGCATGCCCAGGCGTTGAGGAATACCATGGTGCCCTTGGGGATGACAGAGTGGTTGTATGGGAGGTCCTTGACCGAGGCCCTGGGGAGTGCGAGGCGAAGGACAGTGTAGTAGCGCAGCGACTCCTTGACTAGGGCCACTATATAGGCGCACTTTTGGTCGTCGTTTTCGTCACACATGGGTTGCTCCTTCGCGTAGTACTTGCGGATCTCACGGACCGCCTTGTCCTGAATTTCAGGATGCTGGGAAATGAGCGCGACGAACCACGCCACCTGGGTCGTCACCGTGTCGAGGCCACCTGAAAGCATGGTCAGGCTGATCGAGGTAAGCTCGTCCTTGGTCAGCTTCGTCTCCTTGTTGTCCAGGATCACGTTTGCCTGGATGCAGGGCTGGTATGTGCCGTTGGCAATCCGCTCGTCGAGGCCATTGTTTAGGTCGGTCAAGTACCTATCGCGGCGGTTGCGCATCTCGCGAGCCTTGGCGGAGTGGCCGTTGATGGGGTTCAGCCGAAGAATCGGGATGTAGTCTTGAAGATTGCCGGTGGTTGAGCGGAACTTGCTTATCTCCTCCTCGACATGCGTAATTTCTGCGAAGAGGTCGTCCTTCTGGGACTTGAGCCGTGTACCCCAGTTCAGGGTAAGAGCGAGCGAAAGGGATAGCCTCTGGATCATGGGCATGGGATCAACCGGCGTCCTGCCAGCATCGCCAAAGGTGTAGAGCTCCTTGATAAAATCACGTGTCTCGACCTCGAGGTGGGGTACGTAAGTAGCCACCGAGGGTCGGTTGAGCGCCGAGGCAGCGCCCTTGCGACGTCGCTTGAGGGAGTCGCTGTACGGGGAGGTGCCGATGGTGGTGCCGGCCGTGTCTGACAGGACTTTGTGGAAGGTGTATAGCTCTGGCCGGGAGCTGAGGACCTGGGCATTGGAGCCAAAGATATCGCGAGCAGCGGCGGCCGAGTTGATGACGACGACGGGGATGTTGCCGAGCATGATCTGGTAGACGGGGCCATACTCCTTGGCCCACTGGCGGTACTTGTCGGCGGCGTTGACACGAATATCCCAGATGTTGCCAATGAGCGGCAGACCACCCGGGCCCTTCATATGGGGGATGCGCGCTCGCAAGCGCACGAGCTCGTTGAGAAGCACGTAGAGAAGCGGCAGTGAGACGACGCCGGCGAGCAGTCCCTGCACAGGATCGAGCAAAAGCCGGTCGACGAGGGCGCTGAGCGCGTGGGAGATGGCCATGGCTGATTTGGTTGGGGTTAGTTGCAGTTCGTGCTGGCTTGGGGCCTGATCCGATCTGGCGTGATATGTCCTTGGTCTCGGGGTGAGCCTGAACTGGCCTGACTCGTATGCTATTGAGTTCTGTCCAGAAGCCACTGGTCTGCTCCCCCATGCTCATCTCGTGCTGGTGCAGTTTCTACTTGTACTTGGAGGGGAAGCACCTGACTGCATTACTCCACTGCCCACGCATGTACTGGCTTGCCACTGGCCTGCCAGAGCACCAGGCGGCGAGAGGGACAGCTCGGTCCCCAGGCTGCGGAATGCTCGGAATCGTGCCATTGGCGCTTTCCCTCACGACGGACAAATGCCGGCGCGGGGTGAAGGTTGGGGAATGTGGAGCTTCGGCTTGGGGAGCTTCTGGGGTTGCGGGGGACATGGGCACGGACCGTGAAGAGGGTGCCGCAGTAAGTATCTCGGCCCCTCGGTGGGCTCTCGCGTGCCACGGTGGTCTACAGGGGAGGGTGCCATGACTAGCGCAGCCCGCCAGTGGGTCTTATCTCTGTGAAGCGCAGGGCAGACTCATCTCAATATCAAGGTCGTCCTTTCCGGGCCCACACGGCAGAGCCCTGGGCGGCTCCTCCTTCCCTGTCCTGGCCTCACGCTCCAGGTTTGCTCCTGCGTCGCGGGATAGCAACTGCGCCCCTCTGTGCCTCCGCTCCGCACCGCCATGGCCGGCTCCGTCTTGCCACCCGGGCCCGGCACCCGGACCGGCTCGACTACTCCGCCCGCCGGTGGCCCCCGACCCCGGGCCAAGCGCCGCAAGTACACGGCTGTTGCCTGGTGCGTGTCCGGCTCCGTCATCTGCTATGCACTCTTACTAACCCTCGGGACAGTAATGAGTGCCGCAGGCGCAAGCTCAAGTGCTTGCCGGGCGGCAGCGAGGGCTGTTGTCAGCGCTGTGCTGCTCGCGGCCGCACCGACTGTGGCTACCATGCCGGCCCCCCTGCGGCCGATCATGACGAGGACTCCTCCGCTCGTGCCAGCTCTCACCGCCGGAGCAGTGCGGCCTCGTTCACGGCTTTGACCGAAGATGTCAAGCTGCTCCGCGACACCTTGGCCGGCTGGATCGCGTCGACGAGAGTGTCTGGTGACAGCCCTGCTCCTGCGCCTGCTGCTGCCTCTGACCTGATTGCTGCGTCAAGCCCTACGCCGGTGGCTCCAGGCCCGAACCCGGCATCGGTGTCTCTTCCACCGCTTCGATCTTGCCGAGCCAGCGTCTCCGGCCCAGCCGCCGGCTCGGTGTCCGCAGCCTCCCCCAGAAACCTCGAGGAAGACTTGATGGGCCCGCCAGACCTGGCTAGCCGCGTCGGTCGCGAGGAGCCTCGCTTCATCGGCCCGACTCGGTCAGCATACAGCTTCCAGGCAGGAGGTCAGGCGCTCTCCCGCCTGGGCATCCCCGCTCTTGACACCGCTCCGGTCAGCGGGCAGCAGACCCCTTCGGCCACGCCCCCTCAGCAGCCCGACGCCGCCCCGGACGAACTCTTCTGGACCCGTTGTGACCGAGCCGAGTTTGAGCGGCATATTGCCGTCTTTCAAGAGGAGGTCGAGTCAGTATACCCCTGTGTCGAGTCCGAAGAGCTCATCCGCAAGGCTGGCGACATTCTCGAGTTCGCGCGAGGTGCGGATGACGCTGGCTACGCAGCCGCAGACCCAAGCAGCCGCCACCATGTCTCCACCAAGGAAGTCCACCTGGCCACGCTGGCTGTGGCGACGGCAATCGTCCTGGAAGGTCATGGAAAGACCACGACCAGCAGCAGTTTGGTGAAACCAGTGGAGCGGTCCGTGCTCAACATCCTCGAACCCAGCCGTGAGTTGAAGGATCTGCAGTTGCTCAGTCTCCTGGTGAGTTACAAGTCCTGCCAGTACCTCCTCCCATACTGCAGCAATGCGCACCGACTAACATGGGTATGGTATTTTCACTCGGCCGGTAGAGCATCTACTACTTCCACATTGATGAAGACCTACTCGCTTGGCGGACGATTGGACTCGCCGCACGGGAAGCACTGGTGATGGGTTTACATCGCAAGACCACGCTGGAAGATATGTTCCGTGGCCCCCAGGAACGAAGAATGGCCATACGAGTGTTTTGGACCATATATGCCCTCGACCGCCGCTGGAGCTTTGGCACAGGCCTCTCCTTCGCGCTGGTCGATAGTGACATTGACCCCGATCTTCCAGAACCTGTAAGCAAGCCAGAGCTGTCAAACCCCTCCACCCGATCAGCACATATTCCTCACAAGATTCCTAATAAGATCTGGCGCCTAGGACCAGAACGACGCATATTTGAAGTGCATGGTGGGCTACGGACGGCTAAGCTCGACGCTGTGGACCGCACTGCTCCCGACGCTAGCTCAGCACAACAACAAGGGCGACTGGACCGAGGAGGCAACGCACCAGCTCGACCTGCGTGCGCAGGAGTGGCTCGAGTCGATCCCCCACAATCTCCAACTGCGGCATCCTCGGCTCGGCCTGGCCGCGCTGGCGCAGCCACCCGTCCTCCAGCGGCTCAGGGCCCTGTTGTACCTCCGCGGCAACCACATCCGCATTCTCATCTACCGCTACTTCCTCCTCAGCCCGAGCCGCATCCGGTCGTCCTACCGGAGTGCCTGGCTGGCCGTCGAGATCGCGCAGGACAGCCTCGTTGTGCTCCTCCACCTCAACGAGTCCACGTCCATCTACCGCCGCCAGCAGGCCGCCTTCAACTACTTCCTCGTCAGCGCTCTGGCCGTGCTCTTCCTCGCCGTCTGCAACGACCCAGAGACATTCGCTGCGCCCTGCAAGAAGTCTCTACTCTCAGCCATCGGCCTGCTGCGCGGCCTGTCCAAATTCAGCTACGGCAGCCGGCGACTGTGGCGCGGCGTGCGAGGAATCGTTCCTATTCTGCGCCGGCTCGAGGAGGCGCGCAGAGCCGGGGTCACCAATGCGGGGGCCGGCGAGCAGCAAGAGCACGCAGATGTACCGCAGCAGCAGCCGCAGCCGCAGCCGGTCCGGTCATCGGGAGCGCAGCAGAACTCTGCACCCCTTGACAAGACGCCTGACATCACTAGGCAAGCTGCCACACCTGCCGCCAGTCACCAGGCTGATATCGTCACGGGTGCGGTCCATGGTGACTGCGATCCTGCAACTGGAAGTGGAAGCAGCGCTCTGCCTTTTGGGGCGACCGGCACGGAGGGCACAACGGATATGGACGCAACGGCGGCAGGAGGGGCAGATGGATTAACCTACACGACCACACCCGACTTCAGCGTGATGGGCAACGAGCTCATTGATCTCTTTGAACTGTTTGAGCATGGTCCGGTTTTCCCTTTGCACCAGCAGCAGCAGCAGCAGCAACAAGGGGGAGATGCCTTCATGGGCCAGCCGCAGATGGACGTGATGAACTGGCTAAGCAGCGACACGAGCGAGTCACAAGAATATGTGTCAGCAGAGCAAGGGGCTATCTCGACGCAGTTTAATTGGCTCATATGAACTCAAAAACTGCGTGTCACAATATAATATTCCACACTGATACCCCTTGAGTGGCGCTTGCTGAATTCATCCGAGGTTCATTCTGCATATGGGTTCACGTCTACCACCACTCTATACTGGCTCTTCAGGTTTCACCTGGAAGGGCAGGCAGTACACCAATATGTCAATGCCAGTGACCCGGATGCACAGCACCGACTAAATCTCGTTCTCAAAAAAGACCATCATGGCACCATGGTGGACCGTCTTGGCGAATGCTTTCAGGTTCTGGTGTGCCGCACACTCGTTGTCGTAGTAGACCATGTCCGCCTCCGACTCGAACACGGATACGACGGCGACCGTGTAACCCTGTGCCCGCTGGTCGTTCTTGGCCTTGCCTGCGGTCACTGACCGGATGTAGGGCTTGCCGTCCTGTGATTATGAGCAGCTTCATGTCAGCAACAACAACATCAACAACAATAACACCGCTTGTCTCGGGCCGTCCGTGTGAGATAGACCTGTCTCTGGTGGCCGTCAAGCACCTCAAGTTCCTACGCACCTTGACCGCCCGGCTAGGCATTTCGCGGTAGATTGATAGCAGCTTCTCCTGATCCTCATCTTGAGGGATCTTGAAGAGGGTGAGCCTGTTGATTGCGCCTCCTGTCATTTTCAGCGGATGTGAGGCTCTTGACAGCAACACACCAGGTCACGGGTTGTGACTGTTGGTTTTGGGACGACTGTTGACAGTGGAATGAACGATCAGAATGGAAGGCGGTGAGTAAGCGCTGTTCTGATCAAGAGCTGGCACCTTTCGAGTCTTGCAAGAAAGCTAGAAGGGCAAGCAGGGCAGAGGGAGTGAGCGTGGCAGGTCTATGCAGAGCGATGCGATGAATTCCAATGCGAGGCGATTTCAAGTGACACACGACTAATGCGTGGTGCCACTTGGATGGTGCCGGATGGATAGGCCAATGAGGATCAAGTGAGGCTTCCATTGTTGGAAAGCACCGGAAAGAGCTCAGTCCCGAGCTCGAGAACGGAAGGCCGGTCCTCGTGCAGGCTGAAGGTGACGGCCGACCCTACAGTAAGATATTTCCTTTCCTGTTCCACCCGGCCGTCGGGCGTTCCGCGTTGGCCTTGCCCAAGCCAGCGACGCCGCCAGCTGCAGATGCGGCCTGGAGCGAATTCCGAGAGTCGCTGGGACCGCCCGCACTCGCATGTGCTGCTCACTGCGGGGAAGTTGGGGAAATCCTTGCGGGGCCCCCTTTCCCCGCACTTTCTCGCGTCTCGGAATGCAGTGGAAGAAGCAAAGCGCGACTTGCCGAGGATATGTCCTCGCCGCGGCCGTAGATTTCCCCGGACACGCGCACGGTCGAGCTTGGGGCCGAGCCAGGAGTGTCGCTGCATGATGTCCATTACATCACAGGGTTGCGGCTGATTCAATTGCGAGTTCGTAGCCAGTGCGTGACCCCCTCCAGTGTAGGTTTCGCACAGCTAGCTTGGCTGTTCCCATGCCTTATGTTTACTAGGCCTCGAACTGGCGGCGCGAATGCCATTCCAAGATTGGCCAGCCTTTGAATGGAAAATACTCTCTGCGGCCATAGTTTTGTGTGTCTTTTGCCCTAAGCAAGCAGCACCCAAGCTGGCACAAATCATTCACTGTCACAACATATCTTGCTTGGTCGTGCGCATCATCTCACACAGAGCTTGTTTAACTACAACGAAGCCTCCAAACCAACGAGTAACATCCGTTCCCGTGCATCGCTGCTTTTCTCATGCTCAAAACCAAGGGACCCAGACTTTACTTTGGCGGCTGGAAGTGGCTCTTGAGCTCCATCCAGCTCTCGTCATTGTAGTTTGGCTGCAGCTTCTGACAAGTCTCCAGACCCCACTCCGTGACTCCCAACATGAGACTGCTCTCAAACATGAACGCTAAGCTGCCGGTGCCCACCTTCTGCGGCTCGAGCCTGGCGTTTGATGCCTTCTCAAAGGTACTCGCGTCAGGCCCGTGCGCCGACATGATGTTGTGCAGGCTGGCCCCGGCAGCCTGGAAGCCGCTGCCTGACTTTGCGTCGTACTCGCCGCAGACCAGGCCCATGAACTCGGACATTGTGTTGCGGTGGTACCATGGGGGCCTAAACGTGTCTTCCTGAACGAGCCAGCGGGGCGGGAAGATTACGAAGTCGGCAATTGCCGTGCCTGGTCGCGCCGAGGGGCCTGTCAGGACCGTGTAGATGGACGGGTCGGGGTGGTCAAAAGATGTGCTGCCAATCACAGAGAACCGGCCCAGATCATACTTGTATGGGTAGTCTATCACGTAAACATTGTTAGCACTCTGCACTTGAAGAAACCTTGCGTCGAGTCAATCTGCAGAGCTTGAGACATACAGCTACAATGCAAGTGTCAGCATGGATTCATCTCAAAATGGACTGTGATTGTGGCGGCAGAGCGTCCTAATGGCAAGCGCCACATTTACTCACTTTCCGTGCCACCCGACCACATCAAACGGCGTGTGGTTCTGCTTCGCAGTGAACAAGTCTTCGTTGAATTTGTTGATAATGGTCCAGGGCTCGGAATCCTGGTCGAATCGCGCAACAGGGACCTGGAAATCCCGCGGGTTGGCGAGGCAGTTGGAGCCGATCGGGCCCAGCTCGGGCAGAACAAAGTGCCCTTCAAATAACTCTAGTATGTATCCACGGACGGGTCCGTCAGGCAGGTCGACTCTATATTTGACCCCGCGGGGGATCACAAGTATCTCCAGAGGCCGCACAAGGATATTTCCAAACTCGGTTGTGACGTCCATGACACCGTGCTGGGCCACGATAAGCATCTCGCCGTCGGACGAGTACATGGCTGTTCGGGCTTCCATGCTGCACCCAGCCGCGTACATGTAGATGCCTAGGCCCGTCTTCATGGCGGGGTCTCCCGCACCAGAGAGCTTCTTGAGTCCATGGACCCAGTCGACGCTCGTGTCAATATCGAAAGGGTCCCATCGCAGTTGGTTTGGGATCTGCTTTAATTTGCGACTGAGCGTATGGTCATCGATAGGCACGAATTGGGAGTGCGCAGCTGATGGCAGGATGCGGTAGAGCCAGGCCTGCTGGTTTTCGTGTCGTGGCGCAGTGAAAGCGGTACCGGAGAGCTTCTCTGCATATAGCCCATAGGGGGGCTTCTGGGGCGAGTTGGCCCCGACTGGAAGCGCCCCTTTGATCGCTTCTGACCTGCCCGATGAGATCACGCGGGTCAGTATGTGCTATTCTCTGCCCTCTCTCTCCCCAACTTGAGCGTTGAACCTCCACAAATTTCACCTACTCGTGGAAAGAGTTGAAGCCAGAGATGTACTCGTACTTCTCTGCAAAGGAGAAATTGGTAACAGGCATGATCGGTCGGCCTGAGATGTAACAAAGTTTGATGTTGTCTGAACTGCGCACAGGAAAGCTTAGCTGCTAAGCTAAGTTCGGATTCCTGCTGGTACGTGCGTGTGGATTCGGCATGTTGTGGCCTCAGTGGGCCGTGCGACCTGGATCATAATTATATGTGGCACGTCTTTGGCTACCTTCACCAGTCCTATCCTACGAGCAGTGCCCCCCGCCCTGAGAGTATGTCCCAGCGCTGTGTGGCAAGGGTGGAATCTGGGGTTTCCCCAGACGTGGACTAGAGCGCGGTTCCAAGGTGCGGGCCGTTGCCCTCGGAATACTCGGAACGTTTCCAGAGCTTGCGATGCTGGCTTTTCCCCTCGCCAGTGGTGCGGGGAAGACACGGCCTGGCCACGTTTACGCGGCGTGCTTGGCTGGCAGCAGGCATATAATATGTAGTTGTACAGCGGTACGGCGGCATTGAGGGTGAGAGGGAGATGGCATAGACGACACGCCCACACATATCGTCCCTTGATCAATTCGAAGCTTCGTCCACTTACCAGTTTAGGCTCGCTGCACAAACTCCGCAATCTGTGCATGTTCACTGTCGCCCGTACGCCGAGCCGCCTCCTTCATACCGCCCTTTCAGTCAAGATGGACTCGTGGCTGCCAATCTCGGCCAAGTCGCACTTTTCTTTGGCAAACATTCCTTTTGGCATCATCTCAACAAGTGCGGCTTCTCAGCCCCGAGTTGCCGTTGCCATCGGAGACTATGCCCTCGACCTCGACTGCTTGGCCCGCCACCAAGGCTTCTCGCAGTGCACGGCTCTGGAGCAAGCCCATCTGGACATCTTCTCCGATGCATCATTGAATCGCTTCGCCTCCCTCGGCCGGGCGCTGCATCGAGACGTCCGCCAATATATCCAGAGCCTCCTCAGGGTCGACACGCCGTTTCCCGCGCTTCTCAGAGATAACTCGGAGCTGCGCAACAAAGCTCTGATCCTGAGCCAGCAGATCACCAACCATCTCCCCATGACGATTGGCGACTACACCGACTTCTTTGCCGGGCGGAACCATGCGCAGACAGTCGGCGCCCTTTTCCGCGGCCCGGACAATGCTCTCAATCCCAACTATAACCACCTTCCCGTGGCGTATCATGGTCGCGCTAGCTCCGTGGTTGTCTCGGGCACGCCGCTGCACCGTCCCAAGGGTCAGGTGATGCCACCCGGCGCTCCCGCACCCGTCTTCAAGCCGTGCAGCAGGCTGGACATTGAGCTCGAGCTCGGCATGTTCATTGCGCGGCCAAATGAGCTTGGCCAACCGATAGCGGTGGACGATGCTGACGACTACATATTTGGCTACGTCCTCATGAACGACTGGAGTGCTCGCGATATCCAGGCGTGGGAGTATGTCCCGCTGGGGCCGTTCAACGCCAAGAACTTTGGCACAACCATCAGTCCTTGGGTCGTGTTAGCCGATGCTACGGAGCCTTTCAAGACGACCGGCCTGCCCAATGATACAAATCTACAGCAGTACCTCAAGGAGAGCAACAAGGAGAACATTGTGGACTTCAACCTCGAGGTTGCCCTTTGCAGTGAGTTTACACCCTGTCATCCATGCCCTTTGCCGCTATCAGAAGTCTTATTTTATGGATCCTGGAGGAGCACTGAAAGCTAACCTTGGTCGCTTGCTCACCGAAACAGCCGAGGATGGCGACTCGACCGTCATCACACGTACGTCGTCGAAGAACTTGCTATGGTCGTGGCCCCAGATGATCGCCCACCACACAATATCTGGTTGTAATCTGCGGACCGGAGATCTCTTGGGGTCCGGTACCATATCCGGACTGGAAGAGCGAACGCAGGGCAGCCTTCTCGAGCAGACGCGCGGGGGCAAGTCCCCAATCAAGTTGCACGGGGGGCATGAACGCATCTTTGTCAACGACAATGACACTATCGTCATGACAGGTTACGCGGGCACCACCAAGAGCGGCCTAGTTGGCTTTGGCGAGTGCCGTGGAAAGATTCTGCCTTGTGTATAAAGTAAACACATAGATATCCCACGACTTCTCGGATAGAATCAGATCTGACTTCATACATGGCAAGAATAGAGCGAAGTCTCATCAGCATTGCTAGGACAGGACGGCGGCAGGCCTCCTATGATTATGAAGAGTGTTACTCGGACTTACCGAAGCCCCTTGTTAGATCTGGCGCCAACATCGCGGCGTATTTGGCCAGAAATTGGCTGCTGGTCGTGGCACGGGTAACAGATTCACCAATATCATGGATTCGGCATTGAGAAAGTGGATCGGTGTAAACCTGGCCTACCGGTGTCACAGCTGCGCATAGATCTACATGAAAAGTCCGTCCCGCACTGTTCACCCTAGCGCACTTGGAAGTTAGATAATGGACTGGTAAGCAGATCTCGGGCGAGGTTGATGGTAGTGGAGGTACCTGGGCCCAGTTGCGCATGCCACGGTTATCATGCCCAAAAGCGGGAAAACGGTTGAAGCTAAAGGCACATGGAGATAAACGAGTTGGGGTCGGACAAGTTCCGTCCTGGTGGCCCAATACCGAGAAACCCCCTGTCGCTGGCAGCTCGGAATGGGCGCGGAAATGCCGAGCGACTCCCAAAAAGTGTGGGGCCTGGCCAACCCCAACTACAACGACAAACTGTGACTGACGACGGACTACAATGAGAAAATGTTCCGCGAATCTATCTCATATTCTGAAGGTTATTTTAGTGGGCATGAAACGAATACATAGAAGAGCTTGCACAAATCCCGTCTCTAGCTCGGAGCTCCTTCCTGCAAGGAGAGCTGATCAAAGTCCATGCACCAGATGGGCTTACAACTCGCTTCGTCAAACCTCCTGATTAATTCCCTGCTTTACAGGGCCCTGTAGCTTTTGCGCGGTCATCCAAATTATAGCACAAAAAGGGCAAGTGCATATGCGACAAGTGACAACTGCCAATATGTGCGCTGCACAGGCGGCTGACGTGATCGTGGGATCTCGCAACTCGAGTTCTCAAAGCGCAATGTGGTAGCATTCCAATGTGCAAAGTACTCTCATTGCAAAGTTTATTCTACAGGCATACAGGGCAAAGAGTCTCGGAAAAGCACATTGCTATTTGACATGTCGAACTACCTTGGCACGAGCGCCACAGAACGAAACTCGCCATCTCAATCGGGAAACCTCGCGCCAGCCTGTCCAGCCCAAGGGCGCAGCCTCTCGGCCAATGCAGCCCTGGCTTTTGGAGCCCCCATGTTCTACCGCAGGGGTTTCGCGAGCTCCGCAGCCATATCGGCGTGATTGATGATGGTGGCCTGAGAGCCAAAGACTGTGCGGACCATTGTCTTTGGCGCAGGGTCCCAGCAGAAGAAGCGGCCTGTCGACCGCAGTTCCTTCAGATCCACCACGACAATAGACTCGACAGGCATGATGGTCTCTGTCCAGAAGAGCAGGTATAACTGGTCAGAGAGCTTGAACATCTTGCACTGGTCGGCGTCAGCCACGTCTTTTTCTGTTCCCGAGAGGCAGTGCCACATGAAGGTGCCGGGAGAAACATAAAAATGCTGGTAGGCGTCGCGTGGGGTGTACCGGTACAGCACATGCTTGCCAATGAGCTCGTCCGTCACATCAAAGGCCTCGACGGGCTGGTCGCCACACTTGGTCGCGTCCAGAAATACGGTGTAAGTGCGGCGCTCCCCATCCCTGTCGGCAAAGCCAGATACCGAGATCTTGAGCTGCCCAGAGACGGTATTGAGGATGAGAGTGACCTCCTGCTCGTGCTCGGCCTTGTAGAACTCGATCATGAAAATGCCTGGGCGGACCTCAAATGCCTGGTAGTCTACTTGGGCAGAGGAGCCGACCTCTTCCCCCTCGAGCATGGTCCACTTGAGCTTTGCGGCGTCAAACTCGTGCTTGATACGCCAGCCGTTGCTAAAGGTGTGCTCAACTGTCTTGCCCGCCAGCGCGCTGGAAGCGGGCATGAGATGCTCGTGGAAGCCGTCCGCCATTTCAGTGAGGGTCGGCCACTGCTCCTGCGGCCTGTAGCCAGTGTCGTTATCCGATGACTGGACCATTGTATTTTGGATCGCTAGAAGGGGGCTGCCGTGGTAATTGTTGGACGCGAGGAGGCGCGACAGGGAGAGGATTAATGACGGAGGAGCAGGAGACTCTCGTGCTGGAGAAGAGGCAACGAAGACACCCCAGGTGGTATAAACGAAATAAACCTTGAGCTGAATGGCAAGTACCATTGATATTTCACGACGAGCCGGCTGCGGACACGTTGGGGATGGCTGCACTGCCATACGGCCAGATCGGGGATTCTCCGCACTCGCCGTCGTGCCAAAGTGGGGTGGGTTGGAGTTGGCTGACTTGTCTCGGAACGCGGATCGTTCCGCCTACGTGTCTTGGGGTCCTGTTTTCAGGCAGCTTAGCATGGCGCTCCACCCGCTTGAGTCCTCCAGGTGGGAACAGGAGGCATGTATCAGGGGGGCGCGACTGCTTCGGGTTCTCGGCGATTCAGCAGTTGGCGTTATCTCGCTTATCTCCCGTTGTTCTTCCAGCCGTGGGCATGGTGGAGCAAGAGGCGTCGTCGGGATAAGAGATGCTCAAGGCCAAGACCCAGGTGGAGTTCCGGGGTCGATAGCTGATTCCGGGGTAGTGGCTGGCCTATCATGTCTGGCCGGCATTGGCTCAAGGTTCAGCACCAGCCCAGTGGTTCCGCCTGGCCCCCCTGACGCCGTTACCACGACGTCCGCGTCCTAGCATATCTGCTGTCGCGATTGGCGTGGCTGGCCTGACCGACTTCTCGCCTGAGCAAAGCCCCTGCTTCCCTCCGAGAAGATAAAGGAGCCGGTGAGCTGCTGTCTCATCGCTCCTTTGACATCAGCATTGTCAACCTCTTTTGCAACAATCCAAGTCCTTGGTCTGTGTTGGTTCTCTACCTTGTTAGCTCTCTACCCTGCAGCATCTCGTGATGGAGGACGACGTCAAATACAACGACATGAAGAAGGATGACCTGGCCACTCTGGAGGCGGCCGTGTCCCGCCCGATCGCCGGGGTGAGCGACGAGATCAGACTTGCCCAGCTTGGCCATAAACAGGAGCTCAACCGTGGCTTCTCTGTCTTGGCCCTCGGCTCACTCGTATTATGTCTCATGGCCACCTGGGAAGCTCTGTCTACCGTCATCTCTTCGGCGCTGGTAAGCGGTGGACCTCCTTGTCTCTTCTACAACTAGTAAGTGGTGATCAACATCTCGAGACCTAAACTCGCGGGCAGATTCGTGCTAATCAGACTCATCTGTCCGCTGCAGCATCCTCGCATTCATTGGCACCATGGCGATTGTCTTGTCTCTGTCGGAGATTTGCTCGATCTATCCGACTGCCGGCGGTCAATATCACTGGGTCGCTGTTCTTGCCCCTCCAGAGCGGCGAGCAGCCGTCTCTTGGGCTGTCGGTTGGATCAGTGTCAGTGGGCAGATTGTCCTTACAGCTTCAGCTGCTTTCGCCGCTGGCCTTCAGTTCCAATCGCTCATTGCGATCTCGGATGAGACATACGACCGCCCCCGCTGGCAGGGCATGCTCTTTTACTGGGCAGTCGTCGTCTATGCCACCGTTGTCAACATCTTTGGTGTCAAACTCTTGCCAAACGTCAATCTAGTCGCTGGTGAGCCATGCCATGTGCCGACTGTAGCTGACTACTTTCACTGTTACTGACCCGTTCTTCGTTCCAGGCGTGCTGCACATTGCTGGCCTTGCCGCCATCATGGTTACGCTTGGTGTCATGAGTGAGAAAAACACGCCGGATTTCGTGTTTACAGAAGTCGTTAACAGCAGCGGCTGGGCCAACGACGGCATTTCTTGGCTCATTGGCCTCCAGAGCGCCGTCTTTCCCATGCTCGGGTAAGTCATCTTCGCTTGGACCCGCAGCACCTATGTCTCATCTGGTGTTAATCAAGGCTTTCGCGTTACCAATAGTTACGATGCAGCATGCCATCTCGCCGAAGAGCTACCCAACGCCAGCCGAAACGTCCCTATTGCTATGCTTGGAGGCACTGCAGTCAATGGCGTGCTTGGCTTCGCCTACGCGATCCTCCTTCTCTTCTCGACGAGCCCTCTCGATGCTTTGCTCAGCACTCCGACAGGCTTCCCCTTCATGCAGATCTTCCTTGATGTTACTGGGTCCAAAGCTGGTTCCATCGTCATGTCCTTGATTCCGTGCATTCTCGCTACAGTTGGTGGGATCGCCGGACTGGCCTCGGCATCGCGGACTCTGTGGGCCTTTGCCCGAGATGAAGGTCTACCTTTCGCGTCATACTTCAGCCACGTCCAGCCCAAAGTCCAGGTCCCGGTCCGAGCTGTGGTGGTCGTCTCCGTACTTCAGCTTCTGCTCGGCCTCTTGTACTTGGGCAACGTTACCGCCTTTAATGCGGTCCTCTCACTGTCGATCATCTGCTCCTACCTGTCGCACATTATGCCGATCTATTACATGGTCGTTCGTGGGAGGCCAACGATGGAACGCAGCAGATATGGCGCCTTTGTCTTGTCCAAGTTCATGGGCAATGCTATCAACATCGTTGCCATTATGTGGATCATCCTCGTGGTTGTGTTCAGCTTTTTCCCACTCACCATGCCTGTCACGCCCGACAACATGAATTACTCCTTGGTGGTGCTTGTTGGGTGGCTCATCTTTGGACTGGGGTACTATTACCTCGGGGGTGGAAACCGGAAGTATCAGGTGCCTTACCACGATCTGGCTGTAGAGGACCATGAGTGAGGAGAAACAGGACTACGATTAGTAGGTGTAGGGCCGGGGTCATGACAGGAATTTATCTCGTTTACTTTTATCTATGAACTTGCTACTTGCTTTTACCGAACTCACACAAGAACCCATGTTCCCGATGATTGATCTTTTGCCCTACTGTCATCGCATCAAGGGCCACAGCCGTCAGCATCTTTTCCGCAGGTGAACAGTCCACTCGGGACGGATATGGGTTGCAGCCTACACGATATCTTCTTGGCTGGTGTTCGTGCAGACCGACAGGGACGATGGCGCTAATTCTCCCCAAAATATGTCGTATTTGTTTCTTTCGCGTGGGGCTGGAAATATAAGGTCATTATGATGTCGGCTAACCTGAACTTGGTGGCGCTTTCGGTACTTAACCGAAGACCTTCTGTGGTGAGCTAATGCCATCGCTCCTTCGTTCCTCCCAAAATGCTGTCCGTACTTCTCATCGACTGTAAACAATCCACCATCGGGAACTTTGCCCTCTTAAAGCAGGGCTCCCTGCAAAACCAGGTGCTCCACTGGCAGGAACAACTGTTGCTTTCCGTCTCTCCGCTCAGCCATGATGCGAATCTCCTCGGGTGTCTTCCATACCCAACCTTCACATTTCTGCGGCTCCAAAGTCTGAGAGAGGTATTAGTCAGCCTTCCATGGCAACAGACCATGTGCCAGTTCCGGGGAAAGGGCGGAGTTCTGGTGTAGGGAAGCTGCGCCTACCTCTGGCTGTTGCCCGTTATCTTGTCTAGAGCATTCTGTGAAAACAGTCACATAATGCTTATCCAGCTCGTTGAACACGTCGTTGGTGACTCCGACGACCTTGGTAGCGAGAACGTGCAAGCCTGTCTCTTCCAGAGTCTCTCGCTGCACGCACTCAAAAAACCCCTCACCCTGCTCGAGATGCCCGCCAGGAAATCCCCAGTGTCCTAGAGTTGGCAACAGTGTCAGGCTGCTCCCACAAGTGCAAGAATGTCGCACTGAAATGGCAATCCTGCGAAAATTGGCAAGCTCACCTCTTCCCAACTTGCTCAGGCGGCGCCCCATAAGGAGCCTGCCCTGCTCGTCGCTTATAATGGCAAAAATTCCCACGCGGGGATGCTGGCCGTTGCATGCCATCACTCGGTCGGAGAAAGATGCGTGATTGGCTAGAAATACTGGGAGAACACGGACTTTGAGGGTTATCAGCGCTCGACAAGATGGTGCTCATGTGATCTGGCGCCTAATGAGAAGATATCAGACGCTGCGGTGAGGGGCAAGTTGTCTTGATATGTAGCAGTGCATTGCGGCGGGTGAAATAGAGTTCAAATCCCTGACTTATCAGAGCAGCGTTGCATACAAAGGATCATTACTCCGCTGCCTGGGTTGTTGACTCGGAAGGACATGCTGATGCTATTGGCGAAGCTGGATGAGGTCCCACCCACACTGCGCGGCTTGGAAGAGGAGCTTGCATGATTTGAACAGCCGATTGTGCAGTTGTGTTGGCAATCCGGATCCTGGCTTGGAGGCAACGAAAAGAAAGCCCCCGCAGACGAATGAGACCGGTCTGTGTACAGGGGTTCCTACACCCTGGCTGCACATTTCCACGTACCGTATGCCCAATCAGTGACCATCCTGGAGTTGGTGCTCTGAGTGGCCATGCCACAGTCTGTTCTTCAAGGACTATATATCTCGATCAATTTGTCTTGAACCTTAAAACTCATCTTTTTAGCAATATTAAATCAACAGAAAAAGCAGTTCCGCTGAGGCTGCATCGGAAACCTTGCCATGGGGTCTGTTTTGAGCTTTCAGAAGTCGGTGCAGAAGAGCCGGTGCCCACAAGAACCTTCGTTGCGGTAAGTCCTTTCACACCCAAAGGATCCGCACTGGACACTTATCTATCTTTTTATGGTTTGTAGAGAACCGGGGAAGAAAGAATGGCCTAGGAATAGTGCCACTATTGACAATCATACCATGGGCCGCTCCTTACCTCGATATCTAGAGATCAAAGTCCATCAAGAAGTACTTCGACGAGCTTATGATGACATTGTGGTCAGAGGTCGTTATACGAGATACGCAACAGAATCCATCGCCTTTGACGGTGAAAAGAGAGATAAACCATTCAACTGGGAGCGGCCAAGTGCCCATGTGGAGAACAACACGCTCTTTATAGATTGCTTCCCTGGCTATGACCACATCGAGCACTACGCCGAGATCATCTCGTGTTACCTCAGCATCAAAGAGCGCTCGGCCAGTGAGCAACGCCTGACCCCCTCGTCGCGGGTCTCATTCATACCTGCGTCATGCTCGGACACCAAGACCGCTCTACAGGCAACGAACCTCGGCGACCTTCCCGGTACAGGGCTAGACACTGTCGTGCTGGGTCTCGTGTGGCACTTGCCACGACTCACTGGCGATTCGGAATGGCAAGGAGCCGGTCCATGGCAATGGCTGACTCGAACATTCGGGAAGCGTCGAGTTGCTTTCCTCGGCTTTCGCCCAGCCTTCTGGGGCGATATTTCAGGTGAATTGGTGCACTGGTTAGCTTCCAAGTTCCATGTCAAGGAGGTGATCTATCTTGGGAAACTTGGTGCGCTCAAACCCCACGTCGCACCAAATAAGCGGCTCGCCACTGGGAATCGGTCCCTTGTCAACGGCCGATGGGTAGAATGGGTGGGCGGGATGGACTCGTCTATCGACCGATATGGCAGAGGAACAGTGATCTCTGGCACACACGTCACTCTCGGCAGTGTCCTGCACGAAACCAAGGACTGGCACGCCAAGCTAGTCGATACTGTCGATTTCGTGGACCCTGAAATAGGGATGATGGGCCAAGCGGCTGTACGGTCTGGTGTCAAATACAACTACCTGCATATGGTTACGGACAACCTTGGCAAGAAGTATGATGAGGACCTGTCCAACGAGAGGAAAGAGAGTGTGCTCAGACAGCGTGCAACTCTGCACGAGATAGTCCAGGATGTCATAGAGGATCACCTGTCTCGATGCGATGTCTAACCTCAAGCTTTTCCGAATTTACTCTTCTCGTCCTCGGCAGGGGAGCTACTGCTGTGACTCTAGGTTTCAAATAAGCACAGCACGATGCTATTCAAGGCGACACGATTGACTCTTCTTTCAGTGACCTTGAGTGCGCCAGCCGGGTGACCCACTTGACACTGGGTAAGGGTCACTTGACGACATGATAGCGCTGTCATGACGTCAAGGCGGCTCGGTTGTGATTGTGTCGCCGATTTTTCTCGAAGGATGACTAGACCTCGCCTTCTTCATACATTCCAAGCACAGAACACGAGCCATACAGCATATTGCCCCTATCATTCATCGAAGCAAGCATGATGCACGAACAGCCAACAGACAAAAATGCGAAACCCCTCGCGGTGGGTGATAACATCGCCACTCAATCGACAGCCAAAAAGCTCGGGGGTGAGGACCAGTTCCTCGCACTCACGGGGCCCGAAGCACCACAAGCTGACGCACAAGCTTGTCCCAAGGTACAATGTTCATAATGCTCCCATCGTACCCAAACCTCGCAAACCTAGTCCGTGTTTCTGCACAGTCGTTCAGCACGCTGACATTACTTCAGGCTGTCTCCAAGGGGCATATTGGGCATGGATCGCATCGAGACCTGTCACAGCTGGAAGGCAACAACAAAGGGGAGGAGTAGAAGAATGCAGAAGGTGCAGGAGCGTGATCTTTGAGCCTGCCGCCATGGGCAGGCCAGACTGCAGCAAAGGCAAAAAGTCCGCAATATCAGCAAAGATCAATTACTCTTTCAGCAGCAGATATCCGAACGGGTAGGATACTTGGACTTCCAGAATGAGACGAACTTGAGGGGTTTCCACTCGTGGGCTCATTGTAGCACCAGTTCTTGCCTAGCGCCAATGTCTCATAATGGCTCATCCACGCCAAGGCCCAAGCACCTCTTGCGGGGTCAAGTTCGACTCGACTCGAGTCGCAATTTGTTCAGCGTTGAGTCGATGACAGTTGTTTTAAGCACGCCTAGGGACTACTCTTTTGATAATCATAAGACACATTCTGTCTGTAACATCGCGCAGCATTTCACCACCGAAGCATGGCCAGCAAGCCCCGTATCCGCGAGCTTGATCTCGCAGGCAAAGTTGCCGTCATCAGTGGTGCGTCCAGAGGTATCGGCCGAGCAATTGCAAGCCACCTTGCTTCCCGGGGCTGCTCTATCCTAGGCACCTGTAGCAGTGAGAGCAGCCTTGATGCCATCAACTCCAGCCTCAGCAACGAGATCAGCGGGCTGTACTCCAGCACGTCTCGCATTCGGCCCGCTGCGCTCAAGATCAAGGGCATCGTCGCTGATATCTTCTCCACAGACTGCGCAACCACCATCGCAGACTCTCTGGCCAAGTCATTTGACTCCCGCATCGACATATTCGTCAACAGCGCCTGCGATCCTATGCCGGGCACGATTGGCCAGATGACCGCGGCCGAGATCCAGCGCAGTCTTCTCGGCAATGTACAGACGCCCGTGCTCATCGTCGAGGAGCTTGTCCGGCGGCGGTACTTTCAGCCCGACAGCCGTATCATCTACATCTCAAGCATCCGCACCCGGCAGCCGTGGCATATGCAGCTCATGTACGCCTCCACAAAGTCGGCCGGCGAGTCGCTCTGCCGCACATGGGCCCAAGCATTTGGTGGCAAGGAGGAGGCATATACCTTTATGAAGGGGACTACGGCCAACTCGGTTGCTGTGGGGCTCACCGAGACGGAGGCCGTGGTCAACTGCGGACCAGAGGCAGTCAAGCAATTCCAGGACGAGTTCTTCCCCGCCCAGAGCATACCCCGCTTCGGACAACCCGAGGATGTGGCCGATGTCGTTGGCTTGTTATGTGGCGGGGATGCGCGCTGGATCACGGGCTGTGTCGTGAGTGCTAGTGGAGGTGGCATTAAAATAGCTTGATGCAGTCATCTGCCGCATCTCAACCTACTTTCAGCTCTTACTGAAGCATAGAGCAGAGCTGGGGAAGAGAAATCATATTATCAAGGTGGTCGGGCGCACATTCAGCTCCATTTCGCCGACGGAACAGCTTCGCAGTCCATTCAGTCACTAGAAGTATCGTGCCACACGCGGATAGGGACGAGATTTGTATTTGGCTCGACATGCGTACTCCATCAATGAAGTATAACCCTGATTACTTGCATCAGCTTAGGACAGCCCATGCGAAGAAATCGTGCAGCCACTTTTAACTAACGGTGGGTTCAGCCCTCGATATTCCTCGAGAATCATCTCTCTTTTCTGGATGGAGAAAGTCAAGATGCAGCACAATCTCAGTGAGATGGGTGATCCTAGCGTGAATCTTGCCCAAGAGGCCGCGTGGAGGGACAGCTCGAGACTGCTCTGGAGGGCTCGCCCAGAGTCACTAATGCAGCCCTAATGCCAAGCTTTCTAGGTGCAGATGGCCCCCAGCGGCCCAGGGCTGAGGTTCCAGAAACTGGAAGCACCCAGGCTGCATCGGTGATACAGGTACATGGACCTGTGAACGACTAGCCAGATCCGAGAAATGGAAAGCCCGTGTTTGTGACATAATTAGCTACTTTCAGTTTGCGCGTTCAGAATAAGAGAACGATTGCGGCAAATGTGACGCGTGGCAGTCAACAGTTTACGAGGAGCTGTCGCTTGGGCAAGCGGTGGCTTTTGCGCGGGTAAGCTCTCGAGCCGTTGGCCAGCTGAACACGAACTAGGGGTGGGAACCACGGCCGATGCTGGTTGGCTCAGCAATTCCCACATCGGACTGTAAGGTTCAACACCTCTCACATCCCGCGCCGGTTACCGATTTCAGCTCGTGGCTGAGCTTACATGTCCTGGTGGCCTCCGAAAGCCGAGTATGTCTCTGGGGTGAGCCGCGCCGCATAGGTCAACTCAATACTTCCAACATGGCTGAGGACTACTATCGCTCTAGTTTGAGGCGGCGCGTTTTTGGGGGGTCGTAAGGGCCGAGTCTCTGCCGCGTGGTTCAGTATTAGTGATGTCTCAAAGCTCCGCAATAAGTGGTGTGATGGCTCAGCCGAGCAAATGAAACCGCGTTCCACGAGGTCCTCGAATGCAAAGCAATATCTATAAAGCCTAGCCGACCTTCGACCCTCGCTAGATATGTCGAACAGCCCCGTTGACAAGCGTCTCAAACTCAGGACACCTCAGCCCACTTTTCGTTCCAAGCTCGGTAGCATCAAGACTACTTCTTTACTATTTCAGCACGGCAACTCGTTTCTATAATGACGCTGCGGCAGTCACTCGTGTCAGGGCTTGGGCTGCTGGCTTCACTGAGCAGTGGCGCAGTGCTTCCCAGAGGAGGGGGTGCGGAGCTGGCTGGCTATCCCAATCCTAACGATCAGCAGTTGTTCAACATCGAGAAAGCGGCTGGGGGCCTGCTTCCCAACGGGAAAATCACGAAGCTCAGTGCTGCTGCTATCGCCAATCTCCAAGTTATTGCCATCAACGAGCAATTCGAAGTCGCTTACTTCACTTCCCTCATCAACAACATCACTAGTGGTCAGCATGGATACAGCCCACAGAGCCTGTCATCGCCTATGAGCACGGGCAGGATGCTCGAAACGCTCAATGCTATCTTGGCTGTAAGTACTTGGGGGTGGTTCACGTGAAATTCGTCAAAGCAAAATATAAAAAGCCTGACAATCTTTGTGTCAACAGCAAGAAGCGCTCCACGATCTTGGCGCCGTCTCGTTCCTCAAAGCCTTTAAATCATCCTTCGTTCCCGAGCCATGCACCTACGCTTTCCCCACCACCAACATTCAGGAGTCAATTTCTCTTATTTCCACCGTCACTTCACTGGTTCTGGGCACCCTACAAGACGTGACACAAGCCCTTGCACAAAATGGCGACGACGGACTTGCCCGTATCATCGCTTCCATCATCGGACAGGAAGGCGAGCAGAACGGGTTCTTCCGCCTTGTGACAGACGTGCTTCCGGCCGAGAAGCCGTTCCTCACCACCAGCATCGGCGCATATGCATGGTCAGCCCTGCAGAGTTTCCTCGTCAAGTGCCCCTTTGACCTCAACGTAATCCCGCTACCAATCTTCCCGCCTCTCAACGTACACACCAAGGTCAAGCAGCAGGACATGACAGTTACCTACAGTGCTGACCTTCACAAGTACGGCGAGTCTTTTGTCAAAAGTCTCCACAAGGATAAGCTGTGGATCACATACCTCGGGGGCCAGCAGGTGCCGATATCAGTGCCCGTCAGCAGCTTCGAACTCAAGGGCACGACGGTCGAGGTCTGCGCGGAGTTTCCCTGGTCCAAGAACATCCTTGACGGCTTCATCATTGCCGCGCTCACCAACAGCTCCAACTTCGCTGGGCCAGATGACCTCCCTGCGGGAACTCTTGCCGCACCTGGTCTGATCGAGGTTGAGCACAGCGACTACTGGTAGTCGCCTCTCCTGCCCTCAGCCATCCCAAGGCGGCTGTCCTTGTGTATGATGGCCTGGAGGGGAGTTGCATTCATTTCAAGCGCTGAAGAGCAGCTTCTAATATTTTCACACAAAAGCCCCCGAGGCGTCCGGAGTGCGGGCTTGGTTTCTTGATGGTTACACTAATACGCATAATTGATTGATCCCATAACTATTCTCGCTCAGAAATGCATGCAGTGCTGCATAGTGATTTGCGAACTGCGAGTTGCCCTGGGCAACGCTAAACCTGGAAGTGCACAGATCTTGGTGCTCGAGGTTCAGCTTCAGCCGCACTTGGCCCTTAGAAATGCAGTGTTTGGGATGCATGCCTCGATCGCGCGCCGCAAGCTTCGCAGCTGAAGCCGCGGCGTGAGGGGTCATCACAGCAGAACCCCAAAACTCAAAAACCACAGTCTCAGCCTCCATTCCAGGTCTAGGCCCGGCGACTGGCAGCCGGGCAAGCTTCCGGACATGTCTCGAGTGACCCACTACGCTCTCCTGATGCACGAAAGCGTACATCACGTCGTCCCGTCATCTTGATGTGGGGACAACGGCTTCGCATCGATCTGCTCGAGGGGACTTCATGACGCAACATCTCCACAAATGGACCATGCATTTACCTGACCTTTTGCTTGTGCTGTTTTTGATACGAGCGCAGCACTTATCATGGAGGAATCGAGCTTCTTTCCCTATGGTATAGAGGCTGTGGGCCACGGGATCAGCCCTCTTCATCATGTCCACAAGAGCCTGCGAGACATTGATTGTTAGCGGCTATTGACAAGTCGAGTTCAGCCAAGCAGGCAATCCTCATCTGTGGAGGCAGTTGTGAGTACCAGCTTCGGTCCTTGGAGAATAAGGCCGAGAAATGCGTAAACCCAGCCATCAACATAGCGAGTGTCGGCCAGTACGCCCTGCAAGTTGCAAACCTGTACGGCCTCGAAGCCCTTGTGTCGTGCAGCCCGAAGCACTTTGGACAGGTCCGCCCACTCGGAGAACAACATGTCTTCGACTCCAGGGACGTTGACGTGGTGCTGAAGATCAGGAAAAGCCTGTCATTGCTTGGCGAACGAGCTCGGATCTACGCTCCTGACGCCATTGGAAACGAAACTTCGTCTAGTCTTGCATCGGGCCATGGACCAGACCCAGACATGCCATTTATGCACAGTCAGACCAGGCAAGGCAATAAGGAGAATGTCACGAAGAATGCCAAGATATCTGACGTGTTGGAATAGACTGCATCTCTTGAAAAGCACCACTATGGAGAGTTCTACTGGCCGCCGAATAAGGCGGACCACGAACTGGGCGCCGAGTTCTGCCCCAAGATCGGAGACTGGCTCAGCTCGGGCAAGAATAAGCCCAACAAGACAAGAATCATTGATGGAGGCCTCGATGCTGTTACTCGGGGTTTCCAGGAGTGTCGCGATGGCAAGATTCCGGGGTACAAACTCGTGTACGCTATCAAATAGCTGCCAGATAGCCTGCCTAAGCTCTCCAAAGATAGGCAGTAGATGGCGTCACAAATGTGCTTCCACAACCTGTCCGCCACCAGTGACAATGTAGACCTTGGAGCCATCCCTGCTGTAGGTCACACTTGTCGGAACCCTCAGCAAGGTGCTGTTGCCGCCACCCAAGAAGAGTGACTGATGCCCGTCGAGGACCTTAAACACTGTGTTTGCCTGCGTGGCGATGTATGCCTCCAGCTTGCCCTCACTGGTCTCGCGGATCGCAAAATCATCGTAGAAGTTCTGCCGCGAAGGCGTCCCGGGCAGGGTTGCAAGGATCTCGGCCGCCGCTGCCTTGGTCCCGTCAGGGTTGATCTTGATGCGGGCAAAGATGGCCTGTGCTGAGTTTGTAAAGTAGAGGTACTCTCCGAGCACTTTGAGGCCGTTGATACCGAGCGACAGAGCGGAGTTCGGCTTGAACAGATCATCCTGGATGACCACGTCGGCCTCGCCCGTGACGGTATCGATGCGGTCGATCTGCCCTCGAAAAGAGTCTGCCGCCAGGATGACCGTCGGGTTCTTCGACAATTTTGCCATGCCATTGAGCATGGCGGAGTCCGGGACGGACGAGGTCTCGGTGACAGTGACGGCCTGCAGATCTGCCACCGAGACATTGAAAGCTTTGAGGCCCTCGAAGCCGGTCGCACCAAGAGGACCGCCGGTCACAGCAAAAACGTCGGGTGCAATTTCCTGGATGCCGGTAAGACCGTCGCACCCAGGCAAAGTGGCGACGACTTTGGCTTCAGGCTCCGCCTCGGACGGGTCGATGCTGTAGAGGCGGCCTCCATCATACAGAGTTGTCAAGAGGAGGTGTCCACCGGCAGTCTGGGCGACATTCTCGATCGAGACGAGAGGGTCGAAGGTGAAAAGAACCTTGGCCTGAGTCTGATGCGGGCCATCACAGGACGTCTGTGCTTGTGTGACCGAAATAGCAGACATGGTGATGGCGGTGATGGCAAGGCTCAATTTCATGGCAGATTGGGAGAGGGTGCAAGTGAAGAAGATGGAGAGTTGCTGACCAATCCAAATCTCACACTTTCTTGGCATATGGCTGGGCTTCTTATAGGGATCGTAATATGAGGCTACTGTATAGTTAAGCCCAGTTGATACAATCAGACGGGATGGCAGTGCATCGTCATCGTGGGACCTGTGCCCTTGCGTGGCTGACAGGATCGGGCTGAGTCAACCGGCGACCAGGATCTCGCCCCCGCCGTAAGCACACTGTCCCCGATCTGCTTACACGCCAGCTCGATCTGGCACGCGTGATCCTGGCCTGTGGGCGTGACGCATTCACCGGTGGCTTTTTTGTTGATGAAGTGTTCGCAGATTCCTGCTTGTCTTCTGCCCACCGCCGCGGACTTGGCCAACCGTGCACCGCATGCTGCGCTCAGAGGCCGTGCCAGCAATCCGAACCAATGAACGGCATCTTCTGCACCCCAAACTGCCATTTGGCATTGTGAGAAGCACGACACGTTCGCTCCGTGCTCATCAATTGTGATGGGGAGGAGAGTCGCACTCACGTTCACGCAGTGCCCAGTTCTGCCACCCGCAAATGAGATCGCTAGTCACCCTGTTCTTCACAGGTGTCGTCGATGCCTCGGATGTCAATGCCTTTGTCTAAAGCAGACAAGGTCGAGTTGTGGAGTCTTCCGAATCCGAAGAGCCGCCCCTGGCTCATCTCGCCCCTGTCATCTCACGCACACCACTGGGTGGAGTTCGTTATCAGCGACGCTTCCAGGGGCGAAGACGGGGAGCCGTGGAGGACCCCCCCCCCCCCCGGCTAAAGGACGACAGTGGAACTAGCAAGAAGAGCCAAGAACGTTAGTAGCCGAGGACGGCTATCAGACATCAGGGGACAGGGGTCTGAGGCTCGGATAGTCTAATTACAGCGCAAATAGCGCCCGAAACGTGGTGGTTGGTAGGCCCCAAGGAAAAACCCTGCTACGTCTGCGCGGCATTACTTTAAGAGCAAGAGGCTCAATCTCAACACGTGCAGAGTCACTCCTGAAGTGTTCATTCAAACCATCATCCTCTGAGGCTTAATCATGGCTGGCGAGGTACCGCGGAATCAGGACTGCACCTTTGTCGCACCGCTGGCACAGCCCACCAGGGGCGCCGGTGGTGTCTCCAGCCTCATCTTCTCCACGCACATCGCCGCCTCGCCCGAGAAGTGTCTCGAGATCGTTCTCGATTCGTCCGCGTATCCCACATGGAACAAGTTGGTGCGCCAGGCCACGGTAGAGAAGCAATCGCCAGCTACTGCAACCGATCTTGGCGACTCCCTTGGCTTCCTCCTCGCATCGGGGAAGCAGGACATGCTTCTTCCTGGCGCGGACTTCGTGTTCAACGCCTATTTAGACCCGGACAGCGATAGCTTCAGGTCGACGCGTCTCGAAGTGACCGTGCTCAAGGAAATTGTCCACGAGGGCCGAAAGGGCTTTCGCGTGTCGTGGGCCATGACTGAGGTGAGTTGGTTTCAATCCCAGGCGCCGATTGGGCGTCGCCGCGCCAATCGGGTGCCAGACTTTCTCCATGCCCCATGCTGATTCTAGGAATTGCACAGGGCACCTGGTTGCAGCACGTCGAGCGCACACAGGACTTCGTGGAGGCGCCTGGGGGAGGCACCGATTATTATAACATGGAGACGTTCTATGGACCAGTCTCCTATCTCATCAAACCAATCGTCGGGACGAAATTGTTGAAGGCATTAGGTTTGTGGAAGGACGGACTCAAAGCAGAGGCAGAGAGGCAGTGCAAGGAGGAAACAACAAAGGTTTCCAAGTAATTCGGTTCTGCAAACCACGCGACTCATACAGATTCCAGTCCGCATGGGTCCTTTCTCTACCCTGCCGTGTTTCGATGATTCACTACTCGAATGCAATGGCTTCCCGCTTCCTTTCCATGCGGTTTGTGCTGCAATTACGTTTCCTGACGCCCCATCAACCTTCCCTTATTGTTTCTCCCAGCTCTGTTGTTGTCGTTCTGGAACGTGCGCGCGATCCCCTTTCTAGAAGAGGCCCAATATCATGGCACGACATCTGTCAACCTAGACTCCCACGCAGTACGAGTAGCCGACCCAGAAGTTCTGTCTGCAGTCGCGCGAGACATCCGGGTTCCAGGCGTAGAACTGGTCGGCCGAGATTTGTCCCGCGTTCCAGGCCGTCTCGCACGTGTCACCGGCGGTGGCTACATAGTACCAGTTGCAGCCGCGGTAGATGTTGGGCATGGTCGTAGTGGGAGGTGCGCGCTGGGCGGTGGCGGAAGCGGCCAGGCCCACGACAGCGGAGGCGAGAATGGTCTGGATAGAAGGCATTGCTTTCGATTTCCGATATTCCTGGATTTATGGTTTGCCCACGATGAATGAATATATGTATGAGGGGCGATGATGGACAGGATGAGCTTTGTGCTGGGATTCAGACTGGCGAAGGGCGGTTGGAGGCGTTGTTTATATATTCGCAAGGTCAGAGGCCATGTGGCTTGTCTCACTGTTGCGCTTCCGCCACGATCATCAGCTCATCATCTGCTAGGCACTCACATCTCCTCCAAGGAACCACAGAATTCTGAATAGCCGTTCTTGAGCGAGCTAGGTGTTCTTGTTCGATCCGTCCATGTAGGACTCGCAACCATACAGATGGTCCAGACCCCAGAACAAACATCAAGCTTGGTGAAACCCACTCCCTGGAGTGGTTGCTCCACAAGGTGTTCACATTGGTCACCGAGCACGATGACCACGGCTCTTAGGCTATGCACCAGCGTCGGAGCATAATCCTACGCCTTAGGATGCCATGCATCTCACCATAAGCGGCATACTGTGGAACTTGAGGATCTAGTCAATACAACGTAGCATGCAATGCGGGCTCATGCAAAATACAGGACCGCAATGGTCAAGGTCGTGATATTGATCTGGGACAGCACGTCCCGGTTATGTAGCCTTACCCCTTACAGGCGAATTTGAGCACTAGTCAATGGTGGTACGATCCTCTGCGTCGGCGTCTTCGGGTAGTGGCACAGTGTCTGGAATTAGTGAGAGCTGATGAGCGTTTCCAGTTACACGTGGAGAAGGCGTGGTGTGTACAAATACGCCATTGTTGGTGCATATCATCTGGTATCTCCTCGCATTAGCTGAGTTACCAATTAAGGGCGCAAATGATATCCAGAGTCTGTCTCGTCGGACTGTCAACGAGGTCCGTGATGGTCGATGGTGGCCTGAACTAATTGAAGCAAAGCTGAAGCTGCGCATGCTTGAGGAGACAGAGGCTGCATGGGGGAGGGGTTTCTCATTTAAGTTAGCGGCTTACCACATTGGGGTTTATGGGTGATTGAGATTCGCCTGCGACTTCGTGTGTGATTTCCTAAAGAACCGATGCACTGCTTTTCTAGCTATCATAGAGGGGAGCCCTCACCCCCTTCCCATCAACGCAAACCCTAAGTACCCAAGAGTTTCTCAACCTCCGCCGAGACCTTCTAAGAATTATAACTGTACTACACGACCCGTGAATACCTCTTGCGCTGCTCCCTCTGCTCTTTCCTGTCAGAATCCTAATGATAGACTCATACATTTTTAGCGACTTTTACACGTGGAATCCGGCTGTCAATAATGGAGGTAAATGTGCTGGACTGTGGCCAGACTACTATGTTTGCATGGGGATCTCATCAGGGGCAGGGGACTAATTCTCGTTTGTTAATTTATATACGAGTAGGTAAATGCTGCTAAAAGAGGTGATGGGCAGCAACAACCTGGTGGTTGTGGTCAGACAGCGCAGCAAATAAACAGCATTTAATGAAAATATGTTGAACGCTCGCGAAAAGCCCATGTTTAGTTAAGTATTAAATCGACTGGCCGGTCAAACTGCATGTCCCCCGGGATGATGCGATACCCTCCAGGATTGATCACCAGGACCGCCCCAAAGCAAATCGCTCTCGTCCCCTCGCTCGATGTAGTAATAATACTGCTGCCCTGGGCAATTTTCATCCCTAAGAAAAGGGCCGGCTGGATCACGCACCCACTTCCCTGTCTCAGCCGTCGCCCGGCCACTGGGAAATTCCGTGTCGTGGGTGGCGGTGGGAATAGCCTTTGACCGCTTCTCGTGACTCGCACTTGGGACATGTGTCCCGTGAATGGGATATCGCAGCCACGTTACGAGCGAGTGAAGTCTTACCAAAGGATCCAGGTTCTCTTTGTCGAACTCGCCACTGCTGAGGAGATCATCCATGACGTTCTCTGGGACCTCCACGACGACAGAATGCCGCTGCTGTGGTGCAAGCGGTGCCGATGCACGTGCGATCGGTTCCAACATGACCTGTATGAGTTCTTGTATGCGTGCGGACCGCCGGACACCAGAGTTACTGTGGAGAGTGTCTGGGAACGAGAGTATTAGGAACTGCAAGCTCGAAAACACTCCTGCGAGGCCGCTAAAGTCGGGGATCTTGCGCGGGATGGCCCTCTTGACACGATACTCCCCAAAGAGCACGACTTCAGAGCGGATCTCGAGGGATCTGATCATTGATAGATGGCGCGCAGGCAGGACACAGCCTCTGCTGTTCGGTTGCAAGAGCGCATCGAGCAGGTCTCGACTCTCGATCATGAACGAGTTGGTCCCGTAGAGCACCGAGACTCCTTCAACGTACGCCCGGCGACAAGCACGCAGCCAGCCCGTGGCGCCGACGGAGGCATCGCAAGGCGTGTCTTCGCGACGCAGAAGGGCAGGGCGGTCGCAGGATGCGTTGAGACCGCTCCAGAGACAGTGATCCTGATGCGGCCATGGCCAGCCCATTCGTTTCCTGCCCGTCATCGGTCGCGCCCAGGGCGAGGCTGCAGGTCGTGGCCGGTGATTTGGTCGTATTGGTGCTGATATGCTCGGACGACGGACGCTTTGGAGACATGTTCTGGTCTGTCATGAAAGTTGGCTGGCTGGCTGAGGCTTTGCAGCCATAATTGGAACCCGTCAGGGATTCGAGACCTCTGCCCCAGTAGTGTTGTTAGAGTGAGAAGTGATAGATCAGCCCCGAAGGCTGTTGGAAATGCCCAGGTGGCGAAGAACATGGCCGCAGGAGCGGGGAAGAACATGGATGCTGCACTATGCATGACAAACCAGCCACATCCGAGAAGTCTTCGGACAATCGGCATTTGTTGCCAGGTTCGGTTCGGAAACAGGCACCATCAACTTACAAGAATTTCCAGTAGCACACATTGACTCATTGGAGACGAGCGGATGATGTATTGGCAAAAAGTCCTTCTCACTCAGAAGAGCCGCAGGACCATCGTTCTAAGCAAAGCTTCTCTCATTCTACCAGCCCCGCAGCAGCCACGTCATCTACAAAATCCGCGTAACCATTCGGATACTTCTGAAGTAGCGCTCGCATGTCGTCTTTGCTCCTACAGGTGCATACTAATCAGTGTTTTGCCTTCCAGCCGCTGTGGGGAATGGTTGACGTACTTCTGTATAAGGCTTGCCCATTGAGGGTAGATCATCGAGTTCACAAGCTCTGCCCGACTGCAGCCATTTTGTTCAGCCAACTGTGATCTTTGAGTTGTCAAGGCCAGCGAAACACTAACATTCTGTACATCTTATGGCGGTCATAAAAGTCACGCTGGGGCTCGGACGCGCCAACCTCGTCTTTATACATGTCGACAAAGTCCATGCCAAGGACATATCTCGCGTCTCCCATACACTGCAGGTCGACTGCATCAAGGGAGAAAGCTTTCAGTGACAGGATATATTACGTCGGGTATGGATGCTGGGTGTCACTTACTCTCGTTATGACCATAGAAACACACGGCGTCAAAAATGATTGGCTGCTGTGTGTCGACATCGATCTGCACATTGCCATCCCACAGGTCACCGTGGCACAGAACTGGTCGGATTCTTCTGCCTCCAGTCTGCAAGGGCCGAAGCAAGCGGGCAATCACCTTGTCCATGAACTGCTCGGTCAGAGCCTGGAGCTCGGCGTCTATGCCATGCACATGTTGCACGAGAGATACGTCGGAAGCAAACTGCCTAGCATAGTAGTGCTCCCAGCTCTCTGTCCAGTCATTGATCATCGGCGGCGGCCCGAAGAATGTGGGCACATGGAATCCAAACTTGCCCGTTGGGGAGGTAGAAGTCTGGTGGAGCTTCTTGAGGATGGCTAGGAACGGGGCCAACGGCGGGCAGCGGGCGCGAAGGTTGCGAAACTTGGTGAGGAAGAAGGACTTTGATGGGTCGCTATCCAGCAGCCCCCATGCTAGAGGAGCAACGACGTTGTCGGGAATGTACTGTGTGAGCGCTTTCTGGCCCTCAAACTCTGCCTCGGCCATTGCGAGCCACTCCCTTCGCTCGATAATCTGGAGATTGTCCGTTTGTCAGGGTGACGGTTACTTGTTGCCGTATGCAACTGGAAGTATTGCTCACCTTGAGGAAGAATTGCTGCTCGCTATCATCGTCTTCATCGTCTTCATCGTCGTCGCCTTGATCTATTGAGGGGACCTGGACATCTACCCGCAGCCCCACTGACCACTACTCAAATGACGCACGTGTTTAGCAAGACTCTTGGGATAACTGACTGTTCAAGAGGAGACACACCCGGGTTTTTCCATGTGGCACGACTGATAGGACGTCACACCCGGCTGGCAGTGCTGACGACCAAGCTGGTTAGCGAGGAACCAATGAAGACGGTGAGCAAACAGGGTGCTGGCTCGCCTGATGACTTACCTCGGATGATAGCCTCATCAAGGATCTCGTACTCCATGGCAGTATATTGGAATCTGGGACAGCCACTAGGGGCTTATGTGCCAATGCGGGCGCGTAGTGTAGACCGAATGCAAGTGGAGAGATGATGAAAGTGCTCTGGGGAAGGATGGCCTGCTGTATTTGGGCCTGTACCATGTTGTCCTTGTTTGGCTCGACCAACAACACCCTCAGCCCACTCGACCCTTGCAAGTAGCACCCCGTGACTTGCAGCGGGCAACAGTGGAGCCCCATGCCCTGGGACGTCCAAGATTGAGCTTTGAGTGCTTAATTAGCTGACCACCCGCTTCTCCTGCCAGAGCTACCACCACGACGCCGACAACGACGGCCCCGGCCCCGTCTCCCATGCCTCGTCGCCTCCCAGGGCGCCAGCAAGCGTCTTCTCAAGCAACGGCAGCGTCTGCGCCTCTCTCAAGAAGCACATCACCAGCAGGTGGCCGCGATCGAGCACAGCTGTATCTTGCCCGCCCGGCCACAAGGCCCCCTGCAGCCGGCCTGGCCTTCTCCTGCTGCGCTCGTCGCCAGAGCCTCTCCTCGACCTCGTTTTTGTCCACGACCTTCGTGGCAGCTCCGTAGATACCTGGCGCCGCAATGGAGATGCCGGCTTGTTCTGGCCCCAGGCCTGGCTGCCGGCAGAGCCACGCCTCCGCAATGTCAATATCCACACTTTCGGTTACGACTCAGACTGGACAAGCACAAAACACAGTATTCTAAACGTCCATGACTTCGGCCAGTCGCTGCTCGAAGAGATGAGGAACTCGCCTCACATGTCGACCAACCCCGAGGCACGTACTTATCCGCAGCTTCCCCTGTAGCGAAACAGCGCGCTCCAAGATTCTTTCTGGCTGACATGCCGGCTGTGCTCCAGAGTCCCATCATTCTTCTAGGCTATTCGATGGGCGGGCTGGTAGCCAAAAAGGCAAGTCTGGAGGTCTTGTAAAAACGACCAAGTGTTGATCAAGGCTACTGACAAAGGTATAGGCATATGTCCTCTCACAATACGTCCCCGTATTCAAGAATCGCATACAGGCCATCTTCTTCTTGGCCACACCGCATCGCGGTTCCGACTACGCTGCGACCCTCAATAAGATACTGGCGATATCCGGCCTCATGTCTTCGCGAGGCTATATCACCGACTTGACCACCGGCTCTACATCGACACAAACCATCAACGATGATTTCGGAAAGCTCGCTAGCAAACTGCTTCTCTTCTCATTCTATGAAACGCAACGCATGTCCATTGGCATATCAACATGCCTGATTGTAGAGAAGCATTCTGCTGTTTTAGGTAAGAGTGGGACACGCTCCACCAAACTTGTGATGTACGATCAGAGGCTCACAGATATGCTCGGAGGCTAGGTTACAGCAACGAACGAGTACAGTACCTCAACGCGAAACACCGCGAGATCTGCAAATTTCACAGCCCCGACGACCCGAACTACAACACAGTGAAGAACGCTCTCGTGAGCGCAACAGAAGATCTGCTCGTGACTGGTGAGATGTATCGCGGCTTCCTGCGCAGCCCACAACACTAAAAAAGCCTTCTCAGTCCATCAAGCCAATGCCCATGGCGCCAAAGAGCAGCTCAAGCTTTTGAAGGCTTATCTTTGCATACCAGATCGCATCGAGGAGCAGTACTCCGTGATGGCAGGGTCCTGCCAATGGATCGAGGCACGAGCTGATTTCCAGGCCTGGCGGAATATTAGCGACGAGTCTGACTTCGACGATGTCGGGGAGAACATACCTCACGTATACTGGGTGAACGCAAACCCTGGAACCGGCAAAAAGTTTCTGGCCGCGCATGCTGGAAATTTGCTTCGAGACAGCCACTCCAACTGTGCATCATACTTTTTTCACTTCGGCGAGAAGGCCTCGCTCTCCTTGAGCAGCTCAACAAGACTACCTCCCCCACCAAGTAGACATCACGCTATCCCCTGCGTTTGTCCAGTTGGGGTGCATGGCATGGCTTGCCGGCCCTTTCTCGAGCATCGACATGCTCGCCGACGGCACCGGAGCATCTCATCCATGGCTCCTGGCAGGAATGGTGTCATTATCCGAGCTGCCGGTATACGGCGGCATGGGTGCAGGGTACTCAGTGGGTACCTGAGGCCCGCCCAGCCACGACTGCATAAATCGCAATCGTGCATAAAACCCCTCGCTTACGCCCCAGCAGCTTAACGGCCTGTCAAAGTAACGTTCCAGTCGGTAACGGAAGCCCAACTTAAACTATTCAATAACTGATAACAAATCCCTGCGGTCGCTCGTGCAAATCGCAATCTCGCCCACTCCCGGATATTACTCTAACGGCAGACTTCATGAATGCTCGCTTTCTTTGTGCACTTTTTATGCGGGCATGAATTGTTCGGATGTTTGCTAAACACAATTAGCCCTACCTCAAAGAGAGGCCGAAGAGAAAGCTTGATCGAGATAGTGCTAATAGTGGGCCAAGCCAAAGAATGAATCCATAGCATGGGCATGAATATGGACACAGTCTCGGCAATTGATTGACTAGTTCAAGTGTGTGGTGAAACTGATACTTAGATTGATCGCTGAAGTACAAATGTAAGGACTGTCTGTCTAGGCAATCCATCATATCTATATATCCTTTGTCCTTCATCGTGTGCACCATCACTGGTCAGTGATGACTATTAGTGACCGTCGGTCTTGGTAGTCCCGACGGTCATGCATCCCATGCATGACCGGTGGTACCATACCCGGCCCCTTATCCTTCTCGCGGTCTTTGGTTCATGATGACATAAGAAACCTGTAACGGCACTGCCACATGATCCGCCCTTGTCCCTGGCCTGATCCTGTGGCCTAGTTGTTTATGCTCTTCCGTGCCCAAACAATCGTCCCCTGTTGGTCCGGCCGTTACAACTGCTCTGGCCACTACCCACGCTCAGCTGCGCAGCTTTCAACACGAGTTCTTCTCCCATGGGGTCTCCCCATTGTAACACCTGGTAATGTCCAGTGTAGTTCCAATCTTCTTGCAACCTTGGATTCTGAAACTCCTTGTTTGTACTTTCTTGTCATTGCCCTTCGAATCCTCCCAGATCGAAGGCCAGGATTTATCCGAAGATCCAAGAAGATCTCCTTTGCATCCTGCCTTGCTGTGTAATGTGATACTACAGCGAGTCCATGGCATAGTGCAATAGACAAGGGAGTTGACCTTGCCGGCGGTTTCGTCCGGAATATCGTAGCAGCCGGTATCGCCCGTAGAGCTGTAAAAGGTTCGTCGCTTGCCGCAAAATCCGTTCTTCGTCATTGCAGTAAAATGCCAGGCATTTGCCAGTGTAAAGGCAGCGAATAGCGCGACAAGAAAACGGAGAGTGTGCATTGTCGGGTCGAGAGTAAATCTTGGAAGAGCAATGGATGAGTGAGCTTGGAATATATCCTGAGGAACAAGTAATGAATGAAGTCTGTACCTGAGGAGTGAAGTTTGAATGTGGCCACTCATTCGGAACCACCATTCTTATAGTCGTTTTTATCGATGAGGTGAATCAATCCCAGTTATAAGATCCTTCCAAACGGACTCTTTTTAAACCGACCAGCTGTCAGCCTCCACCTGTCTGACTCAGGAATGAAGAACTAAATACAATTTGAATCCGAATAAGTCGTCTTTGCTGTGGAGATGAAGACCAGGCAAGCAGCCAGTAATTGACCTCTGTTTCAACAAGGACCCTTGCAAATGAAGCGCATCCCAGCGTAACACAGCAACCATTGGCTGCTTGGTCTCCATATTGTTGTCATAACGGGCAGGTGCAGGACGGCGGACTGCCGAGACCACGAGGCTGAAAATATACTTTTTGTAAGGTCGGACTTGTATTAAGCCGACCAGCTGTCAGCCTCCACTTATTTCTATTAACCTATCTCTTTTGACTGTAGCGGATTTGAAGAAGGTTTGATTCACCTAATCTACCCCAACGAACCCCTGTTTTGAAAACCACGATCGCGTCCGCACTGCCATCTACCACCGGTATAATCCCGGTCTTGCTGAACAAAACTTGTAACGAAGGTAGTTTGCTCCTCATCAATCGCACCATCTCTGCCGCGATCAATGCTTTGTTCCCCTCGTTCCCTTCTAAGTCATATAGCAATCCTCCAAGGGATCAACAGCTCGGTGACCTCCTGATGGGGCTAACACCCTTCTTTGGCCCTGCCAGGCGATATGGTTGGTCACCATTCCATACTTTGGTTAGGAACCGGATTGCTGCATCTTCCCGACCATCGATGCGGTAAGTGGAGCCTAGAATCACGGCTGATGGCAGAAGTAGCTCCTGTAGCTTGCTCTCTGTGAAAATCGGCCAGCGCCGTAATAGGCACTTCTCTATGCCGTCTCTGGATATGAAGCAAAGCGTGACCGCGAATTGGAGTTGCCAGACGACCTCCCCGATGTGAGGTGCTTGCACTCTATCGCATATGTTGGCAAATATTGCGCGGCCAAGGGTCTGGCTATTGCTCTCGAATAGTTTGTGGAACCGCCCGCATGTCACAACGGCTGAGGCTAGAGAGTTGAAATCATAGAGATGCCCGAAGATGCTCGTTAGAATTTCGTTAGGTAGATCCAGGATGATGCATTTATCTGGCGGAACCGATGGTCCTACTGATGTGCGTTGTTGTTTCACGGGGAGGAGTGGACGACACGGTCGGGAAGACCTATAGATACGTCTGGGTGGTCGGCGGCCCTTGCAGATACATTGGGAAGGCATGCAAGTTGGAAGGGAATTGAACTTCGGGAATGAAAAAAATGAACGCAGGTATGGCCTGCTGCCTCTTTATGCGAGACCTGGCGTCCACGGCGGACTTGTGCGAAGCCTGGCTGTGACTGTAAAGGCACTCCTTTGTATGTGTATGTCTGTTAGCAGCCTGGAGAACAGGGCAGCTCGCCGTAGTTGTGGCACGGCGGGGCCCGACACCATTCCTTGCCGGCGGTGGGATTGGTAGCAAGCCCATGGATTCGAAGGCGGGACTAGTAGCACTTTCCCTTTAAAGGTTGAAGAGTAGTCACGCCTCGAGGCCAACAGTGACGTAAGTAGTAAGAGGTTCCCGATTTCTACACTCGCTTCGTCGGGTTGCTTGTTCGGCCGACACGTCTTCGCGCTGCCGCGTCGGCGTCTGCTTAGCCCCCCGACCAGAGACGGTGTCTCAGGATGGAGTTGGAGGGAGTATGGTTGATGAAAGATGAGCCTTGTGTCGCACCGCGGGCCATAACTGAAACCGCCCGTGGAGGCGAGTATAGTATGTACGGACCTCTCCACGATTGATTGACGCTGCTCAGCTCCGACCCCGTGGTCGACGCCACGGCTGGAATCGACGCAATAAGTCGGAGCTCGTCGTGATTCCGCCCCCACGATACATTTCGACGCGGGCATCAATGACGATGGCGTGCCTTGGTTGCAGCTTGGATTATGAACATTCTCGCATTAGGTACGTTAAGTGGCAGCATCAAGATTTGCGTGGGAAGAATTAGAGAGAACCTTATTTAGCATTCGCGCTTTTGACGCTCTACAGTATTAAGCGACTCCGCAGATTCTGGTCATAGGCGCCAAGTCCAGAAACCGCGTAACTGTATTTTCCAATGAGTGCAGGGTGCGTACCTGAGACGCGCCCCGCTCTTACCAGCTCCCAGCCGGATCTGTCCCCCTAGCTATACTGCATAAATCGCAGCTGTGCATAAAATTCCTCCGTTATGTCCCAGCAGCGTAATGGTCTATCAAAGCAACGTTTAGGCAGGTAACGGAAGGCCAACTTTCGAACTGTTTAATAGCTGATAACAAATCCTGGCCGCCGCTTACACACATTATTATAATGTCGCCCCATAGGGATCTTATTCCAGCGGTAAACTTATGAATGCTCGCTTTTCTTGTGCACCTTTTATGCGGGCATGAATCGTTCGGAGATTTGCTGAGCGCGGTTAGCTCTGCTGCCTCTCGAGCTGTCGGGAGAGGAAGGCATCTGTTGCGGTGTCAGAGTCACACTCTCGATTAATCTTCATATATCGCAAGTGAAACCTGTTCAACGCGTAATGCTCAACGTAATAAGCGGCGAAGGCGAAATCCCCTCGGGCCCTACGAAGGGCATCTCGGACTAGGCTCAGCGCTGCACAGGGTGCTGCTCAACCATGAGCTGAATAAGGCGGCTTGACGGCTTGCATGAAGCTAAAAACTAAATATCGTGTAGCGCCAAGAGCTGTGTGCTCTGCATGGCCCAATTGCCGGAGCCTTCGGACGAGTGGCTGACATTAGACTATCGGAGGTGACTCCGCAGAGCTTGTTTCATGGTTCCTTAGCTAGGCATAGCCACCTTGGCCAGCTGTGCCGGATAATTTGGCAGAAGTCACCTGGGCTGCTGCTCATGTGGAATTTATCTTTCTCCTACGCGTCCGCCCTTCCCCTCCCCCTCGCTGCTCCGCTAAATCCCTTGTATGCAATAATATCGCTTACGCTGCTGCAATGGGGCCCCCTCTCCTACTTTGAACGACTTGCAGAAGAAGCAGCAGCACTACAAGCCATGGCGTCCAAAACAATGCAAAACCTCGGGCCTCTGACATCCATATGGACGCCGCCAGTGGCATGCTACAACACGGTGCTCGCGTGCCTCTCGTTGCCCTGCAGCAGTGGCTACCCGGCCCAGACGTGCGAGTCCACGGCCGCGAGCAGCCTTCTCTGGGTCCACTGGGCGGTCGACTGCTTCCCGCCGTACCCCTCCACATTTGATCTCTGGGGGTATTACTCGCCCGGCGTGTTCTGCCCGGATGGTTTCACGATCGCGGCGACGCAGGTCGGGGATGGGATCGGTGTTGCGGCGTCTGGGGCGTTGCCGCTTGATCCCACCCAGACGGGGGCTGTGTGCTGTCCCACGTAGGTCTATCCTATGTCTCGCTCTCTCTCTCTCTCCCCTTTCTTTCCCAATAGTAGCGGTTCTGCATCGTTGGCTGCGAGTGATGAACAATGACGGGCAAGGGAAAAAAGAACAAACAGGAATTGATGTTCAAAGATAGAGTGTACTCGTACGACTACATCAACAACGGCGACCAGCGCTGCGTCCGAAAACTGACGGGCAGGACGGCCTTCGCGGCGCAAATCTGCGGTGTCACCATCCAGAACGTCCAGATGAATCTGCCCACAACATACCACCCGACGACGGCCAACGGCGTCGGACCCGTCGTCACGGTCACCACGAATGACTTTTTTTGGCCCGCCGTCCGCATCGTCTGGCAGGAGAGCGACCTGAGTCTCATCGACGACGCGGCGGCCTCGGGTATGACGGCTAGTCCGTCAGCTGCGGTTTCGGCTATCGCTTCTCCGACGGCCAACGGCGTCGGACCCGTCGTCACGGTCAGCCCGAATCCCAAGAGCGGTGGGCTCTCGCCAGGAGCGATAGCGGGGATAGTGGCTGGCATTGTGGTGGCCTTGGCCCTGCTCGTTCTGGCTGTATGGCTGATTCTGCGGCATCGTCGGCGAGCACAACGAGAAAGACACAGCACTGACGGCATCATCAGTCACTCGAATGTGACGGGTCTGCGCAGCGAACAACTGTACCCAGACTACCAACATCCACAGCAGCAGCAGCAATACTACGCTGCTCCCGGATTTGCACCCGAGGCCGAGCTGTCAGGGGAAGGCAGGGTGAGGTATGAGCTCCCTGCATGGTCAGATCCGGCCAACATAGGCCGATAGAGCACGGAGACGGGACATCAGACTTGAGTAGTGAGCGTTGAGTGCCAGAAGCAACACGGTCTGTGCGAGCGAATGATTTATATGAACTCGGTCCGGCCGTATCGTAAATCCAGATAGGCCCTGTAATCCGTCCTCAACGGCCTCTCCTCTCCCGATAAGTACGCAGGCGGAGAAGACCACCTCCCTATAGTTCGGGCAGCCTTTACGGCCGCCCTGACGACTCTGAACCACGACGATGGCGATCGTCGTCTCGCCCTGGTCGACGGAGGACACGAGTCATTGCGAATATTCCGATTAAGATGAGGACTAGGGTGGTCGATGACTGTGTGACCAAGGCGAGGGTTCTATGGTGCTAACCCGTAATGCTGAAATGCTCGACTTCGTGTACTACGTGCTACCATGCGCGCCGATGACCTTTAACGTAGGCATCGAACCAGTAGGCGATTAACACACACACACACACACACACACACACACACACACCCCTCCTCTTTTCTTTCGATCCGACTTCCGGGGTCAACCATAAGCCTGGACATCAGGGGCCACTGTACAACGAGGTAGGTAAAACCTCGGCGACATTACACCAACTATCCCATTGGTCCTCCAATCTCAGATGCTGTTCGGGTCGCTGGCTGCTTGGACAGAGAACACGCTCAGTTAATTGTGTGACTGCTTTCAAGTGATAAATGAGAATCATGCTTAATTTGATTGATCTGGTAAAAAGGTGAAGACTGCCTGCGTGGGAAAACTTCGTGGCTCGCATACCTTTTTCCTTTGATCTTGTGCCCCTTCCTCTGCTGAACGGCTATGGGAGAAAGATCCGCGGGGGACTCGCAATCCTGCCAACGACGTCAGTAGGAGCCCAAGACACGGCGGAAGATAATCCGGCCTGGCCGTCGTCTCTGGACAGCAGGGGTTCTGCATTGCCCCCCGCCCGCCAAGATTTGTTGATACGACGAAGTGTACCGCGGCAGCAGCCGGTCAGCAGAGCGCCCGTAGGGGGCCGAGTCTGGCTGAGCATACTCTGTTGGTTCAAAAACACCTGGCATGTTTGCTTGCACCCACGCTCCGACCCGGCCAGGGACGAGTGGCTCGTCGCGTGGGGGGCGGAGAAGTTTCCGAGCTGCCGGCCAAGTTGGGACAAGGCGTCGCTGACTCCTGGCACGCCCATCTCCGTCCGCGGTCGAGATAGCACGTGCTTCGTGGCTAGAAAGTACTTGGCGGTGCTTGTGCTTGCTGTGCCAGTTGTCACCGTAAGCATTACCTGCGCATTCATGATAGGAGACGACATCAAGTATAGCTGCGACTAACCTTGCTGCGACCCTGTTGCGAGTTGCTGATACGAACATCTTGGCAGGCAACGCACACGGGGCCCCGATCTGCCGGCGTCACGATGCCGTTCCCACACATGCTGTCACGCCACATGACGAGCAGCTCAACCTTGCAGCCGGTGGTTTCCCCCTTCCCCTGTCCGGCTTGCTCCACAGCCAGCACGCCCCTTCACGTCGTCTTCGTCCATCTTTGTCTTCTATGCCGCCACGCGGTTTCTCGAAACCCAGAGGGTCGGAAGAATCGGTAACGGACGCCTCTCCCTGCAGGAGCCCGGGAGTCCTCTCAACAGACCTGTGCATGCTCGGCAGCACGACACCAATGCCAAAGATCACGACATGGCTCAAGTCGATCGACGTAGAGCCCGTCCTCGAGCCGGTCGCACTCCCGACAGAGGTGATTGGCGAGCCGGAGCAGAGTCTCGCCAACGAGAGCACACCAGTCCTGGCCGTAAACGGAGATTATGCTCACTGGCAGGGATCCGACCCGGTACTCTACCAGTGGCAAGATAGCCCAGCAATCTCACCAGATCACCCAGTCGGACCATGTCCCGTACTCTCCCGGCAGATGCAGGCAGGGCCAGCACCTACCTGCCGCTTCTGACTGCCGCCATGCAGTCAACTGTGCACAGCACTGCCCAGAGTGAGCAACGGGCAATCGCAGGGACCCGGCACAACAAGAAACAGTAGCAAAAGTGTCAGCACAGAGGCGCAGAGGCCAAAAGGTGCAACGTAGCCTGCTACCGCTGTTGTCGAGTGGTCGTCATGGCCGGGAGGAACGTCGGGCCTTGTCCTTTTACTGACGGGCGACAGGGATCTGCTGCAGCGACAGAAACCATGCACTGCTTTTCTAGCTATCACAGAGGGGAGCCCTCACCCCCTTCCCATCAACACAAACCCCAAGTACCCAAGAATTTCTCAACCTCCGCCGAGACCTTCTAAGAATCATAACCACACTACACGGCCCGTAGATATCTCTTGCGCTGCTCCCTCTGCTCTTTTCCGTAGTCCATTCCCCTAGCACGGTCCTTTCGTGGGCCGCTCAATCCCCATTGTCGAGACTCGCACCTTCTCTAGCCGATATATGGCATTTCACTTCTGCGCCATATGTCGATGCAGTGAGCGGATGTGCAAGGAGTTGTTATCGGGGTAAGGGAGGTGCGTAGGTGTGCAGAGAAGACCTAAGAGTCGATGAACGAGCCAGATATCACTTAGACGGAGGCGAGGATGTTGAATAAGAAAGAGCCATTTAACAAGAGCGCGGAACCTTGACTCTCACTAATTATTCAATTATATCCGCCAAGGTGTGCAGGCTTAGTCTCGGCTGGATGAACTTCACGATGGAATGGCCATGGTAAAGTGGCCTAGGAGTGCGGTGAAAGGCATGTACAGGTTGGGGAGTGATTGGTTGGAGTTGGAACGTGCAAGAGAGCACGGTCTTGGTATACCCTGGGTAATAATCATACCGAGGCAAGTGGGAGAGATAGAGGCAAGATAATAATCTCGATGGAAGCTTCGAGGGAGAGCAGTTACAGCAGCGGAGCATGTCTAGCAGGAGAAGGCCAAAACGTTGTGTAGCTGTAAGCCCATATAGCGGGCTAGTGAGGTAGCCCCTAGATTAGGGTTGTGCCACTTCCCCTAGACCAGGACAGCAGTGAAAGCTGATACTCACTCGCGGCAGCTGAGTCGTCTGTTAGGGAGCGCACGTCGTGTCTAGAGTCTGCTTCATTATGAACGGAGTCAGTTGAATCATAAATGGCGGCCTGAGGAGCTCTGAAGAGCTCTATATACGCAGTTCGCCAGATTGGGGTTCGTTCTTCCGGTTCACCGAAAAGTCCGCAGCCGCACTGCTCTTTCTAGCCTTCTCCCATAGGGCATCCTTTCCATACTGCAACGGCTCCGCCCCCAGAACCCCTGTTATGAACGGCCGAAACTTCTCGCCTCGCTCCGCCTGCCTGACTATGATTTGCCATGCATCGACGAGGCCCCGCGACGTTCTTCGCCGCATACAGGCTGAAGCGGCCGTGCAGTTGCAGGTTCCAGGGGCTCAGAGGCTTTGGCAAATGGAGGCTCAGGTCGTGGCCGCTTCCGCTGTAACGAGCTTGCCACACATCTACACAAAGTATCTCTACTTTTTGAGCGCACGCACACAGCACAAACCCCTGCTCTAGAAGTCCCCATAGCTTAAAGGCGTCCACATATTTGCGCGACATACCCAACGGCAAGACGGCTTCCGCGCTCTCAGGCGTTGCCAAGGCGCTCTCTCCCCCACTGCAGCACGTGTTTTCGTACCCTGCGGACATTTTTGCCGCAGCACCAGGTCACGAAACCACACCACAGTCAGACGTAGCTCGACTGTGAGGAACTTTAGTATCACCAATGCCTAATCGCTTGACAAGGAAGGCAAAGACTTATAGGAGCATGATTGGCTGATACTTGTGAAAGTCTGCTCCTCTAAATAGCAACCTCCTGCCTCTGGCCCCGAGCAGACATGCTCCTCCTTGCACGAAGATCCTCCTGGTCCTCGACGTCATCCATGTCGTCGCTGGGGAGCTGCACCGCGCGGTCCAGCGCGACCGGCAAGCCCCGATGCCTGCCGCGCAGCATGACGAGCACGAGCACGAGCTTTGACCCAGAGTACCACCCGCCCGCGAAGCTGAAGTTGTTCCACGGCACGCCCAGACTGATGCCGACGCAGCCGTACGCGGACACGACCTCGAAGAGGATGTTGAAGACCGAGTACGTCACGGGGTCCTCGAGGAAGTGCTTCGTCTCGATGATTGCGATGAGCAGCACGGCCAGCACGATGAGCCAGAGGTCGTGCGAGAGCTGGCTGCGGATCTGGTGCCGCACGAAGCTCCCGCTCGTGTCGTTGTTGGCACTGGACGGCCCGGCATCGCGGAAGGGCGCGCTGCGCCGGTCGGAAGATTGGACCTGGCCGTGGCTGGTGGGAGGCACCACCGCGCCGACGCCGCTCCAGTCGAATAGTGTCCCGCGGATGGCGCGGCTGACCGAGTTGCGTCGCCGCTCTACGCGGCTCTGGCGGCTTCCAACCGAGGGGCTGCGTTGGAGAGGGTGCGAGATCGCATCCGAGTCTGGGTAGATGCCTAGAGACCGCTCTTCGTAGATGTTTGAGTGTCGCATGGTGATAACCACGGGATCTGGTTGTTGTTAGTATAGAGACGGGGGGAAGAAACGTGCGCCATGGGTTGATCTTACAAGCAGAGATGTACCTGTAGAATACTGGTCAGCCATATGAACAGAGCGCTAACAGCGAAGAGCCTGACTTACATCATCACAACATAGAGGACCTGCAAGCCAATGTAGAGGATCGGAATGGGCACAATGTAGAAGCCACCAGCTCGGACAGCTTTCAGGAAGTGTTAGTGTTGATAACAAGTCGCATGTATCTGCGTGGAACAAACTCAGGTGACTTACCAAGTGCTTGGAAAAGGCCGTTCATGATTCGTGATCCCACGGGAATCTTCTCCAACTCCGTGTTTCCCAAGTTGAGGATCTCATAAGCCACCCAGTCTGTCCCGTTGAGCAGGATGAGCATGAAGAGCAGCCACCACGTCTGCCGCGATCCAAACATGTTGGTATACACGCGACGTGGGTACTTGAGGATGTACGCCAATGTGTCCTTCCACTCCGTGAAGGAGCCACCTGGGGTCGCCCAGTTTAGCACCTTGAGCCCTGCCCAGATGCCGAGGCGCAGCAAGATTGGGTATGCCGTGTTACCGGCGAGAATCATGCAGCCCACTGTTGCATAGTCAGCAATCTCGAGCGCAGTGCGAACATGCCTGATATCGGTTGGTGCAGTGCTACTCACTGACGATCTGCACAAAGTAGGCGTCCTGGTATGGAATCATGTTGAGATCCAGAACACTCATGCCGCTGTTGTTGAAAGCCGACAAGCCATTGAAGACTCCGTTCCACCACGGGTTAATGGCATTGTCCAGAGCAGGCTGCGGCAGGTTCACGGCGATCCAGGCGCCGAGCGCAATACAGCCGAGGATCTGCCAGCAGAAGAAGTACGCGGGCACGATGAAGGAGAGGAGCTTCAACGCGCGATACTCGGTGCCGCCCAACTCGTCTCGGCGCTCCTTTGACAGCTTGCCGATGTCTCGAGCGTCCTTCTCGCTAGCAACCGTGTCTGTGCCGGCGCGGTGTTGACCGTGGCGTCGAGTCACACCCACATCGTGGCTATGAGATGAACGGTCCGCAAAGGTGATGTGGTCACCAGGAGAGCGGGGACTGGATGGCTCAGGCAGTGTCTCTCGCATAGCAAGGGTTGCGGGCTGGTCGGATGTCCCTGGCGTGTGTGCCTGTTGCGTGGCAGCCGGCTCTGATCCGGGGTCATGAATAGGTATCTGGGTATGCGACCGAGATGTTCGCAGTGTGCTTAACCGGGACATGAAGGACTGTCCCGTACCGCGGCGATCGAGCTGCCTCTGCCGCTCTCTGCGGACAACCTCCTTGAAGCGTTGTTCAAAGGCGTGCTTGCGCACTTGCACTGTCCAGATAGACACCCAGATCTGGCCGCCAATCACAATGAGGAAGGCCAGCAGCATTTGCTGGAATGTGGTCATCTGGCTGAGATTGATCGTCTAGGGGCCCCCGAGCTCATGGTCAGGATGGATGTCACTACGATTTGAGTCCGTTCTTCCACTTACATTGAGCCCAGCCTCGGTCATGGCCGAGGTCACGAGGAACAGACTGTCGACATAAGAGATGGTATAGGAGGGTTTCGACGAGCCCCAGAAAATGAGCGACGTCACGAGCGGGACGACAATAAAATAGGCATAATGGATCGTGATGAAGTTGAGTGGTGGGCAGACGGCTGCCAAGCCAGATAGAGCGGAGCTCAGGCCGGACCGCAGACGTCCGTCTGGGAAGCCTCTCATCGTGACGGGACTTCGCTTTTGATGATGTAGGATAGCTGGTGATGGGCAGGACAGGGCAGGCAGGACCGGCGTGTGTGGTCAGCCAGACGGTGCCGTCGTGACTGACGCTCGTGGTCGGCTGCTCAGCGCGAGCTGGAGTTGGTGCGAAGCTGGTGAAGTGAGCGTCATAGTCTCCAAACTCAGGATAAGCCGGTAATGGCGGTGTCGCGAAAAAAAGCCTGGTCCCTTTGCCCCACCGTAGCAGTGGCGCCACCCGAAATAGAGAGTAGAGGCTCTCGCCCAGTTGCAAGAGCCCGTGTGGGGGGAAAATACGTACCCCTAGCTCCGCCCTTATCTTACATTATGCTTGTGTTGATCGAAGCTTTTTATTTGTCGGCACTTTCAACAGGGTTGCATTGGCCCGTACACTCCGGTTGCGAGAGACACTGTTCAGGCAACCCTTGTTGACATCTAGCCAATTCGTCGTTCGATTCGGGCATATTCGAGGCTGAGATCATGTGAAAAGGGGCCCAGGGGCAAGACTTTCCAGAGGCGTGGAACGGATCAACATTACCACCAACAGCGGCTCACCGTCATGCGTGCATGGTTTATCATACTGCCCACTGAATGTATGCTTATGCTCTATGTGGACACGATATGCGAACCAAGCTGTCACCCATTCCCAGAATCTTCGACTCAGGATAGTGTACGATGATGCCTAGGCTCAATTGATTTAACTGGTCTCATAAGACACAAACACCGGCAGCACACATAATCCAGGCCTAATCGCTTACTCTTTAACCCCTTACCCCGAGACACCATATCATGACTTAAACGACAGCAGCCACCTGAGCAATGACGGCGTCAAGTTTCTCCTGAGTGATGGGATCATCCTTGCGCTTGTAGCCCTCGTTGAAGGGAATGCGCTCTTGCTCTGCACAGACAACATCGATTAGTATATACGCGCCACCATTCACCACACCATGTCCCATAGCTGCACCACAAGACAAAACTCACCAAAGAGGATCTTGACATATTTGGTCTTTGGGTTGCCGTTCACCATGTCGCCCAGGGCGATCTGGTACAGGGCCGTGTCGGCGACAGAGGCCTGGGTGCCGAGGTCGTTGAGGGTGAACTCAGGGTTGGCAGCCTGGGCAGCGGCGAGGCGGTTGAGGCGGATCTTGCCGGCCGTGGCGATGGGCACCGTGGGGCCCGTCATCTGGGAGACGGTCGTCTTCCACGTGGCCTGGTCAAAGGGGACCTGGTCGCCAAAGTACATGTCCTTGCGGGAGAGCGAGCCGTCGTGCTCGATGACGTTGTGCGCGCCGAGGTCGTGCAGGTTGAAGGTCGAGGCGTTGCCCGTGGTCGAGATGGTCAGCGCAATGTTGCCGACCTGCGTCAGGATGTCGGCGACAAAGTTGACGCCCTCCTTGAAGCCGTTCTGCAGCTCCGGCAGCGAGATGTTCTTGCCGTTACGCGAAATATAGCCGTGGTTCGCGATGGCGTTCAACATGGGGCAGGGAGAGCGGCCTGTGACGACGAGGGCGACGGTGAGCGAGCTGTGCCAAATAGTAGGACGAAGTCACAATGAGTGCATCAGAAAGACTCACTGTAGCCAGGCTTGGGGGCCTGCCAACCGTGACCAATGGGATCGGCGGTAACGGCGGCAACGAGAGCTGCAGTGCTGGCGACGGCCGTAAACTTCATGATGGGCGAAAGAGTGTAGAGAGTGAGCAGCTAATCACAAAGAACGAGAGGCTTGGCGGATGCAGAGATGGTAGGATCGACATGAGCTCGATACACACAGGGATGCAGCGCATCGTGATATTTAAGTCACCGCGCGATGGTAGGTAGCCCAAGCGAGGACACTGCTCGATGAACGAGCAAGGGTTGTGTCACCTGTTATCGTTCCCAGTCCGCGCGTGGTTACCGAAAGGGGAAGATGTGGCCGATGTTCTCGATCTAGGGCAGTCATTGTTTTCGCGCGGGGGCTCTCCAGACCAGGGACAGTACCATGTGCCCGGCCCCTCCGCAGCTTGCGAGCTTGAAACCCAGATTGGCAGTGGCAGATGTGCTGGCTCTCGATTCCCAACGCCAGGGATAATGAAGACGGGGTCTTCTCCGCTGATGGTGGCATTGGCGCGCATTCGTCCCCCTGTAGTGGTTGTGGGAGGCCAGGGGCCAGGCAGCGCTGATGACCTCTGCCGGTGTCGTGATTGGCAAGTGCCGGGAGGCCCCGGCCTATGTTGTTGTTATGCTTGTGCCATGGCGCAGCATAAGGTTGGAAGCGTCCGGCTCCGTTGCAGAAGCCAGCCTTCACGTGCTTGACGCTCTCGACGTGGGAAATGTACAACCCATCATCGAATCTATGATTCCGACTGTTGTTGGTTGTTGTTTTGCCTTGACAGCGCGACTTCAGCTTCATGCTTCCTCCTCATGCTGTCACTGTCAAAACCAGCGGGTCGAGCCAAGATCAAGGGCCAGATCGGCGACTCCAACAACAGTGGATCCACGATTGCCTTTGGGCGGGTTACAGCGCACATGGGACCCCGGGCTTTTCCCCTGCATGTATTTCCCTGTTCTTGACCATGTGGCCGTGGCTGCATCACCGGCAGAGAGCATAACGCCACGCAAATTGGGTCAAGGGAGGGAGCAACAGCAACAGCAACGCCACGACGATCACGGGCGACGACGACCACCACCACCACCACAACAACAACGGCAGCCAGTTAGAGGCATGCAGGACAGCATGGGCCTAGATCCTGGAGCGGCCCTTGTGGTATCGCCAGCTGAAGCCCGATCCGAATGCAACGCTCTTTGTCACTTTCCAGAAAGGGGCATCGAAAGCCTTGGCAAAGCGGTAGGCTGAAGGTAGAGGCGACATGAGCTGCAGGCCTCGAAAGCTCAGGGGTCTCTCGCATTACACTTCAGGAATTGTCTGGTGGTTCTCCTCCATGTGATGCTGTCTGTGATCACGGCCCCGTTCGTAGCCTGTCAAGGGGGAAGGCGACTTTATTTCTTCCGCTGTCGGGCAGTGGCTTGCCATATCCAGTACTCAAAGTGTTGAGATCGTCATGGCTTGATTGCTTCCAGCGAAATTGCCAGCCCGGCACGTCTTCCAGTAGGACGGACCCCTCCTAGGTCCATGTTGGCGCGCGCACACCACAGAGTTCTCCCCGCAACAGCCGCAGCATGCGCCGTGGATTTTCGGGGTGACCCACTGAAGCCTGCCTGGAAACCCATTCCGCGGGGCTAAGAAAGTCCCAAGCCCAAGATTGGACTTCTCAGCCGTAACCAGGGTCCTGCCATGTCGGGAGAGGCGGAGCTTAAACCCAAAGCCGGCAATGGTGAGGACTTAGCCTCGCGCGTGATAAATTGAATGATGAGTGCCAGGTCACACAAGGAGTAGCATGCAAGAGGTGGCTGCGGTACGGCGCCGCGTGGGAAACTAGCGAGGCAGGGTCTGGAGTCAACCGGCCACTCTACCGCTGGAGTACCCCTACAAAGTGACAGGCCTTCTCTGCTCCCCGCCTCGGCAAGCTACTGGCCGCGGAATGAATGCGGAACAGCCACGAGGGGGAAGGTCTGCAGAGGGGCGGCGTGCCCCAATCATGGGGATTCAGAGTCCAGTCCCAAGTACACAACGACAGGCTATTCAGCTCCGCGACCCATGCTCCTCCAGTATGTCAGGACTCCCAACACGCCATTCAGGAGTCTGATGTTCGCATGCGGGACAGCTGGCCATCTGATATTCCCTATCGAGTGGAGAAGGGCTGTCGTGATGGAGCAGTGCCGTTCTCCACTTACTTGGGTGGTTCCTCGACGCTGCTGCCAAAACCCCTGAGTACTACGGAGTCAGGGCCATGGGCATCCTAGATGCTGATCGGCAAGGCACGAGCCACGGCGCCCCGTCTGAAGCTATCCTGCACCATCCTATGTGGGCCAGGTTCCAGAAGACGGGAGACTCTTTCTGATCGCATCATGACACATTTTGGCGACGACGCTCAAAGGAAGCTAGCTTACCTCTGGTTTTTTTTCACAGGCATGCATCATTTCACATGTTCCGCGCATCACACGAATGAGCACTGTAGCACTGTGAACGACTTTTTAATGATGTTTGTGTGGGGGTCAACTGGAACAAGTTGCATATCTCACAATCGCACTTTCTCGTGTTCAAACAAGATAGTCAATTATTCCAGGCAAACGCCATTAGAAGTAAGTATGTCCTCATGGGAATCATGTTGTCATTTGATCGTCAATCTCGTGCTTTTCGTGTCGTCAGACTAGCCTCAAACATCATACTCGACGTCCGTCCGGATGATGTACTTGGCGCCCTTCCTCACGCCCGTGCCTTCGTGCAGCAGCGCGCCCTTGCTCTCGCCATGCGGGAACAGCGCGATGGAGCCCATGACGGGCTGCACGGGGTAGGCGTTCATGACGCCCTCGCGCAGGCTGGGCGTGAAGAAGGTCGTCTCGCCGCCCTCAAAGTCGTCGTTGAGGTAGACGAGGAAGGTGAACAGGCTCGACTGCTTGGCCTCGGGCGGGGACGCGTCGTAGACGTACTTGCCCGTCTTGGGGTCCACGCCGGACGGCGGCCAGGCCCCGTCAAAGTGGCAGCGGTACTCGGCGCCCGGCACGTACCGGTAGACTCTGAAGCGCCGGTTGATGCCGCGCGCCTTCCTGCCGTCCAGCTCGGTGGGGATGAAGGGCTTGACTCGGTCCCAGAGGACATCGTGGAAGGCCTGGTCCACCATCCAGTAGACATTGTGGGCGAGGATGCTGGCCTCGGCGCCGTCATCGCGCAAGGGTGCGTCGGGTAGGAAGCCGACCTTTTCGCAGGCGGCAATGATGGACTTGCACTCGTCGGTGGAGAGGACGTCGCGCATGAGCGACAGGTTCGGCACGGACGGGTGCTTGTGGAACGTGGTGGTGGTGGGCGGTGTCTGGGAGAGCGGCACTGCATTGTCGTCGCTGAGGTAGACGATGGCGTCGTGGCTGTTTGGCGGCTTGCGCTCGGCGGCCGGGGTGCGGTCGAGGACGTGGAAGTTGTCGGGGACGCCGGGCGGGCAGTGCTGGGATATCGAGCCGTCGAGCACGCTCTGGCGCACGGGTAGGGGTTCGCGATGGCGCAGGTTCCAGTGCTCGTGGAGGGCGATGGGGTCGTCGACGGTGAGACAGCGGGCGGAGGGCTGGAGGTCGAGAGTGCCGGTGACGCGGAGGACCGAGTCGAGGACGCGGAGGGACTCGCGCTGCTGGGGGGAGCGGGTGAGGGCGAGCTGGTGGTTTGCGGCGGCGGGGGAGGCCGAGGCGAGGTCGACGGCGCCCGAGGAGAGGCCGCTGGTGACGTCGAGGTCGCGGACCCAGCGGCAGAGGGCGCCGAGCTTGGGGGCCTCGTTGCGGATGCGCATCTCGGCGAGCAGGACAAGGGCGTCGGTGTACTTTGCGTCGACGAGGGCGGCCGAGATGCGCGCCGTGAGGTTGCCGGAGCTGCCAGTGATGGGAGTGGCAGAGGTGCCCGTGGTGCAGGCCTGGCGGAAGTCGTAGACGGCGGCGCGCAGGTCGCGGCAGCCCTTGGCCTTGATGACGGCCGGGTTCTGCGCCAGCGTCTGCAGCGTCTCGACTGTGATGTCGAGCTCCTCGGTCGAGATGACGGATGCCAGCGTGGCCGTGGTGGTCGAGGTCGTCGAGTCGGGCCCGGTCTGAGGAGGCGAGGGCAGGCCGTGCTGGCGTTTGGCCGCAGGCTGGTGCTGTTGCTGGTGCAGGCCTGCCGCGGCGGCCTGCTCGAGCTTGCGCTTGGCGTTCTTCTTGGTCTTGGACATTGTCGCGGCCCTGCGTGCGGATGCCGATTGAAGGTGTTCTCTGGTCGGTCGTGGTTTGTTCAATCGTACGAGGTGGTGATGGAAAAAAGAGGGCACAGTACACTTGCAGTGGCAAAACAGCCCCCCAGAGCTGGACAAGACGCCCCAAACTTTAGGCGGGGCTGTCCATTGAGGGTCCTCATTCGCTGTGGGGTCACGGACAGCTTATCTTATCGCATGTCACCATCCCGTCCTCACAGAGGTTCCCAGCCGTAGTTGCCAGGAGCACGTAGGAGAGTCACGGCATGATTTATTCTGATGAGACGCGAGGTAATGTAGTATGCTGTAGGGCAGCGAATCGATCCAACGGATCGATATTCCGGGTTGTGCTGGGAGGTGTAGAGGTGTGATCACTCACCAGGCCCTAACATTATCACACCAAGCCGCAATATGCTGTCTTGCACCTTGCACTCCTTGACAATGCCGTGTTATTTGTAGTAGTGGGCAGAGATCAAAGGACTTGTGGTTTCTTTCAAGTCGAGCTTTTACGTCTCTCGAATGCATGGCGTCACTGCTCCTTAGACACTCTGAGTGTTTGGGGGTTTGCATGTGAGCAGCACAGTCAGTGCGGATGTCTAGCAGCCCTATGGCGAGGATCTGGGGGCGTCGGTGAGCTAGCGATTCGATTTGTTATTCTTGCAAGCTATAAGCATCAAGTTCCTCGGCGATATCCTATAGTCAAAGATTGGCAAAACCTCCACCTCTTCCCCTCCATTCTCGGTCAGAAACAAATACCGGTCGAGAGCAATCACGCTCTCGACAATCTTGCAGCACATGACACTGAGCGTCCACAGGATCGCGATCCTCCCGCTGTGGCCCCGATACCGATCCTCATATGCCGCGAGCTCTTCGTCGGTGATCCTCACCCCGTCAATGCCGAGACACGACACGGCCCTGCGCGTAAAGCTGGCCAGGCTGTCCATGTCGCCCTTGCGCACGCCCCAGACGGGCCTCTTGTCCGCCGTCCCGCCAACCTCGATGCCTTTGTCGAAAAGGATCTTCTCCAGCACCGCCCGGTACAGCCGTCGCTTCGAATAGTCCGACGAAGACTCCTTTTCGCCGCTCAGGTCCGCCCTCTCCCAGTTGTTTGGGGCCTGGCAGCCCGTCATGAGCGCCGTCGCACTCAGCTGCACGCCTTGTCCTCTCATCTTTTCACTGATGGGGAAACCGTCAGGGCAGGCCGCCGAGCGCGGGACGATGTGGTTGTAGCAGCACCCGACGGTCCCGAGGCACGTGATGAAGGGAGCCTCGACAAAGAACCGCAGCATGTGCTCCGACAGGTTGCCGCACGCGTGCAGGCCGACGAGCATGCACTTCTCGCCAGCTGCCCAGGCGGCCATTTCCTCCGTCAGAGACGATGCGGCCGATGCCGACGACGACGACGACGACGAGCGCCCGCCGCCGCCCTCGATGAAGCGTCGCAGGTGCTGGATTCTCTGCTCGGGAACCCCGAGGCTGGCAGCGGCTGCCCTTGAGGCGGCAAGCTGGGTCTCGCTGCCGTCGATGGCGAGGATCCGCAGATGGGGAAAGAGGTAGGCGAGCGAGACGCACAGGTAGCCTTGTCCTGAGCCCATGTCGATGATGTGGGTGATGTTTTTGGTCTCACAGACGTGGTGGATGTACGCTGCAGCGGTAGAGACCTCGGCAATCTTTTTTGTCTTCATCCGGCCCGTGAGGACAGGAGGAAGATCGATAGTCGGGCCGGGGCGCTGCGAGCGAGGCAGAGAAAGAGATTGCATTGTTCTGAGCCATGTCGTCAGCGACTCTGGCCGGTCTGATGGATTCAGAGCTCTTCGGTTCTCATTGTTGTTGTTGGTCTCATTTTTCGTTGGCGAAATGGTGCTTAGCTCCTCGATGCTGTCAACCAGGTCCTGCTGCACGAGGCGGTGATCAGGTATGGACGACCACCAGGCTGTCCACTCCGCGGGCAGGGCCTCCCAGGCATTGTAGATCAACGCATCGTTCACGTGGATATCGCCTGTGATCTGACGAAACAGGGGCGAGTCAATGAAACGTGAAAGGTCTTCTGCGTAGGTGTCAATATTGGAGTATGAGCCTGGTAGGGTGATCATGGTGTATCTGCCCTGTGTTTGCCGTGACATGTGGGAACAAGGGGATGTATTTTCCCTCTGGATTCCTCGCTAGTGGCTTGATAAGCCCTGTCGACCGTGGCGATAAGGATGAAGGATCTCACTTGCTAACTTACCACAGTTCCTTCAGTGACCAGGTTTTACCTTACTTTTTGTGGGGCTGGCGATTTGGCCCTCATTGGGTGTGTTGATGACTGCCGATGCTTAAAATGATATTTGTCTACCAGTGCGTAAGTCACTTCAGATAATATGTTCACAAGTTGAGCACGCAAGGAGCATAGCCTGTGCACCTCGCCCGAGCCCTTTGGAGTAATATAGCGCAGGAAAGCGTGACATCCCAAGCTCGCATGATCACAATGGGTACGATGCTTGCATGTGAGCGATTGAGCGGATCCTGAAATCCAGGCGCAGGGCAAAGAGATCCAAAGTCTGCGAGTTCAAAAGCCATGGTGCTGAGTCGGTTGGAAACCGCAAGTTACTGCTCATCATGTAACAGAGACCTTGGCCGAGGAAAATTGACTTCCATATGAGGACAACCTTGATAAAAACAGAGCCCATGTACCCATCCGTCAACACGGAGGCGGGGTATTGCCTCGTCTTGGATAGAGCGCTTGTCGGCGACTTCCCGAAGCGAGACATGGCGGCCTAGACTATGTGTGTTGTGATGCTCCGAGCTAAAGCCAGCTCCGGAGAAGAACGTGAAAACCATAGCGTCGTGTGGTTGGTCAGATACGAACATAGCACGGCATGGTGCATCATGCCCTTCATTCCAGAGCCTAGCGAATTGCAGGCTTCTATCGTGGGATTTGGCTGTCACCAGCTCGAGCGCCATGGTGAAGAGGTACTCCTGTGCGGGTGTAACACGTTCTTTTCTTGGAGCATCCTCTACCAAGTAGTCATCGAGGCAATCAGCCAGGAAGAAATGACTCTCCCTACGCAAGCGCACGACGAGTTCCAACAGGCTTCTTCTGTGACTAGACTGAAGACGTCCCCGCACGGATAGATCTTCAGAAGGAGGCGTCTCATGGCCGAGCGAGGATGAAGCAATCCGATCCCCGGACAGCCTCCAAAGGTGACCGCGAGTCGCTATGCCATCAGCTTCTAGGGAAACATTGTTGAAACGACAGCGCTTGATGAACGTCGTAGACCGGCAATGGCTTGCTGGGGTTTGGAGCCCTGTGAATATCTGCTCCATAAGCCAAGCGGACGTCGTCATTCCCAGTGATGCTTTGGCTTCGCAACCTTCACGATTATCAAGAATCTCGCCGTTGAGCAGGTACATGGCTAATACAGACAGGCTTGGACTGTGTCCCTGTCGTCTGAGAGACGCGGCGTCGAGGCGTACTGGATACGGGCAGCAGTTGGCGATAATGGCAAGTCGGTCCCAGGTCTTCGTCACGCCTCGCGACTCGACGTGGGCCACGATATCGGGGGTCAATGGACTAGACCCGCTCAAACACAGCGCATATCTCTTAAACCTTTGCAGCACCCTTTGGATCTGATGTGACTCGACGCGTCCGAGCTTCGACCCAAGTCCACGCAGCGCTAGGCACAGCCTTGTGGCTTCGGCAGACAGATTGGCCGATGACATGCCCATCATAAACACACGGTCCGATCGAGGCACGGCGTGGCTTGCCAGCGGCTACGGCAGCGGCGACGACGGTGGCAGTTCACGCCAGCCGGGACCTCGAAACCGAACAGAAGGCGGCGGAGGCGATCGAGCAGCAGGCGTGTAGTGGCTACGCCGGACGGGCTTGGAGGCCCGGGGGACGGACAAGAGGGGCGCCCGGGGTCGGCGGTGCCGCAGGTTGACAGCGATGACGGCCCGGTGCCCACCATCTCTACCTTTTCTTGCTCATTGCCTTCCACGGCATGCTGAACACCAAACTTAGAATATGGCAGTTTCCAACCAATCTGACCGCACAGCCTTGCCAGCGGCGCTTGTAGGACGCCGCGTGCGACGAAAGGGGACTCGTGTTGCTCATCGGGGTAGGCCATAGCTCAGATGGCGAATTGAATTTTTCCCTCGGACTCCATCCATCTGAAATATGATTATATTATCGCTTGAGACCGTAAATGACCTTCAGTGCCAATGACCTCGTTCTGTACGAGGAAGGAGGTCCAGTCAGTGCCGAGAAAAAGTCTATGGACGACCGAGTGGCCCTCTTGACATCACCAAGACGAGGCGTCCGCTCGCTCAGACTTCAGACAAGGGTCAGTCTGGTAATCGGCACAGCCGAAAACGCCGCCCTAACCTTTTCTTCCATCAAAGCTGACTCGTCTGGCTCGTCTCCCCAGGGGATAAACCCTTTCGGAGGGCTGTGGTTGCTCATGACCATCCCGACGCGCCGGTAACAACCCTCGCCAGCACCGCTCGCCTTCTCCACGACCAGGAAAAACTCGAAGGGTCCCTTCCTGTGGGGTTCTCGCCGCCTCGACGACCCGAGAAAAGAGGCTATCCGCAGGCACCACCAAGACGTGGAGTTGGCAGCTCGCGTGTCGCCAAACTTCTGGTCGAGGAGCATGGACCCAAAGGACCCGATATCCGACTCCCAAGAGGCAGTTGGAACGGATCCGATGTCGCTGTCCCCGAAAATGGTAACAGGGAGAAGTCTTCCCCTGACGTCGACCTCGCCCCTGACGACCTCGCCGAAACTGCCAGTGTGCTTCTCGACGATCCGAAACTCATCGACCTGCAGGTCGAGCTCCGGCATCTCGATATGCACACCGGGGTATGCGGTACCGGCGATGAAGATGTGGGGATACGCCACCTGACCGTCGACCGAGGCCCAGCTCCACGACGGGGCTCGATCAACGCGCCTGACGAGCGATGTGCCGGTCGTGCGACCCCAAGTGAGTCCGCTGAGGAAATGCTCGCGCCACAGTCCGGCTGCGTAAGTAAGGTTGAAGAGGTGGGAGAAGCGCGCCGCGACGCCGGCCATGGCGGGCAGCTTGTCGGTCGGCACGGATAGGCGCCGGTCGGCGAACTCGGCAACGTACTGATGCCAGGTGTATATTGGCGCGGGGCTCGGCTGCGCCGTTGATTGCCGGCGGATGAGGTCGGCCCAACCCTCCTTGACGCTCATGGTGCTTACGGGATACATTTGGCCGCCGCGGTCCGCCGAGGTCCCATCGGCTAGGTAGCACACTTGACAGCATTCCCACTGGATGCCCGCGCTGGTGCATCTGAGTGTTGCCGGCGACACCAAGGTTTCCTGGAACACCCAGCCTCTGGTGTCTAGATGTTTGTCGTTAATGGCTCGATTTTCGTATGGTGGTGTTGCCAGGGCGAGGATACACGATGGGTCGCCACTGGCGGCACTGGAAGCGAGCACGCGGCTGTGGTTCGAGAGCTTTGGCACTAATCCCTGGTCGCAGTCTAAGGCATCGAGCGCGGCAATGTTGACGGTGCATCTCTGATATATGTCTGTCATGGCGGCAGACTGTTCCGCCCAATCAGCTGGATCATCCTGGACGATGCAGAGTGCGTCAATCCAGAGGTAGCGAAACCCCATGGCCCTCGCTAGGCGAACTGCATCTTGGAGCGTCGTGGGCATCGCTTCAATGGGTATTCCGTGGCGGTGAGCATCCAGGTTGCTCGACAGGGTCTTCAACGACGTGGCAGATCCCCAGCAGTAGCTGAGCGTCGCATAGGGAACAGATTCGCCCTGTGTCACGTATAGCGATACGTCCTCAACCGAAGTCGCTAGGTCAAGGATTCGTTTTGGGAGGACGCCGTGGCCACGTACAGCGTTACACGTCTCGTGGCTGTTCGCACATTTAGTCGACCACTCTAGGGCAAGTGCAGCGCCTTTGTTGGTGTCCAAGACTCTTGTGTCGTACAACATCGGGGCATCCGGGCCGAGGGATTCGGACCCGTCTGCATCCACCAGGGTATAGCGAGTCTGATTCCAGATATCGAAGTTTGGAGTGCTGTAGGGTCGTCGGGCTACTTGGAAAAGTAGAACATTCAGAATCACATGCTTGCCGTCGCTGGCAGTCCCGCCGCCGTGCCATGTGTAGACGCTAAAGTGCCCGATAGAACCTTCCTTGGCTTGAACACCGTATCCAGTCGCCTCAGGGACGTAGCGATTTCGCAGTTCCCGAGTCAACAACGAACAGAGGCAACATCTGCAGAGCACTTTATCAGCGAGGCCCAAGAGCCATCGGATCGCAGAGATAGAGGTTACAATTTGATGCGAGGGGATGAGACAATCTTCCATGTTGGAGGTGGATAGTCCCAGGAGGTCTGACCGGAGAAAGCATCGTTGACCATGTAAGTACAATTCCGACACAGCGTGCGGTCAATATTCAACCCTCGAGTCGCCCCCACCGAGAAGGCTTGAAACGATATTTCTTCCATGGTGTGTTTGGGCAGCCTTTTGTCGAGCTGCTCATGGAAGTCTGGCCACGGGCACTACCAGTGCTAAAGCCTGGCGCCGAGAAGAACAAACCAACGTCGCGGGGATGTACGGCGTCCTGTGTTGCTGCCCGACGGCTTATGTCTGTAGTCGAGAACGTGCTGTTGTCCCCGCAGGGTTTGGCGGCAATCTAAAAGGGCTTAGCGTGGTTGTCAATTTGCTACTATACCTAATCTGGCTCGGTCGAGAATACATAAGTGAGCTCTCATTCCCACCACTTTCTTGTACATTTGACTTCGTTCAACCTTTCTCTCATCACGCCATGCGCTTCAGCTCAGATGATCCCTCCTGTTTATCTCGCTCCGCCACCTCCTATTCTCTATGAACCCCTACCGCGCAAAAAAAATCACTATCTAGAGCCTATCACATCGCGGCTTCCACAGATTTATCATCGAAAGTTGTCAGCTCGTTATCAACGGCCTGGATGATCACATGGAAATCAATCGTGGACTTAGGAATGAGTCATTGAGGGCGTATCTGCATGATTATCGGCTGCAAACACGTCAACATTAGCACAGTCTTCGTTGACACGATGAAGCCCGCGCGCTTCGGAACTCGGAGCGCTCATCTCAGTGTCTTTGACAGAAACCGCGGAACCGGCTTTGAAGGAATAATAGCATATCGTGGGCTTCTCTGTGTCTCGGGCGTCTCTAGGAAGATCACATTTGACAGACTGGCCTCGTCGGCTGATCCAGCTTTTACCGAAGTCACATTATGTTTATCTAGTGGTCATTCGTCGACGGGACTTAACCGGGTATCACGGCGTCCAGTAACATTATCTCCTGCACTACGTGGGCTTTCTTGGAAAGGGGCGGATTCATCGGCCCCCGGCTTCTGGGGTATCAAAGAGACTTGGTCAGAAACCCACCAAGAAATGAGGGTCAGTGACATGGACAATGTAGCAACCGAGTATATAAGCTACAGTTGACCTCATGCTGAACGGATTGAAACTCTTCTTTTCATCACTGCCTTTCACTCATTACCGCTTCACCCTCATCGCCATGCATATCACCCTAGATCATCAAGAGTTCTATGTTCCGGGCTCAGCCAATGCTGATGCTGCTACATACCAGCCAATGAAACGGAAAGCGCCTGCCTCTTGGACTTATCCTCCTCCTCCTCCTCCTCTGGCTCCTCTGGCTCCTCTGACTCCTTCTTCTTCCTCTTCTTCTCCGCCTCATTCTTCTCCGCCTCCTCATAAAACCGGCCAGCGACATCCCAATGTCTGGTCAAACCCAGCTAGCAGTCGACAGCCACAATGCCCCAGGAACAGCTGCGACGATAACTGGCCAATGGATCTCAACGCCGCACGTCCGCTGCTGTGTTCAAGCAAACCAGCGGCCAAATGCAGCCCACAGCGTACGTCCAGCTCCCGCAGCATGCAACCGCAGTTCATCATTCGTCTCCAGTTATAGTAGCAGTATTACTAACTTAATAAACGACTCAATACCCATGGTCGGAGCTTTTCATCGAATAATTCGCCCATAACGTGTTCCTTCATCGATCTTTTATTATAGCGCGATTCTCCAGGTCCGAAAGGACAGAGAGGCGCTCCCGCATCGTCCGCGCATCGAACGCGCGGAATGGCAGAGCCGATGGTTATCGTGGGGGCTGGTGCCGGGCTCGATCAGAGTCAACACCACCCGCACGCGGGCCGCAGCGCAGAGGCGCCGCAGGCGACACGCGCGCACACCGAAGGCGACACTGAGGCGAGCGTTCGAACGCAGGACTCGACCGTCGAACAAGAAATAGCCGACGTCTTTGGGATTGAGGATAAGGCGCGCCTCCACGACCTCCTCGAGAAATTCTACGCCCTCCGCGTGCGGCGCGACCGAGCCTCGAGCGCGACGCGTACCCACACGACCGACAAACACATCCAAGCCATTATCGCGAAAACCGTACAAGCAACCATCGACGCACAGGAGAAGAAACAGAAACCCACATGGGCCGCGGTCGCGTCGAGCGCGCAGCTTAGTAGCAGCGCATGGCAACCCCGGGTTGTCGTCCCTGAACGCAGGGAGAGACAGGCGATAATATCGGCCCCCGAGGGAAATACACTCCCTGACAGGGACCCCAAAGCCACGGTAGAGGCAGTGAACGCGGCCCTGCGCGGCGGAGACGCCGTAGCAGCGATGCGCCTTCAATCCGGCGATGTTATAATTACCTTCGCGAGCAAGGCAGCTAAGCCCGGACGCGACGACCAGTGGGTGGAGGCGGCCTTCGGCCGGGGAGCGGTCCTGAGGCACCGCGAAGTCGCGGTGATCGCGAAGGGCTTGCCAACGGCGCTACTAGCGGCTGCACACGACGAGCGCGCTCTAGCTGCGCATCTAGCGACGGAGAATAAGGTGGGCATTACGAGGTGCAAGAGGGACCTCCCCAGGAACAACCAGGCAGCAAGCGCGTCGCTTATTATTTTCACGAACGGCGTAAGCGCAGCGCAGGAGCTGGTCCAGCGCGGGTTAGTCTGGCAAGCTCGGATCTTCGACTGCGAGCCCTACGACCCCAGCCTCCGGTTCCTCCAATGCTACAACTGTTACGGTTACGGCCATCGAGCCCGGGTATGCAAGGCTAAGCCGAGGTGCGGGCACTGCGGCGGCGCCGCGCACGAAGGTGGCGAAAAGAACTGCACGAAGGCGGCGCCGAGCGCCAGAAAGACATGTGTTAACTGCCAAGGACCACACGCGGCGTGGGACCGGCGCTGCAGAGCAGCGCAGACGGAGCGCGAGCGAGTCCGTGAGGCGTTCGCTCACCGGGCCCGCCGCTTCGAGGTGGCCGACAGCGTATCGACCGTGTCGGCACTCCGGAGTGAAAACCACACTACGGTACCACCAACGAGCGCCCGCGGGGAGCCCGCCCCGACAACGACGCGCGACGAGTGGCAGGTCGTACAGGGGAGAGAACCCTCAAGGCCCCGCGGCCGCCCACGGAAGCAAACAGTATCGAGCGTCGGGGGGAGCCAGGACAGGGCCATAACGTCAATGTTCACTGCGCCCGCGAAGCGAAGGCGCGGCGACGGAGGATCGATCGCAGCACCACCGGAGACGAGCTCAACCCGATCAACATGAAGCTCTCAGTCCTATACTGGAATACCGCAGCAAGCAGAGAGAACGCAGCGCTCGCGCTAGAAAGCCGCGCCGAGTACGACGTCATCGCGATACAGGAGCCCTGGACCAACAGGGACACAGGGGGGGTCTACTGCCCCAGCCGCTGCCGCTACATAGCGGTCTACGAGGGAGGCAGGGCGGCGCTATATGTGCATAAACGACACGACCCAGCTACGTGGGCGCAGCGCGGGGGCACCGACTGGTGCGTCGTTACCTTCGGAGCCGAGAACGCGGCGATACATATATGGTCCATCTACTCCCCGAACCAGACGGACCCGGAGAGCTGGGACAGCCCACTACGCGACTTCCCCGAGATGGCGCCGCGTGGGCGGCACGTACTCGTAGGGGACTTCAACACCCACCACCCGCTCTGGGACTTGCACGGCCGGACCTCTATCCACAGCGCCGCGCTCCTCGAGTTCGCGCAGCGCTGGCGCCTCGAGCTAGCCACGCCCTACGGGGAAATCACACGACAACGCCACGGTCATAGGGATTCAACGATTGACCATACGTGGGCCTCCAGGGACATCAGGGTCGCCTTCGAGGGGGATGCAGGGCTTGAAGGGTCCGACCACCGTTCGCAGCTTATACGCATCGCGGAAGCCGCGGTCCCGCAGGGCCCGGAGCCGGAAGGATGGAACTGGAAGATGCTCGACAAGAAGATGGCCCAACTCGAGGCGAAGCGACGATTCGAGGGCATGCCGCCCCCGCTGCTCACGCCCGCCCAACTCGATAGCAGGGTGGACTGGCTAATCCTACAACTTGAACAAGTCGCGAACGCGGCGGTACCGAAGCGCACACGATCTAAAGGCGGGGGGGCGGACTGGTGGTCACCCGAGGTGGAGGATGCATGCGACAAGGCCAAGGCGGCCAGGAGAGAGTATACAGCACGACCCGGCCCCTATACTTGGCAGAGGTGGCAAGACGCGACACGGAACCAGAAGACCACGATCGGCGACGCGCAGGCGAGGCGGTGGCGCCACTGGCTCGCTGTCGCATCGGAAAGGGACCGCGATATATGGGCTCTCGAGAAGTGGGCGCGGCTCCGAAGCTCCGCCCCGGCAGACTCTGGGAGAATCCCCGACCTACAGCGCAGCGCAGACGATACGCAACTAGCGCGCACGCACGAGGAGAAGGCTGGGGTTCTTGCGGCCCGATTCTTTCCAGCACCTATTATCACACACGGAGCTAATGAGCCGGGACCTACCCCGGAGAAATCCATCGAGATCGAGAGGCGGGTGAGCACCGAGGACGTAGCGCAGAAGCTCCAAAAGACGTCGCAGTGGAAGGCCCCTGGGGTTGACCTTATCCCGTCAGGCCTACTCCTACACTGCGGACCACCGCTGCACCAAGAACTCGCATACATCGCGGACGCCTCCTTCGCACTAAGCTATTTCCCGCAGCGCTTCCGATGCGCCCGCGTAGTAGTTATACCTAAGCCTGGAAAGACGAAGGCGCAAAAGGGAACGGTAGCAGCCTGGCGGCCCATCTCGCTTACTAGCACAATTGGAAAGCTCCTTGAAGCGATACTAACTGAGCGAGTCGCACTCGCTGCGGAAACGCACCTTCTGCTCCCACAAGGCCAGATGGGCAACCGCGAGGGCCGCTCCACTGAGCTCGCGGTCAAGCTCGTCCACGACGTAGCGCATACGACGTGGGCACGAGGCGGCCTCGTCTCGCTACTTCAGCTCGACATTAAGGGGGCCTTCGATACGGTGGACCATATAAGGCTTCTCCAGGTGCTCCGACGAAAGGGATTCCCCCAGTGGGTAGTCGGATGGGTGCGCAGCTTCCTCGACTCGCGAACGGCGCAACTCTGCTTCGACGGTGCTACATCAGATCCCCTCCCTGTTCGGGCCGGGGTGCCCCAGGGCTCACCGTTATCCCCGGTCCTCTTCCTGCTCTATATCTCCTCGCTATATGATGCACTAGCCGCGCACTCGCAGCTAGTAATCGTCGGCTACGCCGACGACACAAACCTAATGGCCGTCGGCACGGACCCGGCCGATACCGTTCGCGCCCTCGAACGGGCCTGGACTACCTGCAAGGTCTGGGCGGAGGAAATGGGGATGGCGTTTGAGCCAGCGAAGAGCGAACTCATGCATATGACACGCGCACACGCGGCGCCTTCGACGAGCGTTCGCCTTGACGGCGTGGAGGTACAACCGGTCGACGAGGCCAGGTTCCTTGGCGTCTGGCTGGACAGGAAACTCCGGTGGACGGGCCATATAAAAAGGACGAAGGCGAAGATGAAGTCCCAGACCCTCGCGCTTACGAGGCTAGCAGCGACTACGTGGGGATGTAGCCTCGCACGCGCGCGGCAGATATACCTTATGGTAATACGTAGCGCCCTGTCATACGGCGCCAGCGTCTGGCACACCCCCACACCAAGGACCGGCAAGAAAGCGACGGGCCCGAGCAGCGAACTCGCATCGATACAGTCGGAGTGCCTCCGCGTTGTCTGTGGGGCGCCGCGATCAACCCCTATAAAGTACCTTGAGGCTGAAGCCTGCGTCCCCCCCCTGGACCTACACCTAAACTATATCGCCGCAAGCTTCCAGGAACGGATCGAGCGGAAGGATAAAGAGAAGCTTATACGCATCGCGTGCGCGCGAGCGGCGGGTATCGTAAACCGCGCGCTCTGGGCACGCCGGAAACGGAACTCAACGGCGATCAACCTACTGCCGAAACCTGACGAGGTCCTGACGCACCGAGCGGATGCACTCCGCGCGTGGACCCGAGGGTCCTCACCCAAAATCGCACTCGCTGAGGGGTGGGAGGACCGCTGGAGCGCTGCGCGAGCGCAGGGCGCCGGACCATGCGCAGAAGACCGCGCGGCGACTATCAAAAGGCACAAGGGCCTCCTGAAATTCGAGTCCTCCATTCTCATCCAACTACGCACCGGACGACTAAGCACCCGCGCGCTCCTCTACAAGATAGGCGCCCCCGGCGTGACGTCGCCGCTCTGTCGGTGCGAGGAAGCCCTTGAGACTGGGGAACACATCCTCCTCCACTGCGACGCACTTAGAGCGAGCCGGGAAAAGATGTGGCACGACGCCGGTAAGTGCCCGCCGCGCGGGAGCCGCGAGTTAGCAGCGCTACTAGACCAGCCGCAGCTTAGCAAGAAGGTGGCCCGGTGGCTCATCGCGGAGAACCTACTCCCCCACTTCGCTAGAGCGGGCGAGGAGGCCGCGGCACAGGAACAGGGGACGCGGGAAGCACGGGAGGACGAAGCACAAGCGAGAATGCAGCGAACACGAAGCGCAGGCGATGCGGGCACAGGGGCCCCGGAACTCTTGATTTCCGCCCCGAAGGGCCAACACAGGGAAACTCCCCGCAGAACTTTTCACAAAACTTTCAACGCGCCCGAGGCGCACACGCAGCGCGAGCGCGCCGCGCACGAGGCGACGACGGCCGCCTGCCCTACTCCTCCTCCTCCTCCTCCTCCTCCTCCTCCTTCTTCTTCTTCTTCTTCTTCTCGGCACCCATGGTCCGGGCCAGGCGAGAGATGGGCAACTATAGCACGCGACGCGTTAGCGATGCTAGCGCGACGCGCGGGCGAGGCGCGGGCGTTGCACGGACGATAAGGGCACTTACAAGACGAGCCGCGATCAGCTCCAAGGCGTCGGCCTGGCGTTCCAGCAAACGCAACTGCAGGGCCTCCGCGCCTCGGGTTGCCGGAGCAGGCGCAGCGGCAGCGCCGCTACCGCCGGCGCGACCGTCGGCACGGGAAGCACCTAGCAGCTGCGATGCTTTGAGGGCGGCAGCGGCAAAGGTCTGGACGAGACTATCAACATATGGAAACCGAGGGCACGTCGGGTTCACCGCGGGATCGAGGCGCGGGATGCGCTAACACTTACCGGGTCGGAATCGCTCTCCGCGTCATCGGCGGCGTCGAGCATCTCGCGCACGGCGGCGCGCAACTGGGGATCGAGAGACAACTGTGGGAAGCGTCAGAACTGCGCAAGCGGAGCGGAGGCACCGCGCGAGCAGTGCGCCGGCGCGACGGAGGACATACGGCGACGCAAGGCTTGTTGCCCTTGGTGCATGACCAGCACCGCCAACCCTTGCCCCCGGAGACGTCGCGACAGCGGTGCGCATACGCACCGGCTGTGCGCGTCACACAGGACGCACAGGGCAAGTCGCGGACGGCGCCGGCCAGCACCTTCTTCTTCTTCGCCTAAAGGTATATCAGCCACGCGAACGACGACGCTTCGGGTTCGAGGCGCAAGCGACACTCACCGACGCCGAGGGCGAGGGCGGGCCGCCCACTTGTGGCGGCGGCGTGGGCGTGCGAGGGGGGGCCGGGGGAGGTTGCTGCTGCTGCTGTTGCAGCCGATCCTCCGCCTCACCCAGGGCCGCAGAGGCGCCGGCGGCGACGGTTACGAGCCGCGCGCGCGCCTCGTCCTCCACGTCCCTGGCGAGGGAACGCTTGAGAGAGTTGGGGTCTGAAACATTGCGAAGTTAGCAGGTGAAGGGCAGGTGAGGTTGAGATTAAAGGCGACGACATACCCATCGTTGTTGTTGTTGCTGCTGCGGCTGCTGCGAAGGAGGTTAGCATGAGGCCCTCGACAGCGACGCTGAAGCGGCGCGACGTCGACGCGGCCGGCGAGGAGCACCTACAGGTTGACGATGGCTTGAAGGAGGAGAGAAGGAATCACGACGACGACGACAGTGCCGCCGTCGATATGTAGGGTGCTGCAGCACCTGACGCTGGTTGCCCCGGATACTGAAGCCGACTTACACGACGACCTCCGCGAGAGGGAGCGTCGCTGACGATGCGCCCGCGCAGCGCTGACGGGGCGCACGCGCCCCTAGAAATCACACATACCCAGGAGCTGCACCGGCTTAGAGGCGTGGAGGGAGGCGACCAATCTCGCCCAAAGAACGTCTGGCTGGTGAGAGCCATTCGTGATACGCGACGGAACCACGCAGCGAAGACGCCGCTTAGGCGTACCGAATACGTAGCGTATATTTTTTATCCGGCTTCGGTACGGTTTATTATACGATAGATTTGTAGGCTCGCGAAACCTAACTAGGTAACGCGTACTAATAATAAATAAATAATAAACGACTCGTTCAGCATCTCCCAAGTCTACGGGGCCGGATTCCGAGAGCCTCCGGACCACGACTTTGGTTGAAATGCGGAAGGGCGCTAATTACGCGAATCTGAGAAACATAGATCCTATCCTTAGTAGCCAGGATCCTTCTGCAAGTGCACGCCGGTTATCTGGTATGTCAATCCGCGAAAGAAGTTGCGCTTACGAATTCCAAGCTTTTGGTAAACTAAACCATATCTAGTACACGCAAAGCACCATTCTAGCCACAGGGAAGATGCTGCCGGGCTCGGGCTAGCATGCTTCTCATCCGTGGCCGAGCCCCAGCGCCAGGTGACGAGTAACAGATTATTCGCAACTCTACCGAGGATCAATGTCGACCAAGAACCAGTGCTGGTACTTGACGAACAAGAGCCCGAGCTCGGCCTGGCTGCTGGAGAACAGATGTCCGACGAAGTTTACCAGGAGGACTTCAGCAGCGGCCACGACCCTACTGTAACCCAATCGCATAGCACAGTCACGAGTCCATGCGGTCATCCCTGGCCAGCTGGGACTCTTGCGCAAAGAACGGTAGCACCAGAGCTTGGTCATCAGCAGCATACCGGTGGCGAGCAGATGGCGGGGTCCAAGTCAAGCTCTGGCTTAGCGGGCTCTCCACCCAGGGATACAGGGATATATGAGGAGTGGCCACTGCTACATGGAGTTTTCAAGCGTATCACATTCGACGATCACACGGAGTTTCAGGCGCAATGTACCTGGAACAACACGGACGGCCAAATGGCTCATGGAAGTTGGCCTCTTCAAGACGCCCGAGTAGAATATAAGGGCGACGGCAACTGGACGGTGCACTTTTCTCATCGCACACAAAAGCGCCGATACTCCTCAAAGAAGGCCGGAGGGGCGAAGAAGAAGCACGTAGTCGCTGCATCAGGTAAGTCCTTCACTAGCTCCAACATCTCGATTGTGTACGCATACTGACCACACCTACGAAGCTAATGATAAAACATATCCGGTTGATCGCATACTGGAAAAATGGGGCAGGGATACGTTCCTCCTACAGTGGGGAGACGGCGCGGTAACGTGGGAGCTAAGGGAGAATATCCCTGAGGCACTCACGAGCGACTTCGAGCAAGACTTCAAGGGGTTTGCGTGCGGAATTGAAATCCTCGGGGACCAGTCTTTCAAGCAGAACAAGAGGCGTATCAAAAGGTATCGTGTCAAGTGGAGCGATGGCAAGGTGTCTTGGTTGAGAGGAAACCAAATCGGCTGGAAGACCTACAAGGCCCGAAGCTGTAGCTCAGTCACGAAGCAATAAGGGGGGAGAAAACGCTACAGAGATGCAGCTCCAGTCGCGACTGGACTATTGTTGTTCTCGTTCAGTGCGTTACTTGTGTCCTTAATAGAGCACAGAGATGCTCTAAAATCAATCTCCTTTTTAAATTGTTCTGTTATGATCGCATTTTTACATGAGATTGAGGTACATCTAATATAATATGTGTGAGTGCCGAGAGGGCAATTACTACACGGGCATGAAGAATTGCTACCCGGGCATGACTCTTACACGGGCATGACCTTTTGCAGCCTCTGATTGGTCCATCCCTTTTTGTTAGTGCATCTAGATTCTGCCAACGCTTCCCTTGTACCTCGGGATTAGCTCTCCACCACGACGATCGACGAGACATATGGAAGCTATTCACTAGCTAGCTACTACACCAATTACCTCTTGTCGCATGTCAAGCCTACTGATAATGATTGTTCGTGAAAGATACCATATTTGTCAAGGTCCCAGGGCTCCAGGCGTGGTGTGTTAGGCCCCCTGCTGAGACCAACACTCAAACACACGCTGTATCAGGAATATCCAATAGCCTCATCTTCCAAGGCATCTGCATCACAAAGCAGGTCATTCCTTTGTGCTGAAATTGGTCCCCTCTTTCCTTCTTTCATAGTCAAATCAACTGCCCCTTTAACCATGCGCTCATCCGTGCGTGCGACACTCTTCCTGTCGCGATCAAGGCCGTCATTATGTCCCAGCCCGGCTCTCGATCTAGCTCAGCAAGCAACCAACGACTTCGAAGCTATCAATTACGTCCTCGAAAACGACAGCGGCAGAACCAATCTGAGAGTTCAAGACCACCTTCGTCTAATAGCACAGGGACGAGCATTGGCCCACACTATGGCGTGGGAGACGACGAGGCACTCTGTAATGCTTTCGCCTCGTACCCAGAGACCTTCACGACCGCTCCACGCCCCCATGGATCGCGTGGGCTGAACGAGCCACCATGGGAGCTGCGATTCGATCATGAGATTCACCTATCGAATGATTTCCCAACCCGAGGAAGACGGTCGCAACGAGTAAGAATGCCTATACCAGGCCCGGAAATCGACCAGCCACCTGCCTGCTCTCCACAACAATCAGCACAAGAACAATTCTCTCCAACAAGACCCCAGTTTCAGTCCGCCCTTAGGCTAGTGCGCGAGGTGATTGGGACAGATCGAAGACTTACCATCGAGCTCGTCCGGTCATACGAACGAGTCCGCCAATGGCGCGAGATATGGGGCTACTCGCCGCTCAGTTCAACTCCATTCGAATCATCTCCGCCATACTCGCCTCCCCGAGAAAGGCACTCTCCGCCTATCGCCTCGCCGCCCTCGCCCGACCACCCCTTGTCGCCTGTCCCTGACCCGATCCCGAACCCACCTATCCCAGACGACCCAGCGCCGTCAGCCGAAGTCCTGTTCGAGTGGGTGAATACTTTCGCGAAGGCTAATGGCTTCGGTATTGTTCGACGAAATGCCTACTCATATAAGGGTCGGAAGATCCGGTACTCTTTCCAATGCGATCGATTCGGAGAACCACGCCCCTCAGAGAGTACCGGTATTCGGCAACGGAAGTCTCGAAAGTGTGGTTGTAAATGGATGGTCATTGCCGAAGCACTGGAGGAGGGTAGATGGCTTCTACGACACCACGATAATTCCGAGCATAGCCAGCATAACCACCGGGCCAGTATCAAACCATCCGCCCATCCCTCCCACAGACGACTCACTACACCTATCAGGGCAACAGTCGAATCGACAAGCCGTCGGGTCGGAATTCGGGCCCGTGACGTACGCGCGATCGTCCTGGAGCAGCATCCCGAGTCATCTTTTACACGAAAGGATATCTATAACGCCAGGTCTCGTATCAGTCGAGACAAGTTGAGCGGCCACACTCCTACTGCAGCACTGATCAAGCTGTTCGACGAGATGGAGATTCCCTATCTTGTTAAGTGGGCGGATGATGAGCCAAACCGCCTCGTCGGTCTTGTCTGGACCTTTCCGTACTGCCTCCAGATGTGGAAGCGGTTTCCTGAGGTCATCAGCTTCGACAACACATACAACACCAACCGCTTCAAGCTTCCATTATTCCAAGCAACAGGACAGACCTGCCTTGGTTCTGTCTACAATGCGGCGTTCGGTCTGATCGACAACGAGAGACGGGAGGGGTTCCAGTTCCTCTCTGAGAGCATTCGACAGATCTCAGAGCAGCACTCTATTCGCCAACCGGACGTTATCATTACTGACTTCGACGGTCAGATGAAGGCCGCCCTGAATGATCAGTTCCCTGATGCACAGCAGCAGCTGTGCATCCACCACATCAATTCTAACGTCTTGCTCAAGTCAAAGCAGAAGTGGGTCAAGGGCCAATGTAGCAGTAGTAGTCCCGACAGCAGCAACGGGGAGGACTACGCTCCACAGGCACAGGCTGAGCTCGGCCCGAAAGACGGACAGTTGGTCAACGCGCAGACAGCTGAAGTCGTCCCTCATAGCCATCGAGGGGTTCTCATGATGTGGAAGGTCGTCTTGTTTGCGGAGACAGAGGAGGCTCACGAGAAGGCGTGGGGAAGCCTCTGTAGGGAATTTGACGATCAGCGGGCCATCCTGCGGTATCTCCATGGAACCTACATGCCTGTCAGGGCGCAGTGGGCACGATGTTTCATTCGCAACTATCGCAACTTCGGCATACGCGTCACATCTGGGACAGAAGCAAGCAACAACAACATCAAGAGCTATCTCCTGAATGGTATGAGCAATCTCTATCGGCTTATCGAGGCTATGCAGGACATGATGAAGGACCAGGAGCGAGATTTCAACGACGCCTGCGCAGCGGACGAGGTACTTACCGCGCGAGAGTACATAGGGTCCAGCTCGGAGTATCTAGGCGAACCCCGGACAGCACTCTCTTCGAAGGGTCTCGGGCTTATCAACAAACAATATCGGCTAGCAAGGAAAGCAATGCCGACGGGGAAGAATCCGTTCCCTGACCCCATTGGCGATTGCAGTGAGGACTGCTCGGTTTCGACCGAGCTTGGAATCCCCTGCTGCCACACAATCTACTCAAAGCTGGTGAGTGGCACGCCTCTCACCAAATGGGAGGTCCATCCTCGGTGGCGCCTACGAGAGCCATCCTCTCGAGATCCATACCGACGAATCCTCGACCCTAAGATCGCCACTGCTCTCCGTGGCAGACCTAAGAACACCACACAGGCTGTTCCAGCGCGGCTAGCCATTGAGGCAAGCAGCCAGCCGAGTGGCCAACGAGCCAGCAATCCAGCAAGCCAAGCGACAGGGCGCAGACGAGGTCGACCACCAGGAAGTCACAACAAGTCAACGCTAGCTAGGCTTGCTCTGGAAGCGAGCCAACAGGCCAGCAGCCAGGCTAGTAGCCAGGCCAGTGCCTCATCCCAGCGCCAGACGCGCAGCCGGTCAGCTGTTCTTGGAGCTGGAAGAACTACAGGAGTACGTGCCAACGGACGGAAGACGCAATCTAGCATTCGCAGGCGAAGGAGTCAGTGGGAGCTGCTTTACAGCGACGAGGAGGTTCTTCCATCTATAGTAGTTAGAGGATAGAGATATAGATAGCTGCCCTCTAGGGCGTGCTGGAATTGGCCGTGTTCTGTATTGAAAACCAGACCTTGTTTTGATATACGCCTAAGACCTGTTCTAGAGGCCTGGTTGACCTGGTTGGTTCTGACTATACCGAAAGCACGGCCTTGTTAAGAGAGCTTGCTTCACCGCCTTTGCACTGATGTACCTGTGGGTCGAAGGAAAAAAATGAGCGAATCAGAGGCGATAGAAGTCATGCCCGTGTAAGAGTCATGCCCGGGTAGCAATTCTTCATGCCCGTGTAGTAATTGCCATATGTTTAACATAGCTATGAATCAAGTGATCGCCTCATGAAGCATCGGAAGCCTGAGGTCGGGGGCTATTTCTGTCCTGAGATATACCCATGACAGTTAAAGAGTCGGCCACAGCTCCGCACTACAACTCTAACCCCTCTTCACCATAGCCCCTGAAGGGGTACCTAGCTTGCTAGGCAGGCCCTCTATTAGCCGGGGGCCGAGCAGACGAGACGGGTGGCAGCTGATAGGGCAATCCGCGCGGGCAAGGGGTGTCGTGGAAGGGTGACCCCAATTGCCACAGGGATGATTAATGGATGGTGGTGGGTGATGATGACGAGGTGCTTGGACTGGCTTGGGCTGGCTGGGGCGGGCGAGCGCCACGGGGACTTGGCCGGTCGAACGGGATGCTCGGCCTCGCTTTGGTGAAGCGCATCCTCTGCCTGGCTGCTGCGATCGTCCTCTCTCTTGTGCTGGTGCGGATGTGATGCGTTTCGGCTATGGCTCTGGCTCTGGCCACGGCCATCGCTACGCCAGACTCCAAACCAGGACGACCATGAGCTTGTGAAACTGGGCGCTCTGCCGGACGTCGTTCAGCCAATTATATCACGCCCTTCTGCGCTGTCGCATCACGCCAGCGCCTCGTGCTATTGGCTGCGCATCGAGTCGCGCGCACGAGGCGCCCGGATCTTCGGACAGCCTCGGCATGTAACATACTTTGTCTTGCTCCGCGCCATCAATGTGCCGCAATGCGCGAAGGGCGGCTGTCAAGCAGCCCCTACGCCTCTGTCGCTGCAGCCTTTTTTTTTTTTTTACCGCGCGCGATGGGCTTCAGCGCCTAGGGTCAGGAACTGGCCACGTCTAGCCCAGGGGGCCTATCAGCCCAGCCTGGTATCACTGGCACATGCAATAAAGCAGCAAGGGTTGCCTGGCAGCAGCACCTGTAGTTGCCCATGAGAGGGGATAAAAAACCCTTCCCGTTTTTTGGCATCGTCACGATCGTCCACAGACTAACCCGTCATCAGCTCTCATTTCGTGTGGGATCTTGCACCGTGAACACGAGAGCCGAACACATAGCCGCTGACGCGCTGCCCCCAAGTCCTTCTGGCCAGCTGAGACGCAGGCGCACTATCAAGAGTAGATACCCTCCAGGTATTAATCATATTTTGCATCTACAATTCTGAATGACTGAAATGATCACGTCTATGTACACAAGTGTCTATGCTCGACTCGTAAGAGGGTAGGTCTGAGCTGGGCCAGATGCGCCTGGGTGCGCAACCTTTGCATTTTGACCTGAAAACTGCCTCCCTTGCGATTGACAACCTGACATGCGCTGTCTGATCTGAGTCAGGGAGCCCAGCTAATGCAAGAACCTGGGCTTCTACTTCTTCCGAGAGGAGCGGTGATTCCACAGCAGCCCATGAATGGACGCGACGCGACGCACCACTGATACATCAACGAGTCATTCGATCCCGCAACTTCGTTGGCAACCCCGTGACTTGAAAAAATGCATGTCGCAGTTGACGAGGTAGCCAAGTCGCGGACAGTCACGGCCGGGGTCCGACGTCTGCCAGAAATTGAGGCCCTCGTGGTTGCGACACGAGTCCCCTTAGCATGAAACGGCTCCGCTGCCGAGTGTTATCCGAATGGCGAGTGTGGCCCTCGAGACGCTGGATCTGGTTCGTTGTTGACGTCCTGAGAAACAGGACGCATGCGACAAGGCGTGTTGACAGCGACCAGTGGAAGCCACGTTGCCAACAGCTGGGGGCTTGTTGATGATGCGTGCCACGGCGATTCTTGTATGTGTCGCGCACCTGACCATCTCGAAGACGAGGCTTATGCATGGAAGATGACATTGGCCTAGTGCCGCAGGTGCAACATGCTCTTCCGGTGACATTCGGGCGGATTGAGGTCGGTGCATTGCGCCTAGTGAGTCCATCGTGGTCAGCCATTTGGGTTCTTCGTGTCGCCCGGCAGTCTATCGTCTCAGCACGCATGCGACGCGACAAGGTCGTCATGTTTGGGAGAAGTGGAATACAGACCTCAGCAGGGAGCTCGGCATATATGCTGATGGTGGCGGCACCGCAGTGCACAGGACCTGCTTGCCGCCAGCTGTGTGGCGATGACAACCGTGGAAAGTATGTAGATTCTGGAGGTGTGGACTTGGAAGGAGTCGCCAGGAAACACGACTGTCCATGGATTCAAGGCCTCATTAGTCGACCGATCACGTCCCGCTGTGCAAGGATAATGCACTCTCTCATCGTTTGCTCCGTGGGCTTCTCCGTTGCGGTGGTGCTCGAGACCGCCGGGATGTCGTCGTGGCTTTCTCCACGCGCGAACTTCTGCGAGTTGACCGCGGGCGCAGGCCGTATCTGTGCGTGTGTGGGACCGTTCTGCTGAATGGTGTTTGGTCGGCTTGTGGGAGGCGGTCGATTGTTCGGTGGTTCTCAGTCCAGTGACTGGTTTCGGCCACTTGTTGCTCGACAGCTCTGTTCCCCTCGTCATCGAGCATCTCGTTGCTCAGCTCTTCTGCAAAGGGTGTGCCATCTGCAATCTTCTTGCTTGGTGGTGTTTGGTAGGGTCGTGTGGGGGGGGGGGGGGGAGGGGGGGGGGGTCGACTGTTTGGTGATTCCCAGTGCGGTGGGTGATTTCAGCCAATTATTGCTCGATAGCTCTCTTCCCCTCGTCATCGAGCATACTGAGAAGGACAGGGACGAAGTCGCTCAGTGATGCGCCGTTGTAACACCAGACCCGGAAAGCCTCTAAGGTGTCATTGGACTCGAAAGTGTTTCTACCCATATTCGCGTGAGCCTTGATCGACTGCTGAGCCTTGTTGAGTCCCTTCAATGATTGGGTTTTGTGTAGCTGCATCCTTTTGTGGAAATCTTCTTCCGAGTCCGCTTCGTTGGCTGTTTTATCTGCGAATTTGCGGAATTCTTCTACGCCGTGGATTGGCACCTGAACGAGGTTGTACATCGGGTGCAACTTTAGCCACAGATCCTGTTTCTTGAGAAAGCATGCTACGTCGAAGGGACTATTCAGCACGCATTCAACTCTGTAAGGACACCTTCACTGGCTAAAAATTCGTATGACTGAGTTCTTGCTCTAGGACAATATCGTGAGACTAATCGCGTGGGATTTTCGACACAACCTACTTGTCTTCGAACTCGTCCTTGGCAACAACCTCAGTCACTATACATGGCGTGATGACAAGCAGAGTTTTCTGGGTCGTCGTTCGGATGCCGAGATTATCTTCTCTGGTATCGTGGCCGCGCTGAGATATATCCAGAAGCACAAAGTGATCCACAATGATATCAAGCCTGCCAACACCGTATATATCAAAGGGAAGGTTGCGAAGCTGCTTGACTTCGGCTTGGCTCGGCCCGGACCATACACTTATCATGCGGGTGGGAGTCCCTGGCACATCCCTCCAGAGTTATTGAACGATGGTTTCCGCGGGTTCGCATCGGACGTGTGGGCCCTCGGGATAGTCATGCTATACATCTACGGAATATTCCCCCTCCCTGATCTCTCAGGCGGTTGGGCTATCAAAGATGCCGTGCCCAAAAACCCTCATTCCGGGGACGAGAAAGGCAAGAGGGCGAGGACGGCTCGTGAGAAGTGGCTGGCGAAGGTGGATGAGACGCGTAAGAATCTTCCTAAAGATGATCCACCCCTTGCCATCGTTGCCCGGATGCTTCACAATCTTCCGAGCGAACGAATCAAGATTCGGGACCTGAGCGCCTCCCTGAGGTCTTTGCCTTTAAGCTGAAAGGCTATTTCATTTGAGCGGGTTTGTGGGATCAGTCGAAATAAATGCTGATCTAAGTATCCTTCAGATGCCCTCATTGTCACATTGCTCGATCCGTGGATGTACATGCCGGCCACTGGCCAACCGCTCATCACATCCCCTAGACCAGGACTTTGGAGACCGAGCAGGTAGCCTCAATGTACACGCTTGGCACGCCGATCTGCGATATGTGCGCGCTTGAGCCTGATCCTGGCACGAGCAGGAATCAATACATACTATGCCGTAGGAGGTCAATCCGGGTGCCAGGAACGGACGTGGCTTGTTCCTCGATCTTAAGGCTAGTAGTCGCCCCTCGCCCAGCTGCAGACACCGGGTCAGAAGCAAGATCCAGCCACGTATCTCATGGTTGGCGTCCGGAAAGTACGACCGCATCCAAAGGAGGATGAGGAGGATGAAGCATCAATTCACGAGCGCATTGAAGAACTAGGTTCCAACAGCGGTTTGTGCACTCGTCTTGCGATAGCTCTGTGGGCCGGGACTAACATGAGCTATGTCGCCCCCGAGCAAGGCACAGTGCGATGCATCAGGCACCGTGCATTTCAAGCCTGTCAAATACATCTTGGTCTCTTACTTGATCGTTGCGTCCCTTCGTCGCAGTCTCCTCGCCTAGTTCGCGGCTGTTTCGTCCTCACTTCGTGACCCATGTTCTCTAGCTTTCCCGCATCCTGTTTGTCTGTAACGGCCACATGTGTCGCACCATCCTTTGCAGATGACAGTGCCCGATAGGCTGTCGTTCGGTCAGCTTACTTGTCAGAGTGCTATTCTCCTATACGCACCTTCAAAGGCCCAATCTGCGACAGTGTTCGAATCGTACTTGCGCCTTATGGGGCCGATAATGTCGCTCTCTTCATCTTGGCTACCGTGTTCGTCTGTAGAATGCTATGGTTACCAAAGAGCCAGCCAAGCGTACATGATGCGGATATCTTACCTGCCGTAACTGGGTTGTATCTAGCATAATCGATGGCCATAGCGAGAAGCAGCGAGAGGCCATCTTGGGCTGATAGGACAAGACATCGTATGAACTCCTCCTACGGAACATGCAGCTGTCAGTCTTCGCTAGGGCACGGTGTAGGGCTTTCGTATACCTTGTCCCGTTCCCGGGCTGCACTGGCCAGAGACTGGTCGAGAATGTTTTGAAGCCGACCTTCCCGTTCGCGGTAAGGCCATATCTGTACAGATTGACTTCGTACCTGGACTATCGGCAGCCTTTCTGGAGCCTTGTACGGGATTTCGAAGAGTTGAAAGTATCTCGCGGGAATGTATGCGGAATGAACTAGAAAGCGTGGAGAGGATTGTTCTCCTCCACGACGACCTCCGAAAGTGCCAGCTACCACTTGAGGATCCTCTGTAGCAACGTCTATGACCACTACGGAGCTACCGCTGCCCCTTTCCGTTTGCTGCGCCGATGCGATCATAGTGGCTACAATGTATGGATCTCGGTTCTCGTCCACAGCCGGGAATGGTCCGCGATTCCAGGATCTCTCTTGTCTTCGGCGTTCCTCACGCCTTGTTCGGACAGCACGCCGATCGACATATGCGACTATGACTCTCTCTTTCACCTTGATTAATTAGTAATTGGCGGATGCATGGCGTAGATTGGCAGCGCTACAGTACATACTGGGCTCAGGATTCTCCTTGCGAAGATCTCGTCTCGTGGACTGGTGTCGCGCTTTGTCGCCTCCCACAAGGCTTGGATAGAGACGAGGCCTGAATGTGTCCTTGAACCGACCTTCAAATCCAGACTGACACCGGAGCCTGTGCTCATCCTTCTCTCAAGTCGATACGAACGGCATAGCGATTTGAGCACGGAGGAAAGCGCATCTCCCCTTTCAGAAAACTCGACTTCAGTGCCATCCTTAAGGAGGATGTCGAGTTGGCTGATTGCCTGCATGGCGCTGGGGGGGATGTCCTGTGGATTGATCCTGTGCGCTGGCTTCGTCTGAGCGTATACTTGCTCCTCAAGAGATTCCGGAAACTTGAAATTAAGCTGGTGTAGGTGTTGAGTCGTCCATAAGAGGGGGTGGAAGACCCCTCTCGTTTGTAGGCATTGTCGCGATTGTCCAAAGAGTGACCCGTTATCAGCTTTGTCGTGCCGGGTTTTGCATCGCAAACGCGGTATCCCGCAATTATTCTGAGGGCTCTGGTCAGACATTGTTGCTGGACTCAGGCGGTTGGACGACCCTCACGCGGACGAGCTACTTATACCGAACGATTGGCGATGCTGTACCCGAGCATAAATATGTTGATATGTCTCGTGTTCGGTAGTTGGCAAGAGCAGAGGTAGCGTCGGCACTTGCGCGACGCGCCGTATCTGACACCAGGTACAGAGGTGCGTCACAAAGGTCCTAGTCCAGCGCTGATGCAGCCGGGTATGGTCAGCTGGCAAAGGATGGTGCCAGTCTAGTCTGGCTGCGGACCTGGTGAGCAAGAAGGTGTGCGGTTCACATCGTGGCTCGCAATCTTTGCGAGTGCTCCACTCAGCGCCTTTTCATAAATGGTGAAACTCTTAGTTGATATAATTGATTGTCAGAAGGAAGTACCTCTTGTAGCTCTCGATTGGAGGTGGGGTGGTCATGGTCGACAGCTCGCGTGCTCATGAGCACCGCGACGGCTAGGAGATGCAGATTGATGTGCAAATGCTTTCATGCACCAGCCGTCATGGCTGGTGAGTCAGCCGCAGGTTCTCAGCGCCTGTAGGCCCTATCTGCCACATCCCGTGCGCCGCCATGCACCACGTTTCAGTGCAAAACGCGCAGCAAGCCAGAAGGCCAATCTGGGAGGGGCTCAGTTAGCGCTGCAAGGGCGCCACTGAACAACAAAAGTGCTGCCGCTGGGGCAGTCACTACAGGGCACCAGGCCACTAGAGCACCCACTGAGGCGGCTTGGGGACGGGGCTTGTAGTGGGCCAGGGCGCTGTAGTTGCGCTGTTAGGGGGGGGTGGGGTGGCTCAGTGCCCCTGCCCAACTGCTACCTTCTAACGAGAAGCATGTCCTGCTGGAGATCACCGCCTAAGCGTGAAAATGAGGCGCGCCACTTGGAAAACCCCAGGCTGAGGAGGGCTGCCACGCCAGTTCCAGACCCGCCCTCCGCTTAATGATGTCTCGCGATGATGCCTTGCTCCAGCAGTGCCCAGGAGGCCCAAGTCGGTAGCGTGGGCGTTTCTGCAGGACAATGACGAAGCTGCAGAGGGACGTCGAGTGTTGGAGCTCAATAGCATATCATCTTGGTATCCCACTGTAGCCCCGCTTGTGACGGAGGCAAGCAGCACTGGCCGCCACATGGAGCTACACCTTTTGGAATCACGATGCTCATTGCAGTCAGGGCAAGAGGAGCTTCTGCCACCATTTCATGTAGATGACGTCAGCGACAATCACTGATGTCCCGACGAAGAGTAACAAGAAAGCTGCGAAACCTTTTGTCTAGGCAAATTGCGCAGTGTCCGCAAGTACGTGTCATTGGTTTCTAGATCTAAGCACGCTCGTCTCGCTCAGTGGCGCTTTGCCTACAGACAGCGAACCGCTCTCCTCTCCGAGCACCATCTCTTTGTCTGAGTCATCGGCTTTGTGCTCCTGGGCACCAGCTTGCCGCTTCAGACGGGCTTCCCACTCCAGATGGTCTTTCTCGCGTCTCCAGTAGCTCTTGTCCTTGATTGCAGACCTGGCCTTGCGGGAGTCAGCGCCTTGAGCAACGAGAAGGTCCTGAGCTGCTGTGCTGCCGCGCGCTTATCCTTGATCAACCGCAAGAGGCTTGAGGCTTCTATGTCCCAGTACTTTGTGTCGCTGATACTGCTGCGAAGGCGGTAGATTTCCTCTTCGGAGCGGCCATTGTAGAGGATTTGACACTGCTAGGCTACATCGTCTGGCCGCGGACTTAGTGAACGAGAAGGCGTGCGGTTCGCGTTCCGGCTCGCGAACTTTTCGAGTGCTTCACTCAGCGCGTTTCCCTCAACGGGGAAGCTCTTGGTTGACATGCTGGTCGGTTGTGAGGAGGAAGCGCTTGGTGCAGCTCTCGATTGAGGGGGTGGTGGTACTGGTCGACGGCTTGCGCGCTGGCGATGACCGCGACGACCAGGAGATGCAGGTTCATATGTAATGTTTTGGTGAGGCACCAGCCGTGACAGCTTTCGGTCCTCAACGCCTCTAGCCCTTGTTCGCCGTAGCCCGTGCCCCGTACACTACGTTCCAGTGCGAAACGCGCAGCTAGCCAAGGAGCCAATCGCATCACGCGCTCCTTTGCTCTGACGCTGCTTCAGGGTCTTGTGCTATTGGCTGCGCATCCAGTCGCGCTCACGAGGCGCCCGAATCTTGGGACCATCTCGGCACTGTACGCAAATGAGAGCATGCACCGAAGGTCGTCTTGGTCCATGTCACTAGTGCGCCGCAGCGCGCTGGACCCCTTCTCAAGGGCGGCTATCAAGTGGGCCCCTGGTCTGCCTCGGTTGCTGGAGCCTTTTTTTGCCGCGCGTAATCCTGTTTTGGCGCCTGGGGCCGCGAACCTGTCCACGCCTGGCCCGAAGGGACCCATCCCAGCCCGGCATCACCAGGACGTGCAATGGAGCATCAGTGGTCGCCACACAGCCGCACTTGCAGTTGTCCATGGGAGGGGATAGAAGACCCTCCTCGCTTTTGGGTATCGTCGCGATCGTCCCAAGAGTGACTTTGCATCGCGACCGCCGTATCTTGCGATTGCCCTTAGAGTTCTGATCGACCATCATTGCTGAGAGGCACGGCTGGTGTCCGAATGGCACTCAGGCGATTGGACATCCCTCAAGCTGTCGAGCTACCTGCATTGCACGATTGAAGCAATGGCATGCCCAATAGAATCAACCCACCACCTGTAGGCCTCGTGTCATGCCTAGTTGACCGGATGTCTTTATTAGAGGCTATGCTATCTACTTCAGGTCATCGAGCATAAGACCTTAGGAGCTCCCCGAAGACTACGTAGTGCATCATTGTACAGAGGTAACAGTACTAGATTCAAGGCTCCTGGGTGTTACAGTGGTGGCTAATATGTCTAGTACCCCAAAACGCACAGTGAACACTTGCCAGCCAGCTCGTGCAGAGTTAGCAGCCCATTACTTTCGTCGCGATAACATGCCTCGTGTATGTCAAGCAATTGTGATTCCCAAGCGGTTTGGATTTCGTGACTTGCTCCAGGTGGATAGTTGAGCAACTCCCCGTCGCTAATCATCCCACTGCATCTCTGGCTTCTCACTCCTAAGCAGCCTCTGCAAATTCAATCTCGTACTATACAAGATACCGTTTGTACTGCCAGTCTCCCTGAATGCAGGACTCACAGCGCCAACTGTGGCACCATATCCAATATCCGAGTCACCACTAACCAACCCTCTCGGACGATGATGTACAAACAAGCTCGGCACAATCCCAATACACCGCATTCCATTTCCCATCGTGCGGCAAAGATCACTCAAGTGGTGATCAAAATTCTTGTGTTGGCCTCTGAGCGACATGTATTCCAACGCCCTTCTCGCACCTAGCTGTGTCAGCGCATAGGCGTAGGTGCAAATGTGATCGCCCTGGACATATACGATGCGCGTGTTGTTCGGATATGCGTCCCATTCGAAGCGGTTGTTTCCTGATCGATGTTTCTGCGAGGGTACTGTGTCATCGTTCTCTATCAGTACTTGGCGATTGTCTTGTTGGTCTTTGGGAATCGATAGGTCTTCTGGCAGATCCGCGTTGAAAGAGGCTTGGCATGATCCGAGCCAGAGCAGATCCCAGTATTGGCCATACGGGGATTGCGCCACAGGGTTAGGATTATTCTTGTGAAGATATGGATCCTCGTGAAGCCAGCTTCTCTTAGCCTGCAGTTCTCTTGCCGCCAGTGCGAACCTATACAGCTGAGATTTGATATTCACATCCCAGTCCACGTCATCCTCGACTATCAGTGCCGACGGTAGATCATCGTCGATGATACGTCTCATTGCATTGATGTGGCCCCTCCAGGATCCTACATTCGTGTCCTTTGCGCCTCCTTTACGGTTCCAGCCAACTGGTAAGGCTTTGTCGGGTATGGTCTCGCCTTTGACGCCATCCTGCCAGGTGATTTTGAACCCTGTAAGGGCTGAGCTGAGGCTAAGGGCATCTCGCTTGTCGGTGCGCTCGGGAAGGCTTATAGCGATGACTTTAGTGAACTATTATTCGATTCGGAAAAGGTTTAGTAGGACCCAAGATGGTTTAGGAGGTATATGTTGCAACAGCATGCGTTACTTGAGACTCACACCGAGTGTGTCATTGTACAGAGCATCCATTATGGATATGTTTGAGCTATCATCACGAGGCGCAAGGCCGATCGAGATGGAAAAGATCCCTTTGCGAGCGCAGGGGACAAGAAGGGCCCACAGGGCAAAGCAAATGATGCTCGCGAAAGCGAAAATTGGCCTGAACTGGCCAGGCTTTAGCCGCATCGCCGTCAACCTTATGTCTTCCGAAATGCGGGGTCTAGGCGCTTTAGCCAGGATACTGTTGGTAGAGATGTTGCTGCTGGGCTTTCAGAGGACTTCCTCGTGTAGAAAGACCAGATATACTGAATTGAACGAGTGATCCAAGGGCTGGCGGTGGAGGTGCTCGAGAACACGAACGCAGCATCACCCCTCAATTCCTTTGTGCATGGTAAAGTGGCAAACAACGCAGCAGAATAAGCAAGTACTAGTATATTTTTCGCATCAACATTGAGCCCCACCCTCTAGCATAGCACCAATACAGTGTGATCCGTGGATGAAAATTGGAACAATCTGACCTGCAGCCTAAAGTGGCTGTCGTGACTGCCCCACCTATCTGCAGGCAGCTTTGTTTGTGGCTCCACTCACATGGCACCACCAAGACAAGGAGGTCTGCAAAGACGGTTGCGTCTAGCAAAAGTGGACACCGATTTCGAATTCGACTGTACACGAGCTTGTGGCAGAGGCAGCATCACCACGAGCGCGAGGCGCCGTACCTGGCTCCAGGTACCTGGGTACAACCTCGGAAGCCGAGCACAGCAGGCCGTAGGGCACCTGGGCAGCGTTGATGGGCCAGGCTGGAGGGCTTATCCTCATGGGGGAGGTGGGGCACGACAGGGCTTGGATCGCATGTAAGTGCTGCTGCACCATCGTCCTTGCACCGCCAGACGCCTTCTCTCGCTGCGCTTAAGGGCCCGTGTCGCAAGGAGACTATTTGTCGCGATAGCCATCCATGATGGGATTCCATCGCTTTGACCATGGCCATAGGCTCCAAGTGCTTCACGCTCTCTCAGGATGATGGCGCGAAGCAGCCCTGCACCTCTAAATGCGAATGGTGCATCCCAGCTCGAAACCTGTATGAGAAGCCGTTGAGGCCGATCCTCGCGCGTCCATTTGCGAGGTTGAAGAAAAACTCGTAAATAATCTGGGGCACTGTAATAATCCTAAGGTGCGACGGGGAAATAAGCGCTCGGAGGGTTGTCAAGGACCAAGGGTATCCGCAAGAGTGACGGAGAGCTCGAGTTGTATGTACGCTTGCACACCCGTAGCACCTCGTCCGTCCACCCGCCCTTTGGTGAAGCTCACCACGTCATAACGACCCAAAGATCGTTTGGATTGTTTGAGCTGTCTAGGCTAGCAACCGGACAGGCAGCAATGAGGCTTCCCATTGGAGCATGTCCGACTGAGGTTGACCGAGCTGACAACGACGTACAGGAAATGAGCGACCTCTTCAGGTAGCTATTACTCACAATGCTGTTTCCCGACAAATTATCAAGGAGCTCGGGTTCAAGGGGGAAAATCAAAGCGTGCAAGACAGTTGGGTTTTCGACAAGAAGATGTAGATTTACATTTTAGTAACTAAGCGGCATTACGCAATCAGGACGTATCAAGGACTATCACCCATATGTAGCAAGCTGCAATACCCCAATAACGCTTATACTGGACAGATTGTGCCCCCCAGTCACGAATGCTTCCCCCCTTATTAACATCCATCCCTGCATCGCGAGCCGCCCTGCGTGCCGAGCCGAAATACAGGTACTTGACCTTTGACATAGACTTGAGTCCGCCCATATACATGCAATTCCTCAAATTTGGTTGGAAGTCATAGATCGGCGATATTTAAGCCATCTGATCCCATCAAACCATTAAATTTGATCAGTGTCGGATCTCGAGCTCGTGATCCAAACCCACCAATGTCTTGAAGCATTTAAAGACATAGTCAATCACACCCCATCACCATATCCTTATCGCCTCTCATAGTCATATCTAGACATTAATCAAGTCTCTGATGCGGATTTTCACTACGAAAAATGACCAGCAGGCCCAAGGCTGTTGTAGTACGGTGATGTTGGCAACTTCAACAGGTCGATCGGTACCTTCTAGTAGAGGCTCTTCTGGTTTCGGCTAGCGTCAAACGTCAAGTCATGTGGGGCTTGTACTGCTTGTACTGCCTGTGGCTGGCACATATGTCGCTATTTATAACTACTTAGTGAGAGGACACCCCTGCAAAAAGGTGTGGTAGAGGACAGCCAATTCGTCCTCAATAGTCAGTGATGGCCTGAATAAGACTCCTCGCTTATTGCATAGACGGAAGCGTCACGTTATGGCAAAAATACACGATTTGTAATAAATAAGCGTCTGCCGACCGAACATCTCTACCCTTAGAATACTGTACCCGAATGGCCGGAAAGATGGCTGCCTGGCTGCACAGCACCGTAGCTGAGTTGCAAAGTCGCAGCGTCAGCCTCGCTTCCCCGCTTCTATGCCCCCGTGTGATTAACCCCGCATTTCCTTTCCTTGCCCCGCTGATGTCAGATGCTTGCCGTTTGTGCCCCACTACGATCCTGATGCTCGAGGCGACATGGTCTTTCATGATCAAAGCCGCATCACGCCGTCGCCAGCCAAAACCGTCAATCGGCCGAGATCCCCGGCTGAGACTACGCTTGCAGGATGCGACTCTTGGAACTCAAAGAGGATGGCAGCCTCAGACTTGGAGACTACCCCCACGAGGACGTCCCGCCATATGCTATCCTCTCGCACACCTGGGGACCAGATGACCAGGAGATCAGCTTTCAAGACGTCCAACATCATGCAGGCCACCACAAAGATGGATATCAAAAGGTCACGTTCTGCTGCCAACAGGCTGCGCTGGATGGCCTGAAGCATTTCTGGATCGACACTTGCTGTATAGACAAGTCTAACAGCCAGGAGCTTCAAGAAGCGATCAACTCCATGTTTCGCTGGTATAGAGACGCTAACCACTGCTACGTCTTCCTCACCGATGTACACAAAAGTAGCAGCGGCAATGACGACGACAGACTGTCACAAGGACAATGGGAGACAGAGTTCAGAAGCAGCCGGTGGCTGACCCGCGGTTGGACGCTTCAGGAGCTGATCGCCCCAAGATCAGTCAAGTTCTTCTCAGCAGAGGGGAAAGCATTGGGCAACAAGAGCACGCTAGAGGCACTGCTCCACGAATGTACAGGGGTCCCCATCGACGCCCTTCGAGGGAGACCTCCAGCTGATTTCAGCATCAACGAGCGGCTCTCTTGGCTGGGGAAGCGCAAGACGAAGCGCCCCGAAGATCTCGCGTATTGCATGTTCGGCATCTTCGACGTTCATATGCCACTCATCTACAGCGAGGGGCAGGAGAAGGCCTTCCTCAGACTGAGACGAGAGATTGGTAAGCGTCCGTAGCTTCACATGCGCTTCCAATCAGTCCCTCCTACGAAACAGCAACAATCAGCAGACTGACGACTTGTAGAACCTACGCGACGCGTCGAACCCTTCTCGACCGTCCCTTTCCTTCCCGATGCCGATTTCGTCGAGCGCCCAGATGTGACTGCGTGGCTGGATACAACCCTCGCGCAGCCAGGCAGCCGTGCCGCCCTTATCGGCCTGGGAGGTATCGGCAAGTCTCAGGTAGCCATCGAGTACGCGCACCGGACGCAACAACAATCGCCGAGTACGTACGTGCTCTGGGTGCACGCGGACACGCAAGCGCGCTTTGAGGAGGCGTATCGCGGCATTGCAGACGACTGCAGCTGCCACAGCGGCATGATCCCAAAGTCGATGTGCTGCAGCTGGTGTACGACTGGCTGTTCAACGCGGAGAATGGACAGTGGCTCATGATACTGGACAATGCGGACGACGTCGGAGTGTTCTTTCCAAGACGCCGGGCTGGGACGATTATGTCGAAGCAACGGCCATTGGGATCGCTCCTGCCTCAGAGCACGAACGGCAGGATCCTCATCACATCGCGGAGCGGGGAGGCAGCCCAAAGAATGACGGGCAGCAAGTGGAAGACCTTCCCGATGCAAGTGATGGACGAGAGTCAAGCAACGCAATTACTTCAGAAGAAGCTCCAGGATGAGTACGAAGAAAAGGCGGCCGCTCTGCTGTCTAGTGCGCTCGAGTACATACCTCTCGCGATCACGCAGGCTGCCGCGTATATTGTCCGACGATCGCCACGAGTCTCGTGCTCGTCATACCTAGAACAGTTTCGAAAGAGTGAGAAAAAGAAGGAAAGCCTACTAAATCGAGATCAAGCTGATCTTCGACGTGACGGGACGGCAGCGAACTCGGTGGTGGTGACGTGGCAGATCACGTTCGAACAGATACAGAAGGAGCGGCGGTCGGCCGCAGACTTGCTCTCTCTCATGAGCCTTTTCCACCCGCAGGAGATACCGGAATGGGTACTACGAAGCTACTATCAGCGGAGATGCAGGATTGGGAAACATTACGACGGTGGAAAGGAAAACGACGAGGGCGGGGAAGATGACGACGACGACGACGACGACGATGAAGATGACGACGACGACGACGACGACGATGAAGATGACGACGGTCTGGACGATGACCTAGAAACGCTCCGAGATTACTCGCTGGTGGCCGTTACCGTGCAACAAGATATCTATGAGATGCATACACTCGTGCAGTTTTGTGCACGAGCCTGGCTCTCGTCAGTGGGTGATATGGCAAGATGGAAGCAGATATTTCTGCACATCATGTCGGAGAATTATCCGCCGGGGAGTTATGAGAACTGGTCAAAGTGTCAGCAACTTGAGCCTCACATTGCACAGCTTCTCGAAACGCAGCCTGCAGATGCTAAGGGTGCGACAGAATGGGCGCGGCTGTTAACAAACGCAGGATGGTATGGGTGGCAAGTGGGAGGGTACGAGAGGGCCGAGGTATTGCTTTGGAAGGCAGTGGAGGTTCGAGAGGCAGTTCTTGGCGCAGGGAATAGTGATACATTTACAAGTGTCAGCATTCTTGCTCTTGTGCTGCGGTACCAGGGCAAGTACGAAGAGGCGGAGGCGATGAACCGACGGGTGCTTGATGGTAGTGAGAAGGCGCTGGGCAAGGACTATCCATCCACACTCACGAGCGTCAGCAATCTTGCCGCAGTGCTGCAGCACCAGGGCAAGTACGAAGAGGCGGAGGCGATGAACCGACGGGTGCTTAATAGTCGTGAGAACGCGCTCGGCAAGGACCACCCAGACACACTCACGAGCATCGACAATCTTGCTGGAGTGTTACAGGGCCAGGGAAAGTACAAGGAGGCGGAGGCGATGAATCGACGGGCGCTTGATGGTCGTGAGAAGGCGCTGGGCAAGCACCATCCATACACACTCACGAGCGTCAGCAATCTTGCCGCAGTGCTGCAGCACCAGGGCAAGTACGACGAGGCGGAGGCGATGAACCGACGGGTGCTTAATAGTCGTGAGAACGCGCTGGGCAAGGACCATCCAGACACACTCACAAGCTTCAGTAATCTTGCTTTTATGCTGCAGTATCAGGGAAAGTACGAAGAGGCGGAGGCGATGAATCGACGGGCGCTTGATGGTCGTGAGAAGGCGCTGGGCAAGGACCATCCAGACACACTCACAAGCTTCAGTAATCTTGCTTTTATGCTGCAGTATCAGGGAAAGTACGAAGAGGCGGAGGCGATGAACCGACGGGTGCTTGATGGTAGTGAGAAGGCGCTGGGCAAGGACCATCCATACACACTCACAAGCGTCAACAATCTTGCTCTTGTGCTGCGGGGCCAGGGCAAGTACGAAGAGGCGGAGGCGATGAACCGACAGGCGCTTGATGGTCGTGAGAAGGCGCTCGGCAAGGACCACCCAGACACACTCACGAGCGTCGACAATCTTGCTGGAGTGTTACAGGGCCAGGGAAAGTACAAGGAGGCGGAGGCGATGAATCGACGGGCGCTTGATGGTTGGGAGAAGACGCTGGGCAAGGACCATCCTTCCACACTCACGAGCGTCGGCAATCTTGCTTACCTCTGCCATGAGCAAAATCGACTCGATGAAGCCGGCGAGCTTTATGTCAATGCCTTGAATGGATTCAGGAAAGTGTTAGGGCCAACTCATCCTACTACGTTAGCTTGCGAGCGTCATTATGCATCGTTGAGTAGAGAGATGGCTGCAATGAGGTGACGCAGTCAATATTGCTAGTTGTTTATAAAAATCATTTGATTTCTGGACGCTCACGAATGACCTTTCCTCCTTCCACTGAGTAGTTATAAATAGCCACATACGTACCAGCCACAGGCAGTACGAGCAGTACGTGCCCCACATAACTTAACGTTTGACGCTAGCCGAAACCGGCGGATCCTCCACTAGAAAGGTACCGATCGACTTGTTGACGTTGCTAACATCACTGTCCCACAACAGCCTTGGACCTGCAGATCACTTTTCTTGGTAAAATTCCGAATCAGGGACTGGATTGATGTCTGGTTATGACTATGAGAGGCGATGAGGAGACGGTGGTGGGGTGTGATTGAATATGTCTTTAAATGCTTCGAGACATGGGTGGGTTCGGATCACGGGCTCAATATCTGACACCGAGTAAAATTAATGGTTTAAAGTGGTCAAATGGGTTTAAATTGGTCAACTTATTAGTTCCGCATAAGTCTGAGGAATTGCATATAAATGGTGGGACTCAATTCTATGTCCAAGGTCAAGTACCTGTATTTTGGCTCGGCACGCAGGGTGGCTCGCGATGCAGGGATGGACGTTAGATACCTCCACGCATTCTTGACGACGATTACCCCGAGAAGCAACGAGAACAACGGGACTGCCTGAGAGCCAGGTATGCGCCCATTCCTCATCTCCGAGCTCCTCAAACATTACCACAGCGTATCTCGATACTCATTTCCTTCGACTGAGCACGACTCTTGTCCATTAAGAAATCGTTATCAGCGCTTTGCTACGAATGGGCCTCAGGGAGGCTACACCTAACTCCAGCTGAACAGCGAGCCTTTCTTCATCATTTCCCAACTCCTTGAAGACACTCAACGCGCCCTATGATGAGCCTGCAACGAGCGGACTATATACTACTGAGTGCAGCAGAAGCTGACAGATTGGAGGGTAGTCGCACCGGCGAGTGGTACAACTGTGGGAATCAGACGGCTCTTCGTGGAAGAGTCTGTGGACTGTGTAGAGTTGTGGATTCCACCTCCCATCCTCGACCTTGAATGCGGCTGGGTATATGTAACATTGGAATCTCCTGAGTTCGATTGACTCATGGGTGCATGAGACGCTGCAGTGCCTACTAAAGGGTGACCTGTAGTGATAGGTTGACAAATAACGTTCCAGATCGTCGGATCTGGGGAATATATCCAGGTGCTGCAAGTCGTCTGCGCCTGGACATGTTGAACCAGAGTTGCAAGAGTGGAAGCGGCGAGAGCAATAAGTAGCATGCCGATGATTACGGGGTGAAGTAGCGCAGGGTACTGGACTGCTCCGATCATTGCCAGTCAAGGACTCAGTGAACAGGTAAGCATGCCCTGTTTTTTATACATCCCCCCCCCCCCCCCCCCCCACTTCGACAATCTTAGATATCACCAAAGCAATCCATTTCTGGATGATAAAATAAACTTGAAGCTACGTACTGAGACTCAGATGCGACATCCTACGTCCGATTCGGCAGCCGCCTACTATAACATAGCTCGTAGTGGTAGTTGAATAAGTATGGCGTTACCAGCGACCGAAGCACCTCTACATATGATGCGTTTCTCTCTGAGTGCTAGGGGGCACCGCGATTGGCTGCTTATACAAGACTGAGCTATGAGTTCTATCATATTATAACGCTGTTCATTTAATTGAGCATTCTTATCGCATGAACCTCCACGTTTGGCCTTGGGATATCGCTATACTAATGAGGATACTGGCTGTAGAATACCCATGCTCCTCCACACTCGTGGCAATCATCGTCTCCGTCAATTATCTCGGTAAAGCAGGATTGGCAAGAGTAGTGGTCTTTGGTTCATCAGTGACTGAATACCGAGCTTGAATAGAGGGGGTTCAATAGGGGGTACTGACAGCACCCTGTCCTACAGCTGGCTGTCTTCTCCTCGCACCCGATACATAGAGTATCGCTCTCGCGGCTGGCCGAAGTCTCGCGATACGTCCGAGGCCCTGGCTGCTCATTTCGAGTCATTGTGTGATGAGCAGAGTTCTTGGCTGCGGACTTGTCAGATGTTGTGGCAACCCTTAGGCTTGCTCCCGTGGTTGGCCATACTCACATGACCGTCGCCTTGAGAACTTGCGTCGCCCTCGCAGGTTTTCATGGTCTGGTCACTATGCTGTCCCGTAAGTATGCGGGAGGAAGCCATCACTACCTTTACGCATTATCTAGCGGCGTAGCGGAGAACATCTCCATGAGCCGCTTACTCAAGGCTGGGCCGAGTTCTGACGGATGTGGGAGTTCTTCGTCAGGCTTATCGAACCGCTCTTCTCCACATCCACAGCAATACTCGTCGTCCTCCTCGAAACAAGGTTCACAAAGCACGCAGCCTTTGGAGAATCAGCAACCACATGCTGAGTTTGAACAGAGTAGGCGTAGGAGGGTACTGACAGGAATCTGGCCGATGCTCGGTTGGCAACCCACATGCGATACATTTCAAGACGCTGTCAACCAAAGTCTCCTGACTGCCGTCTTGAGAACCTCCGCTGCCCTGACAATCTTCCATGATCTGGTCTGTATGCTGTTCCGTCGATATGTGAGAGGAAATCCGAGGCTCTGGCTGATTATTCCAAGTCGTTGTGCGATGAGCAGAGTTCTTGGTTGCGACCTTGGCAGATGTTTTGCGAGGCCTTGAGCGCTGTATGCGTATCCGTGAACACTGAGACTGGGTTTCTTGATGACGCTTGGCTCTTGAACGCGTAATTCCTTGCTGGATTTGGTGAACTGGCTTGCTCTTCATTGTGGGCTGGTGCAGCGAAGCCGTGTCGTCGACGTACACGCCACTGTCGTCGCTTATGAACGTGGAGAGATGAAGAGGAAGATGTTGTCGAGAAAGAAAGGATTTCCCAGAGAGCGGGCGAGTATTCTTATATAGACACTGGACGAGCAAGCCCGGGTGATCTTGGCTTCGCCACGGACTTCGACAGCATCCTTTACGTACGCACCCTGGGATGAGCGTGCGACGCAGCTATCTCAACAAGGGCCACCAATCTTCGTGATTGCATGCGCTAATAAAGAGACATTGCTTACACCGGTTCCGGAGAAGGTCCCCAGCTCGTGATTACCGTCACAGGGAGCAACGTATCCACTCGGACATATGTAGTGACCTGCACCGAGGGGGGGTTTTGAAGCTGCGGAGCAGGACACCGCACCCAGTTCTTGGTGGCGTTCTAAGCCAAGAGGACCATAACCGTAGAATGGCAACATCTAGCAAGTGAGGTCAGCCCCGTGACGGCCTGTAATAGCCAGAGCAGGCAGCAACTCTGCACACCCCGCGCACGCCGACTACGACTCTCATCCTGTAATCTCGCGCTCGTGACTGGAAGAGAAGACCTATGATCACTCCCATAGCCAATGGTGATGGGCTCCGGGGTTATCAGGTGCAATTCCGGAGGAGATCCGTACTTCGTCGGTGGCGACCTTACAGGCCGTGCTCTCGGTCTAGGCCAGTGTCAATGTCCGGGCCAACCCGCCAGCCTCGGATGTTTGATGACCCAGAGCCCATTACCATTCAGGCGCCCATGGACACAGCCACCTCATCACCCAGTTATGACAGATTGAACGTACAAGTTACTACACGGGCTAGAGACGGAAGCAACATGTTGGGATAATATAGTATTTCTTCTATTAGGGTCTGCGGAAGGTAGCCTTCGCTGTTCAGACTAGGGGTGTTGGGGGCGGCATCAAGACGACGTTGTAAACTTACAGACTCTGCGTGATATCTATAGCCATGCGCCACAGACTACTCGCTGTGCACGGAGTGAGGAGTTTTGCTGGGCAGTGTGGCCTTGACGGAGCAAGTGATAGCCTCGGCCATGCTCGGCTTCTCAGTCGCAAAGAAGCCGTCTACCTGCTGCCACTCGTGCGCCTCCCGGCAAACCGAGACGGCACGGGCGGACCACGCGATGTTACTCTCCGCTAGCGCACAACCTTCTTAGACCAGACAGGATAGCCCCTTGATCCATATTACGTCCATAGTCCTGCCAGCTCCCTAATGAACTCCAAATGCGTCTTGGTGTAGCAGAGGGTGCCGGCACACATGCTCGGTGCCTAGCCTGAATGTCGCTAGGAGGGGGGGCGGGAGGGGGGGCACTCAAAAGGAGGCGGTACGTCTGGCATTTCGCGTCGGCGAAGAGGAGCTGCATGCGACTGCTAAGCAAGTTGACATTATATCTCGTCTCGAGGAAAAACCTTGTCGTGCGATACATGTCCATCATGAAAAGCCGGCCACTTTCTCTTCCCGGGTTAAACAGCCCACAACTGAGAAAGTCGGATGGTCCGTCACCCCTCACGCCGATGGTGATTACATTTCTGCTGACCGGTTTTCCATCTTCTACTCGTCGTCTGCCGACTCGCCGAAGCTGTGCGGGACATAGCGAAAGATAATACGGCGCAGCTCAAGTGGCAGGCAGCTAAGAGATTCCATCACTGGCTTGGTCTTGACCGTCGGTTCGTCGATTTGAAGGCAGGTGATGTGAGGGCGCCCATAGCAACGATGTGAACCTTTTCGTCGTGGATGAGCGTTCAACGGAAAGTCAGGCAGATAAGGGGAGATGAAGAAGAAATGTTGTCGAAAAAGAAAAGCTGCTTTGCCCGAGGCAGCAGGTGAAGGCTCTATATATACAATGGACGAGCAAGCCTGGGGTGATGTTGGCTGACCACGTAATTCGATCAGGTTGTAATATTACAGTCTGCTATATAATACATATAATAGTCCTGGCTACAGGGCATCGCTCATAGCCGTAATTTCAATGGAAACCTCCCATTCTCTCACCCCGCTATCTCCTGCTCTTCGGTCTTTTCTCTTTGAACTGGGGATTGTTAGCAATTTGTTGGGAGATAGCATTGTTAGCCCTTTCTGCAGCCGCACGAACAGGTAGTTTCTTCACTGTAAGTCTTTGTCAGCTCAGCCAATATCCATCTGGATTGTGATCCTGATTATGTAGGGGAGTGAATGGTACTGACTGTCGGCGACCTCAGACGAGCTGATTCCTGCGGCGGTCGTTTTGTGAACATCGCCATCGCCGGCATTGGTTAATAAAACATCCCACCAGATGCCACGGTTATAGCCATTCTCGGGTTCTGTGTCGCAAAAGCCGAAAGGGTTGCCACATAATTCGTGTCCGTTCACGCCACTGTAACAAGAATCGGGCTCGGATGTAGACACTTGTGAGAAAAGCGTCGCTTCTGAACTGCACAGGTTCGCTGTATCGTCGGTGTCAGGGCATCCGGCAGAGGTACTTTCTTCCCAACCTCCTACTGGAATGATTCCTTGGGACGACTGAAACAGTGCTATTTCCTGAAGGAAATCGAGTGGCGGTCCGAGTTCGACATACTGACTAGGCGTCCTGGGAAACCTCTCGATGGAGTCCGAAGTGCCCAAGGTGGGGATGCCGATGTCGTCGACAATTGCCTGGGGTGGCCACCAAGGATTGTATTGCTCGTGAGCAGAGTAGAAGGATACGGGCAAGTCCATAGGCCCCTCCGCGTTTGATGGCAGGTTGCAGGGGCTGCACTCAACAGGCCCGAATGCAAATTGGGGAGCCATGAAACAGTGGGAAACGTCCTCCTTTGAACTACCGAGTATGACCGGCTGGAGCGGCTGGGTCGTCGTGGACATCATACCCTCCGGAAAATGATTGCTGATATTGAGCGACATAGCGAATGAAGCTTGGAGGCTGTCATACATCTGAGCAGAGTTCATTGCTGGAGCTGCTGGCTCGCCTTCGAAGTAAAGCTCAGGAAACGGTGCCATGGGTATCAGGCCCGCTGCAGAAGGGCCCTGGGGGGGGGAGAATTGGAGGGAGAGAATTTTGAAGAGTGTTGAAGCCGAATGCCTCCCACTCGTTGGTCTGCATCCCACCTGCCTGGAGGGCGAGGGAATGAGCTCGTGGGTCGCCGGTCTTGAGGTCCATTATGTGACTGACTAGGTGCGTTTGATGGAAAGTCAGGTAGATAGGGAGAGATGAAGAGGAAGATGTGATCGAGAAAGAAAAGACTTTCCGAGGCAGCAGGTGAGGGCTCTTATATAGACAATGAACGAGCACGCCTGGGGTGATTGTTGGCCCAGCCACGTCCTTCCACCAGATCCTTTGTGCATGAAGTCTGGAGTGAGGGTGCGACGCCACCTTCTCGGAAACCCCAGCCAAAGCCTGGACCAACTTCTTCAACCCAATGACCCTGAAGATTCGCGTATGGCCTCGCTCCAGTCAGAGTCCAATACGTCCGTGTTCTATGCCTCCAAGACTTCCAAGAACACAGTGTTCTGAAATCTTGAAGCTCGGCCTGATCTCAGACGACACCTTGGCCTGAGCCCCTGGGCCTGAGCCCCTTGGCGAGACTTTCCTCATGTTTGTTCATGTGATGTATCATGGAGTCGTACGCCATACTGAAGGTGGAAGATCGTCATCGATGGCATGTGAGCCTTGGTATGTTCGAACCAGGCACCCGAACGGTGTGCATCCCTACGTCCTCCTCTAAGGATAGCTGGCTGTGGTGGGCTCGTGACCGCTAAGAGCTGGTAGATGTCGGACCTCCATTTTGCCACACGTGTGATACTGCCGGTGTGAGCTCTTCGTAAATACATCCAAGCATCGTCACCACCCTTTCTGGCCCTAAGATCCACCACATCTCATAGGGCTATCGTCTACGTGAATCAAGTGTCGGGCTTTTAGGTGGGCTATGAGTGAAGCTCGCTAGAGTTCTGCGTGCCTAGACGGCGAGAAGAAGCTGAGCTGCCGGGTGCTCACAGGCCGTTAGGGCGGTGTTCACCACATGATGCATTGCATCCAGACAACACGATCTAAATGAAAAGCATAAGTTGGCTTCTGTGATCATCAACTACCTACCGAGGGAGCCTACAAGCTGTTGCTCACGTTGCCATACAGCTCTGACCCCACAGTGCCTCACACCTTGCGCTCTTGACAATGTTCTCCGTGGAGCCGATGTATCCCTCGAACTCAGACTCGTCGTTCGACTTCCCCTTGCCATCTCCCTCCTTAACCGGGCTCACATAGCCATGTCGTTCACTCGGCTGGTAATGATTGAAGACTTGCGGCGACACGACGACGCAGTTCAGCTTCCCATCTCGGCAGTATTCGTGTAGCGACACGTCGAATGCCTCGCCATTTGCAGCTGTAGCGAGGTTAAGCAAGTTGCGCGCGCCCCTCCGTGACACTGCATATGCGAAAGTGCATATTGTCATGCGAGACTCTTGCACGGCTCGCTGCCCCGGGGGAACCTCGTTAACAACAAAGTCTCGTGCCCATCCATGGTATTGCTGATTCGTGGGCCTCGTTGGGTCGACATAGTATACGGGTCTTCTGTGGTTCTTGTCATGACCATTCAGATTGTGGCCCAACGAGCCGCAGTGTCCAACCCATAGCACGTCCCAGCCCGTGCCATAAGGTGTACTATCGTCTAGATCGCTCACCAGCTGGTGCCCAGTCTTGTCGTAGCTGCGGCCAAAGGCACGAACGTTGTCCGAAACGAGCCGCATCTGGTCTTTAATGCGCAGATCCCAGTCCACATCGTCCTCGAGAATCAGCGCCGTTTCAAGGTCTGAAGATATGAAGTGCCGCAATATATCAAGATGTGCTAGCCACGCTGCCGCTGAGCCGGGCTCCGGGCGCGTTGCCTTGCCGGCTGGACCCATCTTGCGAAAGGTTTCAATTGATAGTTTTGTGACTGGTGGTTGCGGAGGAATGGTGAAGTCGAGGCCCGTAAGCTGCGCAGCGGCGGCGAGACCACGCGTTCTCCAACTAGGCGCCTTTGAAAGGACGAGCATCTTCTCGAACTGCTGAAGTATATACTTGGTCAGCGGTCGTCATGATGGTTGTACGGTGTCTGGGGCGGATAGTCAGGTCTCACTCCTAGCGTTCTGTTCCCAGCCTGCTCGCGCGGAATCCTGTCGCTATCTCGCCATAGCCCATCGTCTAAGCTCTGTACGAAGTTCGGAGTGGTGGAATGATTCTGTATCAGTATCCATAGGCTGGCTGTTAATGCCAATGCTCCTGTAACGAGGAGACCGGCAAGCAGCCGCCGTGAGCCACGGGCAACCAGGGTTCTGGCAATTTGCACGTGATCATACATGTTATTGCTAGCCACTAAAGCTTTGATACGATACGTCGAATACAGCGTGAAACTAGGTAGCTTGCAGCTTGTGTGGCTTGTCGATAAACTGATTGGCTTAAAGAAGTGCGGTTTCGTAGACGCATTCCAAGCCTCGAGATATCTTCAAGGAATCACAGCCCTGGCACCCAAATTTAGGTACTAGTGGCAGCGGTTATTTGTCGCCGCGGTAACAAGCATCGAGCTGAACCCCAAGAATTCGCATTGTCCTATGTTGACTCTGACGCGGATCAAAATCTGGATGCAGTTAAGCGGCTAGAGCCCTAATTGCCGGATCGTGGGACAGGTCAAGGGCAGTCTTGCCGTGGAGATGTCAAATACACGCGTCCGACCCAATCATGGCGCGCAGAGACAGCGCTACATCATTGTGTTGAAAGGCTCTGATTGGCCTTCAGCTTCTGCCTTGGAGATACTTGGTCTCAGGGAGTGTGAGCCAATCAGTGGATACGCCACAATTGGCGCATCCATTTTGACATGTACACTACAGTAGCGACCGCGATCCGTGTCCACAAAAAGATAAAAGGCCATCGACTCCGCACGGACCTCTTTTGCCCAATTGTGGCTCAAGGCTGTGCGTAGACTTATCAGCACTATGTAACTTCATTAGTTGCACTAAACCTGACAGCAACGCCCGCCCCGCTTGTGATTCGAATGATTATCTTACATCCTTGCGCGCGCAGTTCTTTGTACTGTCAGTGAATCAAAACCGGCATTCTTGATTGGTTGGAAGGCAAAATCACATTGAGCAGTAGAGCGTTACAGGTGAATGTCGAATCTGCCTTGCTCTGTAAGCGACCTGTCGATATTTTCTCCTTACCCCGCACTTTCAGCCTTGCGTGGGGGCTGAGAGACGGTCTGACATCCTTCCACCATGAACCTGCTGCCTGCTTCTTTGTATCCTGCTTGACCTCCACCCATTACCTCCAGCTACAATGGTCTCTCTCATGTCGATGAAGCGCCCTTACTGACATCATTCATACCCCACAATGCGGCTACTACAGCGAGATAACGCCAACAACTACACCCTCACGGCCGATCTGCGCGCTGACAACACCCCTCCGTACGCAATCCTCTCCCACACGTGGGGCGCCGACGAGGTGGTCTACACCGATATAAAGGCGAGGCCAAGTGAATGGCAACAGAAAGTCGGCTACTGCAAGATCCAATTCTGCGCTGATCAAGCGAAGCGACATGGCCTACAACATTTCTGGGTTGACACTTGCTGTATCGACAAATCTGACGGCATCGAACTCCAGACTGCGATCAACAGCATGTTCAGATGGTACCGTGATGCGAAACGATGCTACGTCTATCTATCCGATGTTTCCTATCCCTCGACCTCCAGTCAGCCGCCAGGGGTTGGGTCGTGGGAGGCTGCGTTCCGCGGCAGCCGTTGGTTCACGCGCGGCTGGACACTACAAGAGCTCATCGCCCCGCAGATTGTCGAGTTCTACTCGAGGGAAGGGGTCTTCTTAGGCGATAAGAGGTCTTTGGAGGCTGTCATACGCGACGTGACGGGTATTCCTGCCAGGGCCTTACGAAATACACCATTATCCTACTTTACGACTTCAGAACGCGAAGCGTGGATATGCAATCGGGAAACAACGTGTGAGGAAGACATGGCATACTCGTTGCTCGGAATATTTGACCTCTACATGCCGCTCCTCTACGGCGAGGGTCGCGAACGAGCACAGAGAAGGTTGCGACAAGAGGTCCAGAAATCTGTGAAAGGTAGGACACCCCTTAGCCACAGAGGATGTCCCTTAGCTAATAACTTAGGTACCTACGACAACAACTTTCTGATCGGCTTCAACCTGTCTGGTGTTCCTGAGACTCCACATTTCGTAGCAAGAGATGGAGAAGTAGCAGAGATGCGAAGAATGCTATGCTCGGATGGAAGCCGTTGCACTGTCATTCTCCATGGTCTCGGCGGCATTGGCAAGACACAGCTCGCTGCAACGTATATCAAACGATACCGGGACGAGTACTCGGCGATCTTCTGGCTGAATATTAAGGACGAAGCGTCCATCCAACAGAGCTTCGCTAGGATCGCAACGCAGATCCTGGAACAGAATCCCGATGTCGGCAGCCTCAAGGGTCTGAACCTGCTGCAAGACCACGACAAGATTATTCAGGCCGTGAAAGCGTGGCTCAGCTTGCCAGGCAATACCAGATGGCTTATTGTGTACGACAATTACGACAACCCAAAGCTTCCCGGGCGGGTGACCGATACAGCGGTTGACATACACCAATTTCTTCCCATGGCATATCAGGGTTCAATTATTGTCACAACGCGGCTGTCGCAAGTCGACATAGGGCATCAAATTCGAATCGAGAAACTCAAGTCCGACTGGGAGAGTTTGCAAATACTGTCAAGGGCGTCAGGCCGAAATGGTTTACAAGATGGTAAGGATCTCCAGGCAGTCAATCATCGGTCACTAATGGTCCTTCAGATGGTGATGCGAAAGAACTTGTGCGAGAACTGGATGGGCTTCCTCTTGCTCTTGCTACGGCTGCAGCATATCTGAAGCGTGTCCCAATCAGCTTCCGAGACTACCTTCGCCACTATCGGGAATCTTGGGCAAGACTCACGGGCAATCTGCATCTTGGTTCTTATGCAGACCGCACCTTATGTTCAACATGGCAGCTGTCATATGAACATGTGCAGGCACAGAACCCACTTGCGGCTCATCTGCTCCGGTGGTGGGCCTACTTCAACAATGAAGACATATGGTATGATCTTTTCCGAGCCAGCAGAGAAGACGGCCCGGCGTGGATGGGGCAGCTTTCAGAAGAGCTCAACTTCAACGATGCAATGGGCGTACTCCATGACTACGGCCTAGTGGAACCTACAACCATGTTCCAGGAGCCACAAGGGTACAGCATACACAGTTGTCTACATTCCTGGACTATTCATATATTGAATGAGGAGTGGGACAGCTGCTTGAACAAGCTTGCAGTGGAAAGTGTGGCATCACAGGTTCCTTCACGAGAGCAAGCCGAGTATTGGCTTCTTCAGAAGAGACTAATATCACATGCGATCCGGTCTTGTTCAACAGTACAAGAGAGCAATTGTCCTACAGATCGGGCTTTTCATTCTCTAGGTAATCTTTACGCTGACCAGGGGAAGCTGGGCGAGGCCGAGAAGATGTACTTGCGGGCGCTCCATGGGTGCGAGAAGGCACTGGGACCGGATCACACATCAACACTTGAAACAGTACACAACCTTGGGAACCTCTACGCTGACCAGGGGAAGCTAGGCGAGGCCGAGAAGATGTATCTACGGGCGCTCCATGGGTACGAGAAGGCACTAGGACCGGATCACACATCAACACTAAGCACAGTCCACAACCTTGGGAACCTTTACAAAAACCAGGGGAAGCTAGGCGAGGCCGAGAAGATGTACTTGCGGGCGCTCTATAGGTGCGAGAAGGCACTGGGACCGGATCACACATCAACACTAAGCACAGTCCACAACCTTGGGAACCTCTACGCTTACCAGGGGAAGCTGGGCGAGGCCGAGAAGATGTACTTGCGGGCGCTCCATGGGTGCGAGAAGGCACTGGGACCGGATCACACATCAACACTAAGCACAGTCCACAACCTTGGGAACCTCTACGCTGACCAGGGGAAGCTGGGCGAGGCCGAGAAGATGTACTTGCGGGCGCTCCATGGGTACGAGAAGGCACTAGGACCGGATCACACATCAACACTAAGCACAGTCCACAACCTTGGGAACCTCTACGCTGACCAGGGGAAGCTAAGCGAGGCAGAGAAGATGTATCTACGGGCGCTCCATGGGTACGAGAAGGCACTAGCACCAGATCACACATCAACACTTCAAACAGTCAACAACCTTGGGAACCTCTACGCTGACCAGGGGAAGCTGGGCGAGGCCGAGAAGATGTATCTACGGGCGCTCCATGGGTACGAGAAGGCACTGGGACCGGATCACACATCAACACTTGAAACAGTACACAACCTTGGGGCCCTTTACGCTAACCAGGGGAAGCTGGGCGAGGCCGAGAAGATGTACTTGCGGGCGCTCCATGGGTGCGAGAAGGCACTAGGACCGGATCACACATCAACACTAAGCACAGTCAACAACCTTGGGAACCTCTACGCTGACCAGGGGAAGCTAAGCGAGGCAGAGAAGATGTATCTACGGGCGCTCCATGGGTACGAGAAGGCACTAGCACCAGATCACACGTCAACACTTCAAACAGTACACAACCTTGGGAACCTCTACGCTGACCAGGGGAAGCTGGGCGAGGCCGAGAAGATGTATCTACGGGCGCTCCATGGGTACGAGAAGGCACTGGGACCGGATCACACATCAACACTTGAAACAGTACACAACCTTGGGGCCCTTTACGCTAACCAGGGGAAGCTGGGCGAGGCCGAGAAGATGTACTTGCGGGCGCTCCATGGGTGCGAGAAGGCACTAGGACCGGATCACACATCAACACTAAGCACAGTCAACAACCTTGGGAACCTCTACGCTGACCAGGGGAAGCTAAGCGAGGCAGAGAAGATGTATCTACGGGCGCTCCATGGATACGAGAGAGCTATAGGACTTGAAAACGTCACAACATACCGGCCGGCCATCAACACCCTTAATAACCTAGGATCTCTCCTCTCGGGACAGGGCCGTTCGATTCAAGCGCGCCAATACTATCAACGTGGTTACGACGGTCTTGTAAAACTCCTCGGGCCATCGCATCAGGCTGTTGAGTCAGCGCGACACACTCTCCAGCTTACACACAGCGCGATTGAGAATGGGATGTGTTCGAACGAAGACCAACACGTGACCGATCCAGCACAACCCGGAGCATCGAAGAAGAGGCGACGAGACGTAGAGTAGAAAAGTTAAGAGAGGGTCAGTCTCGAAGTATATTTATTCTTGAAGCACATTTATTCTTGATGGGAGTTGAATGTGAAAAGAGAAAGTTGCTTTTGGAGTCGCCGTTGTCTTGTCGTTTGAAGAGCCATTTTTGGCCGGCACATGTTCGCCATTGAGTACGCACGGTCTCCGCCACAATGCGCCACATTTCTGTGGCCCGTGCGGGTGGATGTTAATTGCGGAGAAGCGGACACACTTTGTGGCCGCTACTGTATGAGCCACACTTTTACTGTATGATCCAAGTTAGGTCGGTGCTGATCTGATGAGGCCTCCATCTTTTTTCAAAGTGGCTTATGCATGATCTGATGAGCAGGGCATTCGGATGACATATAGATAACTTGCAACGATCAGGCCCCAGCCAACAGTCTTGTGCTTGTTGGTTCCAACCACGGCTGCAACAGGGTTCAGTCAAAGGTGTCAACGCATGTGGGGCATCTGCGGCTCACCCCCATGCGAAAGAGAAAACGTCGCCCTCCATCAATGGATGCAGTAAGATTTCAACCTCACGGAGGCCATGCCTACATAATACAATAGGCAGCTAGCCGGATTCACTGTCAAATTACACGACGTGAAGTTGAGCGGGGACGTGTGACGACTGTCACCACAGCGTCCACTGTTGATGGCAAGTGCAGCAAACAACGTCGCAGGATCGGGCCAGGGCAGATAAGTGCACTACGAAAGGGACTGTGGAATGACGACCCAGCCGTCATAAAACTGTGCCAAGACAAGATGAGCTGTGCAGTGCGCAAAGGTACTTCACAGCGCAAATCTCACACCATACCCTTCGGCGCTGAAGCTCGCTCTTGCCCGGCTTATGCCCCATCCCCGCGGGCTTCTGCGATTGTCCTAGACACCGTAGGAGGTGACTGGGCTGCGACATTGGGAAGCAGGTGTCATGGACTGGTGAGAATCGGGATCATGTACCACACGCATTAAGCAGGAGAAGAGGCTGCTTTCTTGAGCTATTTGCAGGCTCGGACAACTTATTGGGATAAGCTGAAAGCCCCTATGGGGGGTACTTCCTCGGGTACACACACGCTTACAATCGGTCAAAGTACTTCCAGCAAGAGTTCTCGTCTTATCATTGTACCTAGGCTCATAAAACGCATCCACAATAGCGTTTCGGTGTCCGAGAGTCTCGTCAGGTCCCACCTTGTCACTCTGGTCGAGCGAACGCGCAGCGCAGAAGACGCCTCAGAATGACCTCAGTAACAACTAATAGCCTCAACAAGACCGATTCTTGGCTAATATCGAGCTCATAAGGGCAAACAGTGACTTGTGGACCTTCGTCATGCACTAATATAGGCAGCCAGAGTTTAGTGCCACTTCGTCTTGGATGGCAAGTAACTCGTGTTATCAGGGGTTCGTCGCGGCGCAGAGTGTCCAGAATCATGCCCTGCGACCACATGTGAAGGGCCGAATTCCCTTCTATCACATCTCGCGCCGCGGCATGGCTCTCTTACGCGCCTAGCATTGGTGGGCGATCGCTCGACCAAGTATATAAGACAGCCTGGATTCCTCGGCATTACACCACATGGACTGGCCATCTTCACCGTCTTTCACACTTCAAAGCCTCCACATCCGGCCAGCACCATGTCGTACTACGATCCAACTGCCATTGAAGGTTCGAGCTACAATCCAATCGTTATTCCCGATCCGAGCCACACGGAGCCAGAAGATCGCTGGATCAGTCACCGTGACTACTCAGCTCGAACCGTCAGTGCCGATTCTGACTTCACGAGATCGTCCTCTCGCGCTGCATCGGCAACCACAACAGCCAGTCTACGGGAAGCCTCGACGTGTCGCACAAGTCTTTCGGCTTCTGCCAGTCCTCCTTTGTCACCCCTCACACCATTCAGATGGCACCGGGTGTCCAGTAGTCCAGAACCCGCAAGCGAGCATCATGACACCTCACGTCCATTCGAGCGTTCTAACGAGCGGACCTCAATTATAGACCATCTAGTGGATGTGTCGAATAACACCTTGCCGACTCTCGGTGGTGTCGGTACGAGCTATTGTACGATAGACGACATGGACATTGACGATGAGGATCCCTTGAGCGACACGGAGGAGTGGGCAGCGCCCTTGACGTCGTCTGATCGATACAAGGGGCCACAAGACTTCGCAGAGGCCAGTCAGTGCGATGGGTCGGATGTGGTTTCTGGCAACCGCGGCGCTTTGCCGTGCTTAAGCGTGGCCGCAGATCCACCAAGTTGTATGAATGCTCCAGTCACTCCTGGCAACTTCCTAGCAAAGCTAACAAAGAAAAACTTACAGTCTACACCGAGCTCGCGCTCAACCTGTATTTACTACAGGTACGAAGATCCGCAACTAGGGAGCCTGAGCAGTATGTCTCAGACATGCCGAGGACCGAATCCAGCTTGACGGTTTCGACAATGGAGAACTGTACGCCGGAGCCCGATCTCCAGAGACTGATACCAACCAGAACGCAGCCTACCACAACTCCACAGCTCACAGTCTATGCTGAGTCGCATATACAAGCAGATACGGCTCACGAACCATATCGATCAGTAGCGCTGGGCACCGTCGATAAGGTCCCTGGCAGTCAAAATGGTCGAAGTCTGCCGGGGGTTCGACGCAATCCTCTACGTTGCACAAGGCAAAAGACTACAATCACAAGACCCCAAAAGTATCTTCCAGCTCCGAGAGTCGTATCAAGAAGGGGGATAAATCGGGAGCGACAACCCGAGCGGAAGTCCGGCAATCGGACGACGACGACCCGACGACGCGCCAAAGTCCAAGCTGGGCTCGAAGCTCTCAAGCAGTCGCAACTCGACGATGCAGACTTAAACATAGCAGAGAAGGGCGGGCAAACTGTGCTCACCTTCAGTCTTCCGAGCACGAGCCTTGTGATGTCATGTCCGCAGCATAAGGCGGTCACGCCTGCTTCGCATTGTGAGTGTTTCGAAGGAATGATGCTGGATTTCTCGGCTAACTTTGATGCAGCTAATAGAAAATATCCATTCAAGAGGCTGCTTGAGAAGCGAAACGAGTTTCTAGTTGAGTGGGAGACTGGCGAGATGACATGGGAGCCTGAAGTGAACTTTGACTGTAAAGACATTGAAGAATTCGAGAAACGGGATGTTGGTTTTGGTCCTGGAGTTGAGTCCATCCTCGGCTCAAGAAAAAGATGCGGAAGGGCATAATTGCTCCTCGTATGGCGCGGACGACCGGAATCAGAAGCGTATTGGGTTGATAAGAACAAGGTCTCACGGTCTTACCTCGAAGAGCGTAAATTGTCATAGCAAGAGGCTTCTGGCCTTTAGTGGAGCTGCTATTAAAATTAATAGAAGCAAACTACTACTGAACTCCTCCTTCCCGTACTTCGCTCTGGTCTCACAAGTTCTAAGCTCATGCAAGTTTACCGGGCATTCTTGCATGACTATGTGCCAAACGATAGGATCCCCTCAGTGCAGGGCCATCCTCCGCGATGGGGACAATGGAAATAGTCGTGACCTGTCGCAGTCTCCCAAAAAAAAAGCGCTTGGGTCATCAGGACAGCAGACGGCAAAACCACGCAGGTCTAGATGATCCCAGAGTCTATCTCGCAAGGTTGGCTGCGTTTTCCCACAACACCTTCCCAGCTACACCGGGAGGATGAATATGGCCAGCGGCAAGTAGCGACTATGTGGCTGTAAAGTGACTGGATTTGACTCTACTGTGGGTTAAAGCGTAGCCCGGGACGTGGTGTCGGCCACCAACGAAAGCGTTCTGCTCGAGCATGCCTATAGGTGCCGCTTGTAGGTCTAGGCTGAAGCATACCGCATGGAATCAAAGTTTCGTGATTACACTCTCCGGACAGTGCAGGAGTGGGGGTGAGTACTTCAAGAAGATCCTCTCGCATGCCCACAAGGCGCTTCCCGGTACGCCGTGCCCGTGTTCATCCGCGTCATGGACGCCGGCCGGGGCTCGCACATCCACAACCACAGGCAGAACAAGGTGCCCCGTCGGAAAGAAGGTGTGGACCCGGCGCTCGTGGGCACGCTGCGGTTGTGGCTGGTGGCATCCAGGTCCGTATCCGAAAGGCCTGGTTCAACATCGCTGCGGCTGGCCGGCTTTGATTCACTCGCTTCACAGTTATCTATGGCTGCTGGTTCGCACGACAACCGGCGAGTTCCGTTACTTGGTTTGGTTTATTGTTGCGCTTCCAGCCGGAAGGAGACTAGCGTGTCTCCATACACAGTCCCACCACGAAGCCTGGAGACAACAGCCTTGTCAAGTACTCTGGCCCTTGTCGCACTCCCAAGCTTCGGTACTTCTGTGTTCCACCTCCACAATCACTTGAGGCTCGTCGTGTCACAAATTTTGTGCTCGTATGCGCCATATGCACAAGTATGCATCAAGCACTTCTGGGGGCACATGCACTCTCAATGTGTCCTGGTGGCCGTTTGCATGCACAATGCGCCGTCGCGCATGCAGCAAAGCCAATTTTAGCATAATCAAAGAGCCGCCGGTCATTCACTTCCGTACGCTGCAGATGTCGCAAGAGAGGCATCACTATCAGCATTTTGGTCCTGCATCAGCCTTTGCTTTCGACCGTAGCTCGTCCAGTCATTCCAGAGCATCGCATTGCTGGTGTGAAGAAGGATTGGTTCAGTGTGGATGCTGCTACAGTGGGACACCCTGTTCCTGGCATCCTTCAGTGTGACGCATCACCAACAGCAAACACGCAAAAGCCCATGAAATTGAACAGCAACGAGATCCTTTTTTGGCACAGTCCTCAAGGTGATGTCACATCTGCAGCTTCCAGGCGTGCCTAGCGGAGGCACAGTATCATGCGCAGACATGAGCGATACAATGCATCAGTGCGCAAGTCGAAAAATCGAGTGCAATCCATCTCATCCGTCGCAAACGGAGCGCCGCGCTCACCCAGTAGCTCGCGTTTGTCATCGACCGCGCCAGCACCACCGTCGAAGAATAATCAGAATGTCATCGCTGTTTGTGTTTGCTTTGATCTGTTTGCTCAAGTGCGCCCCTTGACTCGCAACTTCGCGGGGACATGCATACTTTAGCGCTGCACAACATGTTGCTGTGCTGTGCAATCGAAGCAAACATTCAGGCACCACCTTTGAGGCCACTGTTGCAAGGTCGCCGCCCAATAATGATGTTCTCGCGACCAGGTACCTCACAAAGCCCGTTTTTCTCAGTCTAAATAAAAACGACTGCAACCCAGTAGAGGTCCCCAAAAGATAGCACTGCCTCGAGTACATGTATTGTTCAAGGGTTCGGCTTGGTGCTCACAGGTCCGGAGTACTGGCACCTGCAACAAACAAGCACACCACTCTTCCCTCACTTTATTTCCAGTCTCACCAAAGTGCTGAGTACTACCTTTCTACTGTTGCGCGCATTGCCGTTCGCATCCAGTCTCGCCGCTGATGGCTGCTCAGCCATGATCTGCTTGCGACAACAGCAACCCCCGAAGAGAAAGCGGACCATTGCATGCTGCGCGTGCTATGCTCGCAAGGTCAAGGTAAGTGTGCTCTGCGATGAAGTTAATTATCTAGTCACTGAGACGACTGTCAGTGCGTCGGCTCGTCCGTATGTTGTCCTGGCCCAGCATTCCCGACGGGGCCTGCATCATCCATATTGGTTAGAGGTTCTTGTCAATGGCAGCCTAGAAAGAGGCACGTCAAGACCTGCCAGAGGTGTCAAGCAGGACGAACCAAGGTTAGTCATATAATCCGTGCCATGATACATTTGCTCGATGAGAGTTCAGACATTTGATGTATAGTTTAGTAACCATCATGCGCAGTGTGACGGCTCGAGAAGTTTCTGTGAGAAAAACCAAGCAACGGCGGCCAAACCAAGCACTGCAGCTGTGGATGAAGAAAGGGGATTTGCCCAGCTCGCCGGTGGATATCTCCACCCCGCACAAGCGGATGAGATTCATCCAGCACAGACGGAACGCTGCGCAGAAACAAACACGTGTGAGCAAATCAGTAAGTCTGCTCAGGAACACACAGACATGGAGACCGATGAACCAAGATTTGCCTCTGGCTTGGTCTGCTTGTGTGTGGGCTGTGGAGATGTCTTGGAAGATGAGCAAGACTTGGAGAGTCATTTCAATGATAAGCACTCGTCCAGCTGAAGCGTAATCTAGCGTATCTATGATCACAGATGACTGGATCGACTTTTCCACTTACTCGATACTGTGATGATTTCCCAAGCACTTCGCTGGGAGAACTGCAAGAATTAGTGCTTTGTTTCTTTCGTGCTGGAAGCGACAGTCTGCCCAAGTCCTCTTTCATACACATTCTAAAGAAATTGCTGCTGCCTTCCTCACAATGGCTATACCGCCTACCGGCGCCTTATCTTCCAGAAGCTCATGCATGTACCATCCGTTACACATACTTGAGCTAGACGGGTTGCCGAGCGATCCTTTCGAATTTTTCGAAGCTCTGACCTAAGCTGTTCTCAGTAAGTCAAGGGGCCTATCTCCCACTTTGACCTTTGCACCACCCTGTGCATGCTCCTCATCCCCGGAAAGCTAGGTCAAGGGGGCGCCAGCGTTGAGGAACTTCTAGCCCGATGGACGCACCCAGAGAGGAAGATATGAGATGCAGCTTCTCTGTTGTTGCCGTACTCCTTTAAGCACATGCAAGTTAGTCCATTCGAGGGCATCGTCGTGGCATCACATTGTCCGCCCCTCCTGCGTGCACGTACGTGGAGACCGAGTGCCGTACTAGCTAGATCGCGGGCACTCGCTCATGTGGCTCGTCTTTCGCATTTTTATCCATCTCGTGGATAGTCTGCCGCTAACTGTTGGTATTCCCGCCGACTTGACCCCTTGGCACATTAACACGGTTAATGCGGATAAGGGTTAGGAGCTTTGTCTTAGCCCTCCTCCAGGGCTTCCCCTCCGCGAAACCCTTTGATATTCAAGTCAGCTACTGGGCCCAAAGCAGAATGCATCGTCTCACCTGTTGATTCCTGCAGTAATACCAAGTTACGCAAAGCCATTCGCGTCTCGGGATAGTCAGGTCCAAGCGCCTTCTCATAGCCGGCTAGCGCTCGCTGATACATCGCCTCCGCCTCAGCCGGCCTGCTTTGGTTATTATACAGGATTCCTAGGTTATTGACGGTCTTGAGAGTGTCCGTGTGGTCAGGTCCAAGCGCTCTCTCATAGCCGGCCAGCGCTCGCTGATACATCGCCTCGGCCTCGGCCCGCCTGCCTTGTTGCGCGTAGAGGTTTCCCAGGTTGTGAAGTGCCTCAAGTTGGTCTCCGTCGGCTAACTCTAAGCTATCAGTCCTATCACTCTGCAGCCATTCTGCGCAATGTTGCCCATGCGGCAAAAGCTGCTGCTGCAACACCCAGTACTTTCTCTCCGTCGACATAGGCACCGACAAGCCGACCAATGTGAGGGCCAGCCGTGCATAGTATGCCTTGCGGCTGCCCTCGTCCAGGTGCAACGCCCACCTGTGCACCACTGGATGCATCGAGTAGCCAGCTCTGACGTCCTCATTCGCCTCGATCATGGAGTAGCGCAAGAGGAGCCTGACAGCCTCGAGAAAGCGGGCTTCGCTGACGGCGAGCCCCACGAGCCACTGTGGCCAATGGCGCTTGTCAGAGCCATCCCGGCCTGCCACTGTCAACAGCCCGTGCCACAGGTGGTTGTTATCGAGAAAGGCCCAGAGGCGTAGCAGGCTGCCGGCGGGGCCGTCCTGGGCCTCGATCTGCTGAAACGAGACCACCCATGTTGTCGCAATGCTGCCCTGCTCGTAGTCCTGCAGCGGCCGGCCTGTTCCAGAGGCCATCAGCTCATCCCACTGACGACAGTAGATTTCCAAATACTTTGTAATGCTGACCCCCGTTTCTCGAAGGTACGAGGCTGCCTGGGCTAACGCCAGCGGCAGCCCGTCGAGAAGGGTCAGGAGGTCGTCAGCGCCGGCGCCTGTATCTAGTCAGATGACACCGGCAAAAAACCGGCCAACACGCCACTCACCAAGATTACCACCATACCATGCCTCTAGGATAGCCCTCCCAAGCCGGCCGTCCACCTTGACCAGCTTGCGCGAGTAGCCCGGCGGTGCTAGTTGTGCTAGGCGCGATAGTCGCGTTGTGATTAAGACTGCGCCATGATCCCACGGGACGTACTTTCTTACGTCGTATGCACCTTCCGCGCCGCCCCGATCGTAATCCAGGTCGACGTTGTCAAACACCAGCAGCCAGTCGCGGTTGTCATCCCGCCCAAGCCACGTCATCACGCCGGCTACCGCAGCGTCCAGGTCCTCCGCGCTGCGACCTTCTGCCTGCTACCGGATGGCCGAGGGCATTTGATCTTCGGGGATCCTGTCGACGCAGCCGGCGATACTCTGCTTCAGTCGGTCTTCCGACCGGCCGTCAAGCCAGAACACTGTGCTGAAGGCGGCCTGGTGGCGGCGGGTAAAGTTGACGGCCAACTGCGTCTTGCCGACGCCGCCGAGTCCGTGCAGCATGAAGAGCTTTCTTCCTTCCCGCTGCGGCCGGCAAGGTAGGAGGCGCTCTTCCAGACTGGCCGTGTCGGACGGTCTGTCGACGAACTTGGCCGATATGGGCACGCCGGCTAGGCTGAAGGAAACCTTATACGGGCCCAGATCTACGACGAAACGAGTGAGCTGGATGTTATCATAGTATATTGCCGGCTATAGTGGGAGTAACTAACATTGCCTCCTGGCGAGAGCATTAGTAAGAGCCGTCATCTGCTTCAAGACGTCCTGCGTCTGGAGATAGCGTCTCGTGGCAGCCCCAATCTCCGCGTGCTTCTTCGACTCCTCCAGGCCGACATTCTCGAGTCCGTGGGCGACGTTGAAGCGGAAGCAGCGGCCGTCGTTATCGAGGAACACGTTGTGTTGGCGGAACCGCTCGGCCGTTCGTTCCGTTTCCGTTGCGAGCTCCTTCAGCGTCGACAAGATCCCTAGCGCATCCCCCCCCACCGGACTCAAGGCGGGTACTCCCGTGCCGATCGACACCAGGCACCGCAAGCTGCTCCGCAGCCGGTCGCCCCACACATCCTGCGCCTGGTTCCAAAGACGGGGTTGTTCATGCCGAGGGCGCCGTCGACAAATTCCTCGGGAGGGAAACCGATGGCGACGGGATCGAAGAAGGTTGTTGCGGCAGAGGTGGCGCGGCAGGCCTGCCAGACCTTGGTGGTACTGAGCAGGTCTGTGGAGCGGGGGGTGCGGTAGCTAGTCAGGCAGACGGCATCGCTCGTTTGCTTGCTGGTCGCGCAGACGAACCTGATTTTGGTCGTAGCTCAGTCAGTAATCTGTTGGGCGATTATTGGGAAGACACTAATAGTAGCGAGTGTAAACGCACACTTTGCACGTGCTAGACGCGTCTTTGAGCAGGACATTCTCGTCGTGGCCGGTTTCTTTGAGGATCTGCTTGATGGCGCGCTCCAGTGTGGCGCTGTCGAATCTGCCCTGCAGTTTGCCGTTGAGCTTCACCCTATGGCTCTTTTTCTGGAACACGTCGTTGGACAAGGATATGTACGCGGCGATGCAGTGGTCGACGGACATGCGCAGGCGTCCAAGCATGATGGCGATGAGGCCGCCGGTGCTGGTGCCGCCAATCATGTCGAAGTAGTCGCAGGGCTTAGGGGGATTGTCGGGGTCAACGGCGGCCATGAGGCTGCGCAGGACCATGAGGGAGGAGAGGCCACGGACGCCGCCGCCGTCGAGGGCGAGCAGGCGGATATCGTTCTCGGGCATGGTGGGAATGGGAGATGATGAATTGAGAACATGTTAGTATCTGGTCAGGCTGGGGGCAGCGTGGTATTGTACGCGCCGCGAGGGAGCCCGGCACGGCTGGTTGCAAAGGCGGCCGTTGGGGGCACACAAGATACATAACAAGTGGCGCAGCGACCTTTTTTTGTTTCGCAGGCTTCGCACCCGACTGGGATTGGACGCACTTTGCCAGGTCCTGCGGCCACTGTATCTGCTTGACTGCCAACTCAGCTGAGGGGTCGAAAAAGAAATACCCAGCCTGATGCCCGGCCGCCTTTGCAGTCAGCCGTGCCAGGCTGACTCCATACTAGGCAGGCATGTCGGTCGCTGCCCAGCTGCTGAATTGGCGATCCTTACTTGCTGCTGATCCACTCCAAGCTGCATTGCAGGGATCTCCTACCAGCCAAAGAGGCGTGCATACTTGCATCGTAGCTGCATGGTGGCTGTGTAAGCTCCCGTGTCCTTTAGGTGTAATCGCCGTTTTTATTTTCCTCTTATCTCATCTAGAGTCTCGACTCAACAGATTGCCAAACACGAAGACCAGACGCGCTCAACCAGGCTTACGAACTGTTTGTCGCTTTTGATGAGGCACGCTGACAAAATGGAACCAGCACGGCGCAGGGATTTGCAGGTCCTCCGACATGCGACCCGGCCGCCTCTGGGCGATGCCAGCAAGCAGATCCGACTGCTGAAGATCGACCCTGGAGGATTTGACGACGAAATTAGATGCACAATCACCACCTGCGCGCTTGGCGAAGTTTCAGAGTTCAACGCGATATCGTACACATGGGGACCGGAGCAGCCCCAGCGCGACATCTTCATCAACGGCCTGCGCTTTCCTGTGCGGCATAACTGCCACTATGCGCTCCAACAAGCACGTCAATATCAAAGCTCGGTACCGATATGGATCGACTCGGTGTGTATCGACCAGAACAATCTACACGAGAAAGGTGCCCAGGTCGGAATCATGGGCGACGTCTACGCGCGGGCTGCTACAGTGCTTGCCTGTATCGGTCAGGACGACGAGGCCAGCGATTTCATTGAGGCCGTGCTCGAAGAAATGCAGACACACTCCGGTGACAATTTGTGGTCCCACGAGCTGGATCAAGACGAGTTGTTTGCCGCTTTTTGGCAATCCTGCGATGCAGCTAAGCGATCAGAGCTGCGCAAAAGACGAACCGAGTTTTGCGATAGGCCATACTTCCACCGAGTATGGGTTGTTCAAGAGCTCTTCGAAGGGCGAGGTCGGATAGTGGTCTTGTGTGGACGCTTTTCATTGCCTTGGGATCGGCTCTATCTTTATGATCAGCTACTGGCCTTCGCCGAGGATACAGCGAGCAGCTGGTCAAAACTCAACCTTTTGACCCTTCCATTGCCTGTCAACCTCGGAGGCTTTGGTTTCATCAATGGCATCTCATCACAGCTGCTCTGCGAAGATCCAAGAGATCGGATATACGGAATGCTCAGACTGATCAATTATGAGACTCACGGAGTTCCGCAGATTGTTCCGGATTACAACTTATCGAGGCTTCAATTGGCATCGAAGTTGATCCATGACGGCCACTTCAGCTACATAGTCAGCTTGAAGGCCCTCATACAAGCTCTGGAACTAACAGACAAAGATATCGCGAGTAGCTGTCACTTAATCACTGCGATACAAGACGAAACTCGTGACTGGCTTTCGGATATCCGCAATGCTTTCGTCATCCAGTCACACGACGATGGACAGCTTTACACAGAGGCGTTACGAGCGAGCTCGACTATACAATCAAGTCTGGGAGTATCCTTCCACGGATACGAGCCATCAAAGATATATGGCCCCGCCGGCATTGTTGCTCTGGCCTGCCCGGGCACTATGGCAGGTGATATACTTCTCGAGACGGAATTCTTCGACGCGATAGTCCGCCCCCACAAGACCTTACATGAGTACCGAGTTGTCGGTCAAGCCGCCATCTTCAGGGACAGTGTGTCGATAAGTCCAAGCTTCGAGTGTTCCTGCTGGCGGGAGAACAGCGGATACGACTACAGTTCTGCCGATGTCATGATATCCTTCCAAGCCGGCGTTCAAGAGGCACTCTCCCAGGCCATTTTGCTAAAGTCGGCAAGCGCAGCACTCTCTGCAACCACTTCATCAAAAGAAGGGTTCAAGGAAGACCTCGGACGATTTCGAATGGCGCGCATACCCGTGCCGGGTTCTATCCTGCGGGATGTCACAATCGAGCAGAGATTCACGAGAGAACCAAACTCGTACAAAATTCGGGAATGGAGATCCGGCTGCCCAAGACATAAGAAAGAATCCAAGACTTACCATGAGGCAGCAAGGCGAGGGCCACTTTCATTTCTCGCTGCATCCAATGGGGGGCAAAGTGTGGTCTTCATTAGAATTGGCACGTAGGGAATAACCTGTTCCAGCTCGTCACAGCAGCAGCTTTTCCTGAATGTGATTGCGATAGTTTTGGGTTGCTTGTAATGCAGAATTGGCCCTCTGATCTAGAACCGGTACAATAGAAGCATGCCCCTTAACACCCGTTGGGCGATTGAGGGAACAACTGGTGCAAGTGCCGGGCATCAATGGCATCCTTGGTCCATATTTGAATCGTGTTCTGGATGGTGAGCTCGACTTCACTATGCTCTTGGCATAGTCGTGTCAGTGCCCTTCGCCATTCTCTGATCCAAGGTCATGAGCGCCGGCCCACTCGATGGCTTTGTGACATCCTCGACACGGACACTCTCGTGACGCGAGTACATGTTTTGGTGTAACTTAATCTTGGTCCTTTCCGTAGGTTAGAGCTTTGTCCCTCACCAGCAATATTATTGTGCCAATTGGCATCGTCGGGAGGTTGTAGCAAAATTGTCAGGCCGCCAGCGTCGAGCCACAGGCCGTTACCATCGCGTAAAGTCGCTTGATAACGGTACGGCAGGTGCAGTATAGATGAAGCGAGACGTTATCTTCAGGCTCAATTGACGACAGCCTATTGACTTGCTCTGCGCACGATCCGATCGCAAGTACGATCGAGCTGGGCTTTTCGGAAGGCCAATTTGCGATGATCACCACGACAAATGGAGTGACGAAGACACAGTCCCACCTGCTGCATGTCATGCTATAATCCACTTTTGGAGGGTACTTGATGGGGGACAGTCTACACGGTATGCGCCACAATGCGCTACAATAGCTGGATCGTGCGGAAATCGCAACTAATATCGGCAAAGTGGACACCGATTGTGGTCACTACTGTAATAGTAGCGGCATACTCACCATAGTGAACAAGAATTGAGCTGAACCCGAAGCTTGAGACATTCTCATTGTCCTGTCTTGGTTCTGACACGCATCAGAATCTAGATGCAGCGGAGCAGCTAGAGCACCCTGATTGCCGGATCCTGGGACAGGTTGAGGATTCGCTTTTTGTGGGTAGTGAAGCATGGGGTGTTGGCCGACCCAATTATGTCGCGGTGATACAGCACAACGGCATTGTGGTTTGAGGCTTTGATTGGCCTTCAGCTGCTGCTTCGGAAATGGCTCTAAGTCTCATGGTTGTAGTCACGTCGTGGGTGCGCCACAATTAGCGCATTCCAGGGGGCACCCACCCCGCTTCTGTATTGGCCGGCTCACTGTTGCATGATGTCTCTGCTTTATGCGTGAACAGCAACGTAGACTCTGCGCTCACACAGAAACAAGCGCTTGGTGTGTAATTCTCTTTTCGACATGCTGAGGTACCTAGAGCGACACGGCAGGGTGACGGGGACCTTCTAGTCTGCGGGATCAAGCTGACATAATTATGCTTTCGTGAAAAGAGAATAGTAGTGATTGATCACAACCAGGCCAAGCTTCATAATGATTCTCTAGTGATGGTGTGCCTACCCAATGCGTTGTTGAGGCCTAGGGTAAACTGAGGGCGTCAGTACGAATTCACCATTATGTCATCATAAGAGCGTAAAGTCCAACTTTATAGTTTTGGCTGGCGGGATCCTGTATTGAGCCCGCTTGTGATGCTTCTTGTTATGTATTACTGTATCTCGAGATGCCTGGTTTGCCTAGTCCAGGCCGAATGATCGAGGTAGTTTTTATGCACCAGTTTATGTCGAGCATACGTATGTTGGATGGATTCTGATAACCCTGCATAATTTACCACAAGTGTGTAGTCACGACCAGCTCCGAGATCGCTCGCTTAATCAGCAATGCCCTGGTCAGCACGAGCCAGCTCAGGCGGGCTCACTTGGGCTCAGTCGCGATGTGGGGATAGCTCAGGTAGGACTCAGGCTTGTGGGCGAGGACAGCATTTGGTACGATGGAAATTTGGGTTCGATTATGGTGGAAGTCCCCATTTAGCTATCGTGCATGCGGCACACAATTCTATACACAATAGGATTAAAGGTTTACAGACTTCTAATCTGCCACCATAAGGCAGCGTAAGCTCCATAGTCCTGGTTATTATTAAGGCACATATTGATTCGGGTCGAGTTCTTCCCTGAGGTAGTAAGATACCTAGGCTTGAGTGTTTCGTTCGATCATATTGTTCTGTAATAATGGTTTTGCGGCCTACCCTTCCAAGCGGGCCCCAATTCAGTATTACGTCCATTCCGTACGGTACTGCCGGCAGATCATGAGGTCAAAGCCTCTGCGCTCTCTGTTTAGGGGGGCAACCCCAGCGCAAGTCGTCTTATGAAAGATCGGATCGTGGCGTAGCATATAATAACCAGCTATCTCTACTGCTTTTCCAAATCTTCTGTCAGAAGCATGTATGTGACCCGATTTCTAGGCAGTCAACAGGAGGATTCAGCCATGGGTTGATCCAACGTGGCATTGGAATCCTTCGGCGCAGGGACCTGATTGGGCAATATGTGTTCACCATGCCCCGGCATCCGGGGAAATCCCAGGGGTCATTATTTCTCATCAGAAGAGAACCTGGTCCAGCTGCGCACTTCCGCGGCACATGCCGGCCCAGCCAGAGGCCACAGGCAGATCTTCGTTGGGGTATATCATGAAAGCGGCATTGATAAAGCTGAAGAGGGACGAGCGGTGAGTAATGCAGGCTTTCATCATGAAGTAGGTTGGCGTTATTATAACGACCAGAAGTACCATCGGCATAATGATGGACTTTACTCAAAACCGTCTTGGCATCGTTGCGCGTTGCTAAACACGGGTCGAACAGCTCGGTCAAGTCACATGGTGGCACTATCGTACGTTTCGATTAGACACAAATTGCAGGAGCCACGAACCCAAGCTACGAAGAAATCTTTCAGCCAAGACTCATTGTGGCGCCCACAGTGAGCATCGTCGACAAAGCCAACTTCGTGATCAGGCTGTCGACAGTTGTATATGAGAGGCGCCTTGTCAAGCTCCGTCCCGACGACTGCCCGGGTGCGATAACATATTCACACTCAGAGAGATCGCCATTACCACCAAAATGACGATTTGCTGTCAGCATGGTCCGGCAATTGTTTTGGTCCACAATGGCTCTGCCGCACCAGCTCGATTCTGCAGGAGCAGCATCTTTAGACGGAGTAATTCTCGCTCGTGTCGCGATCGCTGACTAAGCATATTCACTCCGGTTGCGCTTCAATTGACATGTGTCCGGCATGCTTGCATGGTATTATTTGGTGGCGGCCGGGGACGATTCCCGAGCCGTTCAAGCCGCTGAAATTAAATGCGTCGCGTCAGCACTAAGGCTCCAGCCCCGCTGCTGCTTCACTGGTTGGGGAGAAATACGATCTGGGTTGCCAGACTCGGCCGTGCTCCGCCCCGCGCAATCTCGGGTTTTCCATGGAGGCCACGCAAGCGGCACAGGCAGCCGTAAAGCGAACCTCTGGTGTGCTGAGGCGAGCTGAACAAGGCCTTCTGTTGGCGGGCGTCGCGACAATTACGCGCGTACTCTGTCCTTAGTGTAGCCAGCCAACAATGGCGCCCAGCTGCGCTGTAATTTCCGTGTGGGGCTTGAAGGAGCCTCGTCCGTTATGCAGCCGAGTAAGTTGTATAGCAACATCAGCCTTGCTTCCTTGGGATGGGCTCACGGCAACTGTTCGCGAGGCCAACTGGGCGAAATGGCCCGGAGCTGCCCACTCGATCCACAAAGAATCGAACGCATCCAAGACGCTTGCCCGGGTCGCCACTGGGGAAACAGAGACAAGCACGCTAGGGATATTGTCGTCTTAGTGTCTCTTGGCTGCTCCACCAGATCGATGCGGCTCAAGATTTGAAGCCCGCTAGTGTTGGCTGCCATCCATCAGACGCCAGCAAGTTCTAGGGCTCTTGTAAGGTGATTGCCAAGTGCCTTGGCGGTTCACAAGCTCGCTCACAGATGGGACTCAGCAAAACCGGCCCGACCGCATATCCACCCACCCAACAGCGAGGGAACAACGGCCGAGTAGGGCTATGACTCGAAGCTGGCGAGTTTGGCCCTTTTTGCACTTTTGGCGGCCCCTGTCTTCCACAGCCAAACCAGGCAGGGCCCAGGCAAAGAAAGGTGGAAGGCGGAACAACCAACAGCCTTGGCCAGGTACCACTAACTAACCCCCCCATCTCGTCTCCAGTCTCATCGAGATGGGCTGGCTGCATTCCCGGCACTGAAGCTCCTTGCTGGCCCCCCTGGCTGGACGGCAGCCTAGCCAGTTTATTGTTAGCGCGAGACACAATCGCCCCAGACAGCTTCAAGGCCTCAAGCAGGTATTCCTTCCGCACAGGGACAGGGCGGCCAACATCTGCAGGTTCCCCCAAGGGGGCTGCAACCAACACACCAACCTGTCAGCAATGGCGGGCCTGTGCCGCATTCCTGCTGCCTTGCTTAGGCGCGGCACCAAACCTGGAGTTGCTTGTTCTGCCTTTCCTGCCTGTTTTCCTGCTGACTGCTGTCTTTGACGTTTGCCGTCATTTGCCTGCACACGCGCGAGAGCACTCGAGCCCTCAAGTACACGCCGCCCCATCCCGCACTGCACACGACAGCGACTCGGCTTCCCCGCGATGGTGCAGATCAGAGGGGTGCCCGGCCGGAGCCTGTACTCCGTGGGCATCGTCTCGGTCTTTGTGCTCATCTCGCTCCTGTTCTTCTGGGTGCCTACACCTCCTCCACGGGCGCCGACACGGCAGGCCGCCATCCCCAACACCATCCCAAGCCAGCCCAAGCCGGCCGCTGATCCGGCCGCGAACACAAATGGCGGCACCTCGAATGGCAGCAACTCGAATGGCAGCTCGGCCGGGCCGGGCCTGGTGCAGCAATCGACAGGCAAGATCATTGACCACATCTACAACCGCACGCTAGGAGTAAGTAACCAACGGGCGGGAGGTTGCCGGCGCATGGAAACACTGACGGTCCGTGTCTTTTGCCCCAGTTTGGCGACATCCTCTCGGTCAGCTTGCCGTCGCGCACCGATCGCAGGGACAGCATGCACCTGCAGTCGTCGCTCAGCGGCTTCCACGTCACATTCGTCGACGGCGTCAATGGCGACGACGTCGTGGACAAGGCGATCCCCAACACCTTCAAGCATGATCGCATGAGGGGCTCGTCGATCGGCTCGTGGCGGGGCCACATGAACGCCATCCAGCAGTG